TCGGCTTTATAATTAGTAGCTAAGGTATCTTAATAGACCTATAACGCGTTACCGCTATCGCGTCCTAGGAAATACCTAAAATATTCTATAATATCTAAGTATTCCTAGGATTCTATAACTTCTACCGGTATTTTATTAAAGGATACTCCCTTATTATAGTCCCTCTTACTAACCTTCTAAAGGGAAGCCAGAATAGTAAGAAATAAGGGAATATAGATCTAAACGATATCGAAAAGGTAATATTTTAATAACTAAAAGATACCTTTTAGTAAGCCCCACTCCTTAAATTCTTCGACTTAGTAAGATATATCCAAATTAAAACTAATATATCTAACTTAGGGATAGCTAGGATAATATTATAACCTAATAATAAAGAGCGATAGTACCTCGTAGCGTTTTAGTTAAGAAAATTTACTGGCGCAGAACTAAACTATAGTACCCCGGACCAGGAACTATTCGCTATTATATATTTATTTAAGTAATAGCGATATTACTTAGAAGGAAGTAAGTACCTTATTAAGGTCCTCTCTGATTATTCGAATCTCTAGGGCTTTATTAAATAGCTAAAAATTAATAGACGCTAAGCCTAGTAGTATTTATTTCTTACCCCCTTTAATTTTATAATTAAATACTAAGTAAATAAAATAAATCCCGCCGATAGCCTCTTACGATAGCTAAATAAAGATATAGCTCTAAAGAATAGAGCTTCTAAACCCTATTTAAGAGCGAATCGTGGGTATTTCGGAGGTCAAACTAAGAGACCTCCTAGCTAGTAAATCCTAGTTAGAGTATAATAACTAAGAAGAACCTAAACTCTATATATGAATCCCTATTAATACCTAAGTGAATTGAGGCTAAGGTAATATAGAAATAGCTAACTAGGCTATCTAGGAGGAGTTAAGTCGCGCTTAATAGTTACCCTAAAGTATAGTATAGAGTACTAGTGCTAGTAAGAACGCTTATACGGAGTACGTAAGCGCTAATCTACGGATCTAGGTTAAGAGAATCTAGGATAACGATCCAGAGACTTAGAGCTAAAAGATAGCTATTTCGTAAGGGAAATAGCGTATAAAAGAATAGTCTATTAACCTCGATAGCCTATTACGCTACAGAATACGCCTTTATATCCCTATAGGGAGTAACCTAAAATAGAAATTACTATAAATCTATTACGATAATCCCTTAGTAAGACACTTTAGGAAATATAGGATAATAGAGCTCCTATAACGGAAATATTATTAGATAAATATATACTAAGATATTATAGAATATATAAAAACTTACTCTATCTACTAAGGAACTATAGTACCTTAGTATAGGCTATATAGTAACCTCGAATCCCTACTATAACCTTTATAACTATTCGCTAAAATCTCTATAGACTTTATTATAGGTCTACCCTTAGTGATCTATAAGAACGAGCCTTATAATATAATCTTAGTTATTATCTGCCGCTTTACGAAATAGTGCCGATTTATCCCTATTTTAATAGTGATTAACGCTAGTTCCCTTACCGTTATAATATATTATAAGATCGAACTTTAGTTTAGCCTACCAGAAGATATTATATCCGACAGAGGCCCTATCTTTATTAATAAATTCTAGTTAAAACTATATTTTTACTTAAGGATAAAACTCCGATTTTCTATGGCTTTCTACTTATAGATAGATAGCTAAATAGAAAGGATAAATTAAACCCTTAAGCACTACTTATAGTATTTTATAGATACCGAGTAATAAATATAGCCGAATCTGCTATAAATTACAGAGTTTATATATAATAATACTATAAATACTACTATAGGTATCTCGCCCTTCTAAGCCCTTATAGGATATTCCCTAAATTTCTAATTACGCTCCGAGGCTAGAGCACTAAAGGAGGAAGTGCTAGCTATAGTAGATCGAATATAAAAGCTATATAATCTCCGTAAAAAAAATAAAGAAAATATAGCGAAGAGCTACCGAAACTATAGCGAAGCACTATAATAAATACTATACCCTAATTAAATTTAAGCGTAGAGATCTTATAGCCCTTTTAACCCGTAACTTAAAGCTAAAGATACCTATAAGAAAACTCTTACCACACTTTATTAGACTATTCCGCGTACTTATAATAGTCGGAATATAAGTGTATCGTCTAAGCTTACCTAATTAATACTCCTAATTATATAATATCTTCCCTATAACCTTCCTCGAGCCCTAGCACTAACGTAAATTAGACGCGAACCCACTTCTAATATCAGAGCTCGCGGATAATAACGAATAGGAGGTTAAGGAGGTTAAGGATAAGAAAATCTTCCGTAATAAGATACACTTCTTAGTTAAGTGAAAGGGATAGCCCGCAGAATATAATTAGTAATTACTAGAAGTAGATATAAAGAATACCTAAGAAGTAATATAGGACTATAGGAAAAAGAGAAAAGGCAGAAGAGTTTATTAAAATCCTAAAAAAAGATCCCGACCTAAAGTTAGCTACTATAAAAACAGTAAGAATAAAATTAGGTATTTAAGGTTTTATATATAAAACCTCTACGAAGATACACTAATATATTAAGGAAATAAGACTAAAAAGTTAAAGTATAGGAGGAAGATAGGCTATAATATTATTAATAATTACCGTACTATTAGCGTCTTTATCCGTGTACTAAAGGCGAAGCGCGGCCAAAATATTATCGCGGAAGGTTAGCTTCGTAACCCACTAGGAAGCAGATATAATATCTTTAGGGGATAAATAAGGGACTAGCGAAGCCTTCTATAAGAGATAATAAATATTAGATATACTAAGGCTAGGGTTATCGATAGTAATAAGGAGATAACTAGCTAAATATATTTAGTAAATAATAAAGTTAACCTATAGAATTATTAGCGAAACTTATACTAAATAGGCTTCTAACTTATAGGCTTAGTAATATATATAGTGCCTAGGTTATAAATACTAGAGTGATAAGACACTAAGTGTAGAAAGTTAGTAATAAAGGCGCGAATTACCTCCTTAGCATAAATATAAATAGCACTAAATTAGATAGGGTCACTAGCAATAAGCTTACTATCTTTATCCGCCTCCTTAGCAGACTTAGTAATAATAGCCTAAATATCCGTGATATACTTAACTAAATTAACTATATTAATTAAGTTACCCTATATACTAAGGGGAACCTAGATAAGTTAGTAATAAAATATAACTAAATAGAAAAGATAAATAAACCGAAGGGTAAGGACGATTAGCACGGAAATATACCTAATATAAGACAGAACTTAGCGTATCGCGTATATAAATTACTAAAAAGGCGCTCTGCCTATCTTAGTCTCAGAGGGAGCGGCGGGTATAAGGAATATACTAAGTAAGCTCGGGAATCAGAGATATATCCCGTAAAGAGCGATAGCTAAGGGACGAAGGGGCAGATATATTAATTCGCGAGCGAAATAATGATAAAAATAGAGAAAAAAAAGAAATAAAGAGGAAGCTAAATTAGCAATAAGTTATAGCCAAAGAACGAACGAAAAGAAGTCAAAATAATACTAAATATAAGTATTAAGGAGATAAAAGAGAGTTATTAAAGAGGGAAGAGTAAGGGGAGAGAAATAAGAAAATATATAAGTAAAGATATTAATAATATATATAAGTAAATAATAATAATATACTAGAAAACCACCAATATATAACCGGAAAAGACACACGTAAACATATATTACTATTAGCTAAATCAAATACACGACCTCGCGCGATATAATAATATTATTGCCCTATCGCGCCTAGGTCTGCCGCGAAACTGGAGGGAGTCTAATACTATTTATAACTCTCACGTAACACACCTTAAGTATAACGACACCTAGGGCTCATCCCTATTATATAATCCGACCCGGGAGTCACGTGCTATCAGATAATATTATACCAAAGAACGACTAAGAGAAAAAAAAAAATTTTTAATTACCTCCGGGGCCCGTCGTCTCTAGAAGGGGGGGTAGTTATAAAGGAATACTAAGGACTAACGGTGAAGGTTTGCCCCGCAGTGGGATAAGCAAGTCTCGGACCCAATTCGTACTTAAATCGAGAGGGTTTCTAATTAATCTAGACTTAGCAAGAATCAGTCTTGCTTCTATAATACTACACCTAGTCCAGACATCCTTCCTTACCTAACCGACAGGCTTTCTATCCTGAACACATAGATCCTTTACACACCCCGAAAGCTTCCCCGCAGTATCAGGTTATGTATGCCCAAAGGTGGACCATTTTATCCTTGAGGGAAAGTGGTCCGCCTATCCATAAGGGGACCGAGGGTCGAAGTCTGTTCACCGAGGTCCGAAGACCATGGTCGAAGTCCGCAGGCAAGATATGCCCGAAGGCACCTCCGAAGGAACGGACCATTCATGCCTGAAGGCGGACCATTTACCTCTGAAGGAAAATGGTCCCGCCTATCGTTCGGGGGAGGGCCGCGGACCAGAATCAGAAGTGGTCAAAATATCATTTTGATAGAAGAAAAATCTGGTCACGTGATCAATACAATCTGGTCTTATATGTTGAATATAAGGATAGATCTTTCTATGTAGCATTGGTCTATATTCCAATAAATCTTAATAGGCCCTTACTATAATTAAGGCGAGACCGCTGCTCCAAGCCTAGTATTATTAGCGGCAGAGGTATGACTAGAGGGCTTTCTAATAACGTTAGGGGAACTAGGCCTTATCTAATCCGTGTTCTTTACCGTGGATTCTGGCTGCCCTTCACGGAGGGAAACTAGCGATATATCGTGACTAGTGATATTTAGAGCAGAAGTTAGGTGCTCGATATCTGCGTATACTAGTGCTGCTAACTCGTTACCAGAAGCTAGTGGGGGTGAAGATTGTCTATCCCTAAATCGAGGTGAGTCCTTGGGAGGCAGTTACCCTTAGTTAGATAGGCCGAGCTCTTCACTAAGCCGCTTACGCTCTAGTTTCTCTTCTAATAGTTCCTGCTCTTCCTAGGCTCTCCGTAATTAGGCAAGGTATATATCTAACGCTAGCTATCTGGGAGAGCTATCGGAATTTGACGAATTGTCTGCCTCGGACTCTGGCGAGGCAGGCTAAAGTGCATTATTAGCTATCGTCTAATTATCGAGGGCATTTTATTATATAACGATCAAAGGTCCTTCGTCCGGATCTTGCTTAGGCCTATCTGCTTTAAGGGAGATCCTTATATAGTCACTGATAGCATCTGTATCGCTAGGACCAGAAGAGCCGTTAGAATTATATATAGGAGCCATTACCGAGATAATCGGCGCTAGTTCGATATTCGATCCCCTAAGAGAAAGGCTTTTATCACGAGGGCTACTTTAGTCTAATATATCTTTATCCGGGGTTTCTATGCTCGGTAAGTTCCACTTAATAGGTTCTTATTCCCTCTCGCTCGCCTAGCGTGAAGTAAGCCCGTATATCTGAGCTTTACGCCTTCGCCGACGCCTTAGATAACCCTATTTATTCTCGCTCCTCGATAGTTACTAGGGTGCTATGCCTTACGCCTCCCTCGGTTAGGCTCTATCCCCTCGTAACTCCTCTTTTCTTTCTCGAGTTAGCACACTTAAAGAAGCTATAGCTAGGGTCGGCACATAGCTATCAGATAGCTCGTCCTCTTCGATAAATAGCGGCGACTAAGGCAAATCCCCTATAGGTAGGTCTCTATCAGGAGCCAGTTTATTCTGTTTAGGCTTTCCGAAAAATACAAAATAAATATAACGGCGGACGAAGAAGCTAGTGATAGTGTCGGCAACCTTAACGTCCGCGTACAGATAATCTAGGGAGAGCAAGCCGTTATCTTACTTCTAAGTGCGTGTCTGCGGTACCCCAGCACGAACCCGCGGCTTCACAACACTATCCGCGAGAAGATCTGGTGGCCGGTCGGGCTAGTCAGGAATAGCTTATCTAAAATAACCGACGATCTAATTAATCAGGATATCGAAGTGCTCGCGGTTATATCGATACCGATCTAGTTTTCGGGCCTATAACAGAGCCGACCGCGCGATCTAATAATTAGGAGAACTCTTAATTAACCTATCGATTTCCGTGGACTTAAACCTAAGACGGCGAGTAAGTTCAGCTATCTCGTAGATTACTCTCTGATCTGCCTTTACACGAGATAGTTTTGCTAATAGGTCATCCTCCTTCTTTGGGTCCGGGGGTATCAGAGTATAGTGTCGTATAGCATATAGCTATACCTATAAGTAGCCTATCTCGAGGCGCTCTATATCGGTCGCTCGCTAACGCCGAAAAGTAGACTCCGAAGTCTGAATAATACTTTGGCCTATATCTGGATAACTATCTTCAGAATCTGACTATGGAACAAACATCGAACTTATGGTTTCCCAGATCGATATTGACGGGCCGAAAAGTCGCTTAACGCAATAAGCGCAGCTCTCTAGGTATTTAAAATCTTCGAAAAAGGTATATAAATGTTACCGACCAAGACGAAGAAGAATTCGTGTATCATTAACAGAAGCAACTAAACTGGAGAAGAAGAAGAAGAGAGAAAGAGGAAACGAGCATCTACGAAACAAACCCACTTCTATCCCGAATCGGGTTAGACCCACGGCTCCTTCTAGATTATGTTCCCCTTAGGCCTCTCTCAGGCCACATATAAGATATTTATACGTTATATATTCCCCCTATTTAAAGAGGCTCGCCCTAAGGCTCTGGTCTTCTATTATCTGGATAATTATCCATAAAGTAATTATTTAAAGTAGCGTCTAACCACACTAATAACTATATAGGCGGTCTAGGTAGGGCTAGGTAACACTTATAGAAAGCTATTAACTTATCCGGAGCATTTTTAGAATCCCTTATAGGATATTAGTTATTATCCTTAATTCCGATCTACCTAGCCTTATATTAAAGCTTCCGATAGCGTAGTCAGACGTTTACGATTTTATCGACTTCCTATTCTTATTAGTTATTAATTTCTATTAGTAAAGCTAGGTCTGCGATCTAATCTATAAGTAGATCGGAACTCGCCGTATAGCGGAGCTTATCTAGAGAAAAGACTAAGTTAACCTTAATAGAAGATAGTAAGTTAAGCTAATAGCTATAATCTTTCTTTAAGAGAATTTTATAGAGGCCACTAAACTAATTAGAGAGTTTTTTACTTAGCTAATTAAGTTTCTAATTCCTAATAGTAATAAAGATAAGATTATTAATATTAAAATCTACTTCTTAGCGATATTTATTAGCCTAGGCGCGCTAACGCTCCTAGGCTTATTTAATCTTCTTTTAGGTATCTTTTTAGACCTCTTAAAGTCACTAAATATAGTCCTAAGTATCCTATATTAACTAAGGCGACGTAAATAGTTCTACGTATATATCTTAGTTAAAGGATATTTAGGGCTTATATTCTCGCTTAATTAAGAAAGAAGACCTCTTAGTAAAATCTTATTATAGAGCTATAGTAGAGAAATATATTATCGGAAGCTAGTTAGACTAATTATCTTAATATTAATTTACTAATATATAAAGTTACTATATTATATATTAGTTTATAATCTTACTTTAGCTATCTATTTAGAGATAATATATTATTAATAGCTTACGCTTAATTCTTAGGACTTAGTAAATCTCTATTTAGAATTCTAAGATAAATTAGTCTCCCTAATCTAATATAATAAAGTCTAATAGGCTAAAGTATTATATAATATTAGAGATAAATAACTAAGCTATCTCTAAAGCTCTAATTATCTTATAATATAGAAGGGAGACTAGCTACTTACTTAACTAATTAATTATTATAAATATTATATTAAAACCCTATTTATTTTTAGGGAATAATCAGAAATCTATTATAATATATTATTATAGATAGTCTAGCGAGAGAAGAGATTATAATAGACTTAGGGGCTAATCTCTCTATATCTTTATACGCTTATAGACTAAATAGTTATCTATATAATATTTAATATTAGTAAACTATCTAGGCCAAAAATACTATATAATTAAGAGAGCCTTTATCTTATCCTATCTAAGATATATTATTAAGGGCTACTAATAGATCTTATTAAGTAACTAAGCCTATAAGTCCCTATTATTTAGTATTACTAAGCGACCTATATTTAATAATAGCTTATCTTATAGTTTTTAAGGTCTATTTAGATTAATTTTTACTAATTCTTAGTATTTCTTAAGACTCTTATATTATTAGTTTATAAGGGTTACTTAGATAATAATATTAAAGTTATTAGTAGCTATTAAAATATATTTAGAGATACTTATTAGGGTAGGGGTAGGGTTATCGCGATCCTTAAGGTATATATTATACTTAAGATATAACTAAGAGAGAAGAATCTATTCTTATTTATTTCCTAAACTAAGATCTTTTTAGGAGAGAGTATCTATAATAATATTTTATTTCCCTATAAAGTAATAAATTAAGAAATAGAATTAAGATAAGAATTTAGCTTAGCGAGCCTAATATAAATTTAGTTTCTTAGTAGTTATAAAATATTATAAGGCTTAATAATTATAAAAGATACTAAACCGATCCTCTCGCTAAAGGTCTTTAAGCTCCGCCCTTTACTCCTTAAAAGTAAGAATAATTATAAATATTTTATAATTATATATATTATATCGCTACTAAGCTTAATTAAGCTTCTTTAAATAGAAGCTTACTAGGTACTAATATCTATTAAGTTATAATTAGGATATTACTTTACTAATATATTTATTAGATATATTAGTCTTAATCTTAGTTAGAGTAATTAGGTTATAATATATTAGGATTAAGGCTAAAGTAAGCTTCGCCTTAAGTCCTTAGAAGGTACTTTCGTAAGCCTTACTTTATTTAAAGGATATATTATTTTTTATTAAGTAATTTAATAATTTTATACTTAAGCTATAGTTCTTAACGAACCTTTAATAAAAATCGCAGAAGCTAAGGAATAATTATATATCGCGAACTATTATAGGTTATTATTAATCTTAAATAATAATAATTTTAGTAAGATCTATATAGACCCCTTTAGTATTAATAATAAATCTTAGGAAATAGATACTTTACTAATAGAACTTATACTTACTTAGGCTCGCTTATAGGCTAGCCTTATAGAGTTATTATAGGACCTTCTTTATATACTAAATATATTTCTTAATTATCTTACTATAAATTAGGATATTATTAATAAATATAATAGCGATATTATTTAAATAATCGCTTAATATCTTATTAATAAATCTCTAAAATATAATAAGCCTATTTCTAATATTAAAGGGTATTATCTTATACTTAAAGGATCTATAGCGTATTTAAAAGGTAATAAGATCCTCTAAGTTAGGATATATTTAGATTTAATAAAACCCTTAATAAATATTAAGTCTTATAAGTATCTTAGCCTTCCTAAGCTATTAAAGAATCTTATTAATAAGTAATAAAGGGTAATAATCTTTCTTTATAAATATATTAAGCTTCTAATAATCTATATAGAGCTATAGACTATTATTAACTTTCTTAACTATTAGGATAGAAGATATATAGAGGGCCTTACTAAGTATAATAAAGCCTTAGGTAAGATTCTAAGTAATATAGGCTTTTATCGCCTAGAGTTCTTTCTTAGACTATTTATAAAGAGGGTAATATTTAGATATTATTCCCTTATTAAGAAAAATCTAATAATTAGTTATATCTTAGTATAGCGATAAGGTATTTAAATCCTATTTTAAGAAAATATTAGTATACTTATAGTACTTCTCTAAGATTATACTCTATATCTCTTAGTCTTTAGCCTATTATTAAGTATTTTACTTCTTTTCTAAGATATAATTAATCTTATAAAGAGAAGTAAAAAAGATCTTATTATCTTTTTTCCTAATATATTAATAAAACTTAGTATCTTTAATAAATATAATTATATCTAAGAGACTAATATAATATTCTTAAGATTTTTATAGTTATTATAAAGGCTCTAGGTTATAGACTTAGTTACCCCTAAATAAAAGAAGCTTTTTAGCTATTTATAGTTAGGGGAAGTTATAAAATAACCTATTTTATTAGTTAGTATTCTCTTAATATTAAGAATTTAACTTTAGTCTTTTTAAAATAGCCTAAAAGAGAATAATAAATATCTTTATAGTTATATTATTCTTAAGACTAAGCTTCTTAGGCTAAATAAGTTATTCTTTTTAATAATCTAAGAGAATACTAAACTCCTTAAATTATATTCGCCTAAGAATTAGATTATGTTGGGATATAAGGGGAAAGCTACCACGAAGCAGATCGTGGCCCCTTAAGTCCGTGGGATCAACCTTAGTCCGGCTGGGTCAGTCAGTGCCAGACAAAGGTGGAAGGTCAAAGGTCGTAGGATAGACTATAAGCAGATATAGCCTAAACGAAGGCAGAACCACAGTCCTGAGGATCAAAGGAAGAAGGATAGAAGAAGGTAGAGATGACTTTTGAAAGTGGACAATGACTTAAGGAAAGTAGAACTGACTTCAGGAAAGTAGAACTGACTTGATTCTATCTGCTAGACAAGAAGGACGTATTTATAGGCTAGGATAGCCTAGAAATGACGTCTAGAATAACATACAAATGACGTACAAACACTAGGCAGCAACATAATGAAGGTGGCAAAGAAGGGAACCGAAGAGAAGCGAAAAGAATGATGTCAAGGATCGACGGTCTAAGCCACCCCGAAAGCACCCCCGCAGGATCAGGCTATGCATGCCTAAAGGTGGACCATTTTACCCCTAAGGGAAAGTGGTCCGCCTATCCTTAAGGGGACCGAGGGTCGAAGTCTGTTCACCGGGGTCCGAAGACCATGGTCGAAGTCCGCGGGCAAGGCATGCCCGAAAGCACCCCCGAAGGAACGGACCATTCATGCCTGAAGGCGGACCATTTACCCCTAAAGGAATATGGTCCCGCCTATCGTTCGGGGGAGGGCCGCGGACCAGAATCAGAAGTGGTCAACACATCATTTTGATAGAAGAAAAATCTGGTCACGTGATCAATGCAATCTGGTCTTATCTGTTGAATATAAGGATAGATCTTTCTATGTAGCATTGGTCTATATTCCAATAGATTATATTATCTAAGATTAATAATTAATATAGGTAAGTAAAGAAGTCTTTAGCTATTAAAAATTAAGATTAATTTAAAGATATAAATAATTAATTTTTTTAGATATTTATTATAGCCCTTAATTAGGATTAAATAAGATAAAAATAAAGTATATAGGCTAAATATCTTCGCGGCCTATATCGCGAGAGATAAATTAATATAGATATAATTACTTACTCTAATATTATTAAGTACTAAAATTAAAAAAGAATATTTATTATAGGCTATTTAAGTAATAAAACTAAGACTTTTATATAATCTAAATAATTTAGTTAAATCTAAAGAATAAAATAATAATTTCTTATTACTTAGAAAGAAAACTTCTTCTAAGTTTAAACTTTTCCTAACTAATTATCCTAAGAGGGGTTAAGCAGTTATTTAAGTACTTAAAGTTTAATAATAGCGATTATAGAGATAGTATTCTTCTTTAGGTACTTATAAATTATATACCCTTACTTACGATAATTAAAGTAGCGACCTTCCTTTATTAAAGTATTATATCTATTAACCGATAGTAGCTTATATAAAGCGGCGCCTATACTCTTATATTTTATAAATAATAATTATAAGATATAGGAATAAGTTATATTAGCTAAGGCTCCTATAGTAGCTTTAGAGAGAGTAGTTAGTTTATAGGACTTCTTAGCCTTAAATTAAAGGGTAATATTATAAGCTACGCTTTAGTAGGTATAGATAAACTTATTAAAATTAACGGAAGTCTTATCTATAAGTAATATTATTTAGGTCTATAGTAAGTTCGGTAGCTTATTATAAAGGTCTCGCTTCTAGCGATCCTTTAGTTAGTTTACTTCTTTAGCGAGATAAATAAATTCGGTAAAAAAATTATAGAAGTTATCCTTTAGCTTTATTATTAGACGCTAATATTCCTAATAAGCCTTAGTAATATAGTTTAGGTTCTAGAAGATACCCTTTAGGTACTCTATAATATTTAGGGCGTCCTAATAAGGGTTTAAGGTATCTTCTTTTAGATAAAAATAAATATAAAGGAGTGCCTTCCCTTCGTAATAGCTTATAATATAGATTATATAATATTTAGTAGTAAGATAATAATTAGCGTTCGTTTCATACTCGTTATGATAGCTCACCGCATCTGTCTGAACAGGGCCTTCCATTTCGTGTGTTATAGGGACTCCACGCAGGAAGACAAATGAACGGACCAGAGCCATCTTTTAACGTTCGAGGACTTTCCCCCGACGTGCGGAGAAGCTCACAGCTGTTATCTTAGGTCGTCAAAGCACCAGTGCGGGGAGCGTTATAGAGGACGATGGCTTCAGAGCCAATAACATGGCTTAAAACAGGCCGGCTTGGCATTCAGCAATTGGGTATCACACGCTTTCCTCCTCAAATGTGGCTAAACACTACTCTCAGTTCGCTTATCTCGTCCGAAAATCGGTGCTCGTTATGGAGACTGACAATAATCTTGTGATAATTTCCGCCTTCATCGTCAACACTGGTGGACTTTAGTCCGCTAGGCTTAATGCTTGCCTCTCAATCATGAGCACCAGGACTCGCCTAGGAAAAAGCTATCGACAAAGATTTTGTTTTCTTTATCAATTCAATAACCTAGTCGGAAATTATGAAGGCGTTATCTTGCATCGTATAGTTGGTGTGGAAATAAAAAACGCCTCTGCTTTTCACTCGTTGCCATTGCCTTGACCACATCTTCTGGCGTTCTTCATGTCCAATCTGTTGTCATGCGGATTCGTCAGTCCTTTGATAGAGGATGTTATCTTCTTCAGTCGAATCTCAAGAATTCCTGCCTCTGTTCCTCCGAGCTCTCGAACGTAGCAACCCCGATCATCATCATAACACTCAGCGAGGCAAATCAACATGTTCTAATAGATTCCGTAGCAAAAACAACGTCTTCTATATTTTGAAGCGGAGACCGCAGTCCAATAACAGAGAGTGACAGTCAACGGATACGTAGAAATGAGAGCCTAATCAATTATATTCACCTGCCCAGCCAAATTTTGTCGCTGCATAACGTCTGATTAAGAATTCATCAATTGCTACTTTTAGATCAATAAGAAAATCGACACTGATGCTAGAAATGGGTATTCGAAAATGGCAGGTAAACCGTCAGCTGCGACCTGGATGTAAATTGCGACAGGTTGACGATTGGTGATGCCTTAGATACACCAATGAAGGCCGCCTCTGCATATAACCTGGGCATTTGGTTTACTAATTCAACATATATGTGCTGAAGTTCGCCTTCCCATTTTGATCATAGATATTGAACGCTTGAAAGTCAAGGCCAATTGTTCCATGGAAGATGTTGAGGAGAATCTATTCAAAGGTCCCGTTGGCACTTGGCTTGGAATAGGCCCCTTGTTTCCGTAGACGTCAACGCATAGTCTGTGGGGACTGTCAGGTCCCCGCGGCCACAGACTTCACGGGACTACCAACAAACGCTCGCGTTCTCCTCGCTACTCAACTTTACCAATCCCCAATTGAAAATAATGGAGAGAATCGATATTCATGCCCATTGCGTTCCGCCCACTTATCGGGAGTATTGTCTCAAGAATGACTTTGCGGGAAGGGGCCACCCTGACGGGATGGGATGCCCGCCATTCCTTTTGGTACTGAAAGATCCAAATTGAAAGCTAGATACTGATTTTAACTCTTAGGAATGGGACGCCAAGTCTTATATCCAGCTGCTGAAGGAACTGAACATTACAAAGTCCGTCCTTAGCATGTCCTCGCCGGGTACACACTTGACCCCTGGCAATGACGAGGAAGCGCGGTCGCTCACCCGCAGTATGAATGAAGACATGGCAAAGATCTGCGCTGAGAACAAGGACCAGTTCTTGTTCTTCGCATCACTCCCACTCCCAGATGTGAAAGGATCTCTCACCGAGATCAACTACGCACTTGACCACCTGGGCGCAGTAGGGTTCCAGATCCTGACCAACTCTCATGGAATTTACCCAGGAGATCCGCAATTTAGTCGAGTCTTTGATAAGCTCAGTGAGCGCAAAACAATCGTCTTTCTGCACCCAACCACCTGTCATACTCGGAATCCCCAGACTGGCTCCGTGGAGAAGGTGGCACCTCTGAGCGAGGTTCCTAGTCCAATCATGGAATTCATGTTTGACACCACCCGATCGCTGGCAGGTCTCTTCACATCTGGAACAGTGACAAGATGCTCTGGAATCACATTTCTGGTCTGTCACTGCGGTGCGACGTTCCCACCAATCATGCAGCGAATTGCGGAATTTTCCACCTTCATGGCTAAAGGTGGCGACGCAGTCTCCGGCAATGATATCAAAGAGCTGCTGAATACCCGCTTTTATATCGATCTGGCGGGTCTTCCTTTCCCTGATCAGATTCATGGGCTTTTGAGACTTGTTGATTCGTCTAGACTGCTGTATGGAAGTGACTATCCATATACCCCAGCAAAACTGGTAACATCTCTAGCTGAGAGGGTGGATGGTGGAATGGAAAGTCTCTTTGGGACTGAAACCACCAAACGGGTTCCTACTTGATAATGCGGAGAGAATGCTCTCTAACGCACAGTCATAATACTAGACACTTGACCTATCTGATTACTATTTCGACAGTTCCCCGCGCTCTGTTCGTAAGATTAATAGACCCCACAAACTCGCCATTTCAGCGTGAATACTCGGAGGCGGGAACTTCTCCGCGTGATCTGCATGACTGAATGCGGGGGAACAAGTCCTTAGGTCCTGAGGTAATTTTTAAAGGAATGGCCGTTGTATCATAATCTGGCTTGTAACCCATATTCCTACCATCTCTGGCTGAGTCATCATGGGTCTCTTATTAACATTGCAAGGCCAACAGAACGACTGGTTCTCGATCTAAGTCTTTATTGTTGCCTTCCTGATTGGCATTTTATTCATCGCAACCGCCCGTGAGAGATCTGGCCGCCCATCAAGCTCTCAGACGTCCGGTTGCTCAGAGATTCTCTATGTCTTCGATAAAATGCCTCGAGCCATTCGCAGATGAGTGTAGTAAGGTCTTCATTGACGCCATGAAAGACATGGCAGGCCAGATTATCGATCTTGGAGCCTGGCTTCAGTGGTATGCTTTTGATGTAATTGGGGCAATTACATTCCAGCGCCGATTCGGGTTCATGGAGAAGCGAGAGGATGTGATCGGTATGATCGCCGGTCTTGAGGCTGGATTGCGTTACGCAGGTGTTGTCAGCCAGATCCCGAGGCTTCATCACTGGTTTTTAGGTAATATATGGGTTGCCAAATTTATGGCAGCGCAACCTTTCGTGAAAATGCCGGATCCGCTAAGAACGATGGTTCGGGTAAGTATCGTTCTAAACTGGAGAGGATTGCAAGTCCACCACCTGACGTAGAAAAGTTCACTCAAGAATGCATTGATAATTACGATCGCGGGACGCCAGGGAAACATGGAGATCGGCCTGACTTTCTGGCTTGGCTTCGAAGTGAAGAAGCTAAGGGCAGGCCCATGTCTAATCGCGATATGATGAACCACCACAGCAATAATCTGTAAGATCGGAAACAGCATCTCTTGGTTCGAATGAGCGACTCACGTCTCTCGACCGGAACTAGCCTCGCAGGAAGTGACACAACTGCAATTTCCCTTCGTGCAATGATTTATTACCTCGTCCAAAATTATCACGTTTACATGACCCTTCAGAAAGAGATTGATGATGCAAATCGAGCTGACCAGCTGTCGGACTATGCCACCTACGCGGAGTGCCTTGAGCTCCCTTGCCTGTAAGAGACAGAGACATCAGATATAACCTTGCCATATTTAGATATTGACATGTCGTGGACAAGCAGTCATGAAAGAAGCCAGGCGATGCCACCCCGGTGTGTCCTTCGCACTGGAACGAGTTGTCCCAGCAGGGGAATTGTTCTCTGTGGGGTCCCCCTCTCTGCAGGGACTATCGTGGGAATGAATCCAGCGGTGGTGCACCACGACAAGACAATCTACGGTGATGATGCGAGGCATTCCGGCCCGAGCGGTGGATCAAGTCAGGTCAAGAGCAGATCAAGCTCATGGACCGCCATTGGATGACTGTAAGTCCACTGGAATGTCATTGTCATGCATGTTCGCATTGACGAGAGAATCGGAAGTTTGGCAATGGCTCCCGGACTTGCATCGGTAAAAACATTTCAATTATGGAAATGGGCACGTTGCTTCCTCAGTTGAGGCGGCATTTTGAGATCGAGTGGGCGTCAGATGAGCCTGAGTGGCGTGTTGAGACATTTTGGTTTGCCAAGCAGCACGGTTTAGCGGGTGGGCTCAAATCGCGTCGCTAAGTTACGGGATTTGTCTTGCGATCTTGAGATGCCAAGACGCCTACTTGTATGAGAATAGATAATAGGAAGTTGTAATGCCTGCCCTGCATGAGTTAGTGTAGCTTATTGCAAGATGTTTTGTCACGGTACACCTCGGATCGGGAGACCCACATCAACACGCGACGCAACATCTCGTATCTACAAGGCAACTGTATTGTTACTTGAGCCCAGAGATTGTACCCCGATGTCCTTCTCAGTCCCGATTGGAAGTCCACGGACAGTGCATCCTCGAGTGGAGTCTGAGGACTGGGCAGAAGCTTGAAAAAGGTCAAGCTTCTTCTGACCCCGGCGGAGCTCCGCGATTGGGCCTAAGCGAGGCCGATCGTCATCTCCGGCTCAATTCCGACATTGACTGAAGATGGAAGTTCATGAGGTGGCGATGGAAGTGTTGCTACGGAGTGGTGTAGGGGCAGGCCTTGCATTCTTCCCTGGATTGACACCTTGAGGCATCAATTTCCGTCATCAACATCCCGATGTGCATCCAGGCACGGATCAAGGCAGCGCTCCCAAGAGGCTGTTCCCCCGCCGATAACAGCTCACAGACCAATAATGTAACCCCAAGTCATTGGATCTCCTTAAATGCCGTGCTCCGTGCACTGGGCAAGGTTGGGAATAGCGCGAAGAGAGTCTGGGTGGGGTTTGCATGATTAGGCATTATTGTCGCTATTGACGGGCCCCTGGTGCCATGCGCAATTGCATGGCAACGAGGATAAATAGCACCGCCGATCCCTCCCACTTTGCAACTTGCAGCTCTTCGAGAAGTTCAAGTCAAGATGCACACGTCCGTCTACACTGGGTTGCTCTGCACCCTCGCCGCCCCTGCGCTGGGTGTTGTGCTGGAGAGTCTGGCTGGAGGTGCTCCTAGCACTTGGTCGCTGGTTGATAAGCCCTCGGCGGACTCGACCATGTCCCTGTCCATTGCTTTGACCCGCCAAAATCTGGATCAGCTGGAGAGCAAAGTGACCAAGCTTGCGACCCCCGGTCAGGCCGAGTATGGGCAGTGGCTCGACAAGACTGACATTGAGACACAATTCCCCGTTTTTGACGACACTGCTGTCGTCAACTGGTTGAAGAGTGCCGGTATCTCCAGTATCTCTCGTGATGGGGCCACTCTGAGCTTCTCCGGCAGCGTGGAGACCGTCGAGAAACTGCTTGACACTGATTTTGCCTACTACAAGAATGGTGATACCACGAAGCTGCGGACCACCCAGTACTCCATTCCGGACGATCTGACCGATTACATCGATGTGATCTCGCCCACTGTCTATTTTGGCGGCCTTCGCAAGTTTGCACCCATGCCTTCGTTGGCTAAGAAGCAGGTCCGCCGTGATTCTAAAATCTCGGCCTCGTGCAACGACTACATTACTCCTTCCTGCCTCAAGGAAATGTACAACGTTGGTGACTACACCCCCAAGCCCTCTGCTGGCAGCCGTATCGGCTTTGGAAGTTTTCTGAACCAGTCTGCTTCGGAATCGGATCTGGCGGAATATGAAACGCTTTTCAACATTCCCCAGCAGAGCTTCTCTGTGGAGCTGATCAATGGTGGTGTCAACGACCAGTCAGCTCCTGTGGCTGATATTGGCGAGGCAAACTTGGATGTGCAGCTGATTGTTGCTGTTTCTCACCCCCTGCCTGTCCATGAGTTCATCACTGGAGGTGTTGCGTATGTGCTCCATTGTCTTTTTCCTATGCCTGCCAATTAACAACTTCTAGTCCCTTCATCCCCAATGCTGATGAGCCCACTATTGCCAATGACGAGAATGAGCCCTACTCTGTCTACTATGAGTATCTGCTCTCCAAGACCAACGCCGAGCTCCCTCAGGTTATCTCCAACTCTTATGGCGATGACGAGCAAGTAAGCTTTCCTGAACCTCAGCTTTGTTTTTTTTCACTTTCTTGGTTATGGCTCACCATATACTAGACCGTTCCTGAGAAGTATGCCAAGCTCGTCTGTAACCTGATCGGCCTGAACACTATCCGCGGACTGACTATCCTCCACTCCTCCGGCGATGAAGGTAAGATCTCAATCCTCGTCACCCTCAATTGACTCATCTAATGTAAAACAGGCGTTGGCTCGGCTTGCCAGGCCAGCGATGGCGTGACTCCCCAGTTCAACCCTATTTTCCCTGCCACCTGCCCCTACGTTACTGCCGTGGGAGGAACCTCCGCGGTGAGCCCCGAGGTCGCCTGGAATGCTTCATCCGGTGGTTTCTCCTACTACTGGCCTCGTCCCTTGTACCAGGAGTCCGCCGTCCAGAAGTACCTGACCCACGTCAGCGCCGAGACCAAGGAGTACTACGGCAAGTATACCGACTTCGAGGGCCGTGGATTCCCCGATGTCTCCGCCCACAGTTTGTACCCTTAGTACGTATGCCCATATTTAAAACGCTGAAGATTTTCAATCTGACGATCTGCAGTTATGAGGTTATCTATGCTGGCCAGAAGTCCGGTTCCGGTGGTACCTCCGCCGCCGCACCTACCTTCGCTGGTATTATCGGTCTCCTTAACGATGCTCGTCTGCGCGCCGGCAAGCCCACTCTGGGCTTCTTGAATCCCTTCTTGTACTCAGAGGGATACAAGGCCTTGAACGATATCACCGAGGGTAGCTCCTACGGCTGCGGTGGTATTGATCCCCAAAGCGATGAGGAGGTTCCCGGCGCTTTGATTATCCCCGGAGCCCACTGGAATGCTACGAAGGGTTGGGATCCTGTTACTGGCCTTGGTACTCCTGACTTCCAGAAGTTGAAGAAGTTGGTTCTGTCTCTCTAGTTTTATTTGGGATAGACACGAGTCCACCCCCTTGGAGATTCCCCATGCCATTCATGAGATCGGATGTACAAAAATACGACATATACCTAACTGTATTTAAACTCATTCCGAAAATTAAACTCTTTCCATTGATCTCCGTGACAGTCTTTTTCGCCTTTGCGCGAAGGCGATGATTCGGGGGCTCGTCGGGTGGCCGAAGCACCCCGTCAAAGCTCATTGAGTGGTGAGATGGATGCTATTTGCATGGGTCTGAGCGGTCTTGAGAGTCCCCTCGCTGATGCTACCATATAGACTGTTTCCTCTACTGTAGACTCGTTTATGCACGGAATTTCAAACATCTCCGCCACGGAATCTTCTCTACTGCTTTAAAATAACAACCAAGGTACAACGTAGGGTGATCGGAGCCGACGGAAGACTCCCCGTCATTGTCACGTGCTGTGGGGCATTTACGTGACAGGAAACTTGTTTTGCGGCCGGGGCATTGTTTTACCACACCTTCATATCTGATGGAGAGAGAGAGTGCTAATCCCTTCGACAATGACCGCCAGTCATGGGCACCGGGTCCCCTTTTTCCCCAAGGCAGATGCGGCGGTTTTGACATCCAAACGTGCGTCGCCGCTGACTCGTCCGAAGAGCGTGGGGCCTGTCCTCGATCCCGATAATATCGATCAGCCGATCGGGCGGTGGCCCTCGAATACCGAGACAGCCTTCTATCCAAAGACAGAGCCTTATGCGGCAGCGGCTATCCCTGACAAGCCGATTACTTCTCCTACAAAGTATCTGCGGGCTTTCCTGGCCGAGAATGAGAGACTGAGATTGTCGATGCTTTGGTACTATACCCGCGATATATCGAAAGAAGAGGAATTCCTCTCTGGCCTCCAGGAGAAAGCTTATCTTGCCCAAGAGTCCACCGGCTGGGAATTTGCCGTCATTGGCATTCTCGACGTAAATGTGTATATTCGATTAGCCACAGTAGGGCTGGAGCTGGGCATCTTGCCGCGTGGTGAAACTATTTGCGCGCACACGGTGACTCAACCACCTGGTGTATGTTGCGGTCCTCCACTCTCACCACTTCCACTAACTGATGATTCCACAGAGTGTCTTTCTATTACCAAATCTTATGGAAGACTGGAGGTTTCAAAAATCACCATACCTTGAACGTGGCGGGCTTCGAGCATACGCCGGCGCACCACTTCGCTTGCAAAATGAATTTGGAGAGTGTGTCGGTCTTGGATCATTATGCGTTGCCTCAAGTACAAGTGAAGAGCCTTTGACCAAAGAACAACAACAGGCGCTGGTTCGCCTGGCCGATTGGGTCGTCTCTGATCTCGTCCAATGCGCCAGAGCGAGACGCCAGCGAGAACGCCGCCAAATGTCTGAGCTCATTTCCATGGCCCAAAAGGAAACAGAGGATGTAGTCTCCGAAGAGCCTGTTCTGAGAATACTGAAAAACACATTTCCCGACGCGAATGTCAGCATTCAATCAGCCAAGGCAACCCACCTTGAGGTTGAAGGACGAGAGCCGGTACCAATTTCTGACTTTGAAGCTGATCTTTGGGAAGACATTGACTATCTCAACGACTTCATTAGAGAATTAAACCATCTGGAGCTTCCTTCCAGTAGGACAGTGCGCATCATTACCGCCCCATGCGAAAGTGCTTTGGGACCATCATTACTCGTGGTGGAAGCGAAAGACTTCCATCACGTGTTTGACGATGTAGATTCCTGGTTTGTGCAGACTTGCGCTGGCATGTTTTCTCAGTTATGGCGCAAGCGTCTTTTGATAGAAGCCATGAAAGCAAAGGAAAAGTTTCTCCGGGGATTCTCTCACCAACTTCGCACTCCCATTCATGGTATTCTTGGCTCCGTGGAACTCCTCGCGGAGGAATTACAGTCGCGGAACTTGGGCGAATTCGTCCTACCGATGGTGAAGGGAAATTCGATGGACTCGCGCCAACCCTCCATGTACCTCAACCTGATCAAGATGGCGGGTCGAGATCTTACTGCCATCGTCAACAACATGATCACTCTGAACAGATGGTCCGATATCGCAGTTCAAGATCGTCAACTAGCTATGCATACCTTTGAAGAGCTTGAGACAGAGATAGGAAATGAGATTCTCAAATTGATGTCGGGAGACGCACGCTACAAGACATCTATTTTCTTCACTCGTGACTTTCCGCCTGGTTGTGAGAGCTTCCAGACCGATCTTAATGTGCTCCGAGACACTCTGCTTCCACTAATCATCAACGCGATTCAACATACGCCGCTAGGCACTGTTTCAATCACTGCGGCGATTAATCTAGATCGCAAACAACTTACTTTCGATATTAAAGATACCGGCATTGGTATCCACCCCGATCATCAAGCCCGCATTTTTGAACCCTACGAAAAGATTGATGTGCACTCGACGGGGGCCGGCTTGGGCCTCACACTCGCATCTAAATTTGCGACCTTACTTCACGGTTCCGTCGACCTAATCTCATCAGATATCGACCGCGGTTCCCACTTCAGAGCCGTTTTCCGAAAAGTCGAATGTATTTGCTTAACCCAACCCTCACAGTCATTGGCGTCAAGTTTGAATGACTTACCTTCACAATTCTTTATCCTGGCAACTGGCTCTGAGAACAAATCATTATGTGACCACTTTTCCACCTTTCTCTGTCGCAATGGCTTTACTGCCTCGAATGACCTTGCAAACTCCTTTATCGTTCTTGATATGGTGCCCGACATCGAACAACATCGCACACACCTATCTCAGATCCTAACGGAGCAAGTCGCTATCTGTCTTGTCCCGGCTTCAGACACAGAAACTGCTCTCGAAAACACGAGAAACAATGCTATTTACACCAGCGGCCCGTTCACGACCACTCACATGAGATCCTTACTTGAAAGAGCACAGACCAAGCTCATAGAGATCAAAGCCTCCAGGCTACCCCCACAACAATCAGATACCCACTCAGTCACGCTCACGCGTATGACTGAAGCACCAAATCCAGACGAAACTTCCTCGTCTCACTCACTTACCTCTCAATCAGACACAGCGGCTTCTGTCAAAAGCGCAAGAACAAACCCCATCATGCCCATCCTCACACCATCTTCAAACCCCACAGTTCTAATCGTCGACGACAACGCCGTCAACCTGCGCATCGTGGAAATGTACTGTCGCAAACGTGGCCTGCAATCCTACTCCGCATCAGACGGCCTACAAGCCGTCAAGATCTTCTCTCACCAACAAGCATTAGCCGCCTCCGGGGCCGGCACCGCAATCGAGCTTGTCTTCATGGATTTGCAAATGCCAGTCTGCGATGGTATAGAAGCCATGCAACAGATTCGGTCCCTGGAGAAACATAATCAATGGGGCACCACTTTGATATTCGTCATGACTGGGCAGGATAGTCCGTCGGATAGAATCGCTGCAAATGGTGCTGGGGCTGACGAGTTCTTTGTCAAGCCTGTTGTTATTAAACAATTAGATCGCGTTATCAAGCGGTATTTTCCTGCCTTTGAGCCGAGCTAGATCTCGTCGGGTATGTATTATTTGATGAGATGATTTGTGATGATGAATGTTGTTATGTCAAGTTTGGTGTTGTAGGAAGAAGTCAGTGTTGGATTGCAGTGTAACAGTTGGAGAAGCAGTCGGCTCTGTACATAGACGAATGGAGAATCTGTATATGGTATTCTACATTGCTTTAGGAGTCCGAGGCTTTGGATCACAGAACACTCAATGCAAGATCTGAGTGAAGTGAATTTTGAGATGAATCGTCTACGAAGGAAACTAAAAAACAGGAACAAGAGAAATTCAAATCTTTGATTCTGGTTCTTGGATTACATTTACGATCTTTCATGGACTCGAGAGCAAAAATCATGTTCATTTGTTTGTATAAAGAAGCTAGCTATTCACAGTGCACAAGAAATCCATTTCTGAGTCCGATGCATTTTCCTTGTCACCTTGGGTACCTGTCTATCGTAGATTACTTGAGAAATCCCGGAGAGCCAATTTGGGCCTTGTGTGCACTAATAAAAGCACCAGCCATACCTAGCCCAGGCAGAGTATTGTTTAGCCAGTTCTCAGCCTTGTCATGAACAAGCTCCCATACGCTTCTTGAGTCAGCATGCTTGTTTTCCAGGAATCCCATTACCATAAGAGTAGCGAGAGCATTGGTGAGATCGGTGGTGGCATGATCTCTCTGAATGAGGCCGAGAAACTTGTTGTACACGATGTTCAGGTCGCAGCCTAGAAGGGTACAGAGTTCCTGGTTGAGCTCCCAATTACCTTGGAAGGTTTGCAAGTCAATCATAGAGGAGACTTGGGATTGGTTAGTGCCAATATCTGCATTATTCGGCTGAATAGCGCCGAATAGGCCACTCGGAGACTGTGCGGGAGACGGAGCTGGTCTGTTGAAAGGACTATGTGGGGTTGAGCTACCTGAGAAAGGTGCAGGGGCACTTTCGCTGAAACGAGTAGCTGCTAGAGCGAAATCGGCTGATAACCCTCCGCCAGAATCAATGGCTGTTGAAAGGGCACTGAAGCCCATAGGTTCCCGAGGCTTACTTGAAACAGCAGCACAAGCGTTTGAGGGATATAAGTGAGGTGCTTGACCAAACAGGCTACCTGAAGATCGTGGCGGGGGTGGCCTACTGGCAGACGGCAGGGGAATTGGCCTCCGCTGTGCTCCACCAAAAAGGCCTCCCGATTGTGCCGCGGAAGCTGCACTGCCAAAAGCAGGTGCAAAGCCTGTTTGCAATGAGGCGCACCCAAATTGAGGTTGACTTCCCGTCGTATTTACGGTCGTGTTCTGCGGCACGATACGTCTAGCCATCATCGGCGCCTGTGGTCTAGACTGCAGAGCAACACTACTACCTCCGGAGAACGAGCCGAACGGTCGATGACGATGGCGCTCGTACGCACCCCGGTGAATAGTTTCGGCTTCGAACTCCTTTGGCTGCTTCTTGTCATCATTCTCAGAGGTATGACTATCTTCCAAAGCCACGAAGGAACAGTGTTTGCCCGTGACCTGGTATTTGACTCCCAGGGCTTGGCATTCGCGAATGGCGAGTCGTTCTTGTGTATCAGAGTGAAGTTGCGTGAAGGGATTTCCCTTTGAGTCCTTCGAATCCTTCAGCCAGCCGTGTAGTTCCTCGAGTTCGATGACTGCTTTGCGAGATGCAAGTTGGTGAATGGTCTCGCCCTTACCGAAGTCACTGATGGGGATGCGTAGCTGTAGTGGGCCCTGTTTGGAGGTGGCGCTGAAGGTGAGCGATTGGGGAACAGAATCGACAGACTGAGGGTCCAGGAGTAAGTAGACTGTGCTCCGGATGAAAGGGTAAAGAGGTGGGATCTTGTATGGAGCCTGAAGAACCTTAGGCGGTGCCAGCTTGGGAAGAGCAATGTCAGCTGGGGTCCGGGTAGCTCCAAGCTCGGCGTCAGATTCCTTGTAATTGCCATCAAATAGAGAGATTGGTGTCGCGGGGGCTTGTGCTTTAGGGTGTTCATCCTCAATCTCGGTCTCCGAGTCCTGCATGGGGTGATCGATGTTCTCCACAACCTCGAAATCGTCACCAACCACGGTATCATACTCCACATGAAGCTTATAGTCGTAGATGTGAGGCGTGAGAGCTCCCTTCAGCATTCTAACCAACTTTCGATCAAGTTCTTCGCCCTTCAGGACTGATTGCGAGAATCCGTTGCCAGATCTAGCAACCCCTTCAATGAGGGAGTGGGAGGCTGCATCCCCAAGACCGAGGGAAAAGAAGCGCGTAGAGTTGTCGGCGGCGGTGTTACGCACAAATTTGAAGAGGGATTGCTGATCTATGATCTGCCCATCAGTGAGTAGGAGAACTTCCAGATCTTTGTCCTTGACACGATTTTCCACGACAGCCCGCACGGCCGGCTCCATCACTGTACCATTCATGTTAGCGCTCACACTGGCGACATAGAGTAGAGCCTCTTGCAAGCTCGAGTTGTCATAGATTTTACTGTTTGGCCACAGGAAGGAATGGTACGTTCCAAATGAGCAAATGTTAAAGCAGATCCCAAGCGGCAGGGACTTCAACAAAATCTTCAGAGCGGACTGAAGGGTGCTGATTTTGTCGTGCATGCTGCCACTTCGGTCAATCAAGAAGACGACTTCTGGCTGGGCAGGGGGCAGGTTGAACTTTGGTACAATGGTAGCCATCAACGCACGCTGTCCTGGGAGAGTTGGATGAGTCTCCAGCACTGCACGAGGATTATTGAGTCCATCGGCTTTGACAACCAGAACAAAGTCGCGCTCTAGCAAAGGCTTGTTGTCCTGTTCGAGTTGAAGAGTGGCAGATGCACGAGATGGCTCAAACGAAGAGCTATCTTTGGGCGTAGAAGATATCCGACCGAAGAACGTTCTGATCGAGTGACTTGAAGACTGCAATTCCCGGATGATAGAATTTTTTTCCATTTGTACATCGACCGTGATGGAAATTCCTTGAAGCTGGGCCGGAGACCTACCAGTGAAGAGCCAAGAAAAGTCTTGTTCAGAGGCAATCAGACCATCGGAGTAACGAGGTGCGATAGAGTTGGGCAGTGTGTAGCGAACTCCATCGGTCTGAGCGTCCTGCTTGAGCTCGCCAATGAAGGTTATATCCACAGTGACTATCTCCTTGGCATGCACATTACCGATCCGAATGCTAAAGACATCGTTTTCCTGAACCATGTGCTCCATGATCGCTGCTGACTGCTTATTTTCCAGTGCATGGTCGTAATCAGCGTTGGCCTGCTCCTTCGACTTCACTTTGCTGTGGAGGAGTCGGTCGCCGACTCGACACTGGAAACCCACAACACTCACGCCATCATAGAGAGGAAATCTGTAGGAGACCTCCCGAAGGTCTTGATCTGTGTTATTCGTAAATGTCTGGGTGAGAATCGTTCGTGCAGCAGAGGATAAGATCGTCGCATGGGCTTTCAGGGCAACTTGAGGCAGATACTGCCATGTGTGATTCACAAAATAACAGCAACCACAGAGTGCCGACATGGTCGCTGATGAGAATGAATCTTATGGAAACAAGAGAGGATGATTGACAAAAGAAGAGACACACAGAGAGAGAGAGAGAGAGAGAGAGCGTAATAATTTTATAGAGGTTTTTGCTAGGCAGCACAGCCGACACGGAGGAATCCGCTCCGTCAGACGAGCTAGCTTATTAATGACTCTGCTGCCTGGGGCTTACCTCAATGGACGAGAGACAAGACCATTTCCTCTCATACGCTATCACGCAGCGTTACTGTTGACGAGATTCGGAGCTGGATAAGTAAATGGCTCCACAGCCAAGAAGTGATCGAGTCCACAAATCACAATCCACAATCCACCAACTCCCACAGTTCAGGATCAGATCGGATTGCCCCCACTCTCCCCTATACTCAACACATCATTGGTCATCCGGAGTGGATGTCCACTGCGCACGACAATGTCAGATCGACCGGATACTAGGTCGGTCTTTGGGACGAATTTCATTATGCATCAAGGCCAACAGAAAGTAAAAGATTGAGACGATCAATTGTACAGATGAAGCGAAGACTCAGTATTGTCTCAAAGGACGGAACAAGCAGAATAGCTAGCCTGCAGTGCCTCACTTGACTCTCTGAGACTCACACCGGCTAGTTCAATCCTTCGCCCTCGCTTTGGAAATGACCTGTAAGATTGTGCTTCACGAATCTCCATAAACGCTGGAATTCCACTGGGTACGCTCAAAATGGGCATTGGCGATGGCAGGCTCACTAAGTAAACATCAAGGGTGACTGCTTGATTCTGTTTCATTTCGCTCTCGTTTATTCTGCTATGTCGGTGTGGTGTATTACTTGTGCCCTGCATTCCTCGATGCCTCTAGTTGAGCGGGTCGGAGACAACCGGGTCCTCACATGCAGACTGGAAAGGCCGGCTGGTGTGTTTCAATGGGTATCAGGTGTCATCAGCCAGGTCAGCAAATGTTCTAAAGACAATCCAGGTGGTTAGATTCACCAAGCTGAAGTGCCAAGTTGTCCCCCCCCCCGGCGGAAACTCCCAGGATCTGCAAGACGCGATTGCACAAGCGGGAGCGAATCAGCAAGGCATGCGCACCATTGAATTCTATTCCGCCCGGGGAATTTGGACAAAAGTACGATGGAAAAAAGTTTCACATGTATGAATTTTCATTATAGGTACGTCCAACGCCGGGACTTTGGGAAATAAAGGGATAAATACATCCGTAAGATACAGCAAAGGTCTAGAGAGCATCCCTTCCCAACCTGAGTCCGACACCAGAACCAAGAGTCAAAGACAGAAAAGCCAAAAGACCAGAAACGCCAATGCCGCCATGTGCCAATGCAGTAGTAAAGAGTGTGAGAATAAGAAACATGTCTATTTCGCGGACATGGAGATCAATAGATAAGAAAAAGGCGGTAGCGTAAACGAAGGGTATTGTCACAGAAGATGCGTATCAACGGTTGAATGCTTTTTTTTTGTCAGGAAAGCGGAAAAATTGGGTTGTAGATAAAAGGTAATAAAATAGGGTAGTCAGGAGGTGGAATCCAAAGAGAACGGTCACATGGCGAGACCGGCTCGACTTATGCGTGGGGACGACCGATACGGCTGCCCATGTAGGAACCGGTGGCGGAGGCCAAGAAGCGTGCCACGAAGCCTCCGCTGTGGGAGTGGCCGGTGACTTTCAATTTCTTGGAAGGTTGGCGAGTGGGTTCGAAGGCTTGCTTTGAATCCATGGGGCCGACGGTGACATAGCCGTATGTCAGGGAGACGGAGGGGCTGGAGCTCGGGTCGTTGAGCATCACATCGTCAGTTCCGTGAGATGAGCATGTACTAATACTGGCAGGAGTGCCGCGGGAGCTGGGGGCTGTGCTGGATGAGCGGGAGCACAGCGAATTAAACGTCTCTGCGTGAGATAGACCGGGGACATCTCGGATGGAGGGGGGCGAGATGGAACGGCCAGGGCGGTTGGGGGATGAGCGTGCGCGAGGATAAGGATTGTAGCGTTCCTGTTCAGTGACGAACTGAAGCGAGCTGTCTGGGTTGTGGATGGCAGGGCAGGAGACATGGCTGGGCAGACGACGGAGAGAGTTGTCGACGGCTCTGCGGTTGTCACTACGGGCATCAATCTTCTGACGACGAAGGCGGTTGGCCAGCATGTCCGCAGATTGGTGGAGACGGCGCCTAATTTTCATTAGCCTTTGATCAAAACCAGGCGAGCATGCATTCTGAGGGAGGTACTAACCATTCACGGTGCTGTTGCTTGCGCTGAAGTTCCTCTTCTTCGGCCTTGCGTTGGCGCTCAACAGCCTGTAGACGCTGACGAATAGGAGCCAGGAAAGGTTCCAAAGAAGTGAACAGATCCTCCTCGGTCACGCGAGTCTCCCAGTCGAGTAAGAAGAGCAACTGACGCTCCATCAAGTTCACCTCAGGCAGGGAGAATCCGAAGCCCTGGTATCCCTTCACCACGGTATAGCGAGCCCAGTGCTTGTTCTTAGGGCTGGAGTCATTCAGATTCTTTGCGGCCAGGATGAGCGAGGCGAGGAAGATGCGGTGAACAGTACAACGCATGCCCTTGGCGACTGGGGGAAGACGGGCACGCAGACGGCCGAGGTAGACGAGGGAGCTCATGAGGGTGGGCACCTGGACCTGGGAGCGGGCGACCAGAGAGGCAATAAACTCTTCGATGGAAGGAAGGGGGGGGCAGCTGGTCGGCCGGGTCCAGAGGAGGAGTCGAAGGAGGTGTGGGTTGGCCGTGCTGATTGACGGTGTTGGTCACATGGGCCTCACATCGGATGACCTGCGAGGCCTGCTGTGCCAGATATGTCACCATCTCCCGCGAGACTCGTTGAGTGACGAAGGAATCGAGCGCTGCTCGGTTCAATGCTTGATAATTCATGTTGCCTGTGTTCACTGTGACCACTGGATAAAGAAAAAATGGTGGAAGGAGGCGGAGGATTGGCTGCTTTAAAAGGGTCCCACAATGTAGGACTTAAGAAAGGCAGATCAAAGAGGTCAAGGTCAAGCTCAATCTCAAGAGAGAGTTGCAGGTTGACTATGAAAACAATTAAAGATAATGAGCTTTGCTTTGTGTCAGGTATCGATGAAACAAAAAGAACAAGGCAAAAGTAGAGGTCGAAGCAGATGACAGTCAAGATAATGAAAAAGTCAACGTGCACGCCAAATTCCTGAACCAGCAGGACGAATGGACGATGTCAAGTAGTTGGAGGAAAAAGAATGTTGCGGTAAGGATAGTTGAGGTTGTCGTGTCAACCCTGTTATCGAGCGATAGCCCTAACTGACTTTCTCCCGGATAGTGAGACCTGCCGAAGCGGAGAATTTCAGCCGAGAGACAGCGTCCACAGAAATTTGGGTACTATGGCAATAGGTCGAAGAAACTGGAACGGTGGGACAATTATTGATGTGTGTCTTGATGGGTTAGGGAGCGGGTTCAAACGACGGTATTAAAGGGAACGGAAATGATGGGTGACGACGTTGGGCATGTGAAGGAATCCCGTGAAGAATCTGAGGGAGGGAATACTGGGGGGATAGATATAGCTCCGGTATGCGCCATTCAGAGGGCGGCTGGAGGGGGGCACACAGGAGCTGCAAGGTCTGCATGGTCCAGTTAGAAGTCCTGGACAGGCCGGGGGCTAAGGGGCACGTCGCGGAGGAGCGCGAGTAAACCTGCATAGTTGGATCTGAGATGCTCGAACCCTTTTGCCTAGAAAGGAGGGGCTTTGGTCTGTCCTTTTGGAATGTAGTGGAGCGCGAGTCTACGGTTCGAGCCTCCGCAAAAGAAAGTGCAAGACTAGTACGCGGGTATGTAACTATTCGCGATCAAACTTGTCTGTGCTGCATCCCTAGATTCAACCCGCCTCCCGATAGCACTTCATCGGGCAAGGTCTGACCATATTCACCCATCTATCGCATATAGAACATCTCCTCAAATCCAATGCTTTTCCCAATAATAGAAGTCCCTGGAAGCGCTGGGGGAAGAATGGGGCAAAAGGCCACAATTGACACCACTCCACCGCCGCGAGGAGATCAACGCTAGGCCCACCCGGTGGAGCAGGCCTATGCTGGACTTGGAGCCAGCCTCCTACCCATCTAATCCTTCGCTCGACTATGGAACTATTGATGAAACCCGCGACCGTCTCGGGAGTGAGACGCGGGGGTAAAAGCAGGACTGGATTCCATCCCATCTGCCATACTTTCAACTCCTACCTCAACTCCTACCTAGGTACCTAAACAGAGGATAAGAAAAAAAAAGGTACTCGTACGCGCCCCCTCCAGGGCACGAAACACTTAACTATAGAATGAAACCCCCCCCCCGTCCGGATTAGGGACAAGTGGAAGGGGGTAATTTGGGGATCCAGCTGGAAAAAAAACGATCAAAAGACCCAAAGGAGAAGCCTAGTGGACAGAGCAAAGATGACCTATGGGGCTGGAAGGTTCACCAGCTCGCAACAATGTGGCAAGTCGCGTTTCAATTTGGCGCCCGCGAACTCCCAATAATAATGGCGAACGACTCGACCTGACAGATTCGTCTGTGCGGGATCGGATCCCTGCCTTCATGCCAAATGACCCCTGTCACACAATAGTCGAATGCCTGACATGTCAGAAAGGGTGAATAGTGCGTGCACCTCGCATGAGATCAATTCTGGTCCAAGGCACGCTGCCTCTCTCTAGAAATGGAGGACATGGAGCCAAGGTTGGATGTGTCGCGGTCGCGCCCAACTTTTTTTTTTCCAGCTTTCTTCAGATGCATGCACCTGCACTCCCGGATGTTCCGACCTGCGCCGACCTGCATCGGGGGTCTAAAAAAAAGCACTCGCGGAGGCTTTTTTCGGCCATGTTCTCTGCGACTTCTATATAAGCGCCCGTCCCCAACGCCTACAGTCCCCACCCACCCGCCCAGCGCTTATCCTGCTGTTTCTCTAGGGGCGAGCGCTTCTATGTGAAATGGATGGCGGAATCTATTCACAAGGCAGGGTCGATTATTATTAGAGCTTACGCGCTCGATTCTGGCGCCTTTTGACGTCTCCACATCCGCGCTACGGAGTAATGAGCACAATACGGGCATGTCCTACCCCGGGCGTCATCGCGAAATGACCGAAGATATCGCATTGATTTGATTTCATATTAACGAGCGATGTTACTTAGAGCAACTAGTGTCCCTTCAGGAACTCGGCGTCTCGCTCGACTTTGTTTGACTCGTGTCTTCTCCGCTCGTTCCGACCGTTGCGAGCATAGACCAATAGTCCAACTAATGACGAACGTCGTTACAGCGAACTTGAAACAAGATCACGTTTCAAGATGGCATAGCGTTCTAATTCAGTCCCACTAGCGATAAGCGGAGAACCCGCGGACGAGCTGAAACAGCGTGCCAAAACGTATTATGGATCAAGCAGAAACTTGCTTCAGCACTCTAATCGGAATCCCAATGAATTGGTCGAGATAACAGATGTCACATCTTTCACTATGAATATGACTAAGACTATAAGGATAACTATTTATACAAGGCGAAACGGACTAAGTCCTCAATCGCATGATTCAGTCTCTTAAACAACTGCGACAGAGAACTCGGAGACGGTCAGGTCGGCAGTGCCAGTGAAGGGCTCAGTACCGGCCTGAACATCGACGAGGTAGAGGCTGGAGCTCAGGCCCTCGTGTTGAATCAAGTAAGTGAAGAACTTGAGCATGTCACCGGAGAAGTTCTCGGTGACGGACTCGGCGACGAAGCTGTACACGGTCATGGAGCCGTTGAGGCCCTTGTACAGCTTGAAGGTCACGCCGTTGATGGTGGTGGTGGCGATGGCAGAGCCAGTGGAGGAGATGGGGCCTGCGCCGCCCAGGGCAGCGAGCCAGACCATGATCTCGTACTCCTCGGAGCCGGACGCGCTGGAGCTCAGGAACATGTCATAGGAGACATCGGCCACGATATTGGTGTTGGAGTAGCTGTGAAAGAGTCAGAAAAGCCGATTGTCCTTTGAAAGGGGTATCTCTTACCTCCATTTCCAGACTGATTTGATGCTCTTGATGCTGCTCAGGGTCTTGGCTGTGAAATCCAGAGAAACGTCGGCGAAGCTCTTGACCTGGCTGCTAGCACCGGACCAGGACCACGAGGTGGACCACGAGATGGTGTTGCCGCTGAGGGAGTTGACAGTGGTGCACTGTTTGCCGGCCTCATCGTAGCTCTGGCCCCAGAGGTTGTTGTAAACTTTGTAGCTGCCGGTTTCGATAGTACCCCACTGGTGGCAGGTTTCGGTGCTACGGCTATTCAAGCTCCTGGTAGGAACGGTAGAGGCAGTGCCGAGGCTAGCGAGGCTGAGGGAGAGGAGCGACAAAGGAGTGATGAAGGTCTTCATGGTGATGGTCTGGAGGTAAACAGTGGGCTAGCCAGCAATAAAGAAGGAGCGAATTCCCGAGGTGGTCTTGACGATGGTTCAACGATCCGACAAACACGGCATCTACATGACTTTATATCCTGCGATCGAGTCCCACCGCGGAGCATTGGGTGCTTGTTCCATATAGAGTACGGAGCAATCCTGTCTCATCTCAATCCGCCGGGACTCCACCGGGTATTCTGACAGTCGCTAGGACAAATAGAATAACTCTAAGCTTTGAGACATCCCGAGCCCAAGGAAATGATCATCGAATCCACCGACAATTTCTTGAATCGAGTCTACCGTGCATATTTCTCCGCGACTGGGGTTTAATCCACGAACGTAACACTCTGCTGGAGCTTCTATGCAGTTTCCGGAAGATCTCCGTGTGTAAACAGCGAATCTGAGACGACGGCGTCGGCCCGCTCAGCGGAGCCCTCTGGATCGAGAACACGGCCAGAACATCTCTTTTGGATATCATGCCGAAGATCCTCCGAACATCTTCAGAGGTTTTAAATTTTAATTCAATTTAATTAAGAAGTCGAGCGATCGAGACCTGTCACTGGGGCCATGTGCTTCAGGGGCGTCTGCCTTTGTGTCGAGCTTTTAACCCCCCTGAACCTCGAGATCAGAAGGGGTGAGAAAGTCCGAGAACCAGGAGTTCAGGTCATATGCATCGTCAGGCCATTATTGAGAATGATGTTTGGCTGATCATCGTCAGGGAACGTCAAGCTTTCCCGACATTGGCGGAACATTTGTATCAAAGCCTCAGCCACGTCGCTATAGTCCCGGCCTATGAACCCTGCGTGTATGCACCCCGCATCCGGTTTTAGCAGAGTATTGACCCCTATGTTTGCATGATATGAAAGGCTTCCAGGATCGATGCATTGCTTCCTGCATCAGTTCGGAGGAAGGGCCGCTATGGAGTCAGTGATGATCAGCGTCTATCGAATACGCGAACACCTCGCCAGATGAACTGCCCAAGTTGGATCACCAAACGAGCCGAGGTATATTGATTCCTTCAAGATGTTTTCTTTTTGAGCCACAATATAAATCTGAGACAGATGTTGCCATGAGAAATGAAAATGCTGGAGCCTATGAATCCTTTTTAGGAACTTATTAACGCGAGTGAGCGATTCAAAATATACATTTGCGACATGGGTACGGAGAGATATATTGATACGCAAATGCTTCTCTCACTTGAATCTGATTCTATATTATCCCCAACTACTGGCTTTGACCAAATACAAAAAGAACAACAAGTAGCCTTTTTTCGAAATACAGTATATAGGTGGGATCCCCAGGTCTTCACACCCGGCTTGCACAGGTCTGGTACTGGTCCAGGTGGATTTGCCAACGACGAAAGATCAAGAGTCCAGCAGTCCCCCAAATGATGGAATAGAAATAGACAGGTAGGGTCATCAGAAAAACATCATGTCCTGAGGTATTATTCACAGATATTATTGAAACCAAGGCCACTCCAAGCGGGTTACGAGTCGGATTGGGGCGATCCGACATGGCGTGTGGGCTGCAGATGCACCCGCGGACACCGAACTTCATCCCAGCTTCACGACAAGACAGATTTAAAGGACAGAGATAGACACTCAAGAGACGAATCCAATCGAGCGCCACTGGTTACCTTTCAACTCATTGTCGTTCTATTCCTCCATCTCGTTCTTTTCAATCGCCAAAAATAAGGGTGTTCATCGAGGGCTGGAAAAGAGCCCCACAAAGCGGAACACCGGGGATCGTGCTAGGGATATTTTCATTCTGGGATTTCGACCTTCGCTTCATAACAAACCCCAAGATGCCTTCCAAGTCCTCGAAGAAGCCTTCGGGCTGCGGCTGTTGCTGCTTCTCCCTCCGCAACCTGAGCATCCTCGCCGTCTTCCTGGCCCTTTTCTCTGCCGTCTATAGCTTTCTCGACGCGCGCCTGGACCAGTTCTACATCTTCGACCCAGAGCACTTGCACGACCTGTCCCAGCGCGCCATCGAGGCCCATGGCGAAGATACCAATTCAGTCGTCAACTTCATTGTCTCCGAGCTCGAGACTACGGTCGGCACGGATCACCTGAATCTCGAGCAGGAGTGGGTGTTCAACAACGCGGGTGGTGCCATGGGTGCCATGTACATTATCCACGCCAGTACGTCTTCCTCCCTTCCGCATCAACGCCAATTGACTAACGTCTCCTAGGTATCACCGAGTATTTGATCATCTTCGGTACCGCCGTCGGAACCGAGGGTCACACCGGCCGACACACCGCGGACGACTACTTCAACATTCTGCACGGCACCCAGCTCGCCTACGTCCCTGGGTCCTACGAAGCCGAGGCTTACCCGGCTGGTACCGTACACCACCTCCGACGTGGCGAGGTGAAGCAGTACAAGATGGAGTCGTCGTGCTTCGCGCTCGAGTACGCCCGTGGCTGGATCCCTCCCATGCTCTTCTTCGGCTACGCCGATACCTTCTCCTCCACCCTGGACTTCCCTACTCTCTGGGCGACCACCCGCATTACCGGTCGTGAGATGATCTCCAACTTGCTCAAGTCCAAGTTGTAGATTGCTTGTCTATAATTGGATGGTACAAAGCGGAGGATGTATACTACTTGGAACGTGGCGGTGTGTATGTTAGGATGCGATGCATTGGCATCGAGAAAAAGGGATGTATATAGTGGATTTCGGATCTGAGATCATCAAAAGGTTTGGATTTGTTCATAATGCATGATATGAAAGAACATCGAAGTATATCAAATTCAAGACCTCTTCCCCTTACCTTTGAAAAAACGCACCCATCATCGTGCTCGGTTCCGTCTCTCCTGCGCATCCGCCACAAAAGACTCTCCAAAGGCATCAATCCCGGCCCGAATAGCCCGATCCAGCGACTCATTCTCCCAAATCCTCATCAAAGCCTTCTGCTTCCGCACAGCCAAAGGTCCATTCCCATCCAAGAGACCCAACCACCCCTCTACAGCACCATCCAATTCCTCCACCTCAACAACCTTCTCCACAAGCCCCCATCTCAGCGCCTCCTCAGCATCAATATTCTCCCCAAGCATGAGAAGTCGTCTCGCCCGGCCCCATCCAATCAGTCCAGGAAGTAACGCCGCCTCGACAACACTAGGAATGCCAACGCGAACCTTCTTCGTCAGCTTTGAAAAAGGTAGCGTGAATAGAAACTTCTCCCTGAAACATAGAACAGAGAAAATATAACTAGAGTTACCTACCTTGGGCATCCCAAAGACCGCATTTCGACTCGCAACCCTAAAATCACAACACGCGGCGATCTCTAATCCCGCGCCGAGTGCGTACCCGTTTACGCGCGCGATGACGGGGACCGGACATTCGCGCACTGCGCTACAAGCATCAGAGACCTTGGTGATGAATTCCCGTGCTGCGGAGGGTGAGGCTAGAGAGGCCATTTCGGCGATGTCGGCGCCGCCGATGAATGCTTTGGGTCCGGCGCCGGTGAGGACCACGGCGAGAAGGTCTCTGTTGCTTGATGCTATGGATTTGAGAGTTGAGGGGAGGGAGAGGAGGAGGGGGGTGTTTAGGGCGTTTAGTTTGGACGGGCGGGATATTGTAAGGTGGGCTATTGTGCCTGATGGGCGGCGAGTTATGGTTTTCAGGATTTGGGAGGTCATCTTGGATCATTTGAAATGAATTGATGGCGGAGGTGTGATTTTCGAGATGAAAGCCCAGAACGGATGTAATTAGATTGAAGTATGGAAATTTGTGGCTGGCGGCCGAGAAACACCGACTCCAGGCGCGGGGAAGACCCCCGCAAGTACCTCGAAGGCTGATCGGTTGATTTCAGGGTTGATGTGGAGAGTAGCCGATGAACACATCTGAGTTGATTAGGCTATGTAGATTAAGACACAAAGTGTAGTCATCTCACCAGCCATGATGACGCACAATAACCGCCCCATCCAGAGGGTAACATTCAATAGAAGAGAATGAAAAAAAAATCAAAAAATCAAAATTCAAGCAGTTCATTACTCGTCATGTACATAATTGACATATAAGAGCTCCCATCTACAGAGCTGGAGCTTCCCAGAACTCGCGCTTGATCTTCATCACAGCGGATCGCTTGTGCGGGAAGCTCACTTCGCCCTCTTTGAAGAAGCCTGCGTCTTGGAGGTAGCCGATGAGCCTGGACAGACATTAGTATCTAATATTGTTTTGAATATTTCTCAGCACTCACTTCGTGTTATCCACCCGGGGTTCAAGGTATACCGCCTCAGTCCTCATATCCGACACAAAGCAGTGGTGCACCAAGGCACTCAGCCAAATGGCAACGCGGTGCGAACCCCGGAACTCCTGTTCACCAATAAGAAGATGAATACCGCGATCATAGTTATGGACATGATCCAATAACCGTCCCAGTCCATCCTCTTTTACCCAGTAGATCTCAAAGTATCCAAACGGCTTTCCATCCCAGCATCCAATCACAGGGAAACTATGCCGGCTTGTCAAATTCTGTAGCAGGAACTTCTCCTGAACCGAGCGCTCTCCGCCAACACCCCACGCCGCGTCAACTCGAGGATCGTTCATCCACCGATGCAAGGTGTCCAAATCAGAAGGGACATTTAGAGAGAGATGCTGCTCGATCCCTGTGACCGAGGAACTCACAGCCTTGGGCGTCGGCGGTCGACTGCCACTGCTAGACCCAGAAGCTGGCGCAGGTGTAGTCATAGGAAGGTACGGTACTCGGAACGATAGCCACTGGGCCACGCTGGGTATATAGCGCACGTAGAAGACCTCGCCTTGGTGTGGCGGCTTGGATCGAATGGGGTGGCGGACTCCATTGGTGAATGTATATTGCGTAGGTGCAGGTGGATAATACGTAGGCAAGTGGCTCGCCGACGTGAAAGGACCATTCGAGCTGAATGGCGGGACATTCGTAGTATGGAAAACTGCTTCCGTTGGTGGCAGCATCCCAGGGTTGGGCAGGACATCGCGGGCCGGAGAAGCATGCCGAGATTGGAGGGGGGTCAAAGAGGGAGAAGAAGGTGCACGAGGTGTGAGAGTAAATAGGAAAAGGCGCGGATCGAGCTGCCAGAAGCTGCGACGGCTCACGAACATGTTGGACCAGCTGCTCGAGTCGCGTGTCTCGACGGGTTGAAGACCGACGGAAGAGTCCTCGCTGCACATCAGGCCCATTCGCTCGAGCTTCTGGAGCAGATTTCGGCCTTTGAAGATTCCCTCACGCTTGATGTTCACTCGCCAATCCCCCGTTGGCTTTCCCGAGTGTGGTGTCGCGCTCGATGCTGCCGTGTCCAGGTGCAGGTCCGGTTCGGGCTCGTGGAAGTACCAACACATTGTGGCCCAGAGCATCATGGCGATCTGACGTGTCGGGGAGGTGACGGGCTTGAATTCGCTAGAAGGTGGGTTGACTATGTAGGAGATGTAGAGGCAGTCGCGATTCAAGGTGGGTTTGGTGAAGCGATAGAAGTTTTGGTCGTCATTTTCCGCAGCGGGGAGGCCTTTGTCAGAGCCTGTTCTACCGCGTTCTTCGGGGGATTTCCCAGCAGTTTTCTCACTGTGGATGATAATCGTCCAACCTGGTGGAAAGGTGGAGTTGTGAGCGCTCGCGTCGTTGGATTTAAAGGTGACCCCACCAAAAACGGGCGACACGGTGAAAGTGAGTCCATTGGGGAGGAAACAGGTTGTGTTTCGCATGGTGTCAAGCAAGACGTCTGCTCCTGATCTTTGGGGTAGTGTCTTCACCTTGACAAAGGGAAAGAAAAAATACAAAAATTTAAAGTTAAGACGGAAAAAGCTCGTTTTGCCTCAGAAAGGGCTGCCCCTCACTGATGCGGGGATACGCCAATGGCCGTCTCGTAGAAGATGAGGGTAGTATCAAGGAAAAATGGTGTAGAGCTTGGTACAATTATGCCGATCGAATTTCAATGAATAATGACCTCTGGGGGCCACATTCTCCTTTGAAGAAATCAAATGCGACGAGGTGTACCTTTTGACTGTATGATGTTAGCAATGACGCAGACTCCCGCACATCATGCCACACGCCATACAAAAGTCACCGTTTGGTCAGCGACTTCAACAACTTCATTTCCATTCGATAACAGCATAGTAGTGTGGATCTTGGAAGAGGTGGTGAGCCCTATCTAGGGGTGGCTTTTTTTTTAAAAAAAAAAAAGCCTGGAAAGACAAAGGTACGAGGGATAATGAATGAGGTTTCAGGGTCAAGGGCGCATTGATGGTAAAGAGATAAATTAGGGTATACAACAGATACAGAGAAGCAATACAAGTAAACAGTCCACAAGAGCTTCTCTAGAAATCTTCTACGGTGGTTCCCAATTTGCGATCGCGCGCCAAGCGCACCAGATCTCCGCCGGTGACCAGATCCATCAGGCCTAGCCCGACGCTCTTGTAGATAACGTTCCCTCGCTCCACCCATTCGCGCAGACTCTTCTCTTCCTCAGCGGCCTCTTCTTCACTCAAGTTGTGAGTTGCATAACGGACCATCATAAGCTCACCCAATTCGACGACTTGCGTAGGCTTGATTCCGGCCTGGATTATCTCGCCAGCTTCCTTCATGGCGGCGTCTAGACTGTCGACAACCACGACTCCGCTTCGTCGGGTATGCTTGTGGAAGTGGCGGTGGGGAGGTGTCACATTAACCTCGTCTCGAAGAATATCAGGATGCACTTCGGCCATGTGAGCTTTGTAGGAACCGACTGCACCGATCAGCCGGCCCTTTTGGCGGCCCTCGCGAGAGGTGAGGTATTCTGCTGGGAAAAGAGGCTCGGCGGAAGGAGTACAGCAGAAAATCACGTCTGCTTTGCGGACATGTTCCTTCAGAATTCGACTGTACTCGCCAAAGTCAGTGCTCATGGCGGAGAACTTAGCATCCCCGCGCCAATCCGCATTCTCAGCCTGATAGATATCACGTAGAAGCTCAGCAGCACGGTCGAATGATCGATTCACGATGTAAACCCGTCGGATCTCGTCGCCGCGGAGAATCATCGCCAAGCGAATATGCCAGTAAGCCTGGGTACCAGCACCAAAGACTAGAAGGGTGCGGACCTTCTTGCGCTTGTTGAAAATCATCAGCGAAGCCAGTGCAGTGCGAAAGGCTGTCAGCTCGTGGGCATTTATAAGCCCAAAGGGTAGACTTTGGCTATCCAAGAGTGTAACACTGCCTTTTGGTGACATATCTCGCATGCCCACACCAGGCCAAGCGCCCATCGTCTTTGAAAAACTCGGACTGTTGACTGGTAGCTGATTGACACATCCTGAGAGTAGAGTCGAGTCGTCAGTGCTATCTCCAGTCCCGCTGGTCCCAGTGGTTGTAGAATTGTTGTCTTCCACCGACGATCCCACAGACAGGTCACTCATCTCCGAAGAGAGCGACGCCACCGAGTTGCGGACGGAGCTCCGTGACCGCTTAGAAGGTGCGTCGCTATCGCTGAATTCCACGGCACTGCGTTCCACGGCACACCCCGCAGTTCCTCCGTCCTGCAACGAGATCATCTTGATACCGAGTGTCTGGCCCGTGGTGGCGGGCATGAAAAGGGTAGTGCAGCCATTGTGACGAGTGATGGCTGTGCGCTGGGGCTGATAAGTCGCTGAGCAGCCTTCTTCCTGTGATCCGGTGGAGTATTCGCGCAAGGCATCAGCGAGGTTTCGTTGCAGAGTAACGATCTCATCACGGTTGAGGGAGAGCAGCAGAGCGCGAAGCTGCGACCCGGAGAGGATAGTGAGGGGCATGGGGATGATTCAGAGGTAGGGTGATTGAAGAGGGAGGGGAAAGAACGAGGAAAAAAAGAAGGCTTTATGATCTTTGTCAACAGTGTTCAGTTAACACGCCACCCGCAGAAGCCAAGATACCAAGATAAGGACACGGAGCAGTAAAATCCACCGCGTCGTAATATGAAACCGCGCAGCGATGCCAAGGGCGAGTCCACGCTCGGAGCACGAAGTATTTTGGAGAGGCTCCAATTTAAATCAACTCGGGCGATGTGAGATGCCCGCAGATGACGACAGCCGTGGATTCCGGAGTGGGGAGCGGGGCCGATCAGCACATCTCGGTCAATCAGGGACTGAGTGAGAGGTCTCAGAGCTGTCCAGCTGTTCAAGAGTTTGAATGTCGAGTCATAAATCCAATGAAAATGAGAAAAAAAGAAAAACGAAGAGGAAGATCAACTCTGTGACGCCCGCCAGACTACGATCATTGCCGTTTTCGGCGCCGCCAAAAGCGGAACAATGTTGATCAGCGGCCTGAGGCCTCACAGGGCTTCAACTAGACCGCATTAGGTCTACGCTCCTTTCCTTCCTGCGGACGAGGACCCTTCTGGAGCTCGCATTCTGTTTGACTGCACTCCAGTCTTACCATACTAACTCCAAATCCAACACTGACTTTTGAACAAGATTCAAAGCAAGCTAGGGTATGAGTGTTGCCTCAACAACCAACACACTCGACCTTTGAGTCAATCGAACTTCCATAAAGCCCACTAACAGGGAAGGACTGATCTCGAAGACGTAGACCAACATAACATGTGGCTTGAACGGACGCGGTCTACCGAATATTGGAGCTCTATACCTTGGAGGGCTTGCTTTTCCTGAACCATTTACAAAGGCGAGGGGCAATGGGCCAGTGTGTCTGCGAAGCGCGGGTTCCGCGGACATTCGGTGCTGCACTGGGTGACTCTAACTTTGGGGGTCAAAAACAAGGGTCACCAGCGTTTGACTTGAATTCTTTGTAGTTGTTGCCAGAGGTTTCAGAGGTTTGTTGACCAGTCAGTATCGCTACTTAATGATAACCCTGGGTGGCTAACCTGGCTCTGTAATACTTCCTCTTCAGCTATGACAAAACTATGGAGAATCCAATGAAGCTCTGCACAGTATCTAGATCAGTCAATACAATTTTGCTGGCTCGAATGAAATGTCGAACTATCCAGTAGCTTCTATCTTACGAGTAAGCGGTCCCGAATGTCTCATCCAGCATTTGGGGGCCAAGGAAATGAAATTGCCGCATATTCCTCGAGAAAACAGGAGACTGATACCTTATCTCCAATCAAATTAAGTAGCTATGGCTTAACAGAGAGTTGGTTCTAACTTCATCTGCCCTACTGAACCTCCCATCCTTGACTGACTTTCATGTCCGCGTACCATTCCTTCACGTAGTCCAACCCCACATGTGGACCATAGGGATCTGCTTCCCACTGAGGCCGAGGGGCTTCCAGTCCAGTTTCCTCAAGACAAGTCTTCCTTAGGGTCTCAATATCTCCGCCCCTATCGTAAACCAGAGATTCTTCAAGCGGGGTGCGCTCAAGACGCATCTGTGCTCTCAGGCTCTCAGTCTCGAACTCATTTACCGTGAAGTCGTCGTTGATAACCACACCATAACCATCACGAGCTCCCTTGAATGTGACGAGCTTACGGTGAACTTCGAGAGCAACCTTTAAAGCTGGACGCGTTAACGGATCGCCGAGTCCACCACCACCCCAGGTAATCCATTCCAAGAGGTCACCGGGTTCCACACAAATATGATCACACTTCGATGGTAAGACTTCCGCCGGTGGATCCGCTGATTTGGAGTGACGATAAAGCAGCTTTCGAGATCTCTGGCCGGGCTTGCCTCCCTTCAGTCCCCACGGCTTGGTGAACCAACGATCATCGTGGACGCTGAATTCTCCTTTGGCCAAGAATCTGTACAGAGTGCGTTGCGCGTTGCCTCCACGATAAAAGCCCGGTCCACCGCTGTCAGCCACACTTTCGTTCGCCTCAATGCGCAGTGGGTAGTCCAATTCGATACTTTCTGTTGGGATGGACTTAATTGCTGGGAAGAGGCAGTGGCAGTCAGGGCCATCGCCGGCTTGACGAGCAGGAACACCTCCAAAACCAATCTGGTAGAGCTGGTACCACTCTCCGTTCGGCTTGAATCCCGAATAGAAGAAGTGAGGCGAGTCGCTGAAGCCAGCTGCTGCCTGGTAAGTGTCGTCTTTTTGGCCGATGAGGGCTTGTACGATATTCAATGTGCGCCCGAGAAGATGTGTACGGCATGAAATTGGAGCAGGCCGAACTGGCTTGAGAACACTTCCCTTGGGAATATGAACATCGATCAGATCGTGGAATCCATCGTTGATCACTGTACCCGGAGCAGCAGCCGCAATCAGATAGTACCCGATGAACATCTTGAACATGGTCTCCGATAAATAGAAATTGATGCTATGTTGACTCTGAGGAGAAGTGCCACTCCAGTCAAACTTCAGACGGTTGCCATCCACCTTCTTCATGGAGCAACTGAGTGCCCAGGGACCCACACCATGACCATCATCATCCACAACATTTGTGAAGTTGCTTTCCTTATCATCAAATTGTCTCTCGACGATTTTCGCTAGGCCAGTGCGATTTCGGTATAGCAGCTCGTCACAGGAAGCTAGATACACTTCTTGACCGAACCGATTGACTAGCTCGCGCACTCTGTTCTCGGCCATAGAGCATGCAGCGACGATGGCAGTCAAATCAGAGCGATACCACGCCGGCTGTCTCGAGTTGCGACACAGAAGCTCCACAATGTCAGATTTCATAGCTCCTTTCGAGTAGAGCTTGATGCACGGAATCTGAACACCATCATCAAATACCGAGGTGGCATTGATTGACATGCTACCAGGAACGATACCGCCGACGTCGGTCAAGTGTCCAAATTGAGAAGCATATCCAACGAGACGATGCTCATGGAAAATGGGCAGAAAGACGATTGCATCGTTGAGGTGACTGATGGCACCTTCTCCCTGATAGGTGTCATTGGTGATGAATACATCACCTTCCTCGATTGTGCCGGTCCATATCTTAAGGAATTCGGTGATGAAGCTACCAAATTGAGCTACCAACATTTTCCCCTTGGCATCAGTAATGACGTTGAATTCATCTTGTTGTTCTCGAATTGCCGGTGACATACTGCAACGCAGCATCATCTGATCCATCTCGCCTCGGATGGAGCCCAAGGTGGAAGAGATCAAAGTTGGAATTAAAGGACTGGACTTGACAAGGTTGTTCGCCGATTCAGCTATATGGCTTGTGGCAGCAGCTGACGCACCATTTTGAGGATTAATCAGAATGTTTCCGATAGAGTCGATTTCGCCATAATAGCCGGGTAGAACCAGAGTGTTGCTATCCATTTCTGAGATGATGCAGGGACCCAAAACCTTAGTCCCCTCTTTGCTAATTTTTTGGGCGATCCCATATTGTGGCGAGTTGCTCTTGCCCTTGAACAATAATATTCTGCTCGCCGATCTTTGCCTCCATAGATGGCTCGCAAATTGTCATTTTAGAAACTCGAGGTATATTGATGACTGGCGAAGCATCTTCAAGGACCACTCCAAGACGCATCAACTCGAGCTCAAAGTCGGGCAAGGTATAGATAAAGAGCTGCTCATTTTGCTGGTCAAAACTTCTGTCGCAGCAAATTATGCCAATTGGCTGTATCAGCAACCAAGTCATCGGCTGTCAGATCGACTGTGATTGTGAGAGCTTGTCCCTTATAGCGGAGGTCCGCCTGATATGCAGCCTTCCAGGTGACGGGCCAGTTTTCACCAGATGATTTTTGCAAAGTCCCTTGGCACTGTTTTTCAAGTCCTTCATATAAACCCCGGATTTGATCGGCAGTGATTTCAGAGACAAGGTGAATAAAGGTGGCCAACTGCTCATGGCGAAGCTTGGTGGTAACGTCTCCTTGCGCACAGAGGATACCAGGAGAGGGAGGGATGATGACAGGCCATGCTCCAAGAAGCTGTCCCATAGCATTGGCATGCAAAGGACCAGCCCCTCCAAACGCTACGAGTGCAAACTCGCGAGGATCATATCCTTGCTCCACAGAAACTAAACGCAGAGCACCATACATGGTCTCGTTGATGATCGTGATGATATCTTCGGCTGTTTGGGTAACAGGGAGCTTCATTTGAGACGCAATAGCCTCCACGGCGGACATAGATGCCGCCACATCCAGGGCGAAATCGCCCCGAAGCGTTTTGGGCAAGTAACCGAGTACCAAGTTTGCGTCTGTCACTATCGCCTGACGTCCACCTTTCCCATAACATGCGGGTCCTGGGACCGCACCAGTACTTCCGGGCCCGACACGGAGAGTCTCAGTCAATTCCTTATACGTGGTGATGGAGCCACCTCCCGCGCCGACCGTCTTGATGTCGACGGCCGGGGAACGAACCGACAGATTCCCGACGACTGTCTCTCGTCGTAGCTGAGGCTTACCGTCATAAATCAGTGCGCAGTCTGTCGAGGTTCCACCCATATCCAAAGTAATCAGATTCTTGTATGGAGTGTTTCGAGAAACAACGTCGGCCACTCCCTTGACACCGCCAGCCGGTCCCGACATCAGAATATTCACTGGTAGCTCAGAAGCAAGGTTTAAGCTTGTTAATACACCATCGCTTTTCAAAACTCGGATCGTCTCGCTCTCAGCAGCAAGTGCCTCTGAGAGATTGCGGAGATAAGTCTGCACAACAGGCTTCACGAGAGTGTTCGTGCATGTGGTCACTGTGCGCTCATGCCCACTTCACGAAGAACATCCGCTGAACAGATGATGGCGATATCTGAGCCTAGCTCTTCGCGCACGACCTCGCTAACCACACGCTCATGCTCGTGGTTGCTGTGGGAGTTCAGGAGTGAAATAGCGACAGGTTCTGGCTTTTGCTTCGCCAGCTCACGCAGCTCATTTCGTAAATCGTCAATATCCACAGGGGTGACTTCTTCACCGTAGACTGACATGCGCTCTTTGCACTGTACGACTCGTTCCAAGGGAACAATGGGATCCGGTGGTGTCCAATGTAGCCAAGCACCTGAGACCACCTGGAATCTGCGAGCGCCGTAGCGCCAGGATATCCTTATGGCCGGCAGTCACCACAAGCGCAGTGCCGGCGCCCTTTCCCTCCAGAACAGCATTGGTGGCGGTCGTTGTACCATGATGGATGGACTGAAAAACGCCCGACCATCCAGTCTCCTCTTCAAGTATCTTTCTGGCTTTCGCGATGCCATTCTGGATCCCAATGCTTTGATCCAGGATGGTGGTCGGGACTTTGGCTCGAACGGTTTTCCCGTGCGGGGTGAGGACGTAAACATCAGTGAATGTACCGCCGACATCCACACCCAGCTGATACCCTTGGTCGATGTATGGATCCGTCATGATTAAAGATGATGAGGTGTGAATTTGGCACTATGGTGAGAGCTCCCTACGACCTCGCTGCAAAATTAACATGGAGACAAGGCTATGCGTAGACCAAAGTATCCACCTTCGCATATCAATCAAAAGTCTGATTATTATCTATCACAGAGTGACGTTGGGCGACTCATGCCTCGTTCAGCACCGGCAAGTGTCCCCGTGGGGCTATCGGTGCCAATGAAATGTCGCCCGCCGTGCTGATCTATGCACCAATGTGGGACTAATAATAGGTGAGAGAGGTTGTGCTCCGAGGCTGTTTATTCAGCTGCACTGTAAGACCTGGAAGCATGGTCTGGATTCCATTGATAAACTGACGCTGGTTCAGTTTTCTAATTGTCTTTGAAGCTCGTTTGTTTACTCTGAGGTTTTGGGCCCGAATACAGAAGCCCGGAGTAAGGAATACGAACACGACATGTATCTTGAAAATTAGACCCCAGCCGATATCATAAGAACCCAAATTGTATTTGGCGTGGGGATCCGATAAGGCTATCTCTTATGCTCAAACTTCGATTGCAGCACTCGGTTTCGGATACCCATAGTTAGTCTAGCCTTGCAATAGCCACAATGCCAAGCCCCCAAAGATCAATCTGGATTTCTATAACCCATAAACCGTTCACTACGTCTCAATTAGTCGTCCCCTAGCCATAGAACTGAGATATTCGATCGAGATTCCAAGTCAATTTTTATATTCTCTGTCTATATTAGCGCCCTGCCTCTGCCGACTTTTATGAGTGAGGTAGTATGATTAATCCAGTTCGTCCAATGAAAGTCTTGAGCCACATGCTTATTGCCGGACCCAAGCTCACCACAGTCTCTTGAATAGTCGACCGAGCACGAGGGCAAGAGTCTATTCGAAGAGAATACTCAGAAAGCTTTTGCCTCTGGTGCTTTCGGTCTGACGTGGTTTGAATATACTAACGCCGAAGGTAAGAAAGAGGCATATTGGGGTATTGACCACCTCGGTCGCGTGGCTGATTTCTTGCGCTTGGACACGACTGTTGACCTGTTGTGCAAAGTGTTGCTTTATGGGGATGGAAGAAAATACGTTGATTCATGGATTGAATTATTTGGCATAGTTGTAGTAATAGATAGACGACAAACTGCATGTATGTACTAGGAATGTAACAAGCGAGATCATTCGCTAAGCCCGATGTTTTTAAACGTGGACTTGCCACTGACCACTCAGACTTCCGTTCGAATACCCGTCGAGTGTCTTATTGACCGCATCTAGATCAAATCTAACGGCCTGGTAGCCCAGAGGCTTGATCTTTCCCTGTTCAATCCAGCCAGTTACCCTCTCCCATAGTGGAATCCCGGTATCGGGTCTCCCATTCGATGAACCGAACACATTGAGAACCTCAAAGCCCGCAGACTTCTTAGAAAGCTTTGTCTCATCGAACGGGCCAGTTGGCAGCAACCGAGCAAGCTTTCCAGTCTTTGAATTCGACAAAGCTTCAACGCCAATGAATTGGCTTTCAGGTGGGTTGATCATGTCGATTGCATAGATCAAATTATCTCTGGTAATTTCACGCACTTCTGCAGCAATCTCTGCCGGGCTTTTGGTTCTGTCGATAACATGAGTAGCACCTAGAGCTTTCAGGTCCGCTGCGCCCCTCAACCCGGCAACGGTGATGATGGTTCCGATACCTGCCAAATCAGCGAGCTGGATACCATATTTCCCGCAGTTCGAACCACCTCCGAGAATCAGCAAGGAAGTCGACTTATAGTCAAAGCTCTTCGCTGCAAAATCCCACGGCGCCGGGAGCCCTAGGCAGGTTTTATCAAAGAGGGCGACTGCAGCAGTCACATAATTGGTCGGTAGCGAAGCCGCTTGAGCATCAGTGAAGCCCGAAGGAACTTTGGCTGAGAATCTTGCATCGAGGATTGCATATTCTTGAAGACCTGCGCTATCTGAATTAGGCAGCAAGGCTTGTCCGAAGATATGATCTCCTTCCTTAAACTGAGTCACATTTTGACCGACGCGGGTCACAACACCAGCGATATCTGCGGCTAGCACGGTTGGTAGGACATCTTTGATGAACAGACCCCAGTCACGACATTTGGCATCGTGTGGATTCAGGCCTGCAACAGTAACTTGGACCAAGACTTCCCCATCCTTTGGTTTTGGGATTGGACGGGAAGCTTTAAGTAGTGGCTGACCGATCTCGGTAACGAGGAAGGCGGTTTGGGTTGACATTTGGAACTTTTTGGCATATCACAGATAATGGTTTTTGAGCGTCGTTCGCTTGCTTCTTTTTGTACCTCGAGCTCCGGACTAAAAAGCTGGCATACGCGAGACCCCGGGTGGTGATTATCAATCAGCGGTGCTTGGCTTCATCACGTCATGAAACTCGATTACCAACAGGGCCACGTGAGAGTACATAAAGATTGCTTGAATAAGATTGTCGGGATTCGGAGAGGCAAGTCCCCCGAACGATCCTGGTATAAAGCTGCGAGAAAGGTGGGGTGGCTCTGGCCAAACATTTGCCTGAATTTCCAGGCGTTAGAAGCTCTCAATCATTTATAGCTGCCTTGCAGCCGTCAGGGCCGGCCACTAGGTCGCTATGACTATTATATCGCTCGAGGATAGTGTCGCTGGCTTACAGGCCTTCTGGCTTATTTGTAGAATGCTTCGATGAGGCTGTCGCTGAAACCTTGTGTCCAATATTTGACAAAGTTCGCTAAGCATGGACAGGAAGACTTGGACACTTCTTTCGTCATTCGTGAATCCACATAGCTCCTTAAGCTAACGATCCTGGGAGACGATCCTGGGAGGTTGTCTCTGCAATGCAGCTTTACTAAGACTCAAATGGAAGCTTGTGGCTCATGAAGCATCAACCCAATCTTCCCTAACGGCAATTTGAATCAAATCAAATGAAAATCTATTAACCTGATCGAGCCTGATTAAGTGCGTCGAGGCTATTCAGGCACTTCGTCCGAATCCGAAGCAGATTTGGTGTCTGCGTTATTTCGGTCGGGCTTTTGAACCGGGATGATCAAACTCCCCGAAATCCATTTCAAGCGTAGAGCTTACAGGGTGACCAAGGAATAAAGGTTACTTTTGGTCACCTCCTTTTCCCTCTCCTGTCATACCGCCCACCTAATTTACTATACGTAACGAATCCGACTTTTTCCCTCTTCAACCATAGCTACGCGGTATTGAGGGAATGAAACAGGCTAGATACGTTGATTATTCATATAAAACTGGCAGAATCGAAGTGGAGAAGTAACCTTTATTCCTTGGTCATCCTGTATGATAAGCAATTGTCGAATGTGCATTGACCGATCATAAAACCCAAATTCAGGAAACTCTCAATATTATGACTCACATCGGCAGACTTTAGCGGATCCATTCCTCGCAAAACAGATAAATGGAGCAAAAATGGAGTAAATAAGATTTAAAGGACAAAAAAGATATTAGCACGACCAGGTTTCGATCCTGGGATCTCCGGTTATGAGCCCGGCGCGATTCCTCTTCGCTATCGTGCTGATTGGTGATAATAAGTCTTGACTAATTGGTTGTTAATCGCTGTGAATTCAACAGGCGACTCCAAGACATGTGAGTAAGGATTTCATTCCACTCCAGGGCTAAGTACCTGCATTCCAAATGCTTTGATTCCACTTCCCGAATTCTCGCATCTCCTCCGACTTTCCAAAAAAGCCGTCTTCATCGGCGCAAACCTCTGGTATGGGCGAATACACAATCAAATGCCCCACGAAACGAGCCTCCAGTCCACGCGTGTATATATATTATATATCGCGGATTGCCGCTGAACGGATCGTGAATAAAAGCAAAGCTTTGACTCCTAATGGCAATGTCAATTCCATTCACGCGGATGCCAGGCTTCTCAAAGAGGTAGATGATGTCTGTCAGCCGGCTAAGCAAAAAAAAAAACAGTCTACGACTTAAAGCGATTCGCAAATACTCAGAGATCCCACGTTTCATAGTGTTGCTCAATTGGAAAGCTCGGTTTGATCAACCGGTGGTCGGATGCTCGCCCCGACTACTGTATTAAGTCCACGATTTGGCATTTCGCATCACATCTCGAACAATTGCCCAACCCGGACCTGAATCCAATTCATATGATGCAAGAGATCAAACTTTGCGCTATGGCTCGGGAATGCACCGTCGCATTTATCGGATGCGGTAAATACGCCCACCCCGCCATCCAAATCCACTGACTTGCCATCGCAGGAAACATGGGCGGTGCAATTCTCCACGGCATCCTCGACGCAGCTTTCTCTACTGAATCTTCACAATCACACCCTGTCGCTCGCTTTGTCGCGTGTACGAAGAGTGCCGCTTCGGCCGAGCGCTTGGCATCTTCTTTGTCCCCGGGCCAGGAACCATTTGTTCATGTGACTTCGTCGCAGGATGTTCCTATACAGATCATGGCCGATGCCGATATCATTGTCTTGGGGTTTCAACCGTTCATGGCCGATGATGTCCTCGTTACGAAGGGTGTGCGCCAGGCACTGGCCGGCAAATTGGTGATCAGTCTGTTGGCGGGGCAGACGCCGCAGAACCTGGCGCGGATCATTCGCGAGGGAACTGACGGGGAGATTGCAGAGCCAGTAATTATCAAGGTGATGCCGAATATGGGTGCTCAGTTCCGTCAATCGATGACGATTATCGAGACGCCGGAGCGGGAAGTACCTGTCCATATGACCGAGGTGGTAGAGTGGATGTTTCAGCAGGTGGGCACGATTAAGTATTTACCTCAGAGTCAGATGGATCTTGGGTCTGTGCTGGTTGGGGCGGCGCTGGCTGCTATGACAGTTCCTATTGAGGGCATTCTGGATGGATATGTGGCAGAGGGATTGAAGAGACCGGATGCGATGGAGATGGTGCTGCAGGGCCTGAGGGGATTATCGGCGGCGTTAGAGTCCGGAATCCATCTCGCTGTTTTGAGAGAGAGTATCTCGTCGCCGCGTGGATGTACGATCCAGGCGCTGTTGACTCTTGAGAAGGCAGAGAGTCGGCCGGATTATGCGGAGGCGATGATCAACGGTACACAACATTTGAAGAAGGTTGATAAATAGATGGGACATTTTATGCAGGATAGACCTTTGATGAGAAATAGATACAACCAGTGTATTTCAATTTGCGAAACTAAGACAAAATTGACCCCCGTCATGAAACGCCCGATCCGATCACCATTTGATCATGATCCACCAAGTATACAATCATCCCCACACGTCGTCATCATCTTTGACTAGGTCATCTTCATTCAAGACTCGGAGACCATTCTCCTTCTCCTCGCGTCTGCGTTGACGCTTTGTGACTGTTCGGCCGGGTGTGAACGGTGTCACAGGAGTGAATGGCATGTATGCACTATACGGTGTTGGTACGCCGGTTATGGGTCCATGCGAATTCTTCACGGGCCTCTCCAGGATGGTCGTCTTGGTGGCTGGAGCACTACGCAAAGGATATGCATCACGGAACGGGAGATTTGATGCTGCCTGGTTGATGGTAGACAAGTTCAAGGGCGCAGGTGCCCTTGAACGTCCGGTGGGAGGCATAATTGGAGGCGTGTTCTGCCCAAAACCTAGTTCTGGGCGAGTTGAGGGGATCGAAGGAGGTGGGCCAGGATTATAGATCCGTGGGGAGAGAGGTGGCTGTTCAGGGACATAAGGCTGGGGTGAACGGATCTCTGGAGAGCCAAGAGGACCTGGAGAACCAATTGGAGATGAAATCTGTTGCTTGCGAATGCTAAACCGTGGAGACTTCAATTTGCCTGCATCCGGATTTGATCGAGCGTTGGAGCTGAACAACTTCGATAAGCGAGACGGCTTGGGAGACTTCAAGGGAGCATTTAGAAGAGCCGAGGAAGAGAATCCGGAGTTTTGTGAGGCATGGCGATCGGTGAATGGGTTGCTGTACTGGCTAGCCGGTGAATTACTCTGAGAGTCCGAGTTCCTTGCAGTGACATCAATGTCGACTCCAGCGGATTTCTGAGCATCATGCTCCAAGACCGCTGCGTATAACATCTCCATTTCATCCTGAGCCCGCTGGCGGTCCGAAGCGACCACGGACTCGTCGACTGTCACCATGCTGCCGTTGAAAGAGGTCTGCGAGGGCCTACCACCTCGATGCAGAGAAGGGATATTCTGTGACATGGGCGAAATTGGGCTCGGATCCATATCCAGTGTGGGTTTGACAGGCCTCAAGATTTGCATTTGCAAAGAGTAGTTGGAAGAGTGGACTGTGCGTCGCAGGCGTCGTCCAACGGAGAGAAGTAGGGCAAGAAGAACGGCAACAAACACCACGTAGGCACCAGCGATACTTCCCAGTTGGATAGCAAGTAGCGATCTGTTCAGCGACGAGGGAGCATCAACACTTCCAGAGCGTTTCATGTGTAACCCCTTCGAAGCGGAGACCGGAACCGTATACACCAGCAAGAGGCGGAAGATAGACGATAACGGAGTCAGGGCGACCGAAGCTGAAGGCATGGCCAGCACCTATGACTGGGATCGCGCAGGGCAAGAGATTTAAGTGCAGCCAGGATCCCTCGATCACTGCTGATCGGTCTCGGCATTGAGGACGAATCTCGAGGGCAAATCTACTCTGTGTTCCCAGGGTGGGGCGAGAGGGTCGGTATATGAGCATGAGAGGCATCGGGTGTGACGGTGTGAAGAGCAGCGAGTGTGAGGAAGTCGAGGCCATCTCTGCCTGTCGTTGGTTGCCATTACGCGCCCACCTGCAGGATCATCACCCCCGTCACGGCCCAGTCACATCATGTAGATTCACAGGATCAGACCTCGCCGGGTCTCCACTCGAGTCGTGAGTAGACTATACATCTTCTTGTTTCTATATTTCTACAGATGTACGGGGAATAGAGTCATGTTTTCTGTTGTTTAGTCCGAGTTGCCTGTCGAGTCGCACCTTCCTTCCCTGCACTTACTTGACGGTCGCCTTCTCTTTCGCCATGTCTTTGCTCTTCCTGACTCTCCTTCTGTATCCTCTTCAAATCGTCAATTTGTTCTTTCAATTAATTCTATTACATCCTCATGGGCCACAAAGTCTCGGTCGTCGGCGGTGTCAAGTCGGACAACTTCTATCAACAAGGCAACGCCATCAACGAGATCTGGCTCGGCGACGTCGAACTTATTTCGCGCCTTCCGTTCGGTGATTCAGACCTCGAGCAAGCTGGCTGGCCTGCCGGGAGCTGGCCCAAGATCCCCTGGCATCAGTTCATCATCCCACTCAAACGTGATCTTCACCCTATCCCCTACTCAACCATGTCCCGTAACAGCTCTCGGGACTGCTATGTGGCGCTTCTGGCAGAGTATGAAATGCCTCTTCACTGTCGAGAAACTTTGTGGAACAAGAATCTGATCTCGTTCTTGGGCGCGCATCTCACCGTACTTGGATTCGTCATGGCCTTCATCGCTGCGAAGAAACTATCTGAAGCCTCCAAAGAATTATCTAGGTGGTGGAAAGTTCGCGTACAGGTCATCCCCCGAGAGCATCTTCCCAGGATCGTGAAACGTTTCGTCAGCGTGTATGCGGGACTCAGTGGTATGCTTACAATCATCGGACTCGTCAGCATCTTCATGGGGATTCCGATGATGAGGTACGGTCTACGTGGAATGAGTGCCAATATACTCATTACCATGGCTGCGTTTTCATTACTCATGATCGTGAGCATGTGGTTGATCCTCAATTTGATCTCCCTTCTGATAAATTTGAGACGGATTCTTGCGGCTCTCCATCGACCAAGGATTCTTGAGGACTCGGATGAGAAACCTGGTCCGGCTTTGAATATTATCTCTGCCGACAAGTTCGACGACCGCGACTCAGCTCGGCATCACTGTCCTGAGTGTGAGAAGCGCTCGCTCTTCGGTTGAAATGTTAGAGTCAATCTGGTCGAGCTTCAATCATCATTGTGCTGAAGTGCAAGATCGCTTTGAGTGGAATGAATATCAGAGATCATATTCTTATCGAGACGGGGCGGAGATGAAAGGTCCCTGGCTACATCCATGAGATGAGCGTTGATTATGAAGATAACCAAGTTTATTCCTGTTATTATCACTCAACAATGACTTTGACAAGTTCACAGTCAACTAATCCGGTCCTGTACTTCAACTTCTAGCGAAAGTAGATAGTCTACTTCTGTCCGTCTTTGGAGAACATGTCTCGCCACATCTCCTTGAGACCATAAGACTTTGTCTTGTCCTCTTCGTAGACGCGCACATTGTTTGCTGTCCCAATTGACCCAAACATACCGGATGATGGGCCACTGAGGGATGCAGACGGGCGGGCGCGCTCAGTCGCCCGACGGCGGATTTCTTCTGCAAGCTGTGGCGCAACCTCAGCAAAGCAATTATTCAACTCGCGATCCAGGTTGATATATGGCTTTTGGGCTGAGCGGGGTGCTTGGAGGTTATAAGACCGGGCAATCTTATTGATATGCTTCACGGCCAGCTCATGGTACGAGCGTTCAATCCCCAGATAGGCCTCGTCTCGCAAGGGAGGAAGATGCGGAATATCGCCAGGGGCATCTTTCTCCTCTCCATGAGACTCGATAGCTTCCGGTGTCTCCACGCGAGCGACAATCCGACCATCGGTATTAATCTCGCTGACTTGCTCATCACGCCCTTTGAACGCGGCCTCCGCCTTCCTTCTCTCAACCAAACGCGCCTCAGCAGCAGCATGTCCTCTTGCCCGCCTCATCTGCTCATCCAGAGATCCACCCTGACTAGCAATCAACATCGCCGCATGCCTCCTCCACTCCGCTCGAATCCGCTGCCTGAATCGGCTAATCTCCGAAGCAAGTTCCTGCTGCTTCTCAATCCATGGCGGCACAATCTCCTGCTTCTGAATAATCTTATTCATGAAGTACTCCGTCGTATCGATATATGCGCTATTCGCATTATAGTCTGTTTCTGTATTGATGCCTTTCCCACGCTTAATCTGTCGGAATTGACCGCGGGCAATGGCGTCTTCGATTCTTTCGTTCGCGAGCGATGTAAGACCCTGTATAGATATCGGCATTGATTGCGCTCCTGGGGATAACTTCTCTCTCATTTCGCGGCGCATGGCCTCACGCTCTTCTTCGGAGAAGCCAGGAGCTTGCCTTAATGTGTAATTTGAGGTCAGTTCTTTAGCTGCGGCGAGGCGCTCGCCTGGAGAGCGAATGGGTTTCGGGGCGGGCTTGAGGTTCACGGGTTGCGGGATCTTGAATGCGGTGCGCATGGGTTTGCTGGCGTCGTCGAGCATGCGCAGCACCGAGTCGGCTGCGGTCTCTGACCCTGTCCATGCAGAAGCTGCGGCGGTCTCTCGTGTTCCTTGGCCTGCGCTAGCCTGTAGATTGTTCAGATGCATAGGTGAGTAGCTGCATCATAGCTCGAGTCGGAGAATGTTTCGTACCGGCATGTTGAGGATAGAGTGCTCAGCAGCATATTCGCTTTTGAATGCAGCTGCTTTGACTCGCTCCTCGAGTTGCTTTTTCAGATCTTCAGAGAATCCCGCAGCTTCCATGCTGCGTTGCGCCGACCGTCCACCTTCCAGCACCGCATCCTCGGTCATCTGTGACAGACGGCGAGCCATGGCTCCCTTCTCCTCTTCTTCATGTTTTTTATCAACCTCTCCATCTTCCTCCGTCTTTGTATCTGTCGACCGCGCATTCTGTCGCCGTTGACAAACCGCTGAGAACTGACGTGGTGTAGGAGCTGCAGTATGTAACGAGGGCCGAGCAGCCACAAGGCCGATATGTGAACGCCAGAGCTGTGTGCTGTTCATTGCCAGTCTCTTTTCAAAAGTTTCAGGGTAGATGAAATAATTCAAGACTTAAAAACACATCGTTTCACTAGAAAATAAAGCAGCAAGTGGCAATCATCTTCGCGACCTTCGCCCGATCGATCTGCTTAGTCATGCACCTCCGCGGAGCCAAAACTTCCAGGGATTTTGCGAACCTCCATCTCGCAGGTGCCAAACTCCCCCTCGCTGTCCACGGAGCCCGACATCTCGATTTTCCACCGTCCCGATACAGTCCTCGTCCTCTGAATCTCTCCGGCTTTCGCAATGGCTGGCAAGGGCAACGTCTCCACCCGGCTCAACCCGCTCCGGTTGAACACCATCAACCACCTTCGCGTCCGTCGCCCCAACCAGCATGAGCAGAACCCTTGCGTCACTGTCATGTCGTCGATGCTGAGTACGTCTTTTCTTTTATCGCCGCGTATACCGAGTTAATTCGCCGCGTACTTCGGATCTCTACGGAAAAACATTAGAGGATCTTGAATCACAGAGTACTAACGAATGTCTAGACTGCTGGGCATCGCAAGGATACGGTTTCGAAGGCTGCGCTGGTCTCGAGGCACAATTGCGCAAGTGCATGGACTCATCGGTTCGTTTTCCCTATTCATCTTTGCTGTTCCAGTCCATCTCATCCTATCGACCAATATCGACCAACTGACACCTATAATCCTGTCTAGAAATCGCAAGAGAAGAAGAAGAACACCGTCAACTACCACCTGATGAGAATGTATCCCAAGGTCGTGGGCCCACGGAAGAAGGACGGCGTGTTGGGCTAAATCGAGTCGCATCATCACTGGGAGTTTTATTGTCCGTTTGATCCGCAGATCGCGAATTCGACGGATCTGCGGGTTGATGGGCACAGGAGTTTGTTTTTGCATTGTACAGTATATACCTACGTGACAGCGCGTGAAAAGAATTGATGTATCATTATCTTGGCTTCATATCATTTGATTTGATCTGAATATCGATGTGGGTATTTAGACGGCGTGGAATTTCAAGATTAATTTCTCGGCTTTGGGATGCACAGTATAAGCATCTATTTCTTGAATGTCTTCATCGTTGATGATGGTGGTTCGGAAATTCGTGTATACCGCCGCGGCGACGAGTTTGGATTCTAGTCAAGTGAGCACATAATAGTCTACTTGGCAGGTTCGGTGAAACGTACCTTGCAAGGCGAGATTACTACCAACGCACATCCGACCTCCGCTGCCAAAGGCCCAGAACCAGCGACGTCTTTCTTCGAGTTCGGCGGGCGAGTTCTCTTCCTTGAGCCAGCGGTTCGGCTGCCAGCTTTCGGGATTGGGGAAAACGTCCGAGTTTCGATGTAGCGAATAGGCTTGCGCATTGACTCGGATGTTGGGAGGAATATTATCATAACCCGCCAAAGAACAAGATGGAGAAGGAGTGATTCGGGGTTGGATGCCTGGAATTGGCGCATGAAGTCGCAATGTCTCCGTGACAATAGCTTCCAGAATAGGCAGATTGTCAATCGCTTTTGCCGAAGGGAGATCTGCGCATTTGGGGAACACGATCGACGGGTTGAGGGTCAATAATTCCTGTCGAAGCTTCTCCTGCCATTCTGGATGCTTGGATAACTCCCAGAAAAGGTAAGTCAGACCAACGGCACTAGTCTCAAAGCCAGCTGTAAGTTGATCGTACATCTCACAAGCGATATCGATTTGCTGCTGTTTTGGATCCTGTTTGGAGCCTGTCTCTTTTATAGATTGTTTGTCGAGGCTTTGTTTCAACTGCTTATAGACGATAGGCTCAACAGCAGGATCGGTTGAATCTAGACAATTGGCAGCCCTGCCGCAGAGATCTAGCGCCCATGCATCGAGAACTTCGTTCGCCTCGTCACAGTACTTCGGAATCACGCGGAGTCCCACACAGCTAAGCCATCCCTGTAGCTTCGGCGTCTCTTGGTGATAAAACTCGAAAGGCTTACGGCAGAAGTACATATGAAGCCATTTCCTGCGGTAATCGTGATCCTGGAGATGATTTGTACCGTTCTTCAAGCCGAACAAGTAGCATGAGACGAAGTCCATGGTCAATCCCATATTTAGATCATGCACATCGAGGGACTTGTTTGAATTGACGGACTCTTGAATGATAGGCAGCAAGCAATCGAATATTACTGCATTGGAGACCAAGCGTAGATGAGGTGATGTCTGCAGCGTGGACTTGGAGTAGATATTGGATAGCATTCTCTTACGGGTGGAATGAGTCTTTGTTCCGACCATTGTGAACATGCTCACCGTTCTACACGGATTAGTCCTCTTCCAACAATACCGACGGTGGGAATGAGCTCACCCGAGCGATCCAAAGACCCGTGGATACCAATCATGTTTCTCGAACCCGCCCGTATAAACCGTTTTGATGCCCTCATCGACACAATTGATCGAGAGCTCCTGAGGGGCCAAGTCTCACGAGCGGACCGAGACGCTCATGAGCAGCCTGGATAGTCCGGTTATTTGTCATGCGAAAACGTCTCCAGAGCATCCAGGCAGGAGAGATGGGGACACTCCAGTGAGCATTGGGGATCTTCGCCAATGGCGAGATGAAAGCAGGGTAGATGATCCCCTTGTAGAGGATCAAGGCCACCACGGCGATGGCCAGCGTTGTGACCGAGAGAGCCATGACAGACTGAGGAAGTTCGCAATCTTCCAAAGGGTGTGAAGATTGGTAGCCAAACTTATATAGGTACCTGGCGTTTACTCCGGATCCGTGGCCGTCCCCACTTAGGCTTGGAGAGAGCACTAAATCGGTAAGTCGAGGAGACACGGGGGCTTCTTTGGGGCTGATGTGTCCAACCAGATGCCCGATAACTTCCCCGCGCTGATAAGAGTCCCGATAAGCGGCAAAATGACGAAGCTAGAGACACTTCTCCGAGGTCAGTTACCGAGAGTATAGAGATAGAGACTGTTTGAAAATTGACATTGAAATTGACATTGGGAATTGAGGTTCTGACAGAGCTATACAGACATTTAATTTTCTTTAAAGTACACAAGCAGGCTATTCCAACGGGAGGTGGGAACTCGCTCACGCGACACGAACACATCAAGTTAGTGGAAGAGGCGATGAAAAAATATAGACAAGCTATGGTAGTTCTCAAATCAGTTGACAAGCTTGCTCAAAATACCGACACCATCGCCGGCATCATCGGGGTAGACGTAGAACGCAAGGGCCAGGATCATGTACCTGCGAGAACGTTAGAAAGAGACCAAGAAAGGTGAATAGCAAGGGGACACGTACATTCCGAGACACATGCCACCCTCCAGGTAATTCGACTTGCCATCCTGGATCAACAGGGTGACAACCAATCCGGAAATAAAGAAGGCGACGGTCTCGAAGGTCTGGAAGTGCAGGGTCATCTCGATATTCATGATCCAGCCTAGGATCACCAGGAAGGGGGTGACGAAGAGAGCAATCTGCAAGCTGCTGCCGATCGCAACCCCGATCGCAAGGTCCATCTTATCCTTGTAAGCCACCACGACGGCTGTGACATGCTCGGCGGCATTGCCGACGATCGGGATCAGCACCAGACCAATGAACGTCTTGCTCATGCCTGTCTTCTGCACGATACTGTCAATGCTGCCCACGAGGTAATCGGCGCAGATGGCCACGAGAATGGTGACGACAATCAGCGCGACGGTGGCTGCCCAGGGGCTAAGGATGCGCTCTTCCGCTTCCGCTTCCTCCTCGGCGCCGCCAGCAGTCTCAGAATCGCTGCCATTGCTCTCCTCGAACAGCTGGGCGTGGGAGCGCAATTGGAAGTAGAGGTACATCACGTAGAGGACGAGCAGAATGATGGCGGTACCGTGGGACAACACGAGGATATTGGCTTGGGAGTCCTGCTTGGAAGTGGAAAGGGCAGCGTAGAGAGTCGCGGGGATAATCAGGGATGCGGATGCGACCGCCATTAAGGAGGACATGGTTGAAGCCACGGTGCTGTTGAACGACTGCTCTGAGAAGCGGAGACCGCCGACGAAGAAGCAGCAGCCCAGAACCAAGAGGATGTTGGAAAGAATGCTACCCAGCATACTGGCCTGGACGACGCGGATCTGCTTATCCTTTAGCGCAATGACACTGACCTAGTCACCCCCGATTGTTAGCGATACAAGATAATGCCATGATAGAACTTGATATTGGGAATCCAGATCTTACAATCAGCTCGACTGCATTGCCGAAAGTCGCGTTCATCAAGCCACCGAGAGCCTGACCCATGGTGGCGGCCAACTCCTCGGTAGCGAAGCTCAGCATGGACGCTAGCGGGATAATGGCGAAGAAGTTCAACACGAAAATAGCGGTAGAGTCCCAGCCCAGGGCACCGGCGATAATACCTAGCGGAACAAAGATGAGGAGTACATTGACATAGTCACGAATCAGCGTCAACCACGCGAGACGCACGACATGCATAGGCCATCGCACCCAGACTCGATTGTCCTTGGGGTGGTGATGATGATGTCCATGCTCCGTCTGTTCATGAGGAGAAAGGGCTTGGAAGGAATGAGAACGAGATTCACTGAGCAGAGCAGTGCGCTCGCCCGGGTCAACTGTGCCATTGCCGCTCATTTTTCTGCTGGGGCCGAAGCTGTGGCTTCGCACTTGGGAGCGAAATTGAACGGAAGCTGTCGGGAGTCAGTTGGAGGGATGAAACATTGACAGGCGAAGGGGTAAGGAAAGGGCTCCGTACACATCTTTTTGCTACGCGAGAGAGCCAAGCTTCGTTACTTGCAACAGGAAATAATGGCGGGAAATTCCAGCCACACAAACCGTGGTCGAGACTACCAGAAGAAGGGGGGGGGAGATCGTGATGCAATGGGCGCAATGGCCGTTTCGAAAGGAATAACCCGCACAGCCTCGATGGTACACGCTACACAGTGGAGAACTCTGGACCTGTTCCGGCTGCAGGGGGAAGCTTGGACTTAGTTTTCTGATGGTTGAGGATCTCCACCTCTTTTGGAGTCCAGATTGCCATTTGATTCGCGTGTTGGTTCTCGACGGAGCCAAGACTGGGCCAAGACTTGCACTGCCACATTTCCACAACTGCGTGTCACCCTTGGTTGGAGGACTCGGTACTAGTCTCGGATCTCGTCTCGGTTTCGTTTAGACCGTGCAACTTCGGTTTGGTATTTGGTATAAAATATACTGGAGCTAGTATATAGCACATGGTATCTCCTCAACACCGTCCAAGCAGGAAAAATCAGAAACAAGGAAAAATTACAGTAGGAAGTCACATCAAGGAGAAGAAGAAGACGAAGAAAATGATCGGAGAGATCAAGTTAAAAGGGAGAAAGATGAAAGATGAATGATGATGGATGAGAGATGGTAGGTGAAAGGGAAATAGAAAGGAAAGATTACTCCTCAAGTAGCGCGCCGTTCGCTTCGAAATCCATCCGGCTGTTCTTGCGGCCGACGCCCTTGAAAAGACTGAATCGTCGGAATACTGAATCGCGCATCCCGCTATTGGTGTTGTAGCTGGTCGGCTGGGAGGGGACTTGGGCACTATTCGGGCCAATGTTACCATTGGTACCATTGATACCGTTCGTAAGGGTCACTTCCCGTCCTCCATTTGTGCTTTCACGCGTTACCGGACGAGAATAATCGCGCGTCGGCGGAAGAGTGGACCACCCGCCGCTCGAGACGGGTGCAGGTCGCTCAGGGGGGACTACCCACTGCGCCGCTGGCTGCCGGACCACGATGCTGGGATCCGGCGCGACTGCGACCATCGTGTGACTGACCGCCCGTGTCGCGTGATGCACTGCGAGAAGGCCGCTTCTTCAGGGTCTCATCGCCGGCACCAGCGATGGACGGGGAAGAGCCATGCTTGCCTTGGGCGCCGAACCAGCTTCGCCGTTTGTCACTTTTCCCACCCCGGGAGTGGTCGGTGGCCCGACTATGGATGGTGGCTGCATCGTCTTCTTCCTCGCGCTCCTCGAGATTCTTTTCTTTGCTGCCCGACGGCTGGATGGTGAAGATCGAGTTCGATTGGCCGTGAGATCGCTTGAAAGGATTGATGATGCTGATGCGATGGCTGACCGATTGCCTGTCCGAGCGCTTACGCGTGTGGCTATGTCCTCGGGTGGCTCGGATAAGCTCTTGCTCGGGGCTGACGGAGCGCTGCACAGCCTGATTTCGACGCTCTGATGTGGAGGATTGGCGGGGTTGGGTCGGTGTCGGGCTCGAATGCTCGGGTGGGGATGTCATGAGGGATGCCAATTCGGGCTCAAAAACGTTCTCATAGCGACGCAGGAGCTCCGCCTGCGTGGCTAGATGCGCTGGGCGCTGGTAGAGGGACAGCGCATGCTTAATCGCCAAGGCATGGTCGATAAGGGCAACAGCGAGGGCGTTCTCCATCGGATCCATCGTCTCCGCTTCCTCGGGTTCCTCTGGCTCTTCATCTTCATACTCGAATTCCTCAACCTTGTTCTTCGTACCCTGAGCACCGCCAAGGAAGTCGCGGTACAAGGCCACACAGTTGGAGGTGGATCCCCGCATCTCAAGCAGTTGTTCCAGTGCCTCGGTCAAATTCGACAAGCCATTGTCTTCGCCCGCTGCAGCTCGGCGTTCCAGGAGTTGCAACTCCTGTGTCTTGCGGCACGTTCGCTCAATGGCTGTGTGAAGGGGCGAGAGAGCGACCTCCTGAACAGAAACAATCTCACTGCGACGAAGGATGTTCGGGAAGGCCTCCGCAACAGTAAAGATGAGCTTCTCAACATACTGCTCACGCACGTCCGAGCTACTCGTGTGCCTCCGGGAAGTAGCTGAGAAACGAGAAGGTTCTGAGATCAACAGATGTTCACGAACGGAGTGTGGCACCTTAGAGCGCTGGAAGACAGGATGAGAAACATCACGGTGGGCAGTGACTCCACTGATCTGGAGAAATTGGCCCTCGTAGTCGGGGATCTCGCCGGACGACATGATCTGTGCGGTGGGATGCTCCCGCTGCATGCGATCCACAAACGATGCCATGCGCTCTGTCGGGGACCCCTCGAAGACAAACTCCTTATCACGCAGGGCGGGAGGGAATCCAAGACCCTTGTAGACGACCCGGAAGTAACGGGGGAACTGTTTGTCACCCTTGGCAATGATGTCGTATATCCGAGCCATGGAGCTCTGAGCCCGAGAGAGCTTGGCAAAGTCCATCGTGGTAGCTTCGTAGTGGGCCGCAAGCTCCTTGTAACATGCAAGTGCTGGAGCCCAGGCCAACGCATTCTCGAAATGCTGGATCATGGAGAAATACAGGGCCTCCTTCCGCTCGAAAGCGCTTTGTGCGATGAAAGGTGGTGACATGATCTCCGAAACAGGTTTGTTGAGATCCCATTCGTAGAGGTCGGCATGGAATTGCAGAGCAAGACCAGCCTCGGTGAAATTGCCAGCGGCGGCTTGGGCATCGGCCAATTCATGGACATAACGAATGAAGATGTCTTCCCGGCCCATGTCTTTCATGTATTCCATAAGCTTCAGGGCGTGGAGACTTTGAATGGACGCGCTGCTCTGCGAGGCCACCAGCAGGTCAAGAAGCTCATCGACAGTTGCAATGAGACCTTTCATAGCGCTGAATAGGTCTTCATCAGACTCCGCATCACCTTCGAACAGGTCCAGAAGCTCACCGACAAAGATCTTCTGACTGACGCTCTCACTCATCTGCTTAGACTTGAAGAGAGAATCCAGGCTAGAGATGATCTCTGTCTCGATGATCGAGATATCTTGATTGAGATCCCACTCGCTCAGAATCATTGTGCGAAGAATGTGAACAGCAACATGTCGCAGGCCCTCATGCACACTGAGACAAAGACCTATAATCGGAGGAACCAGGTTCGGAACGTACTGAACCTGGTAACCCCCCAACTTTTTCAAACCATAACGTTCCTGCTCCTCATCGGTAGTATCCCAGCCGATCGCTTCCCAGGTGGAATGAAGCAGATCCGCGCCTTGCTCGCGAACATCGCCAGCGATCTTCCAGACAGCACGACGCTTCTGTTCAGGGAATGTCTCCAGGGCAAGAACATCGCTCGAGATCACCTTCAGCAGCGTCGTAAAGAAAGATTCCCATAGCCTAGTATCAAAGGTATCGGCATCGTCGGGGTTGGGAAGGAATTTGTCAATCAGGAGCAACCCGAGATGCTCGAGACTCTTGATGGCAGCCCGATGATTGTAAACATGAATGCTGAACCAGTTTTCAGGATACGCCTCACAATCTATGATGGAATTGTGGGCTTCAAGCGCTTGTGAAACGAATGTAGCAAGCTCCATTTCTCTCAAAGCGGGCATCTTGGGTGTCACGATCTTGGCTATGGCGGCCATGATGGCTGACAGTTCTACCAGCGACTCGTCAAACTTCTGCGGGATCGTAGAAGTCTTAACCTGGAAGGGGAAAGCCTTGCTGAACAGTAAGGACAGGTACTCAGTCTCGTCCACACCCTCAGTTGCTATAGCACAATATGAAGCGACAATACTCGGCATAAATTCGTACAGCTGAGGATCCGGATGAGAGAGCAATTGAGCGACAATTGCACTGTTAAGTCGGACCTGATCTCGGTACTGATCCGAAACGGTTCCATTGGAACCCCAGTAAGGCGCCAGCCAACCAATACAGCTGGAAATCAAAGTCCTTCTCTCGTCGCCGGTTGCAAAGATCTCGAACTGGGTGTAGTTTTGGATAAGCACCAATTTGTAGAGAACTAACATTCCCGTAACATCCTTGCATGAATCCATGAAACTCAAAGCGATCATTATCATTTCATCCCGCCCGAGGACATTAGAAAGCTCGGGGAGCCATGAGTGGAAGTGCTGGACGATCAAGGTCTTGCTTCCCACCAAACTCGGTGAGGGGTTCTTCATCAATGTTTCCATGGACTTGAAAATTGTATGCAAGTCTCGGTTGAAAGTGGACTGCACAGTGGTAATTCCAATGCCTTCTTCCTTGGCCTTTTGCTGCTCGCGGGCTTTGATGATGAACTTGAGCAAGTGGCGTCCCACCTTGAAAGCGGCACGGAGATTGCGAGACTGATGGAGCTCGGTCGCGGCGTTCAAAAGGCGCAAGTAGCTGCGGATAAGGCACGGGGTGACAAAGGGGAAGTTGAATTGCGAGTCAGCGTAATTATCGACCAAGGGGCTGAGGTTGAACCTCCGGTCGTGAACAATCCCCAGCACGGTGACCAGGTTGTTGAAGATTAAATCTTCATATTCTTCGTTTCCAGCGTTCTCAGCAAGAATACCGAACAGTGCATCAAACACACTGCGGAGCTGCTTGACAATCTCAATCTCTGGGACGAAGAGGAGACGCTTCAGGGTATCGAGGACCTCGTCGACGGGGCGTTCCTTCCAGTTCAGCAGACTCAAGATGACCTGATCCTGTGAGTACTCGGTACTGCACAGATGGGTTTCAAGACGCAGTGTTGCTAGAGGGCCGGTGACTGCTTCGTCCTTGGCAGCTTCGTTCTTGCCAAGTGCACTCCATGGGAGGCTGAGATAGGCGCCCTTGCCATTCTCAATACTAGAGGTCTGCTTATCGTAAGCATAAAGCAGAAGTGAGTGTTGACCATCTCGAATGAACGCATTCTGATCCCAAAGAGGCATCCATGCAAGAGCGAAGGGGAATTCCGGTGCATCCGCAACACTCATAATGATATGAGAGCCAGGAATGCGGTTTGTAGGGATTTTCAGGCGAATTGTCTGATTCCACGGAAAGCCGCGATCAGCGATGGTCGTACGCCAAGCTGTCACAGAGGTCGGAGCAGAGGATGGGAAGACACATCTGTCCACACGTGTGCCAGATGCATCGCGAACCTCTAAGGTCAGTTGAAGATTGCGGAGACCAGTATTCGTTTGGAGGGAAATCTGGCCAGCAGACGGATGAGATAGCAGCGCATCGGTAGGGAGCACGGCCTGTGAAAGTGTAACATAGATGTCGGATCGAGGCTTCGCAGGTGCCTTGGAAAAACCGATGCGCCTCGTCTGTATAACATCGTGTAAAATCGTGGGATTTTGACGGACAAGGGTTTCGGTATCGGTACTGGTGAATGGATGCAGATGGAGATGTAGACGTGCGGCCGATTGAGATCGCACATATCGACCGTTAGCGTTCGGAAGCAGCATTTGAAGTAACTTCTCAAAGCCTTCCGCGTAAGCCTCGCCTTCCTCGCCCTCTTGAGGAGTCGACCAGATATTGATCACCTGCTCGGCATCTTTGTCTTGTCGGAGAACAGGGGATACCTCCAAGATGCCAACTCCCACAGTGCGAATGGCCATCGATTCTTTCATGGGCGCCGGTTGAGGAGATGTTGTTTCCTGGGTATTGGACGAGCTGCTCGATGACCGTGGGACCGCTTGGGCAGGAGACTTGACTGATTGATCAAGGGTCGGACTACCCCGTGCCTTGGGAGACCACATCATACTGCGCCGTGTCCTCAAGCTTCCCTTAACTGATGGCTGCACGCCTCCGGCGCTGGGTGTCCGTGTAGTAATCGGGCCTTCTCTCGACATAGAAGCCCTCGACGGCGTGATTTCAGCAGCAGACCGGGACTCTACCGTCCGAACGAAAGCAACCAGATAAAGTTGTCGTCCATTGGCGCTGCCATCGCCGATATCAGTGGCAGCAAGTTCAGTGAATAATGTTTTCAGCTTGTTACTGTGTGTCAAGCTAATGAATTTGTCGGGAGATGGAATGTCCAAGCTATACGTCTCGGACAGCGGATGATACGCACCGGCGTCTGATCGAGAGTATAGCTGCATTCCAAGGGTCACAGGGCCTGGAACAGTTCCCGATACAGCATTTATTTCCAACAGCATATGATGCAAAGCCGTGGTGTCGGATGTGGTTGTAGGACGATCATCGAGCATGCTCATTTCGGATTGTAGCTTGGCCAGCTGAATTGCGGAGTCTTCGCCTGTCAACAATCGGCCTCTTTGTTCTGAATCGCGCACAATGATATCTCCACTAAGCATCTTGTTGGCGCGAACAAGCTTCCACACTGTCTCATCGCGCAGTACTTCCTTCTCTTTCCCAGTCAACACATTATGAAGCAATTGGCGTCGCGAAAAGTCCAATTCTTGGACAAGTCTTGACACCTCCTCCAGTACATCATATTGACGAGCGAGAAGTAGCTCGTGTAGGTTGGTCGAATGCCATTCGCGGAGACATGATGCGATCTCGTCGACGAGCGGTTCTGTCAGAGAAGTTGGGGTCTCATCGCCAATTTTCAACATGGGCACAGGCGCAGCAGGTTTAGGCGCACTGGGATCTCGAGGAGCGAAGGACATAGGCGTGTGCGGGATCGATCCGGTTCGATAGGTGTGGACAGATCGCGGGCTCGAAAGGTCCGAATCATCGGTCTTATTGATCACAATCTGTGCAGGCCTTCCCTTTTTTGCGAGGACTACATCCGTCACCTCGCCGACTGTCGTCGACTCGCCTATGGAGAAGGCCAAGCTGCTTCGAGACACATAGTCTGTGTCAAGGCCAGGCAGGGTCAATCGGTCCAAGCTCTTCCGATCGCCGTTGAGCATGGCCTTGTAACCATCACCGTCCCCCAGTACCTCACGGATCTCAACGCAGTTCCGGGGAAAGATGCCGGAGAAAACGCGGGCCTCGAGAGTTTGACCCTTGGTACTCGTCAATCCCGCCAACAGTGACGGCGGTGCAACTAGATAACCACGACACCATTCTCCGTCCGATCCGCCTTGTTCTATAATGTATAATTCATCGCCGAGTTCGAGGGGGAGGTCGGCCGGGGAGGAGGGGTGAAACGGGTAGATGGCCACAGCAAAAGCAATGCGAGGCAGCGGCCGCCAGGGCATAGCTGCGGCGAGCTCTGTTCACCGAGCGCGAGTAGGGATTCCCAAGAATAAGCTCAAGGTTGTACCGGCTCTCCCCGCACAATGTGGTTGACGTTCCGATCGCAAGAATTTCGAGGCAAGGGAGGCAGCGATTCACGGGGAATGTTCGTCTCGAAGGACCGCGACATGCAGTCAATGATCCAAGATGCCGGGTCGAGGGGGAGGAGAACCGAGATGAATGCGATTGCGGATACGATATGCGACAGATAGGAAAGATTCTAGAGGGTCATGATCGTGATTAGGAGGACGGATCATGGAACAATTGAGAAAGCTTTTGCGCAACTGGCCTTGGGGGCCGACAGTCCCGATGTGCAACGGCGCAAGCTAGCTGTTCAGAGCAGGGCGAGTCCTCTCCGAGTCGCACTCGCTGTCCGTGGTCCCCCTTGCGAGGGAAACCTCTCGCGTAGTGGAGACTCCCTGACCCTTTGGCCGTAACAGTGGGGAAATCAGGAGGGGTGAAAAGAGGGACTCACCGTGGAATAGAAATACAAATGAGAGGAGAAGGTCGAGTTGACGAGAAGATCTCCAGGCCACGATCCAGGGCAAGAATCAAAATCACCTTAAGTTTCTCCCCACACACCGTACAAAGCTTGGGAAGGCAGCCCGATTGGCACTCCGCCGAGGCAGGTTTCAGCGGACAAGGACAGCTACAGAGTGGGCAGTTGATACAGACGGCATTGGAACGGGTCTATTTGTTGTGGCTTTTTCTAATCTCTTTATCTCTTCAATTCCCACCATCGTTCACTGAAGCAGAGCTCAAGCCTTGGGAGTAAGAGCTATATATGGCCCACGCATCATAGCTCTGGAGTTCCCTTGGAGAACTCTGGAAGTTACTACTAGAAAACTACTTCACCCAAGCGCAATGGGTTCTCCAATGTCTCGATCCACCGTGTATCCCAGCTTGAAAGCAACAATTGCGAATCGCAAGCACGGACCAGAGCGTGCCCCTGAGCCGTGAAATGAGGTAAAATGCGATGGCCTCGAACAGGTGGACCCGGGGCGGCCTATCCACACCAATCATCGCTCAACAGATGGGCTAAATTGTGGGCATTCGATTCCACGAAGATCAGAAGGGATTTAACCTCACTGCATTCATGTATCTAAAACAAAGTTAATTGGGACGTTGGAAGAATCTCGTGCAGAAAGGAGAGGGCGAGTTATATCGTTCACGACCATGACTACTAACCCTGGGGTACCTTACGAAGACTGAAGCCGAATACCTGCACACTTGACACAGATACCCCTAGTTGGAAACTATGATGAAACTGTGTCGCGATGGACTTGCTTTCAAAGGCTTTGTATGTAACGGGAGCCATGAAACCAATTGCGCCCAGCTGATGACCCAACGCTCCATAATCCTAGATATGGTAAAACGAGAAAAAGAAAAAAAAATTCAAGACGCTCATTTCCGGAACATTGCCAGGGCGTCTTCCTTGCGCCATTCCAGCTCCAATTGTCCATCGTACACCGTGTCGATGATCCGTCGCGTGCGGTCATATGCCTCTTCGTAGCGGATCTCACATTCCCGGAGAACCTTGATCACCAGGCTGCGACTGAGGCCCGGGTCATCAGCATCACCAAAGTGCTTCTCGACACGCTTCTTGAGCATGTCGACGCCACGCTTGATTTCCTTCGTGTCGTAAGATGAGAGGACCTTCTTGGCGACCATGCGGGAGTGGCTGGCCCGGCTTGCAATGTCGGCTGCATTGCCGTTTGCCTGCAGGTTTTCGATGCTCTGCACAAAGTCCAGCAGCTTGCCCAAGGGTCGATGGATGACGGCATCGAGGTAGAGTTTCATGTGCTCATCAAAGTCGTGGTGTGCCCGATCAAACCACCGCTGTAGTACTGGGAGGTTGTGTACCTGAACCTCCTCAAGGTAATGGTTCATGTTCTCGATCAGGAGGATGTGGTAGTTCAAGACCTCCTTGTCTTCGGGGTCACCGGCACTCGCTGCTACGCCCGGTGGTTGGCCGGGTGCTTCCTTGGCAATAAACTTGAGTGACTCCCACATGGCTCGATTGATGCGCTCGTACGCCTCGTTCACGCTAATGCGAATGTCACAGAACTCGCCATTCGCCAGCATATTTTCTATGGCTGCGGAGAAGTGGGGAAACACACGGATAAAGGAGATGACACCCTTTCTCTTGTTGACCTTGACTTTGGTGTCCTCAATCCCGCGAATCTGTTCATCGACGAATCGATTGAACATTCCCATCAGGCGAGAGTGGACTTTCTGTAGAGTGTGGATGATAAATTCTTGGTTGGTATCATCAAGGTCGGCCATGGCGGTCTCCAAGGCGAATAAAATTCCGATTCCTTGCATAGGGTCGGCCTGCAGCGCCCAATCGACACTGCTCTGTAGATCGTTTGGCCAGAAAGAAAAGACTTCATCCATGATCGCTTCCACTCTCTTCGCCATTGAGCGATCAGGATCATGGGGCTGCTGAATGGAAAAGCTTGGGCATGTGCGTACATCGGGAAGTGGCAGCGGCCACCAGGTCGGAGAAATCGGCAGTGGCCAGAGAGTTGAGGTGGAAATATTCCACCACGAAGTTCTGTTCTTCACTAATCATGTTCAAGGTCTCACGCAGGGTTCCGGCAAATGCTTCGCAAGCCTCAAGTTTGCCCTGTTTCTTTTCACTGGAAGCCAATCGGAAGCCAACTGCGGCGCGAACAGTCTTGCCTCGTCGGACAGTGAGCTTGCGGGCCGCCATGGTAATACCCTCGCCCTCTTTCTCTTTCTCCTGGTGAGTGAAGAGAAGTTCCGACTCGTCCCCAGTTGGCTTCTTGGCGGTCTTCTTCCACGCTGTACTATTCTCTCGGAAGTCATTCTGGTAGGATGGCTTTGATGTTTGTTCATAGAGGTTGACTAGGGCCTGCCATTCGGACATACTGACCTCCCGGGCAAACAGCATAAGTGGGTGGTACATCCAGACTTCACTCCGGAATTGCTGCCGCGCGGCGCTGTCCAGCTTCATTGGATCTCTGATCGTAGATGCAATCGCATCGATCCATTTTTGGTCCGCCATTTTGAAAGCTACTGCCATGTGTTGCTCCAGCCGCTGCAAGAATACCAAGGCGGCAGAGCGGTACTCCTCTTTCTTCTCCTGGATGGCACGCATTTGGCCAAATTCGGTGTTGGCGTAGACTCCCACACTAGCATCGGCCTGCCGCTTCTTATTTTGACCAATGTCAGCATCGATCATGAGCATGGCCTTGTATAACGTTGACAGGGCGGTCTCAGTGTCTCTTAGGGCATGAGGATTGCTTAAAGAAGCTTCCTTGAGAGGACGCATCTCGTTGTCCGAGATTGACAATGTCTTTAGCAGATTCTGGAGCTCAGTCTGAAGGAGTTTTTGATTTGCCGTTTGCACCTGCAAACCTTGAGATCGAGTTTCAATATACGCCACATCATCGTTCAGAGTCTGTCACAAAGTGGTCAGCGTCGTGTTCAGTGGGAATCCGGATCATATCACTTACATTCAATTCGTGGGAGTAAAGAGTTAGCAGTCCTTCCATTTCTTCACACTCTTCAATTGTCTTGTCAATGAGGACTGCAAGCTGCTCAACCTTGCCTTCTTGTTGTTCGAGGTTGCCAAGCCAGCTCGTCGCCTCGACACGACCAATCTCACGACGAATATCAGCTTCCAGATCTTCAATCTTCTGCTCGTCCCCTAGACGGCCATTCCATCCCAAATCAGTGAGGATGTCGTCAAACTCGATGCCGCGTCCATCGAGCACACCGGGATCAATGCCAAGGGCTTGACAGTATTTGATAGTATGATCCTCGCGTCGCCTCCGGTTTCGGACCTGTGCTGCCGGAGACGGTGTCCGTGAGCGATCTTTCACCTTTACAATGTCTGTCAAAGAAGTATTCGACTCTTCCTTAGCAATAGCCGGAGACAATGGGGTCTCTTCAACGGCAGCCTGCGTAATTTCGACAGTTGGAGTGGTAGGATCACTAGGGGCAGGAGGTGCTGCTGCCGTGGCAGCAGTGGTGGCGGCAGCAGCGGTAGATGCAGTAGACGGCACAATAGCTGGAGGCTCTCGAGGAGATGTTGCGTCCACAGGACTCTTCGGGGGCTCGTTGCCTGGTCGTGCGAGAGATGGAGCAGGAAAAACGCCGGTGACGCCATCAGATCCAGCTTCTTCGGCCTGCTGTTTCTTCGCTGCGGCAAGAAGTCTCTCACCGGCTCCACCAGGCCGAGGCTTGAAACCGCCATACGCATTGGCCGCCTTTCGGAAAGCGCCTGCAACATCCTTTGCAGATGCCTTTTTCTTGATCATGGGACCCAGTCCCGGACGGTGTGCGTCATCGTCTTCCTCAGATGGCTCGCCAGGGATGCTTGGCGCTTGTGTTGCTTCTGTCTGTGATTTCTCTGCCAGTGGTGTTTCTGTTGGCAGTGGTTTCGGTGCTTGCGATAGTTGCGATAGTTGCGATGCTGCTGCCTTCGGTTCTTCCTCGACTGCCTTGGGTGGCTCTTCAGCTGCAATGACGGTAGCTGCGATTTCGGGCTCAATCACAATTGGCGATGAAGGTATTTCTACTCTCGCAGGCGAGTATGCGACGTATTCAGTTTTCGTTGCCAAAGGAGACAGGGCGTCTGAGCCAATCCTGTCCTGAGAGGGACGGGGTCCCTGGTCCAACGGAGAACCTTTCTCAAAACCTTCGCCATAGGGTGACTTTGGTCCAATACTACTTCCAGGGCTAGGAGGATAGCCACGATTATCGCTAGTAGCTGAGCCGGCAGTAGTAGGTCGCAGTCCATCAGTACTGATCTTCGGGACCAATGTTCTTGGATCGGAGGCATGGGCTGTGAGTGCTGCACCTTCCTCTGAGGTATTGAGGAAAGTAGACAAAGCATCTTGGCTCTTCGGCTCAGGCCGTGGAGGCACAATTGGTTGCTTCATAGGAGATGTGCTGAATGGAGACGGGGCAGGCTTGGACGCAGTGGACGGGCGGGACAACTGTTCACGGCTCTTCTGACTTCGAAGCATAGGTTCCTCTGAGGGCTTCCGTCTAATATCTTGTGGTGCATCGCGGCTGTGGTCGCGACTGCTGTAAGCCGACTGCGCTGGTACTGGCGGCTCTGGTGGAGCGCCAGCAGGAGGGCCGGCAGGAGGACCAGAAGGAAGGCCCGGGGGAGGGCCTCGTCCTGGTAGCGCTGCAGGTGCAGCAGAGCCAGATGCTGCAAGTAATTGTCGTTCCCTCTCATCGAATCCAATTAGTTCCGGAACCTTGCCTCCGGTGTACTTCTTGAAGATCTTGACCAGACTGCCAATGAAGAACTCTTTCTCCTTGGCTGTACGGGCATGCCAATAATATGGCTTTCCCACGGTAACGACGAAGCCAACATTTCCTGCCCATTCCTTATGCTTTTGCTCAATCGGTGACTTCGGGACGAAGGCGCTGTATGATTGAATGGCGGACAGATCGTCGAGCATCCAAGTTTTGCCAATGGAGAATGACCCGTCATTGTTTTCACGGGCTTTGTGCATTCGTACCCGGCCAGATCTTCGAACTGAAACGATGATAGCGCGGGGTTTCTTGTTCTTGGGATTCGAGTCTGGCGGAGCAGGGGCGGATGGATGCGCTGCATCCTCCACGATGCGAACATGTGTGATATATGATTCGACCACTGTGAAGGCATTAGCTGGTAGTCAGCGATTTCAAATCAATTTGAAACCAGTGCGCAGGATAGCAGACTATAGTCGCAGGACGACTATGTGGCCGCAGTCTGAAACGTCACAGGAACCATGCAGTGCTATCCCCTGGAGAGGAGAGAGTATGTATTTCCTTGAGCGCAGAGAGGGGTGGGCATTTTCTCACATACAAGTTCCATCGGCATCTTTCTTCGAGTAGCAACTCTGGATAATGCGTTTCTTTTCGTCCTCAAACTTCTCCGCTCTGGACATAGAGCCATCGCTGCCATTACGTTCTCCCCACGCCGAGCATCGCTCGGCGGAGGCGGACGGGGACGATCTCGGCCATTCATTATCGCGGCGCTGCCCAAGTGGGGTGACCCTTGTATTGCTTATTAGAGCCCCAAGATCAAGGGGACATGGTCGAGAGGTCGGGGTCGGAATGAGCGAGAAGCGCCGAGCGCACCGTGCCCAAAGTCCGAATTGACGTGGAATAGCAACACAGACACGGCGATCAATCGTATAGAGCACAGGGCAGGAAGAAAGGGACGGGGATGCAATTCCGAATGGGCGTTGAACTAGATCACCACTTGTTTGGGGTTGCGGGCAGCGGGCGGAGAGCTCGTGGGAGCGGGTAATCGAGTTGATCCGGCTACTACGGCTGCATGCCACAGCTATTCATCGAGCTAGGGATGACTTGCATCTTTGAATTGAAGGCTCCTTATGCTGGTCCCGAGTCCTAGCTACAGCTTTGATTCTCATCTCATGAGCCACATAACCAATCTGCCCCTCATGCGTAGGCTATTTCAATATGTCTTCATGCCTTGATGCCTGAGCTGGCGGTAGCTCGAAGTCACATGGTCATGCGGGAGACGCGCTAGTCCGGTTTGGTGGTGTTCGCCGCCGCCAATCACTGATGAGCAATTTTTTCACCGCCCCCATTCTATACTTTTTTTTTATCGGTTCCTGGAAAGGCCCTTGCGAAACAGACAAATTTGCATCGACAGCGCTTTTCACCTGCTTGTTCCAGCTCTCCTTCGTCCCTGCGATACTGGAAAATCCTCAGTCTCAATCATGGCCAAGACCTCAGCTGACACGAAGAAGGCTTCGCCGAAGAAGGTAAATACAGATCCTTTCACTCTGCGACGCATAATCAACAAGAAACTTAGTTAACGGGTTCTCTCATTCATAGGACAAGACTAGCCCCCTTCCTCCTCAGCTTCTTGCCGCTGTCTCTTCCTTCTTGTTCGACAATGGCTTTGCCGGTGCCAGCGCCTCCCTTGCGAAGGACTTGAAGAAGGCTGGTCAGGCTCAGGCCGAGGCGAAGAATGTCCCGTCTCTCTTAGACATCTACCAGTCGTGGGAGAAATCCGCCTCGAAGGATTCTTCTAGCTCCGACAGTGATAGCAGCGATTCCGACAGCGACAGCAGCTCCAGTTCCGACAGCGATGCTAGCGACTCGGACATTGAGATGGAAGACGCGCCCAAGAAGGATATCAAGGCTGCTCGCGCCGCCTCACCCGCTTCGTCTTCTTCTTCTTCTAGCTCTAGCTCTAGCTCTGAAAGCGACGCCGACGACGAGAGCGAGGACGAGGCCGTTCGCATTCCTTCCCCCGCTGTGAAGAAACAGACTGGCACTAAGCGCAAGGCTGAGTCCAGCAGTGAGTCGTCTTCTGACTCTAGCTCCGACTCTGACTCTTCTGAGGACGAGGCCCCCAAGTCCAAGAAGGTCAAGGTCTCCAGCTCTGACTCCAATTCCTCTGATTCCTCGAGCTCTAGTGACTCTAGTGACTCTAGCGACTCTAGTGACTCTAGTGACTCTAGCGACTCTAGCGACTCATCTGATTCCTCTGACTCGGACTCTGACTCTGACTCTGGATCTTCTGAGTCCGAGGAGTCCGCCAAAAAGGCCGATGCCAAGGCCCTGAAGCAGGCGAAGAAGACTCCTCTTCCCGAATCCAGCAGCTCGGCTTCCTCTTCGTCTTCTGATAGCTCTGATAGCTCTGATGATGAGAAGACTGGCGGTGTTTCCGTTTCAAAGAACGATTCTGACACGAGTGCTACCCTGTCTGCTCCCGCTGAACAGACTTCCTCCTCCAGCGCCAGCCCTGCCCCTGGCAACGGCCCGGCTAAGAAGAAGCACGTCGGTGCTCGCCCTACGCCCCTCGCTCTTCTGAGCCAGGAGCCCTTCGATGGCCCCGTCAATGACTACGTTTCCTACGCCTATGCCGATCGTGCCTACGCCGACCTCTCGGTCACCCGTGGCAAGGGCTTCACCAAGGAAAAGAATAAGAAGAAGCGCGGCTCTTACCGTGGCGGCCCCATCGATATTTCCGGCGGCAAGTCCTTCAAGTTCGACGACTAAATGCAATCCTTCTGGAACTCTTTTAAAACGACAAAATTGCTTCGTCGTTTCTCAAGTTCCACATCGCTCATACGAAGACTACACGGCTCTCTCTCAACATTATGATTCGGGTATGAGACTTTCTTTCGACGCAATCGAGTTTATTCATCCTGCTCGAATTGCTTTCTACTACTAGTCTCGCGTTCACCTCAAGGCTGCTGATCCAACCGTGGACGCTTCACACCCATTTTACTCAGCATGGCGCTTAAGGAGCTCTGGATAAATTTGCTCACCGCATTGTTTGCTTGTTAATATTTGCTCACTTCATAGAATATCACAAAAGTTATGAGGATTCTATTTGCTTCTCTGTAGGTCTAGTGGTTCGGAAATCTCTTAAACGACAGCGTTGCGTGATGGTGAGAACGTCTAATCTAGCCATCTCTTCGTCTCCAGGCACCAGGTTCACTAAGTGGTTGCCACCGCCAATCCCAACCTGTGTCCTCCATCTTTTCCAATTGGCTTTCAGGATCGAGACACCACTCCTCAGTCTGCGTTCTCAATTTGGACGTCGTAGTCAGATCATCCGGATCTGGACGCTCGAACCCGGCTAGTCTGAGCACTGAGCTGGGATCGGACATTGCTGATGAACTCATCTCGGTTTTATGGGGAAGGTTGAGGTCGAGGACACTTTCGTACCACTCCTTTCTGGGTCCAGCTAGGTCGTCCATCGATGCAAAGTCGAGACGTACGACACCGTCCACAATACCAGTGTATACGGTTTGCGAAGAAGGGGACGGCGTGGACATTGTATATATCGGACCTCGGTATGGGCCTCTCCTGCGATTGCGACCGTTCTGCTGGGGGAGGAGTGGAGGCGGTGGCGACGAAAGGAAAATGGAAAAGTTTTTGCGAGGTCGTTTCCCTCCTTCCTCTTCGTGATGATGAGATAATGTGTGTAGGGTTTGGGCCTCAAGATAGTCATACGTTTTGTCCATCCGAAGGTCGAAAATTTTGACTAAGGCGTCCCCGCTAGAGCCCGCGAGAAATCTGTCATGGCCAAATGGGTGAACACTGTACGTGAGATTTGGGTCAGTAGTATCTATGTATGTTGTTTCGTAAGAATGTGGAGACCGAACATCGTGGAGTCTAGTTTTTACGTTAGAGGCTCTGTGGTTACAGACAAAGCGTGACACACTAACCTGACTGTTCGATCACCCCAAGCGGCGAGGAAGACATCGCCCGGATTCCCGGCAAGTCTGTGCAAATTTAAAGGTGCAATAGCAGACACAGTGCTATGCGCTGAATGACCAAGTTGATCTTCGATGTCCAATGTTTCCACTCCGATTTGTCGTACGGGAAAGACGCCATCCGGAGAGATTGTTGAAATTGACAACGTATCCTCCAATCTCCCAGTGGCCACAGCAATTCGTGTCAATGAGAGCAATTTTGAATATCGGCTCCGTGACAAGCGGTTTGGCTCGATCCATGTAAACGGCTCGACCTCTTTTGCATTGTCGGTTGTATGGTACAATGCGATGGATCCATTATCAAAGTGACCAGAAAGGATGGGCCCTTTGCCATCACTTAAGTCTGTTCGATCAAGAGTCATCCCTTTGGTCATGAACCTCTGCTTCGTCTCAAAGGCCGTGTCACTGGTAGAGAGAGCAAGGCGAACAATGTCGCCGCGAATGCGACCAAGGATCAAGTGTTCAACGTCCACCATTTTGCCGCCATATTCGGGCTCAAGGAGATGCAGGCCACAGATATCATCATAACTGCTAACACGGTGCCGGTCATTAAACACAATCCAATTTTCCTGTGGATGGGTTCCAAATTGCTTGATGCGCATTAACAGCTGGTGACCTGCACCCCAGGCGAGGACTTCCTTCTTGTCAGCCCAGAAATTGCCATACCAGCTCTCATAAGAGTCAATTGGAGGTCGGTATCCAAGGGTGGGGTTGTCGTCTCTGGTTTCTTCATGGTACCCGATCCGGGTTATGTTCTCAGCTGGCAGGACGAAACGGCCAATAATGCCCAATCTGTCAAGGGCGCGCGAGCGAGAGGTAAGAGCGCATGCAGCATCTTTCCAAAATGGTGGTGTCTTTGTTGAAGGAAATTTTTGTTTTACGAATGCCCGAAAGAAGGCTGCTTCCTCGGATGTAACAATTTTATATAATCGACGACAGGTTTGTGCCAAGTGCGTCAATGAGCTGACAGTTGGCAGATGGATTGCGATATGAAATATTATCTCCGAGGGGAGATCAGGAAGCATGACGATACCAAGGGAGGACTTTCGAAGGATCGTCATAGGATTCTGAATTTCATGGCCACAAGTTTACTTCGGCGGTGCGGCACGTCAGAATTCAGCCTGAGGAATCTTCTCCGAATCTTCTCCGCGACGTCGCTCATAACCGCATGACCCATAACTGCTACAACCAATTGGAAAAGGATGCCGTGAGATTAAACATAACAGCATGGATCGTCCAATTATATGACTATGAATCAGGTTCTCACCGCGATTGTGGCTTTATCTGGTTTTCGATACGTGGTGATGATATAATGACTAAGCAGGTCCAGAAAACTTGCAGGCCACACCTCGGCGAGTCACCGCCAACATTTAATCACATCTATACCCCAGTTGCAGTTTTGTGGGGTTACTACGCACAATATGCCGCCCCGGTTGAATCTATTCTCAGCAAATAAGGCTGTCTTGGCCCTCCGCCAGTCGACCGTCCCTTCCGTGGCCTCGCCGAGTATCGCTCTCCCTCTTCGATTCGGTGTCGAGCAGACGACCTTGGCCCAAAAACGATGGAACTCGTCCAAGAAGGAACCCAATCCGGATGAGCAGGTATTCCCGACGCAAGACCAACTGCCTCATGTCAGTGAAGAGGCTGCCGAGATCGACCGAATCATGAGTAAGGAGAAGAGCTGCGATGGCCAGCTAACACAGCCGGAATTGGATCAAGGAACTCCAGTTGAGGAGGTGAGTAGTGCCATGGAACGCCTCGCAGTGTATACTCTGGATTGTCTTTAACCAACATTCTTCACGAGCAGATTCTCCAGCGCGACGAAAAGGCGATGAAGCACATGCCCAAGATTATGCAGCAGCAATTGAAGAAGTCTGGTGGCACTCGCTCCTTTTCTACCTCTGCCCGCAGTAACCAGCCGGGCGTGGAGGATTCTCTCCATGCCGATGCGTCCGCTGCGATGCTTGCCGATATGATTCAGCAGGTCAACTCGCAAGCGCTCGAGCGCAACCCAGGCTTGAAGTTCGATGCGCCAGAGATACCTGCCAAGACCATGAACTTCCGGAAACGCTACGACTCGCTACAGGAGCAGTTCACTAAAATGCTGATGCAAGATGGAAAACTGGCCCGGGCTCAGAATGTATGCCTTGTCCTACCCCGCAACTTAGTTGTTCTGATCATCGGGACTAACACGCTTCATTTAGAACATGTCTATCATTCTGGACCACCTTCGCACTTCTTCTGCTCCCAATCCCAACCCGCGCCGTCCTCTCATTGGCGGACCCCCGGCTCCTCAGCTGCCTCTCGACCCTGTTCTCTACCTGACCCTGATCGTTGATTCAGTGGCTCCTCTTTTCCGTATTCGTCAGGTGAAGGGTATTGCCGGTGGTGGTACTGCCGTGCAGATTCCTCACCCATTGAACCTGCGCCAGCGCCGCCGTGCGGCCATCAAGTGGATCATCGATGCCTCGGAGAAGCGACGTGACGCGCAACTGGCCCACCGGGTTGCCAACGAGTTGGTTGCGGTTGCAGAGGGCCGAAGCGGTGTTTGGGACCGACGAGACGGTCAGCACAAGATGGGTATTTCTGGCCGTGCGAACCTGGGTCTTGCTCCTCGTCGCCGCTAATTTGGGCCCCCTTGTTGTATTATTTCTGGGTTGGAGGTTCATTTCAGCATCTGCGCATGTAAAATATCAAGTTCATTCAACAAAGCAAATTTGAATTCAGAAGCTAGCATGAGTCTTTCTAATTGTGTATATCCATAGATCTCTTCCAAAGGCTTTAACACTGAGGGTTTTTAGATGTGAACCCTCTCGGTATTCCGCGTGTCTGATAGGATCGCTACTCGCTTACCTCAGCGGCGCCCGAGTTATGCCTAATCAGGTAATCAACGGTCCTTGAAGTCATCGCGAAAGAGCTCAGGTGCCAATAGCTATCTTAAATGCTGTCACGGCTCGCGTGCCTCGGAGAATAGGATACCAGCGCCGAACCTGGAACCTGGTATCCGATCATCGCACACCATCATTTACAGCCTGACCATTAGTGCAACCCACGGAACCTGGGCCCAGCTGACATTGATTGATCGGTTTGGGCGCCCCGCTTAACTATCCATTTTCTCCAGCGGACCCCTCTTTCCAGTTGGACAATTGTTCGCTCCGGTCGATCTCCTTCGGTACCAACTCGACGGTGGCTCCTCCATCGAGTAACGAATCCTTCGAGCTTGCCAACTTCCAAACTGCCAGAGACCCTGCCTCGAGAGCGCCCGCGTCCACATCGGCTAGTGCGCAAGTACTGAGAAGCATACAACGGTCATTTGAGCCTGCCAGCAGCTCACAGTCGCTTGCCGGGCTCTGGATTTGGACAAGAGGCGGACCAGGAGAAGGCAACCTCGTCGGAACATCGCCCTCGGGCAACCCGCTTCACTCGACTCAGGTACTGGGCTGAGACCCTTCGACGCCGGGCTCAAAACGCAAGTCTCCCCCAGGCTGACCGTGATCCAGAGATCTCAGCCAAGATGAAGTTCTCGCACAGCATTCAGTTCAATGCGGTGCCGGATTGGAGTTCCAACTACATCGCATACAGCAATCTTAAGAAACTGTAAGTCAATCTTCGCTCTCGTCTCGTGTGTGTCTCGCATGACTACTTACTGGTTTGGGTCTGTGGTCGTGGACGTGGGCATCTTGACATGCACATTGGCGCGGGTGTCACATTGCACAGGCCTGGGTGGATGCATGAGCTGGGAATGCGGAAGTCGAGTTTCATTTAGTCGGCTAATTCAGTGATTCAACGGTCAGGATTTATACTCTCGAGAAGCTCAACAACCGGCATGAGGGTCAGAATGGCGCGGATGTCGAGTCCGCTCCGCTGCTTGGCGCGCATCAAGTGACCAACCCCGATGGCATCTTTAAACGCGCCCTGGATGCAGAGCTAGATAAGATCTGCAGCTTCTATGAGCAGAAACAGGAGGAAATCTTTCATTCCACAGATGACCTAATTCGGGAGGCCATGGTCTATCTGTCCGAAAACGGACGGCTTCAACATGGATCCGGTCAGCGAGACTATCGTCAAAGCCAGAACCTTGAATTCGAATTCTCGTCGGAGCACTGTTTCCGGTAGTCAGAACTATGGTCTGAATCAGCGTCGTCCGTCTAGTGGCGGCAGTGAAGATAGTGATGAAGATCCGGGCCATGAAATGAACAACTCTCGCATGAGGATGATGCAATCGACTGATGGGGAGTCTACAGCGGAGGACGGTCACCCAGGTGACATGGTGGACTCGTCTTTCTTTGGCCTAGCCAGCAGTCGAGCGCCCCATGATACCGACTTGAGTGATCAGGATTTTCTTGCTCTCTACAGTGCCGGAGTATCACTAAAAAAGCGACTCATTGAGGCCTACGTTTCTCTCTGTGAGCTGAGATCATTCATTGAGCTCAACAAGACTGGTTTTTCGAAGGCACTGAAGAAGTACGACAAGACTCTGTTCCGCTCTCTCCGTCGTGACTATATGTCCTCGGTCGTCCAACCGGCGATGCCTTTCACCGAGGAAACCATGGAAGCAGTGGATAGTTACATCAGCAAAGTGGAGGGCGCCTATGCTGATATCGTTACCAAGGGTAATCGATCTTTAGCTAGCCGTGAACTGCGCCTCCACCTGCGTGAGCACGTCGTCTGGGAACGAAACACTGTTTGGCGCGAAATGATCGAGATCGAACGTCGTGCTCAGGCCGCCAATGTTGGTATTCGTCAAACTCTTCTAGGGGCGATGAAGACCCCGCTACTGCGCGACGCCAGGGTGACAAGCAAGAGATTCGTACGAAAGAGATTTCTACTCCGCTGGGCAAACTGCATTTCCCGCTGTGGCTTTGCAGTTTGAGCTTTGGTACATTGATCTTCAGTATTTCCGTCTTTGGTGCCCTTCTTTCGTTGCAGATCATGGAGACTCCAGAGCAACAGAACTGTTTGGCGATGTTAGTTCTGGTCAGCATTCTTTGGGCTACCGAGGTAAAAGAAGACCTTCCCTCAATTCTGTCTCAGCTCTTTCTGACAATTTCGCAGGCTATTCCTCTGTTTGTGACATCACTTTTGATTCCGTTCTTAGTTGTTGTCTTGGGCATCATGCGTTCCGAAGATAAACCTCATAAGCGATTGGGTCCTAAGGAGGCAACGAGCGTGGTGTTTGCATCTATGTGGACTCCTGTGATCATGCTGCTGCTTGGCGGCTTCACAATTGCGGCAGCATTGTCAAAGTATGATATTGCTCGTCGGATGGCCATGTTCGTGCTCAGCAAAGCCGGATCAAAGCCTAGCGCCGTGCTGTTAACCAACATGTTCGTGAGCATGTTCCTGAGTATGTGGATTAGTAACGTCGCCTCTCCTGTGCTGTGTTACTCGATCATCCAGCCTCTGCTGCGAAACCTCTCTCCGGATTCCAACTTCGCCAAGGCCCTCGTTTTGGGTATCGCGCTGGCCGCCAACGTTGGCGGTGCGGCGTCCCCGATTGCATCGCCACAAAATATCATTGCGCTGCAGAACATGTACCCGAGCATCAGCTGGGGCACTTGGTTCTTCATTTCGCTGCCGGTCTGCATCATCTCGATCTTCTTGATCTGGGGGCTCCTGATCGTGACATTCCACCCTGGACGCAATGCGACTGTTGTTCCCATGCGTCCCGTCAATGACCGCTTCACAGGCACTCAGTACTTCATCAGTGCCGTGACCCTCGTAACGATCGCTCTCTGGTGTGTCAGCCACCAGCTCGAACACGTGTTTGGCGACATGGGTGTCATTGCCATCATTCCTCTCGTGTTGTTCTTCGGCACTGGCATTCTCAATAAGGAAGACTTCAACAATTTCCTATGGACAATCATCATTCTTGCTGCGGGTGGTCTGTGCCTGGGCAAAGCTGTCACTTCATCCGGGTTGTTGCACACCATCGCTAGCGGAATCACAGCCCGTGTCGAACACCTCAGTCTGTATAGTCTACTTCTCGTCTTCTCGGCTTTGATCCTTGTCATTGCAACTTTTATCTCTCACACCGTTGCGGCCCTGATCATGTTACCCTTGGTTCGCCAAATCGGCGTTAACATGGAGAATCCGCACCCCAATCTGCTGGTCATGGCCAGTGCGCTGATGTGCTCTGTCGCGATGGCACTGCCCACTAGTGGCTTCCCCAACATGAGTCAGTTACATCTAACCGTCAATACACCCGAGACACTTTGCTAACAACTTGAACAGCCGCCATCATGACCGAAGTGCCCACGACCGGCCAGCGCTACCTTCAGGTACGCCATTTCCTCACTCGTGGTATCCCAGCCAGTCTCATGGCCTTTGTGGTGATCGTCACCCTTGGGTATGGTCTGATGTATATCGCGGGATTGTAAATCATACTGTTCTTGTCATTGGATCTGGCGGAGGAGAATCCCCGTTCAACTGAGAACATAGTCCGCAGACCCGGCCGCGATGTTGGCGTCATATTCATTTCGTTTGGTCCTTCAGCGGCTACTCGGTTTATCTAGTAAACCTGCTGCTTTCCTGGGACGTTTGGTCGTACGAATAGACTGGTGGATGGGACAAGTCCGTTATACTGCATTCAACTTAGGCAACCTTCCTTGATTACCGATGAAGACGGACACATTGGTCACTAAAAAATTCGCTTTGCGTACGCTCGAACCCATGTAGAAGTTATAGAGACCTCGGGATACGTCACACATGTGCAACTGACGCAATTTGCGCGACCTTTCTCTACCAATCCTGCCAAGTAAGCCACCGATTTCACAGACAGTTTGTCTTGATACGGATCAGCAAGAAAAAAAATTGAGCATGTAAAGTGTTCATTAAGTCGTTCGCCGATCCCAGCTGCTATACGCAGAAAGACTTAAAGTACAGTACATTTCCAATGATCCGACACCCAGATCAGACACCAGAGCAGCCGAAGCAGGTCTAGGGAAATGAACAGCCTAGACAAATTACCAGAAAACAATATACCAAGCCATGCTCCAGCATTTTGCATCGCCGTAATCGGAAGTCGGAAAATCATTAACGAATAACCCGGGCGCGTGGCTAAAAGAACAGAGCATTGCGGACATCACAAAATAGGCAAAAAGGACTCTTTCTAGCCACTGCAGGCCAAAAACAAATTAGTTACTAAAAGGTCAGTCAGTGGAACTGTACATTAGAAAGAAATAAAAAGTGGGGGACGAGGAGGGGGTTCATGAAAAGGATGAAAGGTATCAACGAGATCAAGAAAAGGGTAATACTGACAGCAATCCTAGCGTCAAGTCACCGTGAATCTTGGCCTTCAGCTGGATCTCAATATCCAGATTCAAATCCAGTCGCAAGCGAAGCTGCTCGTCGCGGCCACCGCCATCATCCTTCTCTTCCTTCTGGCCTCCGCCCAGAATACCACCGACGGCCTTGCCGGCCGACCCGGTGACTCCGTTCAAGGCGTTACCAGCTGTGTTCTGCACGAGCTGACCGGCCTGGTCTACACCACCGAGGCCACCAAGGGGACCTGCATCGCCAGCTTGTTCCTGTTGGGGCCGGCGTGTGCGACGAGTGCGCTGACGTTGCTGTGGTTCACCATCCATGTTGCGGGGGATAGACTCAACGTCTGATTCTTGTTGGCGACGAGGGCGTCTGCGACGACGTTCAGGTTGACGCTGGGGCTCCGGTTCTGGTTCGGGCTCGGGCTCTTGCTCTGGCTCTTGCTCTGGCTCTGGCTCTTGCTCTTGCTCTTGCTCTTGCTCTTGCTGATCTTCGTCTTGGTCTTGATCTTCGTTCTCAGAGTCAGGCTCTTGCTTGTGAGGCTCCGGCTCTTGCTTCTCTTCTTTATCTTGGTTCTCCGAGCTTTCTTCCTGACCTTGCTCTGAAGGCGGCGGGGTCTGTTCTTGCTTGGCAGGGGACTTCTTGCCTAGCTTGGGAGGGGCACGCTTGGGCTTGTTGGGGGTAGTAGTTGACTCCGGGTTTGGGGTGGAGGGTTCTTGATCGGCCATGGTGGAAAGAAAAGACAGAGTTGGAGGAGGGGACGAGGGTCAATATGAAGAAATCCGATGGTGATGGACAAAGCGTCACCTGGTGCGAGGGGAGGGGTTATGAAGAAGTCATGTAATTGCACCGTATGGTAAATGATGTATGGAAGGTTACGGACACGGTCACGCCAGTGCGGTTTATATCATGGAGCCACCGGATCAACTCCAAAAACCGGCGTAGATGGGCACATTGAGCGCCGCCTCCGACGTCAGACGAACTGGTATCGTGAGCAATTCGGGCCAGGTACGCCGGGCTCGGGGATCCTTGCAATGGTTCACCATAGAGGTGGACGCGGAGTCGCTCAGCGGAGAAACTTTTTTTGATGTGGGGCGGGAGATATGACGTTAGTCGATGGCAAGGACCCAAGACGTGAAACGCCCATCCAGCGCAGGGCCGACGAAAGACTCGAAAGGGCGGTAACCTTGAACCAGGGGCCAATGTGGACACATCCTGGCGAGAGACAAAGAGATTGTATAGTTTAGACCAGCATTGGGGACAATCCACGCCACGGAGATTTCCCGCACTGACATGCACCAACCAGCCTTCGTCCCGCTCCACTTTTATAGATTAAACGGACGTAAGAGCTCGTTGCACGGCACATCAACCAGGCCGATGACGACACGGTCCGTTCAAATTTCAGGACACCCTTGGACTTGACTTTGCCTTGTGGGAAAATCTGGGAAATTTGTGCGACTACATGGGTTAGCCACGGTTGCCAACTATAGCCCTGCGTTGCCTGGTTTGGTCCACGAGGCGCCACTCTTTTCCACGGTCCAGCCAGCCCTCGGCCAGTGTCAATTCTGACCTCTAACTGGGGGATTCATACCCCAGCCTGCAACGGGAATAGAAACGCCATGAAAATTTGTAACACGCTTACACGTCGGTATTATCGGGCCCGGTATGACAATGGTATCGCATGACGCCGGTCAGACAGTGACGAAGCGTCCTCGATGTAGGGTGGAGATGCGACACCTCCGCCCCAGACGTCATCCCAGTCCTGTCTATCATCCGGGTCCTCGTAAAACGGCGTAGGGTCTGAACTCAAACCAGATCATATCATATCACCACTCTCCGGTCTTTCCTTATTTTCTACCACACAGTCTGGACCTTTCTGAGCATCTCATATACCATATATCACATACACTTCATCGCCCACTCTATAAGCCTTTCCAATAAGGCTTGTCCGAAAAGGCTCTAATTAAAAGAGTGTCCAACAATCATCATGGCTACTGTCGAAAAACCCCAAACCAAGCAGAAGCAGTTCGAAGTGCCTGACTATTCCGACGAAGATTACGACAGCGCCGATGATTATTCTGACGAAGAAGAAGAAGTCCCCGTCCAGAAGAAGCAGCTCCAGCGCCGACGACAACAGCCTCAACAGCAAGATGAAATCGAGGAATACTCGGACGAGGATGACTACTCGGATGAATACGATGACGAATACTCCGATGATGAGATGACCCAGGGCAAATCCATGCAGCCCTACAGTGACAGCGTCAGTCCGGGGACATGGATCTCAAGGGCGGCATGAACGTAATTGACGAGAAGAAGAAGAGCATCGATGACGAGGAGGGCATGAAACTGAAGCTAGAATTGAATCTGGAGATTGAAATTGAGCTGAAGGCACATATCCATGGTGACCTGACCATTGCTCTGATGTAAGTGGTCCCCCTTTCGGTCCCATCGAGGACACCGCTTATGCCCGGAACTAGGAGTTGATTTGAGTCGCTTGCAGCGCATGAGCCATGGTGCTCCGTCCTTGTTCCTATCTCTTTTTTTGAGTCACCCAGACCTGTCAATGTTCGCATGGACTGTCCGTCCCGGACCTACACTCTTGGCTACGATGATCATGATTCCTTTCAGTTATTCCGGTTGTGTCGTTTCGCATGTTCCGCCGCTCAGCGTCCCTTTTCCATAGAGCGCGTTCTTTGGTCACTATAATACTGTCGTCTTTCGTGCATTGTTTTGTTGTGGATATCTCGGTGCTCTGGCGTGGTCATGATCGGCGTCGGCGTGGAAATACACTGGCCTACTGAATGTATATTACTCCTTCCCGAGCAGTCAAATATCCATGAATGTCAAAAAGCCATCCAATCATGTAGATTCCTAGACATTGAATTCCAGACCGGGTGCAGTCTCGATCACCATGATCATGCACAGGTGCGCATCAGGGAAAAAAAGCACGAGGCGGAAGGCCGAGGTTCGGGCCTTGGCGCCGATCCATGAGTTTACTTTGGACTCTTAACTCTCTGGATTCTGTGCCCCTCATTATTTTACTCGGCGACCGAACGTGGGCAACTCTTGCACCCTGATATCTCCTCAATCGCAACAATGTCGGGCAGAGACTTCATCATCAAGCACATGAATGCCGACCACGGCGACTCACTCCAGTTGTACCTGCAAGCTTTCTGCGGTATCACCACTAGTGAAGCCAATGAAGCCTCCCTCGAAGACCTCGGGCTCGATCACTTGGTCCTACGCGCCCAGGGTACACGCTACGTCGTCCCCATCGACCCGCCGATGGAGAACTTCACCGAGGCGCGCGGCCGCCTAGTCGCTTTGCACAAGGAGAGTCTGAAGCGACTGGGTCGCTCCGACGTCATGCTCACCGAGTACCGCGCGCCTCGAGGCTTCCAAATCGTCATCTTCGGTCTTTGCCTGTTCACCTATGTCAGCTGCTTCAAGCGCAGCAACCTCCTGCCGGGCTCGTTCGTCTATGAGAACTTGGGTTACAAGTATGTTCCCGACTTTGCCCATTTTGTCTACAATATCCAGCCGCTCCTTTTCCCGGCGGTTGTGGGTATTCACATCTTCGAGTCAGTCTTGTTGGCAGTCCTTCGATTGAAGCCGCTCGGTGTGCCCCTCATGTCGGGACTGTGGTGCACTTGGATGGTTTCGTGCTTCATTGAGGGGTTCGGAACGTTCCAGCGGATCGGGCAGATCGTTAAGAAGGAGAGAGCGAAGAGAGGCGATAAGAGCCAGTGATTGCTGTGTTTGGTTATAAGGATAGAAGAAGCAACAGAAAGTGCAAAACTTTGAGCCGTCGACCACATGTACATATTGCCAAGAGAGCTGAATCAACACTCCGTGGGTGCCTTCTCAAAGTGGCGAAAACAATGAGTCAGCATAATGGTCAGGTGACCTGAAGCGTAGCACACTAATCCGGTTTGAGACTAGTGCAAGTTAGGGCAACCGCACAAGCGAGCGACACAGTGCGCCCTGCGAAATTCAACGGACTCCACGACCGCAACTTCCAACGACACCCATCGACAACCGTTCTGCTTTTGGTGAAGGGCTGCACGGCTAGAGGTGAGTTCCCCTCGCACACCTCCTTATATACTGCATCCTCTCTCTCTCTGCTTCGTTCGAGTCGACAATCGAGGCCATTTGTGCGAACAAGTTACGTCGGGGGAATATTGAATTCGATATTGCTTCGCTCATCCTCGACCCTCTCCCGCACCTCGTCTACATCTTCAGCAAACGAATTTCTTTTCGCATTCTCGCTCGAACGATTCAGAAGCGTTTGGATTCTGCAGGAGCTTCACATCAACCGATCGAGTTCTAATTTTTCTGTGCCTATACCAGACCCCTCCATCAACCGCAAATATGGGTATCTCTCGTGATTCGCGCCACAAGCGCAGCGCCACTGGTGCTAAGCGTGCTTTCTACCGCAAGAAGAGGTACGATTCCCGTCAATTGACTCCTGGATGATTTTTTTCGTTTTGTGTGCCGGGTGGGGAGACTGTGTGCCGTGTGTATCGTGTGAGATCACGATGAGGGAACCAAAAAAAAAAAAAGCTTCGTGACCATTGGCCAACATATTCTGACCGGTGATTTCTATTTAACAGAGCCTTCGAGAAGGGCCGCCAGCCCTCCAACACCCGTATCGGTACCAAGCGTATTCACCTGGTCCGCACCCGTGGTGGTAACCAGAAGTTCCGTGCCCTCCGTCTCGAGTCCGGTAACTTCTCCTGGGGCTCCGAGGGTATCTCCCGCAAGACCCGTGTCATCGGTGTCTCCTTCCACCCCTCCAACAACGAGCTGGTCCGCACAAACACCTTGACCAAGTCCGCTGTCGTCCAGATTGACGCTGCTCCCTTCCGTCAATGGTACGAGGCCCACTACGGCCAGGCCGTTGGCCGCAGACGCCAGGGTGGCAAGTCTGAGGTCGCCGAGGAGAAGAAGAGCAAGTCCGTCGAGAAGAAGCAGGCTGCCCGCTTCGCCGACCAGGGCAAGGTCGAGGGTGCCATCGAGCGCCAGTTCGAGTCCGGTCGTCTGTACGCCGTTGTGGCTTCCCGCCCCGGCCAGTCCGGCCGTGTCGACGGCTACATCCTCGAGGGTGAGGAGCTGGCTTTCTACCAGAAGGCTATCCGCAAGTAAACGAAAAACAAAAAGGGAAAACCATTCGGTTAGGTGGCCGCGTGGGTTGTCGTTGCACGGGTGGTTATCGGAGTTTCAGCTATGTTTGCCAGAAAACTTTCATGATCTGGGCATCCACGGATGCGAATGTCTGTAGAGCTCTGAGCCGTCAATTCCAAGGAAATGATTCCTGTTTATGTTACTTGTCTCATGTGTTCTTTGTAGATTTTCTGGCGCGGGGATGACTCGTCTCCCCGCCGTTAGGCCGCTTCCTCATTTCCACTTCACTTGACCTTACTTCCCCTCCCTCATCTACTCATTTCAACTTAACCTTCTCCAACAGGTCTCTTCAATGTTCTCGTACCTGGTTCTCCTCTCCAATCACCTCTCTTCAGTCCTAGTCCTCTCCCGATATGCCTCAATCACCCGGGATTAAAACCCGCATCTGCATGATCTCCGACACCCACACCTTCTCTCCGAGTCCCCCGCAACAGACCAACAACCCATACCGCAACCCCCTCCCCAAAGCCGATGTTCTCCTTCACGCCGGTGACCTCACCAAGGTCGGCTACCTCATTGAGCACGAAGAAACCGTGGCAATGCTCAAAGCTGCCCCGGCCGAGCTCAAACTTGTCATCGCCGGCAACCACGACCTAACACTAGACGAAGAACACTTCACAAGTTTTGGCTACTTCCGCCACCGCCGCCCAGAACGTTTGGGTGGACAAGACACATACCTAGAGGAAGACGAAAAACCAAAAACTCTCTTGCAAAGCATCCGCTCCCCCAATACACCCCTACTCGATGACATGAAGTCCTACTGCAAACTCGCCAAAGACCTCTACACCGATGAATCCGCGTATGCTGCAGGCATTCGATACCTTGAAGAAGGAACGCACTCTTTTACTCTATCTACCGGCGCTAAACTCACCATCTACGCCTCCCCGTACCAGCCCGAATTCTGCAACTGGGCCTTCGGCTATAACCGCTCTGAAGATCGTTTCAACCCCCCATTACCCGGAAATGATACCCCCGCTCCTCAAAACCCAGTCCCTTCCTTCCCAGCCGTCGACATCATGCTCACGCACGGTCCACCCGCAAATGTTTTGGACTTTGTCCCACCAGACAGTCACGTTGGATGTGAACACCTCTTCCGCGCAGCCGAGCGCGCTCGGCCCCGTGTCTATCTATTCGGTCATATTCACGAGGGATGGGGCGCTATTCGCGGAGTGTGGAATGAAGATGCCGAGAATGGAATTAAGCAGGAGGTTGTGCGCAGTGATATGGAGGATATGCTAGAGCGGCGTGGGGCGTACTATGATGTTAGCGGGGAGAGTGGACGGCCGTTGAGAGTTGGAGAGGAGACGCTTTTCGTGAATGCGAGTATCTGTACGGTAAAGTACGAGCCGAGAAATGCGCCTTGGGTGGTGGATTTGGATCTTCCCGGATTATAGTGCATCGTTGCATGGTTCTAGGAATGGATTTCATGGGCTTACTGCCCACGTAAGGATAAGATATGTTTTCCAGCGAATTGACAGACTAAGGAGCAAGTAATGAAAATGATCACTTTGAAACTATGTATCTTTTACTCTAGAATGTATGTAGGAGGGGCATATGGATGTGGACATGTCACTTTCCAGCTTGCGAATTCAATGGGGCTCTAGGGCGCACAGACGGGTCGATTTTCTTTACACCAAGGGCCCTCTCTTCAAAGTAGCGGCCTATCAATTATGCCGGGAGGACTGAAACCCCAATTTCCATTTCTCATTTCCGAAAGCCTGATTGAAATCAACAAAAAAGACACGGAGGTGCTCCATCGCGGGATCTATTGTGATGAAAGTTGCGGTATGTTTATATTTATATAGTGCCTACATATCCTGCTTTAGCTACGGTGCATCAACATGGGACATTAGAAAACCAAAGGCTGGGAATTCAGGTGTCAGCCTACCAGTATCTAGATACCAAGGCCTCAGTTGGCCTTTGCTACTGCCTGGATGGATTTGGTCAGAACATTGTATTGGTGACTTTTTCGTTAGCCAGATTCACAGACGTGCGTGACTATTTCGATCGGCGTCGAATCCCCAGGTCTGCTACATAGCTATATAGACAATCTTAGCGTCTTCAAGAATTCAAAGCGCAATGATTAGTGAAACATGTGCAGACCCGTTTCGAGTCTAATACTTTATCGCGTCTCGCCACTCGCGCGCACCGAGATCGCGTACTCCGATAAAGTTATCCGTCTACACCATCCACGTTTCGCCCAGCCACTATTCACATGGCCCGGGAGTGTCGTCACTTGCAAGGTGATGTCTGATGACGAGGCGAAGGGCAAAATGGCCAGCCTCGACCGGGAACTGGAATGTAACCATCGGCAGTCTCTGATACGGGAAACTAGGTGAGCCAGCCCGTTGATCAAGTCATGCCGGAGTTCATCCCAATGGCCCTGACTGAATCGACTTCTCGATTCTCGATCCCTTGTGAACCCTGTCAATTCACATCAAAGCGATTATGAGAAAAGGTACCGCTGTTGACGTGGAGCTCCACACCTTGGCACCGCCCACAACGCAGTTGCCCTCATCAACTATTCTACACTCCTCTCTGGATTGTTATATCTCTGGACTCTACAGTCTATTCGCCAATTAATAGACTACTCTAATTTCCGAGCAAGGGCCACCGCGTGAAGTCAACACTAGTCAAATCGGGGAACATTCCAGGAGTAGTGGGGACAACAACAGAGCGTGCACATTCAGGAACATCGCGGCCGCCCTACATTGCTGGACCTGCATCCCATGGGGTTTGATTATCCCAAAGTTTCAACTTAGCTCGCGGCTGAGGATTTCTTTGCAGATCTGCAGTCCTGGAATTCTTTCTGCGCGCCATTCTTAACAATCCAGCCCGTGTCTTGTCCTAATTTGGAATTGAGGCCCTGAGACAGGTGAAGCTTGGATCTGCCTCCTGGAATTTATAGCATACTTGTACGTCCCTCCCCGCGAGTCTTTCTTCTCCTGCCCCCTTCAGCTTGATTTCGAAACGATTTCAATAAATCGGCTGCCCTGTGCTTTCTGGTCCATTGTACACGTTGGACATTCTGAAAGCATTCGGCTTGCTGTTCATCCGATCTTGTGGTCGCTCAATTGGTCATTTGTTTGGCATTTGGGATTCATCATGGGTTCAAAATGGATGGCTACAGCCATGCTAACATGGCTGCTTGCTGCAGATTCAGTCCACGGTCTTCCGAGGTTCGACGGTACTGCCACTGACATCTTGAAGCTGTCTGCGACTCAGCCCGAAACTGCGTTCAAGACTCAATACCCGCCCAAGAACGAGAGAGTAGCAATCGCTCCTGATCGCCCGGTGAGTATTTCATTGTTGAAATAGACGTGGAATCATCAAAAAGACTAATGGTTACAAAGATCTATCGTACGGCGTTGCAAAATCAGGGTCATTCTTCGCAACCTCCTTTACCGCAGGTTGCACCCCTAGCGTATGAGGAGCCTAAGTTCGACATTGGCAGCTACCTCAGTGGTCTCAAAGATTTCTTGGACTCTGGTTCTAGCTCTGCCTCAGTGCCTGTTGAGCAGCCTAAGAATTCGCCAGCTGCATCTGCCGTATCGACATCATCGGCAGTGCCAGTTGCGCCCTCGGAGACATCGAGCCCTAATCCCGAACCAGGGACTACTACAGAGCCTGTGACTACTTCTGTTGAACCAGTCGCCCCTGTCGGGCCTGTCAGTACGTCAGTTGAACCTATCGAGCCGGTCACCACGCCTGCCGAGTCGGCAATCACGCCCATAGAATCAATCACGACGCCTACAGAGTCGGCTACGACGCTTGAAGAGTTGACCACTTCTCCTACAGAGTCGACCACTTCTCCTATAGAGTCGACTACTTCTCCTGCAGAGTCGACTACTTCTCCTACAGAGTCAACCACTTCTCCTGCAGAGTTAGCTACGACGCCTATAGAGTCGACCACTTCTCCTATAGAGTCGGCTATTCCTACAGAGTTAACCACTTCTCCTATAGAGTCGACCACTTCTCCTATAGAGTCGACCACTTCTCCTATAGAGTCGACCACTTCTCCTATAGAGTCGACCACTTCTCCTATAGAGTCGACCACTTCTCCTACAGAGTCGACCACTTCTCCTATAGAGTCGACCACTTCTCCTACAGAGTCGACCACTTCTCCTACAGAGTCGACCAATTCTCCTATAGAGTCGGCTATTCCTATAGAGTTAACCAGTTCTCCTACAGAGTCGACCACTTCTCCTACAGAGTCGACCACTTCTCCTACAGACTCGACCACTTCTCCTACAGAGTCGACCACTTCTCCTACAGAGTCGACCAATTCTCCTATAGAGTTGACCACTACCCCTATAGAGTCGACCACCACGCCTGTGGAGTCGACCACTACGCCTCTGGAGCCGAGTTCGTCTTCCGCAATCGGTGGGTTTCCGAAGAATAGTACCAAGCAGCGAACATAAAGGCTTACCATCAACAGAAACAGATCTCCCCACAGCAGGGGCTACAGCAGATCAACCACAAAGCATGAACAGCCAGGATATCTTCCAGCCTGTTGCGACTAACGCTCCACCGGCGAACATCATGGTCCGCCATGACCACCCGGTCCAGAACCAGCATGTAAGGAAACTTTACACTTGGTTCAAGAATCAAAGCTAATCAAGTCAACAGGCCAACACCACGGCTCCTATCGAAACCAACAAGTTCTATGCAGGATTTATTCTGGGATCGCAGACCAATGCTAGTTTCACTCAGCCTTACTCCATTGCCTGGTCTCGCGGAGCTGGAACTCTGAATAGCTGGGGCATGTCAGTCTCCCACCTCGAAGAGAACTTGTTGGCTTTTGGCCCCAAGAACGATAAGGTACCCGGTGAACCTGTTGAGTACTACATCAACCCTGTCGGTCTTCAGCACATCATTCTGTCAGCAACTGAACTCGATGAGTCAAGCACCATGAGCGTCGATGACCCCAAGGCATTCTCCGCCCATGCAGTTTTAAGGCGCTCTGGTGGATCTGTCCAGGAGATAAGATTCCCCGTGGTTCAGGGCATGGGCTACGTGACCGGTGTCTACACAGACCTTCAACCCGTCATCGAGAGTGGTGTCTTCTTCCGACAGGTCGTCAATGCTGACTCCCCTAAGCCGGGTATTTACAAATATGTAGCAACTCTTGAAGACGACACTGTCTGGATCCTCTATGTCGCACCCAATGATGGGGAAGATCCTGAAATGAAGCTTGTCTCCTCAACTGCTCTCCGTGGTCCACATGGATTCTCTGGATCAATCCAGGTTGCCAAGAATCCCGCTAGTGAGTCGGGCGAAAAAATTCTATGACAACTCTGCTGGTGTCTATGCCATTGCTGGCCAGGTCGAGGGCTCCGTCACTGGTGATGTTGGTACTTACAGCCTGTCGTGGACCAAGGCTGGAACCCACGCCGATGACTCTCCTCTCATCATGTTCGCGCTGCCTCACCACGTTGACTCGTTCGACGGCGACACGGCTGATCGCAAGACTGACATCCACTTGCGGACTACCACCAAGGGTACCGCAACCGCCGTGATTGGAGAGACTTGGACCATGACTGAGCCCAATCTCCCCATCGACATGGGCTTCGCACCATGGACCACCACTGAGGGCAGCGTGCACACGCTCTCTCCAGCCGTCCAACAGGCTATCCTTGAAATCGCCCCGACTGAACTCGAGCAGGACATTGAAGAACAAAGCAATTTGAATAGCATGTACTACAGTGGCAAGGCGCTGAGCAAGTTCGCTACCCTAATCTACACTGTCAACCAGCTTGGTAACAATGTCGACATGGGTATCGAGGCCTTCCATAATCTCAAAACATCCTATGCTCGCTTTACGGAAAACCAGCAGCAATACCCGCTAGCCTACGACTCCGTCTGGAAAGGTGTCGTCTCCACTGCCGGTTACGACGGCGATTTGAACCAGGATTTCGGAAACACTGCTTACAACGACCACCACTTTCATTACGGCTACTTCATCCACGCGGCTGCCATCATCGGAGCCCTCGATTCCGATTGGCTCGAGGATAACAAAGACTATGTGAATATGCTCGTCCGTGATGCCGGAAACTCCATCGAGAATGACGCATATTTCCCCTTCTCTCGTGGCTTTGACTGGTACAACGGCCACTCCTGGGCCAAGGGTCTCTTCGAGTCGTACGATGGCAAGGATCAAGAGTCCACTTCCGAGGATACTATGTTCGCCTATGCCATCAAGATGTGGGGTCAAACTACTGGAGATACCAGCATGGAAGCTCGAGGAAACATGATGCTGGGCATTCTTCGCCGCTCCCTTGATAGTTACTTCCTCATGCAGGATAACAACCAGAACCAGCCCGCGAACTTTGTTGGCAATCGGGTTACTGGTATCGTGAGTACCTCAAAACCTATACTGCTGTATCTCGAGCACCATACTGACTTCTTTTCAGCTCTTCGAGAACAAGGTCGACCACACCACTTACTTCGGTAACAACCCTGAATTCATCCAAGGGTATGTGATCTTATTCAAGGAAGGATAATTCTCCATTCGAATACTTTACTAACTTGACATAGAATCCACATGCTACCTCTTCTTCCCCACACTGCGTACACCCGCCAGAAGGAGTTCGTGCGCCAGGAGTGGGAATCCTACTTCTCCGCTGACGCCTCCTCCCCTGCTGCCAACGTCGATGGTGGGTGGAGGGGTATTCTTTACGCCAATCTTGCCCTGATCGATCCTCAAGCCGCGTGGGATTTCTTCGCCGCCGATGATTTCGATTACAATTTCGTCGATGGCGGTGCCACGAGAACCTGGTACATGGCTTTCGCAGCAGGTCTTGGCGGAGGCTCTCTCAGCAGTGATTAGTACAATTGAACATTGTGTTCTGTGTTCGGCATTGGAGGCTTTTCTTGATATTCGGCTATTTTCATCGCTGATTTGATTCGGCGTTCGCTAGTTTAAGGTTCCTGGGTGTAGCGGATTATTCTAGTAGCTATTTTATGAGATTGGGTATATAGTAGAAATATCATGGCAATTGTCTGAACTATTTTTGATACTAGGAATTGTTATGTGCTTAACCCTCCTGGCTCGAAACGAGTGTGCGAGTAAGTAGATCACAATCTCAAATGGTATTTTTCATGGGCTGAAGATCTATAGCCCATGGTAGGTATAGACGACTAATCGAATGTACATTTTCTCCAACTCGTAATTCCATGCTTAGTACATGGGCTTCTCCATAGGCTTGATGATGCCCTGCTTGACCATAACGCGAGGCTTGGTGCCGCTCTGGAATGTCTCCTTGGTCGACCACTCCGGACCCAGCGGCATGCGCAAAGAGCGCTCGTACTGGGTCTTGTTCTCAAACTCATGAGGAAGTTGGCTGGCCATGTACTTGGCATTCTATTGAATAGGTTAGATAGGACCCAATCGAAAGGCAAAATTGAACGGAAATCTTACCTTCTTGACTCGCTTCTCGTTGATAATTACTCGAGAAAGCTTAGCATCCTTGCGCTGCTCGGGCTTCACTCCCTCCACCTTGGTCAAGACGCGCTTTTGCTTCTTCTGCTGTCTCTTGCTGATACCGTCACCGGCCCAGCTGCCCCATCCGGCAAGTGTCTCGTCGACAACTTTGTCACCTTCGTCTTCGATGGTGTCTAGTTTCTCTTGCTCGAAGTCTTGCACGACGTCGTCACCGGCGAAAGCTCGCTGCACCAGGTCGTGATTCTTCAGCAAAACGGGGACGTTGTCCTCGTCGTCACTTTCGTTTTGATGCGTAACCTGCTTAGCTGGTGCCTTGGTAGCTTTGTTCTTCTTGGAGGAAATGCTGGCCTGTGCGGCTTGAGGTTGCGGGTCGTTGAGTGAGATGTCAATGTCCTCCGAAGCATCTGCAGCTGTTCGTTGGCGATTGGTGCGCCCTGTTTGCACCAGCCATGGGTTCTCTACCTCTGAAGGAGACTCCTGCACAGCAACTGGCTTGGTGGTCGATCGAGAGGCGGTCTTCGGCCCGGAGGAGCCAGATTTTTGCTTCGTAGAGCGGTCGACCACGATCTCAACATCCGAAGTGGGCTCAGCATCTGAATCGGCAGCTTCCTCGAACTCGTTCTTTGGTAAAACCTTAGATTTAGTCTTGGTTTCGGCCTTCTTGGACTGGCCGAACTTGCGTCGACCGACTTCGGATTCGGCTTCAGACTGAGATTCCTCGCCGTGCAACTCTCGGTGGATGCGACGGAGCTCAGCATCATTTTCCTCCTTGCGAGCGGCATCGGCATTCTGCATGAACTTCATGGCGAAAAAGACCTGAGTGGGGCCCCTTGTCGCCGTCCTCAACCTGGTCGTTTTCCAGAGCACTGAGCTTTTTCTGCATCTTACGCTTCTCGTTATCGGAAGCATCCTCAGCCCAGGGGTCCTCCTCCTCTGACTCTGAGCTGGAAGAGCCGAGGTAGTCGTCATCACCGCGAGACACACTCTTGCCTTCAATACGCTTCCGCAACTCATCTTCCCGCAAGGCCAGATCGTTCGCATTGTTGCGAGCATCCTCGTCCCAGGCAGTACGGCCGGTCTGCTTCAGACTCTTGGCCCATTTGCTCTCGCGGTGCTTCGAGCCCATACGAGCCTCGGCCCTCTTGCGCTCGTTCTCACCACGCTCCTGCTCATCCAGATCCACGCCAGCTTCCAAAAGTGCCTGGCGTTCCTGCTGCTCGAGCTTTTCGCGCTCCTTGCGGTGGACACGGCGGTAGGACTTGCTTTTGATTTTCTTGATGCGTTTGGCGCGCACTTCCTCCCGGAAAAGCAGATCACGACGCTTGCGTAGCTCCGCTCGTCGGGCTTGGATCTCCTCGATAGGGAGTGTACGACCTTGTAATTCCTCGAAACCCTGGATCTCTTCTTCGGCAGATTTGCCGTTGGTCTCGGCTAGTCCGCTCTCCACCAGAATATTCTGAATGGTGCTTTCTAGATTGTTGACTGGCTTAGCCACATCCATGCGGTGGACCTGTTCATTGTCGGGATCAGGGAGAGGGAAAACGAGATGCTCGGCGCGGCGGTTGTTCTTGACTGTCTCAAGCCAACGATCCAAAGTTTCCTTACTCTTCTCGTAGGCTGCAGCTCGATCAATCTTGTCTTGCTGGCGCTTTGCCAGAGGAGCATCAAGCTTGCCTGGGATGCCCGATTTCGATGCTTGAGCAGTAGCGTCAACGTGCTTGAGAGAGCTTTTCAGGCGCGAGTCCGTAATTGAAGGCAAGAGGTCGGCAACGGTCAATTTGTGAGAGGATGTTAAGCCGTACTCTGACGGCTTGCCCTGCTCTTGTGACTTTTGACCAGATTTTTTAGTTGTCTTGTTGGTCTGCATCGAATTGACAAAATCCTGTAGCTTGGCCAATCCGTCCTCCTTAGCATCATCGTCATCCGAAATCGAGAGATCGGAGTCGTCATCACTGTCTTCGCTGTCTGCCTCTTCACTGTCCCCTTCGGAGCCAGAATCCTGCTCGCTATCATCGCCTGCAGCAGCCTTCTTGGCTTTAGCGGCAGCCCTTTTGGCATCTTCTTCTTCCTCTGCCGCATTCATGTCCCAAGCAGTAAGAAGGTCCACAGCGTCCTCTCCAAGGTCGTCGTCATCTTCATCCTCTTCTTCGTCGGCTTCTTCAGACTCATCTTCGGACTCGGATAAGGTGATCTTCTTTTGCTTGACGGCTTTCTTCGATTTCGGCTTGGATTTAGTCGTAGAGCTTCCGCGGAATGTAAAGCCTTCAAATCGCTCCTCGTCGCTTTCTCCTAGAGCTTCGTCACTGTCTAGCTCCTCGTCGTCGTCGCTATCCACTTGTCCGAGCTTCCATTCGTGACCGTCACTATCGCTTCCACCGTCGACGCTGCCAAGGTCGTCACCATCGGTTCGGCGGCGTTTCCAGACTGGTTGCTCTTCTTCCTCTTCGTCGTCGTCCTCATCGCGGCGCGAGTGCTTTTTGTAGTTGGTTCCGTCGTCGTAAAAACCTAGACGGTTACGACGCACGCCAAGTTTCTTCGGAATTTGTTTCTCTGCGATAGAGAGAGCATCGAGACCTCGTCTGCTCTTGGTTTGCTGAGACTTGTGCTTCGGTGCTTTCTGCGCAGACCGATCTTCCGGGGCGCGCTGCTGGGTCTGCTGGCGAGGCATGGCTGTAGAGAGATTTGTATCTTGATGAGAGAAAACAGAAGTTATTTCCGTCCACGAGGGCACTTAAAAGACCCTATCCTTGCGTGGAGGAGGGGTTTGTGTCGGTCGGTCAACTTTTTTGCTTGCAGAAAAAAAGTTCTCGGCGCGGCGATTAGCGCGATCCGACCACCCGAACTTTTGCCCTGAACCTCGACTGCGACACTCCTCTCCTTCCCTAACGTCAGTTCATCGAAATGTTCAAGTCAACGAACCCTATGATGGCGCGCCTGCGCTTGACGACCAAGGCGATCAACGGCGGTTACTACAAGGGTAATCGGACAGGCTCAATGGGTCGCTTCGACAAACATGGCAACTACGTGATCGACTACAAGAAAGTCCGCACCTACGTGGTTCCGGAAGACCTGAAAGACTTCAAGGTAAACATAAATTTTAATAGCAGACAACGTCGTGACCGGCAGTCCACTGACACCTGTCTAGCTTACACCCTTTGTCACCAAACGCGCGGAGGCAAAGCGAAGCATTTACAACAAGGAGATTGAGCAGAATGGGCGCACATACACCGTGGTCGACAAGATGACGGGCCGAAACTACCTCGAGCTATGGGCTGAGCGCAATGGTGAAGAAGTCTACGAGCGCGAGTTGATCGAGAACCCCGTCGAGGAAATCAAGACGGCCGAGATTCCGGACAAGATGCCGGAAGAGATGCCAGCGAAGAGCCACTAAGCCAAATACTTTGTGAAATACAGAGTGTTTGCTTTCTGAGACCGGATGCCTGGCAACATTGTGAGTACCCGTACTATTCGTCTTTCTGTATAGCCTCTAACCGCCTAGGGATTGAACCATCCCGAGCACCCTGTCCACCCCGACGGTTTCCCCAAATCTACCGTCGTACCTTTCTACCGCTCGCTGGACGACCGCATCCTCCATGTATTATATGTACAGCATACTTGATTCAAAATGGGCCGATACTGGACCCATCGGCATGAAGCGCCCATGGATTTCCCCCCCATGTGTACGCTGCAGTACCAGGCTGCTCGGATGAATTGGAATGGGAACTGCGAAAGAATCTCTCGTTTGCATATAGAAAGTACCGTTTCGAATAATATCCAAATCTCCAATTCCTTTCCTGTTTCTCCGTGAAGACGCAGGCGGAAGATCTTTGCCGAGGGCGTTCCCAGAGCGTGGCATTAGTAGAGACACCGCTTTCAAAGTGCGTGCACCGTGTGTCTACCACCGATAAGCTCGCCATTTCGCGCTCATATCGGAGGCGGCGTATGTCATAGCTCTTTTCTCATTTGCATTGGCGAGATGGGCCTTCGTCTCTTTTGTTTGCATCACCAGCGTTCGTACTGTGCATAGACAGATACCCGTCAGATCATTTCTCCTCAGGGAGCCCTCACGATGCATCACACTTTCACTGGCAACTCTCGTCGGCCGCGGCAGGTGAACCTGAGCGGCCGCATCAACGATCCCTTCGCTGCATTTTCGCCCGGTAGACAAACGCCGCATGCTTCCAATCCACAGCTCGCCGTCGCAATAGCACGCCAGGAGCGAATCCAAAGAGAGAAGGAAAGAGAGAAGCAGAGTGCTGCCCGTGTCGTACAGCGCGTGTGGCGGGGCTACAGCAGCAGGAAGGCAACACATGGAAGATGGCGCTCTGAATGGGATGCGGTGGAACAAAATCTGGCGGACGCTTTCGAGGTTTCTCCCGCCACGCCGTCAAGCGAAAGTTGGTCATCGTCAGCACGGCGTCCTGCACCCTATGCTACAGCAGACCAGTGCTTCTCACAGCTTCAGCTGCTCGTTCAGTTTGTGTCTGCACAGAAGAGTGATGATGTCCTCCGCCTCGTATACTTCGTTGATGCTTTTGAGCAAACCTTCCGGCGCCTGCCTACGATCGCTACCGAGGGCGAGTGGACGACCCTGCTCAAACGGTTGAGCAGAGCTATTCTGAATGTTCTCAGTTCAGCTTCGAAACCTGCTGTTCCGTTCGGGGCAGTCGAGCCTCTTCTCCAAGCCTTGGTTTTCTTGGCCGGTTTGATTCCGAAGCAGATGGCTAAGATCGCAGACACATACTATCATGCTCTGGCACTTCTCACTACGAATTCCTCCAATTTGCATCTACCAGATATTGACGCAAACGAACTCCGACGAGATCAGGGTATCAACCCGGCCAAGATAAAAGAAGCTGTTCTTGCAATTTTGCGCCCAATTACTTCGGAGACAATGACGGCCTACGAGGCCTTCGCTACATTCTACCTCACCATTCCAAGTCTTGAGACCTATCTGGGCGCCCTGGATGGACTGGCTAGCGAGATCAACTATAGAATGTTGGCCTTGGCGGTATCTGCTCGCTTAGCCTCAAACTCCAAGGGCGTCTTGGAAGATGCACAAGCTCGTTCATGGCTTCTTTCTTACCTGATTTTCTTCCAAAAATATGCTCTTGGCAGTCAAGCCAAGTATCATGCTCCAGAATTGGATTTTGTAACGGTAGTATCGGATTTATTGAACTCAACAGCGACACATCTCATGCAAGGCTTAGATGCAGACGAAACGAATGACCTGGACGAGCCAAATCTGTCGCGCTCTCTTCCTCCGTTCATAAGAAATCAGGTTACAGGTCTCGTCAATCAGAATAGCGTCACCGGACTTCTTTCCAGGATTCGAACGTCCCGTCTACCTCAGGCGATTTCAACACAAAGTGACTCTGATGCTTCTAAAGAGGCCAGGGTTCTTGCTACATATGCCTTGAGCCTGCTCCGGATCTTCCCCAGGCGTGGTGATGATATTAGAATGTGGCTGTACCTCGGCTCCGCACCCTCAGGGGGACCAAGCGTCCGGCCTACCTGCGATCAAATATTTCTGGCAGGCCTCTAGATCTAGCCGGGTGTTTGATATAATCAGCAGGGACTCAACGAAGGTCCTTCCTCTGTTGCAATTACCAGAGCAGGCTCAGGAACAGGTTGACGTGCCCCAAGACCAACGAGAGCAGGAGTGGACAACCATTCTTCTTTTCTTGGAGCTCTATACCTTTGTCTTAAAAGTCACAGATGATGATGAGTTTTTTTTCCAGCGCCTCTTCTTTTGCATCCTCCAAGTTTAGCAAGACATCATGGACGCGAGAAAGCGCATTGCCATTGGAAGATGTCAAGGATATGACGATCTTCCTCAAGAACCTTGCTTTCACCCTTTACTGGAATGCGGTCGACTTGAGTGAGCCTGCACTTCGGCCGACGGCAGTAAGCCTCAGCAGCTACTTCAACAACACGACCAATGCATCTTCGGAAGCGCTTCCCAGCACAAATGATTTGGAAACGAAAAACCAGTCTAACAATCTCCCTGGAGTGACGGGCATTCCTCTCGAATACTTCAAGGGACTTGTCACTGGATTGCTTCGGATGCTGCATGAAAGAGAGTAAGTCGAAAAAAGAAAATAGGAATAAGCATGCATTCTAACGTTATCTTTCAGTTCGCGACGGAAATTCCTGCCCAAAGATCACTGGCTTATGACCAGTCGTTTTGACATGGAAGGATTCATTCCCTCTGTCGTCGCAGAAGAAGAGAAACGACACGAGTTCCAAGCTCGGGCCGAGGACAATGACGAAGCCGAGCCTATGGAAGAAGAAGAAACGAACATGCCTCTCGGTCTAGCTGGAGCTGGGCACGCGCAGCAGACCATCAGGGTCGAGGCCATGCGTCGCCAACAGCAGCGAGTTGCTCGCGGTAGGATTCTGGCTGCCATTGCACCTGGATTGGAGATCCTGCGAAACATGCCCTTCTTCATCCCGTTCGCCACCCGAGTGCAGATTTTTCGCGAATTTATCTATCATGACCAGCATCGCCGCCGACGAGGATTTGTTGACGCTGATCTTTGGCGCGCATCCGTTGCACAAGCTGCAATGGGGCAGATGATCGATGGCCACCCTGCCGTGCAAGCCGTTCTTGCGCGGCACCAAGCTGAAATTCGCCGAGAACACGTCTTTGACGATGCCCTCGAACAGTTTTACCAGCTTGGAGACGGCCTCAAGGAACCAATTCAAATCAGTTTTATTGATAAATTCGGGACCATGGAGGCAGGTATTGATGGTGGTGGAGTGACCAAGGAGTTTTTGACTAGCATCACTTCCGAAGCATTCAAGACCGAAAGTGAATCCAGCAGCATGTTTGCCGAGAATGACCAACACCTGCTTTACCCGAACCCAACAGCACTTGAACAGTGTAAGGAACAGCTACGAGCAAGTGGTGTGAGCGAGTCTAGTCCCGAATGGCAAGGGAGTATCCGAGATCTTCTCCGCCGCTATGAATTTCTTGGACGGGTAATTGGAAAGTGTCTTTACGAGGGTATTCTGGTCGATGTCAACTTTGCACCGTTCTTTTTACTGAAATGGGCTTTGACTGGAGGGACGGGGTCTGCAATGAAGGAGTCATCCTATCGGGCTAACTTGAATGATCTGAAGGATCTTGATGCGGGGTCTATCAAGGCCTTGTGAGTGCACGAACCCTTCTGGAACTGAGTATCGCTAACTGGTACGATCTAGTTGCAACTAAAGAACTATCCCGGAGACGTTGAAGACTTTGCCCTGGACTTCACAGTGGCCGATACGATCTCGATACCTGGACCAGGCCACCGTACAGTGACGCGCACAATAATGAAAGAGCTGAGGCCTGGTGGCTCGTCTATTCCGGTCACCAACCAGAATCGACTGGTGTATATATCCTACATTGCCCGATACCGATTACAACTGCAACCACAATACCAGACCAATGCTTTCCTGCAGGGTCTCGGGCAAATGATTCAGCCCGCATGGCTGTCTATGTTCAACCAAGCCGAGTTGCAAACTCTGGTGAGCGGCGAGAATGCCGATATCGACGTGGAAGATCTTCGGCGAAACACACAATACGGTGGTGTATATACCATTGGTGACGACAATCAGGAGCACGAGACGGTGAAGCTGTTTTGGAAGGTGATGCATGACATGAGCAACGAAGAGCGCCAGAAGGTCCTCCGCTTCGTGACCTCAACACCTCGAGCCCCGCTACTTGGGTTCAGCCACCTCAACCCACGATTCAGCATTCGGGACTCGAGTGAGGATCAGGAGCGCCTACCGAGCACAAGTACCTGTGTCAACCTCCTGAAGCTGCCGCGCTACTCGAATGCGGAGACCTTGCGGAGCAAGTTGCTGTATGCAGTGAGCTCAGGAGCTGGATTTGACCTAAGTTAAGGGTGTCATCTCTTATGTTTCCTACACCCTCTCCTCGGTAATTTATTTTTCTCTTTGTGCATGTAGCCACATAGTGGATGGCCTCCTTGGAGAATGCATAGCATCGGCGTCGAAATCACGGGCCGCTCATTGGGCCGAGGGCGAACAATCGCATCGGCATATAGCCAGGCGACTATTGTCCAGTTCTCACCGCAGCAAGAAATAGCGACTAGCATTTACATAGTGAATATCTAGAAATGCCTCTAAGTTTCATTTCCTTATCCTTCTGCCCCCCTTTTCTTTTCTTTTTCCCAAGTTGTGCTGGAATTACATGAGCAGCAATGCATGGAATAGAAAATTAAGACGAATCTCGTGACTAGCACAAAGCCCTTGAAGCGGCGACATTAGTCATCCGATTATGGACGGTAACTAAAGCGGCAAGAAGAACACCAAAACAGGACTAGTGGAATACTCCTCTTTCTCTCTGAGTTTTCGAGAAGGCGTTTCGCGGGTCAACTTTTTTTTTCTTCTTCATCCCTCGTCTATCCACCCCTCTCTTTCCAAGGGAACTCTTTTTTTCCTTTCGAATCTTTCTCGAAAGCCTAAAAAAAACCCTCAAAAAAACACGAAAAACCCCCTTCAAAAAAACCCATTTATCTTATCTCCAATCCCCTCCATTGTGCGGTGTGTGGAAGATTTTCCTTCAACCGCCTCTTTCCACGTTCCAGGTTAGTTGCGTCCTCGTTCTACCCTCGTTTTGCCTCGCTCTCCGTCTGCTCGAGATTATCGTCACTCCGACCTATTTTTGGGTTGTCGCCGTGCAATTTCCTTTGAGCCCTTTGCTTTGTCGATTCATCCGTGGAAGTCATTATTTTCCATTTGGTGATTGTCTACCCCTCGCCTCCATTCACTGTTAGCATTTGTCTCTGCCTACTTACCAAAGAGACTACATGATCTACGATGGTCCTTTTACTTCGCCCCTCGTTTCCTTCTCATCCCACTCGCAATTTTGGAGAGAGTCTTTGCTAAACCATGCTTAGTAACAACAGCTATCCAAAATGTCTGCTGAAACCGCCACCAACCCCCCCGGCCGCTGAGCCCACGGCCACCTCGCCCGAGGCTAACGGCTCTCCGGCTCCTGCTGCTGCTCCCGAGACCGCCGGCGAGGGCGCTGCTGCCAACAACCAGCCCCACTCCGCATCCCTCTATGTCGGCGAGCTCGACCCCTCCGTGACTGAGGCCATGCTCTACGAGCTGTTCTCCTCCATCGGCCAGGTTGCTTCCATCCGAGTTTGCCGTGATGCAGTCACCCGCCGCTCTCTCGGCTATGCCTACGTCAACTACAACAACACCGCCGACGGTGAACGCGCCCTCGAGGACTTGAACTACACTTTGATCAAGGGTAAGCCCTGCCGCATCATGTGGTCTCAGCGTGACCCCGCTCTGCGCAAGACTGGCCAGGGCAATGTCTTCATCAAGAACCTTGACAATGCCATTGACAACAAGGCTCTTCACGATACCTTCGCTGCCTTTGGTAACATTCTCTCCTGCAAGGTCGCCCAGGATGAGTTCGCCAACTCCAAGGGTTACGGTTTCGTCCACTACGAGACTGCCGAGGCTGCCAACAACGCTATCAAGCATGTTAACGGTATGCTTCTTAACGACAAGAAGGTGTTTGTTGGTCACCACATCTCCAAGAAGGACCGCCAGAGCAAGTTCGAGGAGATGAAGGCCAACTACACCAACATCTACGTGAAGAACCTCGAGCTCGAGATCACCGATGACGAGTTCCGCACTATGTTCGAGGCATTCGGTGAAATCACCTCCGCCACTCTCAGCCACGACCAGGATGGCAAGAGCCGCGGATTCGGTTTCGTCAACTACTCTACCCATGAGAGCGCGCAGGCCGCCGTGGAGGAGATGAACGACAAGGACGTCAAGGGCCAGAAGCTCTATGTCGGCCGTGCTCAGAAGAAGCACGAGCGTGAGGAGGAGCTGCGCAAGCAGTACGAGGCTGCTCGTATGGAGAAGGCCTCCAAGTACCAGGGTGTCAACCTCTACGTCAAGAACCTGACTGACGACGTTGATGATGAGAAGCTCCGCGACCTCTTCACTCCCTACGGCACCATTACCTCTGCTAAGGTCATGCGCGACTCCGTCGGCGACGAGAGCCCCGCCTCCGAGGGTGAGGAGAAGACTGAGGAGAACAAGGAGGCTGAGACCAAGGAGGAGGAAAAGAAGTCCGAGGAGAAGCCCGAGGAGGAGAAGAAGAAGGAGGAGGACAGCGAGGAGCAGGAGGAGGGCGAGAAGTCCGACAAGAAGGGCCTCGGCAAGAGCAAGGGCTTCGGCTTTGTCTGCTTCAGCAGCCCCGATGAGGCCTCCAAGGCTGTCACCGAGATGAACCAGCGCATGGTTAACGGCAAGCCCCTCTATGTCGCTCTCGCCCAGCGCAAGGATGTCCGCCGCAGCCAGCTCGAGGCTAGCATCCAGGCTCGCAACACCATCCGCCAGCAGCAGGCCGCCGCTGCCGCTGGTATGCCCCAGCCTTACATGCAGCCCGCCGTCTTCTACGGCCCCGGCCAGCAGGGCTTCATCCCCGCCGCTCAGCGCGGTATGGGCTTCCCTCCCCAGGGTGGTATGGTCATGCCCGGCATGCCCGGTGGTCGCCCCGGTCAGTTCCCCGGTCCCTTCCCTCAGCAGGGTGGTCGCGGCATGGTCCCCGGCCAGCAGATGCCCCCCAACTTCCAGGGCATGCCCATGGGCATGCAGGGCCCCGGTATGCCTAACGGTATGGGTTACCCCATGCAGGGCCCCGCTTTCGGCCGCGGTGCTGGTGGCCGCGGTCAGGTTCCTGGTATGCCTATGGGTCAGGGTATGCGTGGTGGTCCCGGCTACGGTCGTGGTGGTCCCCAGATGGGCCGTGGTCAAGGTCGTGGTCAGGCTCCTGCCGGCCAGCCTGGTCAGGAGCAGCCCGCCTCCAGCAACCCCGCTCTCGCCAACGCTCCTCCTGCCCAGCAAAAGCAGATGCTCGGTGAGGCTTTGTACCCCAAGATCCAGGCCCAGCAGCCTGAGCTTGCCGGCAAGATCACTGGTATGCTTCTGGAGATGGATAACGCTGAGCTTCTTGGCCTGTAAGTTTTTGGCTCCCAATCTTCACACCCCCGCCCCCGCAACACGATGCTAATATTACTATTTTAGGCTTGATGATGAGGAGGCACTCCGCGCCAAGGTCGATGAGGCCCTCAGCGTTTATGACGAGTACATGAAGAACAAGGGTACCGAGGGCGAGGCGGCTGGCGAGGCCAAGCCTCAGGAGGCCGAGAAGGAGGCTTCCTCGGAGGAGAACAAGTCTTGAATGACTGTCTTGTCTAGCTCCGTGCAGAAGTTGTGAACTAGACTCGGCTCACGATGAATCTGCCCGCGCTCGGAAATCTTGGAACGCACGTTTTTTGATGACCATTTCCTTTTTCGTTTTTCATTTTTTTGTCTACTACCGTGTGACCCTTTCTCGCTTTTCCCCTCTTCCTCCCGATCTCGATATCCCTCGGTTTGAAAAGTTCCTGTGTTAGTGTCACCTATTTCTGGTGTTTAGTGAACGCGGCACGACATTTTTTTTCCAATTTCCTCCCGCCTCTCTAGTACACTCCTGCGTGGACTTTTCTCTCGTCTCCTTTACCCTGGATTCTTGAGGAGGGACAAATGCCCAAGCTCGCAATGGGGGACAGCTTCGTGTCCTCGGGTCGGTAAAAGTTCTTCTCTTTGGGCGCTGGATGTGGGTTTGTCTTATGATCTACCTTACTTTCTTTATTGTTTGCCGGGAGGGAGTTGTGACGTCTTTCTCTTCCTGTCCCCCAACCCTTTACTCTCTACCTTTCCCCCCTTTGCCTCGTACCTCCCCCTTTTAATCCTTCACGAGTGTAACATAGAGTTATGACTTCCTCGCGGAAGGGTCTAGCGTGCAGTCCCTTTATGTGCCTGAGTTCGAGAGCACAGGCTTCCAAATTTAATGGGATGGCCACGGGCCCGATTGCTTATTTAACATTCGTTCTATCTCAAATGTTTTTGATAGATGTAACCCTTAGGAGCAGAGATTGGTGAATTTCAATTCTTGCCAACTTCGGAATGAAGCGATGACTAAGCACGATGACTGCGACTCCAATCGCCCTCAAGAGCAGGACTCACGACTACTTCCATTGCTAGCTGTCTCTACATTGCCGCAGAATGTGCATTCAAGCATGGAGCCACCAGAGTATCATCCTGGAACATCAGAAATTGGTTCCCTCACGGCACATTCCAACGAGGATAGCCAGTTCGTCGGTAGCTCCAGCGGCGTCTACTTCATCAATACCGTGAAGCGTGCATTCTCCGCTGGGCTAGATGCATCGGGATCCCCAGAGACAGAGTTCCCAACTGCTGAAGATACCCTTGTGGGTGCAGAAGACTCACCCCGGAAGCGACAATGTACGGCATCATCCAAGCTTGACTCGGCCACACCCATCGAGGCCGAGTCACCAGCACCATGGAAGTACGACCCCACGATTGCGGATTACATGGGCAGCGCACCACCGTTGGAGGCTTCGAAAGAATTTATGATGATGTACTTCAAAGTTTGGCATCCTCTGTTTCCCTTCCTACATGGTCCCACTTTCCTGCAGGCCATGGAAAAGTTATACTCCAGCACCGGAGACAATACTCCAGTCCTCGATAAGAGCTCGAATCATCGAAATACATGCTGGACGGTGATTCTGCAATGTATCTTTAATCTAGGAAGTATGCTTCGTCCAGACCTTGAACTTCCACCTACCTGTCGAATTCAATCGCCTAGCAGTGTAACATCACTACTCGGATGTCTATTAGCAAAACATGACATTGCTTCACTTCAAGCCCTTCTAGCCGTCCAGGTTTACCTGGTTGCAAAAATGTCCCTACGCCTGGCATCTACGTTCGGTGGATGCGTTTTACGATCCATGATGCATGCTGGCCTCCACCGATGTCCGTTCCGATATGCGCAGCTCTCATCGCATGATCGACAATTGCGCAAACGAATTTTCTGGTGTGCATATGCGATTGATAGATACCTGAGCCAAGCACTGGGGTTGCCGCTTGGGATCCAGGATTCGGACATCGATGTGTGCCTACCTGCTGCGCCGGAAATCCACTCTCCTCGACGACTGAGGGATTTACAGTCCAGTGTCTCATATAGGAACCCAGTATCGCACGATAATCGAAAATATAGAGAGCATTCGCCGTTGGATGCAGGCGCAGATCACCGCAAAAAGGAACGGGTGCTTGCCAGCTATGTTGATTCCGGAACACTCACCGGCCGTGCACTTGAACTGTTACATAAGTCCATTTTGGTGCGTTCGGTGCGCCGCAGTTCCGTGCTTTTCTTAGTGACAGACGTTCATAAGTGGTGGAATAGTCTTCCTCTTGAACTCCAAGGGAAGTCATCTGAGGCCGGCAAACGGGTGCTAGCTTCAGATTCAGGCAGTTCGTTTGACTTTGGCCCTTTCTTTACCGTCCTCTACCAGCATCTCATCCTTATTCTCCACCGACCCTCCTTGTCATTGGACCCATCAACAGCAGAATTTTGTTCAGGGCTGCAGACCTGCATTGGCGCTGCACGATCCATTCTCGCGGCGTTGAGATTGCAAGTGGATAGTTGCCAAGCACTCTTCTGGCCGGGCTTTGTCTCTGCAGCTTGGATGTCAGGCTTGGTGTTGGCTTTTGCTTGCCAACTCAAACAATACGTTGTGAAGAAGGGTTTGCAGTGAGTTTCGATCTTAAATTCAAGGTCCGCGAAATGAACTTAGGACTGAATGTCAAAAGGGAAATCGACTTTTGTTCCGAATTTCTGAAGCGCATGTCTCTCCAGTGGGAGACAGCCAAACATTGCCAGATAGCATTGTCCTTACTGTCTACGAAAATCAAACAAATCGAGCGTCATGCCAACAGCACGAATTCTCATGCTTATACCCAGCGGCGCCCCGGCGAAATTCATCCAATTGACTCGACTACCTTGCGGTGCAACGACTCAAGGTTGGCTCAAATTGTCGGTTTGCAAATGAAACCGAACCCCATTGCCGAAGTGCAAATGGAGCAACCCGATGGAGTGCTTGAAGACACTCATTTCCGCGAGACACGACCTGGGTCAGTCTCACCAGAATTGTTCCAGCCAAGCAGTCTCCACGGAGAGGCGGCACTGGCCGATAATACGACGCCGTCATCAGAGCTTCACTTCCAAAGTGTAGACTCTGGTCACCTTGGTGGGTCGAATTTCGACTTAGATATTGCTGATCTGCTTCAAGGGGCGGATTTCAATTCTCTGTTTGATATAGTCGGACAGCAATACCCCAGTTTCTGAATGAAAGGACTAATGATTTATGCTATCAATTGACCATCGATGTGAGTATGTCTAGATCATTCACGGGTCTCTACAAATCGTCAAATCCTATGGTTGGCGCCCAAATATGGGTCAGACAACCACCGAAAATTAGAACAATGAGCCAGAGTAAACACCCAGTCTGATCATTTTCTACTTAGTCCTGGGCCATGAAGTCAATTGTAGAAAATGAGTCAACAAACCGAAATTACGGTGTTGTGCTGATGTGAAGAATCGGGATTGCGCCACTTTCAATAGTTGGGGGCGCTTTTGCGGCGCTTGGCATTCTCCTCTTCCACATTGCTGACGCGAATGCGAACGCAGCGATGGAGACGCCGCAGGCACGCAAAAGACCGCGGCCAGTTGTTTCCTGTCTTCGATGCAGGGAAAAGAAATTGAAATGCCACCGTGTCGTGCCTTGCCAGAACTGTATCAAGTCGGGCTGCCGTCCGGACTGCACCTACAATCAACAGCCTACCGAGTCGCATCTCAGGCCGAAGAGAGTTCAATTATCAAATTCTAATGGTTCTGATCAGAATCAAGATCACCTCGCCGCTCCAGTGACAGCGGGTGTTGGCGTCATTGAAGATTTACAGATGCGAGTCGCCAAGCTTGAGGAACTCCTTGCGCTGCATTCCCAAGGGGCCTTCAGGCCGATCAAAGATGCCCCTGTTCAGTGTGCACGGTAGGAAGACAACCCCTTATTAGTGCGCAAAATCTGAACGTCAAAGCAGGCCACAGGTTGATACAACTCGGTCGAGTTCTGGTTTTCTTGGGACACTTGTAGCCAAGGGATCTCGTTCCCGCTACCATGGACAAAACAACAGAATCACACTACTCAATCAAGTATGTCTATCAACTCGGCCTCTCCTCCATAAAAGGTCAGACACAAAGAGTCCTCCAGTTTGCGGACGCGAAGGAATTCATCAATCAATGCTCCAGTGACTCGGCTCTCGTGGGATTGGCCAAAGAAGTGCAATTCCTTCAGTCCAAGTCTCAATTGACGAGTTCTTCGCCGGAGTCAGTCTCTTGCCTGGATGCCTTACCGGAGACGCAGCATCTCTTGGAGTCTCTACCCCCAAAGCCTGTCTGTGACCGTTTGCTTGAGGTCTACACGAAGAACTTTGAGAAGACGCTCAGAATTGTTCATATCCCTTCACTTTTGCGTCAGTATGAGGTCTTCTGGCAACATTTAGACCCTGAGAGCTCTACTTCTTCGGCATCATCCTTTATGCCACTTCTTGTCTCAATATTAAACGTGGCTGCTTGGTCTGAGTCACCTCCAACCGCATCGGAGCACTCGGCATCATCGAACAAATTGAAGCAAGTCGCACCTGGGCTCATTCAAGATTGGCTGAAGCGACTCCCGCGCAAAAAAATGTTGAGCTCTCTTCACTTCAGGTGCAAACTCTGCACCTTCTCTCCTTTCAGCTGCGCCTCGTCTCGGTGGAAGAACAATGGAAGACAAGCGGTGCCCTCGTTCGATCTGCCATGACAATGGGTCTTCATGCCAATCTATCCCAAGCCACGAATCTTTCGTTTTCCAAGCGGAGGTCCGACGCCGACTCTGGATTACAATCATTGAGATGGATCTCCAAGCGTCTATTGCCGCGGGGATGCCTACCCTGATACCAGATCTTGTCCTTGACCATCTATATCCCAGCAATCTCAATGATGAAGACTTTGACGAGTCGACGCTCGGCTTACCACTGTGCAAGCTCTTATATGAGAAAACCGATTCATCTTCTCAAATTGCCTTGGCTACTTCTTTGTCTCATAGAACTAGGGCTATGAACACTGCCCAACGTAAACTGCGCGTGACAGTCTTGCAGAACGCCTTAAACAGGGGCGTGAACTTGAACAAATTTTGCATGGAATTCCATCCTACTTGAAGCCGGATTCCGAAGTGGGAAGCCAGGACCCATCAATCGTCCTACAGAGTGTTATTCTCGATCTCTATCTCCGCCGTCCTCTTCTCTGCCTCTACCGTCCTGTTATCAATAATCCCCCCAGCAATCACGACGACCCGTCGTTTCGCGAGTTACGAAGAACATGTCTTGAATCCTCACTGGCAATCCTGTCCTACCAAGATCATTTCGATCCCAGCATTTCCGATTTTGATACCTTCAGTTTAAACAGCTACTGGAACGCGTTCGACACGCTTTTCCAGAATGACATCCTCTTGTCTGCTCTTAGCATCTGCAAACACATGAAGCTCTCCAAACAAGACTCAGCTATACATTCGCCATCCAAGGAACCAGGAAGCCCAGCCTATGACCCGATGCATAGCAAAGCTAGATTGATACGCGCTGTTGAAAATACGCTTGCCACTTTGACTCGTCGAACCGGCGAGAAACCCTGTGACATTAAAAGACATTCTTCTGTTATCAGTTGTTCTGCATTCAGTACGCGCTCGAGGTACTACCGAGCAAAAAGATCGAACCATCTCTCAAGGAGCCAAAAAGGCTCTATCTGCCTGTCGGCAACACTTACTTACCTCGGCTGCGGAGCAATCAATTGAGCTGCAGCTGGCAGACTTGGCAAAAGTGGTATGAATCCGTATATCCGATACGTGTGAACTTGCTGACAAGTCAACAGACTCAGTCCCACGAGGCTATTTTGTCATCGGACAGCCAGCTGCAGTTCTCGTCTTCGAACCCTCAGATGTCTAATCTGTCACAGTCATCTCTACTCGCACCCGAATTTACTAATTTTGAGACCGATCTGTTTTCATTCGATGATGGGTCATTCATGTGGAATTTGTGACGGAGAATTACACGACAAGCCCAGTGTAGGGGAAAGGAGCACAAGCGGTGGAGCAGCAATGGTACAAGGGCCAATTCAGAGTGACCACCATCAATATCTCGTAAATATATGGGATGTATCATTATACTTATCAATCATTCTACTTACTAGATTCATACATTCGTCGGCTATACATCTTTCTTGGTATAGTATTGAGTCATATCATGCTGCAGCACATTCAACCCCTACCGAATGCATCAGGATACCATGTTTCAGGAATGAATATAGAGAGAGTACTCACCAGAGCAAACTCTTTTGCAAGATCTTCATCCTTCTCAGCTTTGATCAGTGTTTGGAAAAAGGCATCATTGTCCCGCGCTTTATCCGGGTCCTGATCATGAAGCCGCCGGAAATTCTCACGAGACATGGGATCAATGACCTCCTCCCACATACGCTTCCGAATTTCGGCATATTTGTCAAGGATAGTTTCGTCTGCCACCCCCTTGTGGATGCCCATCAGCGCATCGAAAAGGTTTCCAACGTCGACGATGCCGCCCGTAAGGCCAAGACCACCACTACAACGAATCAATCTTCAATGCACATCCAGTCAGCCTTCATGTCTGTACTCACAATGGATTGCAAAGATGTGCCGCATCTGCCGCAAGAAGCATCCTCCCAACCCGAAAACTCGGCGCACACCGTTGCTGTAGTTTATACGGGTTCAGATTGACAACCTTGTATTGATCCGGCTTCGGGTTCCCGGGCAAAATTTCTTCCCACCGCTGAGGTTGACGCGCAATATACTCTTCTTTGGTGAGACCCGGTATATCTCCATACGATACACGATATAGCCCGTCCGCAGTGATGCGAGCTGCCATGTACCAGTTCGTGGGATGGACGATAAAGTTGCTATCCCAGTAACCGAAGCGTTCGAAGTCGTAGTAAACCTATTCATTGCAAGTGAGGAAACGTTCAAATAAGAATGAAAGAATGATACCGACATTCGTGGCAACGATCTGTGCATTCAAAGTCTCACCCGGGAATTCGGGACCAAAAAGTTCCCTCCGCACGGTACTACTCGCCCCATCACACCCAACAACATAGTCTGCCTCGGATCGCACTGTGCCATCCGGCGTCTCAATGTCGACCCATGCTTTGTCTTGATCTTGACCGATCTTTACGACCCGATGAGACCATTTCACATGTGCGGTAGGCTGGCGCTGAATATGCTCGTACAATAGAGCTCCGAGGCGATCCAGCGGAAGAACTTGCATCTTGTAGGGATAGTCATCTGGCAACACATCGAGCCTCATGCCTGCAACGAATGTGGTGTCCATCTTTCGCCAGGCGAATCCCTTGGGTGTTATGCCGCGTGCTTTAACATCGTCCAGAACACCGGCTCGTTCAAGCTCATAGGCCGCCGGGGAGGCATAATGTGCTGCGCGGGGCTGGTCGTTCAGCTGGGCGCCAGCGTCGAGGAGTTCGACTTCAATGCCTTGTTTCGCGAGTAGAAGACCAAGGATTAGGCCTGAAGGGCCTGCTCCAACGACGATCACCTGTGACAAATGTTATTAAGTGACTGATGCGAAGTTTATTGGATGTATTACCTTCTTGATCGCCATACTTTAGTGTATAGTCAATGTCTGAGAGGGTAGCAGGCTCATTGATGCGATTAAATCGTAACCACGAAGACCCTCTGAGTAAGGAAGCCCCCACCCCCACCGTGGGGCCAGGACCTCTTAGCCAGGAATATTTCCATTGAATTTCACGACAGAGGGCGATTGGAAGGTTGAATGATTGCGGGGAAGCAGGTGTTCAAACTGCGGGGCGGCTCCCCGGGGTAATTCCGAGCTTGCCATCGCATTGCATTTTCCCCCGGTTCTATTGCACCCTTAAGTTGGCTTTGTTTACCACATAAATTGCTCTTGGAAGCTAATAGACGGTGCTCCATCCCAAGAGCTGCGGGTCTGCATGGTATTGACATCCCGGGGGTCGTCGGACCCTGCAACTCCATGATCCGAGCGGCCTGGTGATTGAGATCCTATCTCTGCAAAGGTAGCTCGGTGGCCAGGCCCAGATAGTGGACGTCCACTTGGAGAGTTCCCAGAGGTCATTTGTATTGACGAAGAGAACTGCTCTTGCTTGTGGGTGTCCATTATGTTTTGCTTCATTCCCCCCTGGACTTTCGTGGATGAAGGTCCAGGCTCAACGGATTGACAACCAATTCCATCGCTTCCTTGGTCTGTACATATCCGCTGCCATTTCCTGATGCTCTGTATCGAATTAAGGGGAAATCGAGACCATTCTTCAATGCCTTTCTTTTCAAGTCTTGCCAATGGTGCGTAGCCGGTGCCCTCGCCGGGTATCGAGTCTGTAGGGAATATCTTGGACAGCTCGGGATCGGAGACTTGAGAGAGTAGTCTTAGGAGAACACCCTCTGTCACTTGTAGCCGATGCTCCAGTGCTTCAATGTATCCCTTTGCGGGTCCCCTAATGATTGCATTAGCGAGCCTGTGGGTGTCTACCTAGATCTCATACGTACCGTCGTAACTGTTCGGGCCAGTTACACGGCCGGTTATACTCGTAGCACTGCTCACAAACAGGCCTGATTCCAATCAGCGGAGAGATTTCAATGCTTCCAAATTATGAACTCCTTACTTCTTGCCGCTGCACTTGAGTCGACCCTTGTCAGTTCTGCAATTAATGGGGTTGTTGGATATTCAACCCACCTTCTGTTTGCGTGATCGACAGGCATTACACGCAGTAGTGATTCTTGATGGCTTCTTTGCTTTCATACTTGTCGTTTGGCGTTGCTGGATGGGTTGGAGATGATGGAAAGAGAGATGGCGGGGGGAAATCGCCTGAAAGTTCTGCCGACCGTGGGATGAACCATCAGCCAGAGTCCACCTAGAGTGGGCGAGACAGACGTCAGGTATAAAACACAGGGAATTCCCACTTCTGTAAACGAATGGATTAGATATAAATTCTCGCAAACATGGTGCACTTATATCGTATAGCGTCTATCCCGGGCGATGGCATCGGGCCCGAAGTGGTCAGCGCCACGATCGAAGTGGTCGAGAAGCTCGCCCAAACTCTCGGGAGCTTCAAAATTGATTTCACTCATATTCCATGGGGAACAGGATATTACAAAGAGCATGGCAAATACGTCTCCGACGATTGTCTTGACACGTTACGCAAGTTCGACGCCGGACTCTTTGGAGCAGTGGGCGCCCCAGGTACGATCCTACGAGTTTGCTTGTGAAGCGCTGTCTAACATTCAAAAGACGTGCCAGACCACATCTCACTGTGGGGACTCCTACTCGCCATCAGAGGCCCCCTTCAACTCTACGCCAATGTGAGACCAGTGCGGACATTCCCAGGCACCAAGTGCCCCCTCAACACCGCCACTGAGGGGATTGACTGGATGCTTATTCGTGAAAACTCCGAAGGCGAGTATGCTGGTCAGGGTGGACGTTCACACGTCGGTCAGCCTTGGGAAGTCGCGACGGAAGTTGCCATTTTTACGCGCGTAGGCATTGAGCGCATCATGCGCTTCGCATTCGAGACAGCCCAGTCTCGACCGCGCAAGCAGCTGACAGTCGTGACGAAGAGTAATTCCATGCGTAATGGACTAGTCCTCTGGGACGAGGTCGCGGCGTCGGTTGCGAAGGATTTCCCCGATGTGACATGGGATAAGATGCTTGTGGATGCGATGACTGTCCGCATGGTGGGAAAGCCGCAGTCTATCGATACCATTGTCGGCACAAACTTGCACATGGATATTTTGTCAGACCTTGCAGCTGCTCTGGCGGGGTCGATTGGGGTGGCTCCTTCGGCGAATCTGGACCCGACGCGCAAGAATCCATCCTTGTTCGAGCCTGTTCATGGTAGCGCGTTTGATATCACTGGAAAGGGCATCGCGAACCCTGTCGCTACCTTCTGGTCAGCAGCCGAGATGCTGACTTGGATTGGTGAGAAGGATGCGGCAGATAAGCTGATGGGATGTGTCGAGAGGGTTTGTGCTGCGGGTGTGTTGACGCCCGACTTAGGGGGGCACGTCAAATACCCAAGAGGTGGTCAATGCCGTGTGCAGCGAGATCGAGAATTTGAGAATATAGATTGAAAATTCAATTCAGCCTGATCGTGATTCTTGGAGTACGTTTCTCATGTGCGACTAGAATTTCAAAAGAAGCTCGAGAAATATACAAGCCCCCAGCATATCCCCCCACAATATAAAAACATATATGTTGGGAGAACGCTTTCTTTTGATCAATGTAACCAGACCGACTTATTCCTAACTAAGACACAAAGCTTAACTCAATTCGAGATAACGGGGCCACTGTCATCCCATGTATCCTTCGTCGCCGCATCCACCAAGAATTTAGCCACGCTTTTACGGCTAGCAGTAGCCATCAGGGGAATCCCCTTGCCATCGTACGGCCATTCTCGAGTCGACAGAACATCAGTATCCACCAGCCTAGCAGGACGAACCAGAACATATGTGACGCCGCTAGTTCGAATCGCCCTGTCTGTTTTGTTGTGATCATCATACTGATAGCTCATGTTGGATTTGCTCATCAGCAAACGAAGTATGCATGACATGTTTGGCCACGATGTACCAACGCCAAAAGCTTGTAGAATGACCACCTTCTTCACGCCAAATTCTGTCATCACGGTTACAACGTTGGTGTTGCAGTCGGCCATGAGCCGTGGAGGGGAAATGGGTGCGGCGAATGGGCTGTCGCTGGCTCGGGAGCGCTGAGGGCCACGATCACCACATCTGGAATTTGAATTCGAAAAGCATAGCGAATGTCCGATACACTTGTAGGTGTTCCTCAAGGGTATGTGTTAGATTGAGAATTCGACATTGTGGAGCGGGGAAAGCTTACCTTTGACGATGCTCAAGCCATCTCGCATCTCGATCACTGCAGGATTTCGAACGAGGGCAGTGATATGATTCTCTTGTAGAAGTTAGTTGATATCTCAGATCCCTGCTTTGTACAGTATAACCGAGTGTATCGTACCTTTTCGAAGCAGCTCCTCCACGACGAGCTTTCCAGTGCGACCACTGCCTCCGATGACTAAAGCGTGCATTTTGAAATCGTGATGATCGCGGACTGAGATTCAGCATAGAGAATCAGAATACAGAATGGTGCTGAGTATGATTGTTAGAAGTATAGAAAGGGTGCGGCCTTCATTCTTATACATGAGTGGCTCAGTGCACACTCAGCCGAATCCGGGCTCGGATCCGAGACACATAAACACTGGCCCGAGAGAGAAGGCCAAACAAATGAGCAAAAACTAGATGTCCATTTATGAAGAGAGTAAAGAACTTGATAAATGAAGCATCCAGTTCTCTCAGACTATCATGATCAGAGCAATATACGCAGCGCAACGGTTTCGCCAACAGCATCGGTCGTTGTATATATCGAATGAAACTCTTCACTGTGGGCGGAGCGTATGCCGGATTGACCTCAAAGGAGCGGCAACAAGTAGATAGTTGCGCAGAGTATAACTTGAGAGGCCCAATCCCCAAGGACCCCGCGGCGCAGAGGCGCTGATTACATTGAAGTCGACTGAGGCCCACTTGACTGACCGACCAACCCACAGATAAGCCTGCCAGGGTGTGAAGTTATAATTATTGCCCTGCATTGGCATTGCAAATTGTGGCTATAATATCATTGAGGGCTGGCTGAGGAGAATATGTATCATCTACATACAGTGGAAAGAATTTCGAGAATTAACGCAGAGGGGCAACCCAGAAGCCAGAAGATCTTGAACATAAATACTACCAAAGATGACTGTGGAGCTCTAGTAAAGATGATACCACTACGACACCGTGCAGTTGGACCTGTTAGAAGCCTTGCCCCGGCAGCTATGTGGGAGCATCATAGGATAGAAGGCGACTGTTTATCTGATAACAAAATACCAAAACTCCTCCGTCTTGTCTCCTGACATGACAATTCCGCGTGGGATGTGCACCATGTCAACGAGGGTTGTCTAGTACTGCACTAGCTCCAAGATAAAGTGTCCCTGGCCCTCTGCCACACCATCGTAGACCCGGCGAAGCCGAAGAGATGATGTTTTGATTCTGCTTCGGGTTTGCTAGAGCATCCTCACCATTTCAACAAGAACGATCGCGGTCGAGTGGAAGAATTCAGTAGACTTCAACTAGATTGAGTATCACGACCAGGCAGGCGAGAGAATGATACTTGCGTGTTGCCCAAATTCCGGAAAGAATGTCAAGGTGCCGCATAATGATCGTCGCCCTCAGAGGGTTGCTTTGCTACGAGGTGAATTGGAGAAGCTTTGTCCCAGGAATGATGTGTCAAATTACGATGTTGCAGCAAGTGCCGGAAGGCGAAGTAGTAAGACAACAAACTGAGTGGCATTGGCTTCCTACATTCGAGGGAAGCCATGAAATAAAATTAGTTGGATCCCTTCTGTCTGGAGCACCTTTTCCATAGCTGGCACATTGTCCGCGATCAATATAACCTGTTCCTCTTTTCTCATAGCACGAATATCATCGATGAACAATACCCGACTACTCAGGTGATTTAAAGATGGTCTTTGAGGGTTTCTGGCGGACATTCCCAGTTTGAAAGGTCTTTCCAGTCTAGGAAACAATCTACACGCTTGAGCAAGTCATAGTAATTAGTGAAAAATATGGGGAATGTGTCTCACAGCGTCCAAATATGCTTCGAATCTATTTCCGTTTCAAAATATGCCCGAACGAGTAAATGCACCTTTGCTAAGAAGATAATTCCGAGATCTACACCAACAAAGGTGGGACTACTCTGGGTCTGTCATACAAATGCTTGTTAGATGTTAGCATTATTATTGATTGTTACCGACTTGGAATGTGGTATGGAGGGGCTGGGATACATAGTGCCTCTCTGTTAGACCCCTTGAATGCACCATCGAGAATTGCCAAGTCTTTTATTGCCAAGGGTGTCCGAACGCCCAAACATTCAATATTCATTGGCCAAAACATGCAAAGTGTCGAGCGATGTGGTTAGCTTCCAGCAATGTCGCATAAAGAATTTAGTTTCATCTTTATGAAATGTGGTGAATGAAACGGCAACATTGTGTACCAATTTAAACTTCTTGCCCTAGTGATCGAGAACATGACAGGCGGTCCATTGGGACGAATCAACAGCCATATGGGCACCACATTCCCTTACATCCAAATATTTCCCCCTCAAGTGAATGAGGCAAAGTATGCAGTTGCAAGTCATGATCTCCATTCGAAGCATTCAACGCCCCTTAACCGATCATTCTGACGGTGGTGAAAGGAACGCTGCATGTTGACAACACTGAATACCGTAAAAAAAAGGGGAACTGAAGCTCCAATCATGGCAAGAACTGGCGAAGCTCTTTTTGCCAAACAAAATGGCTCACATAATTTTTGGAATATTTAAGAAGCCAGAGGTTAGCCCGCTGACACCGGATTCTTTAATCACCACCAGTCATCTGCCTTTCCAATACTTTGACATTGCTACCCCGGAATCTCCATCTCAAATCTTGATTTTAGAGAAGAAACCAGGTATATTTGAGACACAATTGAGCTTTGTCTATTACGCCTACTGACTTTAAGTCGCCCTAGTCGAAATCATGCAGCTCACCTACCACTCCATTACCGCCTTTGTGGCCTTTGCGCTTTTCAGCTGTGCTACTGCCGCACCAGCCTCCGAGGCTGCCGCTCGCGCCGCTGCATGGGCTGATCCCTCGGACTGCCATCGATTCTGGGAATGTCCCGCTGGTGGAGCCCCAGTTCTGAAGACCTGTGGCCCAGGCACCGCGTACCAGGAAGCGACCCAGGTCTGTGACTTCGAGCACTTGGTGGCTAGCTGCTGGCGCCACTAGGAAATATCTGTGTCTCCAGATTTCATGTTGGATCAAGTGCTTGGAGTAACGGGGGAAAGTAAAGCGAAGTAGGTTAGATCCAATGAATTCAACAATTTACACCACGACATTACATTCCGAGTTTCTATCAGTACAAAGGCATTGGTAGTAGCTGCAATGAGTATCTCTCAAATTTTGCGGCAGAGGAGCTTCCCGGGGCGTTATTTCGCAAGCTTTTCATGCATTGCTGGTCTGTAAGTGCTACTGGACCTGCAAACGACCCGTGTAATGTAAAGTGCGATGATGAGCATGCATTCTCTTGTGCTCTGATGCTGTCAATTTGAATTGAAAGTTGGCTTAGTTGTCAAATCTTGGGACGAAACCAGCTACCAGACAGGCAGAATATCGGCCTCCGTCGCTTATACGGGCTCGATGATCCCTGTTCGCATTGAATTGGGGATATTGCCCCTTCTCATCGCACCCTTGCCTCAGCCTCCATGGTATCTAGATCCATAGCTTCATCTCTAGGTTTTATCATTAATCATCATCATCACTCTCATCATTCATATTCCATCTTCATAATCCCCAAATATACTATCAGCACACTCACCCTAGGGTAGCTTATATTGCAGCTCTGGAAAAACAAGACCAGTGGCTCCAGCGAATCTTTCCAAGTGGCCATATAGAATATAGCCTGCATACGGCTCGGCGGACAAGAGGTCCTGTTCTCCACCAGCAGTGTCTATTTTGCGACCGCATTTGGACTCCTCATGACGGGTCAGATCACCTTGCGCCACCATCGTTGGGATTGGGATCAACAAATGGCCTGCGACTGGTCAGTTCACCTTCCAGTGCCACTGAGGCGCAAACCGGAATTTCCGACTCCTAATCGGGGTCCAGGCAAGATCGCTTAAAAGAACCATCGATCTCACGGCCGATTGATGTTTGAGGGGTCGAGACCAGCCGTGAGGGGCCACCTGACGTCATGGGTGGAGCCCGTCAGCATCGTGTACGTACCTTGCTCTGCCGACCCTGCGACCGAGTCAAGATTTTCTATCGCTTTGTGTCTTGCGCGCCATTAACCCTTCACAGACGAGGAACGGCCGAGACGTGATCAACGAGTCCCGACGTCGGGTGATTATCGCCGTTGGCAGGGGCTTTCTACGCAAGATTCTTCAAAATGGAGAGTTCTGCGCGAGAACTTCGAGATGGCGAACGCCGCGCACGCGAACTATACCATTACTTTCAACCCGACAATCCAGCGCTGCTTCCGACCGAAAAGCCGACGGGAAAATGCGTCGACACCTCGCTGAAGTCTCCGGGAAAGGCCAGTCCCAATCTGGTGTTGACGGCCCTCGCTCAATTGGCGGCGATGAGGCTTGGTGTTCAACGGGCGATAATCAGGTACACCACACCCACCTCAACGGTCATACGGGGCAATATGCGCAGCTTTCGTTGCCTTCGATTGATGAAATGGCCCGGGAAACCACTTTGAGGTTGACGCATAGAAAATGGTTGCTAAACGATTGAATTTCTCCAGTTTGATTGATCGCGAAACGCTTTACGTGGTAGCAGAGGCTTCAAAATCGCTCAATTTGGACAAAAATGATCTGTATGACGATGATGGCGACGGTCTCTGGATGGGCTGTGCGCGCGGTCCTGTTTCGGGGACTCTCTGTGAGGTAAGCGACGAATTCCATGCAAGCATCATCGGGGCACCAGGTTCCTAGTTGCACTTCACGTGGAACGTCTCGTCTTTATTCCAACTTGAAGGACTGCGCTGAGTCTATGTCATGCACAGAAAACCATCACCCTACGATCCTCTAGCGAAGAAAGATTCCCATTCTTTATTGTGGACGATTTGCAACACCACCCGACATTTTGCAATATCCCTTGTGTTGCTGCAGCTCCCTACTTCCGGTACTACGCAGGCACACCCTTGATCACAAGCAACGACATCACCATTGGAAGTCTATATGTGATCGATCCTCGACCGAACCTATCTTTGACGGAATCCCACAAAGAAACTCTCGGGACTATAGCGAATGCCGTTATGGAGTACATGGAAACGTCACGTCAATCGCTAGAAGCGGATCGCTTGGCCAAAGTGCTCTCAGGCCTCAATTCCTTTGTGCAAGGTGCCGTCACTTCGGAAACCTCCAGCAAAGCAACATACCAGAGTGCCGGCCTTTGGGACCAGGACTTATCTCATACCCAGAGCCCGTATCAGACTCCTTGTTCGACCACCGAGTATGAATCAGACTCGTATTTCAAAGATTTTGCACAGATTCGCTCAAAATCTTCAATAAATCAAACAATGAGTGCCGATAATTCCGATACTCCTCGGTTTACTCGCTCTTCCCGTTCTCCCCGATCTGCCCGGTCAAGTCGCTCTGGTCGCTCCCCTCGATGCACTCCTTCTCCGCCTATTCCTCCTTCCCCTCCTTCCCTCCCTTTAGATCGCGAGCATAAAAGCCAAGGAGCCCTGAATTCACCAGCGTATCCCAGTAGCCATGGGATGAGGCAGACTTTTCAACGCGCCGCCGACACCATCCGTCAAAGCCTGAATCTGGGTAAAGATGGAGGTGTCGTGATTTTCGGCAACAACGCTCGCATAGAACTTCCAACAACCCTTGATATGGAACAAGACTCAGAGTCAAAGCGAAAATTTGCCACAATATGGGCCATGTCGGATACGGAAGCTCAATCTGACCGAAATCGCGGGGTGTTACAGTCCCACCCGGCTGCAGAATTGGATCTACATTTCGCTCGCCGATTCTTGCGGCGTTATCGGCGTGGTGGTCTTTGGCACTTTCACCAAGATGGAACAGCCTTTTCTTCTGATGAGGACGACACTGCCAGCTCCGGGACTCAACAAGGACCCCCTGATCTTCCATCTTCGCCGCCATTTTCAATGAACCCGCAGTCATTCGGTGCATTGCGTGAGAAAGACCAGCAGGCACTGAAGAAATACTTTCCCAATGCAAAGAGAATAATGTTCGTTCCACTTTGGGATTCATTCAATTCTCGGTGGTTTGGAGGCTGTTTCAGTTGGAGCTGTCTTGAGACTCGCGTCTTTAGCGCCCACGTTGAGCTTGGCGGGATTTTTGGATTTGGGTCTTCTTTGATGGTCGAGTACAGTCGCATCCAGAGTCAAGAGTCGGACAAGAAAAAGGACGACTTCATTAGTACCATATCGTATGTACTACGTTTCAACCCACTTTTCGTTGCAATCTTGAGTGGTAATCTCGAAGATTTCATACTAATTGCTCTGCAGACACGAATTGCGCAGTCCCCTGCATGGTATCCTGGCAGCCAACGAGTTTCTTGCCGAGTATGTCGAATCGGAATTTGCTAAAAGACTGCTTGACACAATCCGTGCTTGTGGTCAAACTCTACTTGATACCTTTGAGCAGATTCTAGATTTCGCCAAGATCAACTCTTTTGCAAGCAAACGCCAGCACGTGGAATCTAGCTCCCCATCTGATTCCAGTCGACAGGCTGCAGGAAATGGTGCTTCTCCAGCACAGCCACTGCGCATTCTCAAGCTAGTCGATGTCGTTGCGATCATTGAAGATGTCGTCGAAAGTGTCTACTCGGGTCGCATTCTATCAGGTGCAATGAATCCAGGCAATAGTGCACTTGGAAGATGGTCTTTGGGCACAGAAGGCAATAATGGATCCACGGAATCTACTGATACTGGGGGTATCGACGTTTTTATCAATGCTGAACCTCGAGACTGGGAGTTCCTCCTGGAACCTGGGGCATTGCGACGTGTCGTCATGAATGTCTTTGGAAATGCACTGAAGTACACTCAAAAAGGAACCATCTCGGTTCGCCTGGAGGTCCTCCAAGCCAAAGGAAGCTGCAGCCCGACGTCGTCCGAAGCCGTTGGCTCTCTAGAACTTCTTTTAACAATCTCCGACACCGGTAAAGGCATTTCGAGTCAATATCTTCGATCCGATATTTTTACGCCATTCTCCCAAGAAGATGTCTTATCACAAGGCACAGGGCTTGGTCTCTCACTTGTTCGTGACATTCTCCAGTCACTGAATGGCGATATTACAATCGAAAGTCAGGTCGGAGTGGGCACTACTGTGAAGATGACATTCCCACTGGGGCAACCTGGAGAGCAGAAAGTCCTTGATCACTCTCCCGCGATTGTCGACTCGGTGCCTGTTACATCGAATCTTATCAGGCAACTGAAGGCAGGGCTTCAAGGAAAGGTTCTGCATTTCGTCACCGCCCCGGATTCACCATACACTATTCCAACTTCGAACCATGTGATCAAAAATTATCTGACCGAATGGTTTGGAATGAAGTTTAAAGATCCAGAGACCCCTAAATTCGTCGACTTGCTAGTTGTTGATGAGCGTGAATTGGATCTCATCGGAAATCCACATCCTGAAACGTCACTTCTGATCCTATGCCATCGCAGACCTTCGTGGTCAAACATGATGGAATCGACCAAGCAGCCTCCAAATGCCATCTGGCTTACACTTCCCTGTGGTCCTCATCAACTCGCTCGAACCTTAATGGGGTCCCTCAAGTGCTTGAAGCCAAGCCAACGATACCAGCTAGACGAGCCATCGCCAGTTGGATTCACCGAGCAACTTTCCGAGCTCAACAATATCTTGAAGAACCACAGCTTATCGGATCAGCAAACGATGAGACTCGCTTTGGCGCCTGATGCCCCACATATTCAACCAGCACCAAACACCACCACCACACACATTGGACTTGTTTCTAAAGCCAAACCAGCTTCGCATGATTTACAAGCCGATCAACCCGGTATCAATCTTTATAAGCAACCGCTGACTGAGCCCGGAGCTGGCATCCGGATTCTTTTGGTGGAAGACAACGCAATCAATCTCGCTCTCCTCGAGAAATATCTCGCACGAACAAACCCCGAGATCTTACACACAGCTGTCAACGGACAAGAAGCTGTCAAAGCAGTCCAGGCGATGGCCAGTGGTTATAAGTACATCTTCATGGGTAAGTAAACATTCTTATTGACTTTGATTTCTCTTGGACAACATCCTGACCTGAGTATGACTAGACTTGTCAATGCCCATAGTGGACGGTTTCGAAGCAACTCGGTCCATTCGATCAATCGAACGGGCACGACAAACGGACCCGTCTGCCAAAATCGTCGCGCTCACTGGCTTGGGATCCGACGAACATATTGTGAAAGCGTATGCCGCTGGCGTCGACGTCTTTCTAACAAAACCTATCTCTTTCAAGGACATTTTGAGGTTACTGGATGAGCGAATAGATCATCCACCTGGACATAGGCAATGATTTTTGGAAATACATGTTCAATTCTGATACCCATTAATTACGAGTGTTTGCTCATGACTCTTAAAATTCATTTCTACGTACATTCTTGCTTTTTCTCTTAGGCTTTCCAAGAACTTTGGCAATTTTGCTCGATCTAGTCTCGACGGATGAAAAACGTGTAAGGGGATACGCCAAATTCGTGTGCATCGGTCCTTTCGATGCGCCATGTGTCTTTGGTTAAAGATATGGCTAAAGTGGCCATTGAACGAGTCGTGGAAGTGAACGCTTTCGGAGTTTGTAGATCTCCTTTTAGTCCACGTATAGGAGGTTGATGCTGGAGGCTCAAGACTAAGATTTTGTGTTTCTGTGGCGGTTGAGTTTCTTTGGCTGAACTTTGAAGCGCCCAGGGGCATGTGGCTGCCCCAGGGTGGTACAAACCAGTGGAAAGAGGAAGGGAGTGGCGCAGTACGTAAACTGCGGAGTGGAAATTGGTAAGAGTCCAACCCGAGGAATGTTTCCCAGAGAAGATATCCCGAAGTAACCCGCGAGACCGGCGAAGACAGTGTACAAGGCCACACCAGGGCTAAAGTCCCAGTTAGCTTTTTCTTGACTAGTGGGGTTGGAAAGGGAGACGCAACACTTACCCCCAGCCCATGGTGGCAAAGGCATATGGCAAGCCAAAGGGACCCAGGATGATCAGCTGTGATCAGCTAGGAGATAGCGCCTCGACTGGCGGTGCGAAGGGCACGAGATGCATTGATCCACTCCTCGTCGGTAATGAATCTTCGATTCTCCACGTTGCTGGTGTTCATAGTCGAGGCATCTCGGGTTACGTTTTTGGTTTCAAGCTGGACGCCCGTATCATTCTTGGAAGGGAAGAATAATCGACAGAACGCCAATTTCCTTTTCAGTCAACAAGTCTTCCTCAGCACGAGTCCGTTGAGCATAATAATGGTACTCTTCAAACGTCACGCTACGATCATGGAGCTTGCGATGTTGGGGGCGAAGGGTGACATCCGAAGCTTGCCTCCGAAACAAGCGTATCTTCAGAAGCCGGGGATCACCCCGATCGAGAGCCAGATTCGCAACCTGGACCATTGTTCGAGTTAACAGTCGACAGTTGACAGTAGATGACGGATGAAGCAGCGGCAGCGGCAAGAGGGAGAATTTTTCGGGGGCGTGTAATAAGAAGCTATATGATTCATAGTGGGTCGAGCCAATGGTGAAGAATATATCTCAGGGCTTCATTTCCAAGCGAATAAGAGGCCAACTCAGGTAATGGAGCACTTGAGATTGACTGCAAGTATTGGCCAATGCGCCACAGATCTGTCGAACAATGATCCAAGCATTGAGCGGGCGAGTATGTCTATCATGGGTCTGCCTGTCATTTCATCTTCTTGGTGCCGAAATTGCTGATCATTGTCATTCGGTAGTTACTGAAGCTTGCCGCAATCACCTCTTTTGGTCCAAAGGTGGCGATCTCGGGATCTTAGGAACTTAGTATGGATTGTCGCATCGACATGAATGGTTGTAATATCTGCATGTTGGCAGCAGCTTTTCAGACTTCTCAAGTTCCTTTCTTCGCTGATGGACATTAAACCCAGTGCTCGTCTCTTTTCGGGTGCATCTTTCAAAAATCATTCCCCTGCTGGAGCTGCGAGGTCCTCGATGCTGTTTTTGATAAATGCCTGAAGTATAGCTGTCTGTCGTTTGCCAAGGTGTTCTGGAATTTTGCGCCAATTTTAATTGGTAAGCTTTCTATCAATATAGAGGACCAAAGCATCAATTTCTTCAAAAGCTTCTCTCGCAACGTCTCGTGGACTCTTGCTCAAAGAAGGAATGTGGGCCACACGCCACAATGTGACAGTGGCGAATTGGCACGCCCCGTCATCCTCGAAATACCCCACAATAGCCTATCCCCATCAAGTTGAAGATTTGCAGAATATCGACCAGACTTCCGCAGATTTGATAGTCAATATGAGGAAAGGGACTGACACAGTCTCTCAGCCTAAGACAAAGGTGGCGAAATAATACAATTGATGAGGTGAAACACGAAGGGATCAATCAGTAAGGGATAAAGCTGAACTGCACTGCACCTCACTCATAATGACCGGCCAATGATGGGCCTCGCTCAAATATCTTGGTGAGACTAGTTAATTTCACTGAATATTTCTATTCAGATGTGGTCGGTAAGTAGACTATGGATCTAGACCGTTCACACGATGATCCTTTTTTCACAAGGATGGACCTTCAACTAATGACAGCTTTACGGTGCCGGGAAACCACAGATTACAATGCTAGGCAGTCAGTACAATATGAAATCAATGCTGTACAGCCAATGTATTCCTCATGTACACATTAGAACGCGAAAATAGATTTTGAACCGAAATGGGAGGCATATATCATAGTATTAACGGTTGCTGAATTCAGGACAGGCGGACCCATCAAGAATGGAAAATAAATATAAGAAAGACTCATCTGTCTAACACGAATGGAAGGATCACCGTCAACAGTAGCCGAAGACTAGGAAATGGTACCAGTGGTCGCCATAGCCTGCTGCCTTCTACTTCCAAGGAGAGTAAACTACTTAGAATTGCATGGCAGCAGCGAAGATGGCGCCGAAGACCACGGCAACACCGGAGAAGGTGGTGCGACCGGCAGCGTTGAAGACCGGGAGGGAGGACGGCTTGACCATGCTGATGCTGGAGGCAGCGGGGCTGGAGCCAGAGCCAGAGCCAGAGCCAGAGCCAGAGCCAGCGGAGGCACCAGCGGGAGCAGTGGGCATGCGGCGCATGGAGGTCATGGAGGCACCGGAGGGAGCAGAGTAGATGGAGGTACCGGCAACGGGAACAACAGGCTTGGAGACGGAAGACTGTTCAGCGGAGACACCGGGAGCACCAGATGAACCGGACATGCTGGGGGCCGCAGGACCGGTCATGCCAGGGCCAGAGGGGCCGGTCATGGAAGCAGCGGGCATAGTAGGCATGGAGGCGGCGGGCATGGAAGCAGCGGGCATAGTACCAGCGGGCATAGTAGGCATGGAGGCGGCGGGCATGGAAGCAGCAGGCATAGTACCAGCGGGCATAGTAGGCATGGGACCAGCGGGCATGGTACCGGCAGGCTGAGTGGCACCCGGGATGACGGTCGATTCAACGATGGCGGAAGTCTCGGTTTCACAAGGAGTAGTGGTGGCCATGGCAGGAGGGGGGTTGGAGATGACCGTGGAAACCACAATGGCGGAAGTCTCAGTGTCACAAGGAGTAGTGGCAGCAGCAGGGATACCGGATCCAGCATCCTTGCAATCAGCCTCACCCAGAACAGCCAGGCACAGGTTGACGGGGATGTTGACCAAGCCACCGGAAGTGGAAGACTTCTGCTGGCAGTGGGCCTCGCCGAGGACAGCCAGGCAAATATTGACGGGAACATTGATCAAGGAGCCGCTGTCGCTGGAGGAAGTCGAAGCCTGGTCACACTTGGCCTGGCCGAGGACAGCGAGGCAGGCGTTGACGGGAACATTGATCAAGCCGTTGGTGGTGCTGGTCTGCTTGCACTCCACCTCTCCAAGAATGGCAGTGCAGAGGCCCACGGGGACACTGATCAGGCTCTCAGTGGCCTGGACGCTCGAGGCAGAAGCCGCGAGGGCAACGAGGGAAGTGATCATAGACTGCTTCATTTTGATGGGATTAACGTAGAATACTGAGAAATTCAAGGCGTGATATGTGAAGGGCGAAGGGAAAGAATGGACGCTGATGACAGCAAAAGAAGAGTGACAGACAAGAAGATCGAACGAGAGAATGAAGCAGTTAGTGTGTAGAGAAAGAAGACCCCGATGGTGGAGGTGAAGAGCCTTATACCTCCCGGACAGAGCCCTCTAAGCTCCATCTCCGTCCTCTCGCAAAAGGGGGCGTCCCGGTCGATCTGCAGGGCTAAGTCGCCGCCAAGCAGAAAAAGGGTACCTGAATAAGACCAGACTGGTCGATTGACCAGCACTGCAGCATCTAATTGGCATACCCCTTTCAGTGGCCGCATGAACCAGGTTTGGCTGCGTTGGTCTACATGGGGAACGATTCATGGTCATCAAACTCTATGTCTACTGCGCGTCTCCACCCCGAGCCCTTAGTTGCAGTAGCGCTGCTTTTGATTGCTGGTGCGCCCACCCGGTGCAACTAGTGCATCCACGCATCACCCGTCTCTTTCTTCGTTGCGCTCGTGGCATCTGCCGCTCAGGGGTTGCCTTGAACCGGATTTCTTTTACCAAGAATATGCAATCTCGAACTATCCGAGTCTGGAGCTGATGTTCGAGACATTCGAAATTTTGGAAGGCATATTTCCAAGGGGGGTTTTCGTTCCCGAAGCTTTCGGGGGAAATTGCACTCATGCAATGAGGTGCAGAGTGTGCATTGTCTGCCATGTCTTACACACTCACAAAAAGACACCTCCGATTCAGCCACGATGCAATTCAAGACTAAGATCAGGCCACCAGCTTATCGTTTCCCCCCCTTTCTAGTTTTTCAGGGAAATTGACTTGCGATCGCACTATCGTGTATCCCGTAGCAGGCGGATGCAAAATGCGGAGATCACACAGCATAATTGAAGAAGACCCATCTTCTAGACACGGTGGCTGACGCCACTGAATAGGAAGCAAACTGTGGGACCTCGGGCCATGATGCGCGCCGAGCACAAGATGCAGACCCCGGTTCGATTTTACAGTCCCCAACCTCAGCTTCCACATGTCAGGCCAATATCGGTAATCCTTGCGTCGCTGAACACCCTGCAGCTGGGATTCTGAACCCTCGGCTTCGTTCCGGATCTGCTGGCGTGGACATCAATAGCGCCGCGCGTTACCTATGGGACTCGTTGTGCACGAGCATCGCCTTCACATTTTGCAGGGTGATAGGTACACTACCGCATTTTGCTTGTCGGGAGGCGATGGGTCAGATCCCGCTCAGGGTCGAATGTGCGCCTTGGCGGTGGAGCGTATTTCGTTGCTCCACTATGAATCTAGGCACATGATGATCAAGGGATAAAGGTCGCCTCGGCGCATCTTAACAAGATCGGTATTCAAGGTTTACGGAACTATGAATGTTTCAAATTTCAATGAAGGCTTTTTAACGAGAATTCTATTGGCGAGAGTAGTAAAAGGGCGCATACGTGAATTTTTTACACTTGGGCGGGGGAAAACAACAAAGCGAGGGAACGCGTTGCGACACCACAGAGGCCAGACATAAGCAAGGTCCGAGGACGCGATGGATCACGAACATCCGAGACATCCATTGGATGGGTTCTAGTGCTACATCTCCACTCGATCGATTCGATCCTTGATTGATTTGTTATTTTTGGATTCTGCTTTGGCTACTTTGGCAGCTCACATGCCACGGAGCCAGCCGGATCTACGGCATGACCTGCTCCAAGTCCCTCATATAGTTCATCGCTCTGATCCATCCAGTATGGGATGAGGCGGCTGTGACACCAATTTCTCAGATTTCATTGTGATATGGGACCCTACTCGAAAGCTGAGGACTCAAATGATTTTTTTCAACGCCTTGTGGGGGCAGGTCTTCAGCGCCACCTACATTGTGGATGCACCCACCAATTGTATATACTTCGCAGTACTTCCTACTTGTGAAAGTAGTCAATAGACAAAGTCCCAATTCCTGGTCGATTACGATCGTATATTTTCTGAGAGTTTGGTCGGCGAGCTCGCTTAGAATGCCACTAGTTAGAATTAACTTTTGGAAATCAGCCTCCCTATGGAACATCTCCATTAGCGCCTGAAGCCGCGTTCAGGCGGAGTGTATTGATGCTTCAACGATACATCCAAGGTGTTCTCCACGATTCGCCGACTCGAAGCATTCTACCGGCTATCTTGGTTTCAAACAGCCATTCTGTACCATGAGCGAGTGCCATGAGCGGCGAACTTCGACTCAAGTGCTGGCTTTGGTGTTGCACAGGAAGGCCAATTTTGGTATATCATCAGTGTCCTAGTGCAAGGTTTCTTGTTAGGACGAGAATTCCAAGCTCTCGGAGGTGCCACGCGGGCAACACGACTACATTTGCCTGCGGGGAAACTATGGCATTGTAGCCCATGAAAAGTCAATCCTCGGTCGACCAGCGACTTCTTTAATGAGCGATAATTAAGCTTTTCTTTGTAGGTCAAACGGGCCGACACATACTTGGGCAAGTGTTCTGTAGCAGGATCAAAGTTCAAATAGCTCAGACTATCCACATCCCCGGGTTAGTGGTGATCTGGAAAGAATGGATAACTAGTTCGTCCGTGAAGAAACTCACCTCCTCATTGACACACTGAACATGACCTAAAAATTGGGGCAAATCACGTTGAAGCGTCATTTCTAGTTGATGTGAAGCCTTCATTTCCTTTGTTTCGGTTGAATTGAGTCGCGAGACTGCTTAGTAATGCAGGAGTAAAGTGACCTTGAACGAGCCTGTCGCTACGGCCTGATGAAAGCCTTATCTGAAGTCTAGCCGGATTTATGTAGTTGCAAAAACATAATTGCAATTATGTTTTCTGACTAACCTTGGGTTTGAAAATTAGCCTAGATTCCTGCTTTTGCCCAACCTCAACCTAGGCATTTTCCTCGGAAATACTCTGAGCTTGGGGTGATACGGGGAGAGATCGATGAGGATAGAAATATATATTCCCCATAGAAGTGCCATCATCAACCCTTCCGACACGCACCCCACGTACTTAGGTCTTCATTGCAATATCAATCATCCTCAAGTGATGTTGGACAAAATCAAAACCCACGATTGATCTCCTCTTGATAATAATTCCATCGAAAGACAAGGCCGCCGACAACACAGGGCCTCTGACGGTACCCGCTTGGAACTGATAGCCATCGCTCCTTTTAATGATATAATCGCTTTCTCGACGGTGTCTAAAAGCGCTCGCAAAGGAGCACCAGACTTAAGTAAAGCGAATCGAGTAAAACATAGTGGAATACCTGTTCAACCGGCCTAATTAGGGCATATGTCACGTGCAGTCGACACTCCGTAACGTGGAAAGTCAGCGCCCTAGACGTCTTATTTGATAGTGTACCTGAGATTTTCTGCTAGCTGCAGCGTTTTAGAGAGAGTCCGCGATGAGCGTGGTATATCTCAGCGAGAAAACTATCGCTCGAACTGGAGAGATCGCCGCCGATCTCAGCGAGCACGACCAGTGCGCGGCTGAAAAGCGATAGGGAAGCTGTGGCCGATCAGATGCACTATATCTCGCCATAACCTGAGACCGTCGTTTCCACACATTATCCGGAGTGAGGCTATATAGCGTGCAGAAAGATTGCCATTCGGTGCTGCTTTTCTCGTAGCGCTCTGTGACTACCATAGCATCGGATCGCACATCACCGCCGTGGATAATAACCCTGTTGAGCCTGCGCATTTCCTCCTTGCGGCGTTCTGTATCTGTGTTCAAGACATTTCACACCTATGTGGAAACGGCCCTTTGACGGACATCCAGATAGCTCTAGCGAAGAGATTCGAAATTTTGATCTTATCGTTTATCTTTACTATCTCTGCACGAATGTCACGTATTCTTGCAAGAATGCCGAAAGCCCGCCTTCGTTAGCAGCTGTTCTCTGCTTAGCGTCGTATTGCAGCAACGGCGGCAATTGCTCGAACGGTGTTGGGCGAAGAAACACCATCTTGGATGTCAAAATCCTTCTTGTTGAATGAGGATCGCCTAGCCGCATTTGCAAAGGACGACCAGAGCTTGCCGCACAAATTCATGAGCAATTTTGGTGTTACACTGAGAAGGGTTTATTGCAGTATGTGATTTGGCCAAAATGCACGCGAATAAAGACACTCGGTATTTGTTGTGCCACAAGGTAAACTAATAGTAAACTAATTTTTACTTACTTTACTAGTTACAAATTACCATTTTGGGAGTCCGCCTGCTCCAGTGTGAACAAAAAGCGTAGAACGCTCTTAGCAAGATATCAGCATTTTCTCAATTAAGTGCAAAGTGCGTATATCGGACCCTATCATTCCAAAGAGCTTTCGGTGTTCTTCCTAACCTCGAACTTTTGATGCTCTCACGTCTCGGCCATGATGTCGGAAATCTTCATCTGATCCCGGCCTTTCTACTCAGCCTCACAACAAGACCCTTGAGCATACATGAAATGGCGCCGGGCGGAATCTCGCTTAAATTAAACCAATATCACGATTTTAGCCATCGCCCCTTCTTCCATTAACTGATGAGCTTCCACAATGCTCTCAATGGGAAATGTTTTGATGGGCAAAGGTATTGTTCCATTGACAACATCCCGGGCAATTGCTTCAATGGGAGTTTGAAGCAGGGCATCCGTGGTGCTTGCGTATGTGGTCAACTTCACAGATGTTGGGATAGATTCCATGGGAGTGAACTGGTCGAAGGTCCATTTATTGCCCGCGATACCGGCCATACAGACGGTGCCACCAGGCGCCACGCATCGCAAAGAGTCTTCCAGAGTGGTAACCCCGACAAGCTCAAGGACTTTACTAAATGGAGCCCGCTTCAAGACCTCTTCGAGAATCGATCCTCGATCAACAATGATATCGTCAATTCCGAGAGCACGCAAAAAATCAATGCGAGCTGGATTTCGAGTCGTTACCGTGACTGAGGCTCCATGGGATCGAGCGAGGAATGCGGCGGCCAATCCCACGCTGGTAGTTCCTCCACGAACTAACAGACGATCACTAGGCTCTAGCTGAAGACTGGTCATCAACGATCCCCATGCCGTCTGCATGAGCTCCGGGAGGGCCCCAAGGAGGTCCCACCTCACAGGGCGGTCAGGCCCAAATGCCTCAGTTGTTTTGACAAGTCGCACCTGGGAGGCAGGCACTACCGTGTATTCAGCGTATCCGCCATCAAACACACGACCCATGCCTCCCATAGCAGTAACAACAACGTCACCTGTTTGAAAGCCAGATTCTGCCGAGGTGACATCAATGACTCCGGCTGCCTCTATGCCGAGAATGCGGGGAAAGCTCACCCCGGGAGAATGGCCTTGGCGAGTGAACATCTCCGATCGGTTGAGGCCAAACGCCTTGACACGGATACGGACCTCTCCGGCAGCAGGACTTGGCTTGGGCACGGTTTGGAGCTTTAAGACCCCAGGACCCCCAATTTGATGCATGACCACAGCGCGCATCATGTCGGTCGACATGATAAAGCTCGATAGGATAAATGGAGTGGTGTCAGCGACAAGAGGTAAATAGTGGCTGCGAAAAGTATAGAATAAGATGATCAGTAGCTAATGTGATACTGGTGAAGAGACCCATAAAAAAGATCCCGAGTCTTAGGAAGAGACGATAGTATACGAGCCGCTCGATGAGTCAAAGGGCTCTCGGTCAGATAAATCCGCGGCGTCATATTGCGGTTTCCGCCCCCTAAGTCCGGAAACCCCGTCTGACGACCCGATTTCTCAAGCACTGTTAGATACGTTTTCATGGGGCAAGTATATATTACGAAAGACTGAAAAAGGTCATTCATTCTGCATAGTAGCGTTGCGACTGGTATACTAAACAGCAACCACCGATATTTCGCGACGAGCTGAGCTACGACATTCTATTTGCGGATCACACGTGTTTCCCCTCATGGTTGTCCATTTCCTCGAGCCCAAGACAACCACAAATGCGCCCTTTGGGATCCCATTTACGCCTGATTTCTAGGATACTGGTCTGCTGCGATTCTTGCCAGTATTTCGACTTCCGAACTCTGAAATCAAGCTCTCCCAAATAGGAGCCAACGGAGTACTTTTCAACCTTCGACATGATTTCACTGATCACCGACTGGCAATGATGGTCATCATTCTCATCCTCCCATATCCCGTAGAAGGCGAAGTAGTTATCAGATTGCATGCTTAGTGCCATCTCAGGAAGCTTGCGTCGACTGCAGGGGACCATTGATTGCCACAGGACCATTGACTTGTTGTTGGGTAATGCCGTAAAGGCTGTCTCAAGTACGGCAGCAACATCGATATCACTCTGAAGCCACGAATTTTCAACAAAGTATCTGTGGCCATGGGGAAAGGCCCGGTCCTTTTTATCGAGCTCTTGCTGTATGCTAGTCTCTTCACAAAACCAGTGAGCCACCTTACCCTTGGGATGAGATTCTTCTATTCTTTGCAAAACATCTCGGAGAAGATTTTCTTGGTCACCATACGCGGTAAAAGCAATCATGATGCATGGCTCCTTAATATCCGGGTGATAACTACCGACGGCGACGATCTCGAGGCCGTCAGTGAGGTAAGAGGGTATCTGATATCTAGGTTAAAAAGAGTCTGCAGAAAGAAATGGTGTACCCGCGAGTACCTTCAGCGCCCAATGAAAGGCGGTCTTGTAATGTCTCATGGGGTAAACATATCCGGAGGAGAACATCCACTTGGATGCTGGCCTAGTTTGAAGATAAAAGTACGAGACGACACCGGGGAAGGCCGGCCCACCGCCTCTTGCTGCCCAGAAGAGATCACTGTTTTGCTGAGCATCGGCGCGGAGAAGTGAACCGTTCGCTGTAACAACATCGATTGCCTTGACCTGTTCGCATGCCCAGCCCCAATTCTTAGGATTGTCCGTTCAGCAGCTGTCTCGTGGAATCTTCAACTGAAGCTGAGAAAAAGACTTCACACTGACATTGCAGTTCCACCCCATTCCGCCACCGAGAAGAAATCCTCCGAGGCCGACGCCCGGACAATGCCCGACCGGGAAGAACCGATTTCTTCCGGCAAGGTAACTTGCTAGTTCCTGTCCTGTTGTATTAGGAGTCACACGAACGATACCAGTGTTGTCATCAAAGATTGGGTCCTTGAAAAGGCCTCCCAAGTCCACGAGAATAGCATCATCCCGGACGCTCCAACTTGCATAGCTGTGTCCACCAGCGCGAACGGAGATTCGGCAGCCTTTCTCGATTGAGAGTTTGACTGTCCTTACAATGTCCGAAGTATTCCGTACATATACAACTGCAATGGGAAATCGTCTCGGCGACTGGGCGTTGAAGAGATTCCTGGTCCGTGCTTCTTCATACGTCGCAGGGTCGGCCTGGTCCCGCCAAATGATAGTAAGCGGCTTGTTTTGGTCTTGAGGGTGAGCAGGTGTGGAGATCGTTGACGCCATATCTGTGCTTTGAGAGATCTGAGTGATTGATGTACCAATTCAGTGATGGATATACTTCTTGACCATGCTCATGAGGCCAAGCTGAGGTCACGTTTGGAAGCTGCCGTTTCCCGTGATATGATGCAAAACAATCGAACTTGCGCTAGTCCTAATTTGAGATAGTCTCCGCTCGGCGAATAGTTTGAACACGACACTCAACAAGTTGACACCAGGCTCGTGTGACCGCCTTCCTAATTAGGCATACCGGCCAAGTCTGGTGGTATCCACTTTGATACCTAGGCACACATCTTACTACTGGTCTTCCCTTTTTTCACGCCCTACTCCCCTCCTAGCGATAAAGATCCATGTAGGTCCCTTTTATTAATCTAATAGAGAGTTTCTAGGTGTCTGAGAGGCTTCATTTTCAAGAATACCTTGTTGACTCTTTCTTTTCCCTGATATATCACATGGAGAGACTCTATGGCCGCTTCATTTGGCGGTCAGATCAATCAACCCAGATGAAAGAGTCTGCCATTCCTACCAAGAGCACCGTCGATCGGTATAGACAGTTCTGGCTTTGGTAAAAGCCTAAATGGATCGTTGCAATTCAACTCATCCGAGAAGTTTCCCAGAAGACTTGTTCGCTAAAGATTGACAACTGGTCAAGACTTGAGGGTATCTTTAATTGCTCTTTCTAGGCGAAGGCATTTCAATTTGTTAAAAGTTGGTCAGCTGCTCATGCAAAAGCAACGGTCTGGAGTCTGCTTGGATTTCTTGGGGATTTCGGCCTTCCAATCGGATGGTCTTGAAGTGATAGTCTCCACTGAATCCCTGGCAATCGACCGGCTGAAAATGAACCTACGCCCATAGATGTGGGGCCAGTATGTACCAGTGTGCGGAGTCAATTACCTTTCATTGCAAGAACGTATAAGTCCTCAACATTTGATAAGGAAGAAGCGCAGCTTCTGGTGTTACCTAGGAGAAATCTAAATTTGGTGTAACAGACCTAGTTCTTGCTATCAAGAAGAACGCAGCCTTCCAAGGAAGGACTCATGACGAGATTAATTGACAACACTCTGCGTACTTCGACTCGCGACTTGAGGACTTAAGATAAATTAAAGTACGATTTCCCCGCACCGGGAGACTCCTATACTTCCCCACATAGTGGCTGATCTGCATTTTTCTGGGCCCGGAACTACCTTGCTTCAATGCCACGTAAAAAGTACAATCCATCCTCGGCCACATGATGTATTCTCCCTCCAATCATTACGGTCATTTGGATTTTATTCATGCGTAACCCATCTTCCCTCTCACGCCTGATGCACAACCTACGGAAATAAGCAGCCGAGATTCATCCGAAAGCCGGCTACTGTGCTTTGAATTCTCTAGTCATGGTTGGACAACGGATCTTATTTGATCGATGACATTTGGCTGTGACCTGAAAATAGTAGGATATTCCACCAATTGCTCATGAATTTAGCCGGATATCGTCAGCGGGTTCTTGGCAACATGAGGATGACGTGTAGCGTGCATACCATTTGCGAAATTTTCCCAGGTCAGAATATTCTCCTATCAGAAATTCCAATGTACAATTGTCAAGACCAGAATATGAGATTGTTCATGTCAAAGCCAATTTGGACCTGAAAGCATGTTTTATCCGACGAAAGCCGTCTTTTAATGGCGAGAAAATGAACTATCAGCCGCGGATCGGAGGAGATACTTATGAAAAGAAGAACCCTCAGTAACTTTACGAGTACGTGACCCTGTACGCTCAATGATAGTTGAGCCTATGGTGCTAACTATTTCCTGAGTATACGTGGGGCCCGGAGTTGGGCCGACCAGGCAACAGGACGAGACTATTGTTACTGGCTGCCTTTTTGAACATGGCTATGATTCTGTCTCAGATCCGAAGGATTCCAGCTCCGCACGCGGGGTAAAACCTTGCTGGATGTGCAGATCTAGAGGAACCTCTTAGCTATTTTTCATGGCTGTCCTGTGAGAGGGGTTCCAGGGACACCATGAAAGACGTATAAAGGCAACAGAAAGCCGTATCCAATGTTCTAATCCAGCTACATTTGACTCTGACTCAACCAATTCAGATCATCTCAAGAGTATTACCTACCACCTTCTTCGTTAGCCATGACAGTCCCAGAAGAAGTCGACATCATTATATGTGGAGGTGGCAGCTCAGGCTGCGTTCCCGCCGGCCGCCTCGCCAACCTTGATCATAATCTGTCTGTTTTGCTGATTGAGGCGGGGGAGAACAATCTGAATAATCCATGGTGCGAGTTTCTCTCGGTGATTTAAGTCTTGTGCTACATGTTTACACCATGTTAGGGTCTATCGTCCTGGTATTTATCCAGTGAATATGAAACTCGACTCGAAGACCGCGTCATTCTATCACTCCCGCCCCTCGGAGCATCTGGATGGCCGTCGCGCCATCGTTCCATGTGCCAACATCCTTGGGGGCGGAAGCTCAATTAACTTCATGGTAAGTAATTCTACGTCAATGGAGTAGCTGGCCCCAATGCTGAACGTCACGAAGATGTATACTAGAGCATCTGCCTCAGACTACGATGACTTTCAAGCGAAAGGCTGGACTACTAAAGAGCTGCTCCCTCTCATGCAAAAGCATGAAACATACCAGCGTGCCTGCAATAACCCCGAGCTGCATGGATTTGATGGCCCCATCAAAGTATCTTTCGGAAATCATACGTATCCTATTGCACAAGACTTTCTCCGCGCTGCTGAATCTCAAGGAATTCCAGCCACTGACGATCTTCAAGATTTAAAGACCGCGTATGGATCCCCTGTATCGATAAAGGTGAGATGATACTAATAGATTCTTGAATTTTAGCCATGGGGCTGAACACTGGCTCAAGTGGATCAATCGTGACACTGGTAAGCAATAATGTTCATCTTGGCAATTCGGTGCTGACCTTTCACAAATAGGACGACGAAGTGATGCGGCCCATGCCTACGTGCATAGCACTGAGATCAAAGCATTCCAATCTTCACCTTCAGTGCAATACCAAAGTGGAAAAAGTGATCATCGAGAATGGTCGTGCAGTTGGGGTCGTTACAGTCCCCACAAAGCCTCTCAATGGAGGGCAGCCAATTCGCAGAATATTTCGGGCGCGCAAACAAATCATTATAAGCGGCGGAACACTCAGCTCCCCGCTGATTCTGCAGCGGTCAGGAGTCGGTGATCCAGAAAAGCTTCGCCGTGCTGGGGTCAAGCCCTTGGTGGACTTGCCCGGAGTGGGGCGCAACTTCCAGGATCATTATCTCACCTTTTCGGTTTACAGAGCCAAACCGGACGTGGAGACCTTTGATGACTTCGTTCGAGGGGATCCAAAGGTGCAAAAGAAAGTGTTTCAGGAATGGAACACGAAGGGGACCGGTCCTTGGCAACCAACGGCATCGATGCCGGAGTCAAGATTCGACCCACGCCAGAGGAGCTGAACGAGATGAAGAAGTGGCCGACCCCTGAGTTTGAAAGTGGGTGGGAGTCATACTTCAAGAACAAGCCGGACAAGCCGGTGATGCACTACTCGGTCATCTCTGGGTAAGTCGGGACGTTGTTCATCTTCCTTGAAATACCTTACCTGACGTGCTCGCAGCTGGTTCGGAGACCATATGCTCATGCCACCGGGCAAATTCTTCACCATGTTCCATTTCTTGGTAAGTGGAATAAGCAGAGTGCGATAACCAAAGAGAACCACCGTTATTCTGACAACCAAATAAAGGAGTACCCATTCTCTCGTGGTTTCACCCACATTCAATCGCCGGATCCCTATGAGGCGCCCGACTTTGATGCAGGATTCATGAACGACAAGCGCGATATGGCACCCATGGTATGGGGCTATATCAAATCCCGTGAGACGGCCCGAAGAATGGAGGCATACGCCGGAGAAGTGACTGGAATGCACCCTCAGTTCGCTTTTAATTCCCCTGCTAGTGCTCGTGATCTCGATCTTGCAACTACCAAGGCCTATGCTGGACCAAATCATATTTCCGCAGGCATCCAGCATGGTAATAGCTCATTCCGACTCTTGACTTTACTCATTTCGTCGACGAGAAGCTGACCTCATCATAGGTTCTTGGTCACAGCCTTTGGAGCCTGGGAAACAGCCAGCAGCCTCTATTCTGAGCTCGAACAGGCACGAAGACCGTGGCTCTCTTGAATACACGAAAGAAGATATTGCACACATAGAGAAATGGGGTAAGGCTTGGATGATTCCATGTTTCTCTTGAACTCGACTGACTAAAGCTTTTACAGTTCAACGTCATGTCGAGACCACTTGGCACTCTTTAGGTACTTGCAGCATGGCACCACGGGAAGGAAGCTCCATTGCGCCCCACGGAGGTGTGGTGGACGAGCGTCTGAATGTCCATGGAGTGAAAGGTCTGAAAGTCTGTGATCTTTCGATCTGCCCAGATAATGTGGGTTGCAACACTTTCAGCGTAAGTAATCTTGCCTCGATCATCCGTAAGCGAAGGATTAATTAAGAAAATTTTAGACCGCTCTCCTTATTGGAGAAAAGTGTGCGGTTTTGACCGCCGAAGACCTCGGGTATTCAGGAGAGGCTTTGCAGATGAAGGTGCCGACCTACCATGCCCCAGGAGAAGTTGTCAATCTCGCCCGGCTATAAATGATAGGATTCAAATTGTGTATCTTCCTTAAGGCATATTCTCTGAGTTCTCAGTACTATTGATCATTGTGTCTAGCTCGACATACCAGAATGATATGGAGAAAATTATTCTATGCTTCTTGGTCAACGAAAAATCAGAATCAGAATGAATAATGTAACCAAATGACGTGGTCGATTTCTTTTTAACTCCCAAACATAAATATGATTGATAAATATCAGAGCCGACGATTTCAAGGATATAATGCAATGAGATGCGAAATAGACATTGAGCTTAAATGTTGTCTTGAGTTGTCGATCGGCGACTTCGAAAAATTGCTTCTCATTCTACGAATCCTCCGTAGAACCTTCCTTGGACAGAATCGCATTCGTGTATTTTTTTTTTATTAAGGCGATCATGACTGCTGAACATTCAGGAAAAGCTGTATTCTACTATATATGACCATAGGGTGCGGGGAAGCGGGATTCCTCTCCGCTCAGCAGCACTTAAGCCACTCGCCTAATGCCTATGTTGGGCAGGATTCTAGTATAGCTCGGTGGGAAAAGTACCAGAATTGTCCCCATTGTCCACATCTCGGCTGACCCTTCCAGTGAACTTGTTGAGCTCATGCAACCCAACAAAACCAACGCACTCGAGTATATTGATCGTGGTGGCAAAGCTCCGGCTCGATATGCCCACGTCTTAATTGACCATCGAGCGTCAGTTGAGCCATACTACGCGGGTATTCTGGTCGGTCCTCTGCCGATTGTGAATGGAACCACCCAGTGGACGCCTCTCGAATATCCGTACACTCGTAAGACCAACGGAAGAGTCCGCAATATCGAAGCAGATGAAGATTTGATTTCTAGAGACTGGCTTTTAGAAATATCTCGGTCAGTGTCTGATATCACTCTCAGTCTCTGGAACGCAACATACTTAGGTCTGGACAATGATACGATCGGCATCCGGGGGATCGACCCCTTATCGCAGGAACAAGATCGAGTTACTCGAAGGGATCAATTCTGGAATGTACCAACCAGTGACTTTGACGACTCGACCTTGCTACCCTTGGGGCTTTATGTGCACTCAGATGTGACAGGCCGAGACCCGTCCAAATGGAAACTTCTGGGTTGGCCGAACAATGACATTTTCTACAGCAAAACCGAGGAGTTCCGACATCCAATGTCTTCACGAAGTCATTTTCTCCCGAGGAAATGAGGTTACCCTTGACGACATGTCCAACGCTGGCCTCAACGAGGAGTCTGATCGGTTCTTACTTGGTGGTGATCAGGACAATGACCAGACTGCTGCTGGGTTCATACATGCCTTTTCCACGATCAACATTGTGCGCAACGTTAGCTTCGCTAATCAATACAATCGACTGGTCGGAAACTTCGACCAGTTTGACAAATTGGTTGGTCAAGTAGCAGTTCGGGAAAATTCCTGCGATGACCCGACTCCATTCTGGTTCCATTGCGGCAAGACACCAGGTTGCACATATAAGTCTTCAACTTCTCACAACCTACCACTGCATGAGACTTCTTGCGACCCATCAACCGCCGAACAGAGACGGGCGAAGGAACGTTCTACTATGAATCATATCGAGATTGAGGTCGATGGAAGGATCTTTTTGCAGTGCACCGTGACGCCTGGTTGCCCGTACAAGACCGAGCCTCGGTATCGATATGTCCTTGAGACCCACAAAACCAACTGCACACCAGCGCTCGTGAAGAGGAATCTGAAACTCGCTGACCCGCACGTGCCACGACCATTCAAGTGTACGGCGACAGTCGGTTGTGGGTATGGATCAGCATCCCAGCACAACAGAGACTCGCACGAAAAAACGTTGCACACCACAGCTTGTGGAACAAAAGCACAAGCGCGAGCACCCAGAGCTACATGAATCAAAATTCAAATGTTCTGTGACGGCCGGCTGCACATACTAGGTTGACAAACGCACCTCTCTCAGGAAACACGAAGGTCGCTGCACCCCATCGCTTGCCGCAGCTCGCGGGCGCCGGGAAAGCCGCAAGCCTACTACGATCGCCTGCCCTGAAAACGATTGCACTTGTACTTTTACCCAAGAGATTCAGTTTGACAACCACATGAGAGACAAACATAAGTGGAAGCCCAAAGCCTGCGAGTATGGCTGCCACGTCGGCCGATCCGCTGGATCTTGGTACCTTGCATATCACCGTCATATGCAAGAGAATCACAGTGGTCGCTGGCCGGCTACATGCACCTACGAATGTTGTGGCAGCCACGAACCTTTTTGCAGCGAGAGTATCCTCTCTCGCCATTTAGCACAGGTCCACAATATTCATGACTCGGCGATGCAACGCCCTTACCTTTATCCCAGCAACAACGCTAGCGACGCGAGTTGATCCCTTCTGACGCAACTTTCCTGGCTACAATATCTTTACCCTCTACCAACGCCATCGACCCACTATCGATATATACTCACTCTGTCAGCAATAGCGATACAGCTCAATATATTATGACCCCAACAACGGGTACAAGGGAACTTAACGATGAATGATATTACTGAAGGTACATCCAGGGTTCTAGCTATATATCCAATTCTATTATCACAAATGAAATGATGATCATAATAATCTATTCACTTCCAATGAGACCAGACCATAAATAACCGTTTGAGGGATGAGAATTGCAACTTGTAGCGAGAGGAAGCGGCTGCAGATCGCCGCACCGGTGTGAGTTTGTGTCCTGGGCGGGGAGAACCTCTTGAGTGAGATGATCGCGAGTGTCGAGACAAAACTCGAACTTCGTTTAATACCATGGAGTTGGTTCATCAAGTACCCACTACTCAGACATTTGCATGAACCAATCAAACTCGAAATACTATGAAGCTAGAACGTTCACACATCAAGAATGAGAAGGAGAGCCGATTCAACTGGGCTGCAAATGCTGCCAGGTCAAAGTGATCAACATGAATGAGAAGACTCCCTATGGCGAGTATCGCGGCTACCGTATCTTGCCCTCGACAGGCACCGTCCCTTTGACGGTGGAGAACTCCAATCTTCGCAATGCCGGACAGTGGGCGGGTTACGACGTTCAAGTCACTCAACACCATGATACAGAGTCTCGGTCCGCTCATGCCAAGAACAATCAAGATGTGGAGAATTCACCCATCAACTTCGACCAATTCTTCAACGGGGAGAATCTTACCCAACAAGATCTAGTTGTGTGGCTGAATCTGGGCATGCACCACATTCCACACACGGGTAATCTTCCCAACTCAGTCTTCACTACAGCGCATTCTGGGGTGCAATTTATGCCGCTCAACTTTTTGCTGGGTGATCCAGGCCGGGAAACGGTGAATATGGTCAGAATTTATTATGACGATGGCAACGTTTCGGCGGTTCAAACCTTCGGACAACACGGCGATACATGTGAATTGGACTTTACGCCGGCGGAGTTCAGCTTGTGGGACTATGTCGGAGATGTTGTGGTGAGGAAGTTCCCTTATGATCCTAATGATCCCTATGATGAGACAGATAGTATTTCTTGAGTGGATAGGGGCAACAAAATTCCAATTTCCCTATCGATAGGGATTTGGTAGCTGTAGAGGACCATTGGCGGTCTATGGAGCTTCTCTATTGAAAATCGAACATGCCTCTTCGTTGTCAACAAATGAAGAATAGCCAAAAAGATGCTAGAGACAGTTCACTTCTAATAGATTCATGTCAAGCAAATGATCTCGAGATTAAGACGACAAGTTGCTACCGCTAGTCCTTTAGTCTAGTATGCCATTAATGCAAGCAAAACTCCAAAAACAGACAACAGACACATGTCAGAAAACAATAAGAACTTGTAAATCTATGTTTCAATTATACATTCTTGACGCTTATGCAACAACACCCTTGCCTCGCAGCTCCTCAACCTGCTCAGTAGTCATACCAATGTTGCAAAGTACCTCATCCGTGTGTTCCCCGAGCAAAGGAGGCGGGCTACGGATGCTGGGATCCGCATTTGAATACTTCACCGGTGGACTAATTACCTTGATCGGACCACAAGCCGGGTGATCAATAGTCTGGACCATACCACGAGCCTGCACATGCTCATGGTTCATAGTTCCTTGGATATCATTCACGGCGGCATATGGCAGCCCACTTCCCTCGAAGATCTCCTGCCACCGCTTCGTCGTGCGCTTGACCAGTTCAGCTTCAATCAAAGGCTCTAACACGGCTCGATTATTGACGCGTTCATTGTTGGTCACGAAGCGGGGATCAGTCTTCCACTCTGGCTTGCCGACCTTATCACACAGAATCCCAAATAGACGATCATTAGCACCGCCAACGAAGATATCTCCATCCGCAGTTTTAAACCCCTGGTAGGGTACAACAGAAGCTAGACAATTTATTAGTCCCCCGTGATCCCCAGATTGTTCGCGTCGCACTCACGATGAGCAGTCCCCCACCTCCCAGAGTCCTTCTTCCCACTAATCAACACCGACTCTCCCATATTCGCGAGTGTCGCGACCTGACAATCACTCAGACAAACATCAAGATGCTGACCCTCTCCGGTGTTTGCACGCGCCAACAACGCCGCCATAATCGAGTTGCACGCGTATAGTCCCGTTGTCAAATCAGTTACCGCAACGCCAACCTTGACCGGCGGACCATCGCGCGTACCAGTCAAATGCATGAGTCCGAACTCAGCCTCCACCATCACGTCAAATCCAGGCCGATTGCTATAAGGGCCTGTTTGTCCATAGCCTGTAATACTTGTATAGATGAGACGTGGGTTTATCTTGCGTATCGATTCGTAGTCCAGGTTGTATTTCTTGAGGGAGTTAGGGAGGTAGTTTTCGACCAGAACGTCGCAGTCGCGGGCAAGTTGGTGCAAGATCTCGACGCCTTCTGGGTGGGCAAAGGATAGGCCGAGTGACTTCTTATTGCGATTGACCTTGAATATTGTCAATATAAGTGCATACGGCATAAGGCGCCTGGGGGTTCCTACGGAGAGGTAATATGCGCTTTCGCCATCACCCTTTCGACCGTCATTGTAAGGTGCGAAGGGCGGGCCCCACGCGCGCGTATCATCGCCACGAACGGGGTGTTCGACTTTGATAATCTCTGCTCTATTACAAGTAACACAATTAGCATTCTACTTCAACACGGATCAAATATGCCATGTTGCAAGACATACCCCAGATCGCCCAGGATTTGTGTGCAATATGGCTGTCGAGGATGTTAGCGCGTTCCCCATAATCGTTCCATAAGCCATTGGCATGTCAGACACATACCCCAGCCAATACCCGACTCATATCTAACACGCGAACTCCTGCCAATGGCAATTTCTTCACATTCGTAGTCGTTGCTAGTCCTCGGATGAACTCGGTCCTGCCTGGACGTGCCAATACAGGAGCGGCTCGCATTGCCGAAGTACATGGCGATAAACAGGGCCTTTTCATAAGAAATGCCATTGTGACAGTCCCCTTTGATCGCGAATCATTTTCTGGGGCAGAAGACGCTTGCTTCTGCTTTATTCCGCGCGCTGTTCGTGGAGAGAGCCCCACCGCTCGACCTACAGGTGGGTTCGACCCCACATAGACGCAGTTGCAAATGAGGCAGCATGAATATGAAATGTCTGCAAGGAACAGGCAATTACGCTGGGATACAGAGTCGGTATGCATTTCGGTGTACGAAAGTAAAGGTGGATAACTTTCAAAAGGGGACTTAATTTTCAGTCTATACAGTATTGACCATTGCAAAGAAAAAAATGACACCGTATCCGATCCCAACTCTACTTGGTATAATGAATTTACAGTTGCATGGGCTTCAGGTCCTCGGAGACCTTGAAGGGAGCAGCAGTCTTGCTGCGAATTTCCTCGACAGTGACGCCCTCGGCGTGCTCAATCAAAGTCAGACCCTCGGTGGGGCTGACATCGAACACGGCCAGGTCGGTGATGATGGTTGAGACACACTTGGGGCCGGTCAGGGGAAGGAGCACTCGGCCAGAATCTTGGGGTTGCCCTTCTTGTCGGTGTGTTCCATGGTAACAACGACCTTGGTCTTCTCGGGGTTGGCGACCAAGTCCATGGCACCACCGACACCCTTGACCTTACCGGGAAGCATGAAGTTGGCGAGGTCTGAAGATGAATTAGTACCAATCAACAAGTCCAATGTTGGGAGATAGACATACCGCCATACTGGCTAACCTGGAGAGCACCAAGCATAGTAAGATCAATCTTTCCAGCGCGAATCATACCGAAGCTCTCGTGAGAGCCGAACAGGGAAGCACCACGGCTGAGGGTGACGGTCTCCTTGCCGGGGTTGATCAGATCAGGGTCCTCCTCACCGGGCTGGGGGTAGCCACCCAGACCCAGGATACCGTTCTCGGCCTGCAGAACAACCTCAACACCTTCGGGAAGGTAGGAGGGGGCGATCAGGGGAATTCCAATACCAAGGTTGACGTACATGCCATCCTTGAACTCCTTGGCGGCACGCTTGACGATACGCTCACGGCGAGCGGTAGCCTCACCGGAACCAGCAGCGAGCATCTCACTGGGGTCCTTGGCGTAGGTAACCTTCTCAATCTGAGTCTTTCCGTTGCTCTGGATGATAGCGTCGACGTAGATGCCCTGCAGGTGGATGTCCTCGGGAGCAATCTCGCCAACCTCGACAATGTGATCAGCCTCGACGAGAGTAATCTTAGCGTTCTTGGCCATGGCCTCGTTGAAGTTGTTCATAGCCTTGCGGAACTGACAGTTGCCCAGACGATCGGCCTTGTGGACCTTGATCAGAGCGTAGTCACCGTAGATCGATTCTTCCAAAAGGTATTCCTTGCCGTTGAAAACACGGGTTTCTTTGGGCTTGGACATCTCGGCCACAGAGCCATCCTTGTTGTAACGAACGGGGAGTTCACCGGTTTGAACTGTCAAAGTCGATCTGTTAGCGACGTCCCACGACGCTAGGACCCGAGTAACTTACTGATAGTACCAAAAGCAGCAGGGGTGTAGAAAGCAGGAACGCCAGCAGCTCCAGCAGCGCACTTCTCGGCGATAGTGCCCTGGGGAGTCAGCTCCAGAGAAAGTTCACCAGTGAGATACATCTTCTCAAAGACCTTGTTCTCGCCGATGAAAGAAGCAATCATCTTGGTGATCTGCTTCGACTCGAGCAATTGACCTGTGGGGAAGCAGACCTGTCAGCGCATGTTCAATCAAAATCAATTGTCTGAATCGCAATGGCAATTCCATACCGAGACCAGCGCCGGGCATGCCAGCATTGTTGGAAACAACGGTCAGGTCCTTGATGTCGGGACGGTCGCGAACAGCATCAATTAGGGTGTTGGGGACACCGGAGAAGCCGAAACCACCAACCAGCACGGTGGCCGGTCCCTTCATGTTCTTAACGGCCTCGCTGGCGGAGGCACATCGCTTGTCGATAGCTCTCTTAGTGGTGGAAGCCGAGAAGTTCCGCCGCCAAATGGGGCGGAACACCGACACCATAGGAACAGGTCGCGACATGGTCGAGCTCTGAATGACTATGGTACTTTCTGAGCCAGCAGAAAGAAGAAGAAGAAAAGCAAGTCGATCGCGAAGACGGCATTCCCCATGTTCGCAGCCTTCGGCTAGGGACTCAGCCAGAGAAGCCGAGAAAACGCTTACCCGGCAGTGGCCAACGTCGTCTTCCCCACACATCGGATTGTGAGTGCGGCGATGCCCCAAAGGTTTTTGCCGGCATCGGAAGCCGACCCCACAACTTTACCCGGCCTCCGTCAGGGCTAATTTTCGGAGGCTTTGGATATTCTCCATATTCGTGCGGGGTGAGCTCAGGGTGATAGCAAGATGTGGAGAGTATTCTCGTCAAGGGTGTGTCAGACCTGATGCAGATGAAAGCACACCAACAGACAGCGGTCGAAGCACGGCTGAGAGTTTCGCCGTGGTAATAATCGGGTATCGTAACAGGTAATTTACAGTCGGGACTGACATCGGCAGAGACCGCGATGCTTCGGAAGCTGCATTCCTACGGTCACGGGGACACCGTCTCGTCGCGACTTGCTCCTGATCTTCGGGCGGGGCTGTCCTTGCCCGCTCACTTCTCTGCTCTGCGTGCATCACCTCGCATTTGAGCTGCAGCTTCTTCCCCGCAACGAGGTAACCCCGCTTCGCTGCCGGGCTGGGACGGTCGTCACTGTTCGTGTTCTATGCAGTGACCATTCTCCGCCGACCCCGCGAGTCTCAGGTAGAGCATCCAATCAAGAGATAACAGTCAATCGTATCTCCAATGTCAAGTGAAGCGAGACGGAATAACCCCTGGCACGGCGTACATAAGATTGGAATATCTCGCTGGTGGCTTGCAACAAAAATTGATGCAAAACATTCACTATCGTGATTCTTTGATAGCTCCTCTTTCAAACTTGTAATTCTGTCCTGTCAAAATGAGTGCTAAATCATCTATTCCCGCGACGCCTCTGCTATCGGAAAAACATAACGGAATCCCCACACGACTCTTCGACAAGGCCCAGGAGGCCAAAATTGCTATTTCCGCAATCGCCACAAAAGCCCAGAGTAATCGATGTGAGATTGCACTTCCTCAGGGTGTCGAAGAAAGTACATTCAATCGGGCGATTGACGAGCTTCGTGGACATGTGGGTAAAGAACATGTAGAACTTGTCACGAAACTGAATGATGGATGGTAAGAATTATAATGCCTACACTGAGAATTAAACCTAACCAAATGTCATACCAGGTATATGGAAAGTCAGTCAATACACAATGACCCTTGTATTTTGTTCGTCACTCATCCAATCTCCAACAGACCCCAATACGCACGATGCAATGCATGTCGCAGAAGAAGACGCCCTGGTTGCTTCGGCCATAGTCTATCCAAGTACCACAGAAGAAGTACAAAAGATCGTACACTGGGCTAACAAGTACCGGATGCCTATTTCACCCATCTCCATTGGCCGAAACTGTATGTCCGAACATATCCGTTCAGTCTAAACAAGCTAATTGATACAAACAGATGGCTATGGAGGCGCTGCTCCTCGAGTCCGGGGTGCAGTGGTCATCGACCTCGGGAGGCGAATGAATCGAGTCTTGGATCTCAATCCCGATGACTGTACGTGTCTGGTCGAGCCAGGTGTCACATATTTCGCCCTTTACGAAGAGATTCAGGCTCGGGGTTTCAATCATCTATGGGTCGATGTGCCTGATATTGGAGGTGGCTCAGTCCTAGGTAATGCACTTGATAGAGGAGTGGGCTATACCCCATATGGAGACCATTGGATGATGCACTCTGGGATGGAGGTTGTGCTTCCGACTGGAGAGGTCATCAGAACAGGCATGGGGGCGCTACCGGGCAACAACAGCTGGCAACTGTTTCCCTATGGCTTTGGGCCAACTCCTGAGTATGTGTTTATCCTCCCACGATTTACTATGTGGAAAGCTGACTCTTAGTTTCAGTGGGCTCTTCTCCCAGTCAAATTTAGGCATTGTGACAAAGATGGGATTCGGATTGATGCCAAACCCTGGCGGATATGAGAGTTATGTGTGTAATCAATTCCCCGCATGGCATTTCCATTGCTGACCTTGTCATAGCTCTATACATTCCCGAAAGACGAGGATTTGAGCCAGCTGGTAAGATATGCAGTCCATCTCATCTTCGACGGCAGCCGTCGCTGAAAAATATCCCAGATAGAGATCATTCGCCCATTGCGAATCGCCATGATCCTCGAAAACGTCGCTCAGCTGCGTCACATCAGTATGCAGGTTGGTCTCGAAGGCAAATCTCGAAGCTCTTATTACACCGGGAAAGGCAGAGTTCCCGACAACATCATTCATGAAGCAGCCAAAAAGCTATCCTCAGGGGATTGCTCCTGGCTGTACTACGGCATGGCCTACGGACCTCAAGAGATTCGGAAGTACAAGCTTGAGATCATCCACAAAGAGTTCATGAAAATCCCAGGTGCCCAACGCGTTGATCCCAATACTCTCCCAGCAACCGACTATTTCTGGGTACGCGACCGTATTGCCTCCGGCGTCCCTGATATCGAGGAACTGCGCTGGGTTAATTGGCATCCGAACGGCGGACATGCTGCATTTAGTCCTGTCTCGCCGGTGCGGGGACACGACGCCACGGCTCTTTGGAACATTGCGCGAAAACGCTGTGAGGAGTTTGATCTTGACTTGTTCCCCACTTTCGTGGTGGGTCTACGCGAGATGCATCTGATCGTTGAGATTGTATTCAACCGCGATGAGCCTGTCATGCGCAACAATGTGCGAGCCTGTCTACGGGCTATGATTGACGATGCTGCGAAGCTTGGTTATGGTGAATATCGGACCCATCTAGCTTTTATGGATCAGATTGCTGGGACTTATAACTGGAACGATGGTGCGCTTATGAAGTTTAATGAGAAGATCAAGGACTGCTTGGACCCAAATGGTATCATGGCTCCAGGCAAATCTGGCGTTTGGCCTGCGCGATATCGTGGACGTGGATGGGAGATGTCGGCGAAAGACGAGGCTCCTGAAGGCTTGGGAGTAAGTCCGGCTCCGGTTTCAACAAAGCTGTGATCGATGTGTAACTAGTCAGAGACAAGTGCAGGCTTCAAAGATGAAGTAGTAGGAAATGGAAAGACCCAATGTGATAACGCGTGCTCCAGTTGCTATCACTCAAAGATTTGTTGACACTCCTGTGTTCTGTGTAAATGCATATTTTGTCCACTATCGACCCAGATCTATGTCCGACCGCAGGACTTCTCGACTCACCGAACCGTTGTGTGGCGACCTTCTCATAGAGCGCGACCGCTAAGGTGACAATGCAACCTGGTTCCGACAAGCGGCAACCCAACCGTGCCCGTCCCATGTAACACCATTAGCGCATCCTTGTACGCCCGCAAAACCAAAATAACAACGATCGTCACGGTGTGGGAGCGCCCCACCATGAGGAACAGGATCGGAGCTCCATGATGCAACAGGAGCCACGTCCACATTCTGCAGATTGAACGTGCTTTACACTTTAGGTTTTTCACTTCGCGGAGAAACAATCAGTCCACGACAAGATGTTGAGAAGGACCGCAGGAGAAGTATTGAAGAAGAGCCCGAAAGATGTGGTTGTGCTTTCCGCAGTGCGGAGTCCCATCGCACGTGCGTTCAAGGGAGGGTTCAAAGATGCTTATCCAGAGGAGATTCTGATGCCGGTGAGTGCAGTTGGGTATTTGTCGAAAGTATTCTGACAGTTCAAGGTTATGCAAGCTGCCATCCAACGAGCTAAAATCGAGCCGGGCCAAGTGAACGACGCTCTCATCGGCAATGTCCTCGCCGAGCTGGGATTCGCAAAGACTGGACGTATGGCGCTCAATGCAGCAGGTTTTCCTAACTCCACGACTTTCCACACAGTGAACCGACAATGCTCGAGTAGTCTACAGGCCATTACCCATATTTCACATTCGATTCTGGCTGGGCAGATCGATGTTGGCCTCGGCGGTGGAGTCGAGAGTATGTCTCGAAATTATGCGACCAGGGGAATCCCAGTCGATGTTTCTCCCGATCTGAAAGATTCGGAAGTCAAGGACGCACGCGACTGTATTCTTCCTATGCTGCAGACGTCGGAAAATGTTGCCTCGCGATATGGTATCACTCGCCATGAGCAGGACGAGTTTGCAGCGGAGAGCCAGAGGCGGGCAAGCGAGGCCCAGAAGTCCGGCAGATTCCTTGCGGAGATCGTACCGGTCCGAGTGAGGCATATCAGCGAGGGAATTGACGAGGAGAGCTTTCATGTGGTTGAGCGGGACGAGGGTATTCGCCACGGCGTTACCGTCGATAAGTTGGCGACTCTCAAGCCTGTACTCGAGAATGGATTCAGTACGGCTGGCAATTCGTAAGTCTGCCGGTTCTGTCTACGAGTGCGCCTTGCTAACCCATCTTGTTACTCAACAGGTCTCAAATTTCTGACGGTGCGTCAAGCACCATCCTTGCTCGCCGGTCCTGGGCTGAAGCTCATGGTCTGAGACCCATTGCCCGATTTGCGGGCACTCAGGTGGCTGGATGTGCTCCGGACGAGATGGGCATTGGGCCCATTTTTGCTATCCAAAACTTGTACAAGTACCTGGGTGTTGAAAACAAGGACGTTGACATTGTTGAGATGAATGAGGCATTTGCAAGCCAGTCAATTTATTGTCTCCGAGAGTTAGGCCTTGACCTGGACAAAGTCAATCCCAATGGTGGTGCTATTGCCCTGGGTCACCCCGTTGGAGCCACTGGAGCCAGGCAAGTTGCGACTCTGCTGGCTGAATTACAGAGGCAGGACAAGGAGATGGGTATTGTGAGCATGTGTGCTAGGTGAGGCCTTTCACCCTTCAGACTCAATACTTGATTAACATTCATTTTAGCACTGGTATGGGAGTTGCATCTCTTTTCATTCGAGAATAGACACTTGCGAGTGTTGACATACACATTTGAGGAGTATCAAATCTACAGCATTGTACATAGGATGAGATATCTAATCATACTCAGTCGACATATATCAAGTAGAGCTCTTTGCAACCACCTACAATCCTCGTATAGCTACACATCCTCATGTTTCTGAGTCCGTCTGCGTATGGCTTCCATTGCCCCACATGCTCTATGTGGGGCTGGAGCTTGTCCGCACGGCAGAGCAATCGCCCCCAGTCACCCCAGACGGGGCTGCTGTTTCAATGAGTTGTGTAATTGTCAAAGTACTGTTTCAAATTGCTCTCGTTCAATTGTTTTCAATTTTCAAGTATATATCTTCTTACTTCTGAGCAATGTCGATGTTCATACGTGCCGTACGTCCTCTGTCGCGGACGACAGCTAGGCCTGTCACCATCATCGGGCGGAGATCGATTGGCTCCGTCAGTGCTATCGACTCCAGCATTTTCCGCACGCTATTTGGCACGGAAGAAATTCGAAAGGTACGTACCACTCATTGCAATTGTCGATTTGATGCTGAACCGTGTTAGGTTTTCGACGACGAAGCATACATTCGGCGTTGCGTGGATGCGGAAGCTGCTCTGGCTAGAGCGCAGTCACTTTGCAATGTGATTCCGTCCGAGATTGGGGCCCTGGTAACACAGAGAGTCAAAGAATCCAAACTCGATCTGGAAAGACTGCGACATGAGACTGAAATTGTCGGCTACCCAATCTTGCCTCTGGTTCGTCAACTTTCAGCCATTTGCGGTGAGGAAGCTGGTAAATATGTGCATTGGGGTGCCACGACTCAGGACATTATGGACCTTGCCAGTGTACTTCAAATGAAGGAAGGCCTGGATATCGTTGAAAGACTTCTCAAGGACGTCATCAAGACCTTGCGCGAACTATCAGAGAAATACAGGGATACCCCGATGGCCGGACGGACTCACTTGCAACATGCCCTGCCGGTGACTTTTGGATATAAGTGCGCTGTGTGGCTTTCTGGTTTCCAACGGCATTTGCAGCGCCTGGAGCAACTCCGGGAACGCACTTTGTTAGTGCAATTCGGCGGCGCGGCAGGCTCACTTGCTTCGTTGGGTTCTGGTGATGATGGTCTTCGAGTAAGGAAGGCATTGGCAAAGGAACTTGGCCTGAATGACCCGTCAATTACATGGCATGTTGCACGAGACGGTGTCGCAGAAATTGCGAATTTCCTGGCCCTCATGGGTGGCTCAATGGGCAAGGTGGCTTTGGATGTGATGATCATGTCATCCAACGAGCTGAGCGAGGTCTCAGAGCCCTTCGTTCCTCACCGCGGTGCCTCTTCAACTATGCCACAGAAGCGCAACCCGATCTCTAGTGAGGTCATTCTGGCCGCGTCTAAAATTCTTCGGTCCAATGCGGGCCTTGTCCTCGATGGGATGGTGGCTGACTTTGAGCGTGCCTCTGGTCCATGGCACTTGGAGTGGGTTGCCGTCCCAGAAAGTTTCGTCATTGCGGTTGGGGCACTTTCACAGACTCATTTCGCGCTCTCGGGTCTCTCTGTCAACACTGGCCAGATGCTGGAGAACCTTCATTCAACCAAGGGCCTGATTGTAGGAGAGGCAGTGATGATGGGCATGGCGCCACATGTGGGCCGTCAAAGAGCTCATGATATTGTTTACGAGGCTTGCAAAGAGAGTATTGAAAGGAAACGGACTTTACTTGAATGTCTCATGGAGAAGGAAGAGGTTACATCAAAGATGAGCCAAGAGAGACTGGCCCAGCTGTGTGACCCGGTCAATTACCTAGGTGCTTCGTCGCGAATGGTGGACGATGTGCTAGCGATCAATTAGAGCTATTGTGCATATGAGCTGAGCATAGACTCATCCCAAGCTACTACATTGTACATAGCATCATTAATAGTCACTCACTCGCCATTTTCAGCCGATCAAACCAGCATATACTAGTTCAACCCACCTGGCTAAGCCGATACAGTCTACCTAACCATGGCCTCCCAGCATTGCACATTGATTGATCGGGCGGTGTTAAGTTGCTCCACATTCAAACGGCCCCGCAAGAAGCCGTGTTTCGGTCCTGATCCACAGAACCCGAGATCTCGAGGAGTGAGGTCAATGTGGGTCCAGCCCTATGTGGAGGACTCTTCACCTGAGCTCCATATGGGTCTTGATGGGACTGATGACCGAGGTTTAAAGAAACTTTCTGCAGCGACATTCTTCTTATTTTCTTATACTTTTGACCATATTTCCAAAAGACACTCTCGGCGCGACTCACCAGTCACGAAAAAATGTCTGCTCCACCAATGCAGGAAAGAAAGCCGGTGAAGGACCTACAGACGGTCTTCCACTATACGGATACCATGACTCGCAAACCGACAAGAGACAACGATCCCTACGAATATCAAGCCGGCTTTGGTAACCGACACCAATCCGAAGTCATTCCCGGCACTTTGCCCGCGGGTCAAAACAATCCCCAAGAAGCGCGGTTTGGCCTTTACACGGAGGGTATCACTTATTCTGCCTTTGCAGCCCCACGTCACGCCAACTTCAGCACTTATATGTATCGGGTACGACCAGCTGCCGCTCACAGTAAGTTTCAGCTCAGCTAGAAACAGGACATAGAGAAGACTTTGTATTGACAATTTGAAGATGGCTACAAGGCAAATATCCCAAACAAAGCAGATATCGAAAACTGCTTCTTGACGCTCAACCCTAAAGTTGCGACGCTAGCAGAACAGGGCGAATGGGCACCATTTCCCTTGCCCAAGGAAGATGAGAAGATTGACTTTGTCGACGGACTGCACACACTTGGCGGAAGTGGAGACCCTAATCTGCGCGAAGGAATTGCCCTCTACGTGTTCATGATCAACACGGACATGGATCACCGGGCATTCTGCAACACTGACGGTGACTTCCTGATCGTCGCTCAGCTGGGAAATTTGGATATCCAGACCGAGCTGGGCAAGTTGTTCCTGCAACCGGGTGAGGTTTGTGTCATTCCTCGCGGCATCCGTTTTGCTGTTCGCCTTGGTCCTGGTCACAATGTTGCCCGTGGCTATATCACTGAAATTTGGGGATCTCGCTGGGAATTGCCCGACTTAGGCCCCCTTGGAGGCCACGGACTGGCCAACCCGAGAGACTTCTTGCATCCCGTTGCTTACATCGACGAAAACCTTCATGAGGACTGGTCCATTGTGAACAAGGCAAACGGCTTGTACAATGCCATTGAGCAGGACCATACCCCATTCGACTTGGTCGCCTGGCATGGTAATGTTGTTCCCTATAAGGTGAGTCTTTCACACTCTGCGCTGCATCGAGAGACGATGGATACTGACCGGCTTATCAGTATGACTTGACCAAGTTCTCGTCGCAAAATGCCACGTCGATCGACCATACCGACCCTTCGGTCAATTGTGTTCTGACAGCTGCCTCTCGAGACCCGGTCACGCCATTGGCTGATTTCCTGTGGTTTGGACCGCGGTGGGATGTCGCATCCAACACCTTCCGTTTGCCTTACTTCCATCGTAACTCAGCCACAGAGTTCCTCGCCAGTTTGTATGGAAATGGACTTGGTCGCTCTGACGATTTTCTGCCCGGAGGAGGTAGCGTGGAGATTAGCCACACCCCGCATGGCAACTTCAGCGACGCCTATGTATGGGAGATGCGGAACCAGGTGAACGAGCCTCGCAAGATCCTCGAAGGTTAGTCGATGATCTCAAACTGCAAATTGATATTGTTGCTGACCACCAAAGATCAAATGACTATCATGATTGAGAGCAGCCGAACGTTCTTGTTTACGGAATATGCCCGCTCCGGCTGCGGGACATTCAAAGACCAAGGCACGGACCCTAAGGTGTGGGACGCACTGCCGGTAGGTTCCCGTTACATTACATTAACATTGGCTCGACGCTGATCGTTGCAGGACAAATTTTCCGCATATCCCAATATCCAGGGGATTCTCAAGCAAGTCAAGGCGGACAACGAGGCTCGCAGGGAGAGGCTAGAGACCTTCTACGATGACGATCGTCTGGCAGAGCTTGTTCGTCGGTGAGAAGCATGTATATTATATCTAGAGAAAATCTGGAAGTTTGTTCGTCAGTGATGGATGCCATCATTGTCGATATGAAAGGCGTGACCAATGAGAGGCCCGGCAACCCGGCTGAATCAGCCCATGTTGACTCTCCTTCACAATTACTTCTTTCTCTTCGCTGAATCGTAGCTCCCTTGAGCTCATTTAGAGCCGACCTCGTAAACATATTCGCAATTGAGTCGTGCTGATCTGCGGAGCCACTGGAGCTGAGCCACTTAGGGCTCGGGGACGGCTTCCTGCTCTCCCCATGGGGATTGTCCAGTGGCTTGCGCTAGGGGTCTAGGCGGCATGCTGGTCGTCAGCCCGTTCCCCCTCCCTCGTCCATGACTCGTAGAGACACTTGGAACTAACTCCGAGCTAGCTTCATCGGATGGCATATATTCGGTAGAATCGAGCCAAAGTAGTTTTCCAAGTCCAGAAATGCGGCGTCGCGAAACAATCGGCTTAACCCCGGAGCTGACTAACCCGATCTTCGGGGACCCCCTCCTCCACCTCTGTCGAAGCTTCTCTTTTCGAACCATCTAAAATCATGACCCATGTTCTGTAATGATTTTCCGTGCGCTTCGTCATGGTCCTTCGAAAGTGCACCATCTGTGACCGCCGGTTCAAGAAGACGGAGCATTTCAAGCGTCATGAACGGTCTCGTCAGTCATCCGCGTCCCGATGAAGTCCATGTTTGGATGCTGATCTGCAGGTAGACACCAAAGAGCGCCCCTACGAATGCAATGTGTGTCACAAAAGCTTTTCGAGGAGGTAAGATCATTGAAGACGCGCGGAAACGCGCAGGCGCAGACGGTGGAGCTTGCTATCGCGCTATCGCAGAAAAAACTAATTCAACCGCAGTGATGTTCTGAGTCGGCACGCCAAAGGCCACAATCAAGCCGCGACAACTGCAGGGGTGGCGAAAGCTTCGACGGCAGAGAAAGCGCAAACTCGCCGCCCCTCCGCGATAATCGGCGCATCACCAATGCTGGGCGGGCCTGAAAATGGGACACCTTTTCTGCCCAGCATCGGCACGGATCCGCAGCAAATCTCCAATCTTCAAACACCGCGCGAAATGACGCTCTCAGCTACCGGGATTCCCCTTTCGAGTCTAGACTTCCTTGCGGATATCTCAGCGCACCATGGTCGAATAGAACCGGACATCAATTCGATGCTTATGGACGATCAACAACAGTATTTCAGCTGGAATGAACCAACTCCCATCGATCACACTCAACGGAATGGCATGGGATTTGAAAGTGTTCCAAATGATATGCTACAATTATGGCTCGAGCCTCGCACGGACACCGGATCCAATCATGGCTCGCTCGATATGTTGCGTGACACTCATTTCCCTTTGATGAGCGAGAGTAATGTGGTGGTTGCACCAGATCAGCCAAAACGCCATTCCGTCGATGGGAACTCTGGTGGTGACAACATTCCCATTGAGCGTTTCACCAAGGTCCAGCGGTTCTGGCTTGCTCCGCCAAATCACACGGGTCGTCTCATGAATAGCCTGTGGCGTGACATTGTCCACGCGGACGTTGACAATATCTTCTCCCTTTATCCCCTTAAAACCTCACCCGACAGCGGTCAGCTTCAGGGGTCACGGTGTGGTGTGGACGAGGACTGCAGACGACGGCTTCAAGCTGCGTTTGGTCAGACATACGCATATTCGCAGATGCAGTCGCCGAGAAACGGCGTTGCGTCTCCTACTCCCACTGGCTCAGCTTCCACACCTTTCCCAGGCTTTCCTCCGGCAGAGATCTTAGATATGGCGTTGGATCTTTACTTTCGCACTTTCCATCCTCTCGTTCCATTCGTCCACCTCCCGACCTTCTCTGCCAAGAAGACCCGCCTACCACTACTCTACGTAATGTCTCTTATTGGGATGATGTTGCTGGGCACTAAAGGCACTGCCAGCTTCGTGTCAAGGAATTTTACAGTGAGTCGTTCGACGAGGTACCATGCCTTAGTCAAGTAATTAACAAGATCCAGTTCGTCCTAGAAAAGATAACCGCTGATCTGGCAAGGTGCACTATGGGGGTGGAATCCCCAGCGAGTGCCATGTCAATCTTTGCAACAGCTTTCTTGTTTCTAAATCTAGCGGTTCTGACAGAGGTTTGTATTCTTGGATCTGCACTTGCAATACCTGATGCTAATTTCATGGCAGGAGAAAGCCCATCTGGAACAATGTCAGATGCTATACGTCAACCTCATGTCTGTGAGTCAAACTTCATCGATACTTTATAATCACGATTCCCATATTGATTTTCTTCATAGATCACTCAACGACATGGGCTATTTGCAGCGACCGAGGGCCAAATACTCGACATGAGTCTATTCGAGGCAGTGCCCGACATCGACATGAGATGGAAGGCATGGAGCAAAGTGGAATCCGCAAAACGAGTGATCATCGGCCTCCTCCTCGTGGACTCCTGGTATTCCTCGCTTCTTTCAACGAGTCCGGTCATTGTCCCAGAGTCCGTCCAAATCATTATGCCCTGCAGCGAAGCCCTCTTTCGCGCCCACTCATCGATGCGATGGACGCAGCTTATTCGTAGCGGCAAGCGGATCTTGATACCAACGGTGCTGGCACCGTCTGAGAACATCAACATCCCGGCACTTGATGGGCCCATGGATGAATTCTGCATCCAAGCAGTACTGGCGATGGTTCAACTCCGCCAGTCAGAGGCCTACCACCGCCTCCTTTCAAATCGTGCAGGGTATCCCTTCGCACCCTGTCATACCTACGCAATGGATGGTCGCGCGAGATGCCTTCCATCACTCCAATCGCAGATCATATCCAGCTATGGTGAAACGATGGACCGGCTTAACCCTAATGCTCTCATCATGTGGCACCACATGTGTATGATGCTTACAGCCGACATCCAGATCTTCGACTTCGCAGCAGGCCGCGCTGGTCCAGCTCCTGCTCGGAAAGCGCTCGACGACATCACAGAATGGTCCCAACCCCGGCAGCTCGACGTGCCTGTCTTCATGCAGCGCACATCTATAAAGCGATGACCAATCGCAAAGCTTCTGACCATCCCACCTTCCACTCCGTTTTCTCCCTCTTCTCCGCGGCCCTGGTTCTGGGTCTTTACACCTTCATGGTACCCAACTCGGCCGGCACGCCTTCCAGTGTCGGCTCGATCGAACTCTTGGATGAGATCGATTGGCAGCAGGTTGGCACTGAAGGTTTCACGAGCTTCATGGAGCCAAGAGGCAGCCAATCATTTTCCCCAACTGATGACCCGGCCTCGAACTTCATTCGCAATGGCGCCACGATTTACCTGCGCGGTGTACCTTTCCAGGGCGGATACCAGTCCGCCAGGCGGATCCTGCTGGACTACGCTAATCTGCTCAAGGATTCTGGAAAGTGGAGCGTCAAGAAGTTTTCATACGTGCTGCACATCATGAGTGATGTGCTGATGGACGTGGAGTAAATCTACCCCTGTTTTGGACTATGACGATGGCTCTAGTCTTAGATTCGTGTTCTCGTGTATCATTATTATCATGGTTTGTTGGAATCGGGCTGCAATTATCTCAAGCGGACTAGAATCTCATGAATATGACCTTAACGACGCATGATTCACCATAAAAGAGTGCTTTCTTATCCAGGTTCTGTGGGATGCTTGTCGTAGGTGCTTATGAAGAGGATGACCTTGGGAGTGAGGAGATCAGAGTTATCAACAGACTTTTGGACTTGAGAATTTTATCTCTATCGTCGAACTTCGTCCGTAGCACTCGTCAATGCGCTTTCATATTTTGCTTCACTTTTTTCAATGCCATCTATGTACAACGGGTATAGTACAAAATATTCACACTCTGCTATGCAAGGACACAATGACTTATTTGTAAAGTATGCCATCAACCATTTCTCCAATAGCCAGCGAGCTCGTAAGCCCAGGACTTTCAATGCCCAACAGATTAACAAATCCAGGGAAGCCTTCCTCTTCCTGAATCACAAAGTCCTGGAACGTCTTCCCAACATTGACACCCGCACCCGGGCTCAACTTGGGCCGGATTCCACAATAATCCAACGCAATGGCCGAGGGATCCACGCCTGGCATGTATGCCAGAATTTCTGGGATAGCCTGCTCCAGCCGTGCAGGGCTGGGCTTCAGATCCGTCGGATCGTCAACCCACTCCACATCAGGCCCAAAGCGAATACGCCCACCCATATCGAGCGTCAAATGCGTTCCTAATCCACCGTGGCCGGGTAATGTGGCGGGGTAGACAAGCACGGACGTACGAGGCCGCGAGGCGCCATAGGAGAAATACGTGCCCTTGGCATAGTACGGCACGCGATGACGCTCGGGTGGGAGGATCAGGTTATTGATAGCACAGGCTCCGTGTCCAGCACTATTGACAAGCGTTTCGGTGGTGATAGTTGTCTCGGAACCGTCCTCGTCGGAGACGGCGGTGATCTTGAATTCGCCATTGACAGCCTCAACATTCGTCACGCGGGTCTTGAACACAGTGTCGCCGCCGCGGTTCTCAAAGTCACCATGTAAATAGGTCATCAGCGAGTGACTATCGATGATTCCGGTTGTCTCGCTCTCCACGATGCCGGCATCGGCTTTCACATCAGGTTCACGACGGGCTGCTTCGTCGCTGCCGACTAGCCGGGTTGGGGCGTCACCCAGTCCCTGTGCATGTCTATGCACTTTGAGGCAGGCTTCCCATTGATCCGGTGTCTGGGCAACAATCCATTTCTTGGTGTTGCGGTGGGGGATGTTGTGTTTGGCGCAAAGGTCGTAGAGCATGTTCCGGCCGCGGATGCAGAGCTGCGTTTTGAGCGAATCGGCTGGGTAATAGAGACCTGCGTGAATGACCTGTCTTTCAATCAGTTGTGCTATCCTGGGTACTCAATCTCGATTGCCGTTCAAGAAATCCGTGCCAGACCGATTTCCCGCGAATTCTTACCTCGGAGTTGCGGCTGCTAGTCTCGGTGCCGGGGGCATCGTGCCGTTCAAAGAGGATCGTCGAGGTACCCTCGCGTGCAGCAAGCTGTCGTGCGACTGCTAGTCCAACGACGCCTGCGCCGATGACCTGTTCTGCGTCAATGGGGACTCTCTGGTGTTGCTTTGCAGCTCAAGGTTTTATCCACGGAGCCGGAGCAACCCAAGGGAGCACTCACCGCATGGGTAAAGTCGGCTCGCGAAGCCGGTGTGGAGGAAAAGCAGCGGCGCAGAGCTGGTGCTCCCTTCAGAGTTTCATGTGCGAGCGCGAGCATTATGCCAGAGGGGAATTGTGTGCAGCGATTTGAAGCTGTAGAGATAAAGCAGGCCCCGCAATTGCGCGATGACGGGCTCCGCTGATGCGGGCGGAGCTTGTCCGAGATCAACCATAAAGCAACTACAACAACTACAACTACAATGATGGAATTCGATGACTCATTATAAATTTGTATTACCTTCTCATGATCAGAACGCTTGAGAATGCCATAGATGCCCAATTTACGAAATGTACATGACCGCAAATGCCATGCGATCGTTAACGCTTGCTACAGTTCTTAAGCATCTCGTCCATATGCTGCAGCCCAGGTTAGTATGAAGCGTTTTTATGCAATTGTTGAAGAACTGACCTGTCTCTGCTCAACTGCCAGTTTACCTTGGGTATCCTGTTTCCAATTAGCATTGGTATTTGCGCCGGGTATCCTTGATCGTTTGAAGACATACACTAATGATGGTTAAGATCAATGAATAATTGTTGAAAAGGAATCGCTCTCTGCGCTTTGCATCCGTGCCGTTTCGACTCAGTTTGGCCAACATAGCATCAAACTCGGTGCTTAACCGGGCGAGACTGTTCGACACAGGCTCATCGTCTCCGGCATCGCTACTCAGGACCAAAATACCATGCATAAGTTGACCAAATCGTTGCGTGAGGAAATGCGGTGCCGAGGAGTTCTTCAAATCATCTCCGCCTGCGATTGATAAGGCTGAGACCGCACTGCGACCGGTATTGGAGCCAACTCGTTTTAGTGACTCTGAGTGTAGATCCATAATGACCTGGAAGCGAGGCCACAACTGCATGTTGATCCCATTCACGTATGAATCGGCGACAGGTACCTTGCGCCGCTGAAGCTCGAATGCAGATCTTTGGTTTAAGCGAACACACATGAGAACACCCAAAGAATCCGTAGTATTCTCGATAAGTTTCTTGGTCAGATTTTGGCCCAGTGCAAAGATTGGTTCAAATATCTCTACGGCCTTGCGCGAGATTTGGTGGAATGTCAGGGGAGAGAAAAATTCTGTCATAAAAGAATACTCAGCAGATATGTTGTCCACGAGGGCGACATTGAAGTTTCGGAATGGCGCTTCGATTCCATGATACGAGCTATCTTCCTCGGCCAGATAAGAGGGTAACGCCTGGTGATTTCCAGTTCGAAGAATATCAATGCGTCGACCCAATGAGAACGGATCATGTGCGGCAGAGCCAGCTCGGCTGCCAGGGAGAATGTTTCCTGTCGATCATTAGCGGGTGTTAAAAAATTAATGTCAACAGGGAAAGCCAACCGGTTCGTTGCGAATGATCACCTCCGAGGACTTCATTTCGATCACTTGGGTAGATCTTGATCTTGTCGAGTGCTTGGAGATAACGAGTGAAGTTGGAGTTATAATACCAGCGCATTGTGTTGATGTATGCTTGGGAGATTTCTCCGGCAAGTTTAGGGTGAGCTTTTGATAGATAACTGTATAAGTCTTTGAACCTCAGTAGTCGCTGCTGCTGAATTATTTGCGAGTTGATGTTTGGTGATCGCATTGCTCTAATCTGCAACACCAAGTAATCACGTATGCGTTCGATTGCCTGTTTACGTGATTAATTGCAGCCCAGCCCAATGCCATGTTTCTTAGCCGTCGCTTACCTTGTCCTTTAAGTCAATCAACAGTGGACGCACATCCTCAATGGCCTTGAACCCATTAGATGAAGCTGCTTTGGCTTCGATGCTCATTGTTCGAGCATCGATTTCGTTTAGGGCGCGCACCCAGCTCTCATCCATGGGCCCCTCGGCGATAGTACGCACGGCCTTTGGTGAGATACTGATCTCCTCCACAGCTGGGCCCAGTAGCTTTTCCACATTGCGCCTGTTCTCCAACATGGCATTTAATTGCGTCGAGCGGGTCTGCAACGTTTCAATCTCCGCCGACACCGCCCCCAGCTCGGTCTGGAAGTCATTCAAATACAGCTCCACTGACTTGGACACATCGTCACAGCCGGCAATAGACGTGTGCAGCTCCTCAAACTTGTCTCGCTCCTGTTCGAACTGCTGGACCGTCTGGGCGTTGATCTCGTTGCCCGGGGCCTCTCGAGTCGGTATCGGATCGGCTGAGACCGCAAACTCCTCCAGGCTCAGTCCCTCAAAATTGATGGCCTCAACCAGCTCTGCTGGTCTTTCCAGCAGGGTTGACAATTGTGGAATGTCCTTTTCCTGTTTCTCCTTGCCAATGATCCCGTTCAATACCTCTAACGGGTCAGGTACAACAGCCGGGCGCAATCGCTGCGCACTTGTTTGCTTAGTCCTACGCCATTGGAAGGTCTTCCCGTTCCCGGAAGAGATGTCGTCGAGTCGCTAGGAGTTAACAACAGAGAAGTGGACGAGTTTCTGGAGGCGGCTCTAGGGCGGTTGTAGGGGTCGCGGGAGGGCTGAGAGGAGGATCGTCGAGGTAACGAAGGATTTCTAGGAGCACCCGAAGGAGTCGATTGGCCTGACACGCGATCACGCCACATTGTTCGCAAGAAAGTAGCAAAAGGAACGGAAAGCCGGGGGATCGCGTAGAATACACGTACAATACAATCGAGACTTGGAAGCCAAAGCGGCCCCGGAGACACTAAACCCAAATCGGACGTAGCGACCAAACCCCCCCACCACAAATGCTTTTTCTGGCGAGAAAACTTCTCTTTCCTTCCTCCATCTCGACTTTGACTCCCTTAAACAAATTACCTCACCCTCCAAACTACCATCACAATGGCTGACGACCGGGTATGCTGCCTTTCCCTATTACCCTCTTGTTCTACACCCTTCTTCTTGACCCATTTGACTCCTTGGGCTCTCTGAGCCCCGCATCTTTTGCGACTCCCCTCTTTTACACCACGCAACCCCTCTCGCCCACTGTTCGGCCACCAACTAACTTTAAAATAGGACTTCGAGTTCGACTCTGCCGATGCCGGCGCCTCGACCACCTACCCCACTCAGTGTTCTGCTCTGCGCCAGGGTGGTCACGTCGTTATCAAGGGTCGCCCCTGCAAGATTGTCGCCATGTCCACCTCCAAGACTGGCAAGCACGGTCACGCCAAGGTTAACATCACCGCCATCGATATCTTCACTGGCAAGAAGCTCGAGGATCTGTCCCCCTCCACCCACAACATGGACGTCCCCGTTGTTCGCCGTACTGAGTACCAGCTGGTGAGTTCCTCGAAACCCTCTGCGCTTTTTCCCACAAGCGTGTACTAAGGACATTCGTTTTCCAGCTCGACATTACCGATGATGGTTACCTTTCCCTGATGAAGGAGGACGGTGACACCAAGGATGATGTCAAGCTTCCCGACAACGAGATTGGCCAGCGTATCACCAAGCTCTTCAAGGAGGAGGAGAAGGACACCAGTAAGTACAATCGGCGATTTTCCCCGACTTGGTAAATTCTAATCATCCAATTCTAGACGTCATCATCCAGACCGCCATGGGTGAGGAGGCTGCCGTTGACGCCAAGGAGGCTCCCCAGGGCAAATAAATGCAATCCCTCGGGTCTCCAACATGTAATGTCAACCTTTATGTTCCAAATGGGGCTTCTGTCCCCCAAAAAATTCATCTTCAATGGTTCCATGGAGGATGTGAATCCTTGGCAACTGACGACTTCGTCTACTTTGCTTCCCGACTTCGTCTACTTTGTTTCCAACGATCTGTCCATCATCTAGCCTTGGATGTAGGCTGTACCGACCAGAAGGATTGCTTTGGTTGACATTATACATGTTGGCCGAAGACCAGTTCTGAGTCCCAGCATCTCATGATAGTGTGACGAACGAATAAATACGTAAACCTTGCTTATTATCATTTTCGTCTTCTCTATAATTTTCAAATGTGGTGTCCCTCTGTAACTATGTCCCAGTCACTTTCAATACCGAATTCTAGAGCTTAGTTTCATATTTTATGGCCTCCAAAAAGTTTACTCTCCAGCGCTGAAGTGCTCCCTAAATAACTTGGAAGTGATCACGAAAAACGCAAAATCTTCAAAGTCAAGAAAAACATTCACATCACACGATGCAAATTCCTCATGGTCTTCAGGAATTTTTTCTCTAAAACTTCCCGTTGAAGGCCCGGGCACATGTGTTAAGGGAGCATCGGCGGTCGCTGGGCAGAAAAAATATGTTCCGGATCGCAACATTTACTGACGGGCCAACATTCCTGCCATAACAGCATGCTCATATTGGCTCGGCATGGACTATGTCACCCGTGGGGTCTGCGGCCAGGAGGGATGCCGCGAGAGACGTTATTATCTCGACAATGGCCTCTGGTTTTGTCGGCGCGGTCACTTGCAGGAGGTATGCATGTCTCTTTCTGCCCTCTGAATACCCCATCCCCGCACCATGACTAGTCACAAAGCGGGGAACCCTGCTAGTTGTTGAAATCGATGGCTGAGACAGTATACAGGGTCGGCAAATTGAAGAGGACCCGGACGATTTCGGTACTCAGGGTCAAAGGCATCGAGTAAAGAAGGAAAGGGAGGAGAGGTCTCGGAGGAGTATGTCGGATCCGTTTGACATTATTCAACACTAACGTGAGAAATAGCCTATCGTGGTCGACAAGCTGCTACTTTATACCTACAGGCGTATCAGTTGATACTATGGAAGCAATGCGATGCCTTGGTGAATGATCATGGATTCCCTGAGGAATTCGAGGTGAGCCTCCCGCAAGCTTTGATTTCAAACTTAGAACAATTCGCGGAATTAACACCATTCAGGCTGTTGTCCGAGATCTCTGGGCTTTAAAGCTTCAGGGGTTTACCCTACGAATAAATGCATCTGCAGATGACGAAGATGATGAGAGCGAACGCGAAGTCTTCAGCTCTCAGGCCGCTGACACCGACGATTCCGAGGATCTAGGTTTCAAGGCAGGAGGTCAATATCTTCAATGGCCTCGCATGCTCGATACAGTCGGTCTCTGCTACCTGGCAGCCCTGTTAATGCGACTTCCTATCTGTGTTAGTGACTTTTATCAGTATGTACCATTCACAGAGTTTCTATTTGGCGTCCTGGATCATGTGGCTTCTTGCTCTATGAGTGATGTTCTAACGGAAGTGCATCATTTGCAGCCTAATTCTACGTCAAGATATTCCCTATATCAGAGCGGTCCGATGTGTACCCCGAGACATGCGAGATAGACTCCCTCCCGAGCTAATCTCACTTATCGACCTGGTTGTAAGTGATTCACTCTGCGTAGCTTGACGAAGTCAAACATTTGCTGACCTAGGTAAAGCATCTCCCAAAAGCGGAACAAATCCATACTGGGTGTAGAGACTTGGTGATATACTACCAACGCCGCTTTGAAATTGCGCTTCCACCAATAAACTCGCCTCTGATTCTTTATCGACACATCAAGCGGTTGGCCATTCCAAGTATGCCTATCTCACCTATACATCCTGTACAGTGATAATACTGACAATATCTAGTCGATGTTTACGACACAGTCAAGACGCTACAACAGCTCATTGACTTCAATTTCACCTATCCGAGCGTGCTTGAAAGTCAAAAACGAAGGAACTCCCTTCAGCTACCAGAAGTGCAGCTGGTGGTACTTCTTGTAATCTCTACAAAGCTTATTTTCCCCTTCGATGACCTGAAACGGTATGCGGCTTCACATAGAGAGCCTGCCACCCAGATCATGGATTGGTCCAGGTGGGCATACAACCAGAAATGGTTCGAGCACCTCTCCATGGCTCAAGACGACAAACTCGACAAAGAGACGCTGATTCGAATCAACGACCACGACATCTTTCAAATGGAGCCCGATCAGCTGGACCAGTATATGGACTGGTACGAGAGTAGCTGGTTAGACAACTCCAGATCAAAGCACCCCGTTGCCGACCTGTTCTCACCCAGTCGATCGGAACTTCAGAAGCAACCAGAGAGCGAGTCTTGCGACCCCAATGAGGCTCTCGAGCGGGTCCTCAAATCCGTCATGGTTGCACTTAAACCCGCACCTGTCAATCCAAGCGAAGAGGCAGACCGAATGCGGCCAGGATCATGGTACCGTCGGTATAGATGGGAGTCGCAACTTCCTGAGACAGCGCGCAAATTTTATGAAATTGCAGCGGATTTGGCATCCATATCGTTGCTTACCCTTGTGCGAGCCGTTTCTGTGACTGAATGGAGAATTGCCAAATGGCTGGAAGACGAGCGCCGCGAGGCATATATGACTAAGTGGGGCATGGCAGAAGTTGATGACGGCGATGGCATCGAGATGGATGAGACGGATGACGAGAAGTTTGAACCTGAGATGAAAGGGAGTGCATAGTTCAGGCGCAGGGTTACTTTGAGCACGGTTTTCATTCGTATGGGCGTTAGGTATTGATTTTGAGCAATTAATCGATTCAAATTACAAACTCAACAAGAATGCAGCAGCCTTTTCCCCCTATAAAGTTGCATAAGTGCGATTATCGATGAATTGCTCAAGGAGGTAGAAATGACCGAAATCTACGCTGAACAATGTTCTGTTTTTCGCAAGACTAGTGTATAGTCCGGAATGACGTCGACCCAAAAATGGAAGCCGGGGCATGTCACGTGACAGACACGGAAGCGGAAAGAGGACTAGGGCTTAGGGCACTCCCCGTCGGTCCACCTTTGCTAAGCGAGAAATCCTCAAATGTGCATCGCCTCCTCCGCCTCGAACTCAGCGACCGACTGCCGACACCAACGAAAACTCGCAACGAGTACGTGCCCTACAAACCGTGCCAACGCATTCCCGAGACCCGTGTGATCATGACGAGCTAACACATTCTTCTTCCCGCGCTTTCAGTGCAGATGTATGTTTACCCTAATGTCCGATCACTTCGTTGCCCGCGAACCGCCCTTCGACCGTTCCCTACACGCACTTGGAGGAATTAATGAACATGGACTAATACGGCTCAACAGTTTCGTCAAGACCCTGACGGGTAAGACCATTACCCTCGACGTCGAGTCGAGCGACACCATCGACAACGTCAAGACCAAGATCCAGGACAAGGAGGGCATTCCCCCGGACCAGCAGCGTCTGATCTTCGCCGGCAAGCAGCTTGAGGATGGCCGCACTCTGAGCGACTACAACATCCAGAAGGTACGAGACTTTGGATCCGATACTCGACCATGGTGGGACCGGGCTTGAGGCATATGATTTGTTTTCAAGATGGAATGAGGTTTCGACATGCGCCGACTTTTACGACATCACCTGCGACGTGGAAGAGGAGGATCAAGCCCGGGCTCTTACTCTGATCGCGAGTACCTTCAGTGGAATAGTGACTGACATGGCACCAACTACAGGAGTCCACCCTTCACCTCGTCCTGCGCCTGCGTGGTGGTATCATTGAGCCCTCCCTGAAGGCCCTTGCCTCCAAGTACAACTGCGAGAAGTCCATCTGCCGCAAGTGCTACGTACGTCTACTCCCTCAGATATGCCGATCAAGTTGTGAAATGTTCAATGAACCGAGACCATCGTGGCATATTGCGACTGCCATCAGAAAATCAAACTAACACGAACTCTGTACAGGCTCGTCTTCCTCCCCGTGCCACCAACTGCCGCAAGAAGAAGTGCGGTCACACCAACCAGCTCCGCCCCAAGAAGAAGCTCAAATAGATGACTCGCTTATTGGTGTTATGCTCGGTGTGCTGTGGTCAGGAATCCAGGTCTGGGGTATGGCTGGGACGCGACATGGAGAGGTTTACACATGGCGTTAAAGAAATGATGAAACAATCACAGCCACAGTCATACTTTTGTTAGTTGGCTCCTCTCGGCTTCCAAGCCCGGTGTCCATGAATTTAAGTAAAAGTTCAAAACATTCCCACACTGCCGGGGCTTTGCCTTTGTTTTGTATAACAGCTATCTGGTACACGTATGCTCTGTGGTCACCCAATCAAGGTTAGCTATCAAGTGTCTTGTTTCTACTGTCGCGGGGTACCTCCAATATTGGGTCCAGGTTGGGGCTTTTGATTAAAGGCATATCTCGGCGCGTCGCGGACATCCAATCTACGTGACAGCTAGAGGCTATGCTCGAATGCCAGTGCAATATTCATTGAAACTATTTGAGCCGCCGAAAGCATGTAGTGCACATACAATACAGATGCATGATCGAGCCCCAAAGACCACGCTATAGGAAGACACAAGGAAACAATTGCTGCCGGAGCAAAAATCGCTGCAGTTTCCATCATCGCAACCCCGCCAAAATGTTGCACTCTTTTAGTCCTTACTTTAGAGCATTATCCGCTGGTTGTCGTCATCAGAGTTGCCCGTTTGCTTATTCTTCTTCGAGACCGGGCTTCCGTGGCTGTGAAAGTAAATTAGTCGCAAGTCAAATGCAGGGGAGGAAAAAGCTTACGCGAAGAAGAGGATCTTAATGGCAATAGCCAGACCCGCATGCAGCGCAACAACCAGAATCAAGAGAATTTTGCTGGCCTTAGCATCCGTGGCATTCAGGACCGGATAGAGGTTGCGCAGCAGGAAGAACACACTCCAAGCAAAGCCAACACCAACAAGTGCCCAATTGAGCGCAGTCAACGGGCTCCAGCTAACGAGCGCCACTGCGATCCAGACTAGGTTGGAATATCCGTAAAGAGCCCAGCACTCAATCAAGTCAGCCGTTGAGCTCCCGAACCAGCGCAGAGCCCCCCCACAGCGCAATAGGCAAGATACCCGTGTAGCCATAAATCAAGCCTGCCGCTCCAGACAGCAGCGTGAAGTCATACGCAAAGTGCTTCTCGTCATTATTCGACAGCCACTGGGAGATGGTACCTGTCAAAAACAGGATGACCACGACGGTGGTCGCAATCCAGACAGGTCCATAAAGGTCGGCATTACCTTCCAGTACGTCCAGGAAGTTTGATCGTGGGTACAGGGTTGCCATACAGCGGCGCAATACTTCGTTTGTGTCGACATCAAAGAACCGCTCATAGTAGTGGATTGACCACCAGGTGTGCTTTGTTGGCGTGCCGCCAGGGGACCGGTCACGGCGGCGCGAGGAGCTGCCGCCTAGGAACGGGGCGGAATCGGCTTGTGCTTTTGCGGTACGTTGGTCGCTTTCAAAGTCTGAGGAACGATGAGAGTCCAAAGTTTAGTAGTTTGGATTGAGGAGGGGATCTGCTGCCTGAAGGGGACTCACTCGACGGGTGGAATTCAAGGTCCTCTTGCAGGTCGGTGTGTCCGAGGTCGCCCTGCTGCCGTGTTAGAAATGGATGGCAGAAGAACAGAGCACGTAATTACTTACCTCGGCGTCCACGTCGACAACAACGTCGTAGCCCCGGTTCGCCATGATGGTGGATTGAGTTGGGAAGTTGTTATCGGGAGTTGGGAAGTGTACACATCAGCTTTCCCCGAGCGGGAGGGCGCCACACTGAGCCACTCCGCTCCCATAGCTCCCACCTTTACTTATTTGAAAATCTACTTCTCCTTTTGAGTAGAGTCTTGATTGATGAAAATTAATTTTTGATTTCGATCATAATAGTACTGAGCCTTCGGAAACCGTTTCTATATGTTTTAAGCACAGATAAGGAGGTGCAAGCGGTCGGACAAAAATCTAGCCCTTGAAGACGCCCCGGAGCCAACCGAAGTAGGACCAAATGGATGTATCGAGGCCCTTCCTGCGAATGTAGATCGACGCAGCACCGACAAGGATGGCCAAGGCCACAGACCCGACAGCCCGGCGGTGTTTTCGTGCAAAATCGAGCGCTTTTTGACGGCGCTCCTCATTCTGAAGCTGTCGCGTCTGCTGCTTGAATAATTGTTCAGCCTCTTCCACAGTGTACTTGTGGTATGGATCTCGCGTCGTCTTGAGAACGCTACAGCTAGGAACATGCTTCCATGCGCCGAAGGGTAGGGTTTCTGGAGGATGATCCTCGAAGAGCCGCTCTGCGCTCGAGATGTGACCATCCAAGTCAAGCGGGTATGGTAATTTCGAGAGCTTGAAGTGGAGCATTTCTGGTTCGTCCAAAGGAATGTCAAGAAGCTCTTCCTTCCTAGAAAGAATGATTGCCGCGAACAGGTAGATCGCGACTACTGGTTCACGAGCCAAAAGGTAGTCAAAGAGTCGGGCGATGTCACTGTACTCCTGGATGTCGTGAGCATAGAGTGTGAGAGTTGCTGCGAGGGCGAAGAATGGCTGTATTGTAGAGAGGTGACGCCTTAATACTGGGTCGACGGTTTCGATGATGGCTGGAATGAGTTGCAGGTGCTTGACGGCCGGTGAGAGGGACGGCAACATGTAGTCCCTGATGCGGAAGAGAGACAGTTGTGTCATAGCTGGTAGAGCTCTGTGCTTGCCTAAAACCAAGAGAAGGACCTGCACGATATCGTGGTAGCCCTGGAAATAGCATAGCATCGGGTGATTCCTTAGAATTTGAGTGATCAAAGCTGATAATTGTTTTTTCTTTTCGGATAGCTCTTCTGCAGGGACTGGAAATCATCAGTCAGTCAAATTCAATACCATGTAAAATTGTACCGCAACTGACCATTTGGGTAGTATACAAAGGATCGATCAACGTCCAACTGCACCTGGTCCTCGTCGACATGTCGCGACTGCTCTTTCAGTGGCTTTGAATCATCCAATATTGTGCTTTCATCACAGTGTAGGAGAATTGGCCCTGGCACATATTGTTAGCAGTATCCTTCGGGAGGCTAGAGAAAATAGGACATACAGGCTCTTTGACGTAGCGCATCATCAAGGAGCCCGCCTTCGGTGATGGCAGAGGATATCAATGTCTCTATATCGTGCGCGTCGCATGCTCGGCGAATGGCCTCGGCCTTTTCCGCTCTAGCTTTGGCTTTTTGCTGAGACTCCAGTGACTCTGCTGGTTGATCTGCAAACAAATTGGTGGAATTTTCATCGGCGGTGGAGACCGATGCCTCTGAAGTGCTGTTATTGCGCTGCTCTATGTTGGATGAATCCATTGCCGCGTTTCATGCAACAGTGTTTCAGCGTGTTCCTCAAAGTCTAGGGCGTACTTTTTCAAAACGAAGCATGTGCGAGAAGTTTCGCAATTAGAATCCAGGAAAGCTACCCCGGTGCTAGTTGAAAGTCTTCTCTGGGACTCAGCAGAGTATCACAGACGTTGATTGACGTCAACTTCTGAAAGGGGGTACAACAACAATATTGCTGGCTATATTGCTAGCTTTGAAGCCCAGCAGCTCCAGATGCAAGGCTGCGCCGTCCGGAAGTATTTGAGGGCGCCAGAGAGTGACCGAACCGTTTTCTTCCTGCACCACTTGTTGATGATAATACGTATTGGAAAGAGAGATAGCGTGCTGCGCGGTCCCGTTGTGTGGCCTGAGGCAACAACAACGTGATTCCCTCCACTCTGCAAAAACACGGCAGCTTCACTTCCTAAGCACTTGTGCATCCACCGTTGATTTGGTTAAGAAGATCGCGAAACAGGATATGAAGGACACGTGTTATTGCCTCGAAAATTGATCATTAGGTCGGTCCTCCATCTCCGAGGTCTACAGTCATCAGTGAGCACCCCGCAAGTGGTGCACGTAGCTCCGGTCAAGCTACTTTATACAACGATCAAGCAGGGCTCGGTCCCTAGCTTTCGCACCTGAGGATCTTTGCTGATTGATGGTCTTGTTTGACTTGCAAGAGGTCTCTCACGTGCGCATATTCTAGAGTCCCGCCTCAAAGCTGTATGTCTCCGGGTGTCTCCCTCTGGCTCTCGCTTCCATCTTTCAGATTGTGTGTTGACGTGGTACACTCAGGGCTATTCGAGAACCCTCGTTATTTATTTCACTATAATTCATAACTCGGTCTATATCCAGGAAACTTCCCAATTGGCAAGTCCCGAGGATAGATCAGCCGACATCTGCATCACATGCCAGCAAAGCGACAAATGCTTCACTAAGAGTGCTTCATATCTGTTAAGGATGGCTTGACAAGACTTGCCATAGATCAACATTTTTTCGCAATCAAGTCCTAGACCTGAGTTTTCGACATCTTTTGCCGGGAAAAGCGATATCCTGAACTGGAGAGTCGTACAGCCTCCCAGTTAGTACTCAACCGAGCGACGGGGTATCTTGTAAAATCATATCCTGTCCACGCTTTATACCCAAAATTATCCGGTCTTGCAGGGATCTCATCGAGCCTTATCCATCTCCTGGACTCGTCCATTCCCAACGAGATATCCCTTCTTCCCCAAGTTAAATCTTGATCTTGACGTCTAGAAACGATGAATCCGCGAGCATCAGAACGCCTCTTGGATGCGTCTTCTAAGGGGCAACAGTCACGAGAACTCACCGGGTTCCTCGGCGTCTTCACTCAGACTCTTCTACCTAGTCCCGTCACGCAATGGATACTCCCAGCGAGGCTCCGAAACAGGAATCACAACGATGTTGTCTTTGTGGGACAGCGACGTGTCCAGATCAAACAGGCTACCGTGGGTGGGTTCCTCGAAGATGTGCTTGAAAAGACCGACTTTACCGGCTCCATTGTCGGGGCCAAAGTCCTTAATGTCAGCACCCAGCTACCCTGGGAGTCACAACTACAAACTCGTGATCCATCCGCCAGAAATTACATCACTCCGGAAGTCCTAGAAATGCTCCCTTCTCAAATCCTTGTTCTCTCGCTGGAAATGAAACAACTTGTTTTCCTGTGCTGTTCGCCTTCTTCGCCAGGGGAGTTCATCACCTATCGTCGACCACTTCCAATTGATGTCAACTTACCCGAGAAATTCGGAAAGCACATTGCTGTCGATCCAAAGTATGAGCCGTCTCTAGTCACGCTTGGTAGATGAGCTTACTAAATAATATGCAGGTCTCGTGCTATCGCAATCAGTGCTTCAAGCAATTACTTCGGATTTTTGCGGCTCAAATCCTCTCGAGAAATTCAACTTCAGCTCGCTCAAGACCGTTTAGACCCAATTCAAAAAGTACGTTGGAACATGTGTACCGCCTTAGCATGTGCTGACCGAAGTATTATTCAGGAAACCTTCTACAGGTGTGAGGGAATCATCATGTTTATGGAGTTTCTCTATCCAAAGAGTGTGACCGATAAGCAAATTATCTTGCTTATCATTCTGGTCAGGTCGGGGGTAACTTATGGCTCAGTCTATGAATGGCAGGAGGATCAAGACCATGCAATCGACCCACCACAGCACTTCGAGTTCAAGCTGCCCAGACCCGATAGAATGCCAGCCATGATCGCACCTCTGACCAAGGAGTCTTCGTTCTTGGTCATTACCACGACCGGCATGGCGGTTTACTCTGTGAACAACTATGTTCGACCCGCACGGTATCCCCTGATTGCCCCAAGTAAGGAAGTGGCAGAAGCACCTCTATGGACTCGCTGGGCGAGACCTGCACGCAACTGGCTTTATAGTCAGAAATACGACGGAATTTACCTTTGCCGCGAAGACGGCTGGACGTACTATCTCGAATTTTCCAACGAGGGCGAACTTGAACTCACAACCAGCCTGGGCCAACTTCATTTCCATGTTGACCTGGCATTTGATGTCCTTGATATGGGCCATGAGGGTGGCGATTTCATCATGGCGGCGGGGAGTATGGGTGACGGCGGTCTATACAAATTGGAGGCGAGGAAACCACCCATATGCGAACAACGATTTCTCAACTGGGCCCCAGTCACCGATGCAGTCATGATACGCTCGGATGCCCAATCTACGCCACGTCAACAGGTCTCTCGAGATCGTCTATTCGTTTGCTCTGCGTCCTCTTCCTCCCACGGAGCACTCCACGAACTCCGACATGGCATTGAGGCTCAAATCGGGTTTCAGGCTCCCCCTTGAACAGTTCACAGGCATTAGAAACCTGTGGGCAATAACGGACGACCTTAATGGCGGTGTTTACATTCTGATTACCGATCCTGTGTTTACCTTGCTTCTCTATCTGACTCCAGAAGGAGACATCGGCGCCCTTGATGAGAGTGAGACGGGGCTGGATACTACTGAGACGCTAGCAACTGGCTGCACCCCTGAGGGTGTTATTGTCCAGGTCACTGAAAATGCGACACATCTGTTCGTGCCTCCAAATCTGGCATTGAATTCCCGGCTCCCGCACAAGGCTGGCACTTCTATTCTGGCAGTCGATGTCGACGGTCCGAACTCATCCATGGTAACTGCCTTACGACGGAATGGCATTCTAAGCCTCTCTTTTGCGAAAGTAATTGTGAAGGACGACGAAGTCTACCCAGAAGTTGGGCCGGCACTCAATATTGAATTTGAGCCCATTTGTCTATCGCTTGAAAAATTTGGAGACATGATGTTTGTCTTCGTGGGTTCTGGGTGTGGTACATTGAGGGTCTTCCGCGTTGAGAATGGGCTCATCACATTCTTCTGCCAGACGACAGTCAATGTGGGCGACAGTGATGACATCTCGCGAGCAATTGACAGTCTTGCTGCCATTCGCGTGACCTTGGATGGCACCCTGCACGCTTTCTTGCTGTGCGGTCTACGAAGTGGAATTCTTGTCCCTTTCCAAGTAGATTTTGAGGGTTCTTCCCTGATCAGTAAGTGAAAGACTCCTTCTTTACAATGTCTTTGCTCATCTAACACACGTCATAGCCCTCGTCCAACAAGAGCCCAAACGAATTGGAACCACATCTCTCCGGGTACAGAGCAAAGATACATTCGCGCTACTCGTGTGTGGAGACGAGCTTTGGCGGGTTACATATCCCCTCGACGGGCCTCCATGGGGTTGCATTTTACATAGGGTCTGGATCACAGAACAGAACAATGTGAGTTGGCGATACTACTTCTCTTCTGTGCGACGAAATCTGATTGTTGCCAGCCTGCGTACTTCCCCATCAAGCTCTATGGCTGTGGACTCCTTAGCTCGCAAGCTTCAGCACTGGGGAACCTTTTCTGTTTCGCAGACGGAGAGCTTTTGATCTGCCATTTGTACAAGGGGCCTAAGATGATTCCTCGGCGCATTGGCTTGCCTGGCACCGCCACCAAAATGACGTATTCAGAACATCTTCGAAGACTCCTTGTATCCTACAGTATCAGCAATGTGGAGGATCCTTCGGCCCCAAACCACGTCACAACACGTTCGTACATTGAATGTGTGGATCCCGATTCACAGCATGCTGTCGTACATTGGGAAGACTCGAATCCGATGAACCCCGGAAATCCTCAGAGCGCCCCAGGCGAGACAATCAGTTCCATCCTGGACTGGTCGTTTGAAAAGAATGGTCATAAGTACCATCTCATAGTGCTTGGCACCTCACTCCCAGCACTGGATGCAGAAGGTGCTCAGGGTCGGGTCATCATCATGAACGCGAATCGTGATCCATCTGACCCATCCCGTAGAAAGTTCACAACTAAGTATGTACACGATGTGAGCGGCCCCGATTATGGCCCTGTGCGTGCAATAGCACCTTTCCGAGACAGTCTGATTGTCGGGGCAGGGAAGATGATATTTCCAGTGACAGCTCGCAGTGCGGAGACTAGATGGGTTCGCGATACCTCCAAAAAGCTCCCTTCTGCAGCAGTCGCAATCACCGTCTATGGGTCATTCGTGTTCGTGACCACCGCACGCCACGGATTCATGATCTTTGAAGTGATTGATGGGACGTTGAAGACGCGCGAATGGGACGACATGCAGCGCGATGGCATAGCCCACTACATTTGCCCGGGTCGCACACCTTTGGCATTCATGGCCAGCCGTGGCGGAGGTGTCCGCGTCTCCAAGCTAGGAAAAGATCCCGATGGCATGGGCTCTGTCTCCCATCCGGCAGAGATCCGCCTATCAGATACGATCATTCGCTTCGTTCTCGACTCCATGAACGAGCTTACACCAATGACACCCTGGCAACGAGGATCGTCCATGTTCGGATTTGCACTCAATGGTGCAGTGTACAGATTCTCTTTACTAAGGAAGAACGAGCTACAGCTCCTTTGGCTGTTGCAGAACATGTGTCTCAGAGACCCAGTTCTATGTCCATCTGCACTTCCGCGTGAGAGGCGCACCAATTCTCTGTGGGGAGAGGCCCACGGTAACAACCGCCATATTGATGGAGACATCCTTGCCCGTCTTGCCCAGCATGATCCGGGATATCTTGAGCAAATGATTTTAAGGCTTGACACTGCTCGTAAGGCGGAGTTCTTTGGTTCCCACGTTCGGGAACTAGCCCAGGAGGTGCTTGGAGAGTCATGGAATTATGACCGATACATTGTGCATTGGCTCCGTACCCTGCTGCAGGTGCAGTTTTGATCTATCACTTGAACGACTCAACTTCTGGCGATGTTGGTTCGCATGTATGTACTCGAAACACAGAGTGACTTTGAGTGAATGGGCAGTGACTTCTCATGCTAATAGGTAGCCCTGCTCAGATGAGAACTCATTTGTAAGATAGTTGTCAAGAAATCCATTGAGAAATTTCTTTTTACAAGGAATTTAAGCAGACAGTAGACTGTTTCATTTTGCCCTCAAGTGCTAGTGGCTCACGTAGCAGTGGCAACCAAATGGAAGTCAGACTACATTGTTCCCCACCATTGATTCTTCCCGAAATTCTTTTTCACTCCCACCCCTCCCCTAGGTCCACCTACCCATTCTTTTCCGGGGACCTGAGTTCGACTTGATCGATCTCTTTTATAAAATTCGAGTTTTGCGTGATCGCAAAATTTCAATCGACCCGCCCGTGAACGGTTAGCTCCGTTTGTGCGCTCACGATACACCGATCGACCCTCGATTCGGATCCCGAACCCCCCAGCAAACCAAATACAAAATACCGACACAATGCCTCCTAAGAAGAAGGGTAACAAGCGGCAAGAGGAAGACTGGGAAGCCGACCTCGGCGAGTCCGCCCCCGCCGGCGATGCTCCCACCGACCAGCCCCAGGATGCCGAAGAGGAGGAAGCCGCGGGCGGCGGTGGCCTCATGGCTGCTCTGAGGAAGAACAAGGAGAAGAAGAAGAAGAAGGGCAAAACCAACGACTTCGTCGAGGGTGAAGACCCTGCCGCCGATCTCGCCAGCAAGGCTCCCGAAGAGGGCACTTTCGATGACGATGATGTCTTCGCCGGCAAGGCTGCGAAGAAGCCTATCAAGGACATTCCTGTTCCCAAGGCCGACGAACCCGAGGAAGGCGAGTTCCGCGTAAAGTCCAAGAAGGAGAAGGAGAAGGAAAGGAAGGAGCGTGAGAAGGCGCGTAAGAAGGAACAGGTACGTTTGAGAAAATTTCTTGCCATCTCTTAAGCCTGTGCTGATCTCATACTCTACTTTCTAGGCCGCCCTAAAGAAGAAGACTGTTCCCGCGCCTAAGGCCGATGCCGCTAAACAAGCTGCCGAGATCAAGATGGATGAGCCCGCCCCGGCCCCCGCCACAGAAGCCACCGGTGGCAAGAAGAAGAAGCTTCCTCCTCATTTGGCAGCTCTCCAGAAGCAGCAGGAGCTGCTCCGCCAACAGCGTGAGGAGGAGGAGCGCTTGGCCGCCGAAGAGAAGGCCCGCGAAGAGGAGCAGAAGCGCATCGAGGCCGAGGAAGAGGCTAAGCGCGAAGAGGCCCGTCAAAGGAAGCGTGAGCGTGAGCGTGAAAAGAAGGAGCAGCTTCGCAAGGAGGGCAAGCTTCTGACCAAGGCTCAGCGCGAAGCTCAGCTGCGTAATGAGATGCGTATGAAGCAGATGCTCGAAGCTGGTGTGGGCACTGTTGCCGGTCTGCAAGAGGGTGGTGCAGAGAAAAAGCGCCCCGTCTACGAGAACCGCCGGAAGAAGGCCGGCAAGAAGCAAGAAGAGGATCTTGAGGCTGCTGCCGAGCGTGCCCGTCTCCAGCGTGAGGCTGAAGATGAACGCCGCCGCAAGGAAGCTGAGGAAAAGGCCAAGGCTGAGGCTGAGGCTGAGGCCGCGAAGAACGGTGCTCCTGCTTCCGAGGACATTGATGCCGTGGATGACTGGGAGGCTGCTGCTGATGATGACGTTAAGGACAGCTGGGATGCTCCCTCTGAGGATGAGAAGCCCACTGCCAATGGCGACGCTAACGATGCCGACTCGAAGGAGGAAGAAGACTCCGAAGAGGAGTCCGACGACGATGACTCTTCTGAGGAAGACTCAGAGGATGAGGAGCAGTCTGCCAACCAGAGGGCTGTCGCACTGAGAAAGGCCGAGGCCGCCGAGCGGAGGAAGAAGCAGCACGAGGAGGCCCTCGCTGCTCGTTCCAAGGACAACCTGCGCTCGCCCATTTGCTGTATTCTCGGTCACGTCGATACTGGAAAGACCAAGCTTCTTGACAAGATTCGTCAGACCAACGTACAGGAAGGCGAAGCCGGTGGTATCACTCAGCAGATTGGTGCTACTTACTTCCCCGTTGAGGCTCTCCAGCAGAAGACGTCTGTCGTGAACAAGGACGGCAAGTTCGAGTTCAAGGTTCCTGGTTTGCTCATCATTGATACCCCTGGTCACGAGTCTTTCTCCAACCTGCGTTCCAGAGGTTCTTCTCTTTGCAACATCGCCATTCTGGTCGTCGATATCATGCACGGTCTTGAGCCTCAAACTCTCGAGTCTATGCGCTTGCTGCGTGACCGCAAGACTCCTTTCATCGTGGCGCTGAACAAGATCGATCGTCTGTATGGCTGGAAGAAGATCGATAACAACGGCTTCGAGGACAGTCTGAACATGCAGAACAAAGGTGTTCAGAATGAGTTCCGCTCTCGTCTGGAGGCTACTAAGCTCGCTTTCGCCGAGCAGGGTTTCAACTCCGAGCTCTTCTACGAGAACAAGTCTATGGCCCGTAATGTGTCCTTGGTCCCCACTTCCGCCCACACCGGTGAGGGTGTTCCCGACATGCTGAAGCTTCTCACTGAGCTGAGTCAGGAGCGTATGACCAACTCCCTGATGTACCTGTCCGAGGTTGAGTGTACCGTCCTGGAAGTCAAGGTCATCGAGGGTCTCGGTACCACCATTGACGTTATCCTGTCCAACGGTATTTTGCGTGAGGGTGATCGAATTGTCATGTGCGGTCTCAATGGACCTATAACAACCAATATTCGAGCACTTTTGACGCCCGCGCCGCTCAAGGAATTGCGTCTCAAGTCCGCATATGTCCACAATAAGGAGGTCAAGGCAGCTCTCGGTGTCAAGATTGCTGCCAACGATCTCGAGCACGCCATTGCTGGTTCCCGTTTGATGGTTGTTGGCCCTGACGATGATGAGGAGGACCTCGAGGAGGAGGTGATGTCTGATCTGGAGAATCTTCTGAGCAAGGTCTCTACCGATTCTCGCGGTGTCAGTGTCCAGGCCTCCACTCTGGGTTCCCTTGAGGCCCTTCTGGAGTTCCTGAGGGTCTCCAAGATCCCCGTGGCCAACATCTCCATCGGTCCCGTCTACAAGCGCGATGTCATGATGGCTGGTGCCATGTTGGAGAAGGCCAAGGAATATGCTGTCATGCTTTGCTTCGATGTCAAGGTTGATAAGGAAGCGGCCGCATACGCTGCTGACGTCGGCGTCAAGATTTTCACTGCGGACATCATTTACCACCTGTTCGACGACTTCACCAAGCACATGGCTGAGCTTACTGAGCAGCGTAAGGAGGAGAGCAAGCTTCTTGCCATCTTCCCTTGTGTGATCCAACCTGTTGCTGTCTTCAACAAGAAGGACCCTATTGTCATCGGTATTGATGTCATTGAGGGAAGCTTGCGGATGCACACCCCGCTGGCGGCTATCGTCACCAATGGCGCCGGTGTGAGAGAGGTCATTGATATTGGCAGAGTGTACGTTTACCCGATGTTTCCGTTCTATACTCTCTCGATCTCATTCTAACATCTTGATAGGACATCCATCGAGCGTGATCACAAGGCCATCCAGGTCTGCAAGAAGGGTCAGCCCTCTGTCGCCATCAAGGTCGAGGGTCCTAACCAGCCCATGTACGGTCGCCATCTGGAAGAGAAGGACCTTCTTTACTCGCACATCTCGCGTGCTAGTATCGATACCCTCAAGGAGTTCTACCGCTCCGAGGTCACCATGGAGGAGTGGGGTCTGGTCAAGAAGCTCAAGCCCGTCTTCGACATTCCTTGAGCAGACCACCCAGTTATCAAATGAGATGCTCGGCATCTCACACGGAGTGGGTAGAAGAAGCTTTCACCCATCTTGTCAGGTCCCGCTTTCGTCCCGAGCGCATGACGATGGTGACCTTCCCATGCATATGGGGATTCCACAACATAACAACTGCCATCAAGTGAAAATAAAAGTTACTGTTTTGATTGCGATGTGGACATACCATGAACGATTACGACTTGAATGGAATGCACAGGACACCAAGGAACGTTTCAGCTGTACATGCTGGTTTAAAGGAAAGGGGGAAAGGGAAACCTGGCCTACACCAGGATTTTTGTTATATTTGCTTTGAATCAATGTTGTTAGATCTGGTTCCTATCCTCACGTACAGTACTCATCTTGTCCCGGCACGGACCATTGACGGTAATATCTACAGCATCACGAGTTACCTCGTTCCTCACTTGAGTTGAACCTTTCAACAACACACCACTTAATCATCGTCCCCATCCCACCGCTCAACCTTGCCTCCATTCCTTTCCCAATCCAACCAACTCCCCTCATAAACCCCAATCTGCTCCGGATTATACCCCGCCTGCACAGCCAACTGCGCCGCCGCCCGAGCCCTGACACCAGCCTTGCAATAAAACACAAGCGTCCCGTCAAAATCAGCCTGCGGCTTGGGGAATCCAAATCGATCCTCGAACTCGTCGGGGGTCAGATACATAGCGTCGGGCTGGGAAGCGAGCGGTATACTGATGGCTGAGGGTATAATGCCTGTTCCTTTAAGTTCGGCAGGTTCGCGGACGTCGATGAGGATTACGGGTTTGTGAGTTGGAGAGGTGGAGGATGAAGGGAGGGCAGTGTTTATCTGGGATAGTTAGTTATTTGCTTTCATATGTCGGGGGGCTTTGGAAGAGGGGATGTACTTCTTCAAATCCCCATTCGCGGAGAGAAGGTGGCTCGTCGTTGAATCGACGAATTTGGTTCTGGCCGTTGACTTTACATTGTGATTGGGGCTTGTAGCTGTGTGATCCTGCCAATGTTCCTCGTCGTTGTGAGAGCGCGAGTCCCCGGGTGACTGCAGAGAGGTATCGGCGCTGAAAGACTGGGCTAGCTGAGATTGTTTGCCGGAGAGGGACCTTGGCGGCTGAAGATAATCTGGCGGTAGACTGCCGGATCGCGGATGGTAATTGCGAGGCCATATTTGTTTCTTTGGTCTTGGTCGGAGGCCTTGGAAGTGAGAGAGCTCGTTGGTGGGAGAGCTGGGTGATGTCAGTGCCGATGGTGACCGCCTGCTGGAAATGGCATCCCCGAATTGGAGATCTCTCTAAGGTTTTGCTCCCTCAGATGTATAGATAAATGAATATGACTCGGGTGTATATGAGACCAATCTAGATCTCTTCTAGTAATCTGCCTACCAAGTCAGACCTTGTGTGTTTGCTTTGGTAAATTACTTGGAAGTGAAGAGGTGTAGATATATTGTGGTTGAGCCATGATGGAGAGAGACACAATAATGCGCCCAAAAGACTTGTTTTGGACAAAGGTCTGGATGAACTTTCAGAGTGTATGATGAGGAGGCTGTTCCGAAGCGCCGAGAATTGGGGCGTCTTCTTCGCTCGCAATGACCGTACGAGTAACTTGCGACTGTCCAGCGTGAAATAACTAATCCTTTCTCTTGTGGCGAACCAACCATTTGACTCCTAGTCCAAAGGAGAGTGGGATCCAGTCCAAAAGAGAATAGTCCACCAAGCTATGGCACGCTATGGCACGGCCACAATGGACTTGTGCCCGCTGCGGAGACTTCAGATAACTTGGGAAGATTGTCTTGATACACGAATCTGTAGCGAGAGCACTATGTAGTCCATACGGATCATGGTGTCGCTTTATATTGATACGGCCTGAGTGAATGTACAAGCGCCATTACGCTCCGCCTTATACCCTTCGTCATAGGTCTGCCGTGCCCATAGATCCTTGTTAACTCTACGCCGGGCCGATCCGGGTCAGGTCTATGTTACGCCCTGTCTATCCTGTTATAATCGGTATTACTACCGTTATACGAGAGCTATACGAGGATCTTCAATACATGACAGTCTGTGCCAGGCCAATCACTGTTATTACTTCTCATTTCATTCAACACACGCAAACTATATCCAAAGCCTCCTTATATGCAATCAGCGCCGGCTTTCTTTGAGGACCACTGATATGTCCCTTTCCTATGTGGGATAATACCTGTAATTGCAGATGCCACATGATACCAGTTCTAAGCAGTGTGGGCGGTATCCGTTCTCCTTCGGCTCGTATCAATCAGTCCCGATATATATCTTTGCAGAGCATATTTTTTGGACCCCTAATTTCGATTTGATAGGCCTCTGATACACAACATACCACCCCGACTCAGCATGAAAGAAATGAAGCTGGGTGCAAAAATTTCATGAAGTACGAGCCTCCTAAGTCAGCCACTGACCCTGATGTGTGCTCTAAATATGATTCAAGAGATCTGCAAAGATAGGATCAAGGATGGATCTCCATCAGCCTGAGCTTGGGCAGGCATTCTCACTATGTGGAGACTTCTCTTTGGCCTTTTCACTAAGCCGAATCAAATTTCCTGAGAATTAAGTTGCATCCATCGAAAAAGAAGCCCAAGAACATATAAATCTGACATTGGAAGAGAGAAAAGAAGGCATTAATATTATCTAGGGTGCGTGGCTCAAAGAATGCCTCGAATAAAGAAGGAAAATGACCGAAACCCCTAGGAATGCTCGCGATCCCCACATGGATCGCATCCATGTGAATTGTCCCTCTGTACAATAGACAAGGGCTAAGGGCTTCAAGGTAACCTTTGCGTCAGAAATTGGCGGGACCTTGTTCCAAGTGGTTCATCATAAAGAGTCCCGCCAGAAAAGAAGAGAAGAGAAAGTTCGAAATCGGCCCCTCCATCTCCAGGATAGAAAGGCCGTGCATATTCATGAGACCAAGGCCATCTTTCCGGAGGGTGGGGCCAGGGTTCCAGTTTCATTGCTTTTGAATCGTGAGAAATGAAAAACTTAAGCGCGAGGGCGGAAAGTGAGCAGGCAATCGTCCTGGAAGATTATTAGCTTACGGCTAAAAAAAATACCGTGGGAAGAGAACACATACCTGAGGGAAGATCGTGGCGAACACTTTGATATCCTCGGACTCGGGAGTGGGGGTGTGCTCCCAGTCCATCTCCATACTGGCCTTGCCGATCATGGCCATCAGAGACAGCTGGGCGTAGGTCTGACCCAGACAATAGTGGGGACCCGTGCCAAAGACCAGCCAATTCTTGGACTGCGCCTCAGCGTCACCGGTAATCCAGCGCTCGGGCTCAAATGAGTCAGCATTGGGGTATGCCTCCTCGTCGTGAGTAGCAGGCCAGACCGAGGGGATGATCATAGAGCCCTTGGAAACGGTGATCTTGTCGGTGATAGGGAAGTCCTTCTTGACAAGGTAGGGAACCATGATGACGGGGGGACGGTAGCGGAGGGTTTCCTTGACGACGGCACGAGTGTAGGGCAGGTTGTCGAGCAGGTCCATAGAGATGGGGACGGAGCGGTCACCATTGCGGACCTTGAGGTTCTCCTCGCGGACCTGGTCCAGGATCTCGGGGCGGTCAGCCATGAGCTGGAAGAGCCAAGTGGAAGCAGCGCTAGTAGCATCTTGCGAGGCAAACAGGAAGGTGAAGATGGTCTGAGCGATCTCGAAGTCGCTGAAGTCACGCAGAACCTGGGGAGGCTTCTCAGACGAATCAACCTGGATACCCTTGGCAATCTTCTCACGGTACTTGGCAGAGTCTTGCTGCGCCTTGACCCATGCGTCCATGATACACGAAACCTCACCACCGGCAGCCATGCGAGCCTTGCTCTTGGCGGCACACTTGGTGAACTCCTCGAGCACCATATCAGCAGCCTTCTTTCCGTACCAAGTCTTGGTGTAGGGCAGGATAATGGGGAAATTGACAAGCTCCAGAGCAGCGGTAATCAGGTAGTAGTCGTCGGCAACCTTCTGGACGGCCTCATCGGACATATAGTAACCGACAAAGGTACGGCAAGAGAGAGCGCACATCAGCTCACGGAAGTCGGACATCCAGGGAGTCGGGGTGTGCTTGGTGGCCTCGGACTTCTCGAGGAACTTCTTGTAGTATTCGTTGAAGACCTCCTCGGCGCGGGGCAAGTAGCAGGCTAGAGCTTGGCGAGTGAAGAGACCATTGAGACCCTTGCGGTACTCAACGTGATCCTTACCGTCCAGGAAGACCCAGTTGGTCTTACCGAGAAGCTTGTGCGCGGCATCCACGACACATGGCTTCACGTAGCCGGGAGAGTTGAAAATCTTGCGGGACATGTCACGAGTCGACGCGATAACAACGAATCTTCAGACTGTCAGTTTCTCGCGAATATAAATCTTTCCAAGAATGTCCGGTGGGTCACCAGTAAAGTCATTGGAAAGGTGGGACTTGGGAAATGGCTCACTTGTGGAAGACGGAGACACAGCTCAGATCTCCGCTGTCCCATTTCGCCTTGTACTCGGTGAACTTGGGGTTGACGGATTGCAGGAATGGGCCCATGAAAGGGATCTTGTAGGCGGGACCGACGATTGAGCCCTTGTAATAGTGGTACATGACTGTGAATAGGGGAACCCTTTGTAAGTAAACTCCCTTCAAGTCACTTTCGCAAAGCCCCGTGGGAGCATTTCGAGATTAATTGGACTTACACTGATCATAAACGACAGCCGCAAGGAACAGGGTCAGAATCAGCTTCCAGATCGTGAATCCATCAAGCACGGAGGCAAGAATTCCGGCCGGCGCGAAAAGTTGAGGAGTGACCGTCGCATCCGCGGACGGGGAGACAAAGCTCCCAGTGATGTTGACCATTGTGAATCAACCGAAATAAAAGGAGAGGAAAAGTCCAATGACCGAAAGGACCGGACACAAAAGAGAGTGGAGAGGGGAACCCTTTAAGAGAAAAGGAAATGAAATTGGTCAGGGGCGGGTACGCCAGTTCCCGCGCTCCGGATGCTCGGCGCGCCGCAATCAAATCTTGCATTGCATGATAGGGCCTGATCGGTCGTACCAGTCTAATCTAATCTACTCCTAGCTTTACACGCCAGACTCACAGAAATGACTCCCCCCTCCTCAAAAGAGATAACTGTAGAATTGTTTGAGAAATTCCGCAACAGAGGAATGTACCAGGCGCTACGCAGTAGTTGTCGGTCTAGGTGCAGGATAAGGTGCATGCAACGAAAGTATACTCAATTCACTCCGCAGTACAAAGTGTATACCGCGTTTTACTATGCGTCCTACAAATGCAAGGAGGTATCATTCAGGTACTTTCATACTTGCTAATCAGAATAGCGTGACTCGGCTACGGACTTTCCGCTGTGCCTGATTGGCGTTTTTCAACAAAAGGGTTTTCTTGAAGGCACGTGCGCAGGTGAGGTAAGCAGCTTCACTGACTAAGTCCGGCCGCATTGGGGTATTCCTTCATATAACCATTGGATTTCCGACTGGGAGTCTGCTGCACTAACGATCATGCCTATGATCGTCCAAGCCGAACCAGCCACGGCCCTTCTTTTCTTCGGGCTCCGCGGCAGTAGTTTGTTCCTCTGCGAGGTGTGGGTAGTCGATATAGTTCCAAGCCACATCCAGGAAGAGCGGCTTCACAGGGACCGGCTGCATCTGGGGCGGGTAAGGCACCAGGTTGTTGAGATCGGTGCCCGCCTGGTACTGCTGCAGCCGTTCAACGATGGGTCGCTGCTGAGTGGAGCCAGACTCGGACCCCAGTCGCTCCAGGGTGACCAGGCCGCGATACTGAGCAACCAATCCACGAAGGGTAGAGCCCAAGGCATTCACCTGAGCACGGGACACATCAAGCTGGGGAGGACCCTCCACTTGTGCGGAGGCCTGGGAGGTTGCCGAACTGGCAAGATCCAGGGCGTGTGCAAAGAGGGCGAGAGCTTCGGTAGGCTTGCCCAGAAGACCGTGAGACCGTCCCAAGGTCAAACATCTAGACGTGAAAGTGTAAGTAACACGGCGCGGAAGGAAAAATTACAAGGGAGTAATGTACCTGAGAGCCCGGAAATAACGGCGCTTGGCCTCGAGGTCTTGAACAAAGGTCGAATCGGCCGCGACACCTGGCAGCTCGAGAATGAAATCGAGACTCTGCAGGGTGGAGTCGTAAAGCACCAGACGCTCGCGGAGCTGGGTCAGTTTCTTTCCATTGCCTCCACGGCGCTTCGTTTCCTTGCCGCTCTTGGCTTGTTCGTCCTCAAAGACCAGCCCGTCCTGCTCACCGCACAACACACGGTTGCGCCCCACGCGCCATCCAACTAGACTGTAGTTGACCGCGGTCCGGGTAATCTGCAGCGCCTGCATTCTCTTGTCACCGGCATCCACCCCTCGCTAGTCAGGTCATCGATAGCGGTCTTGGTAGCATCGACGGCATCCTGACTAGCAATGATGACGCTGTCGTACGCAGCAGCTTGGTCTTTTGCTGCAGCTGATTCTCCTTCGCTAGCCAACCAAGCGGCGAGACCAGTCTCTGCAGCTGACGCAGCAGCCAAGGCCTGAGAGATAGAGGCATCATCCAGCGCAACAGTACGCGACCTCCACGTCACGGACTCCGGCAACTTTTGAACTTCACCCTCCGCAGTTCTCCGTGTGCCGGCTGGCTCCTGCGCGAGGCATGATGGGTCAACCTTCTCCACTTCCGAGCGGATATCCGAGTCCGACGGGAAATATTCAATTGCCAAAGAGGACGTCGGCTTGGAGCGGGGAAGCTTCATTTGATAAGCGGCATATCGCATGCTGGGATCGACGGTCCCAGTGAGCAGGTCTCGGAAGGCACCCTTCTTAACTCTCTGGCTCAGAGCCGTATAAATCACTCGTGCAATAGCATAGTCGTGGAGACATTGCTCCCACTTGCGCTTCTCCAGCCAGAGCGCACCCGAAATTGTAGCCAGATAAGCTCGTGCTTCAAGAATATCAAGATCGCTCGCCCCCGAGCTCGACTGTTCATGCAGTAGCGAAACCAGATGTTTAGCGTAACCGGTCGCCTTATTCAGACGAGAAATGATATGGCGGCGAGCAGCCCCAGAGATACCTTTGGCGGATGGATCGGCGGAATGTGTCGACTTCATGTGCATGGCTTGTGCCCACGCGCGTTCAGATGCGAGAAGCAATAGATGGACAAACCTAGTAATGACAAAGTCAGCTTTTGACCGGGATGATTCGAAAGAAGTGAAACGTACGAAACATTAGTTGCCACATTTTCAGAAGTTACTGGCGCCTTCGCAGTGTACTTGCGGCCTTTGGGGGTTGTCTGCCCCAGCTTCTTGCGAAGTTTGTGCATTCTGCGAGTGGCATGCGCCCGGTAGGCATTGTAGTCACCGACAAGGAGCACCTCCTCTCGCTCCTTGAAGATATAATCGGTAATCTCCATACCGTGTTGAATGGAGGGAATTGGGGCTCAAGTGAACAGGGTGACTTGAGTTGGTGGGTTGCGACGTAAAGGCGGTGCCCCGTTTCGGCCAACCGAGTGGTCCGATGTGCCCGGCAATTTCCAACCTCCGATTCTTTTGCGTGTTTTCCCCCAAGCTTATTGTTTCTCATACCTGGAGAGGGCAGGAAAATCGACACTTACCGGACCTGCCTTGCAGTTGGAATACTTGCTTCTGGTCGATCACTCGTCACTATCCCAAGATCGCGTGCATCACCTTTTTTTCCTCTTCGGTACGGATGGCACCATCCTCCCCAAACAGCTTGTTCGAGCATCTCCCAAAACATCGGATTCTAACTCATCCTCGCGCTCAATAGGCCTTTGTGTCTCGCTATAATGCAGAAAGGAGATCGTTATAGGTGATTCAAGTGTTCGACACCGCGACGATCGGGGGTAATGCTCGAACGGGCAGCCGGCTGCTTCGAAAGCGCGGGTCGGCGTTTCCTTCGAGATCCCAATGGCGCGATTCAGAGTAGGAGGTCGCTCTCTCGACACTTTTGGAAGCATAAAGCCACCGGAGGAGACGCCCCCAGCTGGTTTCTCGCCCTAGTGCACTCATCAAGCCAACGCCCGGCCGCTGTTTCTAGTCTACCGGATAGTCTTCCAGCCTACGATCGAGGCCCACCGGTTCTGGACTTCCTCTACCCAAATAAAACACAAGACTTTGCAGCGTTGCGGCTTTCGCGCCCCTCGAGGAGGCTCGGTCTTCGACGAAGGAAGAAGCCACTCGCCGGCTTCTCGAGATCATATACCACAGAAGCCTCAACTTTGCAGCAAACTCTTGTCAATGATGCCCATGAAAACCATTCATTTACTGAAGGAGATAGCACTCATATTCCAAAGGAGGCTACGGAGGAGCTCACACAGTTGTTAAAAGACCAGGGAGATGAGTTTGACAGAGCTTGGGTGTTTTACCTCGCTGCTAGACAACCGCAGAAATTTCGCTCCTCACTTTGCGCCTATCTCAGCCGATCGCCCCATGCCGTTGATCAAGATCGTGCTTGGCAACTGTTTCAAGAACTTCCGCCCGAGAACCGATCCGCCAATGATTTCCTCCACATCACTCAGTCACAGCTTCGTCCCGAGAACCATTCGAAGATTAGATCAATATGTGAAGAAGCCTCCTCAAGAGGCTTTGAAAACTCTTGTTGCGCACTCGCCTGCGCGTATTACATCAAGAAGAACGAATGGACCAATGCCCTGGACATTTGCCGGCTGGGAAAGGGCGGAAGCAACCGTCCCAAGTTTTTCAAACAAATAATTTCTCATCTCGATCACCTCGCCCTTCCCGAGAGCACCGTTCAACTTGGAGATTTTCTCGCAATTCACCCCGACAACAAGATCGCCCTCAGCCTCGCGCGATTCCTCATCGAATATGTATCAAAATCTTTCGGGCTCCTCGAAAGCACATCACTAGAGCTTCTTCTTCAGATGTTGCGGACACATCAACGACTGGGTTTACTGAAGGGAGAACATTATTTTACCATGCTGCGAACTCTTCAGTCTTCGAGCAAAAGGTCAAATATTGTTCGCGCCGTTGTTCTTTACCGACACATGCGCTGGCAATTACCCGAGGTGAAACCGCCTGCGCCACTACTCAGCAAACAAATAAGCGTCTTGGCGTCTTTCGACATCACAAATGGCATCCAATTATTCCTGGATGATCTGTCAAATTTCCATCGGAAGCCTTCCGCGGAGGTATACAGACAGGCAATGATGGTATATTCCCGTGCCGGAAAGGTAGCAAAGGTGAAGTCTCTTTTTGAGAGACGTGTTGCAGACCATGGGCCACCTCGCAGTCTCTATTCATTAACTCCACTCCTGGACGTTCATGCGCAGATTGGCAATGTGCAGGAAACGCACCATCAGTTTCAAAAAATCGCGGAGGATTTTCAGCTCACTCCGAATACAGTGTGCTGGAACATTCTTCTCAAAGCTCATGCCAAGGCGGTTGATCTATCAGGCGCCTTTTCCGTATTTTCTGAGATGCTCAAAGATGGCGTGCGGCCTGACTCTCATACATTTGGTACACTGATGGACATTTGTGCTAGCCGCGGGGACATTGGGAATACACGCTGGCTGCTGAGGGAGGCGCAAAACTGTCAGGTTCAGATCACCATACCAATGCTTGATAGCGTTGTTCGAGTTTACTGCAACAACGGACGATTGGATCTGGCCGAGAAATTTGCCAAGGCAGCTTTACGTGTGAAAGTCGAAGAATCTCCCATCAGAATGTGGAATACGCTCCTGCTACATCACGCATTGAGGATGGACGTGGAAGCTTTCCGTCGAGTCAAAAGAACGGTGGAAAGGGCTAAATTGTCACCTGATGCTTCAACGTGCTCTGCTAGTTTGCTCAGTCTGGTTTTGATGAACAGGCCGGATCAAGCGCGAAAGCTTCTTCGAAACCTCCACAAGAAAGAAATTATTCACGCCACGCAGCATCACTATGCCATTATTTTGTACGGATATCTCCGGGTGGGCAACCGTGACATGGTTCACATCATTTTCAATGAGATTACCGAGAGATTCGGTCGAGCCGAGACCAAGTTGAGTCTCTTGAAACTCAAGTCAGATATTGAGCGTGACTTGCAGATCATGAAAGATGAGGGCCTCAGACCTTATGGTGAAAGCCTACACTTGGAAACTGCAGAACGTTTCTTGATGTCAGCCATGTCTCAAGCGGACACCGAAAGGTCTTCATCCAAACCCTCGTTACTTGGTATTTCAAGAGATTCATCCGCCAGTACATTTTCAACCTTGCACTATGAGTATCTCATCAAGCAATATGGCAAGGGAGGTGCAGTTGGACGGGCCCGTGAATTGTTTCACCAGTATCTCAATTCCGAGCTGCCTGGAGGTTCGTCAGACGACGGACTTGAGAATGGCCCATTCGGAATTGTCAACGCGTTGATGGTTGCTCATTTGAGAGCTGAAGACTACGAGAGCGTGATTAAGTGCTGGCAGATTCAACTGCCTCGCGCTATCAAAATGGCAAGCCGTGTCGACATACGGGATGTGCTTGACTTGGAGCCAAAACGTTCAACTGACTTAATTTCGTCAAGCCCACCTCGACAAGTATCAATTCTGGAATCTTTGACGCAAGCCAGTAATAGCTCAGATGCTGCACTTGGTGACCGTGCCGAAGGACAGGCTAAGCGCAAGATTCTTTCTAGCCAGCGCTTCATTTTGTCGAAGCCATTTTCGCTCTACATACGCGCTTTGGCCTATCAGAATGAGACTGAAAAGATCATCACGGCCAAGGCAGAACTTCAGGCTGCCGGCTTCCAGCTGACCACTTTCAATTGGTCAACTTACGTGCAGATGATGGCAGCTTCAGACCGAATGTCCGACATCGTTGAGGCTTTTATGACCAATGAACGTATGTTCATGCCAAGGTTCCCTGGATGGGGCCCGCTTCGGCGAGGATACATGTTGAAGACCAAAAAGTCTTCAAAATTCGCACACAAGCTCGAAGATCCTCGACAAGATCCGCGCTCCACCTATCGACAAAGCCAGAAATTCCTTGGAAAAGCTGCCCGAAAGCACTTCAATCAAATTCGGCCTGACCTGCTCTCGCCGACCTATCTCACCATGGTGTACCTCTCTGCGTCACTAAACCGCGTCCGAGAAGATAGTATTCTAAGTGGTAGCAACGATTTGCAAATCCTTCTCCAAAAAGCACCAGAGACTATGAAGGCCCTCGGAGACATGCCTTACTGGCGTGAGAAATACCAGGGAGTGCTGGTACGCGGCCGAGAAGTCGGACCCGATTTGGAAGGGGACCCCATCGACCAACAAGTCGCTCTTGGCGGAGTCCTCGGCCCTGGCGTCAAAGCCAAACCGAGACGACTTCCTCACCTTGATCATGCAGTGGACCAGAAGTACTCATACATGGATGTTTCAGCCACAGATGAAGCCCCCAATGCTCTTGCCGAGCTGCTCACATCTGGTGATCTTGAAGACCCGCATGAAGGCCCTGTTTCTCGTGAGGATTTGCTCGATATTGAGAATGACATTCGTCATCATCGCCGCATAGCGAAAGCTCAAGAGAAAATGCGCCGCAGGGAGCTGAACAGCAAGGTCCAACGGGCTTCACATGGGACTGGGAAGGTGAGTAGACCAGTCGAACTTGATGGAGGAAGTGATGAGGTTTTCGGTGAGGTCAATGGATTAGATGGTGCAGTTGAGCCAGTTGAGCCAGTTGAGCCCGAAACTCTGAATGAAAGTGGTCGAGTGGGTTAAGTGGCATGAATGCCCGACGTTGAGCACTTGGAGGTGCCCCCGTGACCATAAGGGACATAATGAGAGTCTCTCATGTACATTGTTTTGTTCAATTAGCCTCTTGCGTATATCCTGTCTATATAGAAGCCAATGTACTATTATTTCCGTTTCTGAAGCTGTCCAGTCCAATTTTCCTTCGCGACTAGTCTGCTCATGGAGTGTCCGATAGACCGTGCTTATGTAATCACACGCGTTCACGCGTTCACGCGTCCCAATGTTACCCGATCGGGCGAGCGCCCATCTGCCCGTCTTTGCACCGCTTCTTCCTCCCCCTCGACCGCCATCTCAACAACCCAAAAACCTTCAATCTCGCAACCATGGATATTCAGTTGCGTGATGAGGCCGCGCAGGATCGCGTGCGGGCCGCCACCGAGTTTCTTGATCCCGGTAAGTCTTGCGATCGTTGTGATCAACAGGATCTCACTAACATGGCGTTTTTCTCTAGGCGATGCACGGGCACGCAGGTTCGTCGATAAGACTTTCTTGGTGCCGCAATGACTCTAACCACATAAAAAAGTTATCGTGCCGAGATCGTGGTTATGCTAAATCGGGGATTGCGACGTCTCACTGTACGTCATCTCCTGCGTGCAATGGTTGGTGAAATTGCTGACGACTCTACAGGTTAGCATCGATGAAATCCGAGCACACAATCGCGAACTTGCCGAAGGGTATGCAAACATATGTTTACACGGGCTTCCAAAGCCTATTACTAATCCATTCAATTGTGTAGTCTTCTCACCCTCCCTTTCGATTACTCGCAGGCCTTCGATCGGGCCCTGAAAGATGTTGTCAAATCTCTGCCGAACCGGCCAAGCAAGGAGACAGCAGATGAAGTGGTATGTCTCTCAGGAATTGATGCCAATGAAGACAAGATGGGTACTAAAACTACAATAGGCCTACTATTGTGCCTACGTTGGTGCCTTTGGTGAATTTTCTTGCAACCCTCGTACATTGGGATCTGAACACTTGAACCGCATGGTCTCACTTGAAGGCATTGTGACCAAATGCTCTTTAGTTCGCCCAAAGGTTATCCAGAGTGTGCACTACAGCGAGAAGAAGGACCGTTTTCTGTCAAGAAAATACCGGGACCAGACCATGACTGCGAGCGGTGCTACCAGTCTGAACGTCTACCCCCAGGAAGACGATGAGAAGAACCCGGTCGGTACAGCTTCAAGGGAGAAGATTATTGCAGTGATTCTCTAACATCTTTTAAAGCTCATTACCGAGTACGGCTACTCGACCTACATGGATCATCAAAGTATCTCGATCCAAGAAATGCCCGAACGGGCCCCAGCCGGTCAGCTGCCCCGCAGTGTCGACGTTATTCTTGATGATGATCTGGTCGATAAAGCCAAGCCCGGTGACAGGATTCAGCTGGTCGGTATCTATCGCACGCTGGGTAACCGTAATGCCGGTTCTGGATCTTCCACCTTCCGTACTGTCGTGATGGCCAACAACATTATTCAACTGTCCTCTAAGTCCGGCGGTGGTATCGCGCAGGCCACTATCACCGACACCGATATTCGAAACATTAACAAGGTCGCCAAGAAGAAGAACGTCTTCGAGCTACTTTCCACGTCGCTGGCACCCAGTATTTACGGGCATGATCATATCAAGAAGGCTATTCTTCTCATGTTGCTAGGTGGTATGGAGAAAAATCTGGACAACGGTACTCACCTTCGCGGTGACATTAATATTCTCATGGTTGGTGACCCGTCCACCGCCAAGTCTCAATTGCTTCGGTTCGTGTTGAACACTGCTCCGCTGGCCATTGCCACGACCGGTCGAGGATCTTCCGGTGTTGGTTTGACTGCTGCTGTGACCTCTGACAAAGAGACTGGCGAGCGCCGTTTGGAAGCTGGTGCTATGGTACTAGGTGACCGTGGCGTAGTGTGTATTGATGAGTTCGACAAGATGAGCGATGTTGACCGTGTCGCAATCCACGAAGTTATGGAACAGCAGACCGTCACAATTGCTAAGGCTGGTATCCACACAAGTCTGAACGCCCGATGCAGTGTCCTCGCTGCCGCCAATCCTGTCTATGGACAATACGATCCGCACAAGGACCCACACAAGAACATTGCTCTTCCCGATTCTCTTCTCTCACGTTTTGATTTGCTCTTTGTTGTGACCGATGACATCGAAGATGCCAAGGATCGTACTATCTCGGAGCATGTTCTGCGCATGCACCGTTACCGCCAGCCCGGAACCGAGGAAGGTGCACCTGTTCGAGAGCAGCTTAATCAGACCTTGGGGGTGGGTATTGAGGATCGGCAAGATGCCAACCAGCCCACAGAGGTCTTTGAAAAATTCAACGTCATGCTTCACGGCGGCATGGTCCCCGCTGGTCGCAGCACTGGGCGTAACAAGAACGTGGAGATTATCAGCATTCCCTTCATCAAGAAGTACATCCAGTACGCCAAGTCTCGAGTCAAGCCTGTCCTGACCAAGGGTGCCGCGGACCATATCATCGCCACTTACTCGGCTCTGCGAAACGACGACCTCTCGGGCAACCAGCGCCGCACTTCTCCCATCACACCGCGTACACTCGAGACGCTGATTCGACTATCCACTGCCCATGCGAAGGCCCGTCTGTCGAACCGTGTCGATGAGAAAGATGCCAAGCACGCTGAGGCTATTTTGCGCTTCGCCATGTTCAAGGAAGTTGTTGAGGTTGGCCGTCGCAAGAGACGTAAGGTTACAACCTTCGATGAGGACTCTGATGACGAGAGCGATCCTGATCTCGACGACGAGGAAGAAGAAGATGAAGAGAGCACAGCGCGCGGTACATCAACCGCCACCCCTGCTCGGGCAGGGACACGATCACGAGCTGCCGCCAGCTCTACAATTCCGGACGACGACCCGGACAGCCTGTACACAGCCAGTCCGCGTGCCCAACGCACACGGTCCAGCCAGAATACCCGGACTCAAACACAGAGCGAGTCCCAGATGTCCGTAGCATCATCTCAACCAGCCTCGCAACTCGTGCAGTCCCAAACAGACGACTCGCAGTCTACAGCTGCATCGGCTCACCCCATCACTCCAGCTCGAATGACGGTCTTCCGCCAGACTCTGGGTCCCCTGATGACTCGTGTCTTCAGCGAGGGTGACCAGGTCCCTGCCAACGATCTGATCGAAGCTGTCAACACAGCCATCCGCGCATCCCCTCCTCTAGGTGCAGCACACGTCTTCTCACAGCCTGAGGCTCTTCAAGCCCTGACCGTGATGAATGAAGAGAACCTTTTGATGTGAGTGAACTATATCACTCCCTACCTTTCTACATAATTATGACTGACTTGATTATCAGGTACCTGGGAGGCGAAGACGACAGTGTCTATCGGATTTAAGGTTATGTTTCGCCTCTGCCTTCATCTTTGGAAGGATTCGACAAATTGCGAGGATTGGGGTCCTTTTTATGAGCATGCTTCTGAAGTCGTTGCATTGGGATGATATCATGTTTCTCTTCTGTGTTTTGGAGTACGGAGTCGACGAATGGAAGATATGCATTGGGCACAATGCGTCCGGGATTTACGCATGTTTAGATTTGACAGCGGGAAAATTTGCCCGTGATCGAACTTCTCATACAAAATTGTTATGCCAGATACCGCGAAGCTTGAGTAGATCCTGGAGGGATGTGGCTGGCATGGTCAATAAGCTTACGTTGGCAATTAAGATGAAGGGCAGGTCATACGAGGACGATCTTCTTAGCTGCAAACACAGCCTGTGGTATCTATAGACGGGGAAGGATGCAGTGCAGAGCAAAATTTGATAGCACCATGACATGCGGGGTAGCGCAGCAAGACGAAAGAAATGAACAGCAGGTGTACCTGGTGATTTGATTCAAACAGCGCCAGGCACTGAGCCTGGCATAGAGTCCCTCTCCTTCTCGCTCATAGGTAAAATCCCAGAATCATCAGACGAGAATGACGGTGTCCGTACACCTTCACGAATCTGCGCCTGTGTCAGAGGCGATAGACCACGACGCAGACTCTTCGATCCCTTGCGTTTCCGCTGCTGCGGACTAGCTTCTAGACCAGACACCGAGGGAGTAGTGCTTCCACGTCGCGGACGGCCAGATGTTGAGGATCTCGAAGGCGGTCGGTCCTCGACATCAATCGGGGTGGTGCTGCGAGAGGAGGTGCGAGAATGGGTTGAATCAGACCGAGTACCGCGCCGGATAGAAGGGGCACGATGCTCCTGGCTAAGTTTGGAGGAGACGGATGGGTGATGTTGGTGGTGAGGATGAATTCTGTGCTTGGTTTCTGGCTCAAGAGACCGATTGTATGTAGCTGCCACCAAACGGCGGCGCTGAGAAGCGCGCCAGCCTAATCCAATCCGCCAGAGCCAACCCCCTTCGGCCTGGGCAATCTGACGATCACGTTCGCGCATTCTATGGCGTAGTTGAGTTCGGCGCTCATTTTCCTTCTCCCAGAAGTCGGTCCGATAGTCGTCCCAGTTCTCGCGGAACTCTGGGGAGAACGACTTCGGTAGCAAGAGCAGACGAATGTAGTCGCCACCTGGACTCAAGTCTTCCTCTACCAGTCCGGACTCGGTGTCGCTGCCGTTATAGTACTGTTGGTAGTGCTGCCGACTACCGCGTTTCTCGGAGGAATGGCGCTCGACGAAGTGGAAGTTGCCGGTTGGAGAGGGAAAGAACGGTAAAGAGAAGGGAAATAGAAATGAGATGTAGGACAACAACTCCTGCCACCAAGGACCACGAATGACAATAATCTTGGTGTTCATGACGCGGAGGCCGCGATTCGAGATCGCGAGCCAGCGCCTGGGCCAGCGAATCCCACGCTCCCATTGTCCAGTGCCCCAGACCAACAGAGCTGTCACCACTCCTCCTAACAAGGCGACCTTTTCTCCCATCTCAATCACCCAATACACAGAGCCGCCGACGCCGCGGCCATCTTCTCGCGGGCGGAGGAACAGCGCGTATGCAAAGTAGGCGATCCAGGCAGCCAAAAGGAGCAGGAAAAAAGTATTTTGACGACGACGCTCCCGTAGAGCTAAATATTGTGCTCGAAGTGATGCTTCAAGAATCAACAGGTTCAGGTAGATCTGGGGAGGGGATGATGGTAGCGTGGCAAGCGGATCTGATGTTGAGGGCTGTAGCGGGGAGGCAGATGAAGCATGCAATGGCTCTGGCGTGGGCGTCCGGGCTTCAGGCACGGTACCCTTGACAGCCTGGTCTAAGGGTGAAATCATAGTGTAGATGGTCAGATCTCAACGGCCAACGCGGCCCGGTGTGATCGTCATGGTGAAGGAGGAAATCGGAATTCGGAAGGGGGAATTGAAGACGTGCAGATCGGCGACATCATCTTCCGCCTTCACCCACCTTTGGCCTGGTATAGTCTTCCTCGGCTTCGTTCTTCTTCCTATAAAGGCCGCTACGCCTTTTATGCTATACTTGAATTGCACATTACATCCTGTTGGATCGTCTTTGTGCTTCTCTTATCTTCCACGGATTTTGCATATGCTGTCGGTTGCCTACCGGGGTTAAGCCACGCCGCTTGTCTCCGTGTCTTAAAGCGCGCAATTCGTGAGCCTCGCCTCCCAACTTCTGCTTTCTACATCCATCAACCTGCCCGACTCTCGCACAGTCAACATTTCCCGTCTCGCTCTTCTCCCAGTCTCACGAGGCCGGGCGCATAGTTCGCGCCCCGTCCTCTTCGCCACCTACGCTTGTAAGCGTCGACAATCCTCAACAATGGCGTCAGAATCGTTGAATTCGTCCGAGTCGGACCAAGAACACCATCAGCGCAGAAGTAACACGCAGGGCCGAGAAGGGACCCCGTACGCTGCGCGCGCCGCTGCAGGCGCTGCAGCCGCCAGTTCGTTCTTCCCGTTGGGGTACCGTGAAGGCTTCAGCCAATGGGTAAGCATTCCAGACCATGTGCCTGGATGCTCTGCTAACCAAAAGCCCAGTGGGCTCGTCTTCCGGCTGCAGCTGCAGAGCATAAGGTCCTGACCTATCTTCCCTATCTGCATCACCAACCCCCGACCCACCTCCAAACCGGTAAAACAGCGGATTTCCCCAACGGTTCAACGCCGAGCAGTTTGAAGTCTGCGGACCACAACCAAGAAGGCGCGATCTCGACCAACTCCCTGAATGATCCCTATGGCCCTCGTCGATGGAGCTCTAGCATGGTGGAACTGAGTGGAAAAGATCGAGCTCTCAATGAATTCTCGGTTGAGCGCGTTGGCGAAGATGCAGATCAACATTTGGTTATGCTTCACGGCTACGGCGCCGGTCTTGGCTTCTTCTACAAGAATTTCGAGCCTCTTAGTCGATTGAAAGGTTGGCAGCTGCATGCTTTGGACATGCTGGGCATGGGTCGTAGCACCCGGCCGCCCTTCAAGATCAAGGCCAAAGAAAGAGAAGATGCCATCCGAGAGGCCGAGGCTTGGTTTGTTGATGCGCTTGAGGAATGGCGTATCAAGCGCAAGATCGACCGCTTTACTCTGCTCGGTCACAGCCTGGGCGGTTATATGGCCGTCGCCTACGCCCTCAAATATCCCGGCCATCTCAACAAGCTTATCCTGGCGTCCCCGGTGGGTATCCCCGAGGACCCATATGCGGTGACAGCGGGTGTCCCCAAACCTAACGAGTCAACCCTCGCCAACGAGCTCACCCAGGACCAGAATGAGATTACCTCTGGCGCTATGCCAGAAACCGCACCGAAAACCAGCGATGGCAGCTTCATCACGGGTCGCAACCCCGACCCCCAGGCCCAAAACCAGCCGCCGCGCCGGAACATGCCTAAATGGTTCGCCTATCTGTGGGATGCCAACATCTCCCCTTTCAGTCTGGTGCGATGGACCGGTCCTCTGGGTCCCCGGATCGTGTCTGGGTGGACTTCTCGCCGCTTCTCCCACCTCCCAGCAGACGAGGCCAAAGCACTCCACGACTACTCCTATTCAATCTTTAGTCAGCGTGGCAGCGGCGAGTATGCCCTGGCATATATCCTCGCCCCCGGCGCATTCGCCCGCAGTCCCCTGATCCGCCGCATACACGGCGTCGGCCGACAGATGATTCAGCCGAGCTCTTCATATTCTCTCCCTCACCCGACCACGTCCACCAACACTTCATGCTCGATCCTCGGCAAGTCCGCAGCAGCGGCAGCTACACCAGATGATGCGCCGGGCACGCACCCAATTCCCTCATCCGACGCCCCCGTCCCTGAACAAGAACCCCGTCGCGAAAACGGCCTCCCAGTAGTCTTCATGTATGGTGATCACGACTGGATGGATGTCTCAGGCGGCCATGCCGCTGCGAAGCGCCTTGCAGAAGAGAAAGAGCGCGTTCTAGCCAACGCCACGCCAGAAGAGCGCCGTAATGATCAAGGTTCCGCCAAGGTGGTCGTCATTAAGCGAGCCGGCCACCACTTGTACCTTGACGGATGGGAGGACTTCAACAAGGTTGTCCTTTCCGAAATGGAAGAAGTCAGTAAACGTGAGAGGGCGTCATGAAGTTGAGCCCGTCGTGGCACTTGTCCATTTGTAATGGTGTACGAGATTTTCGAGCGTGCCAGGAGCCGTCTATACTGTCCTTGGTTTTGTGACTTGCCCGATACCCGTGGTTGCAACGGTAGGGCTATCCTATTTAATTTTACTTGGTATATATCGTTAGACATAGACTTCGAACATTGTATGAAAAAGATTTCGGTTATTCTGCAATTGTCATGAGTCATTATCATAAGTGCACTCTGTCGCGAACATATGCAGGCCATGTATGTGATCTTTCAATAAGTCATCCTCGTTCTGCAAGTCCAGGTGCTCGCGCATGAGGTCCCGAGATACTCCGCCTTCGGTGCCTGACGCTGGCAGGATAGTGCGCCATCAAACGGGTCAAATGCAACGGCTCTTCTCCTGGCAACCCCATTCCAGGTGTCGTGTACCCACTCGTGCTGGGCGTCTCCCTCCCCGAAAGCGAAGGCATATACCATGATCCAAGACGCGGGATAGCGAAGTACCCACCGCCATTTCCGCCGGTACCATCAAACGAGCCATCTCTAGACAAGTTTCCATTTACATGAGTCCCATTCACAGATCGGGTAAGAGATCGTGGCTGCACATGCGAGTAAGGCTGTGGAGTCACAAAGGGAGCAGCACGCGATACTGATGGCGAGATAGAATGGCCAGAATCTCGAGACTGATCTAGTCTTTTGGCAAGGCCGAGAAAAAGACCGCTTCCCGTTTGACGGTGAGATGTAGTCAACGACGACGTCGTATGTGAGCGATGATGGTGTCGCTGCTCAGGCTGGGCATGGTGGAATCTCGAAGACACAGGCATGAATGCGTGAATATTGTTGACGCTGCGTGGACTGAGGATCGGACTATGTATATTTGATCCTGTGGTGGATCCTACAGCAATGACTTGAGAAGGCAATTCGAGTCTATGGTTCAACGAGAGCCATGCGACTTCATCGTCAATTTCATCGTCAATGTCGACTTCACCTGCGATGCTCGGCGCTGAGGATGAGTGAGAACTCAATGGCTTTTCATTTGTGTGAGACCCACGCCGTTTCGAGTCGTGAAACGAGCGCCAGCCACCGACACCTTCAAAGTCTCGACTTTCGTCGATGAACGGAGTCGGGGGCAAATGCGCCTCGGCCATGCTACGCGCATAGCTTTTCTGCCTGGGTTTCGAGCTCTCATCGTGGGTAAGTCCCAATGTTAAAAGAGAGTCATTGCTTCTGCGAGACTGGATGGGCCCATGCCCCGAGTTTCTCCTTGATGCGATTGGTGTCGGGGGTTCAGATGAAGCGAATGTCAGAAATGATGTAGATGATGCTGGCAACGTGAAGAAATTGACCAGAAATGCCGAGACTAGCTCGATGTACACGATGCCCAGCCGAACACATAGAGTGAGCAGGGCAATGGAGATGGTCACCCATGCAGAGAGAAGGAGCGGGATCGAGACGAGGCCCAAGACCGGGAGCGCCAACGCGGTCTTCACGAGGGCACACATCGAGGGACGAGCCCGAAGAAAGAGCGGAAGGGCCACGATGTTGAAGTCTCACGTCTTGAGCTTTATTGACTTGCCATTGCGGAGATGCATGTGACACCCCCACTTACATCATCCGGGGACCGAGGATTCATCGACTTCTGCTTCTCGTATTCATCATGTCTCGAGATGACTTCCCCTGGGACATTGGCGTCTACGATGCCCATTGTCACCCCACTGATACCATGGCTGCGGTGGCCAGCATCGCCGCCATGAAAGCCACGACGTTGACTGTCATGGCCACGCGCGGAGAAGACCAAGAGCTCGTGCGCCAGATAGCCCAGTCACTTAATGGCGACGGAGCTCACAAGGTACTACCTTGCTTCGGATGGCATCCGTGGTTCTCCCACCAGATCATGGATGACTCTCAATCAACCCCGGTGCACAAAGATTCCCACTACAAAGCCGTGCTCTCGCCGACCCCCGATGATCCCGAGTTCATCAAGCACCTCCCAACACCAAAGGTACTGTCGGATCTAATATCGGAAACAAGAGACCGCCTACAGCAGTTTCCCAATGCCCTCGTAGGGGAGATCGGACTGGACAAATCATTCAGATTACCCGGCATCTGGACACCGCAAGACCTGGAAAGCCGAGACGGCCAGCTCACGCCAGGATCACGCGAAGGACGTCGTCTATCACCGTACAAGGTGAAAATGGAGCATCAGCGAGCCGTGCTAGGCGCGCAGCTCCGTCTTGCTGGAGAATTGGGCCGCGCAGTCTCAGTACACAGCGTCCAAGCGCACGGTGCGGTCCTAGAGATCTTGAAAGAACTTTGGGTCGGCCACGAACGAAAAGTGATGTCCCGACGAGAAAGAGAGCGACAAAGAGACGCAGAGGGAGCCATTTCCGATGACGAGAAAGAAATAGAGAAGGAACATACACCCAGAAACCCCTTACCTGCTCCATTTCCTCCACGGATCTGCATGCATTCTTACTCCGGGCCTGTCGAGACGATCCGTCAGTTCCTGAACAGGGCGAATCCGTCGGATGTATATTTCTCTTTTTCGGCGGTGATTAACTTTAGTGGCGTGCAGGCAAAGAAGGCCTGTGATGTGATTAGGGCATTGCCGGATGATCGCATCCTGGTTGAAAGTGACTTGCATGTGGCCGGGCCGCAAATGGATCAATTGTTGGAGGAAGTGACGCGGCAGATCTGTGATTTGCGAGGGTGGGAGTTACGGCACGGGGTGCAGCTGCTAGCTGATAATTGGAAGCGGTTTGTTTTCGGCTGATGGGAAATTAAATGCGAAGCTCTACGGTCTAGCGATGGTGCATTTACATGGATGGCTCCAATGTCCGCATTGGCTGCATGGTGTCCGGCTTGGTTTTGAGCTAAAGACGGAATCAACGATGATCAATGATGAATGAAATCCTTATATGAATGCTTGCAATTATAGAACGATGTATATCTCTATAGATGGGTGTAGTCGTTGACGACATGGTATCATGTGGGAAGCCTTTCTGTAGAGCCTCGTGCAAGTCTGTGCTCTGCGTATCTCGTCTCGTCGTGGGGCTCACAGAAGCGTCCTGGGAGCACAATATAGTGTAAGGGAAGGCCTCAAGCCTTTTGACGTCCCAGGAGTGTTCGTGTCAGAAATTATAAAGTCAAGTCTTCGGATGATTACTGAAGACAGCGTCAGGTATGTACAACGGAGAGTCTAGCCAGGAATCCAGCCACCGTCCTGCATAATATCCGCCATTGGCGTATCTTGCCAATAAATCTGCCGCCATTCGTCTTCTAATTCCATAAGTCCCTCCATGGGCATGGGTGCGGGAAGGTCGGAATCTGCAAAGGAGAAGAGCTGGCGCCAATCTGGATAGTCGCGGCTTTGCTCCATGGAATCCACCTGCATTGTATTGGCATATGGGTCATTTCGCTCCAGTGGGCCAACATTGAGTCGGAGTGGCGCAGTGATCCAGTTATCAAACTGCGGCTGTGGTGGTTGCGGTGACAATGTTGCTTGCATCGGTGTATGAGTAGACTCTGGAGTGGGAACGCCATAGGAAAGTGGCCGTGGTGTCTGTACAGCCTGCATAGCCGCTGTCGGATCGGGAGTTGTGACTGGTATTTTAGGAGCACCGTTATACGGCTTAGATCGATCGCTGGTAGCTGTGCGCAAGTCTTCCTGGAGACGCTTGGAGTCCTCGAAGAGTCGCAGAATCGTACCTGCATGGACCCAGTACTGAGCTAGTTCCCGGAGCGAATAAGATGCCGAATCGAAACGACGCAAGGCATTGATCGCCAGGACCGGGTTTGAAAATCGTAGCTCGACCCGGACTTGAATCATGGCTGTGAATAGAGTGTGAACGCCCGTGTACCAAAGGAACTTGAGCCGGTCGTTGAGTCTAAGCTCCTCGAAGATAGAAGCGATAACTCCAGCGGCAGCACTACAAATCTCCGCGTCGTGGGGACCGTAATCGTCCGAGTATGCAGAGGCTCGTGGATGAGGCCGATGCAGCAGAATCAGGAAATTGTTATAGGTAAGATGAAGCATAGCAGACCAAGGGTCCATGTCAGAGGCTCGAAGACGGAGGTTATCGGGAAGCTTTAATGACCAATTTGCTAGGGACTCATCGGCTTCTTGAAGGACAGCTTTCCGTCGTTCATCATTGGCACGTAATCCGAATCGATCACGAATGAGGTACGAGATCATCGTGCAAAGCTCCGTAAAATGGATTACAAACTCTGATTGCACACGAGGCCCGCAATTTTCAAAGTCGGCAAGCGTCAAAGGAGACACATCAGAGTCGTCCAAGTTGATAGCCTGAGGACGGCCGTATGAAAGCGACACCATGACATCGAATTGCACCATGATGAACCAGACCCGTCTCCACATGCGCCTGTCTCGCGTCACAAAGCTACTAGACACAGGATTGCGATGCATTCCAAGTCCGGTGGCGATTCGTGCAGCCACACCAACCCAAAAGTGAGCATCTGCCGCCACATCGTCGTCGGCACTGTCCGAATGCCATGTCAGGAGCAGGGCCGCTTGAACGAGAATATCTCGATTGCGCTCGATACGATTATCAAAAAAGATACTTCGTACGACGGAAGAAAATCTCTTTGAGAGCATCCCGCTCAACTTTCGGGCGGGTGACGTGTGCTCCTACAAGCAAAATAGCTTGAAGCAGCAAGACGGGCGGTGGATCCGACGGGTCGCGGTTGCGGTATTGTGTCATGAAGAGGTCTTCGTCAACGATAGGATATCCGGGGTTGACGCAGGAGAAGTATGCCTGTACCAGTTCATCTGCCAGAGCCGGCTCGGGTAGAGTCAACGCATCCATCAATAGCTGATCCTGAACAGTTTTTGTCTGTCGTCGCGGTATCTCATTGCTTGCAAAGTGGTATACATTATCGTCCTGATCCCGTTGTTGGCGAATCAGGAAGGACATATTCGAATGCTCATGTCCTACATAGAATGCGCGCACGCCTCTCTGGATTTCTCTTCGGCCAGATTCTTCCTCATCAATAAGCTTGACGAGGTGTTGCTCCATCTCCGTATGTGCCTCGCGGGCATGCGACAGATCCGGGCCTTGGCGCCCGAAATTCTCCGGCGCGGCATTGGACAAGAATGTTTGTGGCGGTAAATTGTTTGTAAGAGGTGTGATCGCCGGGCCACCTTGAAACGTAGAGGGAAAGCTTGGCGGCTGTGGGGTGCCGGCCGTCGTTGGGGGAATGGCGCTCTGATCAGAAGTCGGGAAAGGCCGAGATCGGATCGGAACGGGGTCGAGGATCGAACGCACTGCCAGGCGCTTCTTCTTTTCGTGAATACGGCAGTCGCTTTTTCCAGATGTGCGACAGTTTGTACAGGGCGTTCCGACCATACGGGCATCGCAGCGGACCTTGCGCCGGTGGCAGTGGACACAGGCGGCGGAGCCTATTTTAGAGTCACCTTGTCAGCCATCTGGAGATGTACAACGGCGGAAACCCCCCCCAAGCAATTGCAGAAAGTGTCTTCGAACACCCTGGCGCCGTTGATTGAGGCTCGAGTAGATCACAAAGGACTTACCTTGCTTGCGCTTGCTCACCCCATCGCCCGCGAGCGGCGAGGAGGCGTTATCGTTGACGGAGGACATTGCAGGAGGACCATCGACATCATTCCATGTGCGATTTGGCCACGGCTCTGCATTATTTTCAATCGGTTCAGGTTCAGGGCATCGTGTCAAACGGTTACCGAGGGTAAAGGGGCAGTCAATGCGACTGGGGACAGCGAAAAAGTTCGGGAAGTCGAGGATTGCGGGATCGGGTGTGGAGTCTCGGGCTCACGTGGATGCGGAGAAGATCGATTATGTAACGCGACAAGTACGATCGTTCGCAAGTTGCAGTTGTCATAGATAAATTTACATGAGAGCGAGAAATCCTGGATCTCCCAGATATCCTAGATGCCCTTACATTGTTGATCTGCAACGTGTGGACAATCCCGGTGGCGTTGATAACGGGCTTATCGCGCCTCAAAAGCGGAAAGTTTGAAGTGTAGTTGTAGACCTCTCTTGCTAGACGGTCCTAAGTACAGATTTGCCTAGATCATTTATCCGCCCATTTCCCAAAACTCCAGATCTGTCGAGTGTCGATCTCGTAAAGGTATAACGCAAAAAGGACGAGAGTCCATACATCCCTCGAACAAAGTATCAATGAAATCGCCGAGCCCGCATTCGTCAAATCACCGAAAGATCAGGACATGACGCCAGTAGACATGGAAGAAAGAAAACAAGGACGCCTGCACGCCTCACGATTTCATTCTTGGACCCGGTAATGTTGGATTGGCTTCAGTAAGAATCTCCCCCCGGCACCATTGTGGGGCTGGCCAACCATGGCGGGATAGCCATACGCAGAAGTGTCCTGCTCAGAGGGGTCCATGTTTGGGTTCATGATGGTGTTGGCACCCTCGGCGCCTTCGGGAAATCGACCCTGACCGCCTCCGACGGGACCTCCAGCACCGTAGCCGCTGCTTGGGGGTCGGTTCTGGTTCTCGCCTCGCGCAGACTGGGTCTAACCTAGAGTCAGCAAGGGGCAGTAAAAGGTTGTGATATGACGCGACTGACCTCGCGATACTTGGAGAGATAGATCTTAAGAGCCTCGGCATAGTTCTCGAAACCGAGCGAAGTCATCGCAAACAAAATATCCTCGCCATTGACAGTTTTGCGCTTTTCTTGCTGGCACTTCTCCGAAGCTAGTCAAGTGAGTAGTCGATCTTCTAGAAACAAAATGGGAAACCCACCTTCACTGGTGATGAACGAGATAAATTCGCTCACGCATTCTTGCATGCACTCCTTGGCTTCTTTTGCTATTTTCGCATTGTCGGGTAGAGCCAACTTCATGATACGGGCAACTGTATAGTGTTGTCATTAGTAAGGCTAGTCCAAATCACCGTTTGCTTGAAAGTGATTGAGATTCATGTAGGGGTCATGCGACAGCCATGAGAGCAAGGAGATATAAATGCGCCCAAGAAAAGCTCCTTCGTATTTTCGTCCAAAAGAGGCAGCACATTCAAGAAAAAAAAAGCATACAGAGGACATTGTAGGACAGTCGATCAAAAAGCTTCTGGAAAGGAGGGAGAGGCGGGGCCGGCGAGAGAGAATAAACGGCAGTGGCCAGCCAGAAACCAGGTACGCGCAAATCAGATCAACAGAAAGGCTGCAAGGGGACGCAACTAACCATTTGCAATCGGGAGCCACCGATCTTGTTCCTTCACCTCGAACTCGCCCTGTCCATGTATCTGGTCTTGCTGATCTTTGTCCATTTGCTCCTGGTCTTCACCCGATTGCACCTCGGGTTCAACCTCCGGCTCCTTCGAGGGAGAGGTCGACGACATGATTATGAGTGGTTCGGATTTTGCGCAGGTCCTTTGGGCGACAAGGCTGGTTCGCTCTGCTGGGCAGGACCACGTCAGATCTCTGAACTGGCGCGCGATCGGGTCCGATGCAGAAGCCCAAGATTCGCTGGGGTCAAAGGAGGGGAATGCAGTGGCTGGGTACGAACCGCTTCACAACAGCCTCGGACAGTTGATAGCGTCAGCCGAGTGGGGGGATTTGGCAATAAGGCGTGAGCTGTATTTGCGACGCGCGCAATGACCCGGTCAGTCTGGGGTTCTGGAGCTTTGGGAATAGACCGAATCGGAAGGGCGTGAAACATAGTCGCGTCGCACTGCAGTGCGAATAACAATGCGCGCCTCACAAGTTGGGTCGAGTGCACACTCGTGAGCTTTCATGACGCGGAAAGCAACGAGGGTGGGTCGGTGAATGGGGGGTGAGGGGGAAGCCCAACAGTCGCACGCGCTGGGTGATATTCCGGGGGTAAGTATATACTTACAGTTCACTGGGATATAGATGGACGGAAGAAGTAAATTTCAAGTTCTCCGATTCGTTCTGAGGGGAAAATGGTCAGAGCGGAGTTGCAAGTGGTTGGAGGGTCCGCGTTCATCCAGCTTGAGGTCAATTGGCGAACCAGATCTCCCTCAGCACAGGAGGCTTTCGGTTGGCTCCTTACCATGTAGGTATTAAGAGCTCGAGAAAAACAATGTTTACCACAGTAAGAGGCCGGTGCAAAGCTTCAGTGGGCTTAGATATCAACACAGATCAAACGGCAGTAGTCAACAAGTTCGAAAAGAATGAGGGCAAAGGCAAAGACGAGGTTCCGATCGCGGAAGGCCTCAGGCAGGAGTTTCGGTACTTAGTCTTACGTTACACACTCAAAATCTACACCACACTTCATGTAATCAACCGTTATCTGATTACAAAAATGAGCACTCAGGTGCCTGTCATAGATACGACTCATCGATTGTTTGAAGATAGCAAACCGGTAATACCTACGCCGATAGTCTTTTCCGATGGTGCTCAGCAAGCTGGATTATCTAGGGCCTGACAATCCTGGTCTGCAACTTCAGGCTCTCGGGCTTGCATCATGTAGCGTGCATATACAACTCATCCCGTTTTGACCAATTGTGAAAGCAACCATCAAGCCGAGTACTTGGGCTCTGAAAGCACTGGTGTATACCTCGTCACTGGATTCATAGAGTGCGTCATGCCTCATGGTGATGCTAACAAGCTGATACCTAAGCTTGATATATACTAGACCTTGTACTGAATGCCGTCGATGAAATCCACGTCAACTGGTATTATTTTCGGAAATTTCAGCCACCTATGATGGAAAGAGACCATGCTAGATTCTGTCAAGTTTTGTACCATTCCCACAAACGCCAAAAGTATCTTGCTCACACGCTCAGACAGTCCCCTCCCCCCCGAGAAAGCCGGGAATCAAGATGTACAAGGGTGGCTCTGCTCAGGGCTGCACAACCTGGATGTTGTTCTTCTTCTATAATATACGCAAGATGGTCAATCTCCGGTCATGATCTCTTCAAGGAGATACAGGAGGGCCTTGCCCAGGTTGGGGCTCCAAGCCCTCACGATCGGGAATGCGCTTACCTTCCAGGTATCCAGCTCAGTCTGCTTTGACTTGTACTGCTTTAGCATCTCCTCCAACACCTGCTTCAATCCGTCCGAATTTGTCTTGAGTGTGGGGAGGACATCCTTCACAGTCCCCTCGACCAAAACTCCGTTCACCATGCGGAAGCATTTCCGGTCACCGGCCAGAGGATCCAGTGTCTCGATAACGAGCCTGTACATATGACAAATTAGCCTCCATCATCACGCAAAGCACTGAGTCCAGTATCCTCATGTGCGGGTCCCTCGTGGAATGTGAAGCCCCCTCCTAAGAACCTGTATTCGCCAGCATGTGGGTCTCTGAGACTCACTTGTGTTCCTCAGCCTCCTGTTCAATATCGCCAATCTTTTGCGCGAGTTGTTGAAGGGTGTTCTTGAAGTTTCCGTACTGGAGCTGCAGCTCTGTTGTGAGGGAGGTTAGCTATCGCGCCGTGACATTGCCCAATTAGCCGGAGAGGGCTTACCCTGCTGCTTCTTTGGATCCACTTGCTGTTGACTAGCCATGACGGAGGTGTGAGGGTTCAAGGCAGCTGCAACGTAAAGAGCTTAAATGTTGAGATGACGAGGCGGGGCGCTTGCTTAATTTCGCGGGCTCGGAGGCCGCTATGGGAAGGCCGCCTACAGGTCACTATTTACGGTACAAAACTCTTCTAGGTGATAATGCTTTGAAGTTTTCTACTCTAGTAATAAGCCCTCACATTATTTTATACAATTCAGAACAAAGTACAGCGCAAATATCCTCTGCAAAGTGACTGACCAGAAGAAAGTAGATAGCACGTGACTGATAACCGTTTGCATTGTTTGCTCAAGATTCCAACTACCGGGCGTTTGCCATGCGAACTCGACCTCGCCGACACATCAACTCGCTTCGATTTCGGTGAGACTGGCCTACGGACTGGGTCGTATATCCCAAGATGGCGCGCGACGAAATGGGGCCGCCAGCCAAAAGGCAGAAGAGCTCTGGGAACCTCCCACCTCAACTGCGAGACGCGAAACGCAAGGACATTGACAACTGGGAAACGAATCGTATGCTCACGTCAGGTGTTGCACAGCGGCGAGACTTTGATGGCGACTTCATGCCCGAGGATGAGGAGGCCACTCGAGTTCATTTATTGGTTCACGACCTCCGACCACCCTTTCTCGACGGCCGTACGATCTTCACCAAACAGCTCGAGCCGATCTCTGCCATTCGAGACCCCCAAAGCGACATGGCTGTCTTCAGCCGAAAGGGGAGTAAGGTCGTTCGAGAACGCCGGCAACAGCGCGAGCGACAGAAGCAGGCCCAGCAGGCTACGTCTATGGTTGGCACAGCTTTGGGCAACTTGACGGGCGTGAACGAGGACGAAGGCGATAGTGCTGTTGCGGCGCCGGTTGAAGACGTCTACAAGGGTGGTGGAAATAAATTCGCCCAGCATATGAAAAAAGATGAGGGCGGGGCCAGCGCATTCAGTAAAAGCAAAACTTTGCGCGAGCAGCGAGAGTTCTTACCTGCATTTGCAGTTCGTGAAGATCTACTGAGAGTTATTCGCGATAACCAGGTCGTGGTGGTAGTTGGCGAAACGGGCTCTGGAAAGACTACCCAGTTGACCCAATTCCTCGCCGAAGACGGTTACTCGAAATTCGGCATGATTGGATGCACGCAGCCCCGCCGTGTGGCGGCAATGAGTGTCGCAAAGCGTGTCAGTGAGGAGATGGAGGTTGATCTCGGAGCAGAGGTCGGCTATGCTATTCGTTTCGAAGATTGCACCAGTGACAAGACCATGATCAAATGTGAGTGCATGGACAAGCTTCTGAGATACCAACAAGCCACTTACATGCCTTTGAACAGATATGACTGACGGTGTACTTCTGCGAGAGTCTTTGACCCAGCAAGACCTTGATAAATACTCATGTATTATCATGGACGAAGCACACGAAAGGGCCTTGAATACTGATGTCTTGATGGGTCTTCTTAAAAAGGTGCTAGCTCGGCGCAGAGATCTTAAGCTGATTGTCACATCCGCGACGATGAATGCAGAGCGCTTTTCCCGGTTCTATGGTGGTGCCCCCGAATTCATCATCCCGGGTAGAACTTTTCCTGTGGATCTTCACTTCTCGCGCACGCCTTGTGAGGATTACGTCGATAGTGCAGTCAAGCAGGTCTTGGCGATTCATGTTTCGCAAGGGCCGGGCGATATTCTTGTGTTCATGACGGGACAAGAGGATATTGAGTCCACCTGCGAATTAGTCGAAGAGCGATTGAAAATGCTGAATGATCCACCAAAACTCAGCATTCTACCTATTTACAGTCAAATGCCTGCAGAACAACAGGCAAGAATCTTCGAGAGAGCAGACGCCGGTGTACGCAAAGTCATCGTCGCCACGAATATTGCCGAGACTAGTTTGACTGTTGATGGTATTATGTACGTTGTGGATTCAGGATACTCGAAGCTCAAGGTGTACAACCCGCGCATGGGCATGGACACTCTCCAGATCACACCGATCTCCCAAGCCAATGCCAATCAGCGATCTGGACGAGCTGGGCGAACCGGCCCTGGAAAGGCTTATCGTCTGTACACGGAGACTGCTTATAAGAATGAGCTTTACATACAGACGATTCCTGAAATCCAGCGCACCAGCCTCGCCAATACCGTGCTGCTGCTGAAGTCTCTGGGTGTCAAAGATCTTATGGACTTTGACTTTATGGACCCTCCACCCCAAGAGACTATTAGCACATCCCTTTTCGAACTCTGGGCACTCGGAGCTCTGGACAACCTGGGTGAACTCACACACCTGGGTCGTCGCATGACGCCGTTCCCCATGGATCCCCCCCTGGCCAAGCTCCTCATCACTGCTTCCGAGGAATACGACTGCGGCGAAGAGATGCTTACCATCGTCTCCATGCTCTCTGTCCCAAGTGTTTTTTATCGTCCTAAGGAACGCCAGGAAGAGTCCGACTCGGCGCGTGAAAAATTCTTCGTGCCCGAATCAGACCATTTGACTCTGCTGCATGTTTATACACAGTGGAAGTCAAACGGCTATTCCGACGCCTGGTGTATCAGGCACTTCCTCCATGCCAAATCCCTTCGACGCGCCAAGGAGGTCCGTGACCAGCTGCACGATATCATGACCGTTCAGAAAATGCCACTGTCCAGTTGTGGCACAGATTGGGACGTCATCCGTAAATGTATCTGCTCCGGCTTTTACCACCAAGCCGCGCGCGTTAAGGGAATCGGCGAGTTCATCAATCTCCGCACCAGTGTGACCATGGCTTTGCACCCAACCAGTGCATTGTACGGTCTCGGCTACGTACCAGAGTACGTAGTCTACCACGAATTGATCTTGACAGCCAAGGAGTACATGTCGACCGTGACGGCCGTCGATCCACACGTAAGTCTTCGCTCCCATCATATCTGTGTAAATCCCAGCTAATTCATCTCCAGTGGCTCGCCGAACTCGGAGGTGTCTTCTACTCGGTCAAAGAAAAGGGTTATTCAAAGCGTGATCGACGTGTGACGGAATTGGAATTCAACAAGCGCATGGACATTGAAGAGCAAATGGCCGTGGATCGTCAACGCGCCGCGGCTCAGAAACAACGCGAGGAGGAACGCATGGATCCCGCTCGCCGCAAGACAGAGGTCGAAGTTGGAGGAAAATCAGCAGTGCGGCGTCCTGTTGTCAAACGGCCTGGCAAAGTTGGTGGTCTGACTGCTTCGTCTTCGCCTCGGCCTGGTGGTGGAAGTGGTAGCGTTGTCAAGAAACCCACGATACCACGCCGGCCAGGACGGACGTTCTAATCCCGAGCATACGCGCACTCTCTTGTACAGTACCAAAGCACGCCTATATACATGATCCTGGAAGGCTTATACAGGGTCATTCAATTATGGAATAAGATACCCGAACTGGAACAATTTTCCATAATTAGAATTCCGACAGAAGCAAGTTACCTCATGTTTGAACAAGTCATGGATATGCATATATTGATTCTTTTCAAACACGTGCAATAACATGGAACCCACTCCATAGTGCTGTGTCATTTAAACTATATCAAGACAGCCTTCGACACCTATGGAACCAAGCGTCGCGGGTCTTGGCCGGAGCTGTACAACAATTTCCACTTCGCGTATTCGCGAGCAGTAGAACCAAGCCCAGCACCAAAAACCAGGACCAGGAATATCCAGCTCTCCATCACGGACCAGCGCCAGAGAAAGCGATTGAGTATCTTGATGCAAGGCATTTAAACGCGCCGTCGATGGCTTAGTTGATGAAGTTGATGCAGAAGAAGTGTAGGATCAAGCTTCCAAAGACGTAATCGGCGAAAGCCCTGTGGAAATCATGGTTCAGTAAATGAATCATTGCTTTTAATAGGCAGATTCCTGATAATCGAAGGAAACTTGTAAAACTCACCTCTCATGCGAAATGCCAGTTGCCTCTTCCTCGCCATCTTCGTCTGCGAACCGGGCATTCTTTCCTTTGGAACTAGGCTTGCTCGTAGGAGCTCGGGAATCATCACTTGTCTGCATGCGGAGACTAGCAGTAAGCACGAATTGGCCAACAGCGGCACAGAAGCCACTCAGGAAAGCGTTGAAGGGCTATAGATTGGACCAGTCCAGTCAGCATACATTTGGTTCAGACATAATGAGGAGCTGGTAGGAGCCTCATCAAAGCTTCAGGAGAAGACGTACGTAATTTCCGGCCAGCACACAGTACAAGAACTGCAAGCCGCCGACGAGAACTAGGAAAGCCATGAAAGCGTCGAGGAGCATTGTGCGCTGTGGCGTCGTCGTGGTATACTGCTGCCACACATGCTGGGCGATTTCAGCGGCCGAAGCATTGGTTTTCAGGGTAGCAGGGCCGGAGGAGAGCGTGACGGGTGCCGACGCTGTTGTTGCGGAGGTAGTTGAGGCCGCGTGTCGTTTGGCAGGCATGGTAGCGGGGATTGAGGGTGCGGAGTTGGGCGGGTGAGGTGGTCGTGGGAGTTTGGTCTCCGGACTATGAGATTAGGCGCTGGTATCTCCCGGGAGTTCGACGTCGCTGGCGGATACAATGGCGTGGGGAAAGGGAAGATCAAATGATGCCAGCTTGGAGCTTCGTTATCGCAGGTCACGTGGTTGATACAGTCCACCCGCGGAGTATACTTCAATTCTTGGGGCTACGGGGTACAAGGATGATATTGTGTTAAGCCGGTGAGACGATCTAAGAAAGTGGCTTTTAGATCCTGATTTTTTTTTTCGGTCTTGTGTGTACTAGGTGGATATCAGCCTGCATAGCCCATCCAGATGGCTTAAGGACTATCATCTGCGTCATATGTAGATAGCAAAACTTCGGAATTCACCAATCCGTGACATTTGCATTGTTTGTTATACTACATCAGAGAACCAAGCTAGATCCGACTGTGAAGAGGCAATTAAGCCAACTAGCTTGTGTGAACATTACTTTCAAATTTATGATCAAGAAGCTCTGCACAAGCAGTAGCCAGTTTCACACAAGAACTTCGCAGAGAGAAGAGGTATATTTAAACATTGAGTGGAGGAATAAGTGAAAGTGTAAGACCCATTCCATAAGCACCGTAGATCATCACATCGTTTAAAAAAAGTCACAGAAGCAATAGCGCGAAGCAGAGCAAGAGTGACACCGTGCAGGTCTTCAGTCAAAGACAGGATTATGCGAACCATTCCGTAACGTGGGTTCCATTCGCAGGGCCAGCATCATGTTCTCTTTCAACGTCCATTTGGAAATCGCGCATGACTTTGTCCCATTCTTCCCAGCTCAGAGAGTTTGTCTCGGGGATGTTTTCCTGGGACATGAAGGTGTTGCCCAAGGGGGCGTTGAACAATGGTAATCCACTCGGAATATTGACTGCAGGGACTTGGTCTTGTATTGGGGGGGGCATCCAGGGTTACTGGAGCCAGGAAGTTTGTATCGGGGAAGATGTTCTGCAAGGTATTCCATAGTCCGTTGGTGAGATCGACGTTCATCGGATCCGGTGGGGCAGTTTGGTTGGGTTGCGCGTCTGAAGCAGTCGGCATATGGATTTGTGGGAGGGTATGGTGATGGCTGGCGGCGAAGTCGTCGGGGGTAGATTTGTAAGCTATGGGGTTCGGTCCAAATTTGTTTCTCAGTTCCTCCTGTTGCTTGGACCGTGTCGCTGCTGCTCGCTTCATCAAAGCAGCTAGGGGTCGCCAGAGCATGCCTCTCTTATTAGTGGGCTGACGAGTCCAATCTGAATATAGTGAGTTGATGGCGTTCCAGGCTCTGTCGGTAACAGGACAGATCGGACGAACGCATACTTCGGATAGAACGAACGCGACTCCGTGCCACTGCATATTGGTGTGGAATAGCCAACCCCACTTAGCAGTCCTGGGATCGGATTCAAGCAGGCGTCCGAACTCGAGAACTTCAATTGCGGTGAGGAATAGACTTTCGCGAGTTGCCTGAGATACATTGGTGATGCGGTCTTTGCGAGTCATCGGGTGATGGACAATCAGCCAGAGCTTTGCGAGGATTAAGCGGGCAACTGTCGCAGATGCCCAATGGATGGGGATGTCCATATCGCAATGCTTGATGTACCGTTCCTCGACACGACTGCTGATAATCTGTATCATTTTCTCACAGTGTTCAATGGATGGTCCGGCGCCCACCATTCTGAATACACGACTTCCCGGGCAAGAGTAGTTAGCGCGCCGCAACGCGCAAGTGATCTCACAGCGAACCAGACAGAACGTCACGTCTGTACAACCCTCCCGTTCCGTGGGAGTCTCCGTCATCTCTGGATAGATGTCGTCATCATTGACATTCAGCGGAAGACGAGTATCATACATGCTGTCATTAATGAGCGGATCAGTCCCATGGTCCTCCGAGGAGCGAATGTCCATGAGACAAATATGCCACCACAGCCGTCGGCGCATCTCCGTCTCAAATGGCTTTAAAGCGAAATTCGTGCCATCACGATGCAGACCTAGACCTTGAGCGAGGCGGAGGATCACGGAATTCATAGACCACACGAATTTGGAATCATCCTCTCTGCGTATACAGATCAGGAAAAGAACCGCTGCTTGCAAGAGTACTAGACTTTGGGTGTTTAGCAAGTTGGCTTTCGCCAGTGCCTGTTCTACTGCAAAGCGGTACCGTTTGACAGCAAGGGTGCGAACTTCTCCGATGTGTGCAAGACATTCGGCGGGGCTCAGAGCCACAATGACGGACAGGTATATCGAAAACACCAAAGCCTCTGAATTCTTATCCAAGGAATCAGGGTTTTGCGCCGCGTCAACCAACAACTTCCTTGCGGTTGGCTTATGAATAATGGTGATCAAGGGAGCAACATTTTCTTTGTAGATTTCCCAAAAAGTGGACACCTTGGTCAACGGTGGATGATACTCTCGAAGAGAGTGCGACAAGGAGTAAAAGCCGAATAGGAATCCATCATGAGAGCCGGAATGAGAGGATTCTGGAGATGGATAGTCCTCTTCCTCGGATTCAGAGTTGTCTAAAATATCCTGTAGCTCTTCGACCTTGAACGATGTTAGATTGACCTCGCACCTGTCAAAAGGGTATTTTCTGATTCCTTACCTCATCTCCCAAACTGGCCCAAAGTCGATTGCTGACATATCGACTCCTCCTTCATCGATAACCAATCTTCCAAACTCGTTTTCAAATTTCCCAGTATTCAACTTTGTAGGGTCGTTTTCGAACGGACATTCAGTCGCCTCTTTTGACTCCGCGGGGGTTACAGCTGATTGTGGAGCTGTCGCAGTCGACGTCGCAACCGTAGCACCAGAGACAGCAGACGAGAACCCCGACGACGTAGCCTGCGACGGCGAAACAGAGGTCGAGGCGGCCTCTGCATTCTTCCCGCTCAAATGCTCGATGACGCCCTCGAGGCGACGAAGGCGGGAAAGAAGCTCTGCATCGGGCGGGCGTTTGGACTTGCGCGGGGCACGACCGGGCGGGGGAAAGATACAGTCAGTCCCAGCTTTAATACAATTGGAACACGGCGACCGCTTGTTACAGCGGACCTTGCGACGGCGACAAGTGACGCAGCTCCGCGAGCTGGCATCTGGGCCAGGGCGGGGGCGGTGGGTGCGTGGAGGATCGGAGAATTATCACTGGCAGTGGGGGAGGCGTTCAACCCCTCCGGAGAAGCTGAGTTATACATGGCGCAGGGATCGCCTCATTCTTTCATTAAATTATGAGACTTGGAAGCGCGAGGAACTCGGATTTGAACGAGCCTGTCAGGATTTCGTAGGGGCCACACCCCAAGCCCACATGTGACCTTTCGTGAGTCAGCTCGGTCTGGACCTTTTACTCCTTTTGGACTCTGCTTATACCCGACTCCGCCCCGAGGATCTTATCGGCAACAGTGTTTGTACCTAACCAAATCTTTCTCGGGTGTACAAGGTTCATTACTCCTGAAATTCAGATTGTGCAACGCCGGAAACTATATCCGCAGGCTTTTTGCTAAAAGCCCACCTTTAGATTATATCAAGCACCCCAGCCCAGGAGTTCAACAAATATACGGATTCTCATGAATACTTATACACAGCATGAAATCATGGATAAACGAAAGAACAGACAAAGATGCCCGGGAGTATGTAAAGTCCAACGCCGTCTTAATGCAAAAGGGAAAGAGCAGAAGAAAACCCCGAGCTCCTTACGCTCACAAACAAAGCTCAAGATGCACCCTAAATGCAAAACATATGTCCACAGACATGCCATTCAAACTTCGTCCATGCGAATGAGAGGCTCAATACCCGGCGATCGAGTGGGCACGTTATTGCCGCGCCAACCTCGTCGGAGGAAGCGTTTCGCCATTTTGCTTTAGATACGTGTCAGCCCAAGGATCCAAGGAACATGAAATGAGAAACCACGGAAACTTACATTGACCGCTCCCAGAGCTTGGAATCTTCGTTGAATTCGTGTCTAGAAATGTTTAGTACTCATTATGAAGTTGGAAGCAGGGCGGAAAAGAACTCACCCTTGGAAGTTCTTGTTCGACAGAGATCTTGAACCGTACTCCTCCACAAGAAGATCCGTATAGGCATAGGGGATCTTGACGGGCACATCTTCAAAGTAACTCTGACGCAGCGGGAAGATCTGGTCCTCCTCGTAGTGATGGCGGTCTTTGCACATCAGGGCACCCTTCTGGCCGTTGGCCCGCTTAGCGTCGTCTTTTCGCACGGCGGTGATGTCGATGAACAGGCCAGAGGACATATCGATCCATCGCGCGTCGATCACGTTCAGTCGATCTTTGGTGCTGCGGACAACGTAGTTGGGGTTGATCTCTAAGAGGTATGTACGCCCGTCCGTGACGCCGGGAAGGTCGAAGTGGTGCTCCGTCATATTATAGTATTCGGCCAGGAAATGTATCGTCGGCTCTGAAATCTGGACATCGAGGTCATTGTCCCAGGGGAAAAGCTGTTCAGCTCGTCAGCAAATACAATGGCCCGAGCGCGCTCGGATTCTTCCCACCTTCTGGTTCCACCACCACGATAGAAGTGAGCCATGCATAATCCAGGTTTCCGCACCGATGGAGTCCATGGTTGAGAGGTACGTTTGTATCAAGGCGGAGAGATGGGGCGTGACATCTTTGTCCGGCAATTGTTTGGTCGCAAAACTGCGACACCATTAGCACAGGCCACGGCAGGATCGAGATAGTGATCAACATGGTCGCACATACCGGCCATCATAGTGATAGTGGAAGCTAAGATGTTCAGGTCAGTATCATATATCGAGCTCATTCTTCCAGGTATGACATACGAAGATTCCGCTGGGACCCACAGATCAGTTTAAATTCCTTGAATTTCGGGCAGTGGGGATTATGGATCATCGACAGATCACAATTAGAAACTTACTGAAATATTTCGTCGTGGGAATGGTGTCCTCGGATTCATAGTCTTTCGCAACGTCCTCCCGCACATTCATGAAGGTGGTGTTGGTCTCTCCGCGAACCAGGGTGAAGGCGCTGGTCGAAAGCAACCCGTAGAGCCCCAAGAGAATTGATGAAGAGAATCGCATGGCTAGATCCAACTCAAGACAATCGCATATGTTCGAGGTCGTATGTACAAAAATGCAAGCGGTCGTACCGGGACCGGAGGGTGCGGCGTTTAGGGATAGCGGTACGAAAAGGGGCGGAGAGGGAAGGAGAAACGAGTGTGATGATGAGGTGGGAGAGGGTATATACACTATACAAGGAAATGGAGAGAGGAGATGTGAGGAGATGAAGAAGCAGGGTTAAGGGGAGGTCAGGGCGGTTTTCGGAGTGGAAACGCAATCAGCCACTGACCTCGTGTGGTCAGTTGCCCAATCTAGTAACCCCAGACTCTTCCGCGATCAACTCAAATAGAACTGTGGCGTACTCTGTGTGATAGGGCTGAGCTTAGCCTGGATGAATGTTCTATTCAAAACCCTTATGGTACATCTTGAATATGACTTGAATTCAATCTTAGAAATTCTAACAGGAGCGGAGAGCACGGCGGAATTTGGGGAGGGACTCGTATTCGCCAAGGCGTCGTCAGCGTGAAGGAAATCGGGATAAAAACTCGTTTCCCGCCACTTTGACCCACTATGAGGCTCGTCACTGATCGGGTTGCGTGTACGGGTTTCTTGGCATTCTTCGTAACTTCTATACTCGCATTCATTCTTCATTTTCTCACAATATAAAGTCAGGCAAAAGACAGAACAAAATGCGCCGGGAACCTGGTGTCTGATTGAACTCGTCATGTGCGCTGCAGCCAAAGATCACGGAAGACCTGATCCCGAATTACCCGGATTAAGCGAGCGTACGCGTCCTCCCATGTTGACATCTGAGCCCGTGTGCGCCATCGCCTAAGCTTCGACCCCACCCCTATTCAATTCTTAAATTGTGGATTCTAAGACCCGAGCTTCAAGTAAAGCGGGCTGTTCAGCTTGGGGTGTTGGACGCCCGTCGGGTAGCCAGACCTGGACGAGCTGGAACCCGGCTGCTTCCAGCAGTGCCTGCCATTGCTGTTGGGTCCGCTCTAACGAAGCGAACGAGCCCATCATCTGCATATCGGATACGACCGAGGGCAAAGGCACCCCACAGTCCGGTAGCATGGTCTCGCTGATTAGCAAAACAGATTCCCGACTCATTGCATCGCCGATGTTTCTCAGAATCTGGGTGGCCTGTTTGTTTGGCCAGTCATGCAAAACGGTCCGTAGGAAGTACACCTTCGCGTTCTGCACCGGTTGTTTCTGGAAAAAGTCATGACTTTGTACTTCGATGCCCGGTGATCAGTGACACCCTCGATCACACTAGGCAAATCTTGGAGAATGAGTTTCCCTGGCAAATCAGGAAAGTGTTCCTGGAATTTCTTGAGATCTTCGCCTTGGCCCCCGCCAACATCGACGATCAGTGTATCACTGCGCCTTGAAACTCGCAGCCGTTCTTCGACTGGGAAGAATTCGAACCAGTCCTTCCCACGTCGGCGAAATGACATGCTCATTACCGTGTTAAATGCCTGCCCGTAATAAGGGTGCGTACCCAAAATGTCAAAGTAGTGGGCATCAGTTCCTAGTGCAAATTGGAAAGGACCATCGAGACCGTCTCCGGGATTCTTCCATCCATTGACCTGAAAATACTCGGGCAATCTCGACAGGACGGTGAGGAAATGCGTGCTGGGTTCGATTAGCTGACAGTATACAGCCGAAGAGGGGCCGAGCCAGGGCCGAGTTACCTATGGATCACCGCCGCCGAAAGAAGAGAGTTTGACACATAGGCCGCGGCTAGTGGCGTCTGAATATAAGAATCGCGGTCTATCTCCTGGACTACTCCCATGGCGGCAAGGAATCGAGTTATGCGTTCTGTCACTTGTAAATACAAGCCCGGATGAAGGGTCACGGCCGCATCACTTACTCACTAGCAATGGGTCCGATCCAGTCTCTTCACACTAGTCCTGTACGTTGAAGGGTTCCTCGGCTGACTTGCTTGCTTTGGCCATGGCATCGAATAGCTTCATATCGATCCCAAGCCTCAGTGCCATGGCTTGGTGAGCCTATGTACTTTGTCAGCACTATCGCTGCTATTCTTTCTTCCCTTCTTGCATCTTTCTATGACCTACCGAAAAGACCAGACGAGCCATGGTATCCATGGGCGTCTCCAGCTTGGCTTTCAGTCGATCACATGCTTGCAGTACTTGGCGTCGCTCGGTTTCATCTCAGGGCCGAGACCAAGTCGATGTTCAATCGCTGGATCAGATCCGCTGCACTCATAGTTGCAGGTTATCACTCAATGGGAACGTTTGGACCAAAGTGGATTCTTCACGGGCTATTGAACTCTCTAACCTAGGCAAACTTTATATGAATGTGACACCGAAAAGAGCGAAATCTACGAATTCACCGCGTGAATATCCCGATCGTGTGAACACCTAGAGTGGGACTTTCTTTCCCACAATTCGCAGACATGACCTAGATAAAGATTAAAACAAGGAGAAAAAAAAAGCCAAATATGCACAATCAAAAGCGCGAGATTAAGAATATAATCAAGAATAGAGAAAGAACTTCCAAACCCTCAAAGACCGAACAACGCCGGGACACTCTGGGGGGGAAAAAACAGGCAGCCCACCGCGAGCCATGACTAACAACCAAATTGATTAAGACTGATTTGGGCAGTCGGTCGATTCCGTTCGGCTGCGATCCCCTCGCTCACATTGGTTCCAATTCACGAAATGGCCCCAGTCGGGTCGGTGGAGAACGCCGTGGATGATTCGCCATGTTTAAGTTTAGGGTTCATCGTCGCCGTAGCCATCTGTCGACGCTCGTTTCATTCGCGCCCGACTATCGACAATCACCGTTTCGTCGGTCGGTGCCTGTTCCTCCCTAATTCAGCCACCGGCCCGTTGGACCCTTTTTTCTTTCTTTTTCTTTTAATTTTTTTTTTTCAATATTATTATTGTTTCCTTGGGTCTCATGCGTTATTGTGAGGTGTTGTTCTTGGGCTATTGCTGGAACCACTGGGAAAAATCGAATCCACAAGGGACTGCCACCCGGTTGCTACCCCATGTTGAAACGATCCAACCGAGTGACAGCAGTGGAGAGGTGCCTCTCTATGCCCGACTTCATCCCACTTACCTAACTGCAAGGTTTCTGCTGAATTTCACGCATTAAGCTTCGACATCGTCGAAACACATGACTGCTGCCAAGTCTGACCTTTTTTTCGGACGAGGCCGTACTTTAATCTCCATTAACAGTACGATCTGGGCGTCGATCTTGGATCAGCGTAATCTCATGTCATATCGCATGTCCCCTCGATACGATGAGAGTCAATCCCCCCGGCTTAGCGACTTTTGCATATTTTTCGTTCCTGACGTCCCACCCCGGTGATCATGTCGGAGGTTTCCTCCACTTCTCTGGGTGATCTCAGCATAGGCCAGCCAACGCCCCAGCTGAACCGATCCTGCGAATCTTGCAGGAGTTTAAAAGTCCGCTGTCTGCCTAACCTTTCCACGCCAAACCAGTGTCAGCGATGTGCAAAGGGCCAAAAACCCTGTGTGTTCGTGGCGCCGCAACGACGGCGGCCTCGCAAGAGGACTGACTCGCGAGTGGCCCAGCTCGAGAAAGAGATGCGTATGATGCGCTCTCTTCTCAAAGATCGAATCCGGGAAGAGAGTGAGCCCGAGTCGCCTGAGGGTAGCGAGGGTTCACGGGAGGGTTCTGGTGAAATGGACTTTCAGGACCAACTCGGCACCATCTCAGAGGCGCCGGCCAGCACGGCCGACTCTGCTCGCTACATGGATTATTCTCCTGATTTTGTCAACTCGTCCCATCCAGGGATGCAGGGGACTAGGCCTCTTCCAGCTCCACCATCATTCTCCGGGCTGCATTTGAATTTCTCCCACGATCCGATCAGGCTTCCTGTGGAGGATGTTATTGATCGAGGCATCATCACGCTTGACGATGCAGAGCAGTTGGTGGCCTTTTTCATCCATGAGCTTGCCTCGTTCTTTCCTCTCGTGGTTCTGCCGACCAGTACCACGGCGGCACAGATGCGACAGTCGAAACCCGTTCTCTTTCTCTCTGTGCTTGCTGCAGCATCTTTATCCATCGATGCAGGACTGGCGGGTGTTTTGAATCGCGAAATAGTTCGTTTGTATGCCGATCAATTCTTTGTCGAGGGTGAGAAATCGTTGGAATTGGTGCAGGCACTGTTGCTCATGATCATCTTCTATTTCCCGCCGGGTTCGCCTCTGAAGTTGCAGTTTTATCAGTACACACACATCGCTTCGACGATGGCTTTGGAGATCGGATTGGCCACCAAACGACGGGTCTCGAAGAAGCCCGACCGGAAGAACAAGCACGAGCCGCATGATGAGCATTTGGCGGAGCAGGCGAGGGCCGTTCTGGGGTGCTACCATCTAGGATCAACGTAAGCAACTCTAGAACTTCCGGTGCGAGATTCCCCACGACTGATTGGTACCGATAGTGTAGCCATGAAAACACGCCGTCCAAATTTGCTGCAGTTCAACGACTGGATGATCGAGTGTGTAAGTCAATTGGAACGGTCGCCGCACCGAACAGATCAGCATTTGGCCGTTTGGTTTGAAATCCAGCGAATCACCGATGAAGCCATGTCTTCATTTGGTCTAGACGACACCAGTGCCTCATCTCCATTGACTGAATCTCGTGTTCAAGCCGTGCTGCGGTGGTTTGACAAGCGAATGGAGATGTGGAAGAAGAGCACCCCAACCGACATGCTCACAGGTAAGGATAGTTTCTTTCGAAACCGTCTCATAGTCTGCTCACATGTCCCGTTGCAGTGCCAATGATCCTCGAATACCGATCCGCCGTTCTCGCCATGTATGAGTTGGGCGTTGGAGAAGGGTATCGAGAACCCGATGCCATCAAGCGCCGCTATTTCACTCTCCCAACGTTAGACGAAGACGGCAACACAAAACTCGCAGAACCCCCTCTCAGCGCAATCCGTATCGACATCAATGTGAAATGGATGAGTGCAGCACAGGAGCTGTTGGACGCGGTATTTGCCTGCAGCACGGAGACAATGCGACGACTACCGAACCTCATGTATACAAGGTTCGGATCAGCAGTAACATCACTGCTGAAAATCCATTTCTCCGTACGCACCGGTGCCTTGGGCGAAGTAGTCACAGCCGAAACGGTAAATGTAGGCTACTACCTCGACATGATGGCCAACAAGCTGGGCGAGGCGAGCGGTGGGGGCCAATATAAGATTCCAAGCCGGTGGTATCAAGTGGTAGGCGTTCGCGGGCGTCACTGGCTCGACCGGTTAGAGAAACAGTATTCAGGATCCGGTGATGCCGGGTCTGCTATGATGTCCGAGACTCCGTCCACGGCCACAGATCCACTTTCGTCTTCCCAGCTCTCTCAGGAACGGCCTGTACCCTTGAACACAATGAATACGCCGGTCGAGTCATTCCATCCACCAGGCGTTCCACATATGCCTTCTGGCATGGATGGTATGCGAGATGGATACGTCGCTATGAGCGGCGCTGGGATGTGGTCCATGGATGGCCATGGTCAAAGCCAATTCTTCCAGTCCATACCTGGGGGCTATCAAGCTTCTCATCCACAGAATCCCCTTCCTCCTCAGTTTGCGTATGATCCGCAGAGAATGCCTCCTCAGGGACGACAGGTTGGAGCTGGAATGGAACTGGATGGGTGGCTTCCGGACGGGAGCATCTTCGGTATGCCTCCTTTGCCTGAATTTTAATCCTTGATTGGTAGTTGAGGAGAGCTTGCAAGTTTGACAACTCGCATCAAAGAGAGTCGAAAGGGCGAAAGTGGGAGAAGCTGTCTCATTCTGTTCGAGTATATAAGCATCTTTGCGCGTGTGTGCATTGGAAAGAGTACATCAAAAGTCAAAAGACAAACTTAAGAGAGAAAAATGAATGTCAGGAATACAATGCAGACTTACCTCCAGTAGAAATCCCCTCAAAGCGAATACACCGACGAAGCTCTGAATGCTTTCAAAGTATAAACATCGAGCCGTAGCTGAGCAAGTCCGAACAAGATCGAGGTCAAAAAGCGCAGAGCCAAAAAGCAAAGAAGAAGTGAAGAAGAGAAAAGTGAGACCCCACAGCACAAATCCGCGATGTTCAAATCACATTTGAGATAAAATCCCTCTACCCATCCATACAATTCCCCAACTACCCCATTCAGCCAAAGTGTATGTAATGGCGTGCTGGCGTTGAATCGGAGCGTCGGTAGAAACGGAACTTCCGCTCTCGCGACGTTTGATCGGGCTCATCATCCACCCCGACACCAAAAAACGGGAATCAGCCTAAAATCAACCGTCTATGACTGAACGGTGGGGACTTTAGGTTTTTGGCTATTAGGCCCGGATTTTACTTGCGGGCGTCATTTGCGGAGGATTCAATTCGAGTAATTGAGGGTTGTAAGTGTTCTCGGTTCGATTTCGAAGACAGGAACGCGGGGGTTGGGCAGAGTGTACAAAGTGTATCGGATTGATTACGCCAATTAGTTGTTCGAGATTCGAAAAGTTCAATTTGAAAAAAAGGTTGAATTGGATGGGACTGAGTCACGTAAGCATCAGTCATCAGGATACGACTATACGACGAAATAGGGTGGAGCCCGTTGTGGTTACAATTCATGCCATTCGTTAGTCTTCAGTCATAATGGGACGCCCGTTCCCGTCAATGAAATGTACAGGGCCTAGGAAATGAGGTCCGATGGGAATGTGATATCCAAGTCAAAATGAGAAAGGAGGAAACAGGGAACCCAAAAATGCTTTGTTTGGGGGAGATAAAAATCATAAATTAAAGGATTGAGAATGCCTCCAGCGCATCCATAAATCCAGCTATGGCTCCCAGTCCAACCAATCCTCGGGTTGCGTTGCGTTTGCGCCGTTCCCTGGTTTCTTGTCGGTTTTCCTCTTCCCGTGAGGATCGACTATGGCGGGATGGCGATCGCTGCGCCGAGCGTGGCGGTGATGGCCGGAGACTGGTCTCTGGGGAGGATGTTGACAGCTGGTACGCTGAGGCGCTGTGATGTGGTTGACGTGAGTTGTAGGCTTGAGGTCGGCCCCAGGGGTTGTCGAGTTGACCTGGTAGGGTGCATGTTATGTTCGGAATTGCGGTTGGGTTAGGTTTCTTCAGGATCGAGCGTGGAATTGTGTTCACGTAGCTTTCTGGTGGACTGCATTTGTACTGCGGAGGTCCCGGGATGGGAGACGGCGGCGTTTGTAATCGCGGCGGTGCTGGGGCACGAGGGACAGGCTGGTTGGCTGGATAGCTCGCAGCTGGTCTGCCGCTAGGGTTCGACGTCGGAGGGTATTGGGAGGGAACGCTATTAGAATGGGCGCGGTGGTGCATGGGAATGCTGATAGGTGGCTGGCGGTCATTGGACCTTTGCTCGACTTCATCATTTGAGACCGTTGATCGTGGCTTTTCTGGATACACTTCTTTACGACGAGGCACTTCGATTTCAGGGTCGCTTTCCACGTGCGCTTGATACTCAGAGTATTGTCGACGTCGCTGCGCTGCTTCTTGCCGAGCCTCTTGAGAATGGGGCTTGCGCCAGTCCATAGTAGTTCCCTCTAGATAGTGACCACCAGAGTGGAAGTTCTCAAAGTCCAGGCTCTCAGCGTCGTCTTCGGTGTCTGAAGATACAGACGGCTGGGGATGGACTCGCCTTCCAGCATTGTGGATCTTCGTAGGATCAAATGACGGAATCCACATCAGTAAGAGGCGGTTCAAGGCTTTCTCAGACAGTAGCACCATATCCTTTGGAGACCGTTCAATGTCCCCTAAATCGGAATCACTCTCTCCAAAAGTCACAGTGCGTAGTTTTGTAAGACTGGCAGCTTGGGTTGTGACCGCCTGGCTTGTTGATATACTATTGGCGTCCCGCGCCTCTTGCTCGCAGCATCCCACAAACGATTAAGACGCTTCACGGTCCAGTACCGCACAATAACCACGTTCTGAATCTCCGCTTTCCGTTCGGCAATTTCATCTCCTCCATTCATCGTGGTGGAGACTGGCGCAGTAGTCCCTGGTTTGGCCAAATTGCCCAGCTGTAGCACTTGAAGCATTACAATCAGGCTGAGCTTGAGGGATTCCAATTGTGCCAGTAAATACGTGACGTATTGTCTCCGAAAACACCACTTGAGCCGTTCTTGCATAGGTGTATGCTTGAAGTCATCATCTGAGTCGTTGTTCTGTAATTTGTCGAGCATTCGTTCAATCTCGACGAAGGCTACCTGCCCCTGACGAGCAATCTCCCGAGCCTTTTCTGTAGCCTCGGGGAGCACTCCAAGTCCATGCTCTGGAGGGCTCTACCTAAATTCTTGAGAGCCAATGCAAAGAGTGTAATCCCCCCTAGCGATGCTGTGAATTTCAATGCCGTACTGCGCGAGTTGACATGCCGCTGCGTTCAGCACCAGAGACAGGCGAGTTCCAGCGTCCCCGATTCCAACCAAGGAAGCATCGGAGCCTGTGCGGAGACTCTGCATCAAAGGGATATTCAAGTCTGCTGGTACGTGGAAGAAGCCTTACCTTGTGCTTTGAACATTGTGACCTGGTGCACCAGAAATGAAGTATAGGAGAGTAAGAGGTTGGGTGTCTTTAAGAACCAAAGAGATGACTGGGAAATAGTCCGGCATCCACTTGAACTTCGGATTCAGATGCGGGGATAGAGCCTCAAGCGAAGTCGCCTATCAAGTGACTCAAGCCCGTCAGCGCGCCCCGAGGCCCCCGTTCATGACGCCATGGTATGAGCCCCGGGCTCTCTCAGTGGCTTGAAACTGGTGAAAGAAGCCGATCAACAACTGATTTTGCGCTAGTGCGGACCATTTCATCAGGTTCCCCGTCGATGAGAAAACCCGGGCACACTTTAGTGCCGGGGTGCACAGCCTCAAACAGGGAACTATGATCTGCATGACGCCCCGTCCTTCACTCCTCGTATCCGTCTGCACCTTTATCATGACTGCCTTATCCTGTGTGCTCTGTTCACTGCATCAGATTGGAGGTGAGATGGTGAGATCCTGCGACTCGGCTCGTGTGCGTTGCAGCCCTATCACCCGTGAAGCTCTTGCACTGCCCTTCGGCGTGTGTTGGCCGAAGGTCTTCTGGTGCGGCAGGTGAAAGCCGAAGACTCGAGACTTGAGACTTGAGAATTTTCATGATAACGAGTTATGAACACTATTCGTAGTGCGCTGGCTGTTTTCATACTTGTCATTCGGAGGGAACAACGGATGTTTGTAGAAACATACCTGGCCCCGACACACCTTCCGCTTCCGGCATTTCCGTAAAACTTTCTTAATCTCTCTCTTTTGAGAGCTCAGGAGCTCCCAATTCGTATCAATCTGTGTCAAATTACATCGATTGTGCTTGAAAACTATCCAGATTACATTTTGGAAGTGGTATTGCAGTTGTGTACTCCCCGCCGCATTGTCCGCCCCGCGCGACCTCCTTTTCGAGGATCGTCAACTGCGGAGACTCCCCCCCCCAAGTCCAATGACAACAACTGGTTCCACCAGGCAACAGACGATCGAGGGTCTCTCTTTGGGTATCTCTGGTCCGAATGGGTGAGCGGTCGAGACTATCGAATTGTGCCGATTCTCCAAACTCTGCAACCACCAGCTCGCAAGGGCCTCCTGTCCATGTGAAATAATGCCCGCCGCAGGTGTCACCGTCGGCGGCACCTCCGGTCAGCCCACAGATTCTCCTTCCAATACGCCACAGCCGTCGAATACGTGTACCCCTGACGACAGCAGCGAGAATGATGAGGGGAGCTTGAAGCAGGGTACGGCGACCACGTTGCAACAAGATACAAGTGTGCGGCAACCCAAGGAAGCACCCCCGGAGCTCGATGATTTTGGCCTACCTATTCGACCACGCCTGACGCCCGAACGACTCGCTAGCGATTTGCTGGCACAAAAAACCCGTGCCGAACCTGAAGATACAGCTACCAGCCCCGAAGCCGAGCAGCAACCCAAGAAAGATGTGGTGATAACCAGAGAACCACTCCAGGATTCGGAAAAGCCAGAGAGGAAGGAAACTGGGAATATAGACAAGGCGCCAGAACAAATACCGCAGCCGGTTATGAAGCTGCAATTGCAAGATTCTCAACCCGAGCCTGCGTCCACTGACCCCTCTGAGCCCACCGATCCTCCGCCTCCTTATAAAAAATCCACCACAAGATCGCAAAATGCCGAAATCTCGGAATGGTCACACATGCGATTGGCTCAAGCTCATGACACACACAACGAGAGTGAAGAGGAGGAAGATCATGGAGATTGGAAGGCAATGCCTGCTCTCGGGGAATTCGACTATTACGACGACTATGGACGGCTGATTGCCAAAGGCGGCCAGGCAGAAGACAATGAGGCCGTATACCAGGGACTAGGCGGCGCAGGGCGAGGCTATACCCGAGTTCAGCTTGACGAAGATGCTCAATCTGCCACCAGTATGGATGAAGACACGAGCTATCTTTTTCGAGAGACGGGCGATAACCAGGCTGGCCTAGAAGGCGAGGAACTTCGTGATTCCGTTAGCCAGCTCCAAGCCACAAAGGACTTTCTCAACGAGACGCAAAAGATTGCCTACGTGGGCGTGGTCCGCCTTGCGATCCACGAGATGAACCAAGAGGTGGTTAAAATTCCTATGACCAAGTCCAAGTCCACGAAGAAAACTGTCCATAAAGCTGTGGACGGCATGCGAAAATGGGGTCAGGCCATGATGGGCCGCTTATATATGCATATGGATATCAGTACCGCTGAGCAAATCATGATCGAACAACTTGCCGAACATGGCGTGCAGCCTGGTGATCTCATCCGTCCTTTGATGCAAAACGCTCGCGTCAAGAATCCGATGGCGGAGGAGGAATCGAAGGCATCCACGTCTGCTGTCTCGTCCCCGACACCAAAAAATGAAGCTCGGTCGAGGTTTTCTACCGAGACAAATGTATCTGAACCCGGATCGCCTCCTCCATACGAGGTCCACAAAGGCGAAGAACTCCCAGAGGTCCGAACGCCGTCTCAAATGCCTACTTCTGACCGAATCGATATTGATCTTCGATGGACCGTTCTGTGTGATTTGTTTCTTGTGCTTATTGCCGACTCGGCTTACGATGCTCGGTCAAGAGTACTTCTGGAACGGGTCGGAGCAGCCATGGATGTAACTTGGCTTCAGATCTCCCGATTTGAGAAGCGCGTTACCGATGCCCTTGAAATGCAAGAGCAGACGGAGAAGGAGACCTGGGATGAGTCCGATCACATGGAGAAGCGCCGGAAGATGGCCCTCAAACGCAGATATATGGTTATGGGGCTGGCAACTGTCGGTGGTGGACTTGTCATCGGTCTATCTGCGGGTCTCTTAGCCCCTGTCATTGGCGCTGGTCTCGCAGCCGGATTGACGACCGTGGGAATATCTGGAACGAGCGCGTTCCTGGGAGGTGCTGGTGGCACGGCCATGATCGCCTCCACTGCTTCATTGAGCGGAAGTGTCATTGGTATGAGGGCCTCGAAGCGACGAACAGGCGCAATTCAAACATTCGAGTACCGTCCTTTACACAATAATAAGAAGCTGAACCTTATCGTCACGGTATCCGGCTGGATGACTGGTAAGGTTGACGATGTTCGACTTCCGTACAGTACGGTGGATCCAATCATGGGTGATATCTACTCTGTTCTGTGGGAGCCTGAAATGCTTCGCAGCATGGGTGACACGATTAACATTCTTGCAACAGAAGTGAGTCTGCCATAATTTGAATAAGTAACCGAAGATTGACTATTTTCTTCAGGCATTAACTCAGGGTCTGCAACAAGTGCTTGGCAGTACCATTTTGATGGCTTTAATGGCCTCTCTCCAGCTACCTTTGGTCCTTACTAAACTCGCCTATTTGATTGACAACCCGTGGAACGTATCTCTCGCCCGCGCCCATGCTGCGGGTCTAATTTTGGCCGATTCTTTGATCGATCGAAATCTCGGGCACCGCCCTGTAACATTGCTTGGCTTCTCTCTCGGTGCACGGGTCATTTTCTCCTGCTTGAAGGAACTGGCTGAAAGGGGTGCCCATGGCCTGGTTCAGAATGTGTATCTGTTTGGATCACCTGTCGTGGCAAATAAGGATGACTACCTGAAGCTTCGCAGCGTGGTAGCTGGGCGATTCGTGAATGGGTACTCCAAGAACGATTGGATTCTTGGATATCTCTTTCGAGCAACCGGTGGTGGTATCATGCGGGTGTCTGGGTTGGCGCCAATTGAGGGCATTCCTGGCCTCGAGAATTACGACCTGACAAATTTGGTGAATGGCCACATGGACTACCGTGCTGCCATGCCTCGTATCCTGAAAGCGGTGGGCTGGGAAGTCCTTGAGGATGAGTTTGCTGAAATCGAAGATCCAGACCCAGATAACCATGCCGAGCGTCAGCGCGAGCTGATTCGTGAAATCGACGAAGCTCGCCGGGAGGCGGAGTTGAAGCCGGAGAAGAAGCGATTCGGTCTCTTCAAACGTGGCAGGATGGCCGAGAAGAAGTCGTGGGAGACGTACGACGTTGACAGAAGCAGCGCGTCGCGTGACTCTAATGACCCAGCAAGTGCTCCGGGCTCTGTACTGTTCGATATTGAAGCCATTCGAGCTGAGTTGGCATCGGAGGCGATCGAAGTGAAGCAGCTTGAATCAACTCTTCCTCCGATGAAGCTCGATTTGAATCCTCCAGCCAAGTCGACGCCTGCAACTCCAACCGAGAGGGATCCAATGGATTCGAAAGACCCGAAGGACTCAAAAGCTACCGAGTCCTCCTCTGTGGCTCGAACTGCATCGGAGCCTCGGCTCAAAACGGGCCAGATGTCCCCTTTTGAAACCAAGGAATCGAACGCTTCACCGAAAGAGGATCCGGTTGAAATGACTTTCGATACCTCCTTCCATGAACCAGAACCTCGGTCTCACCAACCTGTCCGACCAGAATTGCGGTCTTCTTCTACGATGCCTCCGAACATTGGCTCTACTGTTGGAGCCATGGCTCTGGAGCCTAATGCCTGGGCCGATGATGAGCACGGAGAGATTTCCATGACGTTTGAATAATGACCGGATTTGCTCTGGTGCCTCTTACCGTTCTTTGCTTAACGTTAGAAAGCACTGCTGTGGACAGGTTGAAAGTCACATAGTATATAATTGTCGAATGTATAGAAAGACATCAAATAAAAATATCAAATATGAAATACGGCATCAAATAATTCAAGTGAAGTCAAGTGTGGGGCCCTCAACAGCCTCGCGTCACGCGTTTCCCCTCACGCCTTGTCTCTGTCCGTCCATTTGGCAATCCCACGCAATCGCGATCGCTTCGGGGTTGTTTCGTTCTCGGCGATCTCACTCTCGACTGTACCACATTGCGGCATTGTTCTTTTCCCGGCGCGACGTGGATTTCGCGTTGGCCACGACTCTCACCTTCGTGAACATCCCGAACCTCTCGACACCACATTATAATGAGAGCTCAGCCGAAGCGCGATTCGAGCTTTGCGTCGAACCGTATAACCCGAGAAGATCTGCCGAACGGGAAGCACCTGCTCTCTACGTTCAATAAGTCGCGGACCGCGAAGCGCTGCTCAACCTGCGACAGGATTCAAGTCCAGGCCTGAGCAGCCTGATGCAGATGATGAGCTCCAGAGCGATTCCGATGATGTTCTCAGCACAATGAGCTCCAACGCAATTGATGAACTTGACGTGACATCGGAAACTGCGTCGAAGGGACAGTCAAGTGCGCATGAGACGGATGTCGAGATCCCTTCCATCGAGAATGACTTTAATTTCGACGATGACGACTTCATGGACGTTCAACCGAGGTCCCATTCGAAGGGCATATTAGATGAGCCTGGGACGGATGATGAACCGGTGAGCTCTAGCGAGTCCGAGTCAGATGACGATGCGGCAACCAAAACAAAGAAGACATTGCAGGAAAAGCTCGACGCGGAGAAGCTCAAGGACAGCGTCAATAAAGCTCCTAGAAGGACATATAGCGAAAGGAAGAGTGAAGATGAGTCTGAGAATGGGATATTCTCTTCTTGGAGGGAAAATTCGAAGCGTACGAAGAGGACCCATGGCTATTCAAGAACGAAATCGGGCTCATCGTTTCCCGGTTCCAGCGCACGCTCTGCCGCTGCTACGCCGGACAAACGCTCACAGCAAGTCAAAAAGAAAAAGGGCGATAGCCCAGAGAAGCCAACATTTCCAGCATTCAGAATGCCCACGCAAATCGACATTACTAGGCCTTCAAATACCCCCAGTGGAGAAACCAAGGATTCAGGCGATGTCGCTATCCCACATGCCTCTAATTCGGTTTCCTCGCTGGGTACAGTATGCGCAATTGAAACTCAGCCCATGTTATTAGATGATACGTCCGATTCGCCCCTCAGCTCCGCGCCTAGCTCTCTAGACTCTCCAGGGCCTCGTCCGTCACTTTGCCCGATGTGCAAGAAAGCAGTCGATCGAGAGCTGCTCATGCGATTTGAGACACAGCCAAAGCAGCGCATTCGCGAACAACAGCAATTCTGTGCCTCGCATCAGCAAAACAGCGCCGAGAAAGAATGGGAGGCTTCGGGTTACCCAGAAATTGACTGGGATACATTCGACGAGCGCGTGCAGAATAAATTCACGGATCTGGAGAAGCTCTTGGTTCCAGACTGCACGTCTTATTACCGCAACATTTTAGACACAACGTTGAAATCCGGACAAGCCAAGAATTTCCGCCTCACACTCACTGGCGAGGGAATTGAGACGATCTCTTGTGGGTACTATGGGACCAAAGGAGCTGCAAGGATGTAGGCATCTCTCGATCTTGATTCATTGCTATACCAAAACTAAGTTGATTCACAGGTTACAAGCGATTGTGGATCGCTTCTCTTTGAAACTGCGTCGACTAGCTGTATCTGACCACATTGTCAAGGCAGCTGGCGTAGCAGGCTACGCGCAATCGGTCCTTGTACCCGAGCTCGCGGTCCGTCTGGTGATGGAAGATATGGCTGTGGGTGATGAGGATGCGCGTGAAATCCTGCGGGAGAGCATTCAAATTGGTCAGAAGCTTAATCCTGCTGCAGATGATGTTGTGCCGGTTCCTGTTGATTCCGAGAACGAACCTTAGGCCGACTGACTCCATCTTTCCGATAAATGTTCACTGCCTCGGCCCGTTCTTCGAAAGGCTGGTCTTTTGTGTTTTTTCCATCGGTCTTAGCCATTGTATATGATACCATGATACCTTTTGTTTTATAGTAACCTATCTATGATCTGACATGTTCTGGTCCCATGAAGCAGTGTGCAATCAAATGTTACTTCACTCATCAAAATGTTCTTTGACGGCTAGCTGTAAGTCAGGTACCTTTGGACGCCATCACGACTAATAAAGTGGCACCTAGATTCGACACCACAACACCCACTAACGCAGCAAGGTAGTTGACGAGTTTGGTTTTATGATACGGCTAGTTCTATCAGTGATAAAGCGATAAAGCAATAAAGCGGATCTGTCCCGGTGTCTAGATACTCGAAAGGGAAGGTGACGTTGGACCCCACCGCTAATCGGTTAGTCATCTGATAACGCGATAAAGTGCGGAGACATTGGAAAAACAACACTTCTCGTCCCTCTTTCATTCAGCAAAGATGAGGGAAAAGAACATGCCATTCTCAGAGACCACCCCTTTGCTGGAGGTCCATGTCGCACCCCCACGGCATCGGTACCCTCACCATAACATCCGTCGAGCTTGTACATTCATCCTCAGCACCCTACTTGTAATTGTCGTCATACTTTTCCTGATCCCAACAGCCATCCTCCCCCGTGAACACGGCTCGATCTGGTCTTACCTACCATGGGCCAATCCATTCCCCCACAGTGCCTGGCCCCAGGCCTATGGCCTTCCATACGACCAGCTTCAGCAGGTCCTCCTTGAAACTCCGTCGGCTGCCAAGGCTCGTGAGTGGAGTGAGTACTATACCGCTGGTCCCCACCTGGCTGGCAAGAACTTGAGCCAGGCCCTGTGGACGATGGAGAAATGGAAGGAGTTTGGTGTCGAGGATACTACCATTGCTACGTATGATATCTATCTCAATTACCCCCTAGAGCACCGCCTGGCTCTCCTCAAGAAGTCTGGCGATAAGACCGAGGTTACCTTCGAGGCGACCCTGGAGGAAGATATTCTGGAAGAGGATCCTACTTCCGGTCTGTCGGACCGAATTCCTGTTTTCCACGGCTATTCAGCTACCGGTAATGTCACCGCTCAATACGTGTATGCCAACTTTGGCACCTTCAAGGATTATGAGGACCTGGTGAAGGCCGGCATCGATCTTGAGGGAAAGATTGCTATTGTCAAGTATGGCGGAATATTCCGTGGCTTGAAGGTTAAGCGCGCACAGGAGCTTGGTATGGTCGGTGTTCTCATCTACAGCGATCCCCAGGAGGACGGTGAGATCACCGAGGAGAACGGTTACAAGGCCTACCCTGATGGACCGGCCCGTAACCCCAGTGCCATCCAAAGAGGTAGCACGCAATTCTTGAGTATGCAGTTTCCTTTTCCAAGGCTACATCGCAGCCCAATCTAACCATGTAATCAGGTTTCCTCCCCGGCGACCCCACGACACCTGGATATCCATCCAAGCCTGGCTGCGAGCGGCAAGAACCAAACTCAATCCCGTCTATCCCTTCTCTGCCCATCTCTTATAAAGAAGTTCTGCCGTTCCTCAAGGCCCTCAATGGTCATGGGCCCAAAGCCTCGGATTTCAACAAATACTGGCAGGGTGGTCGTCTTGGCCACAAGGGCGTTGAGTACAACATCGGACCTTCACCGGAGGACGTAGTCATCAACCTTAACAACCAGCAAGAGTATGTGACCACCCCGCTGTGGAATGTCATCGGTATCGTCAAGGGACATATCCCCGACGAGGTTATTATTCTGGGCAATCACCGAGACGCCTGGATTGCCGGTGGTGCCGTTGATCCAAACAGTGGTTCTGCCGCCCTGAATGAAGTCATTCGTAGCTTCGGTGAAGCTATGAAGGCCGGGTGGAAGCCGCTGCGTACCATTGTGTTTGCCAGCTGGGATGGCGAAGAGTACGGTTTGCTCGGTTCGACTGAATGGGTAGAGGAGTACCTGCCTTGGCTCTCCAAGGCCAACGTTGCCTATCTCAACGTTGATGTCGCTGCTGCTGGCACCGAGTTCGGTCCTCGGGCTGCTCCTCTGCTCAACAAGGTCATCAGGGATGTGGCTGGCCTGGTGCAGTCTCCTAATCAGACTGTCCCTGGACAGACAGTCGGAGATGTTTGGGATGGTAAAATTGCTACCATGGGAAGTGGCAGTGATTTCACTGCTTTCCAGGACTTTGCCGGTGTTGCCAGTCTGGACTTCGGATTTGGTCGTGGAGAGAACGACCCAGTATACCACTATCACTCCAATTATGACAGCTTCGCCTGGATGGAGAAATACGGCGACCCAACCTGGTCTTATCACACTGCATGCACCAAGCTCTGGGCGCTTGCCGCCGCGCAACTCATTGAGACACCCGTGATCGCTTTCAGCGCTGCGGATTATGCTCGGGGTCTCGCAGATTACCTTGCGCGAGCGAAACCCGCCGCAGAGAACGTGCCCGGGGCACACTTCGACTTCCACGGTCTGGATCTTGCGATTGATAGATTTGGCGCAGCCGCGATCTTGTTCGACAAATACGCCGAAGACCTTGCGGCACAGCTAGGCGAGCACATCCCTTGGTATCTCTGGTGGAAGAAGGTCCGGCTTCTTTTCCAAATTCGTGTCGCGAACGATAAGTACAAGGGTATCGAACGAGCCTTCCTCTATGAGCCCGGCCTGGACGGACGGAACTGGTTCAAACACGTTGTGTTTGCACCGGGGATCTGGACAGGATACTCGGGTGCAACATACCCCGGACTGGTAGAGAGTCTTGAGGCTGAGGATGTGGAGAATGCCAAGGTATGTCCATCGAGTATGGTTCTGAGTTCGCACTTACTGATACCGCCCTTAGAAATGGGGTAAGATTATCGAAGAGCGGATTGATGCGGCCACCAAGTTACTGCAGTAGAGCTGGATCCTTGTCCCAGGGAGTTGCAGGAATATTAGTGGACGTTCAGATTGAAAAAAGGCGCGTGATGAGAATTGGATTGACCCAATCTGACTGCATTCGGCAAAGGCGGCAGTAAAAGGCGTATCATAGTACCCAGAGTACCCTAGTACTAGCTCGGACGTAGCAGCGCAACAGCTCGGGCCCATAAAAGAGTGGAGTCGCCTCCACCGCAACACTCGGCTGTTTATTTTATCTTCATCTATTTTTCTTCTTTCTTTCGTTGTCGAGTATAGACGGTTCTCACGCCGAAATGATGCAGAAACCCAAGCTGCCTGTGAGGCAACTTTTAATATTGTGTACGTTGCGATGTCTCCCTCTCCGGACTTTTATACAGCCCGCGAACCTATGAAAATACTAATCGGATTACGCAGCGATATGCCGATTCGCAGAACCCCGTAGGTTGCCGCCTTATCCCTGTTAATCAGTATAGAGCTGGAGCCTCAGCTAAATTGTTAATCCGCCTAGTTGTGTTTACATCCATTTTGCCCTATCTTGTGAGTTCAAGTCTACGTTTTAGTTTAAGCTGGTCGCCCCCCAAAACCCACCCGATCTCGGCCATCACGCCGATCTCAACCCCCCCCCCCCCCCTTCACAGCTTGCATATCGAAAAAGCCAAAAACCTAACACTTTCCAGCCCGAGCTTATTGAACATGTGGGCGTCCCCAAGCCCGAAGTCGCCAAATGGGCTGGTATTGCCTCCGCGGTCGCATCCGTGAGTCAAGCCATCATGGCCGTGCCCTGGGGTACATTATCCGACCATATCGGGCGCAAGCCGATTATCATCTCCGGCCTGACTTGTACCATGCTCTTGTCGATAATGCTAGGCATGTCTCAGACGCTCGGCATGGTGCTTGCATCGCGGGCCTTGATCGGTCTAATGAACGGGAATGTCGGTATTATCCGAACCATGGTCGCAGAGATCGTCCCTGAGCGGGAACTGCAGCCTCGTGCGTTTAGTATCATGCCTATGGTCTGGACGATTGGGAGTATCTTTGGCCCCGCGTTTGGAGGTGCATTGGCACGACCAGCGGAAAAATATCCTGGGCTTTTCGGGGATTCGGTCTTTTTGAGACGGTTTCCTTTTGCGTTACCGAATTTATTGTCCGCGGTGTTCTTTATTGTTGGTATTACGACGGGCATTTTGTTCTTGCAGGAGACCTTGGAAACGAAAAAGGATCGATATGATCCCGGTCTTGCGCTGGGTCAGGCACTTACTAGCTCGTGCGTTTCGAGGAAGCGTCAGGTTGGATCTAAAGATCTGGATGAAGAACGGACGGTTTTACTTCCTCGCAAGCACCCGAGGACGAAAGCTGTTGAGAAGCCGGTTAGCTGGTCCCAGGTCTTTACTCCACAGTCAAATATTGTGCTGGTGTCTTACACTTTGATGTCGGGCCTCGGCATGGCGTTCGATTCGGTGTTTCCAGTCTTTTTGCATTATCCTGTGCAAGATATTCACAATAATCCTGATGTGAAGCTGCCCTTCAAGTTTGCAAGTGGATTCGGAATTGGTGAGTCCTCCTCTTTAGTCAACATTCAACACCAAACACTGTACTAATGCCCAATCAGATGCACAAACCATCGGCCTGTACTATACTGTGATCGGAATCGCAGGAATGCTAATTCAATTCCTCTGTTTTCCTCCATTGGCTCAGCGCTACGGTGTGCTGAACTGCTACAAGGCCGCAACGATCTCCTTGCCAATAATCTTCTTCCTGACTCCCTTCACAGCTCTTGTGCCCGAAGCATTTCGTCTTGCAGCCGTCCTACTGATCATGCTAGCCAAATTGGGAGCCGTTGTATTTGGGATTCCCAGCTGCACTATCCTCCTCACTAATTCTGCGGCGAGTATGACTGTGCTTGGGACGCTGAACGGCGTAGGAACCAGTGTAAGTGCTCTAGGCCGTGCCGCCGGACCAGCTCTGATTGGGGCTGCCTTTTCGTGGGGGGTCAAAAGAGGCTCCGTGGTGGTGCCGTGGTGGCTCTTGGGCACTTTGAGTCTCTTTGCTATTATCCCGTCATTTTGGATTGTGGAGCAAGACGGCCCCAATCGAGGGAAAACTGTCGAAGAAGAGGATACCGAGCAAGATCAGGATGGAAGCAGTCAGGGCTCAGGATATGGCGGTGTAGACATCTCTACGGGCGCCGGAAATATTGCAAAGTAATTGAGACCCGGGCATTGCAGGAGGTTGATGACGGCTGGGTCGATATGGGGTTGAGTTAGTCGATGACTGATTAAAATTGCATCAAGTACGAGTGACACGACAGCATTTGAGTTATATTAGAATTTAGCATCTTATAGCATATTTACTAGAATGATGAATGACATTGATCTGCGATTGCTGGTCAAAGACCGCCTTGGAAAACAAAGACTCTAGATCACCTCGATCAGGGCACACAACCATAAATCAGTGAAGGTTTAACCGTTGGTATCCCAGATATAAGGAATTGACGGCATGCGAGAGCACGAATAGTGTTATTTAGGTATTTTGTATAACAATCACATATAGCTTTAGTAAGGCTATCTCCAGGAAAAAAAAAACATGCTTCCTCGCTAATTCAGTTATCTTCCTGTAGCCATATTCTCGTGTGATCTCAGTAGCTTTATTATCAAGTTGTGTGTTGCGGATAGTGACTTAAAATCATAGATCTCTATACTTCAGGTCCGCTCTCAGATCTCCGCCGTAGCTCAAGGCAAAGCTTCACATCATATACCTCAATTCTGAACATCCCAGTGTCCATCTGCCTTCAACTCGATCCAGTTCAGTGTATCATTTATACCTCTCAATTCAGGAAAGTGAAAACAAGCTTCATCATACCAGACACCCCGACCTCCGGACTGTAGAACCCAAGGTCCACCCACCTCTTAGTAATCCCCGCCTTGACAGCTCTCAGCTTCATCATCACTTCACTTCAACCTCCAAGCATTCAACAAGCCATCAAAATGGTAAGCACGCCCTTAATTCCCCTTGACTCTCTCATTGATTTTACAGAAGAAATACTAACAACATATCAAGTCTAACCAAAACCCCCTCCCCACCAACTCCGCCCTCGCCCTCTCCATCCTTACCTCCCTCGGCGGTGCAATCGGCTACGCACGCACTGGCTCAATCCCCTCAATCGCCGCCGGTCTCTCTGTCGGTGCCTGTACCTTCTGTCCTTCTCGCGCCTGCGCTCCGGTGAGACATATGGCGAGGAAATCGGTCTTCTAGCCTCGGCTGTTCTTGGCGGAAGCTCCATTCCCCGTGTTATCAAGACTGGAGGAAAGCCTGTGCCGCTGGGACTTTCGGTCCTTGCGACTTATGGAATTGTCGTTTTTGGGCTTGCTTTCAAGGAGAAGAGGGCTTAAATGGAGGTGTTGAACACCAGGCTTGGCGGTCCCGGGTATACTAGATGCTTTATGGCATGATGTTTGGGTAGGGGAATCTAGGAGACGGGACTGGGCCTGGGCAGCTATGTCCTCTTTGCTGTGTTTCTAGCGAGGATATTTCGGTTGAATTGAGTCTCCGTCCTTGGAATTTTGCTTTATCATCTGTTGTCCGTAGTCCGGGGTTTCAAATCGTGCGATATGGTGTAACTTGCAGTTGACTACTGTTGTATCCGAGAAATTAGGGTATAGCACGAAAAATGCAAACTACAATTAACTTTACAACCAAGTTGCGATCAAATTGCGACCAAAATTGGGCATCATGATATATTCCCTACCTCGAAAACGCTCATGATAAACTTACATTGGAGTTGATGGTGTCGTCAAATCTGAACCAAGGAATTCCCTCACATCCAGACCGTAAAACGTGGAAAAACAACAAAAATCAAAAAAAGGGCAGAAAGAGAGTGACACGTACGGTGCTATCCTTCAGCGCCACCCGCGAATCCCGATTAGTGAAAGGGAGAAAACTATCGACCCAGACTCACCGAGACTCGTCGAAATCCATTTCTCTGTTCAAGATCATTCGGAGGGCTTGTCTTTCGCCGGAACTACTGATTGATATCAGGGCAGGTACAAAGCCAGCCAGCCAGCCAGATAGAATGCTCAAATGTTGCCAGAGTATGTGTCGAACTTAGCTGAGGTCTGTGGTCCGTCACTTAGACACCCATTGAGTCTGTTTCATGATCGCGGAGAAGGGAAGACCGGGCGTAGTGTCGTTTGTCTTCTGCTAGTGCGCCGGATCGAGCACCGTATCCGAATCGCGGACCCTTCCCGCTACCGTGGCGTCAGGGCCGTTGTCGAGCACTGTTTCCTGTGGGAATTTTTGGCGGTCGAAGGCGTACCGTGGGAGTTGAGACATTTTCTCTTCGGGACTGATTGTGTCGTGGAGGTATACCATTCTCGTGGCCTTGGATTTATCCTTCTTGGTCGGCTTCTCTGTCGCATCCTTCGCCGCGTTCGCCGCATCCGAGATTAGATCATTGACCAACGAGGAGACCTCTCCAGCAGTGTCTCCATTTGCGTGGCCAGTTGCCGGTGGCACAGTGTGGCCCATGTGCATCTGCTGCATCTGTTGCGCATTGACTGCAGGTGCACCAAAGGCTGGGCGTTGTGGGAGGCCAGAGGGAGTAGGGATACTACCGGGTCGTGAGGGTGGGGTTGAATCAGCGGATATAGGGTGCTGGGGGAAAGGAGGAGCTCCATAGACGGGAGCAGGAGGGTATGCAGGCATCTGAGGAGGGTATCCGGCGGGAGGATAAGGCGCAGCAATACCGGGAACCTGCCCGCTAGCGGGCGAGAACGTCGGGTAAACCGGGCTAGCAATACTTTGGTATGAAGTGGCGGGTGCGCCTCCATACGGTGGGGGGGTAAGAATATGGTTGCGCAGCCACAGAAGGTGCAGGAACAGCCGCAGGTGCAACGGGAGATTGTCCCTAGTCCAGACACGTCAGTTCTAGGGTTCAGACCTGCACAAGACATGAAAGATGGCGACAACTTACATATGCATCCTCGGTCTTAGTGGCCTGTGGAGCAGGCGGTCCAGAGCTTGCAGGGGTCGCTGATCCGCTACTGCCACCAGCAGCGCCCTCTGCCTTCTTTGCTCGATGTTCCGCCAATCGCCTCTTCATTTCCGACATGTCCTCCAGCTTTGGCTTTTTCGCCGGTTGTCCACCTCCGCTGCCTGAAGGTGGGTTACCGGTAGCTGCCTGGCGCTCGGCCTCAGCCTGGGCAAATTGCGCGGCAACGCGCTGCTGATGAGCGTGCAGCACATCGTCAGGAACTCCCTCCATACCGAAGATCTCCACATCAAGACCTGCCCGATTCGGCAGTGCATTCTCAATCTCAATGAGCTGCTCCTTGTGGACTTGGCTCATGTGAACTGACAATCCTAAGAGGCGCGCAATCGATTAGGTTCTGCTTTCCCGAAACAGTTGTCATCAGCATGCGCAGGATATGCTTACCTCCAGCGGTATTAAGTCGGCGACCACACTTGTCGCATTTAAAATGCTTCGCTTTTTGATGCAGTGTGAGAATCTTCAAGTCATCGAAATCGCGCTCGCAGTAATAGCACCATGGACGAGCCAGGAGCTCGTCCAGGGAAGGGCCACGTCTCTTTTTACCCATTGTGAATTTGTATAAAATCTGAAAGACAGCTGAGTAGAAAGGTCTGAAGACAAATTGGAGGAATGGCGAATGCAGAGACGTAGGAAAGATAGGTGAAAGCTACGATGTGACGCAGATTACCTCAAGACGAGAGCGGTGACGGACAAGGCTAAGCACGTGACTCATGATTCACGTGACCTCGTGGTTAGCGCCTCATGCACCGCCTATGTTTGTCCTCAAAGTAAACTAAAGTCAATTTCAATTGCGCTGGTTTTTCAGTAGGCAAGGAGGACAAACTTAGTAGATTATCGCTTTGCAACTCAGTCGGGCTGCTAAGCATGCGTCATGTAATCCTCCGATGAATGGCAAGTCATGAGTTCGACGGCTATACTTCTCCTTGCGAGCCGTGCTATCAAGGACAGATAAATCGACTCGGACTCTGAGATAGAGCCGTTTCGAAGGTACAGAGGAAACAGAACCAGAACATGGAGAAAGCGGTCGTCTAGTGTATACAGCTAGGTATCTATGACTCAGTACGTGCTATTGTAATCCAACCTACAAAGCTCGCAAATAATCCCGCAAACAAAAATCTTCGAGACGAAGTTTGGAATAGTAAATGTAACTCAGAGATTAATGAGAATTTACAACCCTGTATCGCCTTAGTAAACAGGAAGGTCTCATACTATATAGAAACCAGGCCAGTAGGGATTTTGTACATTGTCGTCCGCAGAACCTGATGGTGTAGATGAGTAACCGGGTTACCGCGCTCTGTTCAAGCGGAAACAAAACAAGGGACCATAGTAGCGCGTTCTCAGGTGGTAATGAAAATAATTGTCATGTAGTGAACTGTGAAGCATCATCTATGAGTCCTCTTGAGTCATGTCCTCTCACTGTGTCTCAGCCTCGATCTTTTTTCTTTTACCTGGACTCCCTACAGGTATGCAACGAGATACAAACGATGCTGAGTTTATCCAAGTGAATTTTGCAAGAGATGTGAACAATTCGAATAGCGAAAAAGCTTTATTGCGGAATAATTTGTGTTTGCAAAGATCGACCAACAAGCCAAGTGGCAAAGTAAGGACGCTGCGTGTAATGTTATCGTACAGATTTAGAAGTAGAATACAAGGCGCTGTAGTTATCAAACTGATTTGTGAAGACCATTTTCATCGGGAATGATCTTTGTTTTTGGATCACACTCATCGGGGATGATGGTGGTCAGGATTGGGGGGGAGGAGGTAGGCCGCCCATGGGTGGGTAGGTTACATAAGGGAATGGAGCGTATTGAGCAGCAGGCGGCATAGGCTGGCCAAGGTGAGCATGGGGAGGAAGAGGGGGTGCGTTGTAGGGATTTGAGGCGTAGTGTGCCATGCCAATGGGCGGTAGAGTAGGACCAGGGCCCATGTGGGGAGGTTGACCGGCCATGGGGGCCATGGGAGGCATAGTGTTGGGGGCCTTGGGTGCGAGATTTCCCGTGGGGATAGGAGCAAGGGAAGGAGAGCGGCGGCGGCGACCAGGAGGCCGAGAGACTTCCTTGACTTTCCGGACATCTTCATGCACGCGATCCTGCTCAATTTGGGCCTTGGATCGCTTGGGGTTTCGGATACGTCCTTCGCGGTTGAAGCGCTCCCAGTGGTCGAGCATGGCCTTCGTTCGCTTGGGATTCTTGGAATTCATGATCTTTAAGCGGCGAGCTTCTTCAATCTCCTCTTGGGTAGCATCACGCCTCAGAGAAGTTGTGGCCTTGGACGAAGAGTTTGGTTCCGGAGCTGGAGAATCAGCAGGCATTGATGCAGTCTCCTCGGTCGAGCGTGAGACAATGGGAGTAGCGGCAACCACGGTGCTTGCACCGCGTCGGCCTCGGCCTCGACCAGAGGTAGGAGTGTAGACGACAGGTTGATTTGAATCCAAAGAAGCCCGAGTCAAGGGAGGGCGGCCAACGCCTCGGCCACGGCCACGACCACGGCCTCGTCCGCGGCCGCGAGGTGTACTGACAGGGGGATCGACTGGCTGGTATGCCTCAAAGGTAGCACGTCGACCACCACGGCCTCTGGTACGACGCTTCGCGGAATGGATCTCCTCCTCTTCGGTCTCTTCTGCCGAGTCATTTTGAGTCTCAGTGTCAGTCTTTGATGTATCGACTTCTACGGCCTTGCGCTTGCGAGTATGCTTTGGTGGCAGTGGCTCCTTCCGAATCTCGTACAGCTTAGGTATGAACTCAGTGCCATCTCTAATGACAGGAACCCAACCGTCGGGGTTTCGATCGCCGGGTGCGACTTTGGCAGCCATCTTCCTTCCCTGTGCTGTAGTTGGAACAAAGCCGCCCTGAGTAAACGGATTTTGCGGGTTCCAGACGACAGCAGTGCTGACATTCTGATTGTGGAAGATATGCTTGTACCCATACAATTGCGCTTCTTTCCTATCCTCGTGGTCACGAGGGTCCTCTGGTACTCGGGCGAGTGGGTGACTGGTCTTTTTCTTGTTACCCATGTTCAAGTCTCGCTTGGCATCCGCTGGAAGTGCGCTCCGATGATGGCGATGAGCCTGGAGGTAGAGCTGGTCGAGAGCGAGATATTCATCTTGCCAAACTTTCATTGCGAACGCCACAGCCTCGGTGGCAGCGTACAGTTCTTCAGGTGATAAATTCTCAGGCTTGCGAAGCACTTCCAACAAATCATCCATTGAGTTCAGATCAAGGAACTGACCGTTTTCAGTCTTGGTCTTTTTGTACGGATCAGGTCGGACCAAAGGCTCAGATGCATCGCGTTTCTTTGGCTTTGCATCGTGAAAGACGTGTTGCCATGTGTTGTCCACTCTGGCCAGGTCATGTTCGTAAGTGGGACAAAAGTTGCTGACATCGTTGACTGTCCAGATTTTGGAAAGACGATCGTTCATCTGCGGGCCTTGCCACTCAGCCACGCGTCGTTTGTAATCCTCTGCAAAGGTACTTCGAGGATTTGAGAGCCACTCAATGAGGTCACGTTTTCCAGACGTGTCTTGGGCGGTTTTAATGGGAATGAAAGAAATTTTGCCGGTTTCATGCTCTGCGTCGCTGTGCTCGCCATTCATAGATGGAGCAGCAGTCACAGGCTCTTCTTCGCCATGCACGCCTTTGGACTGAGTGATACCATTCACGATTTCATCGCCGTTGATGTCGAGTTGTTCATGTTCTTCACCGTCAACCTCGGCCTCGGCTTCGGCCTCTTCACCTTCAACATCGTCTTCGCCATCTTCGACATCAACATCTTCACCTTCTTCGAGTTCATCAGCATCTTCATCGACCTCATCTTCCTCATAACCGTATTGGTCATGTGAAGGATGTTCTTCAGCCACATGGGCATTGAGTATCTCTTCTTCAGAGATGGAACCATCTTGCGGATACTCTAAAAGTTTGCCACACCAGTCGCATTTTAAGTTGCGCGCAAATGGTTCGGGTGACTGAGAAATTTGGGTGGAAGTTGACTGTGGCCGGAAAGGCTCGGAGAACTGTCGGCGCAGCGGCGAATCCTGACTGTCGCCCACATCAGAGGACGGATTGTCCATATCTAGATCAGGCCTTGTGAGGTGGGCCATGATAAGATATTAAAAGATGCCCGCTAGAGCTGGCAACAAGAAATAGAGAATTAAAAAAGGACAAAAGGAAAGACCTGACTAGTCAGATCGGGAGAAGTGAGGCGAAGAGGTTCTGTATAGTTTGTTAGCTTCGGGCGGTTCGCTTGCGGTGCCAAGACCGCGCGAAGTAATCGCAGTGCAGGTTTGACGCCCGGAGGCAAGGAAACAACAAGGGAAGTAAGAGGGGGGAAACGCGGATAGATAGAAGTGCAAAGGTGCATCCTCCATTCATGCAGGAATGAAATATGGTTTGAACTTGCTGTTTAGGGTACAGACGGGGGAAAGCAGAGATGCAGACACGGTCGCGGCAAATTGTGTGGATCAGGATGCGACCCGAAGTGTAGGTCATAGTACAGGGAAATTTCAAAATCGCGCACTTACCATGAGATGGGATGTCTGAGAACTTCCGTGTTCGAGATCGAGGTCCAGTTGAGACCCGATCGCGCCAATTACGGAGACTGGAACCGCCAGGTCGCGAGCGGCTGCCAGGGATGTGTAGAGGCTGGGACCGATGGCGAAGCTTTCTCGCCCGCGGCAACAACTCCCGAAGAGAGTAGAGATGAAAGAGAAAATGAAAGAGGGAGAAGAGATGAGTCAAGGGCCATCTGCTGAAAGGCAACAATGCTGGGGATTGGTACACGCAGCGTGGTCGCGAGTCCGGAGTATGTAGAAAAAAAAAAAGAATCTTACAGCAGGAGAGCGGGAAAGGGGAGAATGAAAAATTGAACCAGGGCGATGGATGAAACCACAACCGAGGAATCAAGATCAGTTGGTAAACGGAAGAAATGAAGCCAGGCGAAGGCTCAGGATGATGGGAAAGCAGCTGAGCGCGACAGAAAAGAGATTGAGATTGAGAGGGAGTAGTTTAGTTTGTGAACTTAGTGACCATTACAGCTGCGACCCACTTAATGTGGCCCACCGCGCCAATCATCGTGCGTGAATCTACTAGCCACTTTCGTGGCCCCGGATACGTAGGGGAGAGATGTCCTGCTTTCCTGTCGAGAAAGACCTAGGTCCTAGGTCCTGTCCCTGTTCCTGTTGCGTCGTTCAGGTCGCCTCGCCCTTCTGTGATACACTAATATGCTAACACCATTTCAACACATCTGCCTCGGCTCTTTCTTCTCCCCCCCTCTCCCTTTAATATTCCCCAATCTGACTATCTGACCTTTTGCCCACCTGCTGATCATAGGCCTCGCCGCATGATGTCTAGGACTTCAGTGTCACACATGATAATTCTTTCTAAATCATCCGGTCAGCATTGGTGATATATTTGATAGACCTAGAAATTCAGAGTCGCGCCCTGAAGGCGACTGGGTATCCCTCACGCCCGCCATGGACCACGCAGGCTATAACCCACTCTCAATACAAAACGAGAACAATACTTCGGCGACATCTCGATTTCAGTCAATTAGATACCATTATACCGTGGAATCCAACCTGACAATATAGATCGTTTCCCTTCCGAGCTCCTTTGTTCGCCCCTTAGTTCCGATCGTCGCATGTCGCAAGCCGCGAAGCACAGACCTCACAGATTTGCTTCACATTTTTCCGACTTTTCGCGACCTCATAGATCGCGCTTTGAAGCTTTGTCTGGTCGAAAAATGAGCAACATCACTGATGATGATTCCATGTCCATCCAAGTCCGCAGGTTTCCTTGATAGCTTTTCAGTTTTGTGCATCTACGAATGTCTGATGCTTGACTGATCACACAAGGGATGTCTATAGAACCGTTATCGCCTACACATTGCTGAGAGATCTACAAGTGTGCATTATCAATACTGCATTTTGAATATATCGAAATTAATCAATGTTCTTCCTGATCATCCGCGTACCTTGGTGGCGTAAGATGAGGTTGCCACATGCTGTACGTGCGAAGAACGTTATGATACTTGAAAATGGGACTACTAAGCATTCTAGTGACAGTGTAGCAATCAATCGTTCTTCTCCCCGACATCGAGCGCTACCAAAAACCTACTCACACAGTTGTATGCAGCCACAGTGGCCGTGATCTCAACAACCTCCTTCTCGTTGAAGCACCCCTTCAATGCCTGGAACACCTCATCTGGAACATTCACAGTCTTTGTCATTGCATCAGTATACTTCAACACCGCCCTTTGTTCCCGAGTCAGCACCTTCTCTGCAATTGTATCGGAGAAATCCGTCCGCGCATCCCCAACTACCTGGAGAGCCTCCTCGCTCAATCCGCCTTCCTGAAGCAATGGCGCATGCTGCTCCCACTCGAACAATGCGCCATTGACCACTGCAACACGACAGATGGCAAGCTCCCGAACCACAGTCGACAGGCTGGTGCGAGTGCGAATGGCTCCGATAAATAAGTTCCATCCGTCCGCGACGGGGAAAGAGTGTAGAAGCGCTAGGTCGAGAGGCAGGAGGGGCTTGGGAGCTCGTCGCGCCTGTACACTAGCCAGAATCTTCGCTTCATCCTCTGTGGTTGTTGGTGGGGGGTCTGGCACGTAAGGGAGCCGCATAGTAGCGATTCTATCTTCGGTCTTTTATGCGTGTAGATCTGGGACGGAAGGTTAGCGTAGGGTCACTCGATGGAAGTGGTTTCGATGGCATGTACTCGCCTCGGTATGGATATCTGAAGACGACAGACCAGCTACCGTGACAGAAATACTTTCTTTCCAATTCCAATTCCAGGGCTGTGTTTGGGGGTAACAGGTAGGGTGAGCCTATTTATGCCTTTATCGTTAACCCCGCGTGGTCCCGCAGACGGAACGGGCCCGATAATTAAGCCGCGGGAGTCGGATCTTCCGCTTCCTTCAAGGCAGGGCCGAGTCGGTTACACTTGTGGTCTGGCAGAAGCTATCTAGACTGTATGCGAGGGCCTCTGGTTACATTTCCGAAGTTTGATGTTGTACTAGCATCATTGCAGGAACATATATCTTATAGAAACAAATGACCAAGGAAGATGTGAGCAGCCACATACATGCACCTTCACTTATAAAGATTCCACGTTGTTAAATTTAGCATACATATGAAAAGTCCTTGATAGCAACAGGGACACATAGGTATAGACACCATTCTGAAGCCCCTTAATGCAACTGCGCCTTCGTAGTCGTGAGTAGAGTTAGAGAACGCAGACTGCGGGTCTTGGCAGGTCTCCACAGCCGCTTCGGGAGCTACAAACAACGAAGCCAGTGTCGTCACCTCTCCTAAACTCCCCTATTGATCTAAAGCGAACATGCCGCCCAAGGCAGCCAAACCCACGAGCGATGAGCTACTTGCTCAGTTCGACAATCTTGACGTCAAGCCGTCCGACAAGCCCAAGCCCGCAACCGCCCCCGACCATGCGAAGGCGGACGAGGAAGACCCCCTCGCCGAGCTCGGTCGTCTCAGCTACACAGCGACCCAGCAGTGGCCCCGGTACTCCGCGGCTGTCTTCTGACCGGGCGCGCCCATCAACGCGGTCTCCTCGACCCAGTGCGACGCTTGATCGACCAAATGAGGAGAAGACGTCCGCTCGTCAGTCGGGGGAGACAGGTCGCACTTCTCGCACGGGTGCTAAGCAGGAGCAGCCCAAGCCAGAGCCGGAGATCTCAGAGCAACAAGAGTCTCAGGGTGGTGGATGGTGGGGAGGATTATTTGCTACGGCTAGTGCAGCCATGAAGCAGGCTGAGGCCGCAGTCAAGGAAATCCAGAATAACGAGGAAGCTCAACGATGGGCTCAGCAAGTAAAGGGCAACGTTGGAGCCCTCAAAGACTTTGGTACGCTTCAACCTATCTCTAATCCATGGATAATCACGCTAATCAGTTTGGCGCAGGCGGCGAGCTTCGCAACATGGCGATTCCGACATTCACAAATCTCATCCACACTCTTGCCCCTCCCATTTCATCCCACGAACGTCTCCAAATCCATGTCACCCACGACCTCTCTGGTTATCCCGGTGTTGACCCGCTGGTGTATGCCGTTTTCTCGCGTGTGATGTCCCAAGTCGAGGGTGGTGACCTACTAGTGATTCAGCGGGGTCAGGAATCAGCCCCGAAGCGCGGACTCGATGTCGGCGGCTACATTTCCAGTGCGGGCTGGAGCGACGGCCCCTGGTGGAGGACAGTCACTCCCGGCACCCCGCGGACCGTTAATGCAGTGCGCGGTGCCGTTGAGGCGTCCAAATTGGCCCGTGCTAGTGCTGAGAGCTACGCGACAGAGTATTTTTCGGCGAAAGGTGGTATTGAAGAAGCGGCAAAGCTGGCGACCGAGGTGCTGAGCGAGTCCAACCCGGTCCGCAGCAGTGACATCTTCCTCGCGATTCAGGCCATCAGCCAGACCGTCCCGGCCGATATGTTCCAGGCCGGCGCATCAGGCGAGAAGGAATCCTCCGGCGCTGTTGAGCCTACGGAGCAAGATGAGGAGATCACATTCGCTCTGTACCTCCACGATCCTATCCACGGCATTGCCTTCCATACCATTTCCCAGGCAATTCCCCAGAAGTGGATTGAGTGGCTTGATGCATCTGCACCAGCTGTCGAGGATGCGGAGTTTGAAGAAGCACAGGTGCCTCGCACAACAGTTCCCGAGGCCATCGCCGAGATCATCGAGAGCGGCGGTGTGGACCCGCGCGAATGGGTTGCAGAGTGGATCGAAGAGACACTGTCGTTGGCGGCAGGAGTCGTCGCTCAGCGCTACGTCGCCCGCCGTATGGGCGTTGGCGAAGGTGGAGTTGGCAAGGGCAAGATGCGCGCTGAGCAGGCGACTACAGTTGAAAGCGGTGCTGGCGAGGCCGCGCGCGCGATTTGATACTCCAAAGCGGATTTGAGTTTATGAGATACACCCTTTCTTAAGCTTTATGGCCTTTTATTACCTTGTGCCTACCTCAGGCTGTTCAACGATAGTCATGCGTAAATGATGTCCCTGGTGTATGCAATTCACGTATATACAACAAAGAGCCTCGGACATTGCTCCTCAATTACCCCCTCCGAATGATCGTGATGCTCCTAATGCAAGATCGAAAAGCAGACGCCTGGAGAAACCCAAGATGACAGGAAAGAGAAATATCATATACTTTCATCATGTTCGGACATTTATTGGTCCAGATCCAAAGGTCCTTCGAGACCGGGGACATGCCAGAAGTTGGCGCGGAGAGCAGTGACACTGACTCAAGTTAGCAAGAAAAATCCAGTAGGTCGGCAAAAAGCTTACCTCGTTGCGCCGTTCAAAACAGTATGCGCATCTGTACCTTCCTCACTCTCCTGTAGTCTCTTCTTCATATCCGACAGATCGGCGGACCACTTGAAATAGCGCTCTTTACGCTTCGGTTGCTCCGCATGACCATTCACTCCATTAACCTGACCATTGCGATGCTCCTCCGAATCACCGTTAACATTGTTGACACCATTCGTCAACCCATTGACCATCTTGCTCTTAGCCTCCCCAGCCTCGGCATACAAACAGCCTCGAGACCAGTAATAAGGCAAAGTGCGCGTATATAGAATAGGCTGAGTCTCAACATCAATGCGCATAGGTACATTGATATTGTACAACTCTACCCTCTCATCCCAATTTCGCCACAGATGATCAACAGTCCTAACCGCAAGACGCGCCGCAGCCTCAATGATGTCCATCGGCTGCGGATCCTTGCTACCAAAAGAGATAGCAATACCGCGCTTTCCACAGAAAACAGCCTCTAGCGCACCACCCACAGTCCCGGACGACAAGTTATAGATAGTCGAAGCATTACGGCCATGATTGGGACCTGAAATCACCAGATCGAAAGGCGGCCGATCCGGAAAAAGGTTGTACAGACCTAGCTGGGCGCAGCTGGCGGGTGTCCCGTTTTCAATTACTACCCAGTCGTTCTCGGATGATTCATGGCTTTCTTCCCAAGTGCCGTCGTCGTTGAAGGAGTCCGGGTGGACGGAGTGCGCGGTCAATGCGGCTTCGATTATATGTGCTTTACCGATCCAAGAGCGCGAGGCGGCCGGGATGGCGACGCTGACTAGGTGGCCTGCGCGTTGGAGTTCGTCGACGAGAGGGCGCACATAGGGTGAGAGCCGTTTATTCGGCGGGCCGTCGTCATTGACTACCTATTTGAGGCGTTAATAATCATCCGTTTCTTGCAACGCTCTTATAGGTGAATCATTTGAATTCAATAATAATAAAGCAAATGACATTTCAAGACTATCCAGACTATGATAGGGAATGCGACAGCCGGGAAGGTTTTCTTTTTTCGAAGTCCCAAATGTTCCCGAGGAAAGCGCGAAGGGAACCAAAAAAAAAAAAGAAAAAAAGATGGCGCGTGAACTGACAATCTCGACTTACCAGAATATGCATCGCCACTGTTCTGCGCCAAGGGTGGCCTCGGGATATGCTTTCTTTCTTAGTTTTCTTTTAGTTTTCTTACTCCGGGGAGTACAGACCGCACTCTGGTCTGAATGTATATCTTGGACAAAATAAGTACAGAAATGAAAAGATAAAAAAGAAAAAGATCAGGTACCACAAACCCCCCACGTTGGGGTCCAGGGTTGAGTTATATGGGATAACGGAAACCGCGTAAGGGTTGAGCCATTAGCATGACCGACGAGCCGAATAGGGAATCCGGGCTCACGGTGAAGCTGTGAAGGCTGCGGGGAGCGGCAATGCAAGCCCCGGATGGAGTCTGCGGTGAACCGATCCGTCAGGAATCATTCTCGTGACAGCCGTCGAATTGCGGAGGGAAGTATGTTAGATCCTAATTCTTCCGTAGTATGGTCTAGACTTGATTATGAACTGCCGAGGTATAGTTTAACTGCTGGTCAACGTCTACTATAGATATCGTCCCTTGTCCCACAGTCTACTAGCCCCAAACTTTTTTTTCCTATATTTTTTGCATGCACGTACTTTTTGAGTGCTGAATAATGACGCCAAGATTCAAGCCTCAGAGTTCAGGCCACAATACAAAACCTGCAAGTGTGCTCGATGCTACGGACGACTCAGTACACTGTGGACTGCAATTTTTTTTTTCCCCTTTCAACTCGAGAACCGTGGGACGACTCAGGCCTTTTTTCTAAGGTTTATCAGGGGTCATTAGCTGATCGACTCGCGTAAGGTCATTCCACCTCGTGCGCTCGGTGATCTCTAATCCGGTGTCTGTACCCTGAACATCCTAATTGTGGCTTGTATGGTGGGTGTAGGGTGGCATTCTTGGACTTTTCGGACACCGTAGCCAGATAGCTAATCAATAACGCATTCGAAAATCAACTAGGCGTGCTCTATTGTCTGCCGTACTCGCGAAAGAAAAATAATTGCATAGTCCCAACGGCGGTCTGTGCGGACCCAAGACACGCTAGAGACGATCGCAGCAAAACTTTGGTGGTGGGGAATCCCGTCACAGTCATCTTCTTCCCTCGTCCATCATCCATCTACATCTCTCCCAACTCTCATCGGATTAACTTACGGTCGTAATTTGCGACCCGTCATTCTCGCTTCTCGCAAAGTCGCAAAAAGCTCCGCCTTTTTGCGATCTTTGCTCGGCTCGGTCGACTCCGCCAACTCCATTCCTGCATACCCTGTATGGACTGTGGAAGCGTGGGAACAGCTGCGGGTATCGACCCCAAAATTCTAGATAATTGGCAAACAGACGGCGCATTTTCCGTCGCGTCGTGGGAACACATCGCATACGAACAATCGCCTGAGTGGGACACGTCCCAGGATTCTAGCCAGTGTGCCGATGTCGCGGACCTGGGTGCTTTCCACGACCCTCTGACGGGCTCTTTGTTGGATCGCTCTGGTGATCGGCAGAACAGGTGCGCATCATCTCGCCCGGAGTCTAAGCCCAGATCGCTGACGGTTAGCTTTTCTAGGAAACGCGATGTAACTTCTGAGAATTTCAACTACGCCGACGGCGGCGTCGAGGGCACTTGTAGTGGTACTATCAGCCCTCGCACGATCCCGTCCTCCTCTGACGATAACTTCCATGGCGAAGAAGCATGGCCGCACTTCCAGCTGTACAACTCCGTCGCGGCCGGCTTGCCTCTGGAAGCCCCGATGCTCTACCCTTACGGCAAAGCGCCGGCCAACTCGACCGGCGCTGTTATCGTGGAGGACGCCGGTGAATTGTCACAAGGTCAAGGATATCCGGATGCTCCGGGCGAGGCTATCATGTTCCAGCAGGTCCAGCCATCATTCCCGATGATGGACCAGTGGCATGAATATCCGAATGGCCTTCCCGTGGAGAATATATCCGCGCATGGATCCGTTACGTTGGCCATGAATTCGCAGAATGACGCGAAGGATCCTTCTTTGCGCGAATATCAGCCTCTGGCACCTCCGGCACGTCCACTCGAGTCCCGTTGGCTCGATAACCTGGAGTCGCAATTACCTGCCTCGCAATTGCCATCTGCATCTGCCATCGCCGCTCAAGCGGCTCAGAAGAACGGTCAAAATGGACATGACGGCTCTCACCACTTCAAGTCCGAAAGTTCATCTGTCTCAGGCGACGTGTCTGGGATCTACGAGTGCTCGTACTCTTCGACCAATGAAGAAGTGTCAAACTTCGCTGAGCGCCAGCGTCATGATGATCCTCACTGGAAAATTTGTACGCCGGACGGTGGCTCTCCCACGGAGACACCCGGTCCCAAGACCACCGCCTTCATGGTCAGCGAGACCCCATCTGAGTCTCTTATTAGCACAATCCCATCTCAATCGAGAGATTCCTCGTCCGCTGGGCGTAATTCAGGCCGTCCTTTGGCTCTTGCGATGCAGTCTGTGGCTACCGTGCGAAAGCGCAAGAATCGTAGCGGCCAAGGCTCTATGAATAAGGGCCAACCCAAGCCTTTGCAGATTGTCCAAGAAGATGGACAGGGTGGTTCGATCGCGTCTGCAGACTTTGTCTCCCCTCCTCGCGGTGCTCGTCGCAAGGGTCCGCTGAGCATGGTTGGCAGAGCCAATGCTGGCATGCGCCGAAAGAATAAGGATACTTGTGTTCAATGTCGACTGAACAAGCGCAAGTGCGATGGAAGCTCGCCATGCGATGCTTGTCGCCCGACCCTTCACGAGCAACCGTGTGCTCGCGCTTGCTTTTCTAGCATTGTTGAATTCGGCACGTGCAACTACATATCTCAACGAGCTGCGAATCACCCAACCCTGGATGGCAGTGGCAGAGTTCGAATGGCCATACCATCTGAATTTGATCTTAATCAACTATTGTCGGTCCTCTCGGAGCGTCAAGGCCATTTCAATATCCGCGCCAGTCAAGCCTGGGGTTCTCTATATGTGCTCGACCTTGGAGAGACCTACAAGTTCCTGAAGAGCTTGAGCGAATACAATGGCAATAACAAGTCGACCTTCCTGGAATTCATTGACCGTCGGATAGTGGAATCCAAAGACAAGTCGAAGAACTGGTTGACTTGTGTCAAAGACTGCGATCCCATGAACCAAGCATACGTGAGTTACCATATCGTCCTCAACTCATACACAATGAGTTAACCCCCCCCCCTCTTTAGACCCTCCTATCCCAGTGGAACAATATGCCTAGTCGTGCACAGTACTCCATTGTGCCCCTCGACTCTAATGGCCAAGAACGTCCAATGGACGTCAACAACCCAGAAGACCGCCGTGACATCCTTCTCGCAGCGCAGCTCTCCCGCATTATCTGCCGCATGATGGAAGTCGAAGGCTTCCGCAAACTGGAGCGTGACTTCTACAACATCAAATGGAAGCAGATCTCCCACGAGACACACATCCGCTTCCTCAACGAACTAGGCCACATCCTCCTCTCCCTCCGCTGGCGCGTTTCATGGTGGAAGATGCTCGGCGACGGAGGCCACAACCCTGACCCTAGCCAACAGCACTATATTGACCGGGTCGAGCTCCTCTGCCGTATCCTCTACGTCTACTACACGTGTGTCCTCGCCAAACTGCCTTCATGGTCAACCAGCGATGTACCCAAGGGTACCTGGTCCTCCTACCCAGACTCAGACAACCCCGTCTGGGATGACTTCCCCTCGGACGCATCAGACGCAGGCTTCCAGACCTGGATGACGCACGGTAGGGGACCTCATCGAGCAAGCCGGTGTTCCAGGCCGCATCTCGAAGAGGTAGGAGTAATTGAATATGGCATGGACTGGGACAGGAGTTGGCACGATAGATACCCCTTTTTTTTTGGATCATCCCCCCCTTAATTATATTCTTTCTTTTATTGAGTTCTTTTTCAATGTTGTTTGCGCTGGACGATTACGACTCATACATTAGATATTTCCCCTTATACTTTCCACACTCACACTTACACCTGTTCATGATTGATGAATACCGCATTCCCTAGCGGTTTGTACATAGCCCCCCCATCATCCCCTGTTCATACATTTGCGCGTTCCAATTTCCTAGAGCTTAGAAATGCATATGAATTTAAAATTGACTTTGCCTGACCACAATTTTCCAACGGGGGTATCGAGTATCTTCATGAAAATCGTATCGCCAACGCGAACGCGATAGGGGGTTAATGAGCTACACGAAGTAGCCTAAGAAATCCTAAATTCCCCAGCCAAAGAAAAAAGACCCTCTTTTCCACGACCTAGTAACTGGACCTTTGCAAATTCCCCTCTCCTTCATTTCTTCTTTCCGCCCTTATCCTTCTTGCCACCAGCCAACAATTCCAAATGACCCGCCTTTTGCGCCAGACTGCGTTCCGTTCTCCCGACGAGACCGGATGTAAGTTTCTATAGAGTATGAGATACTGTTCAAAAGGAAAGTAGGGAAAAAGGGAAATCCTCGATGGAGCTGAGAACATGAACATACTTTAGTCAACTTGGCTTGTTTGATGAGGGCGGCCTTCTTCGGCGCGATCTGTTTGACACCGGGCCTTGTGCGAGCGTTGGTTCTGGATTCCCTGTTCGGTGCGTTAGTTTGGGGGTGTGTTCCGGGTCGAATCTGAGAGGGCGAAAGCGGGAAAGCACATACCGCTGGGCGGTGGCGGTGACCTTTTTGTTCTTCTTGAGGGCTCCTTGGGCCATTGTGGTGGTGATGATGACGATGATGATGTTTTGAGGAGTGGTGTGGATAAGGGAGGGTGTGAAGTACTGCCTGCAGCACAGATGAGTTTGCAGGTTGAGGAGGGATCGGGAAAAATCCTTATCGAGGTTTATCGGGGGTCACGTGGGATAAGAATGGGTGGGGCTTTGTTTTGGGGTTAACTTTTTGGTTCTTGGGCGGGTATAGTCTTTTCTTTCTGTAGAGGTCCAGTCTATGAGAAGTTTGAGAAGTTTCAAAATTGAAAATTCGAAAGAAAAAAATCAATTTTAATTTTGGATTTGTTATCGGTTTGTGGCATTCAGATTTGGTGGTGTTGATGAGATGGGGCGTACGAAGTTGAATCAAGGGCTTCGATCTAGGGTTACGCTTTTCAAATTGTTTCTGGTTCTGGATGGGGACATTGGAACTTGACTTCTGTATTGTTGTATTTAAACAAAGGTAAATATATGCTCAGCAAGGGCATATCTTTTCAAAGTATGATGCAAAGTCTCGAGGTCGGACTAAAGATTCAAGTCCATGTGGAATTGCTTTATTGAATTGCCATTCGTGTTACACTAGCTCGCTAGTTCAAGGTGAGCGTAACTTAAGGCGCTGCTTATCTGATACTATTCTTTCCTAGATGACCATCTGAGATCAGGAAATGAGTGTAGGGGGATAATTTGCGCCTTGATCTCGTGGAAGAACGCATGGAAGAAAATTAGAAGTGCAAAGGAATCTACGACACCAAACGCGACCGTCGCGTTCCCGTTTTGGAGAGGCCTCCCCTCAAATCAAATAAGCAAATAAGCAAATAAAGAAGTGAACTGAAGTGAAGTACTTGTTGGTGTTCCGACTGCCAGGATTGCCGCAGTGCTACATACAATCATTTGATCTGCCAGAAGATCGCATGGATCGCGGGTGTGGCGCGTGAGTGATTCCAGATGAATGAAGTTGTGGAAATGTTGACAACGACGCATTCAGGAATGTACAAGCCAACGACTCAAGTGCTCCACAGATCTACGAAAACGGGGAAAAACCTTGGGAACATTTAGGCATGGCATTACAAACATACATGACTGGCTTGGATTTCCTTGAACGTACACAGAAAGAAAACATTAACATATCCGCAACGCGCCAAGTCCAACTCAGACAAGAGAAAAAAAAGATCAAAGTAAGAACAGAATTTCCGTGTCAAAATATTGGTATCAAATTCCTTGTGAATCACTAGTGACTCAGATCGGAGGTTCATAGAGAAAGTAAGATGAAAAAGAGGTTGGCGGGGCTGAGTCCCCCCAGCCTCCCCGAGCTCATTAATGGCGACTCATTTAGAGGGCGAAGACGGCGAAGGCAGCGGCGACAACAGCGCCGAAGGAGATGGCGTTGCGGCCAGCACCGTTGAAGACGGGGGTGCTGGAGGGGGCAGCGGCGGTTCCAGTGGGGGCGGCACCGCTGGGGGCAGCAGAGCTGCGCATGGTGGAGCGGATGGGCACACGGGTGGAGTAAGGGGGAACGGGCACGCCGGTGACGGGGACAGTGGTAGCGGCAGCAGTGGTCTCAGTCTCCGGGCAGATGGTGGTGGTCGACTCGAAAGTGGCCCAGATGGTGGAGTAAGAGGAAGCAGCAGCAGACTCGGTGGTGGCAGCGGACACGGCAGCAGACTCGGTGGTGGCAGTGGACACGGCAGCAGTCTCGGTGGTGGCAGCGGACACGGCAGCAGTGGAGCTGGCCTCCTCGGGGCAGTAGGTGGTGGTAACATCGTCAATGACGGTCACGATGGTGTCCTTGGTGGAAGGAGCAGCGGTGGTCTCAGTCATGGCGCTGGTAGTGGTGGTGGTGGTGGTGGTGGTGGCAGCAGCGACGGAGCTGGAGCTGGAGCTGGAGGTATCGGCACCAGCAGAAATACCGAACTGAGTGAGACCACTGGTAGGCACCAGTGCCCTCAACAACGAGGAGAATTCCATAGCGGGTGGTGTCAACGTCGAGGTTGGCGGGAGGGGTCCAGGTGTAGGAACCGGTGTTGTCGATGTTCTCAACAATAGTCTCCAGCGGCACGACGTTGGAGCTGGGGCCGCGGAGGAGAACCAGGGAGACCTTGGACCCGAGGTCGTTATCCCAGGTGATGTCGAAGGGAACACCCTTGGGGACCTGCTCCTGCAGGGAAGGAGTGTAAATGGCGTTACCCTGAGGGGGCTTGTTGTAGTCGGGCTGGGTGTAGGCGGCAGCAAAGGCCATCAGGGCCGAGAAGACGGTAGCGGTAGAGAAACGCATGTTGACTGATTTTGACAAAGAGTGACTGGTGGTGAGATACAAAAAACCAGCAAGATGCTAGATGCTAGAGAGCAACGAGTGACTGGGGGGTGGGAAAAGGAACGAATGTGTTTGAAGAGAAAGGAAAGAAAAAAAGGGTCGCAGGAGAGAGGGGGGGGGGAATATGAAGTACATTTCTTTAGCCGCACTGGCCCTTGTCCCTGAGATGTCTAAGATGTCTATGGTGGAGATGCATTTCCAGAGCCCCATCCGGGCCCCCGTCAAGCATGTGCAGGACCACTCATTGCCTGCTCCTGCGAACATTACGGGTCTTAGCTTAAAGCCTACTTTTCCAAGCGAGCTCGGATTCGAGGCGCAGCAGGGTCATCACATTGGAAAACCGAATATCGAAAATAGAACATAGAACATCAATTCACACGCCACTGATCCTGCAGTTCGCCAGGTCTCAAAACGCCAACGCCGAGGAAAAAGGGGTGGAATCCGACGGTGCCATGTTCCTCGTGGGGCGGTAGCTCGTGGACGTACTAATCTACTAATCTACTAGTACCGTCATGGAAATAACAGGGTATCGCAAGGCTGTGTGCCTAATTCCCACCGAACTGAGACCTTGGGGGCCAAAGGAGAATGTTCGAAATGAACACATTTACCCAAGATTGACCCCAGGATCAAAAAAATGAGGAAAGGTCAGATCCTTCCACCCCCCCCCCCCCCCCTCCCCCCCTTAAAGCCCTCGGGGCTCAGAGCACGGGATAAAACTATCGATAAGGGAAGACCGTGGCCCCGGAGAATATCCGTCTTTCGTTCTGTATAGAGACGTATGGACCTGGTTGAGCCAAGCACCAATGAAACCTCTGTCTTCGGACAGTCGAGATCTCATTTCCTTTTGGGGGCTTTTTTCTGTCCATACAGAGCACCAGAGTCCTCGGCGCGCCCCCCCTTCTCGGCACCTCCGGACCCGTTATATTGGGTAAACATAACAGACGCTTAGACGAGTCAAGTCCAGGCACCTGCATCGCTCCAGTATCCCGTATCCCGTATCCCGTATCCAGTCGAAAGTTAGTGTCAAATGATCATGCTGTTATCCACCATGAGGAAACCCATCGCCAGGCTCCCTGTTGCACCTGGTCGATCCCACTGGTTCATCGGGTGTCCATCGGGTGTCCATCGGAAAAGGATCAACGGTTGATCAGGGGAAACGTTGAGGGGCTTGCGTGCTTAGACAGTCTCCGTACCGCGGTTAGTCCGGGTACGGTTTGCGGGGACGTGGGCAGGAATTGGGAATTTGAGAATTTGGGAGTTTGCGAAAATGGGAAATTAGGATGGTCTCACTGCGCGGTAAATTGCTGGATTTCCGGTTCCTGGTTTTTTTTTTGTTTTGGTTCCTGGGCGGGGGCGCCGGTCGCAGAATCTCATCCCGGCACTATTGGGCTGAGTCCGTGGATCTGACTCTCTTTGACTCTGACCGTTGACTCAAACTAGCTCTGTGGTTGGCTTGAGATTGACACTCGACTGTCTCCATTCGAGCAGAGACCGATGCGAGCGCACGGAAGATGTGTTTACATCATACCGTACCTGGAAAGATCCTGGTTTGGGTTAGACTCGACCGCCCTTGTGGGTCATGGTCGATTGGGCCTGGTTTTGTTTTGTTATGGTTGATTTCGGTGCCTCTTTTGGCGAGCTAGTTTGTTGATCTCGTGGTTTTCTTGGAATTCTACTCCCACACTGCCGGAGCAGTCTCCGAGAGCCAAGACCCTGAGAGATTGGCAATGGCGAGTCATTTGGTCCAAGCCCCGGTGGAAAGACAACAGGTCACTTCGCGTGGACGCCACCAATTCGGCGTCTGGAAGCTCAGGGTTCATTCGAGGCTCTGGCGTGGCAAAGATGTGACCCTCTACGCGCCCGTCTGACCGTGGCGTCGCTCGTGGAGATGAGTCCAGGCATCTATGGGACTCAGACTGCATTGCATATGATTCCCTCGAGATACTGTATCGAATTCTCCGAGTCTCAAATCTCTACTGGATCCGATGAGTCGTGTTCAACACGTCGCAGCGTTCACGCAAGCCATGTATGACGTTCGAATACTTCAGCAGACTATACGAGGATAATAAGGAGTCGTTAGGATCGCACACGGAAGAGCTGAGTATCAAATCCTGGGACGTGGCTTACATCTAGGCCCTTCCTGGTCAGCCCAATGCAGGAACAGCCGAGCTGGACGGAGTACGCCGAATTGATCTTCCCATCGCCATGAACCACTTGATTCACAAGAGCCAAGATTTGTATGTACACATGAAGCTGATCTAGGAATCTGGAACCTGGATTTGCTGACTACATCGTAGACAGACGTGGAGCCATTGGATCCCGGGAGTAATCAACCCCCCCACTTGAAAACCGAAGGATGGTGCACTAGACGAGGCATGAGGTAATCAAACCCAGGAGATGAGGTCTTGGGTGCTAGGGGGGAAGAATAATAAATTCACAATGAAGACACTAGACCAATTTCCTATATCATTCCAGTCCCGTCCCGTACCTGAAAGGATCCGCCAGTTCAACGGCTCATCAACCCCAAACACCCAGATCGACGCGCTAGAACGAAACTCGTTAGTCAGGGCACGTTGAGTTGACACCCCCACCTAGCCACTTGATCGGCCATGTATAAATTACAACATTTGAATGTTCCAAAGTTTTGCATTCAACCTACACGGGGCATCTCAAGTCCCCAATCGGAAGCCGATCAACTGACCAACAGACAAAAGCCAAGCCAGCTCAGCATCAAATAAACATATATCCTCCCAATATCCCATATTCCATATACAGATCCACATTCTCAACCTTCTTCCTAGAAGAAAAACTTTACGCCAAAGGCAACTACCCCAGATGTCTATGTTTATTCCATCCAGGTCACTGTCTTGGTCTGCAGGAACTCGTCGTAGCCGCGGATACCTCCGAAGCGTCCGAATCCACTGCTCTTCCAGCCACCGTGGGCAGGACGGGCTCATCGTGGACGGTCAGAGCGTTGATGTGCACGGCACTACATCACGTCAGTATAGAGACCTGGCAGTTCCAGTGGAGTTAAAAAAATACTCACCCAGACTCAATCTGCTTGGCGACGCGCAGTCCGCGGAACAGGTTGCTCGTGAAGACAGCGGAGGTAAGACCGTAATCGGTGTCGTTGGCCAGAGCCACGGCTTCCTCTTCGGTGTCGACAACCATCAGGGAGACGGTGGGGCCGAAGGACTCTGTCGCGTACAGGTCCATCTCCTTGGTGACGCCCTCGACGACGATAGGGCGCATGTGTGCGTTGGCAGTCTCGTTGGCACTCGCATCGCCGAAGATGACGTTGGCACCGCGCGAGACGGCGTCAGAGACTAGCTTCTTGTTCTTGGAGACGGCCGCAGAGTTGACGCACACCAGGGCCGGGGCGTCCTTGCCGAAGAGCTTCTCAGCGGTCTCAGCCAGCTTCTCACGGAACTGGTCGGCAATGCCTCGCTGCACGACGATGCGCTCAGTAGACATGCAAATTTGCCCAGACTAAATCAAATCTTTAGCACTGCTCCCCTGCTGCCGGCTCTCTGCCCCCCCCCCTGAGATGATGGTAGTGGTCACTTACGTGCATGAACGAACCAAGTGCGCAGTTCATCGCCGCCTTATCCAAGTTTGCATCATCCAAGACAATCGCCGACGCCTTACCACCCAGCTCCAGCAGCACGGGCTTGATGTACTTTCCAGCAGTGGAGGCAATGATCGCACCGACATTGGTACTACCAGTGAAGTTGATCTTGCGAACAGCCGGGTGGGCAATCAGCGCAGTGGTGACAGCCACCGCATCAGAAGTCTGATGATAAATGACATTCAAGCAGCCAGCAGGAAGACCAGCCTGACGGAAAATATCGCCAAGAGCCCAGAAGCACTTGGGCGAGAGCTCAGAGCCCTTGAGCACGACTGTGTTACCTGCCGCGAGCGGGAGCGCAATTGCGCGTGTGCCCAGGATAAAGGGGGCGTTCCTGCATACCGTTAGTTACACGATTCCGAGTCCATTCAAATAACTCTAGATAGCCTGAGAGCACAATGCGGGGGTTGGCCTTACCAGGGAGCAATGCCCAGAATGACACCATACGGCTCCTTGAAGACCATTGCGCCCTCGCCGTCCAAAGTGACATTGGGCACGATGCCCTCGATAGTCGGGATGCGGCCCGCAAAGTCCTTGATGAAATTGACGCCCATGTTGAAAGTGTGCTCGACGAATGGACGACCAGCACCGGTTTCCTCGCGCTGGTACTGGATCAGCTCCTCTTTACGCGAAGCCATGATTTCAGCCGCCTTAAGCAGAATGTCGCGACGATCATAGGCCTTGGTCTTGGCCCAAGCTGGGAACGCGGCTTTTGCGACGTCCGCGGCGCGAATTGCATCCTCCACAGAAGCCCCGGCGCAGTGGCCGGACAGCTCGCCGGTGGCCGGGGCGTGGACCTCGAATTTGATGTCCGTCAGGACGGACTCACCGTTGATGATGAGCGGGGTCACCGCCTTCTCGCCGTTCTGAGTCATTTTCTAGGCCTAGGATTGTGCAAATGCGCGATTATGTGCAAGATGAGAATGCTGCAAAGGGCGAGAAAATAACAAGGAGGTTATATTTAAGATGGGAAGGCAAATGTGTCGACTGTGAATGAGGGGATGTGGGGACGGGAGGCGATAGTCAGTGATAGTCCACCGTCGATCGGGAACCGCACTCATTAACTCCGGCTGCCCTTGAACCAGAACTTGTAAAGCCGTACCAGCGACGGACTTAGAGAGGCCCCAATTGCCTCGAGTACGGGCCGAATGTGGGGGAAGCTTCCCGGATCTTTCTCCGATCTTTCCCCCCCCCCCCCCATCCTCATGGACTGAGAGGGCGCCTTCTTGGAAACGCTGACAAACTGGACGGCTGATGCTCGGGGGGATTTCCGCCCTCCACTCTGCCTACAAAACGAATAACCTCACATGTGAACAGAAAAAGAATGGATTTATAAAACACCTTCAATGCATGGAAAATTAGCCGGATATCATATATAGCTACCTGACACCCCGTCCCTCTCCCGCGCCTGTAATGCGTCTATGTAACCCTATCAATTGGCCCAAATTTTCGTCGACGTTCCGGCATTCTTTGCCAGGTCCGCAAAGGGGCAAATCGAGGTCTCTGAATCCACACTATACGCAGACCGAGTGGTGTGGTTCGTGTTACCACTGTCCTTGGTGTGTGCTGTTTGTGTCGAGGGGGCCACACTATGTGATGATGGAGCCGCGGTGCCCACGAAGCTAGCCCCGTCGTCATCGACAGAGCTGTCGTCAGTGCTACCCAGAATCTTCTTACCATTCACCCACCCCTCCGTGGAGAAACTGTATTCTGACATCTCGTCGGCATACTCTTCGCCATCGCGGATGCGGTGTCTGGCAAAGAGGTCGTTCTGGATCATGATGATCTTGTTGATGGCGCGGACGAGGGCGATTTTTCGGTGAAGGGAGAGCTGGGGGTGAGACATCAGGGCTTCGATGAAGATGTCTTGGATGTACGCAATGCACACATTAATGTGGATGAATTCGATGTTCAGAGAATGTAGGCGCTCTTGGCCACTGTGCATGATTCTATAAGTTGAATTAGCGAACCGCAATAGACACTTTCAATGTTCTTTTTTCTGTATAAAGAAGAGAGACCTAAAAAGAAGATAGAGAAAGAGTTGAACCTACCCAACTTTGTTCAAATATCTCCAGAAATCCATGGATGTAGGATCCTGGCATAGCTTGATGAGGTACCAACGAAGGAACATTTTGCGTCGTTTGATTTGAGGGGTCTCCTCGTGTAGAAAATCTTGCTCAAGCTCAGTCTCGTCGGCCGTGTTCTGAGTGTGGAAGGCACGTGAGGTGATGTCGTACTGCAAGAGTTTCTTATACACTAGGTTGACCACGGCAGGGATGAGTTGCTTGAGGTATTTGCTTCCACTGTGGAGGGCTTCAACATCGTCTAGGTGGGTCATGATTAGCTTGGCTCAAGCAGGTAGCAAAGGAATCAGAAACTCAACACATACCGGCATTGAAGTCAAGGAAGTGGTGCAAGTACTTAATTCTCTCCTCGAGACTAGTGTATAGAGATTTGCGATCAATGTGCTTTGGCTCGGGGCCAAGATCCAAGTCGTACGGATCCATGGCAAGAAGTGAGTAAAAATAAGGTAGTCAGACCCTTTGCAAAGCTCACGAACACGCAGAGCTTGAAAAAAAAAAAAACTAAAAGAAAAAGGATCGATCAGATCGAGTGAGAAGGAGATGAATACTGGGGTGCCTCATGGCCTCCGCATGGCCAGGACAGACGATTTATCCTTATATACTCTTAGCCCCCTCGAGCCGATTATCGGCTCACTTCACGAGATGCGAGCACTATTCCGGGACAGATGCATAATGAACCCGATGAAGAAACCCACAGTAATGCCAGGCGTGGGCCTCCTTCCAAGGATGTACATAGGTCCCGATTTTCCACGAGAGCTCACGCCAGAAGGAGCGGGGGGGGGGGGGGCATATCAAACCCAGTTCCGCGCCCAAACACACTAAGCCATGCTAATATGGAGTATTTCTCCGATGAACAGTGGCATCGGCAGATATGGGCCGATCCCTGTAATCTCCTCCAGTACCTCCACTGGATGACTCCATATATCACGCGACGTTCGAAACCATAGTATGGGAGCAACGGGCGGACCTGTCGTGTAAAGCTCTGAAACAAGCGACCACGTGGAAAACACGGAGATGAGGGGGACCACGCGGCGTTGATAGTTGGGATCGTGCTCTACCTGCTACGCCGTGGCGCTATGATCGCGCACCATTGCCTTCCAAAGGCCTCGAGGGCACTTTCCCTAACTCGAAATACTCGAAAAACAAAGAGATCGAGAGCGGGATTCCTTCTACGGACACGCCAATGGACGTCGTCCAGGCTGCCAACCAAGGACTGGCTGTTGACGTGATCTAAGACTCCGCTGTGGTCCCAACGGTTATGCCTGCGAGTCCACTTCTATCGGAGCCGACGGCTCGGCGCGGAGGGCAATTCTATGTCTGTGTTGCTCTCGAGTCACCCTCCCCCTCTTGGATCAGACAATCTAACATCTCATTCCGGAGTATGTACGGGGACATATTTGAAAGACCGCTTGGCTCCATGTTCTGCATGTCAGATCTGCGCGGAGCCACCGAGAGACCGTGGAAGAGATTCTTATTCTATGCCCGGTGGGTCCCTAGAGGAACAAGGCCATGTCAGGAAAAGCGGAAGGATGACACGCTAGTTAAAATTAGCTTTTTAGGTCGCCAGTCCAAAACAACTCGCCCATGTACCAATCGGAATCCTCGTGAAAACATTTCTCATTTGATGCTGTGGCATGATCGACATCATGATCGCGACGATGGGCTGATGAACGAAAATCCTCCGGTTGGAGAGTTCCCACGGAGTTCCGGACCTCGCTCAATGTGAAAAGGGGCATAAAAAGTCGGTGAAGAATAATGAGTGATGAAATGTGAAAATTTTGACGTGTCAATGCTTCTTTTCTTTTCTTTTCTCTGCTTGACAGCTCCAACCCGTCGAACGGCTCGATCTTTATTTTAATTTCATCGACCCCAGCAGCCAATGACCTCATCCCGTGGATGTTTCAACCTGAGACGCTCTACCGTGCTTCTCAAACAGCCGCGATAAAGGATCTACATTAATTGTGTTGATCATTCTCCCATGAGGCGGTCCAGACACTGTTTCTGACTGGACGCTCCCGGTGTCTAGACTATCTGAGCGTTGGCCTGCCCCGCGTTCTGACACCCCGAAAAGCTGAGCCATCACGATCCATAGGACTCCTGTGCCAAGCTCATCTAATTAAGTTTGCGTGAAGAAAGTGACAGCTGCAGCCATACCTTGATGCAAAAACCCCCCCAGTCATCTATTGATCGGCAACGAGTCGGCACGGTCTCATTCTTTGGATATGAATTGGACGGGTCAGAAATGGACGTGTCAGATTTCATTCAAACCGCTGGATAATTTAACTTCATTTCAGCAACTCGCTATCGTGGCCCAAAGGTCAAACGGGGCTTAGTAGTTGGTGGTAAAAAGAAAGTTAAACTGGAGGTTTTCGGCAGGTGAAAAATGGAAGAGAGGTCTGTTCACGCATAACAGACTACGCTATCTATGACCCCGCTTCGGAGGGACTCGACATGGTGGCATTGCTACGCCCAGCTGCCGCCTTGTATAGTGCCTGGATATCAGACTTCCATTGGTTCTCGTCAACACGCTTGAAACGACGGTCGTAGGTCATCAAGCCGTTGACTTCTCCCTCGACATCAGTAGTCTGGGTCCAGACGCCACCGCTGCAAGCGAAGCGCTTCACCTGGTCCTCCAATTCACCAAGGAGAAGGTGGCTACGGTAATTCCAAGCATCAACAGTTGTATCGATCTCATAGGTCTGGTTGATGGTGTTGATAGCAGCTTGGTTGTTCCAGAGGCTAATGTTATCAGTAAGTCACTCCAGCTCTATCTGGAGAAGGACTTACTGCTCGATCGAGACATTATTTCCGATTCCACCGAACTCGCCCTGGAAACCAATACGGGTATCGTCATAGGGGCTTGAGTCGATCGAATAGAAGGGGGTCCCGCATTGAGGATTGGCGTAGTGATGGTTATCCTGTATTCAAATGAGCTAAGTGGTCCTTTCCAGTTTATGACCGGCGGCACTCACGCTAAAGTCACCGGCGCCATGATCGTGCCAACCTGTAGTCGAATCGATCAGCCGAGTGGGATCTAGCTGCTTAACCAGCTCGGTAAGCTCGAATTCAGGGTAATAAGTGGTAATCTGGCCCCAGCCCTCATTATAGATAACCTAGTGAAAAGGTTAGCAGACGTAGGTGCTAGCACTTGGCGGGTCTCATACCCATGTTGAAATACTAGGGAAACTCTTGCGCTGGTTGATCAACAGCTCTAGCTGACGTGTAAACTCTTTCTGCTGCGGGGGGTCCGGCAGAATGGTCTCGGTAGTACAATTCGCCAGAGTCTTACTCTGCAGGGGACGTAATGATGGCATGTCCTGAATCACCAAAAGACCGAGCTCGTCGCATGCTTGGTAAAACAGCTCATTCTCGACTTTGATCTGCAGAAGTTCAGCGACCACTTCTGACGAATTTGCAATCCACGCTTACATGCTTGCGGATCATGTTGAATCCAAGGTTCTTCAGCACTTGCAGATCATACACCATGGCTTCCTTTGTGGGAGGTGTGTAGATACCATCGGGCCAGAAGCCCTGATCGAGGGTGCCAAACATGAAAATGAACTCGCCATTTAGCAGTGGCCGAACGACACCGTCTACGGTGCCCTTGGAAATAGTTCGAAACCCAGTATAGCTCTGCACTAGATCTTTGCCCATTTTGACGGTCACATTGTACAGGTTCGGAGAGTCAGGAGACCACAACTTGGGCGAGTCGACATTGAACTGGAAAGGTTGGTTGGAAGGACCGCTGTGGGTCGCCACAACGTCTCCATTGTCGTGCACAATTACTTGCACATTGGTGGTGACGTTCGTGTTGGTTGTATGAACAGTCACATTCACTGCAAGCAATCAGTGCCCTAGTAATATGATTAGGGGAAATGAACACGCACCTTGACCATGCATGTCACCATCCAGATCAACTCTGGTGATGTGGTTTGCCTGAACAGGCTCAATGAAAACGCTCTGCCAGATTCCACTACAGGGCGTATAGAAGATGTGACTCGGGTGAAGAGTCTGTTTGCCAATAGGGATGACATAGTCGCCATCATCAGTTGGGTCGTGAACAAACACAAGTCTACGAATATCAGCATGCTGTCTCTCTTTGTCAACAGGAACTCACAATTCATTTTCCTGGCCCTCTTTCAGGTACGATGTCACGTCCAGAGTGAAACGGAAATATCCTCCGCGGTGGAAACCGGCCTTCTTGCCATTGACGAAGACAGTAGCTTCATAATCGATAGCTCCGAAGTTGAGCAGAACATTATTGCCATTCCACTCGGAAGGAACCTTGAAAGAGGTGGAAAACCACGAGTAAAGGGTATATGTTCCCTGAATCCCTGCAACACAATGTGTCAAATCGAAAACCTAGAGATACTTCATCCTCCATTTGCACCTACCAGACAGTCCGCTCTCCAAACAAGATGGAATCAGGACCTCTTGTCCAAGATCCTGACCAAATGGCGGGCTCTGTACAGCACTCAGACTTGAAGCATTCCGATACTGCCAAACACCATTCAGATTCTGCCATTGAGATCTCTGCATCTGCGGCCGCGGATACTCAGGCCAAGGATCAACGCCCACTTTATCAGTCCAAGGGGTAGTCAATGGCGGCTGTTTCAGCGCATATTTGACACTTCGAGCCTGGACAACCGCTCCATGTCTACTATCCCTGCCAGGACGAGCCAGAGCCGTAGCCGCCAGGAGCGAGCAAACAACACTCCGCAACAGCTGCATGGTTCAAACTGAAAATCCCAAATCTCGTGAGAACCCTGGAAACAATCGGAGGAATTCACATATCCCCCAAGTGTATCCTTGCTTTATGTACATATCCCATCGGGTAAAAGAAAACCGAAATAGACCGAATCGTCGTGCCGTCTACTGGGCCCCTACAGGGGTCAAAGGCAACCTAAGGACTCTAAGACCCCCTACACGATGCATGTATGCATCTGGGCATTGACTCATAGCCCCAGCCCTGCCTTCCGAACTCCACTAGAACGTGCCAACCCCGCAAAATACAGCGCACAGAAACTCCGATCCAGCAAAGGATTTGTGTCCAAGACTGAAGGAAAAGCATGGCTGTGCCAAGAAAGGCTGCTACTTGGCAGATTCATGGTGGAGTTGATGCCGAGATTCTTGCGCAGTCATTTTCAGTGCTTTTGTTTCCCACGTCACAGTGCATACTTCCAGTGGAGGCGTAACAGTCTCGCCCTCTATAATCTTGGAAATAGACTGTGCTACACCTCCGATGTGGAATTGACCGATGACAAGGATAATCAACAACTAACTTGGATTATCAAATTATATCTGTGACCGGAGTTCAAAATCAAAAGATAGAGAAATAAATCGTCCGAATTATGCGGGAGGTGTGATTCCAGCAAATCAGACACGCACGTAAAGTCCTGTTCTTGAAGACTATCGAAAAAGGGGGTAAAAGTCCAAGGGTTCCAGGTTTTCTAGCGGGGAATCATCGGCGATCGGAATGACACTCGCAGACTGATCTGAGTAGTGGGGAATTGAGACCAAGTCAAACCACATCATGCATTGGTCTTGGAATCCCTTGCATCTGCGCAGGTCCAACTAGCCGTGCCCAAGAATTACATGAATCAACCCGAGAAAGCAGAATCCCCCCCCCCCCCAAAACCACGTCGGAAGGGCCACTTACTACAGGTAAAGTGGTACCTCAAGGTCTCATCAAAGCAGAATAAGAATACGAACAGTCGACGCCTTCCCCTCAACCTTCCGTGGCGCGACGATCGGTCTGTTGTGATTGGGGGGGGACTTCCGGGTTCTGATTATCTCCGCAATGAAGCGTGCTCGAAATTCCCCTTTTTGTTCCTTGGTTTCGGGCTTCGTCTTCTACCCCGCGAGTCATTGGGTCCACGTTATGACGCTTGTCTAGCGGTGTGTCCTGCTTCGTGGGGGGTGCGGGGTGGAGGCTGGGATGGGGGATACTCAAGGGATGGGTGTAAACGATCTCGGGATTCTACTTGAATTAATCAACGGTGTGGAGGCCTGGAAAGCTTCAGAGACTGGAACACTTGGCATTGAGAGGGATAAGTCAGGATGTCTTGAAGTTTGAAACATGAAATTCTTTAATTTTAAGAAGGGATTGTATCCAAGTCTTTAGATCTATTCTAGTACTGTACAAAAAACTACTTCTTCAAGTTTGGCATGAAAATCCAAGACCATCTAAGAAGCGGGAACACCGTTCAGTACTGTGCCCCAGCCACCGTAGGTCCAGTTCCCGTAGCAGGCATGTTGGTACTCAGCCTTAACAAGCATGGTCTTTTGCACCTTCAAGAAGGTGGACAACTCACACCAGCCATCCTCACGATACTCACAAGCGTCGAAGCTAGCATGCAGCGGGACAGTGCGCTGGTTCTGGATAAAGTGCACATACTGCGTCTCACCCGTACCGGAGATATAATCGGCCTTGGTAGCCTTCGACGAGCGCCTGGTGGAAACCTTGTGCGGCGCTTTGATGATCTCGATATTCAGTCGGCCAGCGAAAGGCACCAGTCGGCTGGTATGGAACTTCTGATTGGCGGGGGGACCGGTGACAGGCAGGAAACCGGAAAATTGCGTCAGGCCAAACGCGGTAATGACGGAGATGAGGTTCGCGTCGTGGGTGAACTCGAGGTACAAGTTCTGGTCCAGAGGGAAAGTGACCGGGTTCGTGTCTCAGGGTCATGTTGGCTCCAGTCTCACTGGCGGGGACGTTGACGTAGTGGCCCTCGACACGGGCGAGGAACTCTTCCCACCCAGGCAATACCCTGGGCTCGGCCAGTGGGGCTCAGGAAGCCAGAATAACCGGCGAACTCGATGTCTTGGAGATACTCATAGTGCTCCCAGTCCTCAAAAGTGAACAGGCTGCAGAAGTTGCTGTAGCCAAGACCAATAGTCTCATAGGGACAGAGAGTCTGGGCATGGTATGTATCCGTGAGGGTCCAGTTGTAGCTTCTAGAGAGTTTCTTCAGCTGAGCAGTTCTCTCCTTCAGGTAGGTTGCCATCCAGATTCCGACGGGCTCTTCGATGACCTCCTCAATAGTAGTAAACTCGTTGGTACAGTTGGAGACCCCGGTTGTAGCGGGATCAATAGTGGCCAAGAGGTTGGCATAGTCTTTCCAGTTCAGACCGAAAAAGCCAGCGAGGAAGTTCTCCGCGCTTTGCATCATGCGCGCCATCAAGGTCGTGCGAACCACGAGCTTGTGAGAAGCAGTGTTGTTGTTATATAGATGACCATAGTTGTAGTAGTTCAAGACTCCACTATCGAACAACTCCTGTCGACCCGTGGGAACGAGAAGTTCCTTACCCAATTGGTAAGACCAGTCGTTTAGGAAAGCGAGCTCGCCCGTGAAGACTGTTCCTGCTTTGGTGGCGTTGGTAATCTTCTCCCCCCATGTACCCTGGGCTTCCGTGGCCGAAGGGTATCTAGAGCCATGGCGCTGAAGCAGATGCATCTGCGTGATGTTGGCTCCTTTGGGCAGAGGGTACTCATCGACGCCAAAGCCTTCCACTGGAGAGAAGTAGGGACTGTTGGCAGTCAGTAGGCAGCGGAAAACATAGAGATAGAGTAGGCTCACCTCAAGTCTCCCATGAGATGGAAGATGTTTCTACCTTTCGCACCACTGATCGGCTCTCCAGTCTCCAAGGGGTCATTAGGGATGTCAGTCTTTGAGCCAAAAGGTGCCGGGTTGATCTGCCCCAGGTAGGGTTCCGCACCCTTCTCCATGACACCTGATTGTACGAGATATTAGCTTTTGTGCCATGTCAGACGATATTTGATGTGTTCATGGGGCATACCGGCATAGAGGTCGGGCGAGGTCTTGAACCAGTCGGGGTGGGTTGTACTGGCTCTCTGGAGGATCGTCCCTGCTTCCACAGCAGTAGCCAGAGCCAAGGAAAACACCATAGACTTGATTGTGTCCATTTCGATCTGTTTGAATTCAATGACCCCCCTACCGCATGCAAATAGGCCTTTTATACACTATTTTCCATCACGCTACCTCCTCTGACCTCCCTTTCCCATTTGTGATACCATTGGCTCGCCTACAGCTCGGCAACGATGTTCTCTGCATGAGTTAAAATGGCCGCTATCTGACCAGATGTTCAAGAACCCGGGGATATTAAAGGCTTGTAGCTTCAATCACCATTGTGCTGTTCACCACGTGCAGAGCGGACAATCTTATCATGACGCCTTGCGGGGGCACATCTGGACACGGAACCAGTCAGCGTGGCTACTTCCTGCAAGCGAAGGGGCTAGTGTCCGCGCTACGTTCTCGGATAACCCGTCATTCAACTTCACCTGGACTGAAGACCATCTGACCGGCAACTGCGCCGTTTTTCCAAGGCTGGATTTTCCATTTTTGAAAGGGTCGTTTAGAGTGACGCCGGGATGGCTAACTGTTCTCCGACTCCCGTGGAAACGATTCGCCGGAGTCACTTGAGTTCGGGGGTGCTTGTGTTGGGAGACGACCTTCAGACTAAGTCAAGTGACAAGTGTAGATTCTGTTTTTCTTCCGCATTTATCATCTTTTCCTCGGTCACTAAGACTGAGAAATCCTGAAATCTTGTACATTGTCAATGACCGCATGCTCGACCACCGCTACCGTACAAGGGGCTCCTCCCACTTTGCCATGGCCTATTCACAGGGTCGAGTCTTCAAGTGTGGAGCTGGGTAGGACACGTGCATTCCTGACCACATTCCTCGCGATCGCGGCGTTCCCAAACATATTGCGGCACCTACGCCACCCTTGTCTGGGCCATGGAAGTCGCGCAGAATGGCAGTTCGAGGCAACGACCGTGGATACAGCCCCTGCTTCACCCATGGTTCATAGACTAGTCCGCGTGATGTGAGGGGTCTTCCAGCGCAATCTCATTCTTACCCACCATGGGGCTTTGTCGCTGAGAACGGAAACAGAACTCGTTTACTCGGTACGGGAGGAGCCGAGCGACCCGGTTTTCTGGCCACAGCACCATGGAACACGACGATGCTGGGGGTCTCGAGTTATGCCTCGGTAGGTGGATCAATAGCTGGAGTGGCGGAGAATCGGCGAGACCGGGGATGATCCTAGTCTGTGTAGAGTGACTGTGCTGTTCAAATCGGTACCACACTGAATTGACTCCCAAGGGGCTGTACATCATGTTGGCCTGACTCACCCCTTCGGCCAGTCACTTCGGAAGCACTACGCGATCCACTCAGGAAGTTCGATCGGAATCTGGAATCAAGAACCCTCACATTCCGCCAGGTCCCACCTTCCACGTGTGGCCAATCTTCAGGGCGCGGAATGTTCGCAAACAGCACGCATCTCGATCTCGCACATCACGGCGTACAAGGCCATCGTTCATCATTCAGGTCCGAATGAACCTGGTCAAAACAGCAATTCCGGTAACTGGACCGAATGACTACGGGGAAGATGTAGAGAGATGCCCTGATGGAGCGCGTAGAGCAGGAGCTTGGGCGGAGGAACGCTCTTGCCATCGACACTCGACACCTTCCAACGTAACTCGTGTGCGAGATCTGCCCCCGAACAGACAACTTGACTCCTGCTTACTCTTCCATCATCGTTGTATCTCCATCTTTCTCCATCCGATTGCCATTATCACCTATTTTTCGGCTCCAACAGGTCTTCCGTTTTATTGTGACCAAATCCCGGTGATATCCACCACCGCGTCAGATTCAAAACCTCACGGCTGCACTGACCGGAGTGAGAGATCCCGCCGCCCCCAGATTTACCACTGACGTAGCGAGAAGGCCATTGTTTCATTTATCAACCCCAGACCCCGAACTATCAGGCTCCACTCTATCCGCTTTCGGCCAAGCCGACTTCCTTTCCCGGAGCTGTCAATTGTTGATCGGCGCTGTCAAAATACAAGATCTGCGGGGGTTTTGCGAAAGGTGCGTGGATTGTGGCTCTCAAAAGCCTCGAGGCTTCCGTTTCCATGCACATCACTTGCCTATTTCCTGCATCCGGCTATCTTCAACCCCAAGCATCGACTTGAGTTTACTTATAGCAGCCGATCGCCATGCTATTTGACACAATTATTCATTAGCTCATTCCTGAAGTCCAGCCACCTGGATTCTTGGATTGATTCGTCTTAGTGATTTTTCAACATGTCGTTCAGAATGTCGCAACAGGCCCTTCTCGGCCTCCTTATGATCGGGTCGTCCGCCCTGGCCCAGAAGATGGAAGCTCCTGAAGTGTAAGTGGACAGTTCACTAATCTTGCGTTGCCGGTACAAGGCGGAGACTAACATTGGATCAGGGGTCTTACATTTAACTACGGTTCTGACAAGGTCCGTGGTGTTAACCTTGGTGGCTGGCTTGTGCTGGAGCCCTGGATCACCCCATCAATTTTTGATGCCGCTGGTGATGCTGCTGTTGACGAGTGGTCTCTGTGTAAAATCTACGGTGCTGATCAGTGCCGTACTGTTTTGCAAAAGCACTGGAGCACCTTCATCACACAAGATGACTTCCACCAGATTGCCGCTGTCGGCATGAACCATGTCCGTATCCCTGTCGGCTACTGGGCCCTAACACCCCTGGAGGGTGATCCGTACGTCAATGGCCAGCTGGCCTATCTTGACCAGGCTGTTGATTGGGCTCGTGGTGCCGGTCTCAAGGTGATGGTTGATCTACACGGAGGTAAGGAATCCACAGTTCGCAATTACGGCCCATGGCGCATTTTGCTAATACACCATAGCTCCTGGCTCTCAGAATGGTTTCGACAATAGCGGTAAACGTGGCGCTATTCAGTGGCAGACCGGCGACAATGTAAACCTTACCCGCTTTGCTTTCGAAACTCTGGCTGCCCGCTACGGTGGTGATGCCGATGTCGTGACTGCTGTTGAGGCCCTGAACGAGCCTAGCATTCCCGGTGGAGTGAATGAGGATGGCTTGAAGCAGTACTACTATGATTCCTGGGGTGTTGCCCGTAAGGCTAGCCAGAACACCACCGTTGTTCTTCACGACGGTTTCATGCCCACTGAGTCCTGGAACGGATTCATGAGCGAGTCGACTGGTTTCTTTTACGTCATGATGGACACTCACCACTACGAAGTCTTTGATTACGGCCTGCTCGCCTTGGACCCCGCCTCCCACGTGAGCACTGCTTGCGGTTTCGTCAGCGACCACGTCCTGCACTCCGATAAGTGGACGGTTGTTGGTGAGTGGACCGGTGCCATGACTGATTGCGCCAAATATTTGAACGGCAAGGGTATCGGTGCTCGCTACAACGGTACCTTTGACGCCAGCCAGGGCGCCATTGGCAGCTGTGATGGCAAGTCCGTTGGCAAAACGGCCAACCTTTCTGACGAGGACCGTACCAACATCCGCCGCTTCATTGAGGGGCAACTTGACGCGTATGAGAAGGGCAGTGGCTGGCTCTACTGGACCTGGACCACAGAGGGCGCCCCTGAGTGGGACATGAAGCAGCAGCTTGCCGCCGGTGTATTCCCTAACCCCGTCACCAGCCGCCAATTCCCCGGCCAGTGCTAAATGGTGTCACTTGGATACTTGTCACTCCTTTCTCCCACTCGCATACTGGTTATACGTTTTAGGGTTGCTTGTTTGGAGCTCTTTCTTTTTTTCTTTCTCTGTAATTGACTGCTGGGGTTTCGCGCATGTTGCAGGCTTTTCGATGCCGGGTGTTTTGAATGTTGATGCTTTAGGATTAAACAGGAGTTGATCAAAGCAATCCAATGGTTTTATTTTTTCGTTGAATTGAATTCAAAAAACGTATATCGTAAACTGGGAGCCTTGGAGGAAACTTCTAACCTTCGTCTTCCCGCTGTCGAGCTAAATTGGATCCAAGTGATACTATTGATCCCTAGGTGAAAGAGCTCGGTAACTGTATGGCTTGCCGCAATAGTAAAACCCGATGATCTCAATCTCTGGATCATATAGCATGTATGAGGGTGTTTCTCGTCTGATCTTCATCTTCGGGCAGAGCGGCAAAACCCACACCATCAAAGTAAATGCGCCTCCTGCACTCCATGCACAGTACCTTGTCGATTACCAATGCTGGAGGCACCAGTCTATGACCGAGAACAGTGATGCGTATGCATTTACCAAGTGTTGAAGAAAGGTCCGGCTATATCGGGCTCTGGTCTCCGAGCGACACAGGCGCTGATGGCTGCTAGGGTTCTCGTGAGCTACCCGTATGCGCGCAATGTCTCCAAATGGCACCTGCGTTGCTTGTATGAGAAGCCGATGCAAAAGTCCATTGCATGCTGATGCGAGGTAATGGTGGTAATCAACATTATTATCTATTCAACCAGTTGGGGTATGTAGGTAAACTTCTAGTACATCGAAAGATGTATGCAGTGACCATCCGATGAAATTAGGCAAATGTAGTGACCATAAGCTAGGTGCATCCTCGCTTTTTTGGGTGTTCTGATAATCAGATCAGTCCCAAGGCACCGAACGCGGACACTACATCAGTATCGACATTCGCCAACCACTCCGCCTGGAAGGTCTCCGGGCCACCACAAGCAACGATCAGTTGCTGCAGACGCTCGCGCACAAAGTCACGAATTGGGAAACGGTGGATGATATCCGAGTTCTCCCAATCGCGGCGACGGTGGTTCTCTGGAGGTTCGATTTCGTCCGAGGCTTCAGGGACGGCGGTTGCGGAGCCAGAGGGTGCACCCCAGAAGACTAGATAATCAGCATTGGAGTCTTGACCGCCTTCTGCCAGCTCGAGGATGAGGTCTGTCCAGACAGTCAGGTAGGACTGCAGGAATGGGCGGAGGAAGTCGGCTGGGAGGTCAGGGGCGGCCGGGTTAGGTGGGTTTTGTTTGAGGCCGAGGAGTTGGGTGAGGGCAAGGACGTGCAGCTTCTTCTGGTTGGCGCTGCTGATATTATCATAATGAGAGAACCACTCCTTCATTAGCCAAGGAAGATCTTTATAAGGGGATTGAATGTTATCACCCTGGACAGCAGTGGCGATGGCGGAGGCAAGGATCGTGGGACTAGCGAGGGCCAGACGAGCGATGACGGAGTAATATTCGGTTTCGACGACACCGATCACATTGGAGGTTTTCCGGTTGGGACCTGTTGTTTCGCTGGCTTCGTAGGCGGAATGGAGGCCCTCAAGAATGGAGCGTAGGAATGAGCTTTCGATGAGACTTTGGGAAATGGAGTTGTAAGTCTCTTCGCTACCACCGTCGATGGCTTCGCCACTGCGGATCAACATTTCGACCAGACGGGGCACGACGCCAATGCGTTGTCTAGTCGTGTGAGAGAGAAGTTCCTGTAGCGCAAGCAGAAGAGGGGTGCGGTATTCATTTTTGAAAACGTCTTGTGGTGCCAGAAGAATATAAGACTCGACGATCTGGAGGGCCTGGGGTGCGCTGTCGGTTCCCGAGTGAAGGATCGGGAACACAGAGGGAAGAAGCGCCAGAATGTCGGGGGAGGGAGTGGGAGATTGTTGAATTATAGCAGTCCAGAGATCCAGAGCTTCATCCAAGAGGTAAACCAAGGTTTCCTAAAATCAACAATTAGTATCAAATTGGAAGTCCTGTATGTAAAACATTTGATATGGAGACTCACGGATTCAGGGTGCACTGAGCTTTGAATGAGGGGAAGGATAAGTGAATGGTACCGAACGGACTCCTGCTTCAACGAGTTGATTAATGAAGATAAAAGTGTGAGGATGGCCTGCTTCATGAGATGCTCATCTCCAGACTCCTCCCATAGAGGTGGAAGCAAAGAGAGGATTTGATCAGTGAATGGAGCAATCTGCGATATTTTTTAGTTCCAAAACAAACCATAGTACACAAGTAACTTACGTGGTGCTCCATCTTGACAACTGCCACGCGAACCGTCTCCAACAGTCCCATTTTCGTTTCAGGCATCTCGACCTCTTGAACAAGGGACATGAGGTTGCCAAGTATCGACTGGGCAAACGGCATGAAATGGGCCGCCTGGAATTCGTAAGGATCGAGGACCTGGCTCAATTGGCGTCCAGCAGTGATACGAACGACAAGGTCATTGAGCGGATCATCCTTGTTGAGCAAGTGCTGGAAGATTTGAAAGATTGCCTCAGTGTTCAATTCACTGTACTTGACTGGGACCCATTGACCAAGCACAAGTGCAATGCGTCTGCGCAAGAGTCTGTACTGTTGATCTTGAATCTGAACTTCGGTGACCATGGTTCCTTGCAAGAATTCGTTGAAGTTCAAGTGTTGCTCGAGGCTGGCTGCGGCCAAGCCAATAGCAGAGTAAAGAGAGTCCTTTAAAACCACGTCGCGGTTTTCGGTATCTGTGCGGCCAAATTAGAACTGACTTCAAATTCCAATAACAAGCTTGACCATGAAACTTACTCGCAAAGTTGTGGAACACACTCAGCAGACGTGGGATGAGCAGGTCTTTGAAGTGAATGACCAGGTCCAAAAACAGCTTCTCGGAACAGGACCGGATGGAGAATTCCCAGGCTTCGCTGCTGACTTCCTCTCGCTGAACCCAGGATTCAGGCTCGGCTTCCCATTCCTGAAAGTCGACATTTCGGAACCTGAAGAATTGGGTCACAAGAAGCTCCATGACGCCAAGCACGAGATCGTGGGTGAACAATTCAGTCTTGATCCGTTCCACGGCCTGCTTTCTCTCTTCCTTGTCTTGAGGTGTTTGGTATTTGAAAGTCTGGACAGGGTTGAAGGCCATTCTCGCGCAAGCCCTAAACAAAAGCAACGCCCGAAGGCCTGTCTTCTCAGGTAAAGATTGCCCTTCTGCATCGGGATCCGCTCCGAGACTGACGTAGCTTTCACTGAGCCGGACAACCAATGTCCAGTATGAATTGACGAGCGAGATACTGTTGGGAAACAGTGCGAAAGAGGCTGGGTGTATCTTTGCCATCTCCACATGCAATTTGGAAAGTTGAAGGGTGTGCTTTTCAATGGCCTTGGCCATAGGTTCTGGTAATTGAGCAGCCTGCTCTCCAAAGACAGAGAACCTGGCAAAGTGTTCGAAGCTCAACTGCCAGAAATCCTTGACCTCCGAGTGGCGACCTGGGTGTTCATAGCCAGAGATAATGAGGCGGCGCAGAACTTTAAGACACATCAAGCTCTGATCCATTGCCTCTAGAGATGAATCATTCGCGCTGCCTTGGTCTAGTACAGCGATCCATTGACTGATCTTCTCCATATAGATGTTTCCCATCACTTGGAAGAGCTCGGGTGAGATTGATTGCAGGTGTACTCGTGTTCTTTGAATCCGCGCCGTAGACAATTCTTTAATGATCTGGAGGAGCATGAGAAGGGTTCGAGGAAGCTCTAAGGAGTTCGCGCCGGGACGGGTGGCGGAGCGGAGGAAAGAGAGTAGAGTGGTAATCGCATCAGGCCTTCAAAAGGCAAGTCAGAGAAGTTTGTACAAGTGAAAGCTCTTGAAAACATACCAATCATGGGGGAACTCGTAACGAAGGATCTTGGCAACCATCAACGCATTTTGAAGAGCAAGCTGACGCTCTGGCTCATGAATGCCGGCCTCCAAGGCTCTTAATTTAATCTGTTCTTTTTCCTCTTTTGAGATTGCACTTAGACTTGTCAGCACGACCCTCATAGAGAAAGATCTGACGACTTGGCTCGTAAACGTACTTGGCTGCAGTCTTGCGCCAAAATCTATCGATGCCATGCTTCAGCTGAATGATCGCAAGATATCGGACCTCGGTCGGGACGGTATAGTCGACAAAGATATTCTATGAATCAAAGTCGTCAGCTATGGCGCGTGCCATCGCGTGGTGAATGGCGTCAAGGTACCTGAAGGGTGGGGTAATAGAGCTTCTGCTTCTCCCAGTACTGTAGTTGCTTGGTACCCGTCTGCACCTGCTGCTGGGTGGAGCTTGCCGCGAGAACCAAGGCATTAAGCACATTTGCCTGGCTCATCGGGCTAGCCTCGCCCAGCACTTCGATCATGTCGGGCATGGTGAATGATTTCTCGTCGCGGACGCAAGATAGGTGAAAGGACTGGTGGCAGCGGGAGCAGACCGTCTATCAAAAGGTGGGGCTCTTAAGATCACAGATATTCCATCGAGATCGCAGCTGAATCGTATGAGTGATCTGCAATGTCAACAAAGCCCCGGACGGTCTGCAATCGACATCCGCTGCTCCCCTCAATGGGATCGGAGAATGGTTGATCCGGATCAGCTCAAGCCCTAGGGCTAGACCCTGGTATGCGGCCAAATCTGGAACTCAACTTAGGGCTTGTTCGGTGGAGATCATGAAGTCACCGCTGTGGATCCCTGATCAGGGTCCGTAGTATACGATATCATAGCTTATCATAACTGGCAAACTTGATTCCAAGAATCCAAACTTTGGTAGTTCCGACTCCACGCGCCTGCCTGCCTTCTCCGGTCATTCCCAATGGTAGTGACATAGCTATGATGTTCCATGATGCAAAGTCGGTCTCAGTAGCTGGGTCTGAGATATTGCTAGGGTAGTATTTAGGTCAGTGTCAGAACTTGTCCTTTCTATCATTCATTGCAATTTCTCATCTCAATTTTCTCCAACACTTCATCCTTTTTCCACAACCACCAATCATTCATCATATCTAGTCATCATGGCTCACTTTGAAGATCTGCGCAAAGCTGCATTCAACGCCGAGAATGACCTGAACTCCTATGAAGCCAAGCAGGGCCTTGGCAAGAAAAGTGACTCAAGTATGTTAACCTACTAACTTTAGTCACCCAATACTAATGATCTGGCAGCTCTCGAGTCTGGTGTCAATGAGATGGTCGAGAAGAAGTTCGAAGAGCCCACTAGCGTCAAGTATGGCCCTGGCTCCACTGCCTCGGGCAGTGACCACCGCAAGATCCCCGAGGATGAAGGTGGTACTCGTGATGACCGTGGCCGGTAAGCTTGATGCCCATATTTGCAATGAAACCATTAAATGCTAATTATTTCACCATTCATTAGTCTCCCTTCAGCGAAGCACTTCCAAGGCACGGGTGGCCCCGAGGATGATACCAAGATCGCTTTCGAGCAGCGCGGAGGTGACCAGGAGGTTCCCACTCTGCAGGACTTGAAGCGCCGGGGTCTCGCCAACTAAATTGTATTATAGCACAAAGTCTTAATGATCTATACGATGAATGTGACAATATATGAACATTGCACCTTGCGTTACAATTAGAGACTGTCAATTAGTCTGTGCACCAGGTTCGCGTAATCCGAATTATGTCCGAGGATTTTCATTTTCTATGTAGTCGCCCAGACATTTAATTGGTGGGTCAGATTGCGTCGTGGTGAGTGTGATGGCACATGGAATGATTCGTGGCCGGAGCAACATCGAATATTTGGCCCGCTCAAGATCTACGTACGCGTGTTGCTCTTTGGATTCAACATTAGTCCAAATGAGTGCATCCGGACACAAATTTAGCCCAGGACAGTGGCTTGGGCGTATCTTGTCGACGCTTAGTTATCCGAGTCATGGATGTGGCTTTCAGATTTCTATGCGACGTACATTGTAATGTTGGCTTGGAAATACTCCTATAAGAGCATATGCATCTTTGCGTCGACATTATGAGAGAGTCAGCACTCAAGCAGTGATAATCAGGACTTATGTGTGCTGATGGCAGCCTAATAATCATTGCTTGTGTGACAATGTCGTCCGTGGATGCCATGGCTTACAGTCCGGTCCATTTGAAACGAAGCTGAGGAGTCTACTTCACTCCTCTCGAGATTTGGTATATGCTTAAGGTGCTCACGTTCTAGAGTAAAGAACATTTTCAGGTGTCATAGGCGAGGGCGCTAGAGGCTGGTGCTGGTGCTGTTACTGTCAATTGTACTAGTCCTACCTTTGCTAAAAAGGTGGCTTTGGGAGGGTTTAAAATAGGGGAACTGGTAGGTAGGGACTTTTCCATAGTATTGAGAATTCCGTACAGACGAAACGTTGTGATCAAATGGGGTAAGATAGGGGTTTGGGCGGCTGAGGTTGTTCTTGAACAGGGTTAATTCGCAACATTGACGAGTTTTACTCAAAATTACTTGAAAACATAGTCTTGTGAATTTGCGTAATAAGCTCGTGGGCTGCATTGGAGAATCGTTGCTAAGACATAAAGCATAGTGCTAGAAATTAAACCACCTTCCATCCTTTTTGGTCAACCATGAAAAGGGAGAGAACCCATGTCAATCAGCTTATCGGGGCAGAGACTGCGAGTTACAATCAAGGAGCCCTCAATAACCTGAACTGAGGAAGTTCAAACTACTACAGGTTAGATTAGATCAGGTAGGCAAGAAGAGCCACCATAGCGCCGGTCATAGCGACGTTTGGAACGGTGGCAGCAACTGCAGCACCCTTGGCGGTAGTGGAAGAGCCCGAGGCGCTTGAAGTAGTGTTGGAAGCCGACTTGCGAGTAATGGTGACCTTGGTGTTGTAGTCGTTCTTCTCGTCTACCGGAAAGGGGGTGGTGTAGTTGTGAGTGGGCGCCAGGCCGGCATAGGTCTTCTTGACAGCGTCAAGAATACCCTGACCAGCAGAGCAGCTGAGGTTGGTAGCCGGGATGGGCCAGGCAGCGGAGAACTTGGCGTAGTCACCGTCGGCCATAGGGCCAGGGTAGGTCTCGTTGAGGCGCAGATTGGTCATATCAACGTCGTAGTTGACATAGCCGGTCTTGTTAGCGACCATCTCGAGAATGTTGGCACCACAGTCCTAAAGATCGATTGTCAGGATTGAACTACGAGTTGGGGAGAAATAACTTGGCTTACCCAGCGACCCAGAGAAGGAAGACCCCAGTTGGCGGAGACAGAGGCAATGGCAGAGTAGTGAGTGTAGAAAGTGTCGTCCTTGGTACCCTTCAGGTGGTCGGGAATAGCACCACCAACAAGGATACTGAAGATCCGGTTGGTCTTGTTGTAAGTGTCATCCTCATCGAAGGTCAGGAGAATGACGGTGTTGTTCATGAAATAATCGTTCTTGAACAGAGTGGACATCCAGCTACGCTCCCACTTGGCGGCGAAAGTGATGTTGGTATCGTGGGCATCATTGGTCATGTTGGGGGTGATGAAAGCCCACTGAGGAAGCTTCTTGTCATTTAGATCATCGAAGAAAGCGTCAAAGCTCTTGATCTGACGAGCACGGGTATCATTCTTGACGACGGAATCATACAAGACGAGGGGGTTGTGCTTGCGAACGTAGTCATTGGCATAGGTCTCCTGGTTGGAGTAGTTGTAGCCCTGGAAGCCGGCATAAGGAATGTGCTCCTGGTACTCGCCCCACGAGATACCCTTGGTGTCGAGAAGATCAGCCACAGTGGAGACGTTGACAGGGATCTGGTTGAAGTTGTCATTGTCCATGCCGAAGGTGTCACCACCAGCGGCCGCACAGTAGTTAGGTTCCGACGGGTGGGTGACAGCATAGTAATTGGTCCTAGGTGAGGATTAGAATTGCCAAGTGTGTTACAGACAAGTGAAGTGAACACTCACAGCAAAATACCCTGAGAGGCCAACCACTGCATGTTGGAGTCGGAGGCGGCATCTTCGTAATCCTAGGCGCAAGTCAGCACAAGCAGTCAGATATAAGACTGGGAGTATCACTCACAATGTTCTCCAGCCAGACCTGGTAGAAGCGGTCAAAGGCCAGACCCTTGACATCGGAGGTGGGGGACTCGGGTTTGGTAGTCGCAGCCGCCGCAGTGATCTGAGCAATGGCAGGCTCAGAGGTAGTAGCAATCTGAGCACGCGCCAGAACGGCAGCAGCCAGCAGGGATGCGAGAGAACCCTTCATCGTGAATGTACTGGGAAAGTGGTCACGCGATTAAAGAGTGATGCTGTGATGCTAGCTACGGAAAGCTTTGAACGAGAGTGAAGAAAGAGGAAACGATCAGAGGGAGAAAAGATGTTTATGTATGGAGAAGCCCTCACTCCCCCATGCACGTGGTAGATCTCGCATGGACAGACCTCACAGGTAACATCGCGTCACTGCTTACTTCTCTGTTAGGCAACGGCGACTGTACACCCCGGACCTAATTCTGAGTGCTCCAAGGTGCCTTGGAAGGTTGTACTCGCAATGATCGTCACGACTGCTCCCACGATGTGCAAGCTACCTATATGATTGGCCGGGTTCCCCTGCCACGCCGGGGCACATCCGATGCCAAGAGGATTACTAACTTCCAATTCCCATCAAGGCGTTTGGACGGCAGCTTGGTTGCGCCAGGCACGTGTGCGGATCTTGGCTTCTTATGGCTGGGGCTTCAGGATGTATAGCCCCAGGTTCATGGAAAAAGTCACCTTGCTCCAGGATCTAGAAGGGTTCATTCGGGTAACATGGCCAAGCGAGGTGGAGTCTGCGGAAACAGCCGATATCAACCCGTGGAGTATATGCTTCCAATCCGCTCGAGCCTTACGGGTACCTCATTCTGAATTTGTCCCATTGTCCAATGAATGCAAGCGTATGCCCATTCATTTGACTACCACTGGCTGCGTGGTTAGGGAATCTGACGCTCCTTGCGAGTGGACCATCGCCACTATAGATTGCACACCACGGAGACTTCTTATGGTCCGACTCTCACATTTAGCGTGATACCAAACCAAATTGAGGGGTTCTAGTCGATATCATGCGAGGACTAGTGACACAGCAAAGAATGTGTGTCAAATCAAGTAATTCCCACTAAAAGCGATCTAGAGATCCGTGAGAACCTTGAGGCATAATCCGGCCGAGTTAGTTTTCTGTCGTACATTGTCACGCCGCTTTGGTTCGTCTAGAGTTCTGATGCTCCTACTCCCCGTCCCCGGACGGTAGCCTGTCGATGGAAATTTCACGCATGAAGTTCACGAACCCTGCTTAATTTGAGGACTTCATCGATTTCTTCAAATGGGGCAGTCACGTGGGACTAACCTCGGCTCCGCGTCTGGGGAACCGACGCCCTGACCGTTTCCCGTCACCGTCCTCCGCATTCCTTCATCTTCTTTCTTCCTATCCAGTCACCGCACGATGATCATACGATGAGCTCGACAAACTTCGCCGCTGCACAAGAGCGGGTTCTCGAGCGCCGGCGTCTTCGTCAGGCAGAAGCGCGTGCCCGCTTGGCCGAACAACAGCGGACATCGCCAATCAACTCTGCTACCGTTGAACGCCTTCCGTATCCGCTCAATCGACTACCAGGAGCGGGATGGATGACATGGAATTCTATCAAAGGTCGGGATGGTACGCGCCCGGCATTTCGGGTTGGTCAGGTGGACGCCGAGCTGCTGGATGAGGAGCTGCTAGGCCTGATGAAGGGTCAGGTTGGGGATGCTCTCAAATATTTTGGAGTACGCACTGCTGGAGATACTTGATTCGCCATTGACATATGCTAACCGATCAGTAGCCTCAAATGAGGGAAGACTGGTCACATGAGATTCTATTGGCGCTTCGCGCCATCCTCTTCAAACTCTCCATATGGGATCATAATGCGTCATATGGAGCGGCGCTGCAGGGTCTCCGATACACTGATAGCCGCAGCAAGGGACCTGTGCATTCGGCTCCAACGAAATGGCAGAAGTCCGCATATGGCCTGCTGACCGTGGGTGGTCGATATGCGTGGGATAAATGGGAGAGTTGGTTGATTGGGCAGGAAGGTGGCTACGAAGAGGTTGGTCATTTGCTATCTTGAAGATTGATTCAACTCTAACATCCATCCGAAGCCGTCGCAGGATATTCGCATGCTGTCCCGCTTGACAGACTTCATCTCCACGTCGCACTCGATTGCCGCCTTCGTTTCGTTCCTCGTATTCTTGGTCAATGGTCGCTACCGAACGTTAGTTGATCGACTTCTCCGTATTCGCCTCACACCACCCTCTGCCCAAGCCAGTCGAGAGGTCTCTTTTGAATATTTGAATCGACAACTGGTCTGGCATGCGTTTACCGAATTCCTCCTGTTCTTGCTTCCTCTTGTTGGAATTGGTCGCTGGAAACGCTGGATATCTCGCGCCTGGCGGAAGGCCGTTCATGCCCTTAAGTCTGGTGGGAACGAAGAAGAGGCTACGGAGAAGCAAGGAGAGCTTGCTTTCCTCCCGGAACGGACTTGCGCCATCTGTTATCGCGATCAGAATCCCGCAGCGGCGACAGAAAGCGATGTCATCGCAGCGTCGGCGTCGGGTGGTATCTCGGGCTCGGCACAAACAGACATCACGAATCCCTATGAGACCATTCCATGCGGGTGTATCTATTGCTTTGTCTGCATTGTGCAGAAAGTGGAGGCCGAAGAAGGCCAGGGCTGGGTCTGTCTCCGATGTGGTGAGATTGTCAAGAAGTGTCAACCGTGGAATGGCGACGTGCTGGAAGAAGCGAGGTCGCTGCCCGGCACGGGCAAGATTGTCGGGTTTGCCATGGACGAAGAAGGGGACGAGCCCACTCAAACAGACCGAATCAAGGAGAATTCGAGCCCTCTAGAGGAAATCTCCGCCGACGAAGCCTTACAGCATTCAAACCAATGGTCCAGCGAGGAGAAGCAATCTTCAGATGAAACTGCGACAGAAGAGGATTCCGGCTACCACTCTGAGAACCAATCCGAGCATACGTGAACGCCTCCTGCTCTGAAAAGTATCGGCTTTCTCATCTCGTTACCCTTCATCACCGATATTCCTGCAGGCATCCATTTCTGGTCCATTAGAGATTTAAATTATCACGATACCCACTCAATTTGGAGTCATTCTGTACATAGCAGCATAAATCATTCCAAGTCAAACCCACCCAAGCATGTGCTTTATTTCATCCAAACAACCCCACAAAACCCAATCAGCGCCCCAGCCACAGTAAACAGAGACCGATAAAAGTTCAACTCCCCCCATTTCTTCAGCAAAGCAGGAACATCTTCATCGTCCCTCGCCCTTTTTGCCTTCTCCTGATCACTAACCACCATCTCCTCCATCCCATCCGCCACCGCTGCATCATCCCGCGCAGCATGCGCTTTCAGCTTCATGTTGATGGGCCACATCACAATGAAAGTCCAAGGAACGATTCCCATCGTAGTAACCGCAGCTGTGATATAGAGACTGCTCCAACTACAGTTGACGGCAGTTGGGCCAGGAGCATTCCGCAGAGCCCATGCCAAGTAGCAATTCGCCAACGAAGAAATGACTGCGGTCGTGGGGTAAAGGCGTATTCCGCGATCGTAGGCATTGTTCCATTGGTGAGAGAGGTGTGCGATCGGGGTCCCTGGGGTCTGGCGCGTGCCTGTTGCCGATGGATGCCGTGCTGCCATTCCGAGGGTTGGCATCGTTACTAAGGAGAGACCCATCATGCCTCCTGTTTTTTTTTATTAGCTCTTTGTACTGGAGATATGTCGTTGAGCTGTACTTACCAGCTGCGTAGCCGCAGCCGAGTGTTCCGATCATCTGCGCTACCACGATGTCGGTCATGGTGCATATGCTGTATAGATAGTGGTATAGGTTGGGATATATATGTGATGTTGATGGATTTTGGTAGGAGTGAGAGTATCTCAGATAAGCTCAGAGTTCGAGACAGCGAACAGGTGAGAAGGGACAAAGATAGATGAAAGCAATAAGAGGGGAAGGGGCAAAGTTCATGAAGTCGCTGACTCGTCGATGACGTTTTGGTCCAGTGAATACGACACTCGGGCTTCTCTTCGGTGATATATTTTCTTATCTTGATGCTCGATCGACGAATCCCGCTCAGATACTGGAAAGTAGATTCAGTTGGATATACCTAGCTATCAGAAGCTATACTGAGCACCCCCACTAAACCGGGAAAAAGACTCCGATCTGAGCAATGCGCGAGTCTTGACTGGTTCCCGATGTTCCCGACGCGGGGTCCACCGTCGGTCACAACTGCGAGCTCAGTTTCCCCGCGATTGTATTTGGTTGTGTTTGTCCCTCCCAACTATTCGATTCAACGCAATCATGGATTCTACCGAGTCATCCGTTACTACCGGGGAAGCGAAGTACATTAACTTCCCTTGTCTGCCTGCCGATGCCAGACACGCCGATGGATCGCTAGCGCTCAATCGCTATTCATCAACCATCACCCGAGGGCATGACTTCCCCGGTGCTCGAGTATGAGGAAATTGATGAACTACGCATTAAATGTTGCTGATGATGCTACAGGCAATGCTTTTCGCCGCTGGCGTCCCGGACAAGGAAGCGATGGCCAAAAGCCCCCATGTCGGTATTGCATCCGTCTGGTGGGAGGGCAACCCATGCAATATGCATTTGATGGACCTGGCCAAGACAGTCAAGAAAGGTGTTTCGGACCTGGACATGATCGGGTGGCAATACAATACCATTGGTGTTTCAGATGCCATCACAATGGGGAGCGATGGTATGCGGTTCTCGCTTCAAACACGTGAAATAATCGCCGACAGCGTTGAGACTGTGACCTGTGCCCAATATCACGATGCCTGCATTGCTATTCCCGGATGTGACAAAAACATGCCCGGTGTCGTGATGGGTATGGCCCGGCATAACCGCCCGTCTATTATGATCTACGGCGGTACTATTGGCATTGGGTATTCGGAGCAACTCCGAAAACCCGTAAACATTTCGACCTGTTTCGAGGCTGCTGGTGCTTATGCGTATGGTACGCTTCGCCAGCCAGATGATGGTGGTGATACTAGCAAGACGCAGGATGAGATTATGGACGACCTCGAGAAGCACGCTTGTCCGGGGGCGGGTGCCTGTGGTGGTATGTTCACTGCGAACACAATGGCCACAGCCATTGAATCAATGGGACTGTCTCTGCCCGGGTCCTCATCCACCCCCGCAGCTTCGCCTTCCAAGATGCGAGAGTGCGTGCGTGCTGCGGAGGCCATTAAGGTTTGCATGGAAAAGAATATCCGACCTCGGGATCTGCTCACCAAGCGCTCCTTTGAGAACGCGCTGGTGATGACCATGGCCCTGGGTGGTAGCACCAACGGTGTTCTGCACTTCTTGGCCATGGCGCGGACCGCGGGAGTGGACTTGACGATCGATGACTTCCAGCGGGTGAGCAACAAGATTCCCTTCATTGCCAACCTGTCCCCTAGTGGCAAGTACTATATGGCCGATCTCTACGAAATCGGAGGTATTCCGTCCGTCCAGAAGCTCCTGATTGCCGCCGGTCTCCTTGACGGGGACATCCCTACCGTGACGGGTAAGACACTGGCCGAGAACGTCGCATCTCACCCTTCACTGCCACAGGACCAGGATCTCATTCGCACGTTGGACAATCCAATCAAGTCGACCGGTCATATCCAAATTCTGCGCGGGAACCTGGCCCCTGGCGGTGCCGTCGCCAAGATTACAGGCAAGGAAGGACTACGATTTACCGGCAAGGCCCGGTGTTTCGAGAAGGAGGCCCAGCTCAATGACGCCCTTACCGAGGGACGGATCCCACGTGGGGAGAATCTGGTGCTGATTGTCCGCTACGAAGGACCCAAAGGTGGACCCGGAATGCCGGAACAGCTCAAGGCGAGTGCGGCACTCATGGGAGCCAAGTTGAACAACGTCGCCTTGATTACGGATGGTCGGTACTCCGGAGCCAGTCATGGCTTCATTGTGGGCCACATCACCCCTGAGGCGGCCGTGGGCGGCCCCATCGGTCTGGTTCGCGATGGAGACATGATCACCATCAGCGCAGAGACCAACGAACTGACGATGGATGTGTCGGATGAAGAGCTAGAGACGCGACGACGCCAATGGACGCCACCGACGCCGCAGATCACCCGGGGCGTGTTGGCTAAATACGCACGGCTAGTAGGTGATGCGTCTCATGGAGCCATGACGGATCTGTTTTGAATTTACGATGCATATTTCCATTAGTGTTATAGTTTCACAAAAATAGTAACTTGATAGAAGCAAAGAAGGGGGCGAAAGAACAAAGTAAAGTACGGTAGAAGGACAAGTGCGTCATGGTCAAACCAAGTGGAACCCCGTTGAGTCACGTTGTTTCCTCCACGCTGAGCCTCCCGACATTCTCACTGGTCGAGTCTATTGCCTTTTTTTCCCAGTTTCCTTTTTCTTCCTCACATCTTACTCAACTATTCCCGGCCCCGTTGACGATCTCAATCCTCTCATTGGCGTCCCGCCCCCTATACGGTGTACTATCATCCAAACAGAGTCGGTCGCGCCATAGCGTGGTCTTGGACGAGAACCCTGAAGTCTAGATCCCTGAAGTCAAGATCCCTAGAGGGATCGGAAATAGGACCTTGAGCCTCGCTCAAGGTACTTAAACAACCACCTTCAACCATGGGGAATGATGGTGCTCCTAATTCATTGTCAACAATCTACGGCGTCTTCTCATCCCAATTACTTGATCGCTCGGGCCTCTCGGCTGTCTGGCACTTCTGCAACGAAGCGCGTGTGGCGGCCCAACGGTCGACTTTGAGTGACGTCGCAAACTACCTACAATTCCTTTATCGCGATGAGTCTGTGAATCGCGGCCAGATTGTGTTTTTGACAACTCTTGCGATTGCAATGGCTGGCTGTGGATTTCTTTCTTGCCTCGTGAGGCGCAGGCGGTCCGATAGGACTCGATTGTCGCGCTTCTCGATCCGCAACATCACATCCAAGTCGTCCACCAGGACTCTCACTTCCTCGTCGGATGATGACTACGAGGACGACGAGTATGATAGCAACGGCTCTCTGCGGCATGCCACCAATCCTCAGCAGAAAGCTCCGGAGTGGTCGATGCAGTCGCAGCAGCAAACTGCTGATGGTAGGATTCCTGCGCTTCCTGACCTGACACGCAAAACTCTAACAAGCTTTCAGCCTTCAAATCGGACCCAGGTCTGCTGAAGAAGTACACCACCTACAACTCATACACCACCTCTGTGGCGACCTACCCGGCTATCCGAACGTTCTTCTGCCCACACCCGAATCAGAGCCGCCTTCCGACCAAACCAACCCCCCTTCCTTTGCTAGTCGTCGTACACGGCTTGGGAGGATCACTTGCACAATTCCATCACTTGCTGAAGTCTCTTTCCAATGTTGGATCGTGCTTCGGTATCGATTTACCGGGCTGTGGCTTGTCCAAATTTGCGCCGACCGAGTGGGACGCATACACGGTGGGGGCGCTGGCTGAACTTCTGGCTGTTGCCATCGAACGGCACCGTGATCAGGAGAATGGCCAAGAAGTGATCTTGATTGGTCACAGTTTGGGCTGTTCGCTATCGGCTCTGCTTGCCTCCTCGACTTCGTCGATCGGAAAGAGTTTGAAACCGCATATTTGCGGACTTATCGCCGTCTGTCCGCGAGCCGATCCACCGTCTGCCCATGAGGTCACGACGTACCGCAGACTGCTCCACATTCCGGGTCCGATCTTCGACCTGTGGCGTTTGTGGGACCGACGTGGCGGAATAGAGAGCGCTAGCGTGATGAGAATGGTAGGCAGCAATGCCGATGCCGCAACGCGAGACCTTCAAGTTCGTTTCAACAAGCAGAGTCAAACTCCGGTTTGGCGTCGCATGGCCTGGGGGTCTTTCCCGACCTACAACGGAAATGAGCCTGTTGGCGGCATGCCTGGTGAGAAAGTCTGGGCTGGGATCAACATGCCGATATTGTTGGTAGCAGGCGAGGCCGACGCAGTCACGAAGCCGGTAGAAATCCAAAAATTGCTGAAATTCTTCGGTGACTCTTCGGCCCCTGTCACCATCGCCACCGACGGGAGTAGTGTTATTCCTGATGCCTCGCGAGTTCGTGATCAGATCTCAACATCGTCTAATTTGCTGTCTCACGATGAGAAATATGGTATCAAACCTACTCAGGAAGAAAAGCAGATCGATGAAGTCAATCTTTCCGGCACTGACCGGAAGCGACTGGTCAAGTCGGCCATTCTGCCCTCGCCTGCTTCCCACGCACTCCTCTACGATCGTGCGACGTATCGCACTCTCGCCGGGATCATCCAAGATTTCCTTTCGCACCACATCGACAAACGTTTGGCCTTAGGGTGGCAATTGCAATACATGAACACCTCAGGTAAATGGGACGTGAAGAACCTCGCCAAGTGGCAGAAGGTGGCCCCAGTTTCCGAGCCAATTGCCAACACCTTCGCCGCGCTCAAGATGCTTCGTGAAGTAGACGAGCAGCACAACCCAGTACTCTTCTCTCAGAAGTACCGCGACCGCATCTACGCTGTGATTGATATCAGCCACGAATGCCCAGTCTACAACCCGGCCACAATGGAAGCAGGCGGCATTCGCTACTGTAAACACCCTACGGTTTCTAAGATCCCCCCGACCCCTGATGAGACCCGCGACTTCATCGACTTAGTCGATCGTCTCCAAGGTGAAATCGACGTGAAGATGGAGAAACGTGAGGACCCTTCGCAGCCGCGTCCGCTGGTCGGCGTCCACTGCCACTACGGCTACAACCGTACTGGGTTCCTCATCGTCTGCTACCTGATCGAGCGACTGGGGTTTGGTGTCCAAGAAGCCATTGATGAGTTCAACCGGTGCCGGGCGCCTGGTATTCGTCATGAACATTTCATCGATACTCTTTTTGTACGCTATTGCGTAGGTTTGAAGAGGGCACCTACGCTGTAATTTTGTTTTTATGGCGTTCATGGTTAGAAGGGACTTTCTTTTGGCATTGGTTATGCTTATTATTATTTCCAGGTTGTGAGATACGATTACTTTATTCTTCTTCAGCGATAGATATGTGTTATTAGGATTATGAGATATTACGAATTGTATCAGCACGGGAGGCTGCTCTTCTTGCATGAATTGATCTTTCAAACTACATTCATTGGGTGAATGATACTGCTTTGTTCTTCATACATACGGTCCAACGCAAAGGCCGAAAAGATTTTTGTACACGATCAGCGTCTTTTCACGACTGTTGTCGACTCTGCGTAAGGTACATATCCAGTCTCTTAGATCGCAGTTCTCGCGGCGTCATCCGCGTCCGATTCGGCTGGGTCTCAGGAATATTACATAGTCTTGATGTCTTTGCCATTGATTCACTTTGTTTGTCCTGCCCCTTTCATGAGTAATCTCTCGAGCCTACTTTGGTCTCAGTCTTGAAACGAGACCAAGTACATTATCCTCCTTGGCTATAACCAAAGTTCGAAGCTTACGAGACAAACTCGACGATCATGAATCTATGTTTCGGGCCAGGTTATAAATATGCAAGAACATCCCAACTCTGCATCCCGTCAATCTCAACAACACCGCTGACATCCGTTTCAAGTCTATACAGCTTGCTCTACTACTTTCACCACCCAGGTGCATTCCACATTCAAAATGGCTGACCTTACGGAACGGCGACGAGGCATCCTTAGATCCATCGCGGTGGTCGAAGGATTGTTTGGTTCGAACGCTCACACTCTTTTCGCAGGGCTTGCTACCACCCTCCTATCTAAATGTGAGCCACAGCCCGACGAGGACTCAGATATTCCAGAGGAGGTTTGGCAAGTTCAGGAACTCATTGACTGTCTTTTCCCCGGAGCCGACACATCTAACCCAAGTTTTCAGCGCCGCTATAGCGGTTTGTCAGTTGCTGACTTGACACTTCTAGGTTCTCACATTAAGCTGCGCCAGAGGAACTTAGTTCCCCCTGGTCATATAGCAAACATCCCTCTTGATTTAGAATCCCAGATCTCTTCTATCACGGCTGAAGAGTTGCAAACCACTAGTCTTACCCCAGAAGAGGTTATTTGGGTGGCAGAGCGGACATCGACATTGTTTAATTTTCACAATCTCGAGGCTTTGGAAGTTACTACTGACCCACTGCCCGAGGAGTTTCAGCAGTGTAACGGCGGTGAGTGTGGCATTTGTTACGAGTCGCCTACTATTGGTATGGTTCTAGTGATCCTTCCCTGTCAACATTGGTACTGTGGGGAATGTATCTTGAGGTGGCTTTTTACCAACCCTACATGTCCGGCATGTCGTCAAGATGCCCTACCCACGCAGTCCCAGCAGATGTGAGATTCGAAAATTTGGCTTTATTCTAGCTTGGTCCTGAGTTCTACCAGTACTATCGTCCGTTCATATGAACTAAGAATATTGAAAGGGATTCCATTCGTCTTCGCTTAGAGATTTCTTTGTTCAAGATTTTCTTTCAAAGGGTCAATGTGTAGATGAGTGTCTGAGATTAATGTAGCTTCCGACGAGAAGGTCGTGTATGCTATGAGTCGTCTATTCTATGTGAACTTCTCGTAGCCCTTTCCGGAAGGACTAGAATCCTGCTCTAGATCAATAGATTGTCACTGATTCTTCAACTGCCTGGGTGCAACAGGCTAGCTACGATGTGGTTGGTTGATCGTGCCCATAGATTGAATGGATAGACCGTGTAGACAAGGAAATTCCAAGACTGTTTCAGGGTTCAGGAATCCAGGTCATCAAAATTTCAGAGATCCCTCGATGATACTTTGGGCGAACAGGTGGCGTATGGATTTCGGGCCGATTGAGGACATGGTCAAATCTGCCTTGATGCCTGAATATACTGATGCCTTAGGTGCCAGGCTCTAAACCAGTCGGGTAGCCACGTGATCCTGCCTCAGGCAACCTTAGGGTACGGCTAACCCGAACAGGCTAAGCGAACCACACACAGGCCCAAGGCAACCAAACGGGGGCGAGTTTGTGTGTCTCGAAATTTTGGACTTCGACTTCGACCCTCCACTCCGACTTCCGACCTCTCTCATCCCCTACGCCCTTTCGAGCCCTCAGTCGCCAATATGGGTGGTGTTACCGTTCGCGATGTGGACGTAAGTGTCCTTCGATTCTCGCCGACTGAGCCAGGCCGCCTGGTCGCGGTGTGTGACTTTTGTGGATATCGTGAAGGGATTCGTTTCTGGGGCTTTGCATTGGCAGACACATTTCTGCAGTGCTTTGGATACTGCGAGCAGTGATCTGCACTGGAAATTCAGCCTGCAAGAATGATACTGGTCTTGTCGGGGAGGATTGACGGTGGGAGCATGTGTGATCTGCTCGGTTCAGACTTGATGGAGTTTTCTGTCATTTCGAATCCTCTGGTGAAGCAGTGAAAGCATTTTCATGTGAAAAAAAATCTGCTCCGCGACGCCAGATGGAACTGCCTCAGAAACGAACCTGACACGATCCGCAAATTTGCACCCTGACTGGCCATGCAATTCCTTCCGATCAACAACGCTAACAATCTTCTAACCTACAGGCGCAGAAGTTCATTGCTGCCTACTCTGCTTTCCTGAAGCGTCAGGGTAAGCTCCCCATTCCCGGCTGGGTCGACACTGTCAAGACCTCTGCCTCCAACGAGCTCCCTCCCCAGGACCAGGACTGGTAAGCACACTTCCGAAAACCGACCTCGAATGTCCCAGTAAACCTAACACCTTCCCAAGGTTCTACGTCCGCGCTGCCGCCGTCGCCCGCCACATCTACATGCGCAAGACCGTCGGTGTTGGCCGCCTTCGCAAGGTCCACGGCTCCACCAAGAACCGTGGTGCCCGCCCCGCCCACCACGTTGACGCCTCCGGCTCCGTTGACCGCAAGGCCATGCAGGCTCTTGAGAAGATCGGTGTCCTCGAGATCGATGAGGACAAGGGTGGCCGCCGCATCACCCAGAGCGGCCAGCGTGACTTGGACCGTATCGCCAAGACCACTGTCGACGATGAGGAGGAGTCTGATGATGAGTAAACGTGTCGCCTAGGGCAGAATTCGAAGGTCGTTTTGGTTTGCTCGGTTTCGTTGAGAGACTAGCAGGTGGAATGATTGATACCTAAAAAAAAAAATCGGAGCTCGGTCCCGGCGATTTTTTACGTTTGTTCATCTTATTATTTTTCCCTTTATCCTGACGACCAGACGGGGCTAGCGGAGAGACGCGGAAGTGTGCATGAGGAGGCATTCCCGAGAGCGAGAGCGAGAGAAAGAGGACGAGACAGGCATCCCGGCTTTCCCTTGTTCTGAGCTGGGTAATGCTGTCCGGGGGATGTTTCTTATTTCCTTAACATTTTGATCTCCTCCTCTTTGACCCGACCCACCCCACGGCGTCTTCGTTCCTGTTTTTCTCTCGCGGTCTCCTGGAAATAAAGAGCATGTCTGACTAAACACGTTAAAACTGTTCATCTGTGTGTAGTTTCAGCTGCGCGATTGCGTAAGCACGTAGGTTGGAGTTGTAGGCCCGCTCTATACTTCCATTGCATCCCGAGAAGTGTCGACCTCTTGATGCTAGGTGTAGTGCCCCTGTTTCTCCTTCAGCATGAATGTCTGTATGCATTCTGGTCTAGTTGATCTATCCTGAACCCTATCACCTCAAACATCCCCATCAAAGGATAGATTCTGTTTCAAAAAAAAAAAAAAAAAAAGCCATAATACCACTTCCCACTGTGATGGTCAGATTCTCCGTGCCTCCAATCCCTAATGCTCTACGTATCTTTGCCATGGTGTGCTTGACGCGATCGTTTCCCGTATTTGCCAGTCCCAGATCGGGCCTACCTCCATCTTGTCACCAAAGTTGCTGTTCCCAGATCTATTTCTAGTGGATTCAACGTCGTCTCTTCAGACAATTTGGAATATGGTCGCCATCTGTGGGAATGCCATCTCGATCCCAGGCGATGGGGATGTGAGACCGGAAACTCGGTTCCTAGAGTTTTGTCGTCCAAGTCCCATGGAAGAATCAGGTTCTTACATAGATCTCGAGATAGTCGATTTGTGCTTAGCTCGTGAGGTGAGAGGATCTTGCGCTCCACCTTGAAAAAGTCCGCACATCTCAACTCCTGTCCACTCTTCATGCAGCCACCAAGTTTAATAGTTTTCATTATTTGCATGCTCGGGTCCAGGTCTACAGCGTGGTTGAACCAGATAGTCATACCACACGTAGCATGTCCAGGCTTCCAACATGTACGATGCTACTACGGTAGTCAATGATAGTATGATATAACCTTTCGAATAGGATAGACGAAACTCGGCATATCGCTGGGCTAATTTTGGATTGTAATTGGGAAAAGTCTCAGACACAGATGACGCGATCGTGTTCAGTAGTCAGAGCTATGGAAATCTTTATCATAATGTTTGCACCTCTTATTTCTTACCCGACTGCGCCGAGGGATCCTACATCAAGTTAGCTTAGCCCCTCACACAAGGCCCGAATAGATAAAAACAGAAGATGGAATGGTGTACTAACCAGATATACCTGATAGAATTGCATCTTCACTGCCTCGCCCTCCTTCGCCGGCTCAAATACCACTCGTCCAGCCCAAGGCACATACACATCGTTCTCCGGGTTCGCCTTGAGTCTATAGTTGACTCCCCCGTAGAGCATGATCTCGTCATCACCGCTGAAAAAGATGCGCTGTGGGGTGTGCTTCCGCGATGCAACGTGTGCCCAAAGTCCGTGTCGGAGAGGCAAGATCTCTACCAATTCGTGTTAATATCATGTCTTCGGAGCTCCAGCGCGGGGGAACTAGGAGATAGCTGCGATTACACGGCCATGTAGAGTGCTGCGAAAAGTCGAACATACCACTGGCGCCCTTGGCTTCCTTCGGTCCCATAATTAGCGTCGCGTCTTCGGTGAAGCTCTGGACGTATTTCTCGTGCAGGGACTCGGTGTCGCTGGTGCGGTAGAAGTCCTCCATGAACGCGACGATGGCGGCGCCACGGGCTGGCGCGCGGGCTTTGTCGTAGGCAATTTGGTAAGACATGGTGTTACTGTAAATGTCAAGAATGTTTGTAGAGGAAAAGATTATCTGTAGACTAAGAATTGGGAGAATTAGTTTGATATGTAATCCACGTCGATTTCATCATTGAGGGGCCGTCGGACCGATGGTTCTGGTCCGTATCCGATCTGATCAACCTTGCGCTTTGAGGACTTTTCGACTGACTGCTACGTTCCTTTTATTTGACTGACCGTCTCATTCTCTTTACTATATCCTTGTGTGACGCTCTACATTGGTGTGAAGACATTCAAGTGCAACATCCGATTTCACTCCAGATCGGAGATCAATGTCCCTCCGCGGCTTCCGACGGTCGCAGATGCCGACGTCAAATGTCCACCGATGAAATCGAAGTCAATGAAATTGTAAAGCTTGCCGAGGTATCTTCGGCTACATGGCTCTTGATTGTGTCGCCCAAGGTTCTCGCTGAGCTAACTTGTTTCGTATTTCATGAACTCGTTGACGAGGGCTTCCGAATTCCACGGAAGATGCTGTCTATGTACAATGTAAAGGTTCCGTACTGGAGACAATCAACACTTCTTCACATCACCCTCGCCCTCGCCATTGATCTTGAAATCCTCCCATGAAGCCCGATCGGCTCCATTAGGCCGGCTAGCCCTGACGAACTGGTTGTCAACACCTTCAATAGCAGCAACTGGCTTTACAACCTCAATGTCCGCATTGTAAGCACGTGAGAACCACTTCTCTACCAACGGCTGGCGACCCTCGCGCTGCTCCCCAGCAGCCGCATACAGATGCGGGAATCGCTGGTGCATGCCCTTGAGCACGGTCGATGAGATACGATCGACACTGTCGCAGTGACGCAACTTGAAGAACTCGGGCGGCTGCGACGCGCGTAGTTCTTCTTGCACCTCGGCGGAATACTGGCCCATTGCGAAGAGGAGGAGATCGTAGTGCATAAGGGAGGCTTTGCCGTGGTACGAGCCGCCGGACTTTGCTCGGTGGTATAGACCAGACAGGGCGGCGATGGCGCCCATGCAGCCTGTGCCGTAGTCGGAGATGGGGAATGGGGGAACGACTGGTGTGGAAAGACCCATGAATTGACCTTGGGCCCAGGCAATACCAGTGACCTGATTTTCAGGTTAGCTATGGAGACGCATCGGGCCGGGGAATTAGCTTGGGGAAACCTACACAGTCTGCGATCTGTTGCCAACCAGCACGATCAGCCCATTCGCCCTCATAGCCGAAACAGTTCTCGTTCACGTAGACGATGCCTTTTCCCCGCTTCTCAGCCATGGCAGCCATGGCCTGGGGCCCGTATCCGAGCTTCTCCAAGGCACCAGGACGGTATCCGTCCACGATAACATCCACGTCGGCTAACAGCTTCTCGAACTCGGCTTTTCCAGCCGCGGTCTTCAGATCGAGATCTGCGGCGTGCTTGCCCATGTTGCCGTCGACCTGGAAGAAAGGTACGTCCGACAGGTTCGGGCTGGTGATCTTCAGCACGTCGGCACCGTACTCGGCCAGAATGCGGGTGACGGTGGGACCGGCAATGATACGGCACATCTCCAGGACTTTGACACCTTCGAGGATCTTCTTGCTGCCGCTACGGTTGGCGGGGAATGGAGTTGGGGGCAAGTTGCCCTGGAGTTGAGTGACCTTCCATGCAGGCTCTTGCACGTTGACTTTGCCCTAGAGTCGCTGTAAGTGATCTGATGCCGTCTGCACGAGGAACACAGAAACATACATGAGGGGTCTTAATGAAGTCGTCGTGCTTCAGCGCCGGGACACCGGCTTGGCGTCTCTCCTTGTTCATCACCTCCAGCTCAGAAACGGAATACTTTTGCACCTGACCCTCAATCACCTTGATGATGTCCTCATAGTCCGTCAAATCAGGGCGGTGGCCCTCCAGGCCGATCATGTTCAAGGTTGTTGTGGCCTCCAAGGAGCCGTGAATGTGATAGAATTCTCCAGGGTTCTTCGTCTTGTATAAGTTGGCCGACATGCGTCGATAGCCATTTGATTGAGCAGCCAGCAGATCCGTGTCTTTTCGAGTATTAGTATCTCTCACTCAACAGTACGTATCACCATAGCATACCCTTCAGTTTAGACTTCACGTTGGGATCCAGCTTCGACAGTCCGTCCAGCTTGGCCATGTAGGCCTGACATCCAAAGGCCGTGGCACCTTCGAGACTGACCTGGACACCGCGTGGCTGCGCATTCTGGCCGAAACGCAGGTCCGCAATAGCAGCAGCTACAGAGCCCTCGATACCCTTGAGCGCTGCCAAAGTCTCCGTCTCTTTGAACGGGATCGGGAAGTATATTTCGTTATGGCTGGTGGAAAAGGAAACCCGATCTTTATTGGCCAGGACCGGAGAGGGCAGGCCAAGGCGATCCGATTGATCACACAGATCAGAGTAAATGCGGCTGGTCTCAAGGACGGGTGAGTAGCGCGAGCCGCTGAATTCCTTGTTGCTCGCCATGGTCTCTTGTCTTTCCCGTCGTGATGGAATTGAGATAAGTGTGATGTGCAATTATGTGCACGCGCGGGAGATTACGCGTGTATGCGGAGAAAGAAATTCTTCTTCGTCCCTCCGTTCCGGCTAATTTGTTGCCCGCAGGAAGGTTTGTTGGCTGAAGTTTTTGATCGGCAGTGGCGAGTAACACTGAAAGAGCCGAGATGAAGAGGAGTGATTAAATGGACACCATTAGCCTATATAACACGGGAAAAGGCTCGGGAACAAAAGTGACTCTGTCCGTCGGGTCGATAGCCGCCTATTTCGGCCGTCGGCTCAGTCCAAAGGCGGATATGGGTATTTACTATGATGAAATGCTAGAAAACCGAACTAGACCCCGCAATACTGATCCGAAAGAGAAATGTCCGGCTCGGGGAGGCTGTCGGAAGCGATAAGATCGGATACGGAAGTCACGTGACTGGGCTGGATCTATACTGTTCCATGTAGAGCATTGGGTAAGTTGTACTCTGCATGGACGTGGCCGTGGCGGACATTCAATTTCAGATATCAGAGCTAGATTCCTACTAAACTCCAAACTTTGTCATTTAGTTGATCTGGAAATTGTATATGCTTCATTCTAAGCCCGATGCCTCGGTTTGTGGCGAGATCACAGCTTTTAAAACTCTACCGATTAAAGCCAAAAAGAAATCTACGATTGGCAAAAAATTCTTACGTGGCCAATTCTAAAGCAACTAGATGATACGGAGCCAGCTGATCCGGGTGGTGGGAATCTTTTGTGACGTTCATGAATTCCAACGGTTGCAAAAGTTGGGACGAGTATATCTGCTATATACTGTGGCTCAAGTGGGAGAGCACCCATAGCTATGTCTGATTGGATACATTTCTCACAGTCAGGTGTCATAGTAGCTAAGTGGTAAATTCAAGGCCCGGCACTGCTCTGTCTCATCCAAGTCCACCATTTCCGAGGGCCACTGCAATCGTCGAAGCCGGTAGTCACCATGTCTAAAAGGTGTCCATGGTCCTGTCGTCTCGACCTGTCTGGTGGTATTCACATACCCTCTTGCCTTCAAAAATCCCTGATCTGGATTTGGATTGGCTGATCGAGCAAAACTGGCCCAAGAATCAAGCACATATTGCTCAAACGGCAGGTCAAATTCATCTCTGAATGGAAGACTCTGGCGCAGGACATTCCCAAAGACATAGTATAGCTCCCCAGAGTGGCATTTGAAGTACTCCTGACTAGGATCACCATTTGGGAACTCGGGTGTGATTGGTGCATTGCAGAGCGGAGGATTCGGTGACCAGCCCGGCATCTGATATGTACGGTTAAATTCGTAGAAGAAAATCTCTGGGAAAATCCTGTTGTTGATCCCGGCATACGCAGTTGCCTGGTCGATGCAGCGGAACATGCCATCGGTAGCAACTCGAGCCGTGGTGTTGAAGATGTCCAGTGTGTGGTTGGAGCCTGACGGTTCTGGGAACAGCTGGCTCGGGGCGATAGACATTGGAAGACCGGACTCATTCAGAAATGTCTTCAGAGTGTCGCCCGCTGTAGGATATCCGAGCATGGCCGCTCCGTCATCTCGCGTAGTACCGATCAGTAGAGGCACATTCGCGGTGGATGCCGGGTTGGTCAAGTCCAGCTCGGAGGACTGGAGATACTCCCCATCCACTACGAGATAGCGTGCTGTGTCGCTTAGACCCGTGATGGTCATTGCAGGAAGGCCTCGGAGACACTTTACCGGTGAGATCTCTTTGGAGCAATTTGCCTCTTTCACAATGGCATTGCCTACCACTTCCATCTCTTGCGAGATAGTGTAGTATTTTGAGTAAGTTGTCCCGTAAGCAAGACCTCCTAGATTGCTCTCCATGATCGCACTAGCAAACATTCCTCGAGCCTTGGGAGATGCAAGCAGTGCTCGCACGGATCCAGCACCAGCCGATTGTCCAAAGATAGTAATGCGATGGGGGTCGCCTCCAAAGTCTTGTATGTTTCGACGAACCCATTCAAGTGCGGTGATTTGGTCGGCCAGCCCGTAATTTCCCTTTGTCTGTCCGTCATCAAGAGCCAGGAACCCCAACGTGCCCAATCGGTAGTTGATAGCGACAACCACTACATCGCCTCTTGAGGCTAGATTCCCTCCATCAAATGTGGGGTCACTACCCATACCACTCGTGAATGCGCCTCCATGAATCCAAAACATTACCGGTTTGAGATTTTTCTGACCAATTTTAGGACCTGGAAGATATGGTGTCCAGACATTCAAGAAGAAGCAATCTTCTGAGCCAGTTGAACCCTGAGCGCATGACGATCCGTAGTCTAAAGCAGATGCTCTTCTCCCTTGTCCTTCGTATACGTGAGAATAAGTCCATCGCTTTGCAGGTGGAGCGTATCGGAGTCCAAAGAATCTAAAGCTGAAGCGGTCCCGAAATCTAGTTCTGTTAGCTAAATTCGCATGCCGAGATCCCAATCTTACTTACCCGGTGATGTGCTCATTATTTGACTGAATATTGATTTGCCACGTCGAGTTCGTATCTTTTGTGTCAGCAGTAGAGTATGGTGCACTTTGAGTACAGAGCACTGGCAAGTGCTTGCTTGGAGAGGACTCTCTAATCTCCCCATTTGCGTTGACAGTGGACGGCACACCGCGAATAGGGGCAATCCAATATTGCTGACTGCGACTGACTTTGTGCTCGAAGACGAGATAATCCAAGCCACTCTGGATGGTTGAGACTTTAGAATGACTTGTCCATAGGCTCTCGCCGAGACTTTGGCAGGCCTCGGTGGCTTTCAGTAGGGGCATTTCACCCAGGACGATAACGCCTGATTTGGACCAGGGACTCGAAGTTTCTATGTCATGCGACATCAATTACCGAGACCGATGTCTGGGAAAAGTCTGGCGTCTTCTCCTCACCTTGTAAGTCATTGTGGATGAGAATTGACACATCCGAGTCTAATGAAGCTGGGCTTGCAACGGCGAATACGGTAGTTGCTAAACAAACAGCAGCTCCGACGGTCATGGGAAACATCCTGAGAGCCTCCCTGATATACAGAATTAAGCATTCTTATCATGCTCCTCGTCTGCTTTAAAAAGGGATCCTGGCAAAACACACGTTGAGTATTTAGCCATCCTCTCTCAACCCCGCGCCGGGAAAATAGCATTCACCAAGAAATAGCCAGCAATCCCATTCGTCCAGTGAGAGAGAAGGCAAGCTCTTGAACATCATTCATTTCTCGTGCTCTTCGGTCGAAGGGAGCTTGGCTTTAGGCGTTAATTCTCAATTGTGAGCTGAAGAGAGAAGAAAGTCCCAGTCAGGATTGCGGCTCTCAAAAAGCCAAAACGCTGCACTTGCCATGGACCTTCAAAGGACCAAGCTGATGGAGAAGAAACAAGTCCCTCAGACTGCAAATCTGGACTACAAAAGCACATGATTTTTGCACTGCGACTTTCTGACCACTAGGTGGTATTTTTCTCGAGTCAATTGACCGATCTCATGGGGCCAGTTTTCCGAGCTTAGCAGCTGAGGAGTGATTTTCCCCGCCTTAAGCCCAACAGCCTTAATTGAGATTAATTTACCCAGCAAAAAACTCCATGCAAATGCGCACAACATCCTATGACCAAATACTACCATTGACGTCTCTCATAGCCGAAAGCAAATCAACAAACTATACCAGTGCTGCCCCCACACCCGCTGCGATTCCCACGCCCGTGAGTGAAGCTAGAAAGTACTCACCTCGCAAAACTGCCACGCCTCCAAAGCCCGAATGGTATGACTAGCAGAGCTCTACTTCTTGCAAGGGCCCTATCAGGGAAGGGGGCGCCTGACATGCTCGTTGGAATCCCTGGGACTGAACACGGAACCGGAAGTTCGGCCAGCGTACCTGGGAGAGGGGGTAGGATGCAAACTGTGGGGTCAGTAGCCAGCTTTCGTGGAAAGGCCAGACACGTTCGGAGAAGGAGTGTGTCATGTACAGGCTGTGGCGGCTGCACAGAATCTGGCCGACTTTGAAACCCGGAGTAACCCAACCGGTCCGCGATATCCGCTGCACGGGTGGACAGTCTCCCGCGGAGCAGAGAGATGCATTCCTGTTCATTGGAATTTCTTTTGATCTCCGGGTATGTATGAGACACAGGGTGAAGTGACAGGCAGCATTGGACAAATTGCATAATCGAAAATCAGGGCAAGAAATTATCAGCCACTGACGAGATATCAAGGACTTCATGCGCGCTATTTCAAGTTCAAGTTCAAACTTGCAACTTGCAACTCAGGTTTATGTTGATCTATGAGATGTGGCCTCGGAGTGGAGCCAATTGAGTAAATTGGCATCGCGAGTCAGAGTACGTAGAATGGTCCTCGCACACTCGGGCATCGATGCGATGAAACACAGCAGCCGAGAATGGACGGAAGTAATAATCCCTCGTAGTGAAGCTGAACATGGTATACCGCATAGTGGGTTCTATACTAGATACTATCAGGGCGGAACCCTACGCTAAGACCGGAGACAGTCTAATCTCCCCCCCCCCCCACAACTGGTCTATATTCTATATTCTCGCGCGTCATGTATCCCAAGTGGTTATCTGGGCCGAGAAAATGTTACCCCCATTGCCAGGATAGGCATGGAGGGGTCAATCCGCCGAGTCCCTCTTTCCAGAGGTGGCCCAAGCCATTACCCATCACACGGCATTCCCTCGGACTCCTCGGTCCACGGGGCAACCAATGAGGGGTTCAGTCCAGGGAAAATGCAGCACCGCATTCCAGAGAGGTCCATGCAGGAAGAGTACTCTCTTTCCAGGCATCACTGATAGATCGTGGACACGCGTCAGGAGGCTTAGGTGTTTTAGTGGGGAGGTAGAAAGCACAGGGTTGCCGCAAAGAGTAAGTGCCAAGTGTATGTATCCGGTACTCACGGGTGACGTCAATGCACTGCCCGAGTCCAGATTTCCATCAGGCCCCGCTGAGTATAGAGGAGCAGGGAGGGGCAGGTGGTACATCAGGACTGTGCGAAGGATGTCACATCACCGTAAGAGTTGGGAAAGAGAAAGAAAAAGTTAGATTGGCGAGAGAATGATCATCATCGGGACAACGCAACACGTGCCCGGAGGAGTGGCTTATCATTGAGGAATGTGCAATGTACCGGATACTTTCAACGGAGACGTGGGTTTCCCCATAAGGGTTGCGCCCTCAGAACGTTTGCAGGGCAATGAGCACGAGCACCCGCATTCGTTCTAAGTGGCCGATAAGGAGGGGGCGGCGATCTCGGACTCAGCACGGGACCCCTGGGTCTGAGGGGAAATCCCCTAAGTCTATCATGTACATAGTATGACTCTAGTGTAAGAGACCGGGTTACTAGGGTCCCCTGAGGATCCCTTCAGGGATTATCGATTCCATCTGGACGGGAAGAGAGAGAGAGGAGAAGAGAGACAGCGAGACGGATCCGTCATTCTCGAGTCTCGAGAAGATGAGAATCTATAAACGTCGAGCATAGATCATCGAAGTCCAGCCTCAGCCGGAAGCACCCGGCGATCCACGAGGCGCCAATCAACCCGCCCACGCGCACCGGCTGCGTTGCGCCTGCGGAGTCCCATACTTTCCCCTTCCAAGGCTGTATAGTCGCTGAATACCCCGTCGCACAATCACCCCTCCTTTTTTAATGTACTCCTCGAACCTCTTTTTTGTCTTGCAAACTACTATTCTTCTCTGACTATTCTCGCTACGCTTGCACCCCCTTAAGACTAATCGCCGATCTGTCTTCTAGTCGCGTTCCCCTTGCCGCGTCGCAATCTCCAACTATACGTGGACGTCTCCGCATATCTCCCCCTACCTTTCCCCCAACGCACATCCACATCCTTTGAGTCTCTTTGTCACTGTTAAAAGAGGTAAGTCTCACTTTCTGTCATCCCTAAGGCACCCGAGTCGCCACCGATTCCTGCCCCCAATCGCGTGCCGTGGCTGCGCATTGTTTGGAACGCCCGTCTGACTCATCTCTCCTGGCGCGAAATCAGACACTCGTGGAATCTTTCTTCAAACTCTTCATCATGGCTTCTCAGACCAACTCCAGCATCGCTATGGCTCTTGCTGGCAAGACCGCTTCGGTCGATATCCCTCGGCCCCGTATAAGCGCCGGAAAGCCCGCTGCTCACGGTCAACCCGCCATGCTTCCCACGCCACCCAACTCCATCTCGCCCACGCTTCCTCCTCAAGCCTTCAAACAGCGCCACGTACTGTCGTCCGGCTCGCCACTATCCGCGGTGCCACAGTTGGACTCCGACATCGACTTGCAGGACGATGACGGCCTCAGCCTCAACCAGCGGTCCGCGCACACGCTGGAACTGGACCACGATAGCGCCGGCGATATCACTCCCGCCATGCTAGCCAAGCATCATCTGCCCGACATCCTGCTCCAGCAGGGTCCGTTGGCTATCCGCCACGTTATGGGCTTCCTGACGACCTCCGTGCCAGGCTTCTCCCGCATCCCGCCTGCCAAAGCGCGTCGACTCGTGGTATCTGCACTCGAAGGCCGAGGCAACGGCGGTGAAGCAGGAGGTGTAGACGGCGACGTGGTCTTTGAAAAGGTTGGCTGGGGTCGATGGGACGCGCGACGAGACGGAGATCCTGCCCGAGAGCGCTCCTTCAACGCGTCGTCGCCACCATCCAGCCTCGCCGGATCCTTTCACCAGCGCGGTTTGCAGATCGAGGGTCACTCGGGGTGGGCTCGAGGACGCGATCCGTATGCGAGCAGTGTGCGCGACTCGGTGGCATTCTCGTACACCGCTGAAGACATGGGCTTCGGCGCCCGGGACTTGGACATGCTCGAGCACGAGGCTGACAAAATGTCGCTCGACGGCGACGAGTACTGCTCTTCTTCCGAGGCGCCGGACGACCTCCAGGAGAACGATTGGAATGAAGGCGACGTGACCGATGAAGAAGATTGGGCGCAAATTGGGGCGGACGCCCTGCGTGCACGCTCGCTTAATAACACCGGTGGGATCATGAAAAGCAACGTTGCGGCTCGCGCGCAGCCTCTTTTTGGTGTCGGCAACAGCCCCACTGTGGCCAAATCGGCGCCCCGCACCTTTGATACCCAGGAACGCGCTGCGGTAGAGGCGCTTCTTCGTCTGGGCTCTATGTAAAGCTCTACCTTCATGATCGGCGTTCTTCTTTTGCTTTTTTTGTCTGGAGTCCCCTCTTTGGGATTCAAACGTTTACTCCATAATATGGTCGTCAAGGCTGGTCCGGACCGCTTTTGACGTGCTTCTCCCTGAATTTCTGTCATGAGTCATCAAGAAATGAATGAGCTATTCCTTCGGGAAGTGCTTTGCAACATGATCACGTTGATGTGGATTACCGGCGTTGGGATTTGTCTTTTTTTATTTATTTTTCTTTACATGTTGGCGTCCCAAGGTGTTCTAATTTCGTTGTGTTCATCGAGACGATGCTGGATTTGCAGTGGCATCTTCTGGAACCGGATTTCCTCTGCGACAATCATCAATACCCCCCAGTGTCTGTCTTGATTCACAATCTTCTCTCTATGGCATGCTGTTCTTCGCATCGAGTCTCGGGCTTCAACCATACCCGCAGATTCGCAATTTTCTTACCTTTTACACGTTTCCTAATCTCTGATCTTCTATGGCGCCTGCTCTGGCTACCATACTCACGATGGCCCTCGCCTTGTCACTGGAAATATGCTTTGTCGGTCGTCTTTACTGTTCTGCACTGACCTGCATGGTTCCTTGCTTTGGCTGCTGTCGTGATTGTGCTCTCGGTCATCTTCGTTGATTTCACTGAGAGCTTATGGGTCAGGGCTTTATATGTTTGTGTGGGTCCTCCCTCTTCACGACATAAGGGTGGATCGGGTTTCGTTGGAAGTACATATCTTCTTTTAGGTAGTTGTGGGTTCTTCGCTTAGCGTTGGGCCCCACTGATACTCTTCTCAATCAAATTTCGAAAGATTCATCTTCTCGAATCCAAGAGTATATGCTGTCTCTTATTTTCCGATATACTGAACTGTATTCGAGATAGTTGCAACTAAAAAGATTATATTGGAAGTTGAGGCCTATAAAATGTAGCTACTGGGCTGTCTAGGTATCTACCAGGTTTCCGTAGTTTTGGGTGACACCTAAATCAGTTTCGCTTGAAATACGAAATATAACAAAATACTCGACGGGAACCCTGCCTCGTTTCTCTTTGGATTTGCTGCTGCACAGTACATGGACACCCGAATGGTGAAAACTCTACCATATAATACATGGTTCTGCCCTCGAGTGTTTGAAGGTCATGTCTAGAATAGAATTACAGACAAATTCGGCTCCCAACTATGAGTCCCGTAATCAAAAAAAAAAATCAGGTTAGTCCAGGATGCACATTTATATTTCACATTAACCTAATGATCCGAAAACATGAATGAATACCATTCTGTAAACTCATCAAACCTTCCTCTCCGATAAATAATGACCTTTGAAAAGAAATAAAACCCCCAAAACCAATTTAGATATAATTCCTAACAATGCACTCTCAATTTACTCAACCTACTCATCATGAGCATTATTGATCCGCTTCCAGACCTCCGCCTCGACCTCCGCCAGCTTCGTCCCAGCAGTCTGCCACCACGACTTAGCCGTATTCATAAACGAAGGCTCGTCATTGAAGATATCATTCGCGCCTCCGCCTCCACCGCTCGAAGAGTGCAACGGGAGACCCTGGGTACGAGAGCTTGCACCGGCGTGCGTTTGGTAGACTGAGGAGTAAGGGGTTGATGTTGAATTTGGGATAGAAGAAGCAGGCTGGTAAGAATAGGATTGAGTGAATGTGGCTGGAGGGTGTGACGGATGTTGAGTGACGGTCTCGCCTACTTTCGGCGGAGGGGGTACTGGAGAGCCTGTTGCTTTGGTTGGAGGCTGTGGCACTGCGCCTGGCTGGGGAGCCGGCGGGGAGTATGTAGATATCGATGTTGCGGTTGGAAAGGTGGTTGTCGGTGTTGCTGTGAGGTTGCTTGAAGCGGCGCCTGTTGGGACGGGCAGACTTGGTGCTGTGCCGGGTTGGGCTGGAGGAGCTTCTGGTTGCGCAGTTGCGTAGATGGGGGAGTAGGAAGGCGCTGTAGCAGTTGCAGTCGCAGTGGTGGTTGCGGGTTGCGAGGGCGCTGTGATTGATGACTCGATTGCGGTGGCGGGTTCTGGATGCGAGGTGGACGCCTGTGTGCTTTCTTCCTTGTTTCCATTGACAGGCGCAGAAGTGTAGGTTGGTATACCTCCGGAGGCAGACATGATTGCGGAGTAGAAGTGCTGAAGAAGAAGTTCGAGTGAGTAGCTGGGAAGTCAAGAAGCTCCAGCCCCAGACGTCATGCGCTTTCAACTGTGGGGCGACCACTTTGAGCTGCGCAGTGATGAGCTTTGAGGTATGCTTTTCCCAGTTCAGGATAGCGCCGGTTGGATGAGATCGTGGATCCGGGTCACAAAGACAAGTGGTCTGTCCTGAGGATTTCCTGATAGCTCTCACGTCGGTGGGCCCCTAGCTGATACTTGCCACCCAAGCTTGGAGCTTGTCGCCACGTATCAACATACCAACTAGGAAAATTTGTAAAGGGGGCCTAAACTTGAAGCAGAGCCAGTTGAGGGCTTGCGACATGGCCATCAATGTATGAACACTTGTGTGAGCCCTTAAGAGGGTCACGGCGAGGTAAGAGAAATCTTCACCAGCCTCACCAGTTCAGAAAACTCCATGGGACACATAATGTAACTCTACTCGTGGACTACGGAGTATGGAGAGAGAGAGAGAGATGATACGTAGAAGAAAATACAGTTTTCGAAGAAATGAAAAAGAGCTTGCAGGCAGTAAAATACATCGGGTACAAAAAGGGAAGAATCACACCTTTCTATGCTTCAAGATCCCCCAGAACCCATTTCTTGACGCATCTATCTTTTGCAGTCCCACAACCTCTGCTTCCCATCGCCTAGCGGTTACACCAGGCAGGGAACCAACCCCGACTCCAGTATAACTACAGGTGGCAAATGATCGCTTAGGGGCGAATCATTTATTTGAACTTCTTGCCGAAGAGGATGAGCTGGACCTGGTCGTAGATGGACAGGACACCGGCACCGGCAACACCACGGAGGATGTTGGCACCAGCACCCTTGAAGAGAGACTTGACACCCTCAGCGGCGACGATCTGGCGGGCAGCATCCATGGAGGACTTGTACTTGACGGCCTCACCAGAGGTCATCATCATGCGGCGACGGACGGTATCCAGAGGGTAGGAGGCAACACCGGCAGCGGTGGTGACGGTCCAGCCGAGCAGGAAGGAGGCAAGGAAGTTGCCCTCAAGGGAGCCAACAAGGAGAACGGGCTTGAGGGAGTCGTACATGCCGAAGTAGAGACCACGGTAAACAACGATACCGAAAACGGAGGGACCGAAACCACGGTAGAGACCGGCAATACCGTCGGAGGCGATGGTCTTGCGGTAAACATCAACGAGACCGTTGAACTGGCGCTCACCGGAGCCCTTGGCGGACTTGGCGTCGTTGGCCAGACGGGTACGGGCGTAGTCCAGGGAGTAGACGAAGAGGAGGGAAGTGGCACCGGCAGCACCACCGGAGGCAAGGTTACCCATCATCCACTTGGCGTATCCATCACGTTCCTTCTTGTAGGCGAACATGGACTTGTAGGTGTCACGGAAGGCAAAGTTAAGAGCCTGGGTGGGGAAGTAACGGATAACGTTGGCGGTGTTACCACGCCACAGGGAGGCCATACCCTCAGCAGCAGCGGTACGCTTGAAGCAGTCGGCGATACCGTTGTACTTGCGGTCGAGACGACCGGCCTTGAGCATCTCATCCTATGAGAGGAAAAACCAAGATTAGATGTCGACTCTAAGATAAACAAATAGATGCCCCCTTTGCGGATCGTCACGGGAGAGGAAAAATTTTCAGTCGAGCAGTGACCACGACAAGAACCACGAAAGAAGTTGATTCAAGTTCGCAATTGCTGCTCTAGTAAATTTCGCCCTCCTTTGATTGACGCCGACGGGTCAAATTGATGGAAAGGGATGACCAACCTGGTTCTGGATCAGGAGCTTGATACGCTCAATGGGGGCAGCGGCGGTCTTGGAGACAGCGGCGGAGACACCACCCACTGGAAACCTGTTAGTATTCATTCATGGTGTTGTGATTGGGAGAATCCAGCCCAAGGCTGGAAAGTTGAGACGTGGCACATACTCAAGAAGTCGACGACGAATCCCTGTGAAAAATTTTGTTAGCGCGTTTGTTCCAGCCAATTCATCATCGAAACCAAGCTTGCCCGTCTCTTCTCTGTGTTGGCAATGGCCCTGGTCGCATCGAGACGGACAAAGTCCTATCAAGATGCATCCAGGTCCATTGTCGCGACGAGTCGAGAATGGAAGTTGGCGAGCTCAGCAGGAGGAAAGACTTACGGGCATGCCGAAGACGGACTTGTCGCCCTGGTTAACATCACCCTTAGACATGATGAAGGTTGTGCAAGAAATAGATGCAACAACGGGAAGAAGAGAGGAGATGGAGAAGTGTCAAGAAGGAACACCGGGGATGAGAAGAAAAAGGAAGAGAAGGGGCGGAAGGGGGCAGAAAAATAAAATACTGCCGTACGCGGGTGGAAGCGAACGCAGGAGACTAACACCCAATCAGGTAGGCCAGGGGTCCGTATTTACCGAAATATCCAGGTATTGCCTCCTGGCCTTGCCGATATCTCCCGAGCCTGAAAATTTCTGCATCTATTTTCATCAGCTGTCCTCTGCTTTTACAGGGCCAAATGGCTCGTATTCGACGATAAATCTAGTAGGATCGATTCATTTATGCCTCTTGTATCCCCGGACTCTCTTTGCTCCCTTCCTTATCTGTCTGGAATCCGTCTATATGGAATACTGGCCAGAATCGTAGTCGGAGCAACGAGAGTCCAAGCGCCCAGTGGACACCGTATCCAGCCCGTACCGCGTATCTGGCCCCGTCCAATGCCGGACCTCCACACCTACGGGGCGAGGACCTCCTTTTTTCCTTGCCCCCCGAGTATCCGAAAGCCCAAAACCCTGTGGCAAGCAGAAAACTGCTGGTCCAGCATAGGCACATACACGTAGTATTGATCGCATTTGGATTGGACACTCTCTATTTGCGGTTCGCGTGATTAACTTCATCTTGTGCTGTGCAGAGACCACGGAAGAATTCAAAGTTGACTCGAGCAATGGTCTCGTACTCCCTGACTATAGCTGAGACCTTTTCTTGGCATAATCCTCTACATGGCGCAGCAACACGATAGTACATCTTAGGCTACTGGTGATCGACTCGCGCGACGAAATACCTATTCGGGGAGAAGCCGGCTATGAGCCATTTTCTCGGTGTTATCTAGGTAACGGGTACAGACTTTGATGTGGAGGTCAGCCGCATGTGCGATGTACCTGGACAACGCTAGGCACAGGCCAATCATGATCCCCCTAGGGCCCACTTGTCTACGCATCGGCCTGGGTTAACTAGGAAATATGAGAGACACAGCTCACCTGCAGAATTGCAGGAAACTGGGACGCTGATACCATAAGGTTATGAAGGAACTAGGATAGGTCTGTGGGCTAATTTGCTGTGTCGTTCTCATGTGCATGATCTATAAGTTTTTACTTACATGGTTGGGCCAAATAGACGGTTCATGCATCAAAATATATCCACACATGTCCTTTGGCCACATACATAATATTGCATATGACACAGACTCCGGACAATTAGTTGACGCACCAGAACTTGGCTGTTCAGCTGTAATTTGACATTTTCGAATATTTGCCACCAAGAGTGAATGATGATGGGCATCAGGGGGCGAGGGCTGAGTGTGATTTCCACCGGGCGGTAGTAATTTTCGGCGACTTTTCAAGGAAGGGCGGGTGGAAATGGATATATTTGGGTCCGGACGAGTGAGAAGCCCCAAATGGACAATTATACGAGCCAAGCAAAAGGCTTATCTTAACGTCTACAAAGTCAAAACATCGAAATGCAAGAACCTTGAATGCAAATAAATAGATTTAACTCCATGCCCGGTCCCCAAAACTTGTTCACATCCATAGATGCCAAGGTTGTCTTATACACGACACCGGCTTTTAATTTGCGCCTGCGCTTAGTTCTTCTTCGACCGCTTTCTCTTCTTCCTCTGTCCATCACCTTCGCGGATATCCAGCTTGGTTTCGTTCTCAGCCTCCTTCTCGACAGGCGCATCTCCACCGAACTTGAACTCGGGACCTTCCTCATTACCAAAGGTATCCTTGCGCCACTGGCGGAGTCGGGCCTTCTTGCCCAGCTTCCTCTGATCCTTCTCCTTCTTCTCGGCTTCACGGAAGGAAGCAAGCTTCTTCAGACCAGCAAATTGGTTGAGCTGCTGGTCGTCTGCCATGAGGATATCGCGGGCTGTCAAACCGAAGCTCTGAGGAGAAGTCTCACGATAGCGGAAACGGGTCGCGTTCTTCTTGGTGGCACCAGGAAGAAGAGTGATATCGAGGTCAAGGTTCCGCTCGACGGCTTCATCAATGCGCATTTTGTCCTTGCGAACCTCGCGCTTCTGTTCACGCTTCTCCTGGGCCTTGCTCTTCTTCTTGGAACCAGAAGCTTCGTCATCTTCCTCATCCTCGTCATCAGAGCTCAATAGAGGCTTGGTGGGTTCTTCATCCTCGTAGTCGGGAATCAAGTCCTTGATATCAATATCGTCGTCCCACTCAGGCTTTTGAGGGTGTTTCTTGCCCGAAATATCCTGGTCTTCGTAGTAGTCTTCGCCAAATCGCTTGGCCATCTCGTTGGACCACTCCTTGTCATCCCAGGCGTCGTCGAGGAAGCGGGCCCAATCCTCATCAGTGAACTCAGCAGCCCGCAAGCCAGCAACTTCCTTGATCTGGTTGACCTTGTTCTGAAGCTCTTCTGCCTTGAGCTTGCGCAAACGGTTCTTCTCGGTCTCGCGCTGCTTTTTCTCCTCCTCCTTGCGCTGACGCTCGGCATCGCGGATCTTCTTACGCGCGCTCTTCTCTTCTCTGCGAACAGACTGGTCGTTGGTCATGTCACGGGCATGGGTCATAATCTTCTCGTTGAGCTTGCTAGGATCCTCAAAGCGGAAGTTGTAGGCCTCCTCGAAAGCATCTGCCCGATCCACCTCATCATCATCATCTGAGTCAAAGGGTTGGAGTTCATTGGCACGGCCTTCGGGAATCCATGCTCGCGAGGTCAAGAAGTTGGAAAGGAAGGTTTCGGGGTCCTTGTCTGCATTCTCAATGTCCAGCTTGACTTCCGCCTTAGGCGCAGAGTCAACCGGTCCAGATTTGCGAACTAAAAAGTTGTCTTCCGCGTCGTCCATCTCCTCGTCAGAATCGGCACCGTGCATCGCCTTGACAACTGCATCTTTCAGGTCTGCCTGTTCCTGTGCAAAGGTCTTGGGAGCATCTTCATCCGCATCCTCCGCGGGGTCGATACCGGCCAAAAGGTTCTGGCGATGGTAGTCGCGCAGAGTCATAGATTTCTCTTGCTTTTCTTTGGGAGTAACGTTGGCATCATCGTCGAACTTGGTGTAGAAGGTAACGTTGTTGTCGTACACGGCAGGGTCCTTAGAACGAATGGCCTTGAGAGTAGCCATAATCTCTGCATCGAGGGCTTCCGTGGCCAACTCTCCATTCTCATCTTCATCCTCATCAGAAGAGGATTCCTCGTCCTCCTCTGGCTCATCGGCGCGGCCCTTTCCCATGTTGGTCTTGCCATACTTCGCTTCCACTGTAAAGAGACAACTGTCAGCATTAAGTTACTCTATAATAGTTGTCCAGATTCGAAAGAGTTGCAACTTACATCTTGCGACCTCTTCTCTCTTCTTATTGTACTCGAATCGCTTGGCAAAATCTTCGTTGATCTTGAAGCTCGACTCGGCAGACTGGCCTCAGGGGTACCCCACCAGCATCATCTCCAGAATCGGAGCTATCGTCATCCATCAGAGTGCGCATCTTCTTGGAAGGGGGCTCCATTGTTGCGCTGGGCGTATGCACTGTCTCCAGAAGATCACCAGTTGCGGCGCCGACTTTGTGGCAGAAAAAAAAATTCTCACACCGCCTTTCACCGTGGAAACCGCCCAGAGTTGACGCCGAGACACCTGAGGCCACCAAGCCGGGGAACTGCCTGACGTAGCCAATTATAGCAAGAAGTCTCTCAGAGAGCGAGGTCCAGGTCACTAGCACGTGGACTCTCTCAAGGCTTCTTGAACATCATCTTCACCATTGAGCCTGTGTTCTCGTGACAGCAGAGGATCTCATTGACCTTACTCCTCTCTTGTGTCTATTTTGCAGTGTGCGAGTGTAGGGAGGCATGCGCTAGATGTCGACCCAAGCGCACACCCCGTTACCCCAAGTCGGGCAGCTGGTGAGCGTGGTGTGAGTGCTCTCATACTGTCTCTACTTCCAATGCTGATGTTTGCCTGATCCTGCAGTCCTGTGGGCCTCAAAGAAGCTGCTCTCGACTCGCCAACCTTTCGCGCCACGACCCACCACTTCTGTGACCAGATAGAATTCATCGAGAAATGGCTCGACGGCTACGCCCGAGCTGCGACGAAACTCTCATCTGAGTTGGCTAGTCTGGAGAGTGTAGTCAGCAGCTTCCTTACCTACTCAAATCACCCTCTGGTCGTCTCCGAAGCTGTGGTTGATCATGACTATACACTGTTGGCCATGAGGAGGTGTGGAGATGGCTCGAAAGATCTGTGGAACGGATTGGTAGCTTCGACGAAGAAAATGGAGGCTATGATTGCCGAACCCATCCGAGTATTCATGAACGAGGACTTGCGGCATTTCAAGGTATCGGTTGACTAGACCTCATTGTTTACGTTTCCGTCTGACACCACATAATCTTCTTATAGGATGTCCGGCGCGCTCTCGAACAATCCCAAAAACAGTACGACTATTTACAATCCCGATACTCTTCGCAGTCGAAATCCAAAGAACCCTCGGCTTTGAGGGAAGAGGCATTCCAGCTCCACGAAGCCCGCAAGGCCTATCTGCGGGCGTCCATGGACTTCTCTGTTGAGTCGCCTCAAGTCCGAAATGCGCTCGATCGACTCTTGGTGCGAATTTCCTTCGATCAATGGCGGGAGTTTCGCAGCTTCCACAACAACAATAGCGGCACGTTCTCGAAATGGTCCAATGAAATGGATCGGATCAAGGGCTGGGTTCATGAGATGGAAGCAAGCGACAGGTCTTCCAAAAAAGAGCTTTTTTCGACTCGGAAACAAATCGAAGAGGCTGCTGAGATCGTGGCTAGGCCTTCTCGCGAATTGGAGGATTATTCCATTTCTACCTTTCCCTACCTCGGTTCTCGTCCTCTGTCAACAATGAACATGGGCAAGGATGTCAGACCAGAAAAGCAAGGGTGGGTTTTTCTTCGAACAATCTCCGGAAAGCCGAGCCGCACGACCTGGGTCCGCCGCTGGGCTTTCCTGAAGCACGGCATCTTTGGCTGCCTTGTGCAAGGTGCCCGTACTGGCGGTGTCGAGGAAAGTGAGCGGATTGGTGTGCTCTTGTGCAGTGTTCGGCCCGCTTTCCAAGAGGAGCGGCGCTTCTGTTTCCAAGTCAAGACCACGAACAACACCATTATGCTGCAGGCAGAGAACCAGAAGGAGCTGATGGAATGGATTGGAACTTTTGAGTCTGCCAAACAGAAAGCTTTGGAGAATCCTACCAGCACGGGTTTGTCGGTATCTGGAAAAGTGACTGTTCAAGACCCTGCTTTCGCCATATCTCAACCTCCTGCCCCAGAATTTACCGCAGACCCTAGTGATTCGTTCACCCCGCATCACCATGAGGAAACGACCCCAATCGAAAGTCGAAGCTCAACTTTGCCTGTACCGGACAACGGACTTGCCTATCGGGCCAGTTCTGATATAAGCCGAAGGTTAACTGGATTGGACAGCGAAAGCTCTGCCCGAGAGCACGCATCTCGTCTCAAGCAGAAGCTTGACCTCCACCGGAAGTCAAACCTTGCTGCCCCCGCATCTCCTACTGTCCCAGGCCCGGCTGGTGGTATAGCTAGTCTCATCTCTGCCAGTCATAATATCCTTCCATACGGTGGAAATACACCTCTAAATGTGAGCGAGGGAGCCGGAAGCCGAGGTCGCAGTTTGAGCAACATTGATGAACCTGGAGCAAATCTTGCCCCTCCTACACTTGCCAACCCACCTGCTCCCACCAGTATGAGTAAGGCTGCAGTTGTTGTGAATCAGGAAAGAGGCATTGGATTAGGCTCTGTTGATAGCACAGATAGTATGCCCAGTGGTATGATGGCGAATCTCTGGGGCTCTTCAAATTGGGGTTTTATCAACAAGCTTCAACTGGAAAAGCATTATCATACTACCAACGGAGATCGAGACATCTCACCAGAAGGCCGACCTCCATCTGTCATGAGCGATTCCGAGAAGCAGAGTATTGCGGCCCAGACTGATCTACCAGATGCGGCAAACAAGCATACCTCAGGACCACGCCACAGACAGACAGTGAGCCTTGATGGAGACGCATCCAAGATCCAACGAGCGGTGATTGGTGCTGCCGAATACGAATATCCCAGTATCTATCCGCAGCAATTGCGGATCCAGGATTCTCAGTTCCGACTGCTTTTTCCCGATGTTAAGAGAGAAGAACCTTTGGTCTTGGTGTTCAGGGCAACCTGGAGTCCAAATGATCAACAAGAGTTCCCCGGTAGAGCCTATGTCACTACTCGGAACATCTACTTCTACAGCCATCACTTTGGATTAGTTCTGACGACGAGCGTCTCCTTGGAAAGTATCAAAGAGGTGACAGCTGCCCCCGGCAGAGATTCTGATTTCCTCTTCCTTCACACTATTCCTCCCCTTGGTAGCGATATGCCTGGTCGAATCACCATCAAAACCTGGCTTGAGCCTCTTCGACTCCTTCAAAAGCGACTGAATTTCTTGATCCAAGGATCAATCGCCGTTCAACCCATGTCCCTCGAAAACGTCCTCAAAGAACTGATCAAGATGGATATTGGCTCTCCTAGAAGGGGTGCCAGTGCCGATAGCTGGGAGGATATTTCGTCGGGAGTCGATAATGCAGACCCAAGCCTCATGGCCCATGGCCGTGCCAAAGACCTGCGGGTTCCAATCTACATTGACAAAGATCTTGATCTTGACGGAAGCAAGAATGGCCGCGGGCGGGACCTGGGGAAGTTTAGACTTCCTACCCAGCCAGTGGAGTATGTTCCTCAAGGAGACCTTGTTTTGGCGACTGAAAAGGTGCTTAATATTAGTCCGAAGGCACTCTTCCATATCTTATTTGGAGATAAGAGTGCTGTTTGGCAGCTTCTGCTCCACGAACGACAGGCCAAGGGTGAGTGATGTGAGATCACCAAATATTTATTTGAACTAACAAATCGTCGCACAGACATCAAACAAGGGCCATGGGCTGCCACAGAGTCAAAACACCTCAGACGAGACTTCTCGTACCAGATCGCAACGACTGACATGTTGGGTAAGTCTCCATCCCCCTCACGACTTGAACAAAAGGATGAATTAACATACTATAGGAGGAACCCATGACAATGCAATCTCCGACTATCAAATCATCGACGTCCTCAATGATCACCTATGCTACGTGATTACCGACAAGAGGACCCCTTGGCACCTCCCCTTCCGACGATCCTTCCGACTGGTCAGCAAGATCGTCATTACTTTCGTGGCTAAGTCAAAGAGCAAGCTTGCTGTCTACACCAAAGTCGAATGGCTGAAGGCTCCTTATGGCCTGCAGAGTAAGTCGACAATAAATTCTCAACAGGCAAATATGTGTTTGGTATTCATTTTCTATTTTAGGTATTATCAACAAAAGAGCAAGGGACGACCTGGAGGAAGACGCCCTGGACCTTGTCGACCTTGTGAGCGACCAGGTGCGTCGCCTAGGAGCACATAGCCGTACCAAGAAAGCCGTCACCATCTTCGGCCATGTTGGACGGCAGAGCAATACTTCTCATTTCAACGGCGTGGGCGTCAACGTAAAAATTGAGCCTCGCAAGCCCCGTGTCCAGCGGACTATGGTTCAGCTCCTCCGGGAGACTTGCTTATCCCTTCTGGAAACCACTCTTTCGATGGTCATGCAGTGGATTATTGGTATTGTCACTTGGTGCGTGAAGACTGTGAGCGCCCACAAGGTCATTCTGGTCTTGTTGGTCTTTAGCGGGCTTTTGAATAGCTTCTACTCTACGCGGGATACATGGGACTGGTGGCATGAGAGACATGCAAGCAATTTCATGGCAAGGCTGGGAATTCAGCCGAACATGGTCATGAGCAAGGCAATCTATATCCGCGACATCGACGAGGCTGTCGCCAACACAACTATTTGGAACACTACTGGTAACGCAAGCAACTGCTTTAGTGCTTTCCACGAGAACACGATGCGATACGCAGAGCTACCGCTTTCCCTCAGCGCCTCCGGGCCTCGGGACGCGATGACCAAGAGTGCAGCGAAGCGATTCCAGCAGACGCGTGAACGTCTCGGATCATATCGACACAACCTTTTGGTTGCGCTGCGCGTTGTGAATAGCATCGAGAAGGAGGTCATTCAAAACGAATGGGAGCGCTGGCTCCGCGAAGAACTTCGACGGTGTCGTCAGGTTGAAATCCTGCTTGGCGGCAACGCATCTGGGAACGATGAAGAAGCACAAGCTGCTCAGACAGCCCAGGCGGGACGTATTTTCGCAGAGAATGCAGATAGCGTGAAGCAGTGGTATGATCGCTACTGCACAAGCTGTCTGCTGGAGCAAGACCAGATGCTGAAGAACGACCGCGAGAACTTGCTGCTGTGAGTCTCGCCCCAAATCATCCGAGTCATTTTTGTACCATTGCAACACCTTTTGTACCCAACCGAATATTTGGCCCTTGCTCGTTTGTGCATTTGCACGAAGTATACCCGGTGGCCGCATGTATGGATTTTGTGAATAATCTCGTCTCGGCGTATACATGTAAGCCGACTTTTCGATTGATCAGTGAGCTGAATGGAGAGCATGCCTCTCCAGCCCTTTCAAACTTTTGTTGTACGCGTAGAACGATCCTTCCAAGGTTACTCAGTTCTGTCGCGGCTTGACTTCGCCTTCTTGCACAACATAGTAAACCACCGTCCCCTCTCCACCCATACCCTTATCCACCATTGCCAACAAGACTCTCTTCGCACCCCATTCCGATGTCTCGCGGGCCTTCTCCCGCCTCTTGTAGTACTTTGCCAGCTGCTCTGCCTTGGCGGTGTTGCCTTCCCCCATGCTCTCATCCGCCTGAACTTCCGACATCGCATCAAAGACAGCAGCCATACGCCGTAAACTCCACGCCTGACCCTGTGCAGTGGGGATCACGAAAAGTCGCTCTGGCTTCAGGTCATCTTCACGGAGTCCTTGTTCCAGCATGTAAAGTTGCTCATCCGGATGCGTGTACACACGGTGTGGAGGAATGCCGGAAATCAAAGTTGGTGTAGTATCGTCCGGCGAAGATGTAATTGGGCCTTTCGAGGAATCTTTCGAGGCATCCAAGGCCGTGGAGATGTCGTGAATTTGCAAAGAGGTCCAGAGATGCTGGTATTGGAGATTGTGCAGGATTTGAAGGGTAGTTGCTGAGAAAGGGTTGCCACATGCATCGGCAGCTTCTATCAGTTTGCTGAGTGCAGAGGGTTCAGGGCAAGGTTGTTCAAATCGTCTGGTAGACATGTTTGCTTTGAATTCTTGAGGTGGGAGCTGTTTGAGTCTTTTGCGGCTTTTAGATGGAAAATGGCCTGTTGATTTGGCAATTTACTCGCTCACCGCCTAGTATTTTGAAAACACAGGCTACACCGCTTGCCTGAAAAGAGAGAGAGAGTGTGATGAATCGCCGAGTCAGTCCTTCAAGATATTTCGAGAAGCTTTTTTTGAAAATACAAATATCTCATATATACCAGGGCTACTTGGTCTCATACCAGACCCTCTTAGCCTTCTTCAGGGTTTGGAGGTGGGGCTCGGGCGATCATCGATTGTTGATAAGCTTCGCGACCTAAGAACACATGGCATCATCTTTCTTTTTTTTAAAGTCCGGATTTAAGGGTGGCATTTTCTCCATACTCCCCTGACCGGATCGCAACCTTCAGATCCCTCTTTTGATCCGATCTCAGTTCATCTTGAGTCCTACTCTTGTCTCTGACACTGTTACAATGGGCCGTCAAAAGCAAACAAACCCGCTACAGCGAACTCCCTCACAGTCAATGCGCAATGAAGCCGAAGCCGCCGCCCAAGTTGCTGAGAAGCATGTCAATGGACGCGCTACAAATCCAGTGAATGTTCAAGAGGCCGGCCCGACAAAGGTAGCTGCGACCCTGGAGACAGTCGCCGACACTCCTGGATTGATGCAGCTGCTCATCTGCGTGCTCGGTATTTACGCGGCATTGTATGTCGATTCCTCGAGGATCATGCGATCGAACACTAACAGATGAAAGCCTCTCATGGGGTGTCCTACAGGAAGCAATTACCACAACGAGCTACGCCATTCATCCTGCAAGCGCTGCCGACCCTGAGCCTGAGACAGAGCGCTTCACCTACTCTCTAGTCCTGAATACCATTCAGTCGTCCTTTGCCGCCATCACTGGCTTCCTCTACCTCTACCTCTCTACACCCAAGGGCCAGAGCATGCCCTCAATCTTCCCTACGCGCAGCATAATCTTCCCGTTGCTTCTGGTCAGCATTTCCTCGTCACTCGCGTCTCCATTCGGGTACGCCAGTCTCGCGCATATCGACTACCTCACCTTTATTCTTGCAAAATCATGCAAGCTCCTCCCAGTCATGCTCCTACATTTGACTATATTCCGCAAGAAGTACCCGCTATACAAGTATGGTGTTGTGCTCTTAGTCACTCTCGGCGTTGCTACCTTCACCCTACACCACCCAGGAACGAGTAAAAAGGTTGCTGCATCGGCAGAGAAGCAGTCCGGCTCTTCCATGTGGGGTATCTTCCTGCTGTCTATCAACCTGCTGCTTGACGGCCTGACAAATACGACGCAAGATCATGTCTTCACCTCTCCCAAGAGGTACACCCGCTTTTCTGGTCCCCAGATGATGGTTGCGCAAAATGTCCTCTCTACGCTTCTGACCTCTGCATATCTTTTGATCATGCCCCATGTGTCTCAGAGCGGTATTCTGCACAACTTGCTACCTATTCCCATCCCTCCCTCCACTGAGACGGAGCTGTTCTCGGCCATCTCCTTCCTCACTCGTCACCCCGAAGCGTTGAAACACGTACTCGGATTCGCGGCTTGTGGCGCTGTCGGCCAATTGTTCATCTTCTACACCCTGTCGCACTTCTCATCTCTGCTGCTGGTCACTGTGACCGTCACCCGCAAGATGTTGACCATGCTCTTGAGCGTGTTCTGGTTTGGTCACTCCCTTTCCGCCGGACAATGGCTAGGCATTGGCCTAGTGTTCGGTGGCATTGGCGCCGAAGCCGTGGTGCAAAGATCAGAGAAGAAGGCCAAGGAGAAGGCCAAGCTTGAAAATGCCAAGAAGGCGCAGTAGTTTCAAGCAGCTTCAATTCATTGGTGGAATTGGTCTCAGGTACAGAATCAACTGTCATTAGAGGTTTTAGAGGTCAGAAAGAACATGAAGCATTTCACGAAAGCAGCATCCCTTGAGGGTTATCGAATGGGGAATCAACGCAAATGTATACATCAGTTCATGTGAGCGTCACAATTGTCTTTACTTCCGACCTTCGACCATGATGATATGATAGCCATGACCTGTCTTCGCTTCTCCCCATTTTGGCTTAGCAGTCGTGCTGGACTCTAGCTCAAAAGCCACAGACTCGAACGCGGGCTCCAGGTCTGCTCGGGTCTTCCAGCCAAGCGCACCTCCTGGGTCACATCAGTAACATATTGCATGATCTCGATTATCCGACAGCAACACCACTTACCTAGCCTAGCCTTATCCTCCGAGAACTCGCGCGCAACCTCGTCAAACTTGGACCCATTGCGCAGCTTCTCCAGGGCCTCTTCCTTCTTTGCATGCTTCTCACACTGGATCTGCATTAGTGATTTGTCTCTAGACTGTAGCAGGCTACATTCGCACTGCAAGCTATGCAGCCAAATCTAAGACCAGAGTTGAAGGAAAAGAAATGTGAAACATACAAGAATGTGCCGCACTTGAATTGTCTGCGCGCCCTTCACGGCACCCTTGCCTTTACCCTTCTCCTCACCGGCATCTTTGCCTTTGCCCTTAGCGGCACCCTTGGCGTTGTTCTTGGGGGCCATGGCTGTAGTATGGGTCTGGAGATAGCTGATTTGTATATCGCGATGAGGAAGTTGAATTGTTTGCTCGGTTGGATGTGGGGCCGGTGGCCTGAGGCACGATGTGACGTGGGGATTCAACCAAGCTCACGGCTCACTCTCTACTCGTCCGATCTCTTGTCTCTTTATCCCCTTGACGCTGATGAGGATACCTTGAAGGATCAAGGGAGCCCATGGTCGAGGAGATGATCTGCAATCTAGAGGCAGCGCGCATCACCACGTTGCCAGCTGAATCATTCTACATATCTGACTTCATCTCTGAGGACGAAGAAGCCTGGCTCTTGCAGAAGGTGAGCGTGATAGGTGATTCACTTGCATAGATAACAGGCTTCATACATTTATAGCCCATAATTTATGATATATCAATCCGTTCTTGAATTTTTGGATGCAGCTCTGGCGTTTGCATTCATGCACTAATTCCTTCCTAGGTAGCATCGGCGCCTCTGCCGCGCTGGACAAAGTTGTCACATCGCAGACTCCAGACATGGCCCTCCTCGCTCATGAAGAACAACACACTGCTTGATTCTCCATTACCGAGCTGGTTGGTCTCCCCTGTGATCGAACCGCGATTGCGAAGTCTTGGGATTTTCAACGATGCGCCACATGGTGCACCAAATCACGTACTCGTAAACGAGTATCATCCTGGTCAGGGAATCATGCCACATGAAGACGGGGCTGCGTACTATCCAGTGGTAGCAACTGTGAGCCTCGGTGCCCCCATCGTGCTCGATGTGTACACGAAAAGCAGTCGAGACGACGAGAAAGTCGATAGAGATACAAATCGTATTCAAAAGCCGCAATACCGGATTCTACAAGAGAGACGAAGTCTGCTGATTATAGGGGCTGATCTCTACACGAAATATCTCCATGGCATCGCTGAAACGACCATGGACGAAGACCTGAGCACAGATACGATCTGTAACTGGGATCTTCTGCGCGAGAAGGAGTTGTACCGTGCTGGCTGGTATAAGCGAGAAACACGGACGAGTCTCACATACAGAGATGTCCTAAAAGTCGCGAAGATGGGAAATTCCCTCAAGTTCCTTGGTGGACGATGAAGACCCAATCAAGGACGCGATTGATGGAATAGTCTATGGTATATTTCCCGTCCAAATTGATTGGTGGGCGTTCAGTAAACGTACGGAATCATCAACCACCGACGTTGCACTGCCTCCTTGTCGAACTTCTGCATATACCACTGCTTGGTTGTCCGAGCAGTCAGGCCAAGGTTGACTGCCACGAAGGCCAAGCAAGACAGCATGGTCTTATTCACCCACTGGCCCGGCGGAGCAGCCAGTACCGCGAGGGACATATAGATAATGCACTCAGCCCCGTAGTGCGGGCACACAATACCACGAAAAATAGGGTGGTCTGGAAGGGAGTACTTCTTTAATGAGAAGAGGAAGTGGTGGCAGTCGTGCTGCATACCAGAGGCTACTAGGAAAAGCGGAACACAGAGAAAAGTGCGCACACTCGGGGCAGTGGTGATCTTGACATGGTCGATGGTGAGAGGTTGCGTCAGGATAGTTCCTGCAGGCCGACTTGTTAGCAATGGTACACCGGTCATGTACAATGTATCCTTACCCGAACCCTCAATCCAGATGGCCACCCCAGCAGCCAGGTAGAACCCAAGACCTAGCGCCCAATGAACGAACCACATCTTCGATGTAGATGGCTTTGCGAAAATCACGCATTCCCAAAGTCGTCGAGATCCCTGCATGGCGAGGAGCAGCCAGCAGATCATGATTTGATTCAAGGACATAGACTCCAACTGGTGCTCTTCGCTCACCCGCGACGCGATTGCCTGGAACACGCGCCCCCGAAAGAAAAGCTGTAACCCCCAGAAGACGGACGATAGCACAGAGGCGATGTAGAATTGGGTGAAATAGCTGTGTGGCACCTGCCATGTCGCGAGGTAGTCGAGCAGACCGGAGAAATTCCCAGCAGCAAGGCGGGACCCGGAGGCCTTCGAGGTCGCACGCGGGCCATAGACGAGGAAGCGATCGCGCAGGGAGGACGGGATGCTGACAGAGAAGGTCTGCGAAGTGTGTAAGCTCCTTGGACTCGCGAAGTGAGGATGCAGGCCGTGAGAATGAGATCCTTCAGGAACTAGCGTACCGTGGCGGCGGCGAGGAGGAAAAAGGCGCGTAGGAGGTCTACCACGTCCATACCAGCTGCATGGAGGGCGCTATCGATATCAAGACGAAGCATGGTGATTGGTGTGCGAGACAAGCTGTGTCATGGCCAACATGCAGTGCAAGGTGCGAGCTGAAGGTGGAGAAAGGGAAAGGGATTCTCCCCCCGCCGATTTGCACTTTACGTGATACTCATTTTCAGTATTCTCATCATCCTTAGGGGAGCTAGGAGGCCGAGGCCGAGGCCGAGGGCGTGGCTAAGGACGAGGACATGGGCTCGGATAACTACAGCTCGAGGGTTCGACTCGACTATCTAAGGTGCCAGCGCTGAGCTGCGGAACAGAGATGAATGGCCGCATCGAGCAGATTGCCACGAAAGTGGAGTCGCGCTGGGTTTGTTTCCGGAATGGTACTGTGTTACGTCCGTGCCGTACACGCAGGCGGCAACGAGCGAAATAGGAGGAGATAGAAGATAGTAGCTAGCAGTTCGAAGCTCGAAGCTCGGAGCTAGTAACTAGACGCTAGATTGCAAGCGATAGAAGGAATGTCGGGGGTGGGTTGGGGGAAAAGTGGATGATGCACAGTGTGTGGCCACTGAAGCTCGACCCATCTCTCCCTCTCTCCTTAGCCACTTTGTGCCCCCATTCCTCCCGTCTCTTCTTTTTCCCTTCTTCCCTCTTTCCCCCCAGTCGCTTTTCTTCACCTTTCTTCCTTTTTGTCTCGTTTAGCTCTATACCAACCCTTTATCATTATCATCTTGTAATTGCCCTCGGCTTTTCTCGACTTCCCGTCTACCCACCTCTTGGGTCTCGCTCTTTCGCCATCAACGCGCACCGTCGCTGGCGTTGCCGACCACGGTCGTCTAGCCTGTCGCGTACTCCCAAAATGACGAGCGGGAACCTGACACATCGAGTGCTATCGCTATGAGTGATGTCGAGGCAGTTTCCCTCCCAGCTGCCCTGGATGTCAGTCCCAATGCCATCGCCACGGTGAAGGCGGACTCGGGACCTTCGTCGCCTGGCAAGCCCGTTCAACCACCACGACTGAGCGATGAACACCCCGTGGAATCGGAGGAGGAAGGTCCTCCCAGTCCTGAGGGCTGATTCAGAAGCCGAGACGATTATTCAGTCGGGCCGAGAGTCCTTATCACCGGAAAAGAAGAGGAAACATATCCGTCACGATCCACAACGCCGACCGATGGATGGTGTCGATGGCAACCAACGAAAGAAACCTAGAATTAATGGCGACCGAGTCGAGCCAGACAATCGACACTCTCGATCTTCTCGATCGCCTCATCCGTCTGAAAGACCTGCGTCGCCATCGTCCGTTGTTAAAGTTGAGAAGGTTGACGATGTACCTTCCGTCACGCCTGGTGTGTTAGAGGAAAAGACCCTCAATGACGCAGACAGGCCACGTCTCTACCGAAAGAGAAGTTTCAGCGACAGCGTCGAGGAAAAGCGGGAACGACGACGCGACTCGGCCGCCCATCTGAACCTCAAACAAGTCAACAACCACCGTCTCCCACGACCATCCTCCAGTGCTCGCTCGGTATCCCCTACTCGTCATTCTCACCAGCGATCTGTTTCTGGCTCTCACCTCCCTAATAAGAAGAAGGCTCCTACACCCCATCTCTCCGGTTTCCAACGGCAGGCCTCGGAAGACCGACTTTCCACCTCTTCGTCCGCCAGCGGATCTCCGCTTCCTAGTGCTCATTTGAGGAGACTTGGGTCTGGCATGGGCGCTTCGGCATCGCCCGCGAAGCAAATCGGACCCAAGAAGCTCAAAGACAAGAGCGGCCGTACCCCTTTGGCTAGAGCCTGCGCGGATGGAAAATATGAGCAAGTGGTTCAGCGTTACGAAGAACGCCCTGAAGATCTGAATGTCCCCGACAACGCCGGAAACACTCCATTGCAAATCGCGTCGCTCAATGGCGAGGCACCGATTGTTGAGTTCCTCTTAAAGGCCGGCTGTGACATCGACACCCATAATATCGACAAAGACACGCCCCTCATTGATGCTGTGGAAAATGGTCATATTGAAGTTATAAAGCTCTTGCTCGATGCAGGTGCAAATCCTCGAACCTTGAATGCCTCTGGTGATGAGCCCTATGAATTAGTCCCCACTGATCTGAGGGATGATGAATACGACGAGATCCGCAAAGCAATTGCCGATGCCAAGGCCAGCTCGCGACCAAGCCGGCGCTCAGAAGAGCATACCAGGCTTGATAGCAAAAACTCTTTGTCGCGACGCGCATCAGTGGCCAGTCCTTCACGCAGTCCCCCGCCCATGAGCGGTGCAGCAAGCCGTCGCAAGACTGGCCGAAGCGAAGCTACGAGAAATGAGTTTTTATGGACACAGGCGACACCGGAGAAACTGCGCGAATACGCGGCGAAGGGTGATGAACAAGGTGTTGTCAGTGTTTTGAATATCTTGCAGAAAGCAGACAATGTGTCGTTGATTGCTGCCGCCAAGGGTGGTCACGAAGACGTGTTATCCCTCATGTACGCTATGGGCGATGCTGATGCGGATCCAAATCCAGTGAAGGGACATGGCCAGAAATCAGGTTACAACACTCCCATGCTCGCTGCTATTGGTCGTGGCAAACCTGCCATCATTCAACTTATACTCAACCAGCCTGGCTTCGACCCTACACGTCGCCTGTACGAAGGTGCCACCTATTACGAGCTCTCCAAGGCTCGACAAGGCGAGAATTGGGAAGAAGAGCACGAGATCTTGAAATCTGCTTTCGAGAAGTGTGGAGGCTCCCGCAAATCCAACAAAGACCTCTCTTCCCCCCGTCGTGCTCGCAAAGAAAAGGATGACAAACGATCCGCCCGCAGAGAGTCCTCCTCGCCGGCTCGCCCCAAGAAGCTCAGTGACAGCCCCAATCGTCAACGTGCACCTAAGGACATCGACGCATTGAAACAGAAGCGACGTGAGAAGGAAAAGGCCAAGGCCATCAGTCGCCCAAAAGTGCCCCGGGAGATCAACGACTGTGCTCTCGCTAGCTCCGATCAGGATTCAGCCCGGGCTGAATCCGTGAAGCCCAAAATGCCCACGGCAAGAAGAGGTAGTGAGTCCAGTGGTATGGCTCGGCCTGACGAAATTCGAAAGCGACGGCTTATCGCTGGGCGACGTCCCCAAGATCAAGAACGTGACCACGAAGGCGAGCGAAGATCGAGCTTTTTTTCATCCGATTCTGGTCGTGAGGAAGGTCCCAAGTCTCGCAACGATTCCGCACCCGAACCTATCTCATCCTTGAAACGCATTCGTAACGACAACTCTCCCGAAAGATCTCGTTCGCGCGATACAGATAGCGATCGACTGTCGCCTGAGTCACGAAAGAAGAAACGGCGGGTCCTCGCTGATGAGAAGTTATCCGGTGCTGTGAATGGTGCCCCTCGAAAGACAGATGAAGCTATAGATGGTGAAAAGTCTCACCGTCGACCTCAAGAGCCACCTTCGCGACCCGCCGAAAGCATGCCACACAACTCCACTGAGACCTTGAAGAAATCGATTCCTTTCCAACACTCTTTCGCCGATCACGATTCTGCCAAGAAAAACGGAGACTTCAAAACAGAACCCCGCGAGGCCAACACCAATTTTGTTCCTGAGGCTCCCACTAATGAGAAGCGAGCTGAGATTGAAAGTGAGCAACGTCGCCAGGCGGAAGCCAAGAAGACCGAACAAGATCGTCTAGCGGCAGAGAAACGAGCTGCGGAAGAAGCAGAACGTGATCGTCTTGCCAAGGAAGAAGAGGAACGAGTTGCCCGACTTGCCCGTGAAAAGGCCGAGGAAGATGAGCGCAAGCGCAAAGAAGCCGAGCAACGAAAGGCTAAGCAAGCAGAAGACGAAAAGATCAAGCGAATTGAGTTGGAGCGCGCTCGGGTCATGAAGATGCGTCGCGATCAGGAGGCTCAAGAAAAACGCCGCCGTGAAGCTCTCCCTGGCCGCCTCCGTGTTTCCGCCAAGTACGTGGGTAACAACGATTCTCGCGCCCGGAGCCACACATGGCTGAAAAACTTCATGCCTCTCGTCACTGCGGTCACCCGTCAGCTCGAACCTACTTGTGCTGCAGATATTGCGGATGAGAAATGGATTCCGAACTACTTGGTTGCCCCTCTGCTGGCTACGAATGACCTCCAACTGTCTCAGTATGCCTCATGGGAGAAACGGAAAGCGACACCTACCCAGCGGAGCAATCTCTGGCGATGCACTCGCCGGATGCTTGTACATACGGACGATCCTCGATACCGCAACGCATCGTTCGGGGAGATCATGCAGCTGGTTGATCAGACCCGACCCAAATACGAAGAGATGGAGCATGTCTTTTGGATCAGAGTAAGTTTTGCCATTCCTTGATAATCTTAACTATAATATCATTGCTAACAAATGTCCAGCTTTCTGATTTCATGGACCTCGAACCGCACATCCCTCACCTCAACGGATTCGAGCTCGAGTTCATGAGCATGCACATTGACCCAGAGCCCTCCGCCGGCCCTGGTCCTCACACAAATGGACATGCTCACAGTACTCTCGCTGAGACGAATGGTTCTCCCGTTCCCAACGGTCATGGCTATCCTCGGACCGGTACATACTTCTAGTTATTTTTGCAGTTACAGCGTCCTCGCTATTTTGTTGGCGCGATTGGCAGAATTTCAGCGGTTTGCGGTGTACAGAGCTGATTCTGATTGTACGATTATGATACCTCTTGCGTTAGTGTAACGAATCCACTTTTGTTCACCACCATCAAACTGGAAGGCTTGTAAATGTCCGAGATCTTTGTCTAGATGGCGACATCGTTGCAGTTCTGAGCAATTGGAAATGATCACGTGACACACATGACAGAAAGGCGGTGACTAAGCGTAGGGCACACAGACGAAAATCCGAAACCCACCAAATTTTTGCCCGCGCTACCCCATCCAAACTTCATCACCAAAAATACTCTTCGAGGATCATTCGACATTCTTGAACATACAACCAACAACATGGTACGTTTTGCACCATCGCCGACCTTCAATGCTGTAGACAAAGTGAAGAATTGGCCTTGGACGAATCTGGAGAGCGCAATGCCCCGCGCACGTCGCCGCCGCACCCATCCCGGCGACTTGAACTCTGCATTGGAGCTATGAATCCTCCAAGAGAAGTCCATATCCAGTCCTTCGCCTGTCGCAGCAGTCCGCTCGAAACCCACAACGAAGACAGAATAACTAACACGCTTTACAGTCGGACGGAGAAGAGACCATGTCCAACCCCCCCCGTCGCTGCCGACGAGGTCGAGGTTTCCGCTGACGCTGGCTCCGGCCAGATGTCCGTCCTCGACGCTCTGAAGGGTGTCCTGCGCATCTCCCTGATCCACGACGGTCTTGCCCGTGGTCTGCGTGAGGCTGCTAAGGCCCTCGACCGCCGTGAGGCCCACATGTGTGTCCTCAACGAGGGCTGCGAGGAGGAGGCTTACAAGAAGCTCGTTGTCGCTCTGTGCTCTGAGCACAAGATCCCCCTCATCAAGGTTCCCGATGGAAAGATGCTCGGCGAGTGGGTCGGCCTCTGTATGTATCCCCGGCTCAAAACTTCATGGGACGTTGTTGGCTAATATCTCTTCTACAGGCACTCTCGACCGTGAGGGTAACGCCCGCAAGGTCGTTAACTGCTCTTGCGTCGTCGTTAAGGATTGGGGTGAGGAGTCCCAGGAGCGCTCCGTCCTCCTCAACTACTTCCAGACTGAGCAGTAGATTAGTCCTTTTGGGCTGGTCGTGCTGATTGTCTAGGAGGAAGGGATATCCTGGTTGCTACGTGATGGATCAATGGGCGGTTGATTAAGCTGACACGACTCGCTGTTTTTGTGTCGGTGGGATGGATCATGTCTTGTTCGATCAAGCCTGTTATGTCTTTCGAGTGCTGTGCCCCGTTTGCTCGGGTTTGTGGTGCTGTAGCACTGGGTATTCAATTGCCAGGACAAAATTACACGATGGTGTGATGTCAATCTTTCTTGCCCGTAGAGTCATTGTAAGATAATCGTAGAACTATGAGTGTGTAATTGTTGAGGTCGTCTCAGCCACATCATGGCAGTGAATGGCATTGTCAGTCTGAGATTGAAGGGTCTACAACGCGGGTGTTCATCACTCCCTAGATACTTTCATTCCGGGATGGGTCCAATAGTTCATCAAACTCGTCAACTCCAATCCTAAATTATAGCATGATATGACTCGCACGGATCGATACAGCAGTCAAAACTCGCGCGTCCGCCGGCAAGTTGCTTCAATAACGACAGGCTTAGAAATTGATCAGAACCTTATTCCTCGATGCTACACAACAAGGAGAACACTTGACTTGCAGCTGATCATCAAATATTATGTGATTTGGGATTTGATTCAACGGATATTCACATTCATATGAACGGTGTCGTCACGTCCTGGCCGGCCACATGGCGCAGGCTGCTCAATCATAGCTTATGCTGTACTGAAACAATCTTCAAGCACGGCCAAAAGGCCAGCGAGGAGCGAGAGCAGCATGCACATTGCTCCCTTTCAAGGCATTATAGAGCAAAGCTTTGATCTTGGCAAATTCGTAAAAGGTCAAAGACTCGTGACCTCGTAACTTAAAGAGCTGCATTTGCGCACGTAAAAGCAGGCGTGATGGCTCCCGAATAATCCGCGATAATGGCCTTCACAGCTGCATACAGACCCGGGCCGAGAATGAACAGACCAACAACCATGATGAAAGCATGAATGATGGTCATGGCTGTCCTGCCCAGACCGTTGAAAAGACGTCCACGGTAAAGCTGCCAGTAGGCGATGGCAAAAAAGATGAAGCCAAAGAACGAGTCAAACGCGGCACTGAGGAGGGAGAGGAAATCTCCCATGCTGGGAACGACTTCGGCGAAAACGAATGCGAGCATCCAGATAACGGCCATAATGGCGCCCCAGACCCCCCCCATCCAATCAATGTGTTACTGTGAGCGTGTCGAGACTTGCCCATTGCGAGCGTATAGACCAGCTTCGCCGTCACATTCGCGTAAATGACTCCGATAATGAGAGTAGGCACGATGACGAATCCGAAAGAAGCCTTCTTGTATGCGTCGACTCCCAGACTACCAAAAGCAGGAGCGGTGGCGTACTGCCCCAGATATCGGAATCCAATGGCCGGAGGAATGATGAAGAGGATGGCAGAGATTCCAGCGAGAACGGCCAATGATTTGGGGAAGTCTTGCGGCTTCTCCATCTCGGCGATAAAGGTGGGAAACAGGATCTGGGGAACCCAGAGGAATGTGATGTTCAGCACGGCGTTCATGCATGCAACCCAGGTAGTGCCTGGAAGAGGGAATGCGTAGGTCTTGACTGCTCCATCGGTTGGGTAATCACCATTGTACCCGTAGAGAGGGGCCTTTTCAATACCGGCGAAAATGAGAAAGAGAAGGATTGCGATTCCCATGCAGGCGGCTAATATGCGCATCGTGTCATAAGTACCTGCCTAGGGCTCAATGCAGGCCATAGGGGCAAGTCACTTACAAGAAAACATGGACATCAAACTAATATGTTGGAGAGTTCGCGGGGCAGACATCACAATTCCCATGAGAGTCACAATGACAGCGAAGACAGCTGTGCACAATGTGTGACCTGACAGGGTGTTTAAAACTTTCGCGCCGGTCAGAATGTGGAACCCGATGAGCAAGATGTTGTTGGCAAGCAGCATGAACGCGGAGAAAATATAGGCAGCTCGGTTCCTGCCAAAGATATAGTAGCCAAAATCGCCTATCCAGGATCAGCTCATCAGTACCGGGTGGAAAGCGGATCAAACAAGGCTTCTCCACTCACAGATATCTTTGATCTGGGGATTCTTCATGATGTACTTGTGCATGGTAATCGAGGTGATCCAGAAAATGATTCCCGAGAGAACCATGGTGATGATGCCGGGAACCCATCCCAGAACCCTACACACATCTATTTGAGTAGGTTCGCAACGGAGAATGGGAGTTCCGACTCACGAGAGAGACCATGACTGGGCCATGATGGCCAGGCACACCTGGTCCCCAGCGAGTAAGCAGGCGGTCTTCTGCCAGGACATAGTTCGGAGCTTGATGTCATGTTCGTGGTCTGTCACAAAGAAGAATCCAGTCCATGTCAGTCAAGTCACGCAGATCTTGGAGGAACTTCCGACCTTCTGCTACCAAGGCTATGATGGTATCGAATGAGCTGGACCCATCGCTATCTGTTCCGAGGACATAGCTCGATTGATGCTTCTCGTCTTTCTCCTTGGACATGGCGAGAATCGACGATCGAGTTTTTCTGACGCTACCGATAATGAATAGAGAGACTGAAGAGACCAGAGAAGTGGGAGAGCGAAAGAAAGATCTGCGAACCCTGCAGCTTTGTGGAAAAAAATAAAACAAAATAAGATGCACGTGGGAAGGAGCACACAAGTCTTCATCTGGCGCCATAGCGGCATAGAGGCATAGCGGCATAGAGGCATAGCGGCATAGAGGCATAGCGGCATAGAGGCATAGCGGCATAGCGGCATAGCGGCATAGCGCCAGAGCCCCGTAGCCCGCACTAATAATCATCCCAGATGACGTGATAATTAAGGATATCGCGATAGTCACAACCTATGGATACGACGATAGAAAACACGAATCCTTAGAGAGACTAGTTGCCGTAGCGCTATCGCTTTATCGGCGATTCCGTGGGTCTGGGCCCCCCAGACGCCTCCAATGGACACCCGGGCCGCCCCTTCTTGGCCCCTCATTGGCGGGCACAGGCATTGCCCAAGCCGGGCGCGGGCTTTAGCGTCTATTGCTCCCAGGAGGGGCAACCCCCAAAGTAGGGCAGCTGATGGCAGAATAGGAGCATAGGGAAGAAACTTAAGCCGAGCAACATAGCCCGACATACTCTCGATCTGATTTAGACTTTCATTGACTCTATATGTACGATATATCTTGTAGTATGCGCTAAAGATTGCCCGTAATCCGGGGTTTCTATCAAGGAGGGGAGAAGGTCAAAGTGTCCCTCGCGTCAAACTGGCCCCGTAGGTTTCTTTTTCCGAACATCCTTCCACCCCATGCCGAGAGCAAAAACCATCCCCACAATGCCAAGGCTGGCAGACATGTAGAAGACATGGTCGACGCTTTTCGCATAGGCCTTCAACACGCCCGGAAGATTGTCACTCGACACCACAGCCCGGATACCGGTGGCACCTGCCGCAATAACGATTTCTGGACTCATGTTGGGGGCATCTATTGGAATGAGGGTCTTCAAACCGGTCGAGAAAATCACATCCGCGAATGTGAGGAAGACCGCGCCGGACAGCGTCTGAGTGAACATGAGAATAGACATGCCAACGGAGACCTGACTCGGCGGAAGTGTATTTTGAATTGCGATGATGGGCTGTTGAGTGTAGCCGTTAGTCAAACCTTTTCCAAGCTTTAAAAAGAACTCACGGTTTGAAATCCGGCTCCTCGGCCTGCTCCCAAAATGATCTGATAACCCACCCATTTACCCACTGGAGTAGAGGCCGTAAATGTCGAGGTCAGACCACTTCCGATGGCAGTAGCGATTCCGCTGAAAACAGCCCACGGAAGATAGTACCCGAATTTTCCAACTGCATTCACGATCAGCACCGAGTTGTCGGCTGTTATGGGGGAAGAATCTTACTCAGAGCCCCAGAAGTCACCGCGAACGCCAACTGTGACAGAATACTGGGCAGAATGTACACGCCACTCATCAAGGGCGATGCATTCTTGATAGCCTGGAAGTAGACGGGGAGATAGTAGGAAGCGCAAAGCACGATAGCGAACAGGGTAAGCATGACCAGGCAGCTTGCCCATACAGTTCGCTGCCCGATCATCGCCAAGGGAATCATGGCTCGGTCACCTTGACGATACTCCCAGTACAAAAAAAGGGCAAATGTACCGGCGGCACCGCAGAAAAGGCCAATGACGGTCGCGCTTCCCCACGGATATTTATTGCCACCGTATTCAAGCGCCAGGAGAAGTTGGATGGCGGCAGGAGCGAATAGAACGAATCCGATGAGGTCGAGCTTGTGCATGGTCGTCTGCATGGCTGCTTTGATAGGGGGCTTTTCTGCTTGATCCGGAATCTCGACGAAGAGGAGCATCACCGCAACCAGAGCACCGATTGGAAGGTTGATGTAGAAACCTGGGGGAAATATTAGATCTTGTTCAATGAAAGATGGGTAGTAAGTGGGTACCTACACCATCTCCAGGTCGTATATTCGGTGAATGCACCCCCTAGCAGGGGACCGAACGCGACACCAAGTTGACAGACTAACGAGCTTTATTAGCAGATTGTAAATTGACCAATGTATGTCGGCTACTCACAGCCCATTATAATTCCAATGAGAGCTGTTAGACTGATTAGTGCCAACTTCAAACGAAGAAGCATGTAGTTACTTACTAGGGGACCTGTGCAGGGGGACAGATGATGCGATAATGGTCAACCCTCCATTCATCAAGCCGGATGAACCAAGACCTGCCACTGCTCGAGCAACAATCAACATTTTTGAAGATGTTGCGAGGCCGCAGAGAAGCGATCCCAGCTCAAAAATGAAGAAGAAGACAAGGTATGTCCACTTTAATACAGTCAAATTTTGCATTTTCTCAGGAATTGAAATTGAACAAGCAACAGTACCTTCGACTTGAAATTGGTGTATACTCTACCTGCCAGAGGTTGCAAGCACGCACTGGTGGGGATGTTAGTGAGAGTCGTTCAAGCGAGAAGAGACAAGGCGTACCTGGCAATTTGATACGAGCTACCGTACCATCCTAAATCCTCGAGAGAATGGAATTGGGTCGTAATCCTCGGAATCGCCTGTGAGGTGTCAGCCATATCTACATAGCATAGGGCACAGACAACCCACGGTCACAATGATTGAAGTATCGAGCAGTACCAAGAAGCTCACCAAGGTCACCGCAGTGGTGACCATGGCAAGCTTGACGCCGGTAAGATAGATCCTCTCGCCATCTTTGGAAGACTTCTGGACCCCTTGAAATTTCCTATCTAGATCATCTGCCGCAGCTCGCGACGATGCATCGGAGCCAATCTCTTGGGATAATTCTTGAGATTTCACTTCTTGTTGAAAATCAGCTGTGTCATAGGTTTGGACACTTGCGGGGACCTTCTCCATCTTTTAGGTGGCTAGCGATGGAAATGACTCGATTATCCTTTGGAGTGGAATTGGATTCAAAGAAGCCTTATATGTTACCTGTAACTCCTAAACATTTCCAACACCCTTATACACAATCGAGTGATCGGTGAACCTGGCCTCTGCATGACAGGGTATGCCATCAAGGGGGGCCCAGTGTTTGGGCATGTTTCTGTAGACATAGACCGGGATTCGCGCGACAGTTGAACCCCGAAATCCGATGTCCGCAAAGTCCGGCCCCTTGTTGGCGCGGCTCTAACACGGTGATAGCAGCCTCGATCTTTCTCAATAGCCGGCTGTGAACCAAGTTAAAGCCACAAGGATGTACTAGTCTGAGACCTTGACAGGTTATGACCCCATTCAGCATGTTAGACCTAAAACAGAATTGCGCAGGCAGAGATGAGATGTGTCTCCTACCGCCAAAAATTAACCCCGAGTGCCGTAGAATCTTAGTCAGCGCAATAACTGTTCTGCCTCAGCCGGATTTCAATGCTCCAACTCCGACCGACTCATCAAATCATGACCTGATGGGTACTGAGGATTCTTCAATTCTTCTTTCTGCATCAGCTTATATTAACACGAATATCTTGTGGCGAGCGAGTCTCTTGAATCCCACTCAGCCTTGATTGATCTTGGGCACGTCTTCATTCCCGAATCCCTATCACGTTCGGACATCGGAATGGAGTCGAGCGAACCCCAAAGTGGAACCCCTGCACCTTACGGCCGGGCTTGCATCAACTGTTCCCGTGCGAAGAGCAAGTGTATTTTGATTGGCGTTGGAAATGGCTGTGAAAGGTTGGCATCGTCGAAGATGATGTATATTGCATAGGCTAATGGCCCGTAGATGCCAGCGACTAAAGAAGGACTGTAGGCCATCGCCAACAGTTCGAAAGCGAAGTGATCGCTCCTCTGCTTCAAGAACAGCTCAACTTGAAGCAAAGCTTGATAATATTGTATCTTTGCTCCAGACAACTGGGTCATCTACTCTGCCCGTAGACTGGGAATCCACCTCGGCAAAATCGCAATCAGGCATCGAACGTGGCCCACCAGGTCCAACTGGCGCACCAGTGGGTGCTCCAGTGGGTGCTTCGACTGGGGCTTATGCCTCACCGAGAATATCAACACCATCAACAGCAGCTGGCTCACCCTCATCAAATGATTTCACAGTTCATGACATCTGCTCGGCACTGCCGATTACCCCAGATCAAGCCGAGAAGACTCTCAACATGATGCGCACTGAGAACCTGAAATTTCTCCCTTTTGTCTACATTCCCCCCCCATGTCACCGCTGATATGCTCCGTCAAGAGAAGCCATTCTTCTGGCTTTGCATTATGGCGGTAACGACTCCAATGAACATACACAGAGAGACATTGTTTCAAAAAATCACGATGCTCATTCAACAAAAGCTGCTTATCGAAGTTGCGCCGAGTATAGATATGCTCCTTGGCATTATGACATTCATATCTTGGTGAGTCTCCCTAACGGGTTGCTAAACACACATCGAAACCCGTGAATCTAACCCATGAAACACTTGCAGGACGACTTACTCTCGGAGGCCATTTCTGAACTTCTACGCGCATGTGCTGATGGGGTTGGTGTGCGACCTTGGTATCAACCAACCAGTCGCGCAAGAGCCTTCTACGATGCAGACTTTCAAGTGCGCGGTCGGTTGGAAACAGCAAATTCCCACCATCAGAACTTTGGAAGAGCGACGGGCAGTTCTGGGATGCTTTCTGCTCACTTCGAGGCATGTTTCAAGCCCAACATCCTAGATCCACAAGACTAACAGCCCTTTAGTATCGCATTGACCATGTCCAAAATCGACGCTTTGAGATGGAACCCTCACATGGAGGAGAGTCTGACCGTCCTCATGGACGCCAAGGAATGCCCGGAAGACGAACTCTTAGTCACGCTCGTCAAAATTCAGTTGATCATGGACAAAGTTTACCACATGCGACGGGACGGCGAGAACAACACATATTCGCTGCTGTATACCAAGGCATTCCAGTCGCAGCTTGACTCGGTGAAGTCTCAAATTCCCCAGCGCTTACAACAAGATAGTATGTTCGCGCATCCTGATTATTACTTCCAACAGCTGCTGACTGAATCAACAGAAGCTGTTCTCTTATACCTTGCCAATGCTGAAATCGTGATTCACGAGGTCGCCATTGCGACTCCCTCATTACCCAACTCCCCCGAAATGCACCGCCTCGAAAGTCTATGCACATGCCTCCAGGCGTGCAAGTTCTGGCTGGACACCTGGCTTGAAATATCTCCAGATCATCACATTGGAATTTCATTCACGGTATTCTACCAATTCTCAAGGGCTTTGGTCAGCTTGTACAAGCTCTCCACCTTGGAAGATCCAGCCTGGGACAGAAACATGGTACGAAATACGGCCAATGTCCTTGAAATTCTCGATCGCATTCTCTATAACCTGAAAAGGAGTTCTCGCATCATGTCCGATCCCGATCACTTGGAATACAATGTCTATGAGAAGGGTGTGAAGATGTTACAAGCCATCAAACAGGGTTGGGAGCCAAAGCTGATGGAGGTCTGGTTTCCCAATTTGCCAACAGACGTAATCAGCAACCAATATGTCCCGACTTCTCCGCTGCCTGAAGTGTTGCCGATGCCTGGGTTCGACGATGCGTGGATGCTGGAGGTTTTTGGTTCAATGTGAGACAATATTATTAACAACGGCTTGTGCTTTAGCTTTAGACGGTTGGGTTCGCTTGCGACGATATTAGCATAATCCTACTCCATGTAATTATATGAGTGACCTGCAACAATCTAATAGAAGAATTCATTATTCAACGATGGTTGACTCAATGAATTGCAGATGTCTTTTATCGCATGAGACACATCAAAAGATCCTCAACCCGACAGGGCAGCTTCGAAGACCAACTAAGCTAGGCGGAGAAGACTTTAGCCAGCAATCTAGTTGACTTTTTTTTTTTTCAAGTTTCAGTCGGATACTGTTCGAGACTCCCGTGAGTAGACAAATGGAATATTGGGCTATAGTGTCATTACCGACCAGTGCGTGACCGACTGACTGCTCCAGCCCAAGTATCTAGTCTGCCCAATCATCAAAACCACAACTTGTAGAGGCTGAGAGGTCAAACTTTTCATTACCTACAACCAATGTATTTTCGGAGGTTTCGTTTTTCAAATGGTGTCTTGTACATTGGGAGACTGCATTTCCCTGTTTTCCATTACTTTTGGTCAACCTTTCGCTTTAGATCACTCATAGAGTTAAGCCCGTGGAATGCACGTGAATACGGCGCTCAGCTGCCAATGCCGGGGCTTGTCATGATCCAACCGTAACATCCCCAATAGTCAGGTCCTCTTCTGTAGCTGATATGCATCCAAGGCGCTACATTCTAAACTAAATTCAACGTGGGATGAATATCTTTTCGGGGCTCTAGGCACAAAGGACCATACATTCTTTTGACCTATGTTAATCTCAGCATTTCTTTTTCTAGGATATGCAGGTTGACTCCAAGGCCCTCAAGTTGATGCTTGAAAAACCCTTTGAGCTTTAGAAAATTAAGCTATGGTAAGCTCACATCAGATTGGAATTCAGGAGGCAACCTTGATTGATTGAAGGCGGCTGAGAGCATCCCTTTGCGCATCTCGAACTATGGTTTCCGCCGCTGCCACTTCATGAATAAGTCCTATAGAGGCCCCTGCATAGGTAGCCAATCTGCCCTCCGGCCCCCCAGCCACTGTCACCCATTTCTGATGCCTCATCGTGAAGCTTTTTGAGCTCTTCGAAAGAGGTTCCTTGTTGATGTTCCAGAAATGATCTGTTGATGATTGTTCTTGGGCTATATCCAGCCGGCCACCCGAACGTGCCCCTGAGGTGATTGTAAAGTAATGTACGGGTAGTGTTGACTGCACCATCAGAGGCTCGTACAACCTCATTCTGGTACCCTTGGCTAATACGTGCTTCCTTTGCAGCCAAGAATCGTGTTCCCATCACCACGCCTGAAGCGCCCAGACACAGTGCTGCGGCGACTCCTCGTCCATCGGCAATGCCACCTGCGGCTAGTAAGGGAATACCACTGTCTGCCATGGCATCTGCTACTTCTGGGAACAGTGACATGATGCCCATCCCATCTGTTGCCCGACCGTGGCCGCCGGATTCCAATCCCTGGACAACGACAACATCTGGCTTGTGCAGGCTTTGCAGAAGCTGCTTTGACTCCCCTAAGGTACCTATCTGAATCCATATCTGTGTTTGAGGAGATACTCCGCGGATTCTTTGAGACCATACGTCGAATTCCGTGAGGCTTTCACGTGGTGCATACAGCCAGGCGGCGCATGGCTTGAATTTCTCGATGGTGGCAACAGCTATGTCGATATCGTCGGCCCATAGCTGGAAGCCAACACCGACCGGGAGAACTGGATGCGCTAACGGGATCGCGCTAAACGCTAATGACCCGCGTGCCTTGTTGATTAAAGTTGAGGCTTCCTCGAGATCGGATTCCATATGCTGAGTCTTGACGCCGGGACCAATGAATCCTAAACCGCCTGCGTGCGAGACCGCGACGGCAAGAGAGGCGCCCGACATAACGCGCATAGGAGCGCCCACAATGAAGGGATGAGAAGCCCATGGGTAGCGGGATAACAGCTTAGCAGTCATATTTGATAATGGTTAGGAAGCAGCTTGATGGTTGAGGAAGAAGAACGTGTTGCGTTTCTTGTAGCACGTGGGGATACTGAGATACTAGTAAGCTACTGAAAAGGCGAGGCTTCGAAACAAAAATGATCGAGTTCAACGTCGATGGCGACCCTGGCGTTGTTTTGACGTCGCCATTGACATCACCGCCATTCCCGTAACTCCCGCAACACCCGTAGCACCCGCAACAACCTTCGCGAAAACGCATCTCCCGCTCGCCCGCATCAGCCATCACCATCCGACTCACCGATATGGACTCATCTAAACGCAAGCGGGCTCGGAAAGCATGTCAACCGTGCCACGAGCGTAAACGGAAGTGCGATGGAGGCGAACCCTGCACCACCTGCATTGAATGGGACTATGAATGCTACTACGAGGATCGACCACAAAGGAAGTCTAGAGCAATTAGACAACCATCGCTGCGATCTCAAACAGCGAGGTCCTCGCAGCAATCGACTCTCGACCCTAGTCCTGTAGAATCAGATCACTTTGGACTCGTCCGGCGCATGGAGGCCAATTCAGGAGCGGCATTTGTAAGAAAGCTTGGTCTCAAAATCGATCCGGCAAAGGCACCCAAGCTGAACCTTTTCGGATGGAATATCGGTACAAGACAACTTTCCTCTGAATTGAGTGCCGGTCCTGCACTGGCCATTTTTGAAATCACCTCGTGGGAACACTTCAAAGCCTTGGCGCAAGTGTATTTTGAGAAAGTGGATCCTTGCTATGGATTCATCGAACAGTCTCACTTTTTCGAGCGGCTCAATGCACGCTGGCAAACATCTCCGAGCCCCGAGGTGTACGACAGCGTCATATGCGGTATAGCGGCAATTGGCTGTTTGTTCTCGCAACGGAATGCCACGATCACAGAGCTGCATCTCATTCGTACGGCTAAATCCTGTTTGGAAATGCACCACCTCACTGCTCCCCCTTGTCTAGATCTTCTTACGGGATGGACACTTCGATCAATGTACCTTCGAATGACAGATTCTCCGCATTCAACATGGATGGCCAGCTCTACATTGATGCATCTCATTGAAGCGTCAGGCCTTCACCCAGAGAAACAATATGATTCTGTTCTTCCACTCCCGCTCGAGTGTGATCAACGTGCACAGCCTGACATTCACAGAAGACTTGTGGGTGTGGCATATCACTTGAATTTGTGGAGCTCTTATGACCTTGGGCTTTCTCGGGTGTTGTTTCGCACAGACGATTTGCCATTGCCCCCTTCACCCAAGTTGGGCGATTACACAGGCGAAGTTCTTGGTCTCTTACCGATATCAGTCTGCATGGATCCAGGAAAGACGAAAGATGAGACTGATCTCGAGCCCACACTCTCCAAGCTTTTGGAAAGCAGCCATACTCAACCTCCATCAGTCATGGCGCAGTGCAATTTGGTACTTTGCATTCTTCGACGAATTCACACCCAAAACCTCGACCTATCTCCTAAGCTCGCGGAAAAGACCTTGGCGCTACTGAAAAAGGCACTCGGTTGTGCAAGGAGCATGGTCTTAGATTGTTCACCATGGCACCAGGTTGCAAATGTACCGTTTCAAATCACCTGTGTCCTGCTTGTGATGGATACAAGGTCATCGCTTGCGATGCTCCCCGAAGCAATGCAGACACTTAACTTGGTTGCAACTACCTACAACACAGAGACTATGAGAGAGGCCTGCAGTGCAGCTTATCTGCTAGTCTTGCTACATCAGCAGCGTCGAAAGGACGATGTTGCTATCTTCGGCGAGGCGCTCCACAACCACCAGAGAGAACAATCTGTGGATTTCTCCCAACAATTCAATCCTAGTACCGAAGAATACAACTGGCTGGGGGCATTAGTCGCTGATTTACCCGGATTACAGCGAGTCGATCTAGATCAGTTCTTGAATGCTGATATGATGGACGGTTCTCTTATAGATGGGTCTGGAGGGAATTTTCGTTCCGAAGGTCGCTAATCTAAAAAAGCTTATTTCATGTGAAGCGAGACAGTCTCTATGAGATATCCAACAGATTGTTGTTTTGTTGGCCATGCTCCCATTAATATAACAGCGGGAAGCGCTCGTAGGCGCTGTGTCTGCGTCTTTGAGAAATTCGAGGAGTTTTTCAGGACGCATCCTCTCCAAGGCTGCTTTTGGTGGAAGACCGCTGTTCTGCTCAATTACTGTCATCGCCCCCGCTGAGTGGGTACGGAAACATCTCAACGCGCGATCCCGCTAATGCCGCAAGAGCCGTTCACCGCCGAGTCAACAGTTCCAATCTAACAAAGTTGGAGGAATATCAATGCTATGACTCCCTGGACATTTGTATTTGTACTTGAAACTCTGTCAGCTCACCTGAGCATCTCAATTTGAAAGATTATTATCAGTCGCACTGAATGCACATTTAACTACATTTCCACAGACTGCCCTCCTTTTACTGTCAACACCTGCAAAGCCTGTGTCACCCGCAGTGGTGAGCTAACATGATGATGGACGAAAAACTGTCAATTGGGAATGGTCGAGCTTTGCCGCCACAACTACCTCATCCCTCCGACTATGTTGTCGACTTCGATGGACCTGAGGATCCTACTCATCCATACAACTGGAAGCTCTCTGCTAAGTATGCCGCTATAACCAACCATACATTGGAATGCCGAATTCTAATATCACTTCAGGCTTTTCGCCTCTTTTCTTGTATGCTTCGGAACTTTCATAGTCTCCTTTACCAGTGCCGTCTTTGCCCGGGAATCGACTATGCCAGCAAAGAATTCGGCGTCTCCCCTGAAGTTGGAACTCTTGGTACAACACTGTACGTCCTTGGCTTCAGCTCCGGTCCGATGATCTGGGCCCCGGTCTCAGAGCTTCAAGGCCGGAAGTGGCCCCTTACTATCGCCATGCTGGGCGGTGGGATCTTCACCATCGGCAGTGCGGTTGCGAAAGATATCCAAACACTCATTATCTGTCGCTTCTTTGCTGGGATGTGCGCTGCAAGTCAGCTCACTGTTGTGCCAGGGGTGTTATCGGATGTCTTCGATAATAGGTTCCGCGGAGTGGCGATCACGCTGTACGCACTGACGGTTTTTGTTGGACCGTTTTGTGCGCCATTCACGGGTGGATTCATCGCGACCAGTTATCTTGGTTGGCGATGGACTCTCTATATTCCTGCAATTCTGAGCCTGGTCAATGGAGCCTTCTCTCTTTTGTTCCTACGAGAGACGTATGCGCCGGTCATTCTTGTAGATAAGGCTTTTCATCTGCGCCGACAGACCGGGAATTGGGGCATCCATGCCAAGCAAGAGAAGATCGAGGTTGAATTTCAAGAAATGATGGAGAAATACTTCACTCGACCATTGAGGATGCTTGTCACGGAACCTATCATCCTATGCGTGTCGATGTACATGTCATTTATCTACGGAATCGTTTATGCGCTGCTCGAAGCGTATCCTTACGTCTTTGAGGAGATCCATGGCATGACGCCAGGCATCGGTGGTCTTCCATTTATTGGACTTATTGTTGGCCAAATTCTCGGTTGTGGCTTTATGCTTTCGCAACAGGGGGCTTATGTCAAAAGACTAGATGAGAACAAAGGCGTGCCGGTGCCAGAATGGCGTTTGAGGCCCACTCTTTTCGGAGCTCCTCTGTTTACGATGGGTATATTTTGGTGAGTGAACGATCAACCGACGGCCATAAATGTTTTCTGACCTTTACGATCTCAGGTTTGGCTGGACTGGGTTTACTGAGAAGATCCACTGGGCTGCGCCCTCAGTGGCTGGTGTATTCATCGGATTCGGGGTTATATGTGTTTTCCTGCCGTGCTTCGCCTATCTCATCGACGCATATTTGCCACTGTAAGTCCATAACCCCTCTCCTTGCCAATTCGAGATGTCTGATTTTGAATCGACAGAGCCGCATCAGCGGTCGCAGCAAACATCATTCTCCGATCGGCAGTCGCTGCAGGATTCCCTCTCTTTGCCAAGCAAATGTTCAAAAATATGGGGGTCCAATGGGCTGGAACTCTGCTTGGGTGCCTGGCTGCAATCATGATACCTATTCCATTCCTATTTCGATCTTACGGGCCATTGCTTAGGAGGAGAAGCAAGCTCTTTCAATAGGAGCGAGCGGGGACTCGAGTCAGTCAGAAAACAATTCCACCAAAAGAGGTAGGAAGAATGATGAATTGAGGAGGAAATAGTAAGATAGAATAGATAAGATCGTCTTATTCTATGTCAAGATGAGCACATAAAATAATATTCGCATAAAGCTACCATTCCTTCAAGCCAATTGGGCCAGTGCATGTCCAATGCTTGTGCGTCAAGTTTTTGTTCTCGACTTCGTCAACTATAGCCACGGCCATGTCTTCGTTGTAAATTCCATTGTGAATACCGGTCTCGGCCGATCCGGCAGAATCATCCACGAAAAGCTCATATTGACCGGTTCTCGTGCCTTCATACTGTCATTTTAGGAACAGAAACCTTCAAAAAATCTAGTAGACTCACCTTTATCACGTAGCTGCCAGGGAGGAGACAAGAAGCTCCATTGTGCATCTTTTACTCCTTCCCACATGGTCAAGGCTGCTCGGGAACAGAAGATGAGGCCGAGGGCATCTGGATTTGTAAGTGTGGATTTTGCAGTTCGCAACAAGTACCATGCCAAAGGCCTAGTCATCCATGAGAACCCTTAAAGCGGACATCTGTCAGCATTCTGAGAATCGGAATATACGAGCGCTTCAGTTACTAACAGCCAGGGTTCTCGCAATTGCCTCTAGCCCATTTGAATCCACGTATAAACACCCCAAATGCACGCTGGCCATGATCGAACATGCGTGTCGCCATGTAATCCAAATGAACATCGGGCCATTGATACCTAGAAGCCATCCGTTCCAGTCAGACATTCGAATAAGACACATGCCTTGAAGCTTACCAGTGGTGGTATGCGAAGAGATTGTCATCGCACAGCTGCACCCCTTTTTTGTAGTACAGTGAGCCCGCGCCACCCGAAAATAAATCCGTGATTAGAAGGCTCGATCTTGAAGGAAACTTCTGAACTGAGGTGACTTGCCAATAATTATCAATGGGCCCCGATAGGAAGATTTCATGACTGCCATCTTGATGTTGCCGTGGCCTTCAACTCCCACTCGATAGACATCCTTGAAATCATGCAATGGAGGACCAAAAGCAGAGACAACAGCGCCGAATCTACCTTCAGAGAGAACGGTACTAAACATCTTAATGTCGCTGAAATCAACTGCAATCGATTCAAAGTTCCCTGGTTTAGACCACGTCCTGGGCGGTGATCGGGATATGCCAACCACCGAGTGACCCCTGGATAGAAGCTCGTCGACGACACATTGTCCACATTGCCCCTTGGGGCCAAGAACTGCAACTCTCATGATGAAAACTTGAAAAGGCAGTATACGTGAGTGGTTTGTCGAAATCACATTGAAGGTTTAAATGGTGATAACCCGGTAGAGGTCTCAAGTACATGGATCAACCCACTTTTATATTTCAGCCTTCAATTTACTAATAGTCAGAATTCAGCGGTATGAGATGCTCGCGGTCAGCTGAAGCCCTGAAGAGCTCCAAGGTCTATAAGTCCGTGTTAAATTTCCTTATGAAGCAAGAGCATTTCCACCCCCGCAGACCTTCACCTCTTAGTGCCCCGTCGGAACCCCACATATTCCGCTGGACTGGACCCCGCAAATGACCACTGGATTCAAGCTAGCTGGATGAGGAATCAAGTCATTTACACCAAAGTCTACCTTTTTATTTATTCAAAGTGATCCATGGAAATTTGTTCGAATGTAGTTTTATAGCCAACACATCTCTCCGCTGTCCAATCTTCACCATGTCTGAAGAGCAATCATACGCCTTCTTCGTGGAGGAGTGCATGAAAACCAGAAAGGAAGCGGAACGATTTCTCGAATTTCGCGATGCAGTCTCACCTGATAACCCCAAAGCCCGCTTCCCGGGATTCTATCAGCGTGTGACACTGTTTAAAAAGGAACAGCAAGTCAAGCCAGGCGCCAGGCCCTTACCGATTGATATCGTCATGCACGAGAGCGTGCCGATGATTCTGTCGGACGGAGTCAAGATCTATTGCGACATTTTCCTTCCAGCCAAGCTTCCACGGGATCTAAAGAAACAGTTCGAGGAAAGAGATAGGGTGCCTGCATTGGTGGCGTGGTATTTTGTGCTCTCCAAGACTTTCAGGAATATGTCGGACTAATAATTCCAAATCATAGGAGTCCGTATGGAAAGCAAATGGGCACAACAATGTTGGATGACTTCCCATTCCGTGCAGGTGTCCCAAAGAAGTGGCTATCCGGGCTTGAAAAGTGGGAAGGTCCCGACCCTGCATTTTGGTGCCCAGAAGGTTACGCTGTGATCAACGTTGACACTCGGGGCGCATTTACTTCGGAAGGCAAACTCCTCATTTTGGGACACCAGGAAGCTCAGGATGGCGCAGAATTTGTCACCTGGATATCTGAACAAGCCTGGTGCAATGGCAAGGTGGCTTTGACTGGAAACAGTTGGCTGGCTATGGCTCAGTGGAAAATAGGCAGCCTGAGGCCCAAAGGGCTTGCTGCACTGGCGCCGTGGTATGATATCCCTCTGAAGAACTTTTTTTAGATTGAATTCAGATTTACTGATATCTATCGTCAGGGAGGGCCTTCAAGATCACTATCGTGATGCCGTATGCCAGGGAGGTATTCCGTCGTCGAACTTCCACGATTCCGTCGTTGGTAAGAGAGAGCTCCGCTGCGTGGACTCTGAGCCGCCTAGTCTTGTGTGAGGCTCCTTCAGAACCAATACTAATGTGGGTTTAGAGCCATTCGCAAGCTACAGTGAGCTCGAAGATCTGTCTACTACGCTGAAGAAGACAGGCGGCCTGTGGAACCCCTACTGGGAAGACAAAAAGTCAAATCCAGATCAAATCAACGTACCAATTTACGTTGTTGCTTCCTGGACTAACCCAGTCCATACACCTGGGACCTTTCGAGCTTTCAGAATGATTCCGGATAGTACTCCCAAATGGCTTCGGGTGAACAATTCTCAAGAATGGCCCGATTACTACGCAGATTCCAGTTGTCGTGATCTGAAACGGTTCTTCGACCACTATTTGAAGGGATACACGGAAAATGGCTGGCTGGAAACCCCAAAAGTTCGCCTCAGCATCCTTAATTTTGGGTTGTCTGGACTCGATGACACGGTGAATAGAGCCGAGCGGGAATGGCCACTGGCTCGGACCCGATATGAAAGGCTTTATTTGTCTTCCAATGGCGTGATGGGCCCTTTTACACCTCAGCAGGGATCATCTTTGGCGAAGTACAACTCGGCAAGTGGAAGAGTGACATTCCGTTATGTCATTCCTGACGAAATGGAAACGACTGGGCATTTCACAGCGCGGCTCGTTGTGTCATGCCCTTCTCACTCAGATATGGATTTGTTCATCCAAGTTTGTTGCCTCGATGGAAGCACACTCTATAGGCGAGGAATCATGACTATAAGACCTAATAATATAGTAGTTTTAGCCTTGCTAAAGTTACTTCATGATTGGCACTTCGGAGTTTCGAAGGTGGGCATGCTTTTCCACTGGGGCCCCGGTGGCCAAATGCGAGTCAGTCATTCAACCCAGAAGACCCAATCCTCCACATCATTTGAGCCAATTTATGAGCACAAAAAAGGAAATACCCCTAGTCAGGGGAGAAAAGCGAGTGGTTGAAATTCCTCTCAGGCCGTATGGAATGTACTGGAAGGTAAGTTGAACTACTGACACGGCTAGAGTTTGCCTTGATCGCTAATTTCGTTTTACAGAAAGGCAACGTTATTGAGCTTACAGTGTCTGGCAATCCGGTGATCCCTTTCCCTATTCCTGGGGTCAAACCATTGTATGGGAGGAACGTTGGTGATCACATCATTCATTGCTTTGATAGAGGAGAAGATAGCTCCTGTCTTGTTGTGCCTAGAGTTTAGTTGCACACCAGCTTTCGTTTATGGTCGTTCCTAGTCCTTCGTCTGCGAGAGCATCACTACATCCTTTATTTAATACCTTGGTAGTTTTGTGATGTACTATTTGTTCTCTTCAAATCAAAATTTGGTTTTTTTGGATCTAAGATTCGTAGTGTCCCAGCAGCCTTCATGGCAACGTAAGAGTATCTACCTCAAGGTGGGACATGACAATCACTTCTCGGATCCATTGTGAGAGAAAACATCATAATCGAAACAGAAAGGAAATTCAATTACTTGGATCGAGGGGAATGTAGATTCCGCAATTACGTACAACAGCTAGACGACGGGGCCGACGGGCAGACGGGGCCGACGGGGCCGGCCGGGTCGATCGCTAGGCCATTTCCAGAAGGTGCATGATGGTTTCTCGAGGTCCAAGGTGACAATTGCTCGCTTCGTACTTGATCTAGGCGTCTGAAACAGCCCTTTTTTCTCTTTGCGTTCAGAAAGTTGAGACCCCATGTAGGCCCACTGTCTTATCCGCAGATTTGAAAGGACGCAAGGTATAAAATCAGGAAGGTTGCTCAATTGGGCTCCGTTCCACGATGTTTCCACATCGCAGTTGTTTTCTGCATATCGAACAAGACACATTTAAGACCCAGGCATGCTGCATTACGGGCTATTGAGCAGTGTCTGCGCTGGGGCGCCACAGGATATGGGAATGACTCTTGTAGTCATTTTCGGCACTTTCCTTGCTAGCTTTTTCACTTGGAAGGAGCTTACAGCATTCTACAATACTAAGCTCCACCCTCTGTGCAAATTTCCAGGTCCGGCTGCAGCGGCTCGATCAGAGACTTGGTTGTACAGAATGACCAAAAGCGACTTCCAGGAAGAAGAATTTGAGAAACTTCACAGAGAATACAGTGCGTATGAGAGCTTTGAACTTGGAATTTGTAACTAATGAAGTGAATCTTTGTCAGATACCCAGGCCCTTCGCATCGGACCTAACGAACTCCACATCAGTGACGTTAACCTGTACAAGGTTATTTACAATCAGTCCAGCCCGTTTCCCAAATACGCTCCATTCTATAACGGATTCAACACGCCACACACTGTATTTGCTGAATGTGACCCTGTGCTGCACAAAGAACGCCGACGAATGCTGAATCCCCTCTTCTCTCGCGTTGGATTGTTCAAGTTGGAGCCTATCATTCAAGAAAAGATCAAAATGCTAGTGGGAAAGATCCAATTCCTGGCAGGAAATGGAACCGTCAACGTTTATGATGCTTTTAGGTATGACATACAAAGGATTTTCATTCGCTCATTGCTCACAGAATACTATGCCAGGCTAATGACGACTGAGGTCATCCTGCAATTTGCATTTGGAAGGAACGGGGGCCTTATTGCTGAGGATCAGAACGGCTTCAAGTCCTGGTTTCTGAAAGGGTTTGACGCAGCTTCAAAAAGCATCCCCGACCTGCAGTATAAACCATGGCTTCGACACCTTACCAATATCATTCCGCAGGCGATTGTGTATAAATTAAATCCAGAAATCGGAAACTTGCTGGATATAGCAAAGGTAAAATTCTGTGCGCCAGAAAACCCGTGTAGCTTACTTTTAGCTAATGAAATCCGAAGTTCGCTGAAGACTCTGTGCGTTTTTGGCAGAAGTCTGATTCTAAACCCGACCACCCAGTGGTGTTCGAGAGATTAGACACGGTCAACGATGCTGACCTGGCGACCGAGGCGGTGGATATCTTGATTGCTGGTGCCGACACTACGGCATCTACGTTGACAACCGGGTTGATCCATATTCTGTCCGACCGTGAGATTGAGTGCCGATTGGTGGAGGAAGTTGATTCACTCCAAGTTAACGGAGATGGCCAACTTCCCCTTCAAGCTTTAGAAAAGTCGGAATACTTGGTAGGTCATCTTGAGCTTTTGATGTGACTTGAACAATCTTAACAATTTTGCCGCAGAATGCTACTGTCAAAGAAGCACTTCGAGTTGGCATGGCCGTTCCGGGTCGGCTTCCTCGTGTTGTACCAAATTCTCTCACGGAGCCCTTCAGGGTCGATGGCAAAGTCGTGCCGCCGGGTACAACCGTCTCCATATCGACCTATACCATGCACACAGATACTTCAGTTTGGGGCCCGGATGCCCGCGAGTTTCGACCTGACCGGTGGACCGGTCCTGAGAGCAAAGGCCTGGATCAATACCTCTGTACCTTTTCAAAGGGCGCCAGGATGTGTATTGGCCAAAAGTGAGTGTCAGCGCCATCTGTTTCAACAAAGGAAATATGTTAATCGTTCCTCTCAGTCTGGCGCCTGCCGAGATCATCATTGCGCTGGCCTATCTCCTGCGCAACTTCAAGATGAGCCTGTCATCGGAAAGTCATATTGGAGCGCGGAAAGATCGGTTTACATTGCAGTATGAAGATCCTGGGCTTCAGGTCACATTCACGCCGCGTAATTGATTTCCAAGTTACGATGGCTGTTTGCTTCCCTAGATGACTCAGGGCTTTGCTCGCGGTTGATAATTTGCGCATATATAGACTTTTTGAATGGGCGGATTGTAAGGAGATATCTTGAAGAGGTCAAGGAATGCATGCAAGGTTCAGAAAGCGGGGTGGGATCCAACGCCTCCCAATTGATCACAGAATAGAAAGGACGTCTGTCTCTGAGGCCATGACTAAGCGGGACTTTGGCCCCAGGAACCTCACGGAACTCCAAGTTCCGAAGTCCGACCTCAAACCTGGACTCCGCATGTATACAAAGGGTAATGATCGACATGAAGCGAAACATCCCAACATACACCAGAGCTGGCCTAGCGAGATTGCATCTTAGCTTCATCTCTCTTCGTACCTAGGTAACATAGTCCTCGTGAATATTCCAACTTCATGTGTCATTCCTGATCCCCAGACTCGTATTCCAATGTGAATGACGATGCAATCGGCTTCCCCTCAACAAGTCTTATTTGGATGTGAACACTGCGGAAACACGTTCCAACGGAGGGAGCATCTCAACCGCCATGTTCGTCGCCACCTCCAAGTGAAACCTTTCTTATGTCACCATTGCGGTAAATACTTTTCAAGACAGTGCGACGACCAGTAACTTCATTGCCAGTGTTCTGCTAATGTGGTCCGAATAGGGACACTCTGAAGCGACACACAGTGACGCATGACCAGCATCACGATGGCTTGAGTAGACGGGCTTTGAAGGCTTGTAGTGAATGTACCCGTTCCAAGCAACGATGTAGCGGAACTGAACCATGCGATCGCTGCAATCACCGAGGCCTGCCTTGTCACACTGGCAAGTATTTTGTGGAGCCAACGAATGACAACGCGAGTGAAACCCAGAATGAGCGTCTAGAAAGCTCTAAAATCGAGGATGGTGCTTTATCTGGCCACCTCCATTCATCTTACCTAGGCTCGAATGCGGCCATCATCGGTGGCAATTATTCACAAACTCAGTATGAATTTCCCTGGATACCCCAGGATTGTGCCTTTCCATTTTCCTCGCCTTTCGAAATCGAGTCCAATAATACCAGCGATATGATGTTTCATTGGGACCGTACTGCTTTCTCTTCTGAAGAAAATCCAAGCTTTTGCATTTACGATCAAGTTGCATCGATGCCTCCGCAGATGAAGAACAGTGGCTCAATAAGTACACTTGAGCGATTTTCGGATGAGCCCTCGAGACAAGGAGACCCGGCGATCCCTATGAGGCAGCAGAGTGACCAGTCAGAAATCTCCTTCCCTGGCTTTCCCCAGTTCTCTCCAGATGATATCGACTTACTTGTTTCAGACGACTATTGCCATGTGTCAGAACTGTCCGAGTCGGAATATGATGCACTCGTCACACTCTACCATGAGTCAGTCCTGGCCTCAGATTCAGAGAACCAAGGCGATTTCCCACGCCGCGAAATCATCAATGCGTTTGTGCAGCTGTACTTTGAGTTCTTCCATTTAGGCTTCCACCTTCTGCATCAAGACGCCTTTCAACGCCAACAGAGGTCCTCTTGTCTCTACCTCGCTGTTGCTGCAATAGGCGCCCAATACTCGAGGGTCACATCTCGCGGGCAATGCAGCCTTGCTCTCTTGGAGATCTTACGGCGCGCCTTACTTAACAATGTAGGTTTTCTCGTCAGTTCCTCCTTTCATCTCTTTTGCCCTAGTCCGGGTTTGTAAAATGACAGATTTGCCAGATGAAGCTGGATTGCTCTCCTCAACATGATCTTCAAATGGTTCAGACAACAATTTTGTGCACATTCTCTTTGTCATTCTGTGGAAGGCATCATACACTGGCTCAGGCACAGCATATGCGTAGCCTTCTGGTGACTATGTGTCGCCCATTCATGACCCAGTCTATACTTCACCGCGGATGGACTCCTCAGAAGGCCTACCCATTCAAGGAAAGCTTATCTGATTGGATGGCACGAGAATCTTGGGCCAGAGTGATATATTTCACTTGGTGTAGGTTCATAAACCCTAGGCTCGGCATCTTCCATTTCAGCTACTGATCATTTACTGGAGAAGACATTGAATACCAACATTGGACCTTCTTTGATCTTGCTCCTTTGATATCGATTTCGGAACTACGTGCCTGTACGCCCTGCGACGATGAGCTCTGGCAAAGCTTCCATCTTAATGAAAAAGGGGACTTGATGCAAGCATTTACTTGTAAGTTTGTTGTTGCATTGCCATCCAAATCTGGATGCGTCAATTAACTTTGCCAGTGACACCTCATTCACCCAGTGTTTTGGATGTCCTCAGTGAAAGGAACTCGGGTAATGAACTCACCTGTTTCTTAGGAAGCTCGGCATCTTTGATTGTCATGGTTTCGGCGTACGCAAAGGAGCGAAGTCTCTTCCAACTTCTGAGACCAGCAGCTATGGGTGGCACCAAAAATAATTCAGACACTGCTCTTGATGCTATGTGCGCGGTTCATTCTCACCAAACAACTATGCTCGCAGAGCAGGCAATATCAAACGTTGCTGGAAAGCTCCAAGAACAGCGACTGGCACCGGATGAAACTTCTTCCGCATTCGTGATTTTCTCTGCTATGAAAAAGATTTACTCTATATCCAGGATCTTGGATCATATTCCATATACGCTGTTGTATGTCTCCTCTGGTTGGATGTCATCAAAAAAGGATACCGAAACCAGTCTGGCAAATCTGACAACACGACTACGAGATGATCCTCGAAATTCCAGAAGAACACTGACTTATGCGGCCCAATTATTCCGCCGCGTCCGAAACCAAAAGTGGCTTGAGGCATGTGATCCGCTTTATGTGCTCCTCGCAACGCTATATATATGGTTCTATGGAAGCACATTTGATACGTCATCGGAGGACCCTGACAGCGCAACCTGGCCACCATTGAAGATTGATGATGAGTCCATTGATGAGACTGCCTGGCTGCAATGGGTGGACACTGGCGATAAGAGAAGACCTCACATTGGCGGCATAGGCTTTTTGAATGGCAAAGCGAACGGTCATCGTGTACTGAAAGAGGCCATTCGGATTCTTGCTAAAGATCAAGGCTGGCAGCACTTTGCTCATGCAGTCGCGGGCTCGCTTCAACGAATATTGTCTGGTCTTGCTCCTTCCTTCAAGGATATTTAGCTGCTACCTTACGTTGAGTAATTCCAAAAGTATACCTATCGATTTTGTATGTATCGAATCGCCATTGGAGGAACAGAAAACAGAATTTCGATCTCATTTAGTGATTTGCCATGCCACGCCAGAGGAGAAGATGCAATTGAACTCCCACTTCTGGCCGTAGGCCAAACATATTTCAGGGACTATCTTACAATTTACGCAAGTGAGTTGTTTGTGCAATTTGTTCTCAAGCTACACTATCTTTGCGGCATAGTCGTGGCTCCTATGATATATGAAAAGCCACATTACCATTAGGCCCTCGAACACGGGTTTGTAGAAACTCTATCTCTTTGAAATAGTCCAAGGAATGGTCTCGAGTAGATATACCTACAAACTCCAATAATTGACAACGACGACACGGTGGCTATATTCATGTACCTAACCACTTATCGAAATTGAAAATAACCCGTTCCTACAAGGCTAAGTGCTTTTTGGTATTTTGATTCTGTGGTAAAACTAAAAATAGGGCTTATGTATCAGCCATACATATTAGACTTTTGCAGATTCAGACCTGGCACTCAACCGCGGGTGACCCTCCGGGACCCTCCACCTGCACCGCCCCACGGCGGGTGGAGGGTCCCACATCTTGACCCTATGGGTTGGACATCTCTTTGTCCGTCCCCGAGGGTCTATGTGATCAGTATAAATAGTAAAAAACGTGACCTTTTCTAATGAGGTTAGGGTTTCAAGGAAGTAGCCTAATTATAAGATGGGTGATTGATAAGTTCAACAGTAAACTTAGATCAAATCTGCTGGGATGTTACAGAAGGACGGAGTGTATGTTGCGTATCGAACCCTCGCCACACATATGTGAGGTCATTCAATCAAATCAACCAGAGGTGAAGAGGATAGTAGGATTTGCTTTGTCTTGGGAAGGCCGATCCAACCAAGCCACGAAGGTGAAATGTTGGTCGGGTACTACAATTTGCATGTTCACGGCAGAAACTAGACTGTACTCCCTTCTGACTTGTTGCATATTACAGGCACTTTGATTCTGGTGAATTTTGACTTCTCGGGAAAATCTGTGATTGCGATCCAGCAATTATTTAAAGATGAATCCATAAGAAACTTATATCTCAGAACTCCCTACTCTCCCCAATATTGCACACGTCAAATACCCCAGTCTCAGGAAGTCCGCTTTTAGCGAGTGCTTTCCTCAGTAAATGTGGTGGTTCCATCGCATCCTCTTCCGCCACGGCCCAAGTCCCCCAGTGAATTCCAATCGCCTTTTTACATTGAGTATCCTTGAAAATCTCAACGGAGTCATACGGATTCGAGTGCACGGAACTTAGAACATGTCGTGGCTTATACGCTCCTATTGGTATCAGGCCCAGATCAAATGGTCCTCGTAATTCGCCAATTTGTTTGAAAGCAGGACAGACGGCCAGATGAGCGAAATCTGATCCCCAGTCATCAACGTCTTTAGGCAAATGCGGGACCGCGCGATAGCCAGTGTCACCTGCGAAGTACACTGACTTGCCACCTGAAGAAACAGACCAAGAAGCCCACAATGTGGCTGCTTTATCAAAAGGAGTACGCGCAGATGTATGTTGACAAGGGAGGCATGAGATTCTAGCCTCAACAACATCCTCTCTGGTTGATTTGAGCAACTTGAGGTTGACGTCCTCCCACCAGTCGAGCTCGATAGCGTCCTTGATACCGCAGTCTGCGAACCATTTTCTGAGACCCTTTGGGACACAGAATTGGGCCGAAGGGTGAATTTTTCGGATTTCAAGGATAGTGGGATGCGAAAGATGATCGTAATGAGAGTGGCTTATGATAACCTACTCATCATACATATATCAGCGATCAGTGAAAGCAGTAGCGCAAGAATGACTTACACAATCAATGGTCGGAATATCGGAGATGTCGCAGGGCTTGGGTGTGAGCCTTTTATGGCCTATCCAGGAGAACGGAGAACAGCGTTCTTCGAATACGGGATCAAAGAGAAACCGTAGGCCAGATGGGAACTCAACGAAGTAACAGGCATGACCTAGCCATGTTGCACGAAGAGCTTGGCATCCATTTCTAGAAGAGAGGAAGTTTGGTTTGACGACAGGTACAGTTGATGAGGTAGTATCAGGCCTCTGGCTGTCTCCAGAGAAGAATTTGTGCCTATAGGTTCATGTTAGCAATTCAACTTCTGTTGATGTGAATAGAGGGCCGGACTAGGAAAGCACAAACTGGATCATGGCCCTGAATAGTGCTGGAAAAGACAATACGCGAGAGCTTTCCCATGGATTAACAAAGCCCGTCGCTTCCCCGTTACCTCCCTCATCTCTCACCCAGTGGCTTTTATCGCCCGCGCTCTTTGGTATCGCGCTTGATGCGGTTGGCGTACTGAATTTCACGTCGTAATCACTCCCAGAACTCATCCTTTCAAATCTTCGTAACGCGGTGTTCGTTAATTGCCGGGTGCGTTGATTCAAGAATACTGTTCGGAAGCTATTCCACATGTGGCACTTAACAGCAGTTCGTCACGACCTAGCCCTTGGGAAAGTAGGCGTTATAAGAAATGAAAGTGCCTTACTTTATTTCAGAAGGCGGCCAGTTCTAGTCGTTATGGCCAATGAGATATAAAGTAAAGATCAGCAATTAAACGCGCTCAAGCCTCCTCGCAATTTTGTACTAAATGGGGTTTAGTATTAGGCGTACCAACCCTTCGCGCAGATGTAGTCACAGCAACTCCAAAGAGTACGGATGCAAGACAAATGAATGCTTTGCTGCTTATCGTGGATCAACGGGCTCAAGATAGTTTATCGCGAATACGAACGAGCCGGGTTTAGTATTTGATTGTTATGCATTGGTGTGGTTTCGGATACATACGAGTGTCTAGGGGGTACTGATTAGACACTAAGCGACTATAAGTAATCACTAAGCACTCACCAACTAATGAGCATCCACTAACCACTTGCTGGTTATCCACCAAGCATCCGCTAAGCAATCACCGAGAAACCGCTGGGTAACCAGTGAGCCTCCACTAAACACTCATGAAGCACTCACTGGGCATCAGAGATCGGTCACAAGACACGACTAAGCACAACCAATGGGCCTGATTCCGTGATGAGGATGACTCACTAAGCCTAAGCCTGCGCGCTTTCACAGACGCGGCGAATGCTAGATCAGGAAAGCTCCGCTTGGCAGGGAAAATCCAGCTTCTAGACTTCACTTAATGATAACCAAAGTTCTAGTATAGTGTACGGGCAGCAATATGGGCCCAGCGTCCAGAGAAACAGTCACTAGCTTGAATACGCCTTAGCTCTGAGCTTAGCGCTATAGTACCAGATCACCAAAGGGGCAGGAATCCCATGAAGAAGCCCGATCAAACCAATAGTAGTATTCCCCCATCCATACCCAAGAGCTTGGTACATCCGTGGCGCGAACAGAGAGAACAGAAAAGCAGTCAAGCTGCGCAAGAACCGGGTCGCACCGCCCGCACGACTGGTATGCTCAGGGTACGCCTCTGTGACATACGCCTGCAATGGCATACTCAGGATATACATGCCAAGCATGGTAATACATACGCCAATGTCAACCACGTTCAATGCAAGCGATAAGTCGCAGCCCAGCCATAAAAGAATAAACCGAGAGGCACGAGGAGAGCATCGGGGAAGATGGCCGGTGTGCGCAGCTCAGGACTGTGTTCTCCATTGGCACGTGCTTTGAGACGGTGGAAAAGACTGTCCATCAACTTGGCGCAGATCTGGCTGCTGGCTATGTCGCCCAGAGCAGCGGCAATGTAGTGAAGGCCACTGATCTCGATAGACTCCTGGTAATGCTGGGTCCATAGGTCAGAGAGAGTAGACAGAACGATGTACAGAATACTATAAGAGAATACAGAGATCACCGACGCAATTTGGATGATTTGGTGGAAGGTGAGCAGACGGACTGGTCGGATCAGAGCTCTTCCCTGGATTCGGATCGCTAACTTGTGGCCGTGAATACGCTCATCTGCGGGATAGTCTCGCGAATTTCCCGTGTCTTTTCGATCCTCTCTGCTCGTCCTCGAAGAATCAGTGGCTCATGTGTTTCCCAGAAGGAAAAAAATGAGACCACGACCATAACTGCTTGGAAAATTGAAGTCGACCAAAACATCCACCGCCAAGTCGTTCGCTCTGCCATGAACCTACCAATGATAGGACCTGAAGGCGATTTCTCATTATCAGCACTTGCACCTCCAAAATGAAAAGTCCATGAACATCGATTTGAAACAAACCTACAGCTGCGCCCAGCAATGGAATCAACAAATAAACACCAAGGGAGCAACCTCGCTGCTTCGGTCGCCACACGTCGGCCAAAACGCCTTTAGCAAGCGCATTAACCACACTGGCACCAAAGCCCGCAAAGAAACGAGATGTAATCAAGACTCCTTTGTTAGGGGCAAAGCCGCAGACAACGTTTCAAATCAGGAACCAGACATTCGAGGCATGAAGCATCGGCTTCCGACCGTACACCTCCGACAATGACCCTATCACTAGGGGCCCGAATGCCGTCGCCAGAAACGATAGATTGACAAAGCCATGGCGGACTCTGTGACATCCATGCCGAACTCTTTCGCGATTGTCGACAAGGTTGGTGCCATGATGGTCGACACCATGACGCGGTTGAATGTGGCGGAGAGCACGTCGGTAACAGCCCATTTCTGATTACTTCGCCAATCTTTGGGGTTATCTGGATTGAAGGGCTCTGCAGATGCAACTAAGCACGGGTTATCTTGTTTGCTGGCGATTTGGATCGGTTCTAGTTCCACGTCTGAGATTGCGTCGGGATTAGGTTGGGTAGGGCCATTGAAAGTCATGGTTATTGTTCGTTTGGGATGAATCCACTTCAACATGTAACGGAAAGGAGTTGACTGTCAATATTGTTGTAATTGGTTTGACTCGGGGGAATATGTTCCAACTCCGAACCTTAGCCCGAGCAGGGAAGTTACTGGGTCGGTTCCTGCCGCGCTGCCCTGAAGAGACCCCAGCGTGGAAGCTGATTCGGTGGAAGTTTCGAGAGAACGTAGGTGAAGTCGTTCAGTTTAACGTCCGCTCCGATGTTCCGAACCTATCCTGTACATTGACCTACGACATAGATTTACGATACTGGCAAAGGGACGATCCTAGTCTTGGCTAGCTACAAATGCAGGTACGTGTTGACGCCCGTGCCCTTGAGCTTTATTAGGTCCCTAATAGTGGTATCGTTTCAACAGTATAGACGAGGCACGTGCCTTTCTAAATAAATAACTTGCATCTATATATCCACCATACTCTAATCAGTATTGCTATCATAGAAACTGTTTGCAGTCCATCCATTCACCGCCGTATAATCCGCCAACGGCGAAGTGCCCTTCAGCGTCTCATAATGCCTACGAGGCCCACACTCCCTCAATTTGGACTCTTTAACATTGACACACCGGTTCTGCATGATAGCTGCGATATTGCGACCGGCGTCTTGGCCCTCAAACCATGCTCCGTGCAAGAACCCAAAGTAAGTGGGACTGGTGGCCTCGCCTGCGTACCAGAGACGATCGTTGTTTGCGCGCAGGTTCTCGTGCATCTCTAGGGTCGTCGAAGGCGGCCAGTTAGAGTAGCTTCCGTAGGACCAGGGCTCCGTGCTCCAGCGCGGGAAGAGGAAGGAGGTTGGCTCGGGGATGTTCTTGTCAGGCCACATCTTGCGGAGGACCTCCATGATCTCGGCTTTGGTTCTTTCGTCGCCTTGGCGTTCAGCGCGCCAGGAGAATTCGTTGGTCACCGTTACGAACATGATATTCGAGTTAGGGAGGAATTCTGGCATCGAAAGGGATTGGAAGATTGGGTACCAGCCGCGAGTAGTCGGGTCGGCGTAGAGGAAGTACTGAGTATCTGTAGGCCAAAAGGTCTCGTTGAATTGCATGAAGATCTTAGTGTATGTGCCCATCGTGAACTTCTGAATGGCTTCTTGTTTCCAGTCTGGGAGCTTTGGGGTGAATTTGACGGCATCGTTCTGCAGGACACCGAGGGAGAAGGTGCAGATGGCGTATGCTGCACTGACACAGCTGCCATCACTGTTGTGGATGGTGACGCCATCTTCGGAATATTCGATCTCTTCGACTTGGGTGTTGAGATTCAGGCGCGGGTCATTCTTTTTCAAAAATGTGGATGCCATTTCCTTGATGAGGATGTTAAAGCCACGCTGGTCGGTGACGAAGTTATCGTGGTCGCTGAATGTGTTTGAAGTCAAATTGTCTCCTGCACAGCCAAACACGAGAGAGCTTTCCAGCGGAGTGAAGTTATCTTCAAAGTCTATGATAAATAGATTAGCAAACAGTAAGCCCTGCGCTGTAGAAGTATAGCCCACCCCATTTCCACCAGTCCACAGCCTGAGCCTCCATGTCATGCTTCTTCGGATTCCATCCAGCTAGCGCCAGACCACTCTGAGCAGACTGATCCTGCAGGTTCTGGGACAGGATTTCACCAGCCCTCATGTTGGCAATATCATAGGCATCATCATACTTCTCGAGCAGATGGCTATAGTCCTTATAGCCATGCTCGTTGTAAGTGGAGATGTTATCATAATCTGAGTAGTGAGTTTTCAGATGATACTTCTGGGCCTGTGCGACAAATTGTGTTAGAAATCATTGCACAACGCATGAACACACTCAACACCTACCAAGGTCCAAATAGGGTTCTGGGGCCCGCCCGGGTTTCCTAGGCCCTGAACCCAGTTGGCACCCATCTCAATGGTATATGGCTTGCCATCTTGATCCTCGCCGAAAGGAACGTGCCATGCGCGACCACCGATAGTATCTCGATACTCGAGAATGGCAAAGTCATGGACCGAGGCATTATGCAACGCTTGCTATTAAATAGTAAGATCACGGCCAATGCACATAGCCCTAGAGCACACGACCACTTACAGCGGTGGAAATACCAGCCATTCCACCTCCCCTGCGTGTCGTCAGGTCCGAACTATAGAGCACACCTTCTTCATTGAACCAATACTCACAGAATAGCAACAGTTGTCTTCTTGCATTGCCCCTCCGCAGCCTTCGGGGAGGGAGGCACGGCCATAACAGGCTGAACAGCCCCAGCCAAGGCCGCCAAGAAAGAGAGTCGGTGCAGATGCATTACGTCGAAAAAGTGATCCCTAAGGGAGAGACTAAGAATGTAGGAGCTACGACCCTCATTAAATACTGTGAGATCTGCATAACTTACAAGAATCAGATTGTGCAGCCATGATCGATAAGCGAAAAAGGCCAAGAGGCAACATCGGCATCGAGGTGATCGACAGGGTCATTGTAACCTCTGCAGCATCTAAATCCCAAGGCGTTCCGCGATCGGGTAGGTACAACCGGCGTGGAGCTCAGTTTGCTTATCGCGGGAAATCTGGGAAATGCATGTGTCCACTATGACGAGTGTAATTTAATTGTGGTGAGGATGTTTACTGGGGAGAAGGGCCTTTTATCCTCGCATCCTCGGATTGTGAAATGTTGATTGTGATTGGGACTCGGTGGCAACCGAAACGCAACTTCATACACGCGTGCCAAGAATTCTTTAGCTCCACGCGTCAATTATAATGGCCTTGCACCAGCTAAGTGCGGAAAAAAATTGGTAAGTGGCTGTTCATAGATACCTAGAAAAGATATAAACCAACCGATGAACCAGGAGTATCCGTGGCTCCCTAAAAATGTACAAATGAGTTGAATAGATAATGAACTCCGCCCAGCTATGCATGATAAAAACCAATTGATCTGATGGAATGCCACGCCGAAGATTACCCAAATGCCAAGATGAGGCGCAAACCTTCTGCGCACAGGGCCCACACGGGTTGGGGACCGGAAGCAACTTTGACGCCGATATACAGGGAAACAAGAAGAGGCTTTTTCTGTACACAAATCGCTTACGACTACCGGAAAGTGTAGGAAGGACGAACCATCTTCACAGTTTCCGGTTTAAGTGACAGTTGCTGATAGGGCGAGCTGCCGGGATCGTAATAGAGCCCCTCAACCTGACCGTCATCACGACGGAGAGAAATATAGTAAAACCCGGAGATGGTGAGACCCTGACGCGAGTCGGTGGGGGTGATGAAGCACCGTTCTGGAATAGTGTCAGTGAAAACGCGGGGAGGATTGATGAACGTGCTGCTTTGGGCGTGGACTTACCCTTCCAACGCATCAAGATCCACCCTTTGGCCAGTTTCTCGGTGATCCATTTCCTGCTGACGAGATTCTTGGAAATCTCGGTATCTGTGAGATCTTTGAAAGGCTGCAATTCTCGCCAGTATGTGCTGTCGATATCTGCGTCCGCTTTAAAATTCTTTGTCTCCAATGTGTGCTTATTGAAATCGATGATTTCACCTTCCAGGAATGTCACGATGTGCGCATCATGGGTGGGTGATGTCTTGTCGGGAATGTTGTAGGCCTCCATGGTACCCGACAGAGTCATGTCATCGTAGTTGATGTTGTGAATAGTGACTTTGACAGGCCAATTCTCGTCCCGTGTACTTGCCAGGTATCGTCGCCTGGAGCTGGTATGTACGCTGATACGTGCGCTACTATCGCTGCTGTTGACAATCACGGGTTCACTGGGGCCATGGGGCACTTGAAACCCGCTGGGAGAGTACCGGGCCAGTGGCATTCGCTGCCCGTTGACAACCAGAAAAAATTGCTCCAGGTCGGAGCCAGGAGCAGCTCGCTGGCGGTGCGATGCTATTAGTGTCAAGAATAAAGTCACTGTCCTTCCATGAAAAGTTGTCTAATGATATGAATCCGGTTGCGGCGGCCGAGCTGATACTCTCCTCGAAGGAGTTTGAGTAGCGGAGTCGATCGAGATAGTTGATAGTGTTTTTCAACATGGAGTCCACAGAACCTGCTGAGTGAAGTTGGCGATGTGCAGCAGCTCGAGCCCGCAAGTCGCTGTGGGTGAGAACGCGCTGGGAGTCGCCCCGACTGGAGGGACGGTATCGATATGCCCTGGACGAGGACGAGCCACTAGTTCGCTCGCTTTCTTCGGCGTTATCACTTGAACGAGTATACCGATCCAGCAGATAACTCTCCAGGGTTCTATTCCGCGGTAACCTGGGCTGTGGCCTCATAGACTGCAACAGGGCTTCCATGGTCGGGATAGGCGAATTCCGAGACCGAGTGCTTCCTTCCATCGGTTCATCTCCATTTATGATCGGCGGCGTGCGACCGGTGGGCAAGGATTCACGTGCTCGAGTTGACGATACGTTATGGGATGAGTATCCGTGAGGAAACGGTTGGAGTTGTAGTTGGTCGTCCTCCGACTCTTCAGGGCGCCGGGTGTCTTCATCTTCGTCATCGGAGCCGGGGGGCCCAGCCATACAGGGACCGGGGATTCGTTCGGCGGCCTTCGTAGTTCGGCATGTTGTGTGAGTGGGGAGGATCGCGCTGGTGACGAACGATAGGGATGCGACGGTTGATTTCAACGGAAAGGCGAAGATCAGGGTCGTCGAGGTCCATGCGATCCCATGGATCCTCGTCTTCCATGGGCTGATGTGATTGATAGCGCCGACGGCGGTGTCGGCTGAGTGATGGTAATAGGGGATTGTAGAGAAGGGAGCGAGAGCGGAGAAAGTTCACATTCTCGTCATGAGCGTTATCGATTTCCGCAGAGCCGGAGGCAAAGGATCTCGATTGATCAGACGCAGGCGATAAGGCAGGAGTTCCGTGCTAGAACAAAAAGCATTAGTTCGCGCGAAAAAGGTCAGACGACCAGGAGATCGGGGATTGAAGACCCGGAGACCGGGACAGAACAAGAGAACAAGCGACCAGGTCTTCACGCACAGAAGCCGAGTTGGGAGGTGGCATCCTCAAAGGGTCACAAAATCGCAGGAAGGCGCTCAGATCGAGGCATGCGAACACAACTCAAAAGAGTGAGAAGGCGTTAGAGATCAGATCTTCAATCGGGAGCCGAGGCGAATCTTGAAGGGGCGGATCCTGGATTCTGGATCCTTGAACGGGGGTGTGGAGAAAGCCCGACATGACGTTTTCCCTATAACCGGGCTGATTTCTCTTTCAACCACTATTTCTCTACGACAGTGAGCTAGTAATGGAAAGGGACAAGCACGATCGACTCCATTCGTCACAGCCCAGGCCTTCTTTTCTTCTCCTGCAGGGAAGTTCTTGCACTAACACTCAACACTAACCGGCTTCAGGTACATCGGTCCAGCCAGAATCATCCGAGCGTCCAGTCCATACCTAGAGGATTCGAGGACATGAGGACCACATCAGCCTCTGAATCTACACTACACTTCATGCACTACATCTCGGGGAGTGCTGGAGGCGACATTCCCGGACTACGTCCCGAAAGCCCCTGTGCACCAGTGACAGCAGCCCTCGCGCTGTTTGTTTCGTCAATTCGTGTGTCTATTGCCAATCCTTGATGAATTACTCCGACTGTCTCGGTCATTGCTGCGTCCGACTGAAATGACGGATTTCTTGCCCTTCCTCTTCGTGGAGGCATGCAAAGTCTCGAAACTTGAGAGCAATAAAAATGATTAGGATCAAGAGCATCGTGAGCACACTTGGCAAATGGCATGGCGCCTGGCATCTATCGTGGTGGATTACTTTTCATATTTGCTATCTCTAGTAACGACATTGCTCTCTACAATTTGAGGGGCCGCCGTCCTAGTGCTACAGTCTACGAGCTATTGTGTGCAAGCTCTCCAATCGCCTTGACTGGCGGTGACCACACTGGAGACTTTGAAGCTGTTGGTCAAGCCCGTTTGACACAAGGCTTCAAAGCTAGTGTAATGAATGCCACCGAGGATGTCAAGTGGCTCGACTCTTCCAGTATCGTGATCGAAGACTTGAAGAAGCCGCTCAATGATTCCAGCGGGGCCAAGTCAAAGACCTTTGACGAAAGGTTTGTTTTTGTTCCAAGATCCCAAGGCTAGGGCATCCTGTCGCAGGTTTTCAATCATTTTTATTTTTATTTCTCACAACTTGTGCCTCGCAACATGATCTATTACTGCGAATGTATCGGAGTGCCAAGCCACCTGGACATTTCCGTCGAGCATCACGACGGTTGCTTCCGACCTGTAACCTGGCTATGGTCAAAGTAGAAAAGCACCTTGGAAGCATATTCTTCAGCGAAAGCGCTTCCAAATGATGTGTGCTTCTAGCCCAAGCACCTCGGATCCCGGAATCTAGCAGAGTCTATTATAATGAAGGATCCATGTGCTCAAGCTTGTTTGGCACGGGCTGCATTGCAGTCATCAGCCAATTGAACACAATCGCTGATCAAGGTCCAGAATGCCTCCACATCGACACTCCTGGGAATAGCTACACCAGGCCCGTCGAGCGGTGCAGCGATGGAGCGTCCCAGCTGACCAGTCGTGGAGACATCCGTACCGTGGTCGCCATCCGTAACGATACTAAGAGCAAATCGCTCCCCACCCTTATCATCGAAGTAGATTGTCTGATCAGGGTGAGCCTTTGCAAATGTAGGGTTCAAATTGGACAAGACCACAGCAACGGCAAGCGGATCATGGAGCGGAGGACCAGCCGTAAGCCCAAAGACCTCTTCATATGTGCCCGCAAAGAAGATGAGCAAAGCATGCAGAATCCGGCGAACGACCGTTGGTTCCTTTGACGCGTCTCTAGCACCGTAGAGGATTCGGTTTTGCACTTCTTTCGATGCGAAGACTTGATGCGTAAGATCCAAAGCAGCAATGGTAGTCTTGGGTGCAACGATAGGGTTGCTGAAAATTGACTGCGCGGCTTCGGGATCGCACTTCAAATAAAGCTGGTTAGATCTGTTCGAGGTCAATGTTTCCGGGCAATACAAACATAAAAATTGAACTCGGCCCAAGGTGTTGTATTCCCGATGCGTGATTTTTCGCCGGGCAGTTTGCTCATTGGAGCATCTGTAAAGCCGTCCCCAATGGCCCCGCCCATAATGCTCAGACCTTGAATATGCTCCGCAACTTCGGGGAATGTTGCAAAAAGCAGGGCAACATTGGTCAAAGTTCCTGTCGCAACCACCCAAGAGGTCCCTTTGGGCTGTGCTAAAAGAGCATCCCGCATAGCTAGGATTGGATTCACATCTCTGACCACAGGTCTGTAGACCTGGGGGAGAAGGTCGGTGCCATCGAGGCCAGTTTCACCTTTTGAATTTCAGTCAAATGTCACTGCTTCCTGAATAACCACGAGATTTGTGGTGAGAATTCTAACCATGTATATCCGGAGCATATAGAGCAGGTCGTGAGAAAGGTTTCCCGCTTCCAGGATAGACGGGAACCTCCGGTCTGCCGATGGCTTCTAATATGCTTCCGGCATTGTTGGTTGTATTATCTAAGGAAGCATTTCCATGGACGGTTGTAATTCCAAGGAGGTTTAATGATGGATGGTGAGCCGCAATTAAAATAGCAAAAGCGTCCTAAGTCAAGTCTTAGTACCTCTCGACTCTTGATAAGAGTATCAAACTCGTACATCATGACCTACATCAAGTTAGAAAATTATGTATAGGCTCGAGGGATAACAATAGAGAGCGCACCAGGATCACAGTCCAGCCACACAGGAGTAGGTGTTGTATTAGGAGCCAACATTGTGAGAGTGTGATGAACAAGACACCGGGAAAACAGGAGAGTCCGGTTAACAAGGCATTGGAGTATCCCCGCATCGCGATAAGCCCCTTATCTATGCCCTAAGCCCTACATTCCCAATCGGGTGGTCCCATGTCATCAACTTCGCGGTCAACGCGACAGTTCCTTTGTTGAACGAACTGGAAAGGGTGAATCCCTTGACCTGTGCGCTCCCAATAACATTCACTCCTGCTGAGTCTCTGCTCTCTTGTGATGCCATGACCGAGTCTCTTCGCCCCGGCTTGCAGCCGGTGTCTCACCTGAAGGCAGGGCCGACCACATCAAGCTCCAGATCAACCGCGCTGCCTTCTCCAACCAAACACTTCATTTCACGACCTTCCTCACGACTTCGCATGCAAAAGTCTTCCACTCGAGATGATCCACTTGATACGACAAGCGAAAAGGCCACCCAAGCCCTGATCCGACGCGTCCTTTGTCCTTCGACAAGCAGCCACGGCGCATCTTCTCCACAGCCTTTGGAAGAGCTACTACCCCCTCTCACGAGCTCTAATGACGTTGACCGTCAACTATACGCCCTACTCGCTTTAATAATTAAGGACTTCGTCTACTCTTGGTATTCGAAGATCACCCCGGACCAAGCCTTCGTCAACGAGGTTCTACATGTCGTTGCACACTGCACCCGAGCTCTGGAACAACGCCTGCGCCAAACTGATGTTGCACAGCTGGCCTTGGATGAAGTCCCGGCTTTGGTGGAAGCACATATACGTTGTAAGACCCGACTGCCTCATTTTTTTTTTCCCGGCGGCTAGAGTCCGAGTGGTATGGAGAGCACTGGCTAACTAACAGGGAAATCAGCATACAGATTAGCCAAAAAGAACTCTGATCTTTCCGGACTCTCAACGTCACATCGTACACTTTACCACGAACTCAACCCTCACCCTGGCCTATCGCCTGTCCCGGATTCTCATGATCCTGATACAATCACCGCGCAGAGTGAAAATGAAGCTGCGTACCGCAAGCTACTTGCCAGCGGCGTCTTAGCAGTCCTTCTGCCCACTGAAGATCTAGAGAACAGCAGTCTGCGCACGCTGGTGGGGGACATTCTTTCAGATCTGATACTGGGGAACCAAGTGTCCGGCAGAATGTGCCAAGGGATGTTCTTCTGGGAGGTCATCACCAAACTTGCTACTCTAGCGAAAGAGCGTAAAGAGGGAGTCAAGAAAGCAGAAACCACGAGTGATACTCCACCGAGTCAATTAGAGCGATTCGGCCTACTTGGAAAAGACGACTCGACAACCCATCAGCCTTCCCAGTCGCAACTCACCGTCTGGATATGGAACATTCTACAAAGCGTCTATCTTGGTTACGTTGCGTTGCGTTTCATTGCAACGGCCTTGTTCCGGGTCGCATCGAATCCCAGGCCGGAGCCCTCGCACGGAGCTGGTGTTTCATTTCCCGCTGCAACGCCAGGCTCCAAGAAGGAGGGTGTCGAGTCGTCGTCATACGGCATCACAGGTAAGCGCCCGGTCGTCGACTACCGCCCTTTCTCGATGGCATCCACTCTACTTGACATATCGCAACGGATGCCGTGGTTTTTTGGGCTAGTATCTCTTCCCAGCACCTGATCCTGGCAGGACCCGGTAGAGTCGGTGACACGGACGGAGTCTTTGACAGGTGAGTCCCTTTCATATCTTTGAAGCGTTCTTACCTACGGGCTCGGGCCTCCTGAGACCGCATGAACTCTCGACTGTGGAGAAACGGTGCGATCTCCGAATCGCAATCTAGAGGTCAAGTGTCACTGGTGCGAGTTATGGTGAGACGAGGAAGCGTCTTGCTCGCATGCCGCATCGATCACTTGATCACCGTGGTACACGCGTTATATCATGGCATTGCCCGGGAATATTACGAGTACGGTCATCTTACGGGACCCGTCATACGTACGGTCATTACAGTTATGTTGACGGGTCGATTCTGGCCCCAGATTGGCTGCCCAACTTGGTCCGAGCGAGGAGCAGGAGCAGGGAAGTCGAAGCAGGGGTCTTTTGTGTCGTTTTCTAGCTGATAGCGCCGGGACCCGGCCCTTTCCGTGCCGTGTCTCTTTTGGTCAACTCATGTCATCGACACTTCACCAGAGTGAGAAGAAGACAAACGCAAAAAAAAACTAAGGCCAAAGAAAGAGAGCCTTTGGTCCAATGTGTGCAAGGCTGCCGAACCAAATATCAAACTCTACCAGGCAAATCGCGCACGAGCAGAAAGTCTTCTGATGCCGATCCATGATGACCATGCCCTTTTGGGCACTTGCATGAAAGAAGAAAAAAGCTCTCGCTGAGACTGGAGATTTACCACCGGGGTCCTATCAGCAAAATTCCTGGAAGCGAAATTTGGATTCGCATTCGCATTTTGACCGAGGTTGGCGCATGATGCCGGCTTCTGTGCGCCAGGCACCGCTGGGATGTTACCCGCCTCGAGAGGGGAAATGCAATGAACGCAGGGCTAGGGCCCGCCCCATTCATTCTCTTGAAGGAGTAACATCCTTGTTGCACCAATAGCTGGCCCAAGCTCCTCGCTATCCACATCTGGGCCGATCGCGCCCCTCTTGGCTCTCCACTTCCGGCCCTAAATTGGTGAAAGGGAAAGCTCTTGTCGAAAGGTCAAAGAAAGATAGCAAAACGTTGCCGGGAAGCTCCACAGTCGAGGGATTTTCGCCTCTATATTTCCCCTTTGCTATTCGCTCAGTCTATCCGATGTCAATGATTTGAGATCTTGCTGACTCCACAGATTCCTCCGAGAGACCATAGAGGAGTACGTCCTACCCCCCCACTTTGTTGCCCAACCTTCTTCTCGCATCAAGGTCAGCCCTCTTCCCGGCCAATGCCCGCCCATCATCCCTGGGAGCGCCCGTGACCACTGGAGCCCTAGCTTCGACTCCGCAGATATCCGTGCAGTCTCCACCCAGTGGGAAAGCTCTTGCCAGTGCAACCATTCTGGAAGAAGCCCGGGCCCCCGTGGGTGCTAGCGACGCAAGTGGTAAGAGTAGTACCGCAAGTAATAGCATCACCGGTGGCGGTGATCAGCCGTCCCCGTTGTCAGATCCATCTCTTGAGACGATCAGCTCCAATGCCGCCCCGGGCTCGGAGCAAAGCTTCCGCTCCACGGAGATCGCCTCTATCAAGCGGCGATGTGCAGCCAGCCTACTCGCCGTCATCTCGCCCAGCGTCGCACGAACCTTTTTCGGCTTGGATCCGAGCTGCGGCAGTGATCGTACCTGCAGCGCCGCCACTGGAATTTCGCCTTCCCTCACCATGACCTCGCCCCCACCCTTATCGAACGAAAAGGCCGTGGGCCACTCGGGATCTTCATTTCGAGCTGAACAGTCCCAGTCCACGTCGACGTCACAGCCTTCAGCTGCAGTAATTTGCGGCAATGGCGCTGATGGGCGCGTGGCCGGAGTTGATGCCGAAGTCGATCCGGACGAGAGTACCTCCTTCAGACCATCGAAAATGATCTACCAGATCTGTGGTCTGACGAGTATTGCAACAAACACCTTGTCTACTCCATAATAGAGACCGTGCTGGCCAAGGTCCTTCCCGAAATGGCAGAGCGCGGTGTTGCTGAGCTGATGGAAGATCGTGGGGTGGCCCCCGTACCTAGCGGTTTCTAAAGAACTTAGAATGAGGGCGTTCCTGCAGGATATATCTAACTTTCCATGATGATAACTTTAATGACAAATACCTTGGCTACGAAGTAAATATCCTATCAGACTTATCTAAGTTTCTTCTTAGATTTGGCAGACTTGACGTAGAGAAAATAGTGTTTGCAAGACACAGAAGAAAATATACTGTAAGACCAAATTTCTTTTCTCTCGCCGAAAACAATACCCGGAGTAGTCTATACTCCATTGACTAGTAGGGAAGCAAAGCAGAATGACAGAAAAGCTGAGCCCGTATACAAAGGCCCCAGCCTATTATGTTCTTTCCGCGCGAGCGGGCCCAGTTTAAAGACACTGAATAAGAACCGAGAGATGAACGAGAGCGAGGAGTGAAAGGAAGAAAAAAAAACCAAATAAGAAGAAAAACCCCCAACATACAAGCAAAGGGATGAGAAGAGTGCATAATAAGAACAAGGATTGTGTGGGTATGCGGACGTTAATCAAGATTCAAAAACAAAAAGGAAAGCAAAAACCGAACAAGTCACAAGTCAACTCCACAGACCGACCCTCAAGGCCGATGATCCCATTCCCCGTCCCAAGTTCGTGCTATACCCTCATTCCGCGAGTGTCGCCGGGACACTTGACGATTTCGGGCCCAGTCATATGCGTATACCATTGTCGAGATTCGAGAACCCGAGCGTCAAAAAACAAAAAAAGAAATAAAAATTGAAAATTGAAAACAAAAGATTCGAGGTCGCCCTCTGATATGGTGTATGTTGGTATTTGGTTTTGGAGTGTCGCCGCTTGAATTGGGAAATGGTGACTGGTCGTACAGATACGATGGGAAAAAGAAAATAAATGAAAATGGAGAATGAACAATAGAAAGTGGAAAACAAAAATACAGTACCGCCCAGGTGAGAAACGAGACATAACGATAAAGGGGGAATCACAAAATTGCAAGATGAAAAAGGTAATGAAAGCGTTCAGTGCAGGGCATGGTGCAGAGGGGGAAAAAAGGAGAGATGAATAAGGGGATTTAACGCAAATTATCTCTGTCGAGATTGGGGGTATCAACCTAGGTTGTGAATACTCCTCTTCTTGCTTACGCGCGGAACATCGTCGTGCTCGTCGATCCGAGTCAGACCTCCTAGCAGCGTACTCTGGTGGCTCTTGGCTAACTCGAGACGTTCCATGAGTTTGCCGATGGAGATGAATTCTTGAGCTTCGAGACCAGCCGGTTGGTGCTGGAAGTAGGTCATGACAAGTTCGAGGGCACTTCGGACTTCATCCTGAGTCGGGGAATTAGGAGTGCCTCCTGCGCTGATGGGTGAGGTGGTCGTAGACTTGGAGACCGATGGAGGTGGCTGCATGGAGGTGGTTTTGATCTCTGGATTGCTGCGGTTGCGTTTGATGACGGTCGGCGGGTGAACGCCCTTGATGGTGCGAGCTTGGTGGTCGTCCATTTCTAGCGGTGACTCTAAGATGGCGACACCGAGGTGGGCATCGCCTTCGGTCTTGGTGCATTGCGAGTCCATCGACTCGTCTGCAGTAAGTAGGTTTGGGTCGATGGGGATCCCCAGGGTGAACGTTTGACTGCGTGGTCGGCTCATATTGTGTCCAGTTGGCAGGCGTGCTTGACTGGTCGGCGTGAATGGGCTGTCAGAGACCATTGTTGATGTCGGACTGGTCATTCCCGTCGATGTGTCCAGCGCGGTGGTGCTTTTGGGATGCCCGTGTTGATAGCCTCCCGTCAGATCCGGCACTGCATCTGCCTCCTTCTTGATGTGGTGGCTTTGACCGGGAGATAGAGGTGAGGCAAGTCCATTCGGAGGGGAGCAAGGCGAGTGGCTAGCTGATGAAGCACAGTCGGTGTTGATGCGAGTTGGGCTATTTGAGCCGCTTCTGATGCCGGTGGAGCCCTTCCGAACCTTTGCGCCGAGAAGACCGTTTTTCTGTTTGAATTTCTCGAGCCAGCTGGCTGTCAATACCTTCTCTTTGCCTTCAGGACAGCCACAGTTGCTAGCAAAAAACAGGGCTTTCTCCCGGATCATCTCGTCGTTCAAGGGTTGTCCAAGGCGCTGGTAGTTCCTCGCCCAGTTGACTAGGGCTTTTTCGATATCAGGGACCCGACCCTTTGTGCGCTTGATGGGCGACCGACCTCCATCGTCAGGGTTGAGATACTTTTCCTTCTGGCGCAGGACCTTGGAAACCGTACTAAAAGGATACGTTAGGACATATGACGGGAAGTTTTGCCCAAGTTCGTGGTTACCTTCGTTCGACTCCAAATAGCGCTGAGGCACACTAAGTCAATATACTTCCAATGAAAAATAGCCTGCTGGGTATATTTTGCCTTACCTCCGATGTCAGTCTGTTTGGCAGTCTTGTTCTCTTCGTGGTATAGACACATGTTTCGACGGTCTTCATCGGTCAGCGTCCTTCGGGGGGTAGAGCCACCGGTAGACGACTTTCGGACCGGCATCGGGGCCGAGGGCGAAACGGAAGTCGGGACAGACGCAGGTGGCATACCATTTTCGTGAAATGGGGATTGGTTGGTAAGCATGCTGGGCCACGAATGCGAGGGCATGGGTAGTGGCATCGAGGCGTAAGGCGGGGGGGATTGACATGTTGTACGGACCGTCCACCGCCATCATCGACGGATGGTAGTCAAACCCGCTATATTCGGGCATGGGCGGCGAATGTTGCGGTGAGGTGAATGCGCCCAGCTCTACCCAGGGCGAATGTGGGAATTCGCCTTCATGACGGGATTCGGTTTCCATGGTGGATGAGTCCTCCATTGGATTATAGCAGGTACCTAGGGACTCGATAGGCCCGAGCGGGACAAAGTCCAGGTATACTCGAGGATTTCGTTCAAGAGAACAATGCGACGGTTTGTTAGAGGTGAGACAATGGGGGATGATGCATGTTCCACCGCACCGAGACCACGAATATAAGCAAGAAGAGAAAACAAAAAAAAGAAAACAAAAAGCAAAGACCGGTTTTTGACAATCGAAGTCGAGTGACAAGCAACAAGTGGGCTCAGTGGGTGACAAGCTCCCTAGGAAGGGTACCTGGGGAAGGGAAGAGTATACGATATGCAAGAAGTGATCGAAGGGGAGCACGCATGCGGGTAAGGCCCCAGAGTTAAATGGGAAAATCAGGGCCACCGACACACGGCGATCTAAACCGCGTGGATTGACAGAACGAGTTGAATCTCGATTGCAACTGGCACGAGAAGGGCTCAGTCCGGAGAAAACCATGATAACCTTCTGCTTCCAGGGGGGGGGTCCCTCTAATCCCGGCCTTGATTGGTTCGTATACTCGAAAAAGCCGGCGAGGGAATGAACGGGAGCAGTTTCTTTTTTTGGAGAAAAAAATATAATAATTTCAGATTTACGCAGAGCAATCATTCGATAAACACCCCAGTCCATGGAGGGGAAGCCGGCGTATGGTTGGTCCAAAGCGCGATATATTGCGGCAGGGGTTGCATTTCATCAGGCCCCGATGGTCGTGTCCTGGTATTACCCAGGCACTGTACCGTATCGAAAGCCTTCGTTCTGTAGGCAAACGCGGGATTTCGATTTGCTTCTGGGGGGTAGTAAGATACGATAAGTAGACACTCGTTATTGTCTGCTATTTGCTTTTTTTGTTTTCCAGTCTCTTTTTCCTTTCCACTAAATCATCATTTGCCATATCACTTTGCTCGCAGTCTGGGTAGATTACTCCAACCCATTCTCTCGCATGGGGTATAGTTTTGCGAGCATTGGGTACCCAAAGAAGTGACCCCTTGGTAGCTGGGATGGACCGGTCCTTCCGCGTACCATGGTTCAGCTGTGTTTGGTTTCGGTACTTTCACTAGGGCGACGTTCACGGTCCGTTTTGACGGCTGTCGGACGCTTCAGCATGACAGGTGGGCAAGAGCAATCGCCTTGAAAAAATTTGGTCCAAGACCACTGAAGCAGAGTCGATCATCCGGCGCACCGAACAGGCAGGAGTTCACTCTCGAGAGGCAACGAGAATAGGGTCTAAGAAAAATGATTTGCTGGGGGCTGTAGAGCGGATCGATAACCCGCTGAACTTAAAGATCGCATGACATCCGTGGTGTAGGTCTGGAGCCGATCAAGTGGACCGAAAGCCTCTGAGCAATTGCGGCGGTGCTGACAATAGCTTCATCGCCTCCTCCATATTTAGATGCTCCAACGGTCCATTTACCAAAGCGGCCAAAGAGAGCATGGCATCCATGTTCTGGCCCATCTCCGTGTGATGTCGCAAGGGGGACTGGGCTGAAGGAGGGCACGGTGCACCGCCTCGTGAAGATGCGAATAAGAAGACCGAGGGCCCGATCTTCGTCATGACTGGCCTCCGAATCAAACGCAAAAAGTAGATGGCCTCTACCCCAACTGGGCGAGGGGGGCGGAGGGACTATTGCCACATTGAGGCAGATGGATTGTTGAAGGAGGTGCCGATCTCCCTCGTTGAGTCGAGTTGCGACGACAGGACCCGGCTAAAAGACAAATGAAGCGCCGCATGGATGCAGTCCATCTGGACGAATAGCTCCCGACGATTCGCTCATCCATGAATACCAAGAATACAAGGGCCGAACATGGAGCCCGAGGCTGGCCCTATCACCGGACGGAAAGGGAGTCTGGGCGAAGAGGGGAACTCCTTTAGTCGCCCCAATGGTGCGATCATGCTTTTTCTTTCGGCGCTAATTCAGCCCTTACTCGACCCACTGCGGTCCTCGCCGGGCCGGAAACCTTCAGTAAGCAATGTAGCCTGATTGTGTGCAGAAGAGCCGACTCATGGAAAAATCGGGGGAGCCAGAGGGGGTGCGGAGGGGAACCAAAAATCGGATTCGGGGCTCCGTCCTCACCGACTATAGCAGTGCGCATTATCAACCCGGATTCCTAGGTTCCAGGTTTTGTAGGCCGTCCTGCATTCAACATGACCATACGACAAGCAATTATGATCATGGTGAGTATTGTCACGATGATGGAAAAAGACCCCCCCGCTTGTTCGACCAAAACCACGAGGTATTGCATGTAACATTGGACCACGGACTGGACCTTCATTTCTTAACGAGCGAATGAAGGACTGAATCCGAGGGGCCCAGTCGACGGCACAGCAAGCCAAGGTCTGACAAATAATGCATCCAAATGCTACTCCAGAGGATGTTTGATGGTCAGGGGCGTGAAATCAACCACGCCGCTGACGGTCCTGATTCGACCGGTGCCAATCTTCCTGCTTGAAGCCGTCGATTTTATTGCGACTTTTGCACCAGTCAGATCGCGCATGACAGATAAAAAAAAAAAGGAACCAAGTTCGCCCATTATTTCCCTTCCGGGTGAGGTTGGTTGCAATCGCTCCCGAACAGCGCAGATGCGTCAATTGTAAAGTTGACGCCATCCAGTCTTTAATCTTCAATACTTCTCTTCGTCAGGAGGAGGAGGAGTTCTTACAGCTGATTGCTATTAAGCCAGCGACAGCCTTTCTGCCCTTCTTCGACTATCGTCTCCCGGGAGATCTATACTCCGTATGTGGTTTTGACTTTGGTAACGAGACCGGCGTTCCCCTCTCTGCGAATTCGGAGAAGAGGAAGGAATCAGTCTAGACCGGTCAGGATCAAAACTTGCTGGTATCCTATGGGCACCTCGTGCTTCCATGGCTGCTTCTTCCTGCTTGATCTCATCCACATTGTACTGAATTCGTGGAGTTTCGCCCGCGTTGGGTGACAATATCCGGGAGTACATGCGTAATCCCTGTTCAACTCAGGAACGGGAAGCTGAGGGAGGGGTAGACAAGGATAGCAGCAGGGTTGATGGTTGCACTCAGTCAGGTACCGATCGACATGAATATTCCAATGGTGCACGAGACGAAGTTTTCCTTGCAATCTCGGCCGGTTTTTCTACGGCTCTGTCGATCGAAGGATACGAAGTGGGGATGAGGCACGAACCGGCCCTAATCAGCATTGTGGAATGTCTCATGTATCCCATGGCTTTCTAGTTTTCGGGAACACAAAACGTGCCCATGACTCCGGGGGAGAGTATTGCATCCCCGCCTAATGCAATGCAATGCGCCGAGGGTGCCCGACGGATCCCACGAGAGGGGCATGTACAGACTCGGTGCCGTGACAGTCACCTGATGACTTGAATTCTCAGAATCCTCAGCATCATGAAGGGTTCAGGACAGTGATCCTAGCGATCTAGTATCTGCCCACGGACCAGATCGTGAACAGGTCTAGGCGAGATCGGCGATGGTGTGTGGGAGGTCTCCACTTGCCTTCAGCGTTTCCGAGATGTGAAATGATTTGAATAATCATCCTCCTCATACCATTGGATCTAAATAATTCGCAGACCTAGTCCATGCCTGTGGTGCCACCCGCATCCCAGTGGATGCCCCCAATACATCCAGATCCCGGGTGTGGAGAGCAAGCTGATCAGATTATGATTGTCAACCGAACCGAGATTCACCGCTTGTTGACATCGAGCATCTGAGCTTTCCTCCAGTCTTCGCTATAGCTTGCCCAAATTGCCTTGTAATTCTTCATGTTTTTTTTTTTCATTTTTCAAGGATTTCCCCCTCCCAGTTGATCCTGCGGGAACGAACGTGCAGATCCGAGCTCGAGCACCGAGCTGCAACGGTACTTTTGGTAGACGATACGAATTTTGGTACCGACCGTGGACACGGACATCAAGAAAACGTGCGCCTGAGTTGACTGATCATATTCGCTTCGCCCCGACGGCTCCATACCCTATCGGATGGGGCCATCATCATCGGAATCATTAGCCCTGCCCTTAATGCGGAGCTTGCGGGTATACGCATCCCCCCAAAATGGAGTTCCATCATGATCACCATTGCCGAGTCAGCCCGGCGATAGAACCTCAGAAAAGTCGATTTCTCCGTACTAGCGAAGAGCTGTGATTAGCACCGGGTCAGTGCACCGGGGTCGCGGCCCTTCTCTGCACCGCATGCACACCATAATTACCTTTCCAGACCCGTTAGAGCTGTCGAGTGTCGCGGAGTTTGAGACACGGAAGCTGTCGAGCTCAGACCGTGGCCGCCGGCAGATCGGCCAAAGGGGAAATCGAGGGCCCTGTTCTAGACGGCTCTGGGCTCGGGGCTTGACAAGGGGGGGGGTATCCACGCTGACCTTGACTCGCTACAGATCTAGCCACAAGGCTGACTGGAATGACAGGAGTCAATCGGTGGCAAGACTTCAATTTCCGATATTAAAATATCAGCAAGGATGTTTCGCGCTGGACGGCACGGAAAGGGACCTTGCTGACATGGAATGCATGATGCGTATCGTGGTCATCGGGATTCGGTTTCTGGGATCGATAAGAGTAGCGGCGATGCCAAGTACTTATTTGAAGTAGTATCCAGAGTCATCGTCAACTATATACCGGGGGCTTTATTGGTCGTATACCGGCATATCCATGCCGGTTGCATCTTGTCGTTGTGGAGGGAAAAGTGCGGCGTGCTTGATTCTTTGTCTCAACTGCAGGTAGATATTGGGTGGGATCAAGAGACCTGCTTGGGCAGAAAAAGCAAGTAGGAACTATGATCTAATTCTTTTGCGACCACCTGGGGTTGAATGCGCCAGCGGACTCATTCAAAATGGAAAGCCTCAATCTAGAACTTTTGTTTTACGTTTTTCTTCGTTGGCTCATCGACAGAAACAATAAATATTCCCAACAAGGATGTGAATGGGTGATCATAATGACAATATGAACCGGTCGCTTCAAAGGACATCGGGAGTAACGAGAAGAACAAGAAAAAAAAAGAAACAAACAAACAAACCTGGCACCTGCCAAGGCTATCAAAAACAAGTCATGACATCCTCACACCGTGTGCTGCCTCTGAGAAATTGGCGTATCATCTCATTTGGTATACGATATCTCCAACTCAACGAGACCCTCCACAATTCAGCCCATGCTGGACCGGCCAAGACATCGCGAAATAGGACCGAAAATCACAATCAGCAAGTAGCGCACACGCGGCCTAGACAAGGCCCGCCTAACCCCAGGGATCGAGCCTTCGTAAGCCCTGGGACTTTTGATGTCCCATTCATGAGCGGAAACGATCATCGCGGTCCACTCACACTCGGTGTCGTGGCGTCTTACCGGTCCTGTATCCCACGAGCCGTACCTGTCAGCAAGGCAGGGGTAGAGGCACTCGGGCACAGGCCACCTGCCACCCAGCGTAATTTGGAGCAGCTTGTCGCGTTCCCCGCGGGCTGAGACGTTCAAGAATTCGTCTCTGGTTCTTTACCGCTTCACAATGGATACTAGAGAAATGTCAGCCTCGGACTAACTTCGATATCATCAAGAAATAGATCAAGGCACGTCACGTACCAATATCTTCGTCGGCAAGCTCGTGCGAGAGACCGACACGCTGGGGCTGATGCTTGACGGAGCGGCCGTACACAATGGCGTGCTTGAATTGATCTTTGATCGTGCGGTGAATGGCGTTACACTGCGAGTTGTTAGCGAGCATTTCACAGTATCAGGAACACGTCCTTACGAAGTCTTCCACCGTGCATCCGGAGGCACGGAGCACAACGGGTGCTGAGTAGTCAGGAGCCTTGCCCTTGGGCTTGGTATAGATTCTTCGCAAGCTGAGCTTCTCCCACATCATCTCGAGCAACTCATCAATGTTCCAGCCGTGCTCGGAACTGATGGGAACGGCATTGGGAATACGGTATAGAAGATCCAACTCCTCGATGGAGATGGCATCGATCTTGTTGAGCGCATAGACAACAGGAATGTAGCTGCGGCTCTTAGCCTCCAGAACATCGATCAGGTCATCGATGGTCGCGTCGCAACGGATAGCAATATCGGCAGACGAGATCTTGTACTCGTTCATCACGGCTTTGATTTCCTATCCCTGGAGTCAGCCATTGTCTGCAAGAAATAATGGGAACCAATCTTACCTCTTGACTGATGTTGGTCAAGGGAACAGTGCTCGTGATGGCAATACCACCCTTGTCCTTCTTCTTGAAGTTGATGTTGGGCGGAGACTTGTTGATACGAATACCGAAGCCCTCCAATTCGTTCTCAATGACGCGTTTGTCGACCAGGGGCTTGTTCACGTCGAGAACAATGAAGATGAGATGGCAGGTCTTGGCCACAGCAATGACCTGACGACCACGACCCTTTCCGTCCTTGGCACCTTCAATAATTCCCGGAAGATCAAGAATCTGAATCTTAGCACCATTGTACATGACCTGGCCGGGGACAGTGGTCAGGGTTGTGAACTCGTAAGCGGCAGCTATAAAAGCATGTCAGAGATAAATTCAGCCCAGGAAATAAGGCTTCAAACGGACCTTCGGAGTGCTGGCCGGTCAGTTTGCTCATGAGAGTACTCTTTCCGACGGAGGGGAAACCAATGAAACCACTGTACAGCTTCTTATGAGTATATCGCAAATTGTATATGAAGATGGAGCGCCATGCGAGTTTGACTTACACACTGGCAACACCAGTACGAGCAACATCGAATCCGGCTAAAAAATGTCGTTAGCGACTGAACGGGCCATGCGCAGTGTTTCGATAGAGATACTCACCACCACCGCCGCCACCACCTCCTCCAGTGGGGGTCAATAGCTCGCGCTTCAGCTTAGCAAGCTTTGCCTTCAATTGTCCTTGACCGGTTGTTAGCCGTGTTCGTCCATAGTCGAAATGCTCGTTCGGGGGGGTTTTGTACCCAAATGGAAAGAAGTGTTCTTATTCTTCTGGGTCTTGGCCATCTCGGCCTCAATGTCCTTGATCTATAAGCAAACATGAAGCTGTTAGCGGTTTTTGTTCAGACAATCAAATGCGCGCCGAGCGCACTAACCTTGTCCATGGTGGTCGCCATGATTGCGGTTGGGGGACTCGACGGTCACAAAAGAATGAGAAGGGTATAAATATTCGACAAAACTCAGAAAACGCCTCGATGCGACTCCCTTCGCAGTGCAAGTGCAGAACAAAGGTTTGAATTGGCGGAGACACAATCTTTGAATTGTGGCACTCCTCCTTACTAAGACAGGCGGGGTGTTAGCCTCAGGCAAGAAACTATGTCATCGGTCTAGTTTTTCTTTCTCAGGCTGCAAGGCATCAATATATTCTTATCGCTTATCGGAGGCAGGCACGCATGGCTCTATTTCGCCATTTCGGCTCTTCAATAATCAATGTTCAATTTACTGTTGACTCGGTCTTTGTAAGACCCGCAGTTTCCTTCAGTCATCAATACTGGTGGTTCAGTCGCTTCAAGAACCACGTTCTTTCATTAATGCATATTGTTATTTTTTATCCCAATTTGCCTCCGATAACGCTCTTGCGTCCCGATTCCACCGGGGTGTTGACAGTACATCCTTTCACACGGATCAGCTGCATTCAGTGTCAACCATGCCGTTTCTCAGAGATGGTCTTGGTTCATTCACCGAGTCCGAGAAGGGCTCTGATGCATTTGAAAAGCTTGTGGAGGACCTTAGCTTGGCCCTGGGTCCAAGCTCCGGTCTCGACTCCGATGATGTTGACCCGATGAACATCCAACTATTAATGGAGAAATACATTTCCAAGCCGTCAGAATGGGAGCTATATGCTTTAGGTGATGCCAGTCGATCTTACACAAGAAATCTCATTGATGAAGGAAATGGCAAGAGTAACCTGGTGAGTCAATCAATACTCCAAATCGGTTCACGGGATAATGAAACATATTGGGAACCTTCTGTATTAACGCAACCTTTGATAGCTTATTCTTGTGTGGTCTCCAAATAAGGGAAGTGCAATTCATGACCACGCCAACGCACACTGTGTTATGAAGGTAAACACACATGAGCCGGTTACTTGGATCTGAACGCTGCGACTAATTGCCTAGCAGATCCTTAAAGGGAAACTTCAAGAAACACTCTATTCTTGGCCAGATAAACAGAAGATTGGAAGTGGGCAATCGTCTCCACCACAGGTCATCCGGCAGACAGTCTACGGCGAGAACCAAGTCACCTACATATCGGACAAGGTCAGCCTTCGCTCTGTGCCTAACGATCTCTAGCAGTATACTCATACACTATCAACAGCTCGGTCTTCACAGAATTTACAATCCGGACCCGGATGAGTTTGCAATTTCTCTCCATCGTATGTACAGCCTTTCCTCTTTCGTTGTTCTTGCTTTCAAAGTCAAATGGTCTATATTGTGGCTGGGTACTCATTCATTTTCAGTCTACACTCCCCCACATGCTGCAACCCATGGCTTCTGCTTGTTTAACGAGACAACCGGCAAAGCAAATCACATCAAGCAAACCAAATACTTCTCGGTCCGTGGAAAGCGGCTGGACGTGGACTTCGTCAGTAGCGAAGATCGCTCCCTTGTGCAGTCTGCGTCTTGATTGTATCTTTAGACTAAAGAGGATTTTCTCTCTTTTCTTATGAACATGAGCCGTTCATTCTTCCCACGGCCCGCCATTGGTTATTATGCTCACGTTTTTTTCGTTGACGTTGCCACAGCGCCTTCCCATTAGCATTCACGAATTTATTGTATTCCTTTTTCCATTTCCCTCCCCTTAGTAAACGAGTGACTTGTACCGAGGCCTTCCCAGCATAAAGTCGGGCTTTTGGATACGGTACGTTCCAAGTGAACGGTGTTGAAACATTGTCTCATCAAGAGCGGGCCTCGTCCTCTTTTCGTGCAATTTCGACATTACATCAAACGACCAGAAACTAAACGTCCTACACTGAGGACAAGCCTGGTGAGACGGCAAGGCTTTTTGCAAGCAACATTACCCCGACATGTCAAACCCTAACTAACTGGTAATCATCAAGTAGCATCGATCTTGTCATGGGTGGTCAAACTGACAGGCAAGCGCGATTCGCACCTAGCAGAACGGTCTTGACATTCCCCGCCCAGGAAAAGAGTGGCTTCAAAACGACACAGACACTTTGCAGTTTATTATTCGACTAGCATTCCTTTTGCAACTGTGTACGGGATTCTTGAGATAGACGAATCATTCTTCTTAATCACGGAATGTATTTGACACTCACCTAGGGGATATTATGGCCAGGTGCGTAGTTGACGGAGCCAGCTTCGGCGAAGCAGATTTGCTGGAATGCAAGGTGATGTCTCGGTGACTCCAAGGCTGCGTCTCCGCTCTGATACTCAGTGCGGATGAAGCGAAAGTTCAGTCCATCCGCTATGTTGTCTGTGAGCAGAGTTTTCCTCCTATGCAGCGAATTGTCACCGGACTGCCTAGTGGTAGTCGTATCTGCGATCGCAACGATTTGCATGGTGATTACTCCTTGAGAGCCTTAGGAGAGAACGAAGTTGAGCCAAGGAATTGGTAGGCGGCTTGATTGATTGCCTATCAGGATGGTAAGGTGGTTTCTGACTCTTTTGGAGAACTCGTCATTATTTAAAAATATTCTTTTCTAACCAGATTACGTCGGAAGTCACTAGATCCTGTGTCTGTAAGTGACGCAGTATGCCGATATGAGTGCCCGCTAACCGAACCATCGCTCTCTCCCCAAGATGTCCGCCGCCATGGTTAATTCCCCGATGCAGAATCCAGTTTTAGTGGACACCGACTGGGGCTCAAAGATCCTGATCCCGTCAACGGCGCCTTGGTAAACTCTCCGGTGAGCCAGTGCCAGTTGGAGAAAATCGTTGGACCCGTTTTGTTGACTAGGCGAATTTCCGTTCACGAGATCGTGATGGTTTACAAACTTACGGTACGAGCAGTTGTTTCTAGCCTGTTCCATGAATACCCTCACTCTACGCAGATGGGAAGTTATCGGAATTGACTGAGTAAACTTAGAAACTGAGGTCCATGAACTAATGCTTGGAAGAACTCCAAATGATGCTCACCAAATAACAAAGGTTCTTCAAAGTTGCTGATAAATGAATTTAGGATTCGACCTTGCTTAATAAGTTTCAATATAGAACTATTGCTAGCACTGGAGGCCTGCGATTTTTTTTTTCATTTATAGCAAAGAGGACGTGAAAATACTCCCTAGCCATCTATCATAAATAACTATTCGGCCTAATCACCGACTCGGAGTCAGTGCTGATATCGACTCAGTGAGCTGGACCCGAATCCAGAGCGCCCGCATAACATCGGCAACCCAGATTGAAAAGGACCCGGCCGACATTATCCTATTGATCCATGTACATAGTCTCAGACTTTTCGAACTGATTGCCCCCGCTCATGGATCCAGCAAAGAGTAGATGATTAGTTTTACCTCTGTCGCAAAAGAGTTGGGGGTCATGCCTTACCCCTTATGCCAGTTCCTGCCAAGCAGGATTATTTTGCCCTCTGGGACTAGCGCTTATTATTTCGCACTTATGCTTTGGGATGTATAGTCGACTTTGCATGAGAGATCTATCAGAAATCTGCATTAAATTTCGATTTTCCAAGTAATTATGATATATCTTCAACCACCACTATTCTTCTTAATTGGTCCCATCCAAGCGGCTCTTTGGCCCGGGCTTATCCAATAGCCGCCGACTAGCCACAGAGTTCGCTCGCCTCGCCTATCCTCACCCAAGACGGAAACGAGTGGGACTTCCTCCACACATGGTGGTTCCTGGTCGAATCCAGAACTCAAGATCCCATCCACGAATAGAAATTGGACCAAATTGGCCGAGCCACGTTCCCTGCTGGCCATATGATTGCTCCCAAACCAGTTAGCACTAGCCTAAGATGGTAGCGTTCGCCTCGGCTCTCTTGTTTTTTGTATGGTCGCGGGTCCCGGTCATCAAGATCGTGTGCCTTTTTTTTTGGGCTCAGGGGCCACGCGAAGTGGCAAAGTGCTGTTCTGGGCGATAGCCTCCTTCAAGATCGTTCATCTATTTACCTTGTCCTTCCTCTATTTCGTATTGTCCTCTCTTATTCGTAATCTCTTCTCTTTTCGTATTTTTTCCGCTCTCTTGGTACTGATTTCATCTCCTTGAGGCCGATCACTCTTTCAGCGTCTCATAGGTCACAGCGGCATGTTTTCCTTTTTTTCTTTCCTCTTTCCTTTTCATTTCTGGCGTTACAGCAACAACACATCCTTTCCAATTTAGCGATGATGATTACATCCAATATCGCACTGTGAGTCTCCTTTGAACTTGAGTTGGTCAGTCTATAAGCTGATGAAACCTTTCCACCCCAGTTACCCGATTATCGCATAGTAAAATGGAACATCACCCACTACGATCGCTCTGCCGTCGCTCCTGGTTATTTGTTCACGGCGCCTTATTGGACACATGATGGCGATGCGGAAACAGGCCAGTGGGTCCCGTACCAGATGGGACCTCATATCTTCGATCAGGATGGTGTTCGTGTTTCTCTCTGCGCTTCTTTGATCGTTTCGTGCACTGACACTATCGCATTCAGGTCTTAGTATGGGCTGGCTCCGCAGAGAGCGACAACAGACCTTCCTTCGATTTTCGAGTGATTGATCTAGCGAACCCAGCCAATCCTGGTTCCCAACCACAGCAAGCTCTAGCTTGGATGCTGTTTCACGAGCACCAGGCCCCGGAAACCAATGGCTCCGTTATAATTTTTGACAACAACTACAACCACAAGCGTACCCTCTCTATCCCGTCTGCAGAAATTGACACCCATGATTTTAATGTGATCGACAATGGGTCGAAAGCCCTAATGATCCGAGTCAGTCGTGATGTACAAGCTCTTACCGATTTCGGCCAGCCAGAAAAGGCCGCGCGAATCGATAACAATGGCTTCATCGAGATCGACCTCCTGGCAAAAGGTAACACAACAGCCAAGGCGCGAGTAGTGGACTGGCAAAGTAGGGGCAGAGTGGGCTTGGATGAAAGCTTCGTCACGAATCTCACCTCCCTCCACGCGGACTTCATGCACGCCAATGCTATCGATAAAAACCAGTATGGTGACTATTTGCTCTCGGCCCGACATACAAGCACGATCTACCTTATCTCTGGTCGAGATGGCCATATCATATGGCGTCTTGGAGGAAAGAAGAATAACTTTGTCAAGGACTTTGACTTTTTCGGTCAACATGATGCTAGGTTCATCGCTGTGAACGAGACACATTACGTGATTTCATTCTTACAGAACGGGGCTATCGACGCAGATGTGCAAGAACCAGTTTCGTCCGCCCTGTATGTCGAATTGGACGTTGTGGCTATGAAAGCGACTGTCCTTCGTCGGTACATGCGCCCAGACGGAGGAAGCACCGAACGCCGGGGGAATATGCAAACGCTTCCTAACACCAACGTCTTCGTCGGTTGGTCTTGGGACAGCTATGTTTCCGAGTTCTCGGCAGATGGGCGGTTACTTATGGAGGCGAAGTTCAATTCTGACAGACATGATACCTATCGAGCATATAAATTCCCTTGGGTTGGTCGTCCTTCATATCCACCGACGCTTTTGTCTGAATCCTTTGGTGTCAATGGGTCCGAGCTATCCACAGTCTTCCACGTCAGTTGGAACGGAGCCACTGATATCGCATATTGGCGATTCTTCGCGCAAGCAAACTCGACCAGCAACAGGACAGAAATTGGCACTGTTCAAAAGAAAGGATTCGAGACTTCATTCATTGCTCGGGGCTTCATGGACTGGGTTTCTGTCGAAGCATTGGATTCCAGCATGGAGGTACTCGGTGTAACTTCTAACCTGCGTACTGCTAGTCCAAAGTACTGGACTGGTGAAACTCCACCCAAGCCTGATGATCCCGAACTCTTCTTGGTGGACCACTCAATCGAGACTTCAGCCCCTAGAGATACCGGACGACTCATTGGGCTTTTCATTGCCGGTGTCTTTTCAAGCGCGGCAGTCTGGACCTTGTTTTACTACAGACACGTGCTTAAACGGTATGGCCTTCGCTGCTATTCCAATATGATTTCGGCTTCGACGGGTTATTTGCCGATATCGACATCGGGATTGAACAGCCCAAATCCAGGGGAAGAGCTGACTTTCCTGGTGGAAAAAGTTGAATGACCAGCCCTTGCACAGCGCAACTTGCATAATTTTCTAGCATTTGTATCTATCCGCATAACATTCACTTCTTACAAGTCAAAACATCCAATTACTTGTAGCTTATAGTAGGTGTATTCGTCGGCGTTGGCGTCGTTTCCGAGAGTTATCTAGGTACGCTTATCCTTGGCTAATGAGACTGTAGAAGGGGCGCTGAGCTTCACCTATAGTTTTGATATTATACCGAACTTACGCAAAAAGGCTAGGTATTTCTTGTTATCGTCAAGATAGATAACTTCTAGTTTGTCCTTATTACTATAGCTAGTGTACAGCCGTATGAATTCGTCATAGAGTTTCGAAATAACAGTCGGATAAAGGAAGCAAGGCGGTGCAGATTTGAGGATAACCTCTTTGATAATCATTAAAAGGTGGTCGGCGCTTCTCATTGACCATAGGCTATCGGGGATCTCTTGAATGATCCGATAACTGCCTTGAGGAATTCAAGCTACATATTACAGTTAAACAAGTTCACTAAGATATGCTGTTGATTTCAGCCAACAGGAGGACCAACTTGGGCATATCAACGAGTCTCATCACGTCATCGTGTGGATCTTCCACTGAGTCTCCATAGCTCGTCAAATCCTATGTGAAAGAGAAGTACCGGTGTCATTCCCTCTATTTTCACTGGTTTGACTGGTCAGAAGAGACATTAGTATTGATGGTCATAGTTGATTCACTTTAGGTTCAAGATAAACTCATCTCAATCTCTCCGCTCGCATTGGTCATTTGATCCCCATGAATTGATAGTGGCAAGGTTTCGACACTCGTTGACACATAACGCTCAGGCCACCCCCGCAGAGCTCAGGCCTCTCGATTGAGCCGCATGAACTGACGACATTCGACTACGAGACACTCAACAAACAAGAATTAGATCATCATGAATAATTCGATTAGCCAGTAATCTATTTATAGGGCTCTATTCCATAGACCCACAGCCATGCAATGCTCATAATGCACATGCAAATGCAAAATATACGCAAAACCATCCCAAGCATAAAAAATATAAAAGCAAGACCCTCTAGACATCTAAGAGTCATTCGCGCAGGTGAAACTGGCGCTGCCCGTATCATTGTGAATGGCAGTGCCAGAGGCATACAAGCCAAGCACACACAAAATCAGACCGAACAGAACAATGAACATGTTGAGGACGGTGAGCGCAATCTTCTTGGGCGAAGACCACCACTGGCCAGCGTTCAGGTGCAGCCAGTAGACACCGGAGAGACCGTAGCTGAACCAACTGGCGAAGAGGGCACTGATGAGAGAGTTCAAGTCACTGAAGACGGGGATAGCCTCGGCGATGATCCAGGCAACGACCCAGCAGGAGACGCCCAGAGCGAGCCACAGACTGACAGACTTCCAGCCACGGGAGTGAAGGAGGTCGGACTTGGCGGTCAGGCGGAAGTAGATGTACTTCAGACCGATGTGGCCGTTGACGACACCGGCACCGACGATGGTGGGGATGGCGACGCCATAGGCGACCTTCTTCATGAGGGGACCAGCAGAGCTCAAGGCGGGAGACTGGACGTCGGTACCGACAAAGTAGTAGATGACAACAGCGGCGGTGAGGTACAAGGAAATCTCAAAGCCCTGAAGCATGAAGAGGGACTTCTTGAAGTCCTTGGGGGTCTCCATCTCGGCGATCAGACCGAAGAAAGCAACGTGCGCGCAGTAGGCGAAGACGATGTTGGAGACAGCCTGGAAGGCAGTGTACAGATCGTTGGGGACAGTAGCCTCGATAATGCGACCAGGGTGCTCCTCGACACCGACGGAGATCATGGTGATCATGACGGCGCTGAAGATACTGACGAAGGAGCAGAAGGAGATCAAGGTCATGCCGCGCATCGTACGGGGAATGGACAGGACCAGCGAGATGAGCATGCCAACCAAAGCGAACACAATGGAGCAAGTACCGTGGTCGGTGATGGTGTTCAACATGACGCGGAACGTCAAGATGTGGCTACCCATGACGAAGATACAGAACAGGAATTGACCCAGGCCGAAGAGCTCACGGCCAATAGGACCCAACAGGATCTCACCGGCATCACCGAGGTTCTGAATGTGGGGATACCGTTCACGCATCAGGCCAATGTTGTACCCAGTATAGGTAGCGAGGAGACCGAGGCCCACGATCAGAATGACACCGGGGACAAACCCCAGGGTAGCCATAGCCGAAGGCAGCGACAGGACACCAAGAGAGACAGACTCGCAAATCATCAAGAGACCACATTGCCTGCGGACCCCAATTAGCATTCACTCATTTGACTCTTTCCGCGAAACAAAGCGTTGGATACATACCACCACTTCAGCGTCTTGTATTTGATCTCAGCAAACTCCTCGTTACCAAAGGCATCCTGCACCTCGCCGTGCTTGAGACCACCTTCCTCTTCAAAGGTAGGCTCCCACTTATCCTCACGAGCCTCAATCTTGTCATTGCGATAGGCCGGGGCTGGGGCGTCACAGACTCCATATCTTCTCTCGCTACGTTATATAGATTGCAACAGTCCAAAAAAAAAAATCCCCGGGGGTAAAAGGCAAGAGACAAGGCCACAGACAAGAACGAGGAAGCGAGTGAATAAATACGTTCCACCTGGAGAAAGTAGAAAAGAGGGGGGGAAAAGGTGAAAGAACTGGGGTAGGTAGTTTCTCTTATTAAACAGAACCTCGTTTTGAGTTTGCGGATCCACACTCTACTCCGCGCCGACTTTTGCCCCGGAGGCAAAATCTGGATCAACCCAAAAGACAGCGTTCATGGAAGACCCGCCGAACATTTTCTCACCGAGAAGGCCATTAGACTCTACCCGTCTCCGCCCAGCCGATCTTCGGACGGTGGTCCAATCGTCGTGTCCCTCGGCGCCTCCCTTGACTAATTCTCGTTCTTCATAGATATTCGATCTCGTGGCGTCACCAAAGCCTTCTGAGGCCCACTCCGGCCGTATGACTGGATCTTGCGACTACTGTACTGTAGTCCAGGGAATAGGCTAGGCCCAGCATGCGCATCACCAATGTGGCTAGGTACTGTTAGACATAATGTTACATCATCTGTATGCAAGGCAACTCGGGGAGAAGAGTCAACCTCCGGTCCACAATTGACTTTCACCTACCTAATAAGGAACTCCCCCATGTGGCTTAGTCTTTAAAAGGTTCTTTGATCGTCCTTCGGTGGGTTCACATCAACTACGTAACTGTGCTTCTGAAAAGGCTATGGACATGCAGTAACTTTCCCCAGGCCCAGCAATGGCCAACCTTCCGATACTCACATCCAGAAGTGCATCAGTTATAAGCTTTGCCGTTTTTAGCTTTTAGCTTTGACTTTGTGGCGGCGGCTTTTTTCTTTTTCTTTGGACTTTAGGCTCACCAGTGTCCCTTTCTACCCCAAAACACCGCCCTAGGAAAATGTACCCGGCGACTTCGCATCCCTCAACCCACCACTTGCTCTGTAGATTCCCCTATCCAAAGATTGCCACGCATGGCAAGAGGAGTTGCATTGCAACAGGACTCGAAAAATCGGGAATCGTTCTTTCTCGCGTAAGCCGGACTACTGGACTCCGACCATTTCGCGTTCACCGGTCCGGCCCCGAGGTTAGCTCCACTCTGAGGCGAAAATCAACCTTACCTTAAACATATGATTCCGGGCTCATCGATTGGTTCCATGGCCGCCCCCATCAGGCAGGTAACATGTTCCCTGCAGCGACTTCCCCGGGTTGTCCCTGGCCTCGTCAGCGCGTGTCAGGAGATCGGGGTTAGAGTCGAGATAAGTCTGATACATTGTTATCTCATGTTATTCACTAGTATGACATATTTTCGACCCTTCTACTTGCTGACGTGGAGCTGTGCACGGCCCGACGAGACTTTCTGCGCGCTATGACCCGATGGACGGATTGGAGACAGTCACAATAAAGCCGTGATGACAAAAAGGTATTCCCGATATTTGAAAGTCGGGCTTTGAATCATTTGGCAGATTCAGCCGAGTGTGGGGTGGGGCAAAGTTAAGTCATCGTGGAGACTTCCGTCAAGGATTGGTAACTCCGCCGTAGCCTCCATCGATCTATTTTCTTCTCTGTGGTTCGACCAGGCGTGCAAGATTGTCATTGTATTAGTGCACCAATAGACTCAAAATGCAGCTCAATTTTCGACCCAATGCAAATGCAATATACAAAAGCGCGCCTCAAGACTGGGTCGCTGACTTAATACAGGTGAAAAACGCATGCAAAGAACAGGATTCTGTTCGCTGAATTATCAAACCAAGGGTCGATCAAGTTCCAAATTGCCCAAACCAGAACCCCACCGCTACCGAGACGGGTTACCTGTAGCACCGGGCGCACCTTCACGCCCGGTTGAGGTTGGATGCTGAGAAAGTCGACTCAGCAAATGCTCTGGATTCTCCAAGACAGCGGATTGCCGTCGGCGCAGCTCTTCCAGCCGAGCCAGTGGATTCTGTAAATTGCCAGAATAAGTACATTGCTCTGAGAATTTGTGAAAACGCATCAACCGTGACACCCACCCAGTCCTCCTGGTCCGGTACACCCTCGGCCGTTGGAAGGGCGGCCTCGGTGGAGGCTTCGTCTTCGTAGGTCCCACGCTGGATCGGCGCAGGCGTTACGGGGAGGCTAGGACGCTCAACTTCCGTTGGGAAGTCGGTCAGCTTGAGGCTGGGCCGGTGCCCACTAAGGCTGCTGGGTGGTGAGTCCTGCGTCGTGCTGGACTGGCTGGAGCCGGAGATGACTTGGGTACGGCCTCGACGGGCTTTTTGCAATGAGTCCATGTATTGTTGGATATGTGGGTCTTCGTCCCAGGCATTGGAGCGTGTGTAAGAGTCCCAGGACTCGGTGGAGGGCTCGTGCATTGCTCGTGGGGTGGGTGTTTGTGAGGATGGGGTAACTTCCTTGACTTGGGTTGGGGTGGCTTGCTCGTCCTGTGACTCGGTGGGGACGGACTGCTCCTGTGCAAAGACGCGAGTAGGTTTAGGAGCGTGGCTCTCCCAAGGAAACAGCTTTGTAAGCTTCTGTGGCTCGGGTCTCACCGCAGGAACCTGGTAGTACATGTTCTTCGGGGCTTCAGGGTAGGATGGGGGAGGTTGGAACAGATTTGTATCTTCGGACATTGAGTATGTCTTCTCTTGTAAACTAATTCCTTCGGGCTTTGAGTTCAATGGGGGTGGTCCTCTAGGTAACATTAGCAGCTTATTCGAGTGGTCGGGTTCTGAGATCATGACGCACCGTGAAGCATCCCATTCTGCCTGTGGTGCCTCAAAGGTTGCGGGCTCTGGAGAAGGAGAACGAGGCGACTGCTCCAGCTGGGCGAACGGCGGCGTGGGCACGATGGGCTGCGGTTGATAGATATGACCCGCATCATCGGAATGTTGATGTTCTTGATGATGATGATGTTCCTGATTATGATGATGATCATGGTCCGGGTGATGGTCTTGGTGATGGTCCTGGTGATGGTCCTGGTGATGGTCCTGGTGATGGTCCTGGTGATGGTCCTGGTGATGGTCCTGGTGATGGTCCTGGTGATGGTCCTGGTGATGGTCCTGGTGATGGTCCTGGTGATGGTCCTGGTGATGATATTCCTGTGGAGCTTGAGGCTGTTCTTCGCGTCCCTGCTGGGGTGCGAAGATAGAGGCAGACATATGAGGCAAGGGAGGAATAAATGTCGAGACATGCTCTTCTCCACGCACATACTGCGGAACTGCACTCAGGATCGGCACTGCGACTGCGGTAGCTGGGGCCTGCTCCGGATTTTGAGACGGCTGCCAAACCTGAGGCTGTTCGTGCACCACTGATACAAGTGATGGCACACCTTTATCCCGATGGTCTTCTCCGGAGTGGAAGCTTACAGGTGCATGCTGTTCGGCATGGTCAATTTCATAAGGCTCGGGCCATTGCTCGTGAGTCGGAGCTCCTGTGTGATACGTTTCCTGTCTGTGCTGGGACGGTGGCCGGGGGATTGATACCTTCATAGGGATTAGATCAAATCTTGACAGAGTGCGGAAGTACTAACAAAAGGTGGTTGGTAGTGTTGATCGTAAACAGCCCACCATTTCCCAAGCAGCTGATCATAAGGCGACTCCAGTGGCACCCCCTGCCTTGGCAAACTCCAGGGCTTCTGCGATCCGATGAAATGAATCAGGCTGATAGTACTCTGGAAGTGCTTGTACGCAGGTATGTACTGATAGTTGGCGCTGGGTGTGCAATTGTACGTAAAGCTTAGCCTATGCCAGTCACGGAAATGCATATTCAGCAGACCCTGATCAGCTCCATCAAAGCTGATACCGCGCTCAGCAAGCGCCTTCAATGCATAATAATCTTGCATATTAGGTCGGAGAACCATGAGTCCACTGTTGAAGATATCCGGCCAGCCCACATCTGGCGCGGCCGCAAAATCTACATCCAGGGCTAACAGCTCGTCCGGGGCTCTCAGGGCCAAGATATCGCAGTCGATGTAGACGATTCGGTCGAATTGAGTCAGACGCCAGAGCTCAATCTTGGTGAATGTGGCTATCAGGTCAGGTCGGTCCATGAGCCATAGATTGGCGGGGGTGCCGTTCACAAATTCGCGCACTGGGATCAGCTCATCATAGACGGTCTCCGAGGGACAAGTTAGTATTCGCAGTGATGAAGTTATTTCCTTCCAGTCAACATAAAGCATACCTGTAATTCAGTAACCGTGGCTGCCCGTAATGTGTCCGGTGTGTAGAGGATGACCAACTTTGCATTCGTGCCATTGTCGCGCAAAGAATGCGCCAGGATCATAGCACCTGTGGACAAGTCAGAATAGTTAAAGATCCATTGGATGACTCAAATGCTTACCAGGCAAATAGTTGTCGCTGAGCAACAGCTGTTGAAGTCATCAGGAACATCCATCTCCCGGAACCGGAACATAAGGGGCCGCAAACGCACCGTGCAATAAACTGCCCTCCGCTCGGATGCCATCGCGGATTGGGTCTCTCAACGCTCTGTGAACCGGGAAAGAAACAAGGATTCACCGAAGAAAAGCAGCACGGGCAGAGAGAGTAAACGGAATCCAAAGAAATGAGTCGGGCCGGGGCTATATGTAACCCTTGAATCGACCCGCTGTTGAGAATTCGCAGTTCGGACTGGCCCGGTAGACGTCAGGTACGGAGCAGCGGGGACCCAGAGAACTGTGATACCGGAACCGGACGCAGGTTCAAGCGGACGAAAAGCTGCTCACTGGTGCATTGCGTCGTGCGAGGTGACTCTCAGTCGATGTGGCAATCAGGGGAGGCGTTGATAGGAGAAGACAAAAAAGATTTAAGATGAAAAGAGGGGAGCTTGGAAGTGGCGGGAAATTAAAAGCAAGTTCAAGTTCGAGTGAGACCAAACAGGAGCTGTCCCCGGATGAAGATCTCGAGGGGAAAGTGGAGGCGGCTGCTCCTATGTCTTCCCCCCTCACCGGCCGAATCCTTGGTCTCCGCGGTATCCGAGCTTCTTGACTAGCTAAATCACTACCCCCCGTCCACCTAGTTCTTCTGTTCTAGCGTATCATCTACGGCTCGAGGAGATTATCTCGCAGTCAATCACATCGGATGCATTTCCTCAACCTCTCTGAAACCAAGGAAATCATGACCCGCGCCCCCTAAGGGGCCGAAGCGTTAGCTGGGGCGCTAGGGCGCCATGGTGATACACGAACAAGAACAGCTCCGTGGGAAATAGTCTAAGGCGGTACAAGTCCATACCAATGCATCCGCTAGCTCCGTCATCTACGCACAACCACCTTCGCATCTTCATACCTGCGCTGCACAGCAACGCCGATATCCTCCTTCTCACCCTGTACGGCCCAATGCACGGCTGTTTCCAACGCCGCGCGGCTCTCCACCTCGATCGGAGTGAAATGGCCCGATCGAGGAAGCAGCACGACCTGACTGTCACCGACGAGGTAGTCGGCCATACCATCGAGACAGATCGCCGAGTCCAGCGCAATGTCCAGCTTGCCCCAGAATACGGTTGAGCTTGCTCTGAGCACACCCGGAGCTCCTTCATCGAATAGGCCTGCGCCGCTGCTAGTCCGGCGGAGCTCGTTACCACCTGCGAGGTGGTGGAGGGCAGCGACAGTCTCGAGGGACTTGTGCCAGCGCGAAAGCGCCGCGCCGTCGCGATAGTAGCCGGCCATATTCATCACGTTTGCAAACTCGCGCGAGTACTTGATTGTGCTCGGATATGAGTCTCCGTTGGGGGTCTGCGTCTTCGATTCGGAGAGAGAAGGACCCATGCTGCTGGCCATGGACTCGGCCGCGTCACGGGCCGTGTATTCGGCCATGCCATGAGAACCCTTGTGCACGGCTCTCATGAGCGATTGATTACCGCCGATTAGGAAGAATTCAACCAGCGGAACAGGCAACTGCATCGCGAAGATATAGCCTGACAGGGTGAGTTGGCGGAACAGAGGCTTGAGAGTTCGCACAGCCTGGAGCAGTGACGGGCGTGATGAGCTCGGACCATTACGTGCATCCTTGTGAATCTTCCGCGCCGAGTTCACGATGCGCGCCACGTTGGACTTGACCAGGTCGATCTAAAAAGGGGTCAGCTTCCGTCTCAATGAAAGTAGACTTGGGTCTCTTACCAATGGCCCGTTGGATAAAATGAACCGATCCGCAAGTGATGGAGCCTCGGCCGCAAGGCGCATCGAGATGACGCAGCCCCAGTCATGGGCAACGATAATGGTCTTTTTTTTGCGTGTCGCGAAATCATCGTCCACGCCATATTGAAGCCGCAGGGTGACGATAAGCTCTGTCATCTTCTCAAGCACTCCGGTAGCAGAGTACTTCTCTAATCCCTCGCTACCTCCGTAGCCAGGCAGGTCAATTGCGACCAAGTTCGCGGATTCTTGGAGGGAAGGCGAGCTGACAATGTGGCGCCAGATGGCCCAGCTGTCAGGAAACCCATGAACGAAGATGACCAGCGGCTTGTCAGATTTCAGGGCAGCGGGTGAGCCAGGCACTTCGTTGCTGAGGAAGTGGAATTTGAAACCACTAGCTAGAGTAATGATGTGGTGGGAGAGACCAGCAAAGTCCTTTGAGAGGTCCCACAGACGATCGCGGGCTAAGATGCATGATTAATGACAATTCTGTTGCAAACGAAGCATTCTCGATGGAATTGAGTGCCATAAGGGTTTGGGTGTTTTTGATGAGCACTGTGGTGGAGACCTACCAAGTTGCAGCTCCAGGTTCTCCTTTTCAGTCCTGCGAGTAAAGAAGGTCCCTTTTTTAATCGAAATACAGGCGTACAGAATAATTGTGAAAACGCCATAGACAAAGACAAGCGTCAAGAAGACGGCTTTTTTAATCAAGCCCATGTTGCATGTCACTTCCAATCAAACAAAAAAAAATGAGACCGGAAGTGGGGAGAGGCATGCATAAGGAGCGTTGCGCATTTCATCAAAGCTCTTTTAGCGGAGAACCTCGGAGCTGATCCAATGTCGCGTCACCTTCAGGGATTCCTTAGTCATCGCCGCGCAAACTTGGACCAAGTTGTTGTTTGGTTGATATTGAAATTACGGGATTTTGTACCTACGTATCTTGCTTGTTTCTAATTAAGGCTGTGTAAGAAATTGCGGTGGTGGCACAAGATTACTTTAATAGTGAATGACAGCGATGCTCAGCCCTAATGGCTTCAACCCCGAGAACGCCAACTTCCATCTCCACATGCAGTTTAGAGCGATGTATCACGCCAGAAATAAGTCCCGCAGGATCGTAAAGGAACATTTGAGGATGGGTATTAAGACATGATGGGTGGAAGGGAAATGCAGCGGCCATGTGAAAAAAAGAAAATCCAAGCAAGGAAACGGCCGTTATCTCGTCGAGTCCCCATGCAAAGCTGTATCGCGTTTAGCGAGTAGAACAGTAGGAAATAAGGGTATATGTACAAAAGATCGACAGCTAGAAATAGAAGAAGTGGAAGTCAATTAGACAGAGAAGCCAATCTGGTCTCTGTTGTCGTCAACCAGACGTCCGTACCTGGAAATGAGGGTCAGTAAAAGGCATAGAAAGAAGATGGACTAGAAACTCACTCCAGGAGTAGACGGAAGAACCAGACCTCCATGTCTTCATTACGCAGCACCCTCTGCGCCCAGTCCTGTCCCTGGGCAGCAATCTGAGGGGCCGCCTTCTTACCCTCCTCCTCAGACACGAAGTACCGCATGCTCTCGGTGTACTCGTTGCCTTTAAGGCTGAGCGGCACATAGTGCACCCAAGGCTTTAGCCACTCGTCATGCCATTCGCGGAAGAGGGCCATCTTAAAGACGAAGCTGTTGCTCAGCAAAAACGCGTAGAATCGGCCACTGAAGGCATTGCCATCAATGTCAACTAGGTACTTGTGAGCCCAGGCATCTTGCTGTCCAGCAGGCTTGACCACTTCAAAGTACTCTTCCTGGGCGTGGCAGTCATCGGGATCACATTGCCCAATGAAGGTGAACTTCACATCGAATTGCTGGCGATACTCCTCTTGATTGACCTCTTGCGAAGCCCATGAGTCGTCTGGCTGTCTCACAAGGATTTTGGTCTGACCCAGGGAGTTCACATTGTCGACAAACTGCTGTCGGTGTTGTCGACGCCAGCCGCCTGCACGCGAGAAACCACCAGTTGTGGACCCACGCCAATACATGCGGTTGGACTTAGCCTCCCAGGCATAATCCTTGCGGTGGTCGTACGGCACCTTGTCGACCCAGTACCACGGGCTAGGGTAGAGAATGTCTTGGAAACTAGAGACCTTGCTCTGCGAAAAGACGGGGAATAGGTCATGAACGACATCGAAAGCGTTTGGTCGGTCAAAAAATCCATAGGTGTAGCGGAGGGAGGGGGTGTTGCAGATATCCGAGAAAGCGGTGGTATTGTAGATGAAGCCCAACTCGCCATACGCGTATGGGTCGACATTATCCGGGGGATCATCCGACAAGGATCGTGCAGGGCTATCGACCGGGCAAGATTGGCGGGAATTGGTCCAGGTAGGCTGGTGCGCGAAACGATTGAAGCGAGTCGTGCGCACCTCGTCGATGCGATCACCCTTGTTCAAATCAGGAGCGCGAGGCGACCATACATTCGTCGGTATCTGTCTGTTGAACGCGGCCGGAATGGCCTTGTCCGTCGCTATTTGCACCAATCGCTGGAGGTCTTCGCCAGGGATGACGACGCGGGGCTCGTCGTGAGTGTTGAAGACCAGGTCCATGTCCGGCAGGTACTGGACAAAGTCTTTCATCATGCCGACCGTGGCTTCGCGCTGCCACTGGCGACCATCACCGCCACCCTCGGTGAGAGTCACCTTGCCATCGCGAATCAAGAGTCCGATCACCGCGTTGTCGAATCCCAGTGTCTCGCGAGCACGCGAGCGAATCAACCCCGGCTCCAGCGCCCAAAAGGGTAGCAACGAATGGTAGATAGAATCAAACTCATCTATCAGCTCGACACCCTTGGACTGGGCAAAGTGGAACCACTTGTCGAAGTGAGGCGGCGGATGCATCTTGTAGCGACGCTTGTACTCCTGCACGGCCTCACCCAGGGTCTTTGACTGCCGCGTCCGCACATGATCAAACTGCTGTTGTGCATTGTGAATCAATCTGGAGATGGGATGGACCTTCTCGGGAGGGTAGGAGCCCTGGCCTGCGTGGAGTTGAGGATGTCTGATCGGTTCGGGAGGGGGGATCTCAACAGGTCGAGCCGGGAGATTCGAGGGGCGGAGGTAGACGATAGAGAAACAGGCGATCAGGACTAAGGCCATCAGGACGGTCAATCGCTGACTCCTCATCCTGCCATGTGCTACAGCCATGTTGAAGGGGAGGAAACCTTGAAAGTTCAGCACGAGGCGAAAAAGGGTCCTGAGGAGGATGCTCCATTCGGTAAAGTGTAAGTACAAGTGCAAAGACTCCAGGCCCAGTTCTTGGGGGGGGGGGACCGCCAAGCCTCGAGCCGCGACTAATGTATCGTCCACGTAAGGCTAACGTGGTCGCATTTCCCTGTTCTTGGTTCGCTTCACGCCAGGCTTGATCCTTTCTCAATCTATATTCCTAGTGACTACAGGGGCCATGGTTTTTTTTTATTTGGTTCACCCAATTACAGCCTGTTGTCGTGATGAAATTACACCACTCTTGAAATCTGGGGAACATGAATCCTCAACTCTAAACAATTGCATTGTTTTTGTCCAGCATCTTATTTTAGAAAGCCTAAATAAGATTCCATCTGGCTCTACATCGTTTTACCTATATATCTGCGTATTCACAGGCGTGACGAGTCCCTGCCGGCTTAAGCAAAATGACCACCAGAAATGGACATTCCAGCACTGCGCATCGAACATTCAGAGATGAACCCCGCTCGGACACTTCACTTCGAACACGGTAACCATTCATCCTCTACCTCCCCGTCGGACCATAACCATAGAGCAAATCCCATTGATCACTGAAGCCCCCAGCGCCTGAAGCATGTACCTCCGCGCATGGGTGACATGCCAATAAGCCGCAGCACACAAAATAGTCACCGACAAAACATGGCCAATGTAGAATGACTGTCTCCGTTCCTTGATAGACGGATTTGGCTGAGTGTCCCTCTTTCGCGCCACACCGCGAGGCCGGACAAAAAACAGGAGTGAGACCGCCGCAGACAGTGCAAGAAGACCGCATTGCACGTCGAAATCACGGACTCGCTTGTTGAGAAGGGAGCCAAACTCCGGGTGGCTTGATTGCACGAAGAATAGCAGGTAAAGAGAGGCGTGTCCCATGAGGAGAGGCGAGATAACTACGCGACCAAAGAGCCGGTGGTAGGGTGTTATGGTTGCCTGTGGGATGGAGGTAATGAAGGAGAAGATGGATGCTGCAGATGGTTTGGTGGTTGAGATGTACGCTGCCGGAGATATCAGGACTTGAAGGGGTACTTGGGACAGGGCGATATGGCCCAGGGCTTTGGTTAGATGGAGATAGTCTGTGGAGGGTGAGTATGGTATTGCTCGACTTGATCGTTGGAGTTCTATGCCTATCGATGGGGACAAAGAGGACATACCATCTCCACTGTTCCACACAGCAAGGCCAACGAGCCAGGATAACCACACGCCACAGACAAGATACTGTCTCCGGGTTTCAAGCCATCCAGTGATTAACGGACGATCCCACCACGAGATTGGGCGCCGCGGCTTCGGAGCACCTCCAGGTATCTGGGCCGTGGCCCAAGCTTGGTACACTCGAAGTACGATAATCACCACGAGGATTGACCCCTGCGCGATGACACCGCGCAAGTCAAGCAAGTCCCTGCGATGAGATTTCTCCTCTTCGGAGACCGTGATGAAATGCCAAGGCCAAGCGGATGACATAGTGCCTGTAATCTCAATCTATAATTTCCTGACAGGTCGAATTGAGACTTGAGTATGCGCACAGGGCAAGAGATAGCCAAGGATGTTGTGCATGGACGGTGTGCAGCAATGTCGGAATGGAAAAGTCTAGTTGGCAGCAACCATGGCAGATGGAAATGATCCGAATATAAGGTGACTGATTTGAGCTTCAAGAGCTTTAGACTGACTTTTAAGCATCCGACTATGCAAGAAGTGTCGCAAAGTGTGGCTGACGCGTGTTTAAGTGGTCGTCTCTGGCTCGCTGACAAATGATGCGAGTTGACTCGCCCACGCGGAATATCCCCTTCCCATGGCGTTCAATGTTGACTACTTGAGCTTTCTACGATTCCCCGGAAAAATCATATGGCGTGATTGCTTTTTTGTGACTACCTGTTCTGGGTAGACCGGGTTATGCGTGGAACAAAAACAAAACCTCTACATTAAATAACGCCATCGAGACATCATCCCAGAGCTGGCTACCTTATTCTTCTAAAAGTGACAGGATGCCCAGACCCCTGTGTAATATGGGAAGTTTCTGTCGTCAACCCTCTCCATAAATAAGGCGTTGCGACGAGTAATGTGCCATCCTGGGCTATCTTATTCACGGGGAGGTCTGCATGACCTCGTCCTGGTTGCCACCCGCAGTCGTAGCGAAGTAGCGGACATCAACATCGTCATCCTCCTGCAACTTCTCCAACATGGGCAAAATCTTCTGCTGGATCAAGTCCTGGCTCTTGGGCGAGGGGTTAATGGTCTCTCCGGACTTCTCAACCTCAACCAGAGTCTTATCCTCCGGCAAACGGCGCAGGGTGTCAATCAGGACGGCATAGGACTTGGCGACGTTGAAGCGGATGTTGGGGATTTCGTCTGTCACAAGGCGGTCCAGGATGGGAATGATGGAGCTTTCGAGGATATCGAGAGTGACGACGGGCGCGAGGGTCTGACATGGTTAGAATCCTTGGGTCGAATTGTAACGAAAAGGGGCAGACTCACGGAAACAGCAAAGCATGTCGTCATACGGTAAAGGTAGTTAGGATGTTGTCCCATGGCGATCACCTTGGGAATGATAGACTCCTTGGACCAGTCCACGCCGAATACCTCGGTAAGCTTCTTCAGGTTCTGGGTAGCAGCCTCTCGGATCGAGAAGACAGTATCGCCGAGCCAGCCCATGCAAAGGTCACTCAATTGCTCGTCAAAGAATTTGACACCCAACTGACTGGCAAGAAGAGGAATGTATTCAATAATGGCAAGACGCACACGCCACTGCTTGTCTTCGGCCAGCTGGACAATAGCAGGAAGAAGAGACTGAGAAAGAAGATCGATGCCAATGACTGAAGATGAGTTAGTCGAGACCATATTGAGATTCACAGATGAATTGGCGTCTCACCTTTGTTAACTTGCTCAAGCTTGGAGATGATGTGAAGGCGAACATCTGGGAAGTCATCCTTCAGCATTTGCAGGAACATGGGAAGGAGGTGGGCAATAGTCCTGCAATATAGTCAGTCATTGATGTTTTCAGGACGTGGACCCTGATAACTTACTCATCCTTTCCAAGGATAGGTGCCAGACCACTGATCTGAGTGCCCAGAGCCGCCCGAACGTGCTGGGATTGATCAGAGACCAGATCCTCCACACTAGTCATGATCTCATTAAGCAGAGTGTCGCGGTCGATCAAAGTGCAGAAGCCTAGCCATCAATTAGACTACGTTCCACAGGGGTGGGCCCGACAAAACATACCCGGAATTTGGCCAGCAATTGCAGTGCGCACTTCAGCCTCGGTATCCTTCAACAGTTTCACAAAAGCGGGCACCATATCGCGTGTAATCACTTCCTCGTGCACAGCCTTGGCAATCTGTGGCAAACATTATTAGCGCTCCAGAGCTTAACTATGTTGGGCCAAGACTAAGCGACACACCTTCTCATATCTATCGGCAACCATGTATCGGACTCTCCAGCTCTTGTCTTCGAAGAGAGCGCGCAGTGATGTCAGCAACACTCCGTGGCTGGGCTGCTGCTCCTTGGGGATTTCCTCCGCGATCGAGATAAGAATATCCACTGTCAACAGGCGCACACTGTCCTGGTCATCGCTCGCGAGGTACTGGAAAAGGGGTATCATTTCGTCAATAATCACTGGCGTATCCATCTCCTTGACAAATTTGGCCAGGTTGTTGGCGGCTTGGCGTCGGACCATGGGGGTCTCATCGTGTACCAAAGCTCCGAACTGCTGGCGAAGACTCTGTTGCATGGCCGGCGTGGCCTTTTTGTATGGTGTAGAGTACAGGCCCGTGGCGGAGACCTTGGAAGTAAACCAGTCGGCTTTGGAGAGGTGGAGGACAAGGGGGACAAAGTGCTCTTCGACTTGGCTCTCGTTCAACTGCTCGCAGACTTTGTTGAGGGACTCGACGGCCTGGTTTCACGTAATTAGCATAGATCCTACAGATACGACAGAATATACAACCCACCTTCTCCCGGACCAAGGGCTCCTCAATCGCTGCCAGATTCTCCAGCGGAGACAGGAGCACGTGCGCATGTTCCGGTCCTCCGACATACTCTGTGAAGTTGCCTAGCTCCTCGCTCAGAGCAGTTAAAACCTCATCCTCGTCTTCAACGGAATCTAGTAGCGGTCTATGTTAGTTGGGTCTCTGGGTCCAAGCGGCAGGGAGGTGGGGGTAAGGAACAAACCATCAAGAAATGGGATGAGCTCCTCTCGGGTTCTCTCAGGCCCTAACGCCAGTGCGATAGTCGAGAGACGGTGGATGGCATTGAGTCTGAGGAGGACATCATCGTGCTATGTCATTGACGTGTGAGCTTGGACCAGTGGAGGGGAAACAGGTGAAAGGCGGAGTATCAGCGCACCTTCAGTTCATCAATGAGCACCGCGATAGGGTAGAGCTCGTCGTTTTCGTTTTGACCCTCCATCGCTGGATGTGGTATATGTATTAGAGCGGAGGGAGGCGTGGGAGGGCAAGGTGTGGCAGGTCCCAGTCCTGGAGGAAAGAGCTGATATCAGGACGGATGTAGATATTGCACCCGGGTAAGAAAGATTATTGGAGAAAGATGCAAGCGGTCATGAAATCGGGGACGATTAGAGGAGCTGATGGGGGGGCAGGTTAGCGACTGCGGAGGGGGTTCAATAAGGAAGAGGAGGATCGAGGTTTCGTGGGGTTTTGGGCCGCAGGGCTAATGGCGCAGGGAAAGCATACCTCGGAACAATTGGAGATCCTCAACCCACGAGTTCGTAGGGAGACAAATGTGGGAGATAAAGGGATCAAGCGGTCGCTATTTGGAAACAGGATCGATGGCAGTGACGGGGAAGTCTTTCGGGCTCTGAGCTTTCACCAACACAGCTGGCGAGTCATGTAAGTTACATACAGCGAAACACCCGCACGAGCCGCCCCCAAGAGGTGTGCCGTGACAATACAAATACCGCGGTCACAATGGAGGGGAGAGGCGTGGCGGTGGTGGCTTGTGGGCAGAATTTCCATCGGAGATTGGAGTCATAACTTGTACTTTCGAGTCGCACTCTCTGTGGATTTGGTACGTTCCCTCTCAACTCAGCCCTGTGGGATATATTGCCACGGCTGCCCTGGTCTTTCTCACCTAGCTCACTAACAATCCTCGGTGTCTCCCGCAGATTTGCTTCGCATTGTGATCCCCCGCCATGCCCACTATCTCGGTCGACAAGGCCGCCCTCTTCAAGGAGCTGGGTCGGGAGTATGTGCTTCTGTGATCTTGATTTCACTTCACATCACTAACCACCTCTGGCGCATCTGTTTAGCTATACCACGGAGGAGTTCGATGAGTTGTGTTTTGAGTTCGGTGCGTTGTGCTGCTGCGACCATTGGCGGGGCATGGGCTAACTGAGATCATGCAGGCATTGAGCTCGATGAAGATGTACGCTAGCTCACCCCTATTGAAATATACGAATCTCCGCTGAGACTTCCAAGACCACAGACCAGCCCCGCCCGATCGTCGATGGCGTCCAGGAGCCCCCGCAGCTTAAGATTGAGATCCCCGCCAACCGGTATGCCCGAATACTCTGCGAAGATACGAAGAATCGCGCACTAAGACGAACTTTAGATACGACTTGCTCTGCTTTGAGGGTATCGCGCTGATGCTGAACATCTTCCTCGGCCGGAAGCCCCTGCCCGAGTACAAGTTGACCAAGCCCGCTCAACTTCAAGAGATCATTGTCAAGGAAGATGTAGGTCTCTCTCTGCGTATACACCGAGGCTCGTATACTGAACAAGCTTCTAGACCACCAAGATCCGACCCTACGTGTCTGGCGCCATTCTCCGTGGTGTCAAGTTCGACAAGGCTCGCTATGAGTCCTTCATTGCCCTTCAAGATAAGCTGCACCAGAACTTGGCGCGCCAACGTACTCTGGTCTCCATCGGTACTCACGATTTGGATAAAGTCAAGGGACCCTTCACCTACGAGGCTCAGGCCCCCAAGGATATCAAATTCACTCCCTTGAACCAGTCCCAGGAGATGAACGGTGAAGAGTTGATGACCTTCTACGAGGTATGGCCCACTCCATCCTCAACTAGACCTATAGAGATCCTCACCACTTTGAACAGAAACACCTGCAATTGAGCAAGTACCTGCATATTATCCGGGACTCCCCAGTCTACCCGGTCATCTATGACTCAAACCGGACTGTCTGCTCTCTTCCCCCTATCATTAACGGCGACCACTCGAAGATCACAATGGATACCACCAATATCTTCATTGAGATCACTGCTCTCGACCGTACGAAGCTCGAGATCGTGAACCGCATGATGGTCACCATGTTCTCACAGTACACCTCGGAGCCATTCACGTACGTACCCTTGGAACAATCGAAGACGCGCAAATTAATCCAATGACAGCATCGAACCCGTCAAGATTGTGTCGGAGCACAACGGAGAGACCCGTATCACCCCTGACCTCTCTTCCCGTGTCGCCCAGGCGGAGGTTTCCTACATCAACCAATGCTGTGGATTGAATCTCACTGCCCTTGAGATCAGCGACTACTTGAGGAAGATGGCTTACCGTGCCAAGCCCTCGACTACCCAGCCCGACGTTGTTGATGTCGAGATTCCTCCGACCCGCGCCGATGTTTTGCACCAGTGCGATATCATGGAGGACGTTGCCATCGCCTACGGCTTCAACAACCTTCCTCGCTCTTTCCCTAGCAAGTCTGGCACCATTGCTCAGCCTCTGCCCGTCAACAAACTCACCGACATTATTCGTATGGAAACTGCCATGGCCGGTTGGTCCGAGGTCTTGCCTCTGATCCTGTGCTCTCACGACGAGAATTTCGCCTGGTTGAACCGCAAGGATGATGGCAACACCGCCGTCAAGCTGGCCAACCCCAAGACCCAGGAGTTCCAGGTTGTTCGCACCAGCTTGCTCCCCGGTCTGCTGAAGACCCTCCGTGAGAACAAGGCCCACAGTGTGCCTATGAAGATCTTCGAGGTCAGCGATGTCGCCTTCAAGGACTTGTCTCTGGAGCGAAAGAGTCGCAACGAGCGTCACTACGCTGCCGCCTATTATGGCAAGAGCAGTGGTTTCGAGATCGTTCACGGTCTCATGGACCGTGTGATGGCCATGCTGAAGACCGCTTTCATCACCTCTGAGGAGGGTTTGACTAACCCTGCTGCCAGCGAGTCGCAATACTACATCAAAGAGCTGAATGGTATGTTCTTTGTTCTTACCTTCATGGTCCCGTCTCAACATGCTAACCTTCTTCCTATAGATCCCACCTACTTCCCCGGCCACGCCGCCTCGATCCACCTCCGTATTGGCGGCACGGACCAGGTCATTGGCAGCTTTGGTGCTTTGCATCCCGAGGTCTTAGAGAAGTACGAGCTTAAGTATCCCGTTAGCACTCTGGAGCTCAATATCGAGCCCTTCCTGTAGAGGGTTTCATGCGCACGAACATTTTCCCTTGCTTTGTGACGCAGATAGATGATGACATGACGTGGAGAGCTCATTTTTTTGATATGCCAGCACGTTTCGATTAGAGCTATGCTGACGCTGATGCTGATGCTAAAAAAGCAATAAAAACGCAATTTTTTACCTAAAAATATCCTTCCAGGCCTTTACATACGAGGAAATAGTTGCAAAACGCGGCGATACAAGATGGTCTCTTGAAGAAAGTCTGAGCTCAACTCATGTAGTGAGATTTCGGAGCCAAGAAGTCTCGACTATATCGTGGACGTTGGGTTGCGTGGTGTCCAGCCGAGATCAAGCTCGAAAAGCAATCCAAATTCTCCACATAAAAAACCTTGGTGGTCAAAAGGCTGCAGGCAGAGTGGGGTTTCTCAGCGCTATATGGGTCCAATCAATGGATTTGTTCGAGATCTTGAAAGTAGCTACGTGAAGATTGTCGGAACCTTGATCATCAGCTCTTGGCCAGCATCATGTACATATCCCATTCAAATGTCAAGCAAGACTAAGCTAGCAAGAATTATTGCGACATATATCTCAGCGATAAATGCAGGAAAATTTGAGTCAACCTTTTTAAGTCTTCATGTAATTTTGATTGCGTGAGGTAGAGAGTATATGAGGTTAGGACAGGACGAGAGAAAAGGGCTTAATTTGGAAAAAACAAGTTTACTCCTGAGCGTAACCCTCGGTAGCACCCTCAGCCTCAGCGGCCTGCTGCTCAGCCAGACGCTGCTGCTCAGCAGCCTGCTGGGCAGCGATAGCCTTGGCACCGTAATCCTGGGACATGGGCTGGAGAACGGGCTGCTCCTCCTTGGGCTCGATGATGGTGACCGAGTCGGGGAGGGTCTTCTGGGGGCCGGACTTGCCCTCGGGGTCGGAGCCGCGCATGATCTTGACCTTGATACCAAGAACACCCTGGCGGAGGAGGACGTGACGGGTGGCGGAGTCAATGAACTCCTTGGCGGGCTGACCGGAGTGGATCATGAAGCCGTCCTAATATGATTGTTAGCAGCTGTTTTCTCGCGCGTTTTTGGTAGAGCAAAGAGGTTGCGAATTGGCGCAAGGATAATCAGAGATCCACCAGTATCAATTTCCGACTATCAAAACGCTTTCTTCTACACCCTCCGACGGTGTAGACGTACGGTGAACTTCATAGACTTGGCACGGGCGGCACGGAGCTTGCCGGAAACGACAACCTCGCAACCCTTGGCGCCGGACTCCATGATGAAACGGAGGACACCGTAGCAGGCACGGCGGACGGCGAGACCGTTCAGGAGCTTGTAGCGGAGGGACTCGCACTGAGCGACAGCGGAGAGACCGCGGTTCTGGACCTTGGCGGCATAGAGGGAGACGGAGTTCTCGGGGAACTTGAAGCGCTTCTGGATGAGCGAGGTGAGCTCACGAATGCGGCGGCCCTGCTCGCCAAGAACCTCCTGGGTGTGGGTGGCACGGATGACTAGAAAGAAGAAAAGCATCCGTTAGCATCGTCGATCCCAACTATTGTTCACGCATGTCGAAGCCATCGCCGCTATTCAAGAATTCTCCAAACTCCTGCGACACTTCCATCTCTTCCCTTCGGCACGGTCCAACTCAGATCTCGGGGGCGAACGTACTGATGTCGGTGACGGTGGGAGTGACACGGACTTCGACACCGGAGTAGCCCTCCTCAGCAAGCTCGCGCTGGAAGAACTCGTTGAGCTCGGCGTAGAAAACACCGTCAGCGACGAACTTTCTGCGCTTGGAGATAGCACCCTGGACAGCGGCCATTTTTGCGTTCCTGGTTGTTGGAATTGGAGGTTGTCGACGAGGAGGCGGGATCGAGGTCGAAGTTCCTTGTGCACAGGTTAGTGGGGATTTTTCGGGCGTAGGGCTTCTCTTGCCCGTTTGGGCTAGGGCTCAACCCTCGCTTGCCCTTCACGGGAGCTAGGCCTATATTGGGCTAGTGCGTCCCGTCTCAGGCTACAAGGCATCCAGGCACCAAGGCATCAAGGACATGATTGTCGTTGGGACTGTCTCTTTTGGCCCTAACTACTTCTTTCGCTGAATGACTCGCTGGTGAATCTAACAAAATTGGATCTCACTATTTCAAAGGGCCCATGTAGAACTCCTCTCTCCATCTTCATTACCTCTTGGTAGTCACCTCTTGGTAGTCCTTTCTCCGCAAACTACAATGCAAATGTCTTCGAAGCATACATTGTAAATCGTGAATCTGAGCACCCGTCCTGTCACTGCATCTCCACATTCATCTCTTGCTCCTTGTCTGCCTTTGTTTCGGGTTCATGACCCTTGATGACTGACAGGTTGGGCAATCCAGCCTGCACAGCAGCCATTCCGGAGGCCGCGACATTCTGAATGTTTTGCCCAGAGCCCTCAGAACTAGAAGGACTATGAGCAGTCTCAACCCCAGTCAGCACAGGTTCACGATTTCCTCCAGGGCTGTCGCTTCCAACACCGACCGGGGCTCCTGCCGGAACAGGCCCATTCATCTCTGCATCTGAACGCCCAAAAACTTCATTCCACCAACGCGTCTCCTTAACGCGAGGAAATATCAGTCGTTCCTTGCCGCGTTGGTGATCATCGATTTCGGGATCATATTGCGGGTTGGTGAATTGTTCCCGTCGGGCAAGGAAATAATCCCACACGCTCCTAGTGCGCTCACGGGCGTTTGTGTCAACTCGCTCCTTTTCGTTGTTGAATAAGAACGTTCCAAACTGGCAAGAATATAGGTGATAGAGCAGTCGTCGCAAGAAGCGCTCATTGAACTCAAAGCGCGTTGGGTACTGGTACAGAAGCTGATAGGTTGCGTCGAGGAACTGATGAAAAACGGGGCTTGTCTCCTTCACCTTGGTCATCTCTTTCTCGGAAACACTCGAACGAGGGGCGGCGGAGCTGGGTTTCTTGGCCGGGCTGTCAGAATCATAGCTCTTGAGTTCTCCATCCGAGTCAGGCAAAGAATCACGGCTATTGTTGTCACGACCAAAGAAACCTTTCGCACTTAGGAATGCATTTTCAATGGCCTTTCCGGCACCACCGCCGTCACCAAAACCACGGTTAGCCTCCCCACCGATGCGCTCATTCTCGATCTGGAACCATTTCTCACTGTTCAAATGGCCGGATCTTTGTCGGAACATGTGACCAAACGACAGCCAATCCTTTTCCACGAGGACCATGAAGCCTTCCATTGTTCGGAAGTAAGGATCTAGGCAAATTTGACTCAAAGCACTAAGCTGACTTGTCCGGTCCCAGCCGTCAGAGCAGTGGATCAGAACGTGAGAGTGCTGCAGGCCAACCTGACGGGTGATGAGACCAGCTCCGTCTAAAATCCCACCAATGTGCTTTAGCCAGCCACTTCGTGCCAACAAATCGCGATTTGGCCCTAGTGGAGTAACATCCGTCTCTTTCAGGGCATCAATAACCTTACTCAACGAATCACGCATGACATGAATATTGTCAATGCCGAGGTATGCCTTGGTTGCAAACTTATAGTTGTCCATGTTCTCAGAGCCAAGTCCAACGGCTTGCATAGCAAAAGCGTTGACTGTTGGCCGGGCATCGACAATCAGATTCTGCTGCTGAGCACCATAAATTGCCTTTTGCTCATCAGAAGCACCGCGAGCAGCGGCAATCATTTCGTCCTCTATCTCCTCTGCATTTGACAGATCGGTGTCAATTTGACTAGCCTCGGGACTGTCGTAGCCTTGGCTTGAGTCGGACGCCTCCCTATCTAGTTGAGATTGAGCAAAGCTAGCCAAAGGCCTTTCGGATCGTGAAGTAGAGAATATGGCAGCTAGCAGCTTCTCGTCTTGAATGCTGCGATTCTGGCGCACCCCGACCAGCGGTTGCGAGCTTCTGGTAATGCTGCATTTGTTCACTGGGTGAAGGTATGTGAGGGCTGGGATTCTCGCTCGTGAACGATATCTCCCCGCATAGTTGATAGTATTGTCAGAGATGGCAGAGGGCACGGGAATGAGTGCAGGGTAAGTTGGAGAAAACTGTAGCTCGCCGTCAGCATGCGACCCCGCTTCTAAGACTGCCTGTGGGCAGTCCTTAGATACTTACTCCATAATCAGTATTTATTTCGGAGACACGCCATCCTGAGTTCTCCTTGAATACGCCCTGACGCTCCCATTCCTTGCGTGGATCATACAGGTTCCAACCGTTTAATTCCTTCTCCGGCGGTGGCGGCTGGTAGGCAAAGGCATACAGCTTATCTAGCCGACCAGATTTGCAGGTCCATTGCTTGATAGCATCGTAGACCTCGCGAGCTTTCTGCTCGTTGATGAAGTAGAAGCAGACAAATGTGAAGTCTCGGCAGCGGAGGCGAATGGAGGAGAGCTGGCGGGAGGCAGCGGGAGCCGGGCGCAGAGTACAAAAGGCGATGATCGGGTAGGTGAACCAGAGTTCCCTTGGTCTAATTGTAACACCTTTTGCTTGATCCTCGCTGGAGATCAGGGGGACGTGCGAAAAGATTAGGTGGTGAGGGGTGAGGTGGAGCGTGCCGTCGACCTGCTCACCACGGCGAGCCAAGGTCACATTTTCAACCTGCAGTGATAGGTACAATTAGCGCGTTGTAGATATAAGTATGACTTGGCGGAACGAACCTTTGCCACCCGTGTTCTCTCCATACCGTAAATCGTTGATCACTGTGCGCGCATGATGTTCATATCGAGAGGGGAAGAAGTCGGAGGGCGCTTGCCGGTGTCGCCGTGTGCGGAATTACCACAGCTAAAAGACGACAGCGAATTTATCCCTAGATAGATTGTACACGGAAGTTCTCTGGGGCAGGAGCGCGGAGTGTAGGTGAGAAGTTGGACCCGAAGGAGTTACACGTAGAGGCCGCTCCGTCACTTGTCACTTTGTGGGGCTCACGCCCCGGGTGTTCACGAGGCCCGATGTACTATCATAGCGAAGTCCACCACAACGCCAATACATATGTTATTTCTCAACCTTAAGCATGGACCTCAATCAGTCTGAGAATAGATGAAGGGCAAAATTGAATCAAGATTTACTTGTGCCAGGGCATCAAACTGGCTGATTTGGCATCGTATTAATACAAACCAAGCACTCACTCTGTCGGTTCGCCAAACAGCCCCTAAAAGCGCTAACTTCCTGATTCCAACAGTGCCATACTTTTTTCATTTAGGTACAGGATATGGATTTACGGTAAGACTTGCGGGGTTTCTTCGTACGTCAAATTAGATACATGCAAATCTCGATCGGTAGATGCCCAGGAGTAATTTGCCAGGTTGCGTTCATACTTCGATAGATGTTAGGCATTAATGAAAATTATTGTTCAAGTTAAATAGATTAAAAATAAACTCGCAAGCCACATTCACAGGAGAATACCCTCGTCCGAGGGGTCCAAGTGGAACGTCAATTAGAAATGCTGTCCATTGCCGGTTACATCGACATCTGGCAAATTCGCAACTTTTGAGTCATGTTGACGCTCAATCATTAAGCCAAGCAAATTCACAGCATCAAGGAACACAATGAAATATCATGAGAGTTTTAAGTAAGTAGAGCATGTCAAGTGGGGTGTTCACAAGAAGTTGTTCAAGGAACGCTCGTTCTTTCATTTCTCAGGTGAAAAACAGGTACAAAGGAAAGCTTCATATATCGTCTTGGGGGCACACTCATAAGGCTGTGCTACTAATATTGTGTTCCAAGAAGAGTCCGATTTGGAAAGGAGGAAAAAAATCTCCATAAACACAAGGATCGTTGGGGCAAAAAGCATTTGCTCGCACTCGGATTTGAACCGAGGATCTCGTGATTACTAGTCACGCGCTTTACCAACTAAGCCATGCGAGCTGATTGGTGGAGAGAGCTGAGAACTTTGACATTATGTTGAGAAAAACATCAACTGATTTGACAATCCTTCTAACATCTCCCAACATACAGTCTCACCAAAAGCCGAGCGCCTATTTGCGAGGCCACGTAGGTTTGCTTCAACCTCAACTGACGCCTTGGGCAGATATACAATACAGTGGGCGCCAAAAACTCTAATATTTCGATGGTTTACAAGCCGATCAGATAGTGTGATTCCGTAGAAAAAGTGCAAAAAGAACATCTCCAACGCTAGATTTCTAAGCCCAGGTGGTAGGTTCGACGATTTCTCGATATTTTGTGTGCCATCTTTGCAACCGATGCCTTTCCAATTGTGTCGTGGGACAAGTTCCTCAAAAGGTTTCAGAGTATTTGAAATACGTCTTCTTGCGGGCTCAATTCAAAGCATCTTTTGAGGTGATTGAGAATCCCCCAAAGGATCGTGGGGCAGAATACAGAGACCTCCGGTTATACTTCCAGGGTGCTAGATGTCATGGGATGCAAGCCAGAGACAAGAAAACTTCTTCTGTTCAATTCTAACCTGGAGTCATGCAAGAAGAGTTTGAGTGAATTGAAAGATATGAAAATGACGTTTTGAGATCACACTTATTATAAAGCACCTCCTTCCGTGTAAAAGAGATAGGAGGAAACGGAAAAAGCGGAAGGAAACTACGAGAGGCAACCTTCAAGTGTTATACAAACAAATGAAGCAATTTCAAAAGCGATCAAAACTCCTCAAGCTGTAAATAGTTCCAGAGATTCATATGCCTTAATCACAGCAGATGATCTAGACTCAAATCATGTGCTCTGTTTATCACTCCTTCCAATCTACATTATACTAGGATATCGATCATGACTGAACGGCGTCGATTGAGTGTGAAATCCTTACTTTGTGGGAACCTCAAACGAGAATATGCAACTCATTTGGCCTAATACATTAAGGCTTAGATTTTCCTGTGTCGAGGACCCTCCGATAGTACCAACAATCGCTCCTTATTGTCATATCTCTATGGCTATGCATTTTAGGACTAAGATCGAGGGATGGACACAGGGGCTTCCTGTTTTACAATCTCACCTCTTTTTTTGAAATGCAGGTTCCTCTTCATTGCCGCAGCAAACGACTCCAGCTAGCGGAAGAGCAATGGACTAACACCAATCTGGAATTCCAGAAGAGAATAAATTCTCATGTTAGTTGACTATTGTGGATGGCAGTTATACTGGGTTGAGAGGATTTGGTAACGTCTCTGTACCACTTCAATGATTTAAATTGAGTCTGGAGCTGACGGACTAAACAATGTAGGCCTCATGCTCAGACAAGTCTCACGCCTGGTGGTTGAGGAATGTTCACAGTGCAAAATGCAACAAAAAGAAGATTGCTCGCACTCGGATTTGAACCGAGGATCTCGTGATTACTAGTCACGCGCTTTACCAACTAAGCCATGCGAGCTAATTGTTGTACAGGCCTCTTGGAAGTGGAGTCATCAGAATTACGAGTCTTTTACGAGGGAAAGATCAAAACCAAAAAGAGAATGCTCGCACTCGGATTTGAACCGAGGATCTCGTGATTACTAGTCACGCGCTTTACCAACTAAGCCATGCGAGCTGATTGGTGGATACTAATTGCAGTTTTGACATAATCATCCCCTGGCTTCTGGCCTTCCAAGATTGCAGATGCGGAGAATGTACCCGGTGCCCATGCTCCAGGATAGTAGAAAGGAATCTTGGACCGAAGCGGCACTGCGAGAAAATTTATTATTATCTCATGACATTTGCATTCTATCCTATGTACCAGGGCCATTGAACCGGTCCAAAAGGTGAAAGAAACTTGAAGCGAAGAATGAGCGTCAAGAAGAGGACTCAGACGAAAGTGGACGCCACTAAGACTAGTTAGTTGGCAAGATATTCGCCCGACAAAGAATATAGGCAGGGCTTGAATGTCTTGCTTTATCTTCATGATTGACAAAAGTCCAGATTTTTATGCCAATGTAGCTTGGAGAGAGCCTTTCGTACCAAAAACATTTAGGTTGACTTTACCGAGCGATTCAAATTGAAAATATCAAATGATAGGAACAAACCTCGGGGCTCTCCATCGCCTACCTCCCAAAGTTTCAGCATCTGGAATTTTGCAGTATCTGACTAAGTCTTTCGGGCCAATAGTTAACGTGGACCTCTGTAAGGATGATAGTAGTAGTAGTAGTAGTAGTAGCAGTATCCTTACTCGGTAAGGCTTGCTTGAATACATGCCGCTACACGAGAGTGGAATACCAGAGCGGGTTAAACCAGACCAACGCTACCGGTGTTCAGGACATTGTACCGTAGGGGACTTTTCACAAAAGTCCTTTTTTCGCGCTTTTTGCTGGAATCTGTGAATTCACTTCGTTTCGCACTAGAGGCCGTCACATGGGGGGGATCTTCTAGTGAGCGTGTGGGCGCTCCCTAAAGAGTATATCATAGAGTGATGCCAGCTTTTCCCCGCCCACCAGACCTATAATAGCTCACACCTATTATAGGCTACACGTAAGTAGACAAATATCTTTCAATTGTCCTCTTTCAATTGTCCTCTTTCAATTGTCCTCTTTCAATTGTCCTCTTTCAATTGTCCTCTTTCAATTGTCCTCTTTCGATTGTCCTCTTTCAATTGTCCTCTTTCAATAGTCCTCTTTCAATAGTCCTCTACAAGGTAGGGTGCTGGATATAGATACATGAGGTGACGGAAATCGACACCGTAGGCCTTAGGTTCCGTCACTATGTGATTATATATGCGTCCCCGAGCGCTGTGAATAAGAAAAAGGGGCCAGCCAAGTTGCTTTCTTTCACTGGGCCTTTCACCCTCTTCCTATAAGGATGATGGTGCGGATAACGTGGTGAACAAACTGAGAAGTGTTCATCTTGGCATATAGGGTGAAGGTACCCACGAAGTAGCTCGCATGGCTTAGTTGGTAAAGCGCGTGACTAGTAATCACGAGATCCTCGGTTCAAATCCGAGTGCGAGCATTCTTTTTGCTCCGTCAAGATCCGCCCAATGAGTAGGGAAGGTCATCCATCCTTCTGATAGCGGAGCTGATTTCGGGTTTTTCGGTCGAACTCCATAAGCAGCATTTTCTCCTTTTGGCTGGCTGATTGTGATAATAATGAATGTATTCGAGTGAAAAAAAGAATTGAATTTTCTTCAGTGACTTATAGCCGCAAGACACAATTTCCGCCGTATACAAGCTCGCATGGCTTAGTTGGTAAAGCGCGTGACTAGTAATCACGAGATCCTCGGTTCAAATCCGAGTGCGAGCAATTCTTTTTTGCTCTTGTTCAGTCTTTTTGTTTGACATCAATCCTTATTACTTATTTTTGGTCCCTTTTTTTCTAACCCAATATGACCGAGAGTTGCATTTTGTTCACGGATGATCCTTTCTGCGTGTTTCTTCCGACCTTATTATGGTAGAGGGGGTGTCATTGCTTGGAGCTCTGTGATATATATCTGCTTCAAATCCCACGGTCAAAAACCACCACTAGATTAATGCCACTGTCCGACACTGAATGAACCGATTAATGGGTAAAATGAAACATTCATATATTGTTATTTACCCAGGCACATTCAAATCTCTGTACTACCCGTGCCATGCACCTGCCTCAACGATCACCTGAGGGACAGCTCTCATCTCTCGATTCCGAACATCGGTGTAACCTCAGCCTTGCGTGTCGGACACAGATTTAAGAACGGAGAGACATTGCCTTGTAGAAGTTCAGGATTGGAACTCTAGTGTGTAGGAAAGATGGATGTGCAATTGGAGGTGCATAGGAACCCCGGAACAGAATAAACATCGAATGGAAACCAGGCACTTGTAGATATGATTATTTAAAAATATTAGAAGCTATTGATTGGTGACTCGGATGGCCGGTTCATTACTCATGTACCGTCACCTCCCAGCTTCGCAAATCTTCACGAACATCGAACTCACACCTTTCGCTGTCGGCATTCTGGCTCTTCCACCCACGACCCTTTATCCCATCATACAACTGCTGCTCGATACTACCGTCCTCTCGATGATGTCCATTTGAGGAAAATGTGTCGGGGGTTCTGCTGCTACTATGGGAACGATTGCTCGAAGAGCTCTTGGAACGACGGCTCTCGAAACTGGGCGATAAACCTTTTCCAGAGCGAGTTTGTTTCATTGCCGAATCAACACCAAGGAAAGGTGATCCCTGTTCGCTCCCTGAAAGGTCGGGGCTGTTATAAGTGTTTTTGGTCCAGCAAGGACTTCCAGTAAACAGCTCTTCGACTAATTTGTCTGCTGGAAGATCGCACGGTCGAGATGTCCAGGAGGCTGCCAGGGTGCGGCGATAAATATCTTGCATATCCGCTAATTCCCTGCTCTTAGTGGTGATTGACGGCATATGACCCATCTCCTCAGTATCTCCGGGGTCAGCCGAGTGCACAACTCTTGCAATTCCCCCAAACACAGTGGCAGATTTCAGTGGAGGCCTATGCATCAATGGTTAGGAGCGACGCAGAGTCTTGAAATGCGTTGTGGGAGGACATACGTCGTGAAATTGCGATCTCCATCCAGCTGACGCATAGCAATGCCAATCTTCACAGTGCTGTTGACTTTGCTGTCTAACAGCAGATATCGTCTAACGACACCCTCATCCTCTTCGACCTTATCCACATATTCGGCAAGATTGAGCTTGATCTTGCCCAATGTGATTTTTTCATTGGTCGGGGATGAGTGGAACTCCTGAATAACTTCAAAAACAATTTCGCATTCCTGGAGCATTGAAGATCTGTCGATGGTAAGCCTGACTTGAAGAGCTTTTTCGTAGTTCCAGTAAGCACGATGGTCTGAAAGGGTTGCCTTCTCGGTGTGACCTTGGTGCTCTGATATAGCACTTGATGATGGCAAACGCCATCGTACCCAAGCAGTGCCGTTGCCCAAAGGGACGTTGTTGATGTCGCTGATCTTTGAACAAAATTCAGTAAAATCGCCATATCATAGAGTCAGAGCTTGACTCACTCTTAAGACTAGCTCAAATCTGGGCTAGATGCCTGTGTTAGTGGGTAGCTGATCTTGACACAGGACGTTCAAGGCTTACCCTTCTATTTTTGGGGACTGCCGTGAAGAAATTGTGTTAGAAAATGATTTAAGACCGAACCAACAACTAGATTGTTCGCCTAGGGAAGACCCGTGACTTACCGAAAGCCTGCATTGTGGCTCAGCTGTATGCGATACGATCACTGAAGTGATGCTGCAACCGTCCGAGCACCGGCTATCAACTGCCAGAACCTGTTTCCTGCCAAAGATAATTGAGAGCTTTAAAGCCTCAGATTCGATCAGAGCTTGAAATGGTTTCGCCACGAGAAGTCCAGCAGCCTTCCCGCATACGAAGCCGTTTTGGCGGTGACAGCAGAGCACGGCAGAATATTGAAGTCCGCAGAGCAAGACAATGGAAATGTAAGAAATCAATATGTATTTGACGTGGCAACGAATATGGAGAAGAAGAACAATACAATCAAACGTCTGTGAATACACAGCAGGACGTCTCAGCTCCTGGTCCATCATTGACGTTGGTGTCACATGATTATCGACCACGTGACATGCTGTTACTGTCAGATGGAAAGCGGTCAACTAATCAATAATATTGCCAACTGTGCTTAAGTCTGTCCACAAAAGATCGGAATAGACATGGTAAATACGCGGATTAATGTTTTTTCCATTCTAGCAAGCGACATGTATATCGATATACCCTCTTAGTAGCCGAAGCTCTTAGTAGCCTAAGAGTCTTCTTGCAGCTATCAAAACCCTAAAACTCTTTGAATCCGATATCTTGAAAACATAGAGACTAATTTCCCCACTAGGACTTGTCTCTTCGGTATCTAATATTTAAACTACCGGCGCCCGACCTAGAGGGGAGAGCTTTCAGTCTCCTTTACAGTGCAGATTGTACTACGTGCATAACTGAGGCTTCTATTTCGCTTATCTATTCACCCTAGAGATACTGCGTGGTCTCAAAAACCAGTACAAGAAAGTACTAACGTTCACAAATGCGCCCTCGGGATAAGATTTGCTATGCGCCAACTCCATATACTGCAGCAGGGAGTATGTTCCAGGGGCCTCAAAAGATGTCATGCCAAAGTACATGCTGGCAAATTGCCGCAGATGGGTTGATTAGGACAATAGCTCAAATTTGCGTAGTTCTCTGCTGGACGGGCTGAGGCTTTGACGGGCCGGTCATGTCGCAGCGATGAAAGGACGCAGCCTATGGTCACAATCTTCGCTTAATACTAACAATGGTACGAGCATGAAAGACTCAAACCGCAGGTTCAAGTTTAAGCAAAGCTTCTTTGTGACATTGTCAAGAGATCTAGAATGAGAATTGTCGAGTACACCCTCGGACTGCACCTTGGGGGACTGGCCCACTCTCTTTAACCTGCATCATCAACGTTCTACCTCCTTCCACGTCTTCGTGCCTGGGTTCACGCCAATACACTCATTAGCGAAACCTGATTCCGCCCCGAACTCTTTGAATTATCATAAGTGTCCTACTACCAAGCCCTTAGCGGGTGGGTTCTAATCCACGGTCACTTTCAATGAATGGTTTCATCACAATGACAATACGGAGTCCGCGTGATACATTCAGCTAGCAATACTGTAGATCCTATCTTTTAGATGCGCCGATTATGTGGCGTTCTAGGGCAGGAACTTGCTTTCAGCTGCCCGGGCTAGAGCCGTTTCTATTGGTGAAACAACCTTACATGTTTCTGCAATAACCCCACACGTACGATGTATCTGTTCTGAGGTGATCCACTCGCGTGCGAGTCACGTTATAATACGGAAAGCCCCCAGGAAAATAAATACTGACAACCGCCCAGCAGGCAAAACGAGGACACAACTTTCATTCAAAGCCAGTATGTCGAGCAACGGGTATCTGACAAAAGAGAGTATACTCGCACTGGGAGTTAAAGAGTAAGTCGCCTTTTTGATCTCCAAATTCAAGTACCGAAGAAAACAAAAAAGTCATTCTGACCAAATGCGATCAAGCCCAGAGTATGCAGAATGGCAAAAGGCCAATCCTGAAGACGATGAGATGGATTGGTCCAACATCAAAAGTGCTCGTGCCGCTGTGGACGAATGGAGCCGTGAGCAATGCGCGTCATTGCCTGACCAGGGCATTCTCATGAATATCTCCATGCGCGATGGCTACCAGTCCTCACTACGTATTTTCAAACCCACTTCTTCTGAATATTCTTCCACCTCCCACCCATCATCTCCGGTTATCGTCCTCATTTACGGTGGAGCATTTTGTTGTGGCGACAATTCCAATTTTGCTGCCCAAGCCCTCGCTCTTCGTGCTTTATATGGCGCAACCGTTGTACTTACATCTCACCGGCTCGTGCCCGAACATCCCTTCCCCGTCGGTCAACAAGACATTTGGGATTCGCTAGTATGGCTTGCGGAAAATGCGGAGAGTGTGCTGGGAGCAGACATGAACGCTGGCTTTATAGTAGGAGGTGTGAGCTCTGGTGGTAATACTGCCGCAACAGTGGGACAGATGTGGGTGGATGAGTATGCGAATGAGTACAGCAGCCCACAAGGTAGCGGTCGACCAAAGCTCACGGGAATGTGGCTGTCGGTTCCATTCCTCTTTTCTTCCAAGGATCACGTTCCCCAGGAATACCAGGATTCATTTCTCAGCCGTGAACAGTTCAAAGGGGATAGCACGAGCGGGGAAATACCCGCCGCAGTCGTCAAGATGCAACAGTGGGATACTCGGAGTCGATGGTATAGCCCAATCAACTCACCAAACCCCGAGCCTCATAAGAGTCTAGCGAAGCATGGGGCAAGAGTGTACTTCCAGGCCGCTGGGCGGTGCTTTGCTCGCGATGATTCTCTCATCTACGAGCGTATGCTGGCCCAAAATGGAGTGGAAACCAAGTTAGACATATACCCAGGGGTGAGTCTTGAGCATGAACCATACATACACTATCCAACAAAAGCACATACAAAAGCCATGCCATTTTTGATTCTAATACGCGTCAAACAGTGCCCCCATGCTCATTTCGCGGGGATAGAGATAAGTGAATCCCGCCGGTGCAATCTGGAGACGTTCAAGGGATTTGCATGGCTACTCAGGAAAGACGTACCCTCACAGGAGCACATCGAATCAACGGTTCGCAGTGTTGCCCCTTCTATCATTATTTGAACACGCAAGGCCTTTCCATGACTCTTTCTGTGCTGTGTCTATTCAAGCGCATATTGTCGTTCAGATTACGAATGCCGATTTAGATCAAGATTCTATCCTCAAGTATTTTACAAATTATTATTATGTTGAGTAATACATTGGACGGAGAAGCCGACGTATAAGACATTGAAAAGCAAAACCAACATCAAGCACGTCATGAATATCTAGCACAGCCAATAGCCGCGCGATTTTAGCTCGAGGGATGAAGTCGAACATGTCTCCCAATCAAACCTCAACATGATTGTCAGTAGACTGCTCATCTTCCACTTTGGGTCTAGAAGATCCAGTGTAGCGTGCAACAGGAACTGCGACTAAGAAGCAGAGTATAGCACTGGTCAAAGTCATTCCTGCCCAGCCCACGTGAATGCGAACGAGGCCCCCAACAAGAGGACCAGTGAGCTGCCCAGTGGCCGTAGCCATGTTGAAGAGAGCATAGGCCTGCGCCATTGGGCTCTTGTCACCAAATATACCGGGGGGTTTTCTCCTCACACACTTGAATGGCCTGGAACACCTCGGTCATAGAAATGATTTGGATCATCAGGACGGTGAAGCCAATCACGACGAGTAATGCCACCAGGAGAGCCTTATCGGTATCGCTGTCATGCTGGACGAAGCGAAGGAAGAAGAGGGCAATTCCAGTTACAACCAAGGAGCCGAATCCAGAGCCGCGGCTGCCTATGCGATCCAGCATCCTTCCCACCCAGCCTCCAGTTAGACTGGGAATTGAAAGAGCTAGGAAAATCAAACCTGCGCCTTTGGAAGACCAATGAAACTTCTCCATGACGAACAATGGAATTGTCTATAGTCAGAGTCGAATTAGCGTGACTGGAAGCAAAGAATTGGAGCTTGGGACTTTGACGGGATCAGTGGCTTACTGTCTCTACAACCCCGAGTGTGAATCCGACCGTAGCAGTGATGAGCAATGAGGTGAGCAAGCGCGCAGAGCCCAGAAGGTGTAATATAGGGGCTTTGCTGCCATTTCTGATGCCTTCAGAGCTGCTGCTGGTAGATGACTCGCCCAAGAGAGGTGACTGCTCGTTTCCAGGATCCGCACGAGGTAAACCATCACGAAAGGTCTCGTAAGAAGTATTCTTCGATCCGATTAGATTATCGTCCCACTTCTTGGCCGCTGTCTCGAAAGTCAGTAGTGTGCAAGTATTGTGAAGTGAGCAGCATCACCGAACGTACTAGATTTCTCAATCATAGTCAGTCTCAACAAGATTTCCAGGACGATCATCAAAGAAGGCAGAATGAAAACGCCATAGTATCCAAACTCCTCATATCTGGAGACATTTCAGCCACTTTGTTCACCGCAGAAGAGTCAGATAACGATCAATAATCGTGGCAACATACGTTACACCACCAAGCATCGGGCCGAGGAGGGAACCCAGCGTCATGCCAGTACTCGTGTTGCCCATTGCTTCACCCATACGTTCCGGAGCAACGTTATCAACAAGCATGGCCAGACCGACCACCCATACAGTGGCGGCCGATAGACCTTGACACGCTCGCGCGATGACGAGAGTTGCAGGAGAGTTCGCGAGAGCAAACAGGCCAGTCGATACAGCTAGAGCTGCCAGACCAAGAACAAAGGGAATCTGACGCGACCGTACGCGATCTGCTACATACCCGATCACGGCTTGAAAGGTGTTAATTAGAGTCGATTGGCGAAGGTTGAGAGTTCAAGAATAGAAAGGGACTCACGAGATCCAATCAAAAGGGCGCAGGCGTAAACCGCAAGCAAAATCGAGATCCAATATTGAGCTACGTATATTCGTCAGTAGGTATAAGGAAGATAATCAATCAAGAGCTCCACATGGGGAATGGAGGGGGAAGGGGAAATTCACCATCTTCTTCCGGAACGCCTGCGTGTGCGACCAAAGACTTGGGAATAATCGGGATGATCTCCGACGAAGTTCAGCTTTTCCGACTAGGGGTTTTCTTGAAACCGAATGCACTCACCAGACTGTACAGAAGCACATCCTATAGATTCAAAATATTAGTTCACCGTGTTCATTGTGATCTCAGAGAGCAATGTGCTGTTAACTTACAGTAGTCATGGCCATGGTCACAACTATAACAATGAAACGCTCGGACGACCGAATAGACAGAAGCCATGGCTTCTTTGAGATTGTCTCTGCCATCTTGAAATACGAGATAGCACTCAGTCTTCTTGAAACCACCAGATATATTATGCTGGACCTCTGGATGATGATGCTATGAAGCTGAAAGATAGAATGATCGAACAAGTACGGACCCCTCAGTACCCCTTTCCTTCCCCGCTAATATTTTTCTTTGCACTCTTTTTTTTTGTGGAATATTTTCTTTTTCTCGGGGGATGGCTCTAGGGATGGCTCTAGGGATGGATCTAGTGGATAGAGATGATCAAGAAAATCCGTTCATGCCGCTAAACATAGGCCCACTTGCGAACTCACGAATGGCAATCGATGCTTAGCCCGGAGCAGCGGCATGAACCCGATTTTGGGCGAAAATCCATGCAGGGAGCCAAACTTGTTCAGCTCTCAGAAGTACCATTTTAATTCTTGCTGTGGTCCGGGAGCTGATCTCGAGCTCGAGCTCACAGACGGGAAGAAAGTCATGCTGCATGTAACCTTTCTCCGAAGTACCATTTTGCCGGCAGGTCTCGACAAGGTGTTTTCGACACCTAATCGACTAGCTCGAAGGGACGAGATGAGGGTGGCGGATAGTCAAATCAATATGATCTCACCAGAACGGACTTATTCGGCGTCCACTTGTTAGCTTCAAATTCTGGTATGAAAATCCGGCTATATTGTGAGATAAGGCGTCATAACACGCTCTTACAACCTCTGGCGGTCCCAACAGGATCTCACAATCAACGATCAACACATGTTCAATTGGGTGGCCTTAATACAAAGTCAGTACGCTGGCTTGACATCATTTCATCCTCCTTTCGACTGGCACCGTACTGGTATCGTACTGGTATCGGACATGGGAACCGGCACAGCATGTATTCATTCGGCTCCGTGTACGACTCCCCTATGTCAGCGGGCCGTGTGAATCTCGTACCCGAGGTGCCAAGATTTGGGAAACTTTCATCCGAGGAGTTCAAGGTCATTGGTTTCCCCTTACACACCATTACATATCAGCTCCCATTCAGAACAACTATGACGATCTCAGATGAAAATCATTCACACCGCCTCATCGAAGAATAATGTCTGCAAGTTCCCCCGAATTGAACTCATCTCTAGTCAGTACGGCGTACGCCAAGACAGCTCCACTAAAGGGGACGAACATGCGATCGGAGATGAAACCCAGATCGTGACGAACATGTTCGTTGATCAGCTCGTATCCTTTCCAGCCATCCGTGGTGGTGGAGCTGGTGGCTGGCCCCGGCTGTGTAAGTTCGGGTTCGTAGGTGAACTCTAAAGAGTAGAGCAGAAAGTGCTGCACCGATCACAAAAGCCTGCTGCCAATACAGATCCCAACATGCAGATCTTACCCATAATGAGGAAAAGATCGCCCGTCACCCGAGGTGCTTTTCAGCTGAGGTGGAGTTCATCTTGGATCCAACTTTCCGATGAACTCATGCAGACTTTCTCCACTGCTGCAGGGAAGAGAAAAGAGAGCTGAATGGCTAGCTAGGATAGTGGAAAAGAAATTCGCATGAAACTGCCCTAGTCAACGTCACCGTACTGTGATCCGCAGTGGGGCTGTCATTTCGATGAGATCCACCAGTAGATCGGAATCTAGACGAATCTTGGTAACGGGATGTTTCCTTACGGGGTATATATTACATGTTCGGGTATGTTTCTGGTTTCAGGGACCGTATCCGAGCTTTGTATTGTATCACATCGGGTCAGCTTTGATGGAGTCAGCCTTTCAATGATTTGTCGGAAAACTCTATACTTTACCTCTCCCACGCTGGAGATATGGGCCTTACATTGCAGATGTTCAATATGTTCCAAGTCATCAGTGAGAAGGCAATTCTATACATATGAGAATCTGGGTTTCAGGGTTGGTTTCAAATGTGATATAAATGTTGCTATATTTTCGAAAACATTGCTAGGTTGAAAATTGAAAGCGAATATCTAAAGTTCCCCTTAGGATTATCCTCGACGTTTCCAAGAACCCTCCTCTCTGGCATCGGAAAACACCTCATTTGTCATCTACAACATCCCTCAGGCCAGAGAAGCCAAAAGGCTCATTTTCTCAACCATCGTCGCGAGCATATCATCCGCCCTCTTCTGATCCACGTAGACACTTGTCGTACAAATCTGCAACTCATGCTCTTGCCCCTTTGGAGTGGAAACCAAGACGAACTCCCGCACTGCCTTCGAAATCAGAGGATTGTAAGCCATGCTGGTGCTGACCTTCACACCGCCCATACTCGGCGTTTCCCCCAGATATTCATTGTCTTGATGCAGGATATAAGTTCCATATTGTGTGTCCCGTGGCCATGAGGTGCAGTGGTCTACCAGGTTCTGGAAGTCAATCAGGTCGTGTGCCATGGTCTCTAGGTGTTGTCTCTGCACCTGGTCTAAAAGACCTGGCAGCTCAGTCTCGGTATCCTGGCAGTTGGCCACCCGCACAGGAATGATCTTGGCCAGGTGACCAGCAATTCGCTCCTCGCCAGCATGTGCGTGGGCCCGACCGTGGACAAGTTGTCCGAAAACCACATCGGTTTTCCCGGTATACTTTGCAAGTGTCAATGCCCAGGCTAATTTTACGAGCGTCGCGCGCGTGATGGCCCCGGGAGGAGGGAAAAGAGGGATGTTTTGCATCGAGAAAATGAAATCTTCCTCAGGAAGATCAATGGTCGCATCGCATAGGTGTGTCATGGAAGAACCATGCAAAATTTGGCGCCAGAATGCGTAAGTCGTTTCATTTTGCTGGGCGATATATTGAGATGCCCACGCAGCAAAGGGAAGTGGTGCTGGAAGGGGACATTGAGCCTCATATATTGCCATCCAGTCCTGGAGAAGGAGAATCCATGACTCGCCATCACACAATGGCAATGGAAGGCGAATAATTAGGCTATGTTCTGTCTCACTTCGAGATACAAGCACAAAAGAGAGTCCCAAGACACTCGTGGGGACCTTCACGGTCCCATCATATTTGCAAAATGCTTCTTCGAATGCAGAGATGGCCATGTCGGTCTCAAAGTACTGGAAGAGAAGATCCGCTTTGCCCAGAACAACTTGTAACAATTGATCATTATGAGAAGCAAACACTGTCCGGAGAACAGCGTGGCGTTGGACCAGCTGATCACATGCCATTTTGATTCTCAATGGGTCAATCTTCCCGTGTAGTCGTATAAGAGGGTAGTGTGGAGGGAAGCGTTCAACATAGAACTGCATGTCGGTGGCAGGAAGAATGTCGACAATCTCCTCTGGTCGAGTAAATGGCAGCTGTGGAGCAATAATGTCGCGTACAAATGATTCAGTGTCCTCAATCCCTGGTACGAGAGCAAAAGGGCTTGGCTCTACGAGCTGGACCTGAGCCTCGGGGGCTGTATCTTCAATGACAGAAATGAGCCTTGATAGCTGCGAATAAGCGAATATGTCGACCACGGTGAACCAGAGGCCGCTTTCTCGACCAAGGCTGACGAGCTTCATGGCAGTGAGTGAGTTCCCTCCGAGCGCGAAGAAGTCGTCATCCATTCCAATCCGTTCAGGAGAAATTGCTAATGCCTGAGCCACAGCTCCATGTAGCCGCTGCTCACGCTCAGTCGATGGGCTGCGCTTGTCCCGGTTACCAATGTAGCCATCTAGCGCATCGACCGATAAGCCCTGCACAAGGGACCGCAAGTAATGGCGATCAATCTTTCCAGTGGCTGTTAGAGGCATAGCAGCGATTGGGAGAAAGAGAGTAGGAATCATGTATCCCGGCAGCGAGGCCTTGACGTCCTCTCTCAATTTGCAACAAGAATTGGAGAAGGTATCGCTTGGTGGTAATAGTCCTTGACTGTGGCTTTCAGAGGGAGTATGGAGAAATGCCACCACAAGCGCGTCTCCTTCAGCGTGTTGCACCACATCAACGATGACGTCGCGAGCGTGTTGAAGCTTACTAGACAGCTGAACTTCGATCTCTCCCAGCTCAATGCGTTGTCCTCTAATCTTGACTTGCGAATCCTTGCGACCAAGTAGATGGATCGATCCATCCTCGTTGTATCGTCCAAGGTCACCTGTCTTGTAGACCCGACTGTGAAGTCTTTGGGTCATTGATAGCCATGGCAGATCACGGAAAAAGGTGGCACGGGTTTGATCGGGCGCGTTCAGATATCCGCGACCGACTATGGGTCCTTCAATACAGATTTCACCGACTTCTCCTACGGGCACCAAGCGATTGATATCGCTGGGATCAACGAGCCAGAGATGACATCCCATTGGTCGCCCTAGGTTTCTCGGATCTGAGAGTTTGGATACATGCTCCTGAACAGCACACGCGACAGAGCATTCAGTTGGTCCGTAGGTGATTGTCATCTGAACCTGATCCGCCCACCGATCTAGTTCTTGCTGCGGCGTAAGCTCCCCAGTAACAAGAAGATTCTTCAATGTTGGTAGATCCCGAGGGTGGAGGGATTTAAGAACCGAGGGCGTCAAACAAATAAAATTGGCCTGGAAGCTAGTAAAAGCCTGCACAAGCCGATTTTGCCGATCCTCTTCACCGGGAATACACACGCATCCCCCCTCCATCAATGTTGTCAACATCTCCATGATCGATCCATCGAAGGCGTACGATGCAAATTGGAAAACCCGTGACTCTGCACCAATAGACCAGGCCTTCGCATGGGCGGCAGCCGAGCTACAGTACTGGCCATGCTCGATCTGAATTCCTTTGGGTTTGCCAGTAGACCCTGAAGTAAATGCGACGTACGCGATGTTTGTGAATTGCACGGTAGAGTTGACCTCGTTAGGTTCGTGCTGCCAAATGGCCTCCTCACTGTTGAGATCAATGACACAGACAGGCACGTTTAGTTGTCCTGCAGTTTCTGTATCCTCTTTGAAACAGAGTACCATAGTCGCATTTGTATCTGCGCACATGCCCTTCAAGCGATCCAGTGGATGCGACGGGTCTAGCAGCACAAATGCGCCGCCCGCCCGGAGTACCGCCAGAATGAGCACTGGTGACCATCGCGACCGACGTAGATAGAGAGCAATCTTGGTTTCCGGAACAGTTCCCTTTGCCTGGAGATGGTTTGCAAGCTGTGCAGAACGCAGATCCAGATCTCCGTAGGTGAAGTCACCATCCCAGGCGCATACTGCTGTTGACGCAGGGCGATTCTGGTATTGTTGTTTGATCAGGTCATGAATACACGCATCTACCGAGGGAATGGCGTTTTGATTCCATCGTTGAATTTTAGCCAGATCAGCAGGCGAAGGTGTCCCCGTGGGAGTCATGGTGATTGAAGGGATATTGCTGTGTCTCTGCTTAGTCGAAGGAAGCAACAAACACCGATCACATAAATACCGACTCTGTACATCTTCCGTACCTGGCTAACCGAAGCTTGGTATTGTGACCTTGTAAGCCGTATTCTTGGCGGTGAATCCGAGAAACGAAGAGTCGATCAATGCGATCAGTCAACAACTAAGAGTGGGGAAGACAAACTTATGTTTCCCCACCTACTTCCTTCAGCTGAGACTTGTCATGTATCCACTTGGGCCTGCTCATCACATTTGGATGTACAGTAAAACGGTACAGGATACAGAGTACAGAGTAAGCGGCACGTCTGGCTAAGTTCACCTCAGCTTCATTCCACCTCGCTCAATATTGACGATTGCCGTTGATCTGATTACATTTGTCTAGTATCCCATTGAAGCTCCGGAATCACAATGCTTTTGGCATTGGCGGCATTGTTTTGGACCGTCATTGGCTGTGTTGGTGATACCCTGTGCGTGTCTCTTTGCTTCTATATATTGCTAATTAAGTGTCTAGTGGGTGGCCTTCCATGCAGCGCTCTTCTTGTATCACTTGTTTATCAACCCATTGAGACATTTCCCTGGCCCCAAACGCGACGCTCTTTCCCAGCTAATTGGGTCATACCACCTGGTTAAAGGTGACTCGTGTAAATATATTGCCAAACTGCATGAGAAATACGGTGATGCCGTTCGTACCGCTTCAAATGAGATCTCATTCACAACCCCGACGGCATGGCAGGAAATATACGGCGTGAAGACCGACTGGGACGATACGTATGAGAAAAATCCCATTCTCTACGTCCTTGGTCCCCAACCGGTATCGAATATTTTCTTCTGTCCGGGCAAAGAGCATGCCCGAATCCGCAGGCACATCATGCCGGCTTTTTCGGGTCGTGCACTGCATGAACAGGAGCCGCTAATGCGTGGAACTCTGGATCAACTCATCGATGCTCTACGAAATCGCTCGGGAAAGGCAAACTTCCCCAACCAGGACGGTGTCGTCAATATGGCTGCCTGGGCAGTTTTTCAGGTGACAGATGTTCTTACCCTTTTAGCCTTGGGGCAAAGCTGGGACACTTTGAAGACTGGAGAGTATCCGGGATTTATTAATGATCTCTATGGAACATTGAAGGATTCTACGAAGGTTCGCGCCGCGCATCGGCTGAAGCCCTATCATCTCATCATCAAGCGCTTCGTTTCAAATGATTTCGGGACAGCATTCCTGGAATACTTCACTCAGGCCCAAAACGCGTTGACCGCACAACGGGCCGAGAAAGACTCGGATAAGAAAGACTTTGTCCAGTACGTCACCCATGGTTTGACGGATGAGGAGATGTTTGAGAACCTCAATATGTTGGTTGTGGCTGGGCTCGACTCCACAGCTGCCATTCTCAGTGCGGTCATATATTACATCACCCAAAATCCGGACAGCTATGAAAAATTGGTCCATGAGATCCATACCACATTCAAGAGTGATGCAGATATCACCATTGCGAGTGTGTCGGGGTTGAAATATCTCAAGGCTGTGATAGATGAGACCATGCGTCTGCATCCCAGTGTGCCTGTGGGTCTACCGCGCTTGGTTCCCAAAGGTGGCCGCTTCATTGACGGGTATTGGGTCCCTGAAGGTGTATGTTGCTCCAGAAACTTCTAATCTATCGGTGCTAGCAGATACTTACTTCCTGCCTCTATAGACTTGGGTATCCGTGGCACAATATAGTGCTTATCGCTCTCCAAAGTACTTCGTCAAGCCCCATCAGTTCATTCCTGAACGATGGACGGATAGCACGACTTATGCGACCGACAACCACTTCGTGTTTCGACCTTTCTCAACTGGGACGCGTGGATGCATTGGTAAAACGTTCGTTATACCCTCAATATGCTTTTTGCTTGAAAAAAACTTTACTGATTTGATTCAAAGCTTCGCGTATGCCAACATTCGTATGGCATTGGCTCTACTTCTCTGGAATTTTGATCTTACAGCACAACCAGGCAATATCGACCCAGATTCACTGAAGGAATTCGGGCTGTGGGAGCATCATCCCGTCTATGTTCAAGTGAAGGAGCGAGTTTGACCGAAGTAATTTCGCTGTAGTCCAATCAGATCAGCTATGTTACACAATGCCCTATTCGCATGGCCCTTCGCCGTGCAGCATGCACGTGCACCACTCTCTCGATGGCGCCAGATTATCTAGCGTAAAATACGGATGAATATCCTATAGGAATCTGCGTTCAGGATGCCCGAATTTGGTAGCTGAAGAGAACCCCCCACAAGTGGAAATTGTAGCCTATAGCCCCCACTGCGCGATTTTTCAGGATCTACAAGTTAAGTCTGCAGAGACCAGGTGGCGTAGATGGCGCTGCGTCGCGATACTGCAATGTTTGGTAAATTCGGTACAGATACGTGAAAAATGGGCGTTGTTCACACCGTACGGAGGGTTACAAATACATTAATACCGAGCGTATTGTTTGTATCGGTTGATGAGTCAGCTTTGTCGCTTCTGCGCATGTGGGAGCAAATCATACTTCTTGCAGTTGCAGGCAAATGAGTTGACTATCACAAACAATGGTTTATAGCACACTGCTCTTTGGAGCCTTGGCCCTCTATCTAGTATGGACTGGGGCAAGCTGGATTCGACAAATTCGCCGAGCCACTGCGACCAGCCTGCGGTGGACAATCTTTCCCTATGCTGAGCTGAGTACCTTTTGGATGACACTTTGCTCCTTCGATTCTGTGCTTCATATCATCAACCTCTGGCTTCCTGCTTGGTTGACAGACGTCGTCAACGACAATGTCATGACTCATCATTTCTGGGTCAAGGATCGCCGTACAAAACAACTTGGCAAGCTCTACGTGGTAGCGACTCCAGATAATCTGTGCTGCCATGTTGCAGATGCGGCGGTGGTCTCCCAAATATGTAGCTCCCGGTCCGGCTTTCCGAAGCCGTTAGAGATTTATGGTACGTGTTCTGAATTAATCACGATCTGTCAATCACCTTGTTCTTGCGCACCATTCTCACAACTTGCAATGCAGGATCAATGATGCTGTATGGACCTAATGTGGTTGCTGTATGTATTTCCTCTCCCTTTTTTACATGGCCCCAAAATTTACCTTCTATTTCTTTTCGAAAAGACTTTACTCACATATCTCCAGACTGAAGGGAAAGAATGGACTCGCCATCGGCGACATACGATTGCTGCCTTTGGTGAAAAGACCATCACGACTGTTTGGCAGGAGACCGTTCGACAGACGACGCAAATGTTAGACCACTGGTGCGAAAAACATACTGTGGGGACCAATCTTGAGCTAGGTCCAAAGGAAGATATCCTGAAGCTCACATTGAATGTGCTCTGTGCAGCCGGTTTTGGGGTGCAGTTGCCTTTTCAAGCAACTTCGAATGCTAATGATAGCAGTGTGTCAGCCATGTTCCGCGACACCGTACACCCACTTCCAGGCTTTCACTTCACGTTGCGTGCCGTCATGGAGTACATGATGGGTCACTGGAATTCGATTTTCATGGCCAATACAATGCTCCCTACATGGATGCCTCGCGCACTGGTTCCTTTCTTCAAGGATGACTTTGCCGCCTACGATGACCTGGGGAAGTACATGAAAGCCATGATCGCACAGGCCAATCGAGATGTACCCAAGGAAGGGCTCAGTGCACGAGGACAGAATGTGCTGCAGGGCCTCGTTCGAGCGCAACACCTGGAAGATGATGAAGATGCATCGAAGAAGAGCTCGCTAAGCGAGATTGAAGTGTTAGGGAATACTCACATCATGATGCTAGCCCACGAAAGCACTGGGGCAACCATTCGTTTTGCTCTGGTATTGTTGGCCCTGCACCAAGATGTACAGGAATGGATGTACCGAGCGATTTGCGACGCCATAAGGGGCAATTCTACCAACCCAAATGAATGGGACTACGCAACCGTGTATCCTAAGTTGGTGGCACCTCTATGTGTGATGCTCGAGACAATGCGAATGTATCCGCCCGCACCGGTCATTCTCAGAACGACTGCGCATGATGCTGAGCCGCTGCAGCATGAAGGGGAACCGTCATGCTCCCTCCAGGCAGCCACGTCTGTTTGAACATCACCAGTCTTCATTACACTACCGAATACTGGGGTCATGATGCTTCAACGTTTGACCCTTCTCGCTGGGACCGACAGAATCGGGATAGCTTCCTGGCACGGAATGAGGATCAACTTGGAAATGTTGCCGCTGGCCTGGAGTATCCAACGATCCACAAACCAACCCGTGGATCATACGTCCCCTTCAGCGACGGCCTGCGTGCGTGCTTGGGCAAGAAATTCGCCCAAGTTGAGTTTGTTGCCTTCCTCGCTGTGATATTTTCTCGATACAAGGTGGATTTTGCTTCTGCGGCTGGACAGAAGAAGGAAGCACATGAAAAAGCAAAGAAGGCGTTGGAGGAGAGTATTTGCGCTGCTTTGGCATTAGACATGACGGTTGATATTCCTCTGGCTTTCATCCCAAGAGATGAGGTGAGGGGTTGAGAGATGGAATAAATGCACGCTTTATGCTATAAACATGTCCATTTACAGATACACTGTAGCTTTTCAAACAATTGCCTTGATTTGGATCCTACACTCATGATTTAACTGCCACTATTGGTTGGGTGTCAAGTCCCTTCAAGGCTCAGCCCCTAAACATACAACCCCAAATAGCAATCCTACCCCGAGCACAAGGGCGGTGATTGGCATAGTCAACAATGCCGAGAGATTGACCGCCAGTGGCATGGGCTCGATAAGCGCAATGTAGGCCATATCGTATGAATAGAATGCACCGAGGCCCGTCAACCAGCCAGTAACCCAGACGTACCCGACTAATTTCTTCCAGACGGCAGTGTTTGTATCCTTCGAGGTATCCTTTTCGTTGCTGGGACTAGAAACAAGTCGTGACCAGAGCTCTTGAACTCCATCTTCAATAATTATACCCAGCGCAAATGAGGTGAAAAATTCAACAGCGCCCGGTTTTTCCAAGGTGGATCCTTTATATTGCGCTGCAAGATGAATGAAACCCGAAAGCAAAAATGACAAGAAAATATTCGAGTATCGTTCCAGTATGGATGGCCGAGGCATGTGGAGGATGCTGCGGAGGAGGAACGCACTGGTCGCTGTCAACGGCCAACGGAGCTGTTGGTGCCAGTATTTTCTGTAACAAAGTTGCTCAGTCAGCAAATTGACATATCTTCACATCTCCAACAGAGACTTACCCCCAGAAATTCCGGATTGTGTACGCCTCCAAACTACTCCCAAACATTGGGGGCCAGCTCGCAGGTTCGGAGATCCCCAAGCCAACCGCCACAATCGACGTGGCGCGCCATTTAATGTCCAGAGATAAACGAGCGATAAGAAACCAAATCACAATGTTGATAGTAGCTTCCAAAAGCCAAGAGTGCTTCGCCGTAGTGGTGGGTTCAAGCAGCACCGCAATGATTTCATTCCAAATGAACTCATCCTCACGAATCATCCGCTGCAGGAAGTCCAGAGCGAGATACTGCCAGCTTGCGACTGCCACCTGACGCATAAGAAACCGAGTGCGTGTGGGACTAGTACCAAGCCAAGCAGGCATCTTTGGCACATTGCGCACTTGCCAGCGCGTCCCAACAGCAGAGTAGTCCATAGTCACCCGTATAGCGGCCCATATGTTCGCCATCCGCGACCCTTGGTCCTTAGGTTTGTGCTGTGCTTGCAGATCCCGGTAGTCGATCCCCTTGAGTAGCACGATGGTGTGTAACAGTACTGGGAGAGGACTGATACGCTGCATCACATCATCCGGCGTACTCATACTTATCAGGTGTATATACTTTCCATGTATGACGACCAAGACTATAAGAATGAGGACATTCAGCCATCGGAGCGGGTGACCCTTTTTGGTCGTGCAGAGCAAGAGGACGGTCGTAAGTGGCTGGAGGTTGGTGACAACCCATGAAGCCAATGTGGGAGAGAGATCCATGGTAGTGGTGGGGTTGATTTGTTGAGAAGGATACAAATACTTATACCGGTCGCATATTGACAAAGAACTTTTCACTAGTTCCATGATGTAGCACAGAACGGTAATATTGGCGTACGGTGACCAAAACTAAAATTACTTCCCTCGAAAATTGCCCGCCCTTCTCCAACTCCGTTACCCCTTGGTCAACAATTCGGAATGAAACCCGTTGACAACATGGCACCAATTAACATGATCCATAAAACTGCCTATGCTGGTATCGATGCTGCTTTGCCATTGCAATCCCAGCGTGGGAAGACGGTCTTGATCACTGGTGGCGCTGGCGGAATCGGGTTCGCTATAGCCCGTGCATTTGCAGTCGCAAATGCCTCGCATTTGATCTTGTTGGGACGTGACGAGCCTCGCCTAATTCGAGCAACACAACGTTTGAAACACGAAGTTCCGTCATTCTCGGGTCAGGTTACAACTCAAGTTGCAGAGCTAGTGGATCCCGATAGCCTGGAACATGTCTGGAAAAATGTCCTTGAAACTGCCTCGGCAGTCGATGTGCTTATTCTCAACGCAGCATACATGGGCGAGAGCATGAAGACTCTACAGAATGGCTGGCGCCAAGTATGGGAGCAGTATGAGGTGAATGTGCGGGGAAACCTGACGCTGGTCGACAAGTTCGTACAGCAGACACAAATCCAGGGCAGAGGCAAAAAGGTGAGTGAAATGAACTTATATTGTCAGAGATCCTAGTTAATTTCCTTTCATTCTCAGTTTATTGTCAATGTAACTTCAGATGCAATCAACAACTATGAAGCTATGGAAGGCCAACGACCTTATGCCGCCACAAAAGCAGCCTGGACTTGCCTTCTGCAACATATTGCGTTGGAGATCCCAGTATCAAACGTCCAGATCATCAATATGCATCCTGGTGGCGTTTACACAGAGACTATCGCCCAAATGCTGCCGCGGGATTGCTACGAGTGGGATAGTGGTGCGATGCGTCTCTTCAACCCAATGGATTATATTTCTGCTAACATGAATCCTCTCACAGACACTCTGCCTGGAAACTTTGCTGTGTGGGCGGCAACAAACGAGGCAGCCTTCCTTCATGGGCGGTATTGTTGGGCAGGATGGGATGTAGAGGAGATGCGAAAGAAACTGGGCGAAAACGAGTTGAGAAATCAGCAATTTTTGAGGGTCGGAGTGATTGGAATGGAAGACGCCATGGTCCAGGAGTGAAATGAAGGAAGAGAGCTATATTTGTCTATATATTTGGATCATTGGTAGTTTCCATACAGATCGCGGCTAAATACTGTACAGAGATTCCAAGTTACTCAAACGCGGCGATGTTCTCAGACAACCAGCTCATCAATGGCTTCTGCAGTTTACCAGTCCGTAGCGCTTCATAGATGATTGAAATCCAGCTACCCACCGTCTTCTTTGCTCTTCCGTCAAGTCGGTCACTCTCCACCGTGGGATGCTCAGTAAATCCTTGGTGGAAGGGGACTTGCAGATCCTTCCGAACAGAATTATAGATTAATTTGGATCCCATACCCAGCAGCTCTTCCGTGTGCTGGTGAGCAAAAAACGCATCCTTGTTGTCATGATAGGCACTGACCAGAGCATTCAAAGTCTGGGTTTTCCAAGCTCCCAGAACAGCGGTCGTGTTACAAGGCTCTTGAGGGGCAGGGGTCTTGCTTTGGACGAGTGCCTGGAGAATGATTGCCAAGGAGGAGTCAACCAGGATTTGGCAACGGGCCGTCGCCTCCAACTTGGATGTTGTTTTCCAATTGCTAACCATGTGGCGCTCCAGGGCATTGGCCAACATGATCCGCTCCTCGGAGGACAAAACTGGGGCAAAGCCACTCAGCGTGGGAGGAATGATTGAAGATAGCCTAGACAAGAAGCCCAGATGCATGGCTCGGAGATCAAGAGCCTGGCAAGCAATATAGATAAAGGCGGCGGACATAAGGGAGACAAGTTCGGCGGATTGCAGCGTGTAGCGTGCTGAGACAAACGCCATCGAGTTGACCGACTGGTTCTGCATCTCAGCAGATTGCACATGGGAGCTGACCGGGTTGGCAAGATATCCCAGTTCAGCCATATAAGCAGCCATACTGATGTCGACGCCCTTCATCGTAAAGGAGCAGTTTGGATCATCCGCAACAAGGTTGGTGGGTAATCCATTGCTCAAGTCTGGGTTCATCATCTCTGTGGACTGAGCGAACAGCAGCTTTCCCATCATCTGTAGTGACAAACGTGACTTCTCCATTGCAGAAGTCATGGCAGCCGCCTGGAAGTTACATCCGTAGTAGATCTCACCATTCTCACTATCGACCAAGGGGTTGTCTGCTGTAGAGTTCAGCTCTACTTCAACCTGTTTGTGCGCAAGGAGAAGGTCTTCTAGCTGCGGGCCAATCCACTGTGGTGCACTGCGTAGGGCGTATCGATCTTGCTCCAGTCCCTGCTCGTGGTGGTTCTTCTTGCTGAGAATGCCCTTAGCGAGAGAAGATCCTTGCAACATGGCCATCATGTTTCTCGAGGCCTCGATCTGTCCAGCATGAGGCCGAACGGCAGAAATGAAGCGATGGAAGCTCTCCGAGTTACCCTGGAGAGCCTCTACTGCCATCGTTCCCAGTACCTGTGTCAGCACCGCCAGCTGGTGTGTTTCAAACATGACCAGACTAGCCAGAGCGGTCGAAGAAGCGGTACCATTCACTAGGCCCAGTCCCTCCTTCGGTCCCAATTGAGCAGGGTTCACGCCCGCAGCCTTCAATGCGTCCAACGCGGTAGTGACTCTCACACCAGTTGCGGGCGAAGCATTCGGCGTCTGCACATGAATATCAGGGCTACCCTGAATCGCGCCGGCGATATAGGCCAGGGGCATCAAATCTCCGGAAGCTGAGACTGATCCCCGAAGAGGAACCACGGGCGTAATTCGCATCTCTAGTAGCTTTAAGACCGATTGGATCACAGGAATCGTGACGGCGGAATGACCGCGTGCTGAATGGTTGGATCGAACCACCATCGTGGCACGCACCCATGATCCGGGCATAGCATGGGCCCCAAAGCTACTTGAGCTATCCAGGGAGCCAGGGTCCTTGTCGGCATTAACCAAAACACCCGCTTGCGTGAGCTGCAGCAGTGCTGCTTGCAATGAGGCCCACTTGTCCGTTCGGGAGTCAGCGCTTCCGCCAAATCCAGTGTTGACACCTAGAACATTGATTAGAAAGAAAATCTCCCATAAGTCAAATTGGAAATGATTTACTCACCGTAAACATTGTGGCCTTTTGTGAGATGATCCATTAGGACATCCACGCTGGCAGTGATACGATTTTGCACTGAAGGATCATTGGTAAGCACCGGGGTGCAGTCGTGGCTACATTTGATAGTCAGAGAAATGTTCAGGAGATTAAAGGATTCAAGTGCTTCTAACTATGAAGCTGCCACGACGGCCGCCAAATCCAAAGTAGTACCATCAATGGCAATAGGCTCACCCGCAATATATTTTTGCAGGTTGTTCCATGCTGCGCATGTCACAGCGAGGTGCGATTGAGCAGCAGGCTTATTCAAGGTAGACCGCATGATGAATTTTGGAATGAATAAATGAACAGTTGTCGAAGGTAGGGAGAGAACCAAGTATTATAAAAAAGGATTCGAAGACAGGAACTCGGGTGGGAATTCAACTTGTTTGGGACCTTGAATGTTTACAATCTCGGGATGTTCCAGTGTTCCCGTTTTGATACATACGAGGTATTAATAGTAATTACAGCCTAATGTATTACAATACGGGATTTTAGATTCTCCAAACCTCGAAATATACGCCTTCGCTGATTGCGAATTGCATATCCCACGTCTCATCACATGGTAATAATCAGCTATCTCAACAATAGCATCATCTCGTGAACCCCACTGCCTAGTTTTTTTTTCCTGGCGGAGGCTATGCCGTGTGTGCCTTCTCACGATGACGATGAATCGAATCGAGACATAAAGTCCTTGATTGGTGTGATGAGACCAAGTGGGGCTTGAAAAGGGTCAAAATATTTCAAGATGCAGATCAAGACCCCTTTTAGTACCAATCTTCTAATCGGTGGCTTAGATCGGGAGCTGAGACTTAGCACGATCCATTTTCTTCCGCCAGCGCTAATTCTCCCGTCTCAACAATATCCGCTAGTTCTATCCACATGTGAAATCGATAGGTGTACACTTCGAATTGCCAAGTGTACTAACATAGGTGGATGCGGATGCGTTGATCTCTCACCGCATATCTCACGACTTCGTTGTCGATTGGTGACGGTAGCATCAAGTTAATTACGGCCCCTCTCGCCACTTAAGCTCTGGATCTACTCCTTCTCTCCACCACGAAGCTGAGGATTTGAGATAGCTATGACCAGTCTTACGCCAACAATCCACACGGGTCCGTACGACGCCATCAGCGCCGCTCAAGCCGACCATTCCCAAGTTGGTCGTACTGTGCTGATCACAGGTGGCTCCAAGGGGATCGGGTTTGCCATTGCCCGTGCCTTCGCGATCGCCGGAGCTGCTCGGATAGTTCTCGTTGCTCGAGGTGGCGCCGCGCTGGATCTGGCCGTGCTTAGATTGGAATCGGAGTTCCAGGCGACTGTGATCCCCATTACGTGCGATCTCGGCGACCCGACCAATATTGAGACGCTATGGGCGCAGCTGGATGATCGACAAATTGTCGTAGACGTGCTCGTTCTGAACGCTGCGCGTGTGCAGGCCAAAGAATCTTCTATGCTTAGTCTTGGGTGGCAACAAACCTGGAAGATGTTTGAGACTAATGTTCGAGGAAACATGATTTTGGTGGAGAAGACCATGAGCCAAGCAGACACAAAACAGAAAGTAAGGCAGAATATTGGATATGTCTTTGAAGCAATGGTTTTGATAATAGTTGGATTCCCTAGGTAATTTTAAACGTTTCCAGCCCATTCGTCCACGATCAGGACATGGCCGCTGGATTCCAGGCATATGCAAGCTCGAAATCTGCCTTTGCTGGTGCGCTACAGCACTTGGCTACAGAGACGCCCCTAGAGCGGGCCCAAATCATCAGCTTTCATCCTGGATTCATTTACAGTGATGGCATGAAGTCCATGGGCTGCACCCCTGAAGATTTGGATTGGGATGACGGTAAGTCCAGCTGGTTGTTTGGAAATTTACATCGAGGCTTATTAGACAATCAGAAAATCTCCCGGCTAATTTTGCTGTTTGGGCCGCTTCTTCTAAAGCTGCTTTTTTGCACGGACGGTTCGCATGGGCGAAGTGGAACGTGGAGGAACTGACAGAAGCTGTACAGACCGGTAATGCCGACATCCTCAAGATAGGCGTTCATGGCCTGTGAAAGTGATGTTATTGTAAATAAGGAATTCTGAAGTTATTAGTCTCCCACCAGTGCAGACTACATGAAAGAAGCATTGAAGAATTTAAGCGCGGATTGAGCGGTTGATCTGCAACTGCTCTATTTCTTAATATGACTTTATACCGAATGAATCCCCGTGGGCCGTCTAGGTAACTGCCAGAATTATTCAAAGCTCATGGTGTGGTTCTTGAACCAGGCTGGAGCTGTTGCCAGATTCTGTTCAGCCACTGGGCGACCCAATGCCTGTGCTGTAGCTTTCTTCAACTGAGCCGCAGTGTCAGTCTCGCTTGGGGTAGCAAAATACAAGCCACCAGTAGTTTGAGTGAACCCAAACATCAGTTTCACATCCTGGAGCTCATGAATACCATGAGTCTCGAAAGCTTCCCACGAAGGAAGAACTGGAATAAAACGAGATGGATGTCCAGTAGCTACAAGATGCGGTCAGTTGATTAGTTCGGCGCGTCCGATAAAGACTAGAGGCAGTGCATACCTTGCTGGAAATCTTGGACTAACTGATCAAAGCTGCATATAGTGCTGATTCCATGGACAAAATGACCATTCCAGCGACTGGGATCCAGGAATATGCCATGAACGATATCTCCCCAGTCCTCTACCACACTCAAGAAAGGTACGCGCTCTTCGCCACCCCAGTAAGGAACACGGAAGGTTCGAATACCCTGGTCGTCAGGGAAATGGGGAAATCCGCCGAAGATGGGGGCAACCTCCTTGCCGAGGAAGTTTTCAAAGAACCATGCGGCGCCAATGGGGATAACTGTCTCGAAGCTTCCGAGATTTTGAGCATATTTTTCAATCTGATATTTCACTAGAGAAGATAAGTGAGTTGACACGATAGATGACTAAGAATGATGGGAAAAGCCGTACTGTCCATGGCTTTCATGCGGACCTTGCCTTCCGTCATTTCAGTGCATGGCGGCCCTGAGCTGAAGACAAAGTGTTTCACTCCGGCATCAGTCGCCGCATCGACAATTGTCTTGCCCAGGTCAAACTCGGTTGGACCATCTGGATTTGCAAACACCTTGTCGTCCGAATTAATGTTGACAAAGGCGCCCCAGCTCCCCTCAAACGCAGCCCGAATTTCTTCCGCTCTAAAACCATCAGCTTGAACAACCTCGGCTCCCGCAGCAACTAGCGCTTGACTTGCAGGAGATGAGGGATTGCGGGTGATGGCTCGGACGCGGAAGGATGGGTTTTGGAGAAGGGACCTGACAACGGAGCTCCCTTGATTACCAGTCGCGCCAAAAACCGTGATAAGGCTCATTTTAAGAACAAAATTTATCAGGAATTGAAGTAAAAACAAAAGGATATAGCAACAATTGAATTTTAATGAACATTGGTGTACTGAGGAAGAGACGGGTGTCTGCTTAGGATCTCGGGCGTATTCGGTATTGGTTTACAACCTGCACCTAACCAAGCACCCTGCAGCTGCGGAGTACACTAGCTCAGAAATTAGCGGAGAATCAGCTCTGTACGCATCTGATGCCTGAGTGATCGGCTAGAGGGGTTTCTAGGACTTCAATACAATGATACAGGTGGGTATTTTACATATTACGTCTTTCGTGTAATTGTGTATTTGCGCATTCCTTACACGGTATAGAAGAGCGATGTATGTACTTTTATAATATGGTCGACTCTCCATTTTTCATCCAACTATGCCAACATCACCTAGCAACATCACTTCCCACACACCATCATGATATATAACCCTTCCGATGAATATGACCTCATGGTGGCCCAGAACTTGGGGTTGGGCCAGCTCTTGCACAACCAAGTCCTGCGAACCCCCGATGCCGTTGCAGTGGTCGACGGCCCTTTGAGCCTAACCTACCATGAACTCCATATCAAATCCCTCGATATCGCCAATGAGCTTCAAAAAAATCGCAACTTTGTCCGAGAAGAGCCGGTGGGCATTGTTGTGCGCCACGGCATTTGGGACGTCGTTGCCCAGATCGCGATCATCTATGCGGGTGGCACTTGTGCAACTATGGATCCCACGCTTCCTGCAAGTCAAATCCAAGCTCGTCTTCAACGCGTGCGCGCTCAATGTGTCCTGGTGGACACTGCCAATTCATACCACACCGAGCTTCAATTCTCCTTCCGCCAGATTATTGTGAACACTCAGCAACACCCACCGTCTACATTTGAGGTTTCGACAACTTTGGCACAACAAACAACGGAAATAAACATCGACTCTCCGCTTCCTACTCTCACTGATATCGAGCACCGATCGCATATCATACATACGTCAGGAACAACAAGCGAACCCAAGGCGGTTGAGATAGTTACCCGCTCCGTTCTGGAGGTGGTGTATCATGCACCGTTCGAGCCTCTGCACTCAACGGATGTTGTTGCACACGTCAACAACACCACCTTTGATGTGGCTCTCTTTGACATCTGGGCTCCTTTGCTTCGAGGTGCTCGAATTGCTGTACTTCCCAAGACAGTGCTCCTGGATATGCCAGTTATGGCAGAGCAGATAGACAAACTGGGAATCACCGTCATGGCCACAACTACAGCGTTGCTCAATCTGGCGGCGACCACATTCCCCCAAGCCTTTGCGAAACTGCGCATGTGTTGGATCGGTGGCGAGGCGGCGAATATGAAGGCTGTAAAGCAAATTTTCGATCATGGTCCCCCAGAAATTCTGATCAACGCCTATGGACCCACTGAGTGCTGTGTTCTTTGCCTCGCTCATCAGATCACGATTGATGATGTCAATGCTGGAAGAGTCAGCATCGGCAAGCCAATCGGAAAAACGACAGCATATATATGCTCTCCTGAGACTGGCGAGGCTGTAGCTGACGGCGAACCAGGGGAACTTTGGATCGCTGGCCCTGGAGTCTCTTCTGGGTATTTGAACCAAACCGAGAAAAACTCTAAAGCCTTCGTGTATGTAGATATGGTTGGCAACGATGGTACAGCAATCCAGCTCCGCATGTATCGCACCGGTGACCTGGTTCGACGATCACCAGAGAATGGGCAGATTGATTTCCTCGGCCGGGCGGACAATCAAGTCAAGATCCGTGGATATCGAATCGAGCTGGAAGCTGTGGAGGCAGCTCTCAGGAAAACAGGACAGTTTTCTGATGTTGCAGCTCTCAAAGTCGACGCGTCCCAAGACGGAGCCAGCTCATTGCTCGCTGCGTATGCGGTTCCCGTCTCACCCGAGCTCGTGTCGATTCAACAGGCAACCGATGTGATGCGGAGTCTTCTGCCAGAGTATATGGTCCCTCGGATTGAGCTTATCGAACGGATGCCCTTGAACTCACATGCCAAGGTTGACCGCAAGCAATTGGCAGATCATTATCGCCAACGGTGGAATGAGCGGAAACCTACACAAACTGTCGCCGAATCCAATCTCAATTTTCCAGCGGGTGAGGATGTCAAGGCCAGCAGCACTCGCAACCGCTTGGAAGGTCTTTGGGCCAACATTCTGGGCTCACCAGATGCCAGTATCTATCGTGATTCTGACCATTTCTTTGAGCTGGGAGGCACCTCCCTGCAAGCGTCGCTTCTGATAAGTCAGATCCGTGCCGTGTTTAAGTGCGAAATCTCTTTGTTGGCACTATATGATAACCCTACCCTGAGCGCTCTGTCTGCCACAATCGACAAAGCACAGGTGAAGGCCCTGACAGCTGTTCGAAATGAGCGTGATATTTGGGTTGCCGATACGTATATTGCAGATCATCTGGCCATCCCTGTGTCGGCGCGGGTTGTGGACTGGCGCCGAGATACTGAGGGCCGGGTTTTCCTCACCGGTGCGACTGGATTTGTCGGCGCATTCATGCTCGTCGATTTGCTCAAGATGAAGGAGGTTCGCCAAGTTGGTTGTCTCGTTCGGGCATCAAGCCCTGCTGTTGGGCTACAGCGAATTAAGGCTGGCATGGAGAAGTATGGACTTTGGGAGGATCACTTCCAAGACAAACTGCTAGCACTGCCTGGACTGTTGGAGGAGCCATGCTTGGGCTTGGGTGCTGAGCGATTTGAAGAAATTGCGAACTGGGCGAGTGTAATCTTCCACCTCGGTGCTCGCGTCAACTACACCCAGCCCTACTCGTTGCATCGCCCAGCCAATACCCTCGGCACGCTCCATATAATGAAGCTTGCCATCACTGGTCGTCTGAAGGCAATGCACTATGTCTCTAGTATCTCGTGTTTTGGCCCAACAGGAATGTTCGTTGGGACTCAACGGGTATTGGAGGATGAATGTTTGATGAAGCATTTGGATGCCTTGCCGTACGATCACGGCTATGCACAGAGCCAATGGGTTGTGGAGCAACTCCTGCGTCGATTGATTGAACGGGGATTCCCAATTGCAGTTTACCGCCCTGGCTTTATTACTGGACACAGTCAGACGGGAGTCTGCAATCCAGACGATTTTTTCAGTCGACTGATACTGGCCTGTGAGCAGATGGGCTGTTATCCTCGATTGCCAAACCAGCGGAAGGAGTTTGTACCCGTCGACTATGTCAACGCCATCATTTTGCAAGTAGCCAAATTGTCCTCCTCACCGTCCATGACCAGCCAATTGCTTGGACATGCGTATCATATCGTCCCTCCGAGCCCAGATGTATCTATTGACATGGATGATACTATGGAACTTGTTGGTCACGCTACCGATACGGGGCCTATCATCGGAGTTGGCTACCAAGACTGGATTGAGAACCTGGCCACCGCACCACCGCTGCCTCTGCAGCCGTTGCAGCCTATGCTTGCTGAAATCGTCTACAAGGGAATGACCCGGTGGGAGCTATATGAGAACATGCCAATCTACGACCAAACGAATGTTGAGCAGGCCTTGGCAATGACTGCCCCTCAGTTCCCTGCGCTGGATGGGACATTAATGGCTAAGTACATGCATCATTTGAAGATGTCCGCTTGAATGATCCATTATTTTCTAGATGCACTCTACGTTTGCAAGGAACAAATGGACATAGACTCATCGATAATTTACTTTCGCATTTGGCTTCTACATTCAATCAATATGATTTCGTGCTTTTCCTTCTTGCTCGATCTCTTTCCCAATTTGTCTCGCTCCAAACCCTTAGCCTATGTCGACTTACCACATTCTTGGCTAAGGTCTTACAACTCTTAATGCGCGGATAAATTCCTAAATTCGTATGATGGCAAATCTATCAAAAATGATGCCCGACATAGCCGATTGAGTGTGATAAGGGATTTCGATTTTCACGAAACAACGAGGTGAACCCGCGCCACGATATTGCACAGGTGTTGATTCTCTGTATCAACCTGCAGCTATCACATTCTTTGACCATATACAACATAACTGTCAAAAACTCAGTAATCTGCAAACAAACTCGCACAGAACCAGATACAGACTTACATAGGCCACCAGGCATGGATATTCTCATCCTCCATCTCCTTCCACACATCTTGAAGCTTTGTATCCACCTTCTCCGGAGATAAGTTCAAGTGCGGCACTAAGAAATCATGCCCCAGTCGCTCATGTCCAAATTTATGCACGGGGAGGGCAATTTTACCGAGTGCCTTCTCCTGATCATCAGAAGGCCATGCATTCTGAGGCAGCTTCTTCTCAACAACAGTGACATTTTTAAAGCCGACTTGTCGCATCATCTGCTCAAATTTCTCAGCGACGGTGAGTTCCCGTCCCGATATCGAAGCTGCCTGGATCAGCAGAGCATTCCATGCCACAAGGTGGCTGTCCTGGCGCAAGGTCTCATCTGACGAGCGCGCTGGGAAGCCTATATCAAGGATTTCAAACCAGCCGCCTTCCGTGAGGTGATCGTAGCACTGCTGGAAGAATTTGGGCCAGTCAAAGATGCATCCAACCAGCCACCGCGTGTGTATATAGTCAAAAGTGGTAGTGACTGGCCATTTCAGCTCCAAATCGGCTTCCAGTGTGATGCAGCCTTTAGGTAATCTAATTCAATTGATCAGTTGGTCGCTGCTTCCTCTTATTCTTTGGTTTGCTTTTCTGTTGCCTACCTTGATTGATCTGCTATCTCAAGATCTAATCCAGTGATCTGAGTTTGTTGAGCGTACTGAATGCGCATTGAGAAGATTTTGATGACGTACCTGAGCAGAAGGGTTCCTCTGTGAGTACTCCTGCATCCATGTCCCTTGGAAAAGCTGTTAGCTAAATTAATACCCTCTATCCAGAGTGTTGGTCTTACCAGTTCCACATCCTAGGTCCAAGACAGTGGTTGGAGCCTTGACTGGAGCCCACCCCAGACCTCCGTTTGCCAGCATCGAGCATATAACATGCAAATCATCTACAGATTGGTGATGTCAGAAGAAAGTCATTTGCTGGAGACAGTGTCTCCAGTCTCCACCTGACACACCTAGCCTCTCCATCTCATCCTGGGCATCTTGTAAGCAGTGATTCCTGCGGCAATTTTCTCAGAACGCACCTCTCTCATAATAAATGGCTCTTCAGCGGGATATGGTTAGCAAAACAACATTACTGTGAAAAGGGAGGTTCCATACTCGCTGTATCTTTCGCCATGATGGTAGGTGTAGCGTAAAATATTGAGACTTTTCCTGTCAAGCAACCGGTAGCTGGGTAAGTCCGCTAACACGGGCAGCTAGATTTAAGAAACCTCGCTTGGGGGACCATCAACGGGGAGTCCCGTACGTATACCTCAATACACCCGTCATAGGTAATCAGTATTATGATCCATCGACAAGCACTGATCGAATTCAATAGTCTTGCGAAGAGTGGGGATAGTGGGACTGTAGTGGAGCTCAAGCACAGTGGACCTTTGCCCAGATAAAGGACGAGTACGGTCAGAGACGATCACCCATACACACGTTCGTCGGTATCTGTATGGTACGGTTACATTGTACAGACACACAACCAGCGCAGTGCATTCAATCAAGAATCTGCCATTAATACTTATCCAACCGTATTACGTAGTTCTGGCTGCAGTAATAGATTTGGTCGTCTACTGATCTCCCTTGTCTGATTTTTTGTATCTCACAGTTCACAGCTCGCAGGAATGTTGAGTATTCTGCTACAAGTCGCTGGGGCCATCCTCGGTTTGGTATCTACTGCACCTCCAAGTATTGATCACCACCATCTAACACGAAATAGCTCCTCTGCTTCCACATTTCTTTGGCATTATATCACCTCTTCATCAACCCTCTCCGCCGCTTCCCTGGTCCGAAGCTGGATGCCCTGTCCCAGCTCATCTGGTCATACCATCTCGCCAAGGGCGATTCGACAAAATATATCACCAAATTACATGAAAAATACGGCCCTGTCGTCCGCACCGCCTCCAATGAGCTGTCCTTCATCAGCGCGACCGCTTGGCAGGAAATCTACGGCACTACAGGTGTGGGCAAAGTCTATGAAAAAAATGGAGTCGCATACTTGCAGGGGTCTCGGGATATCACCAACATCTTCTTTGCGCACAGTCAGGAACATGCCGCAGTGCGCAAGTTGATGTCTCCAGCATTCTCAGACCGTGCGATTCGTGACCAGGAATCTCTTATCCAACAGTCTATCGACCAGATGATGAGCTCATTACACAAGCGCACGGGTGAAGCCTGTTTTCCTGCCGCAGATGGCGTGGTGAACTTGGCTGCATGGTTCAATTTTGAAGTCTTTGACGTGCTGAGCTCGCTGTGCTTTGGTGCTAGCATTGACTCTCTCTCTAAAGGTGAATATCACCCATGGATCTCGGTGATCTATACTGCTATCAAGCACTCGACCTTGATCCAGTCAGCTCATCGCCTGAAGCCTTACCACTGGCTGTTGGAGAAACTCATCCCCTCCGATATTGAGAGCCAATATATATTCCACCTGGAGAACTGCACCAAAGCACTCACTGAACGCTTGAACAAGCCTGATAATGAGCGTCCCGATATCTTGTCTTACCTGCTGGATAAGATGTCGCATGACGAACTGCTGGATAATGTGAATATTCTGGTTACGGCGGGCGGTGATTCCACGGCCACCACTATGACCTCGGTGGTCTACTATATCACACAAAATCCACGTAGCTACGAAGCACTCGTGAAAGAGATTCGGGACGCTTTCCCAACTGAGAACTCAATTACTATTCCCGAAGTGATGAAGCTGAAATACTTGAAAGCGGTTATTGACGAGGCAATGCGAATTCACCCCAGTGTGCCAGTCGGACTACCGCGAATTGTTCCCAAGGGTGGCCGATTCATCGACGGACATTTTGTTCCTGGTGGTGTTCGTTCTCCTGATTCACTCCTCTAGTTTACTCTTTACTGACCGGGCCCCGCCCTGCTTTAGACATGGGTTTCCGTGACTCAATTGACGTCTTATCGCTGGCCTGACTACTTCAAGGACCCCGAATCCTTCCACCCGGAGCGATGGCTGGGAGATTCGAGATTTGACTCGGATAACCGAGCAGTTTTTCACCCTTTTTCGATTGGAACGAGGAATTGCATTGGTCAAAAGTAAGTTTTGCAACTCATGCACATGCCGATGTTTGACATTGACATTCGCATAGCTTGGCTAGCTCGAACATGCGCCTAACCCTGGCGCGCCTGCTGTGGAACTTCGATTTGGAGTCGCAGCCTGATAACATCGATCCTCATGACTCTTTGGAGTTTGGTCTCTGGGAGCACCGACCTTTGAACATAAAGCTAATTAACGTGGCCCGAAATTGAACGAGTTCATGTATCGTTAGTTTTGGAGAACCGAAATTGACTCAGCTTCGAATAAATGTAATTTTTGGCTCTTGATGTGGCTGCCAAGTCCGCGGAAACTACTACGTATTGTCTAGTAACGCCTCTCAAGAAAAGTTTCCCCACTGTAAATAAAATTAAAAACACGGAAACGAACACGGGAGAATACGGAAAGGGATACATCGCTCAGGTGGCCTACGCAGATCAATTTTACAGTACGTCGCTATACATCTGATTATTTGCCATAAAGCCCCAGTGTCAGCTCGTCCCAAAGATAACACCAAAAAGTTCAACATGAGACTGGAAGACCCCGCGGAAGCCATGAAAGGAGATATCCTCAGCTCGGCTGGAATTGATGATTTGACTGTCCAAGACATTCAGCAATTGGAACAATGGAATGGTCACTTTCCAGACGCTGTCGATTCTTGTGTCCCAAAGGTCATCCATGATAGGATTCGAACTCAACCTAATGCACCTGCGGTTTGCAGTTGGGATGGCGAGTTTACCTACGCCGAGGTTGGAGCATTGTCTACGAGACTAGCTCTTGGGCTTCTCAGTGGCCCCCATAAAGATGACATTCAGCCAGGAAATTTTATTCCAATTTGCATGGAGAAATCACGATGGGTTCCTGTTGCAATTCTCGGCATTCTTAAGGCTGGGGCTGCATTTGTCATTCTCGATTGCAATCATCCGCCAGAACGGTTGCAGTCTATATGTCAGGATGTCAAAGCAGCTCTGGTACTTACATTGGCCAATCAGTCAGAAATAGCCTCGACACTTGCGCCCGCCTCTTTGATTGTTGGGCAAAACCTATTCCAAGAGGAAAGTAGCGAAGATCTATATGAGCAGTCACCGTGTCCCAACATCTCATCGAGTAGCCCCTTTTGGGCGGTATTCACATCGGGGTCGACGGGAAAGCCCAAGGGCGCGATAATTTCGCATTCGGCATTCGTAACAGGAGCATTGCCGAACATAGAGCTACTCGAGCTTGGGCCGAAAGTTCGCGTGTTTCAATTCGCCTCCTATGCGTTTGACGTCGGGGTCATGGACATGCTCTTCACTTTGATCGGCGGTGGTTGTATCTGCATTCCATCCGAGTGGCAGCGACAAAATGAGCTTTCCAAAACGCTCACCAATTTACAAGCAAATTGGGTCTCATTCACGCCCTCTTTGGCACGCATTCTGAGCCCAAAGAGCCTGCCAACTCTCGATTGTCTTCTCCTGGCGGGAGAGGCGGTGACACAGAGTGAGATCGACCTGTGGAGTTCGCATGTTAAGCTGAAAGTCGCATACGGCCCATGCGAGGCAGGTGGATGCAACACGACCATTGTACCCGATTTGGCTCAAGCGCCTGGTCCAGCGAACCTTGGGCAGTCGCCGGCCTTGTGCTGCTGGGTGGTGGACCCTCAGGACCATCACAAGCTCATGCCAGTGGGTGTGGAAGGAGAGCTGTTACTCGAAGGCCATGCACTTTCAGAGGGCTATATAAATCAGCCACAGCTGACAGCAGCGACTTATATCGATCCCCCCCGCTTGGATGGCCCAGGTCAGACGCTCAAAGACTGGGAGGAAGCTGTACAAGTGTGGTGACCTGGTCCGGTACAACAACCGATTGGATGGCTCGCTTGATTTTCTTGGTCGAAAGGATACACAGGTGAAGATTCGCGGTCAGCGGGTGGAGCTTGGGGAGATTGAGGTGAAGGTGAAATCCAGTTTCTCACTGGCAAGAGACGTGATTGCGGAGGTGGTAGCAATCAAAGATAAAGCCCCGCAACTGTGTGTCTTTCTGAATTGTCCCGGTGTTGAGGCCATCAGGGAGGGAAACAGCTGTCAGTCCTATTCGATATGCGGTTATCCGACGCCGTCATTTGAGGAACAAACTCAAGGGCTGAAGTTGGAGCTTCAGAGCCAACTGCCCGCATATATGATCCCGGATCGTTTCATCCCTGTCACGCATGTACCGATGACCACGTCAGTAAAGACGGATCGAAAGCGTCTCAGAGAAGATGCGATAGCCTATTTGGGAGAAACTGGTCTCCTCTGTCGGAATCAGCCCAGGACATCGAACACGAAAGATCTAGCCACGATCAATGAACAGACTTTGCAGAAGTTGTGGGCTGCCATCCTGGATATCTCGTCAGATATGATTGATTCTCAGAGTAACTGGATTGACCTTGGTGCAGATTCATTGTTGACCATCAAGCTTGTCGACTGTGCATCTCAGGAGGGTTTGTTGATAAGCATCCAAGACGTGCTCCAAAATCCAAATCTAGCCGCCCTGGCAACTGTCGCGAAGCTTGGTAGTGTCCCCACCCGACAGGAAGCCTTGGAGCCCTTTACATTGCTAGGCGATGATCAAATCGCACGACAGAAGATCATACAAAACGTCTTGAGCCAATATGACCACCTGGGAACTCCAATCACAGCCATTCAAGACATATATCGCTGCATCGATGATCAAGCCCAATCAATCCATCTTTCGGCCAACAGGAAGGGCAATCTTACAATGCAAATTGAATTTACGGAATCGGACCCGGAGCAGTTCTGCAACGCATGGTGCATGATGGTGCAAGATACCCCCATTCTCCGCACTGAGATAGTGGAGATTGAGGACCATTACTTCCAGGTGGTTATGAAGACTGAGGCACCCGTCATTGTTTGTCCGTCTAGGCCCCCACACGGGACTGATATCTGGGGTTTCAAGAAACCACTGGTGCAGTTGATCTGGGAAGCGGATTCCGATCGTTTTACGATCTTGTTTCACCACGTCCTTCATGATGGCTTCTCACTTGAGCTTTTCTTACAGCGGCTAGAAGCGGCATACGAGGGAAACCGCTCTCCTTCAACTTATCCATATAATTTGTTTCTGAAATGGACATCGGAAATCGGCCCATGTGTCGACGAGTTCTGGAAAAAGAGATTTGCGACCTACGATGCTTCACGCGACATTTTCCCCCCATTGCCCTGTCCTGAGTATGAACCCCGAGGCTCGAGCATGCTTGAAAAGAAAGTCAAAATGCCCCAACACTCGACGCACCGGACAACCGTCGAATCTAAGCTTCGACTAGCTCTGGCAGCCGCAGTTGCTTATGCGACGAATGACCAGGACGTTGTTTTTGGTATCCATATTGCCAGACGTGATGCGCCTCTGCCAGGGATTGCACACATTTCCGGTCCTACATCGGCGTCACTACCTGTGCGCATCCAGCTGCATGAGGGGGAGACTTTGCAGGAGGCACTAGATGCAGTGCACACCCAAGCTCTGGAAAGCATTCCTTACCAATGCGCAGAGCCGAGTCATATTAGCACTCTCAGCTCGGGAACCAAAGCAGCTTGTCAGTTCCGAACGAGCCTTATGCTCCTGCCGGAGTATAGCAACACTAGATCTGATCGTATCGCCAAATGGCAATTTCACGAGCCGGGATTCTACTACTGGAGTCTCTGCTTTGTGGCTCAAGTTGAACGTGGGGGCATTGTCATTTGGGCATTTTTTGATGACGAGATGGTAGCCGCTTCGCAAGTCCAGGGTATGCTTGATCGCATGGGGACAGTTCTTGATCTTATTGAGCAAAAGCCGGAAACCCGCATTGGCGGAATCAGCTAAAGCGAATTAGTTGTGCAAAATGAATACATGCATTACTCAGTCATAAGAATACAGTGTAAGCGTCTGGCTAAAGCACGATATACGTACCAATTTGTCTGAGAGCTTGTTTACTGGGGAGGTAGTACGAGCGCGGTCATCTGGATGTGTTCGAGCTCTTCCTGGCCACAGGAGTTGATATCAATACACAACCTACAAATTTGTCAGGACCTTGTCGGATTGACGGAGGCCTAAGGCACTATTATATGCCTCAGGAGCGAAGGCAGAAGGAAAGCCTTATCGCATTCGGCAGGGGCAATCTGTGTATTTGAACCACCCACGGTGGTTCTGGAAGGGGCAGCGTTCAGTCTCTTCTACAAGATAGGAGTTATTACACTACAAGAACGATCAAGGCTTCTACCTCGCTTACCTATAGACCCGAGAGACTACTGCGTAGTCTCACAGTGGCCCACTCGTTCACCGATCACATTGTAGAATTAGATGCGCAAACATAACAAACAGACGGAATAACACTTTTTCCTTCATGCCGGGGGATTTCCATGCCGACGAACATGTAGCCGACTGACACCTTAATTCTACTACTTCCCCCTCCTGACACCAAATACAGAATCTCGGAGCTATATTCGGCTCTTTGTCAGCAATTAGCCCGGCTCTGCGATCATGGTGAAGACCGAGGCATCCTTACCGTCCCCTCCATCCGAGTCGGCTTCAGTAGTGCCTCTTGATTCCTCTATCCGCACTTCCCCCATCCATCCAGACCTCACGGAGATCCAAGTTCCAGGGGGGCCTCTACCGGTTTATCGCTACCATCCAGTCACCTGCCAGCCGATTGAGGTACAAGATGTCCAAGCTGAGCTAGAGAAGCTGCGCGAGTTATTCCCTACGAAAGAAACCGCTCTGAGGGCCCAGGAGCAGGCTGTTAAAGAAGTGAAAAGGACACTGGAGGAAGCCGATAAGAGCAGAGGGGACATACAAAGGGCTATGGACAAGAAGACCAAGGAACGCGACACCGAAATGAAGGTCTTGTCCAAGTATCAGGAAGTCAAGGCGTCAGATATTCCGGCCTGAAGGAGAGAAACATATTTATGCTAGAAGCTTTGAACCGCCAACCTCGGAGGAAGTGTCTCAAACCAAATATCTGATCGATATTCTCTGCGGCCAACATCATTGAGGGCTCTTGCAATGGATGGTAGAAGCACCGTTGCAGCACAACATGCTACACCATTTTTCTCTTCTTGGGCTTCGATTGAACTTGAAGCGGTCAAAAGACCTGCCTGCTGCTCATAAATTACCAGCCAGGCTCTTTTGCATGAAATCGGTTTGAATCACATCCGACATGCGAAATTCGAGCTCGCCTTCCCCTCATCATGGAAACCCCGGGTCAGCACATCGTGTATTCTGATATTCATGATGATTCCAGTTTGCGACCGTGGATGCGAAAAGCGCCATTCCTAATCTGGAAGCCAGAATTATATGACTTTTTGGAACAAATCATGGCATGCACCAATACTTAGGCTATGCTGAAGCATTATGAGATAGCCATCCATCCTGGGCCTTCTTCTACAATTCATTCATGTCCCTGAAACATCGCCATGATTGAACGATGTCCAGATAATGTTTGGTCAGAAATATGTTCGACTAGTCGTATTCAACATTTTCGAATATGAACCATGAAATGCCATGAATTTCTCGTGCCAAACTAACAAAGCGCCTCACAACGACCCATTTATATTCATTACCAGCGGGAGAACCTCTAGAAAAGTCAGCAAGGTACACAATATATTCGAGGGAACTGAAGTCACATCCACATTATCCTCGAACCAAGTTCAAGTTTCATTGATGAACTTTTTGAGAGAAGCTCGTCTACAATATTGAGCAAGCCTCACCTGTGCCAGAAGGCCATGATTGATGATCGGCGATACATCCTTGACTAGCCCACGAGTATCAGCCACGAAGCTTAGAATGGGCAGGATCGTCCCCTTGCTGATCATGTATGCTGTGTTTTTCATGAACTTGTCTGTCAAAAAACTACTGGCCGTGTCAACTGGCCGTGTCATAAAGACCGCCGACCTTGGCGAGCAGCGCCGGCGTGATGACAGGCGTGATGCTCTCAATAAGGCCAGTGAAATCCTTGACAAGTTGAAGAATCAGCAGGGCGTTGGTGTTTGACAGCAGAAGATCGACTTCCTCGACCGAGTCGTTGGTCAATTGCGAGTTGGTGTTGGACAACATGTTGCTGAGTTTCTTGAGGACGGCGACATTGCTCATCAAGACGTTGATCACATAAAGCCGCTATCAATGTTTCGGGCAACTCCAATCCGACTTGCGAAAGATCTGATAGACCTGAATGTGTGATCAGAGAACTCTCATCCACCTCCCTTCGATGCGGTGTTGGTCTCAGGCTACCTTTGCACTTGACATCTACCGAAAGCTCAACTAAACCTCATTGTCGGAGAAGATGCTTCTGTCACTCTCTCTTCAGAGTCTGTAGCTATGACTTGTGACTGGATAGTAGAAATGGGAATGGGCAGTCATCGAAAGACAAGTGTTTGGCCTTTTGAAAACTATCGCATGCTCTTGATGGCAGCAGCATCTGCTTTAAGTGGATCGTCGACCTTGTGGAACACAACTGGGACAAGTGTTGAAAATGTTCGGAGCTGTTCTAGTATGAGATCTGCCATACAGAAATGTCAAAATTCAAGGGAATACATACCCTACTCTTCACAACATACCAATGATGCCGGGGCATCGGAGTGCCCCTAGGTCGGTACACATCTAGCGATTCCAAACAATTACTTTCGCACCAGATATCAAGAAGCGGCAAGACGAAGTTTTTGCTAGCACTATCCAGCCTCAAAACACCGTGGTGAATCTGCTGAAGTAAATGCTCACTGAGAAATTCCGTAATGTCCATCTGGCGCATGGTGAAGTATGTGTTTGGTGTTCCATAAAGGTTGAGTGGTATCCTATACAGAACATGCAGTGCCTCCATTGTGATTTGCCGATTTATTAAAAGAATCGATGGCGTATAACGTTTCACATGAGGTCGGGCGTATGTGCACATCGGACCGCGAGTTCGATCTGTCTCGGCCGCGAGAAGATCTTCTATCTTTCTGTAGCCACTCACATACTCATTTGGATCAAGTGAATATGCATATATAATGAGCCGGATCTCACCCGGCAGATCGAGGAAGGAAATCATCGATTATGTGTGATGTATAATTTGATTGACAAAAGGCTTGGAGTCTTTTTCTGATTCACTGCATAGTAGAGGTTTCTACCCCTCCTTTTCAAAATTGCCACTCGCCCCTCTCGTCATCTATTTTCCGCGGGAAGAACATATTGCTATTTTTCCACTCTCACCCGCTCCTAAGCTGATGGTTGCGATATGATACGTGCCTCGGGCTTTAAAGGGGTAGGTTTGTCCTGATCTGGTAGGTCTCTGGAAAAGGTGAAGCTTATCTTTTATTGTATCTGCAACGCCTGGAGAGTTCCAATTCTCTTGTGGGTGGAGATAATGAGTCCTCTTTCAGACGGAAAACATCAATCACTAGTAATTGTAGGACTCTCCGTAATTGGTCCGTGTATTGAAGCAATAGCCCGCAAACTTGGTCGGAAAATGGAGGTTAAAACGTCCCATACAAGTAGAACCGAACGCTTCAAAAAAACTTCGACATAATCTCGACTAGAGCCATATATTCTTTTGAGTCATTGAGTGCGTCATTTATATACCCATTGATGACACTAGGTCAGAATTCGGCCGATCGCAGCTAGTAACGTATTCCACCACCTTCCCGCCCACACCACCCACCTACTTCTATATTTATGAAGCAATTAAATAACCACAACGCCTTTATATTCAATTTAAACCTTCTCTGTACAGAAATTAGCCCTATGGCCAGGCCTTCTGCATACGCTGCATGCATATTGACGTCTGTTGGTCTGACTATTGGTGGTTAAAGCCTTCCGGGTGGGCATTGTAGAGACCACCCCGTCATCTTCTATATTGCTTAATAGACCAATGCCTTGCTCATGGGCTTCAGATATAGCCATACCTTTAGCGCGTTCTATCTGCCGTTTGGATAGAGATCTTTTCTGTATTTGCTTCTTGTTCGCAGCGCGTAGATCTCTGACTTCCTTCTCTAATAGAAGTATACTTTGCATTACCGTTTCGCATACTTTATATGCTTGATTGATAATGTCTTTGGTAGGTGTTAGTGGGCTTTCCGACCGATATTTCAATAGCTTCTTAGCCGGTTTAGCATGCTTCGATAGCTGGGTAATATTCCTTGGTGTCTTAGGGCAATAATTGCTTAATTTGCTAGTAGGTCGTTCCGCATTTAGTGTAGGTGACCGAATTAGAATATTAAGCTTCGATAGCACTGGTTCTAGATCTAACGGCATAATACCAGTCGCTTTAAAGGTATTCATAATAATATTAACCTGGAAGGTATCCTAGCGCGCGCGTAGGTATGCCGTAAGAAAATCAAGCTTATCAATAAGGTTGATTCCTAGACGCATTTGCTGGTCGACTAAGCGACTATATAATCGCTTTAGAACAGCGAAACAGCCAATATCTAGTGGCTATAATAGATACGAGCTATAGGCAGGCATACAAAGAGGTATAATATCGTTCTTCGTGTATAGTTAATCAAATTCGGGCGTAAGGTGGCTGCCATGACTATCGAGAATTAATAGCCTACATCGCCTATATCGCCGGCTATTTATTAAAGGAATAAATAGCTTTTCAAGCCATCGAAGACTAATTATATCAGTAGTCTACCTATTATCGCTGACCTCGACACGCCAGTCACCAGGGATATCGGCACAGAACCAGGATTCGATAAAATATTTGCCTTTAAATATAATTATCGGCGGTAAAGACCAGCCCGTAGCATTAACTGTTTCGATTATAGTCACCCACTCACGATTACCTGGCTGCAGAATAAATCTACGGCCATAGTATTCAGCTCTGGTGACTACCTTTGCGGTAGAAATAAGGCCCATTGCGAAGCCTGTTTCGTCAAAGTTATAGATATCATCAGGTTAGATACCATAGCGCGAAATAGTCTCTTACAATAGGCGAAACCATACACGTATAATCCGGGGATCTTCTTATTCCGCACGTCGATAGTCATACCGACGCGAGAAGCGTGATTGAATGGCCGGTGTCCGGCTAATATATCGAGTAACCCAATTTAGGCCAATTGCATCAACACCGCGGGCTGCAAGCAATAAGTTAGCCATATCTTCCACCGTAGAGTGCCTCAGGGGCTGCGCCGCGAGTATCCATAGAGAGGATCCACTGGGTAAGCGTATCCTCTTCTGTTTGGGTCATTTTATAGGATGTTACGCGTCTGGTTGACCGAAATGAGTGGCCTGCGAGGCGGTCGCGTAGCGTGGAACGCGGTACGTCATATGTCTGCGCAGCAGCCCTAATAGACGGAATTGATTTTTTCTGAATAGCTTATATTGCAAGCTCGATCCTACCCTCTTAGTGGAGAGATTCTTGCTTGGTTTTAGAACGAATTAGTGGCATTGTAGGTGATCAAAGTGGTTGGGGATACGCGGAGACGCGAAATTTGGTTGGGTGGGCGGGAAGGTGGTGTGGGCGGGAAGGTGGTGGAATACGTTAGCGCCGGCGCGAAAGAATAACTGGAGGGGTCCAGTTTGTCCACTCTCACGGTGAATTTTCTCAAAATGTCCTCTATAGCCTCTCCTGTTTGAACAGTACTCTCTAGAATATGGTCAAAAGAGTTGACTTCTATCGTAGAGACTACCAAAGCATCGATAGGCTTATCGGCCCAGAACACGAAAAAGCCCAGAACGGCGAGGTCATTGACTTCGCCCATGGTACTTCGTTGATGGGCGTCTTCGTCTGACTAGAGGTGATACTGCCTATTTTGACAATTGCAGACCGTTAGGTCTTCAATTATGTGTGGAACATAACCTCAATGCCGGAATCTCGAGGCATGGATGTCAATATGGCTCTGCCCCAGAATACCTCCTAAGCCTCTTGTTGCACAATCTGACTGTAGTCCCTCGCCGTCTATCTTGCTCGATGACGCAACCAATCCCGTAAGTCGACCTCGACCAAATTCGATAACACAATCTTACTACGTGCTTTTCGACAACATCTTTGCCCGCACTCACGGGTGCGAGTCTTCGACGTTTGATGAGAAAAATCCGCACGTGCATCTACGTTAGCTTGCAAAGTAATGATTTAATAGCAATTGGGAGTGCTCTGGTCATTGTCAATTAGCGATGCCGAGAAGAACAGAAGTCGTTTTATAAAGAAGCAGGTAAGAATGATTTTGGGTGGTTTTGTGCAAAAGACAATTTAATTACATGCAATTTTATTATTCTGCACTTACGAAATTACCTGTTCAGGAGAGAATCATGTACGCCATATCTTCATACGGATTGGCATGATAACGGGGCATGGGCCAGAAAAAGAAAAGTGTGAGTGCGTTGAGGGTATTATGTCACAGAATTCTACTCTAGCTACTATGCAGGCTCCAATTACACTTACATGCTTCAGGACTCCCCATCCTCTTCCATGTATACAATGCAGTGTTTTCAAAGCGACCTTATACTAATTGGCATCGTTTTGAAACGGGCGAGAAATCAAGTGTGAATGCCGTGGCGGGGGAAATGAGTTCGACTCTACTGTACGACTGGAGGAGACAAGTGGGATATTCTGAAGAACGCGTGAATTTGAATTTCAACTAGCGCTTGGAACAATGTACTGGCCGCCGATATCAAATAGGTGCATCACTCTACTACCCAGTACCTCTAGAAAGGCATCCACGTTAGGTCATAGAAACTGCTGTCCAGCGAAGACAGTGACTCGTGCGTAATTTCAAGACATCTGAGACGTCATCGAAATCGCCCACGTAAGTAGACAGGCATCGCTTCCAATTCTTCACCACAATCTTGGCGGTGTAGGCGCCAGCGACTCAATTCCTATTTAGCGCCGTCGGCCAAATGACTCATAGCGAGCGGAATTATACAGATATAAGGCTATAGATACTGCTGAATTTAATCTCATGGAATCATCCCACTGTGACCCAAGTCCCATGATCATAGGCATTCCTGATATCGCACGGCTCGGTTAGAACTCGGCTGGGCTAAATAGCTCATGCATCTCGCCTTATTCTTATTTGAAAACAAGTTTTTGAGTCTTGTCGATTGAATACCGAGGCCAACCGGCACACGGTAAAGTCTGTTAGCCGCTTAAAGACCGTTGGGCAAGTTTGGAACATGAATAGAAGCATGGACCGTGCCACGGCACCGCCACGGTGGCGAGTGACGTGGCGCTAGTGAGGCGCAGTGCGTTCAAGTTCCTATTTTAGGCAGACAAGAAACATCATCCTCTGGCCCGAGACTCCACGACCCCATGGTCAAAAATTTCCATCAATACTGACGTACTCCTATATTCCGTGAGCATTGCAATATCCTACTTCTATAACCGACTGCAAGCGAATACCAAGGCTATCCCCCTTGCGCAGACCACATGACCGAACTCATATGCCGCCATGCTCCAGGGTTTGTGAACCAGGGACTGTGATTGCACGAGAGCAAGCCCTGTGGTGCATGAATGCACGATATAGGAATCGTCAGACGTGAGATGAGATCACTCGGGAAATCATGTGGCCCGGTGGGATTCACAGTAAAAAAAAAAGGGAAAAAAGAAAAACATACTCAAAACGCGGTACAGGTATTCCAAACGGTACCGTGATGCTGAGTGGGCGCCTCCACAAAGTCAGACCATGATGGTCGACGAGGCTCAGCCCAATGGTAGATCGTAGCAGGGATCTCAGCGTGGTGCGCGACGGCCGGACTCGGTGGTCCCCCGGCGAATCCGGGTGCAGAAGCGGCCCAAGACCTGCTTGAAGCCCCACGTCTAGTCGTCTCTCAGCTGAGCTCAATACATTTCGTCTGTTCTGGACTCGAGTTTCAGGTAATATTGACTGTAACTCTCCCCCTTTTGATCTCTATCCCCTGTGAGTCGTGAGACTGTGGAATGTGAGATATCAAATTTGGAATTGAATTCAAAAATTAAAAAAAAACCCCCCGAGTAAAACGTGGGAGGTGGGAGAGGCATCCCACTTGTTGTGCGATAGGGCCGCTATCCGGGTATAGGGTTGGTGGAGTCGTCTAAGTACATCGACTTTCCCTCATGGAAAATATCATAGACATGCATGATTCCATTTGACAAGCCTAGCTGAGCTTCCGACGTGGCTCTCCGCTACGTCTTGCCGTGACGAGTAGTTATGCAGCTCAGAAATTCTCTGGGTCGATCGGAGGTTTTCTGGTCGTTGCGCAGCGCGGATCATCGGGGCTTAGCTTTTGCAGTTTGGGGCATCCTGCATATAGGCTCTGGCCAAATGGAGGTGCAACGTGCAAGGTCGATATGAGACTGGACGAGAGCAGAGTTTGGTATAGGTCGATGAAACACCCCCGGTTGGACATGGCAGCGGTTTCAATTCCCGCCCTGCACTTTCCACATTCTATGCGAGAGAGTCTTTGCCACCCGAGAAGTCGAGTCAAGTCGAGAGTTGCGTCGAAGCCCTGGGAATGCCGGCAGATCGGGGAGTCCGAGAAGTGGCCAAAACACTGCGCTTGTACGGTACACCCGACCCCATCAGGCCGCATACACCCAGATACGAGCCCTAGGTACAGTTTCTTCTATAGAGAGAATTCTAATCCCCACTACATTGCCTATTCCGTCCTGCCCGTCTTTCTTATTCTCTATCCTTTTCCAAGATTCTTTCCTTTCCTTTTAACCCATCGGTCTCCGATGTCCTTTCCTTCTATATAATATTTTCTTTTCTTGAACCCCGCGCATTCGCCCGCACATTTTTTTAATTAGACTACGCCCCACACATCTCTCGGAGTATTGGAACAGTCTCTCCTAGAACTGCCAACATTTCAAACACCCAGCCTATCTCTTTAGGAACTGTGTGGGCGAATGTCGCCTTTTATGACCTTGTTTTCCGCTCATTACACTCTTTAACAAAAAGCTCAACCGAAACAACACGCCGGACGTATCCTTATTCGCACAGAGTCATAATGCCAACCGTCTTACTCCCATCTTCGGCCGCTGCCTTTGCGCCGCGATCCTCGCCCAATGTCGTTTTGAACAGCAAGGTCGCGCCCTGGTTGACGGCGACTTTGAAACGAGTCAACCGGGTGAAGCGCCCTCTGAACAACGTCACCCAACATACCCGGTGTTTGACAGAGACGCTCTCATCAACAAATGCGATCTGGACCTTATGCTCGATGATGTTCTCCAAGGCCCCCAAAGCTGAGCTGCGCAAGGATGATAACCCCTTGGTGGAAGGCCTCTTCAACTTCCAGATGGTCCATATCGAGGCCTATGTCGTACACGTCGACATGGTCTCACGGAACGAGGTGGCGTTCAAGCTGACCCCGGAGACGATCGAAGCCTTGGTGGATTTTCATAAAGACATCTACTCGGTCGACGCTGCCGCCAACACTTGGGAATGGTCTGGAAAGCAAGCTCAGCTGAAGAAGCTGCAGGAGGAGTTTGTCCAAGCTGCTAACAGATTCGTATACCGGGCCAACGCCGAGGCTCTGGAGGGACTTGAGGAGGATGGTGCAGGAGAGTTGCTCAGTGGCCGGAGTGAGGAGGCCAAAGCAGCCATCACAGGCTTGTTTGTGCCGCTTTTGCCTCCTCCACCTCGCGTGGTTGACATTCTGCGCCCGGTGCCTCTCCTGCCTAGCTCGACCGGCCCTGAAACCTGGTGGCATAATCCTATCCCACCGTCGGCGCCTCTCGATTCGTGGAAGGTACTGCCGCCCAGCCCATCCCCGGCTAGCACGGGTGATTCTAATCCGAATCTTTGGGCCAGTATTGGTTTCAGTGAGGCCCAGCTACCTTCACCGACCCCCTCCTACAGCCAACCCTATACCACCGCCCCGTACCAGACATACGACTGCATGGTGACGACCTCGGCGGCCATGTCATCTCTTCCCCTCCCCAGCATGCTCTGCAGCACGACAGCCAACATAGGCATGGGAATGGGAATCGGTATGGGCATGGGCTTCGGCTGGGATAGCTTCGCCGCCCCGTTACCATACGGCACGACCATATAGCTCCCAGGCCGGAGTAGACTCGATGGTGTCGACTCCACCAGCCAGCCAGCGGCGCATTCGCGGCCCGATGTCGACCCTGATTACCCGACGTAGATCGTCCGGATCAGGATCGTCATTCCTCATCGATCTCACTTGGCGATGCAAGCAAACAGCATTGCGTCCAAGTACCGACTAATTGGCATTCTCGATGGCGTTCTTCGATCGACTCTGTGCATTCGTGATACTCCCCCCCTTCGTCTGATTTTTTGCATCATATATTTCAGGATAATCCGTCGACGATTCGCGTGTTTGGTGACTTTTAACTCAGCCAGCGTTTGCCATTTTCTTGTTCCTTTTTGCATCGATAAGCGGCGGGTCGGCTTTTTTGTTCTTTGTCTTTCGTTTCCCAACATATATGTCATGAAGACCAGGTCTGCCTCGCGGCACGGGATATGAATTTGGATGTGATATGTCCATCATTATGTTTTCGATTCTTCGTTGCGGTTTGACGGGACTGGCATTTGGGACTCAATCACTGACCGGATTGGTGGTTGTCGGTTCTTCTGCCAATTTCTCTTGAGGACGGTCTTTTGGGTACGGGATACCCAACTGGCAAAGCCCTTGATTGGGTTATTTGGAGACGTCTACGCGACTGTATGGTTTACTGTCATCTGTGACACAGTATTCCATGCCTTTTTGGCCATCTATGATTTGAGATAGGGACAAACGAGTGCTGGAGAGGAGAAGCATGTCATCGCGTTTGTCAGAGCCGGAGATTCGCCTGCGGCGGTCTTTGGACGCGAAGGGCTGGACCGGATCCTGGAGTCTGTGACCTGGAGATTCACATCCCGCCCCAAGCAACGACCGACTTGACTGGCAAGTTATCTTCTTCCTGTGCTTCGATTCTCACTGTCAAATATCGCAGATGGTCTATAGGTACATCCCCTACGTGTATCCAGGCTGGAATTGTTTCCTGGATATGCTCGGATAGTTGGGGGCTCGGTCACTGGTTGATCGGGTCATTTTCGTTTTCTTTTTTTTTTTGGTTCCCAACACCGAGAATAGATGCTGGTCACTCTGCTTCGTTGTCTGCGTTCTGGGGGGCTAGACTCCCTTGCGCTGGCTGACATTTCCTTGTGATTTTCTCTTCAATCTGTTAGCTTAGTCTCAATCTGTATGTATCTTTGAGTATCATAAGACGCATACAAACCAAAGCTCTTCCAGTAGACAACATTATAAATAGAGAGTAGGGAGCACTGAATAGGATTCATGGAGGAAGCGACGTCCACATAAAAGTATCGATTCCATCTATTTGTTGCTGAACAGGTGGATAGCCTCATTCGTGTCCCTGCAAGGACATTCCTCCTTCCTGGAGTCTTGGGCTCGGGGTTTTTTTGCCTCGTCCAAGAAGCCTAGCACTAATGTCCATAGAACACTACCACGTCTAGACCCCAAAACAAGTCACTCATGCACAGAGAATCAGGTACAAGACAAAGTCTCCACTCGACAACAAACTGGGGAAAGTAGAGCTATCTGCATATGACGTCAGGGCCCTGCCCAGCAAGGTTCCGCTTCGGCTTTCAATGCTTCCTACTCTCAGTCTTTCTTGTCGAGGAAGAATAGTCAGACTGTCTTTTGCCTGTGAGACGTACCGCTGTCCTGCATAATCAAATTGGCTTTTTTCTGGGTGATACTTCTTGCCGCCGCTCCGCTCTTTTACCTGCGTCGCTGGACATCCGCCCCCTCCTCAGTCTACCGTTCTGTGGCTTGATTTCCGCGGTTTGACGTCCCGACTGGAGAACACCGGAACTTTCGATCTTTGGTATGATTTTCTCGATTCTCTCTGTTCTTGCCAAGCCGAACACTATTAAAGCTTTCTGTGTGCTTTGCTGTACCCCGCACCCAGCAAAGCCAGCAAAGCGTCTCCGACCATTGCTGACAGCCTCTTAAAGGTACAGACAGTCCACTGCCGAACACTGCATAGTACACTTCACACCTGTGTCATCAGCCTTGCGTAACCTCGGTCGCTCCAATGACTACCCTACACGAGGCCCTCCAGTGCCTCAAACCGACATCATGGGAGGAAGTTCCCCAATCCCCCGATGGGCTACGAGAATACGTACGCGACATCTTCAGAGAAGGTCGTTTAGTCGCAGAGTCTCTCCCGGATCCTCCGCCGTACGAGCACGAAGAACAATATATCGTGGAATCAGAGACCGCAGCATCCGGGCGGCGAGTCATTCCATCATCAGTCCGAGTGAGGGAAACGGATCCTGATATTACATCGCTGCAGAAACAGTGGGGGAAGCCCATTAAAATGGGCGGGGCGAAAGATAATCCGCTCGGTGTACACGTGTGGAAGTTGAATGCGAACGATCATGGTGGGCAGTGGTTTGGGAGACGCAGTGTGCACGAGGGTCTGCCTTTTTCACAATGGCAGAAGAAGCTTTCCTCCGAGTACGATGAGACACTGAAGGTGAATCGGAAAAAGATCGAGAAGGGACGAACACCTGACCATAGTATTCGTGGTATCGGTGCTGAAGAGAAGGTTGAGAACGTGGAGGTTATGGATGAGGATGGCTCGGTTATGGGCCAGGTTACGCTATATCATGTCTCTGCACAGTTTCCCAAGCCGACTGCCCCTCGGGACTTCGTAACTTTGATTATCACGTCTGAGCATGGGCTGCGCATAGGCGGCACGAAACACCCGGGTCGGAGCTGGATGATGGTGTCCAAGCCTTGCGAGCATCCTGGTATTCCGCCGAAGACTGGTTACACTCGAGGAGAGTATGAGTCTGTCGAACTTATTCGGGAGATTCCCAAGAGAGGTACTGAGAGCTCATCTGCCTCCGTCAGCTCTGGGAAGAAATCACAGAAGCAGAGCCCTGACGAGCCCAAGACCCAGAGTCCAGATGCAGTTGCTGCTTTGGACGAGGAGGATATGAACCCCGTCGAATGGATCATGGTTACCCGAAGCGATCCTGGAGGCAACATTCCCAAATGGATGGTTAACAAGGGCACTCCCGGAAGCGTTGGGGCAGATGCAGCCAAATTTGTCAAATGGGCTATCAAGGATGAGAATACTCCGAACAAGAATAGTAGCCAGAGTGGCGGCGCTTCATCCCATAATTCTGAGCCAAACTCGGGCGAACCGGACGACGATCAGCATTCTGAAGATGAAGATACCGACTTGACGGACACAGACGACCGATCTCATCATGGCTTGATTGCCAGCGTGACAGGTTTGCTCAACACTGGCCTCGAACGATATGCTCCTCAAGCATTCCTCGACTATATCCCGCACTACCACCACGACATACCAGGCTCTTTCCCACAAGCACATGATGATGATTCCGCATCCCAAAGCACTGAAGCTTCCAGCGACAAGCATGGCCGAAGCGCCGAGTACTTCGCAAACCAAGACCCAGACCATGCCTCCCTTTCCTCTGTCCGCTCCGAAGGAGCCACACCAGCGATGGAACTAGGACCGAATAACCTCCCACCGAAAGAACTGATGGAAATGACAAAAGATGGCAAGTTGAGTTCGCACGAGAAAGAACTCGCAAAGCTAGCCCTCCGCAAACGCGAAATCGATGCCAAATTGGACACAATCCGCTCCGAGCTAGACAAGCTCCACGTGCCATCTCAAAGCGCTCTTGTATCACTGTCGAAAAGCTCCCTCAACGATGTCGATAGCGATACAAGTGGCATGCTCAAACGCGCAGCTGAGAATCGATCCTCTACCCCAGTTAGCAGTCACCACGGTGGAGATAGTAGTGAGGGCCAGTCATCACAGACTCAAACGCCTGAGCCACCGGCGCATGTTCACAAGGTTGCCTCGCATCTCTTCCATGAGGAGTCCAAGCTTCTGAAACAACTTCGCAAGGTCGAGGCTAGCCAGCTCAAGGTTGCGTCGAAGATTGAGGCGAAGCAGAAGAAAGAGGCTGAGCGTTCAGAGAAGATGAAATTTAAGTCCGAGGTGGAGGGTTTGAGGAGTGAAGTCAAGACCTTGAAAACGGAGGTTGGCAAGTTGCGCGCAGAGAGACAAAAGTGGCTGGATCTTGTTGCTACGTTGCAGGCCGAGAATACGAAATTGGCCGCGGCGAGTACGGATATTAGATCTGGGAAAATTTAAGAGAGGCCGTGGATGCTTCTCAACATATGAATGCTTTTCCTGCGATTTTCTGCGGCTCGTGATATTATTAGGCGTCAGTTTGCTACTTCTTTTCAATTTTGGGTATTGTGGGTCAGCTAGAGCCGCAGCGTCTGTAGAATTCTGAACAGATTGAGCATGAACTCGCCATTTCAATAGTTGTATTCAGAAACCTGGTCTGTAACGCTATGTATGTGGCCAAAAAAACTCGCGCGGGAATTTACATGCGATCCGACCTTTCTGAAAATGCAGGACTGGTTTAAGAGACAGCCAAGAGCATTGGTGATTGATTTGGACTCTCCTACTTCCTTCTGCTGGGATCAACCGAAGAAGATATGACGACATCTTTCTAAGGGAATGGCCTCCACGCAACAATAGGTCTTTCAGACCAATTTGTCCGAGGAGCGCATATTGCGGATATGAGGAATGCAACATTGCAACGAAACGACACAATGTCATATACGCTTGCATTTTCGCTCATCAGAGCCCGTAATCGAGGTGAGTATGGGGATGAAATTCGCGATGCATTCCAAAATGCCTTGTTCAAGGCGGATATCATTATTGTTTCGGGAGGGGATGTGGTGGGACAAAGACGATGAGAATTCCCCAAGGTTGTTGGTAGTAGGGATCAAGGCTCAGCCGATTAGATCAAGACAGTCAAAGGTCCTGTTTTGGACACCGTCTATTCTTGCGTCTGAGAAAGCAACGGCTGTTAGTGAACCACTCGCGCCACCAGCAACCTGAGTTTCGCATACCTCTGGAGGATTACCAGCACCGCGGACCATCTTCTCAAGCATCATCACGCGAACCTTTTCTTTGGGTTCGCCCATACCGACGGACATGTATGAGAGTAGCGGGTTGTGGCCGACGTAAGAGGCGTAGCTGTCGCGAAGGATGTTGGAAGTCCACTCGTGCTTGGTGGTGTCGGCGTGACCAGTACCAATATAGCGCGCCTGGAGAGCCTCGAGATTTTGCAGGGTGCGCAGCTTATCGGCCATTTTGAAGGATTGCTTGGGGGTGTATAGGTTGTATGTAGATAAAATCGGCAAGCTGCGAAGTTTGGAGCCGAGTTGGGAAAGATCATCACGTGACCGGGTATCAATGGCACATTTTGATCACCTTCGTTCACGAGATTAAACCTGACCAGAGTTTCTTTCAAGCCCGGAAAGAGCGTTCATATTTTCGGGCTCCATGGGGTAATGTTTGAAGCTAATTTAATGGCCCCTTTGCCGTCGCGCATAGCGTCGCTGGTTCATTCACATTTCGACGCTCTGCCCACCCGCAGTAAGCCAAGCATCTTTCCAGATGGCTCGCGGGAGTGGATTCCAATGACTGGCATTGTTGCTGTCAAGGGTATGGTATAATTGTTACTTGGGTGATGACCACAGTAGCCTTGCTGATACCTTTAAGGAGAGAATACATCTTATGAGAGCCTGCACTGCATAGCTGTCACGTAAGTTGTTCTCAAGCTATGGACGTCGAAACGATATCTTCTCAACATTTCACATGATACTCAGATTACATTCGACCGTTCCAATGCTAATAAATGGATAGAACTGGCGCAAAATGTCTGTCCGCTTCTCAAATCCCCCGCTGTCGGGGTCTCGTGCTCCACGACTGCCACGCCGAGATATTAGCCCTTCGCGCCTTCAATTACTGGCTTCTGACTGAATGTCATGGCTTTATAGCCGAAGAATTGAAGTGCAAGAATACTGTCGATGAAATTCCCAATATTGAGAACCAGAGTACTCCAACATCCGCATTCATCCGCAAAAGAAATCAGTCATATCAAGACCCTGCACCAGCCCCGTCAATAGATTGGCCGCGTTTTGAACTTCAACCTGATGTCAAAATCTATATGTATTGCACCTGTGCACCTTGTGGCGATGCAAGCATGGAGCTCTGCATGGCTGCCCAGGAAGATGACACCCCATGGGAGGTAACACGCGAAACCAACATTGGCTCGAATACAGAAAGCGCCGAAGATGCCATGCTTGACGGACGAGCTCATTTCTCCCTCCTGGGAATTGTTCGTCGAAAACCAGCGCGCACAGACGCAGAAGCTACTCGAAGCAAGTCCTGTTCCGACAAAATTGCTTTGAAGCAGGTATCGTCTCTGTTATCGTGTGAGACTACTCATCTCGTCGCACCTACTGCGAACACGTACTTGGCTGGCTTGATTCTCCCAGAGGATGAGATTAGTCGCGTTGGATGCGATCGATCGTTTGGACCAAATGGGCGGATGGCAGCTTTGGCAGGACGGTCGTGGCCGAGTATTCAGGATTCCGCAGAGAATCAGATTGGGTTCCGATTTCGACCATTTGACATTCTGTCGGTACCTGCAGAAGAAGTTCATGCGATGTGGCAGTTTTCGAAACCCAAGCCTGCAGAGGTCCTGCCTAAGAAGAGCAAGCCAGGGAATGCGAGTGCAGTATGGACAGCGGCGCCATCATATTCGCATTCATGCAGGATAATACCGGAGACGGGGAGCAAGACTTTGCCTGCTTTGCGACGCTCTAGAACGGGAATCTATGAAACTCTTGTCAACGGAGTGAAGCAGGGGAACAAGGCATCTGCGCCTGGTCCGCGGGGTGCTTCATCGCTTTCTAGAGCTAAAATGTGGGCTCTTTTCCACGATATTGTCACTCTGAGAGCTTGCCATACCAGTCTTGAAACCGACACAGACTTGAATCGGCAGTCAGAGAGTGCTATGACTGAGCAATCTTTGGGAACACCTCGGAAAAATATTCAACGAATCAAGACGTATGAAGACCTGAAGAGAGTTGGTGATCGCCTGGAGGACCCGCTACGAGTTCGTGAAGAAGCTATTCGAGAAGCTAAGAAGGTCCTCAAAGGCTGGATCCCCAACGCAAAGGACGATGACTGGGGATTAGATGTACTGGTTGATCCTAAGAAGCGAAAGCGTTGAGATACCCGATAATGAATTATATTAATTTTTTGATTAAATAGCAATAGGCTAATTCTTAGGCAAACCTGTAAAAGCAGTAATATGTAAAGAAGTAACCCGTTGCTTTTGTGGGAATTTCAATAGTACTGTACACAGCGCATTTTTCATGGCTCGTGGCCAGCCCTGAAGACTAGTGGTCTCGGGGTTAGAGTCGGTGATGTTGAGAAACAGTGGTCGCGAGAACACTGTAGAGAAGTTGGTGATATACTGATGGTCCATGCTGGACCGCCTCAGTAGATACCAGGAATGATCTTGCTACGGACCATGGAGGTGTAGCGGTCCCAGTCAGCTCCGTACTTCTTTTTGCACTTTTCCTCGTCGCGCATCTCGCGGTGAATTAGCAGGACACCAAAGTAGAGCATGTAGAAGTAGGTGAAAATCATGCCCCAGCCACGAGTCTCGGGGGTCTGAACAGCCTGCTTCTCAAGTCTGCCAGTGACTGGGCTGATGCCCTCAATCATGGCATAGCCCGCGATGCCAGTGGGCAAGCAATAAGCCCACGACATGACCCAGTCGCCGAGGTAGTTGATGTGACGCGCTAGACCCCACCATCCGGAGGTCATCAACCTCGAGCCAGAGGCGGTCTCGATGTACTTGATGTGCTTCACGCGGGGATCATTTGGGTCGGTGCGGAATCGGTTCTTCTGGTTGTTGGCACCGCGGAAGATGAAGTATCCAACAGCAGTGACACCCAGCACGAGCGCGATTCCAGTCCACCCCAGTTGAAGAGGGAAGACGGCGAGATACCGGCTCTGGATACTGTACACGTGGGGGACCCACACTACGTCGCCGAAAGACAGCATGAAGCCGAATCCATCCATGATGATGTCCATGGTAGTCATGACAGCTGGCTCCATGTAGACTGCGTCCAGGATGTAGAATCCTTGGAAGATGGTAACCAGAATGATTGAGTCGGTCACGTAGCCATAGGTTCGATACTGGTGGGCCACATTGGAGAGGTTCAGAATGGTCCATCCCAGCAGGCCAGGTCTCAATTCCATGAACAACTTGATATCGATTGTACGCGACGCTTCATCGACGAAAGGAATGGGTAGGCGGATACGGGGGTTGAGTTCGCGGCCGATAAAGAAGTCGTACAGTGGGTTGCCAGTGTGACCACCGGGCGCCAACTCCCGCAGCTCCGGATTCGGCTTGCCAGCTTTAGGAACGGAGAAGCTGCGAATGTAGACAAATATGGCGATCACCGAGGCGATGAGGAGGTTGGCGGTGATGACCTGGATGTAGTTGTCCCACAAGAAGGTCCAAACCACGAATTCCGCTCCGTCCATGTAGGTCCCCGCAGCCAAGCCGCCGAGAATGACGAGAGCAGAGGGGAAGGCTATTAGATGAGAAAGTTTTAGCAATGTTGTAGAATGCATGCTTTTCCTAGCATTTCGACCAGAGCTTCATACCGTTGAGCTTGTACTTGTGTCGGCCTCCGCATGCCAGAGTGACACCCTCGACCACCTGGCCGGGGAGGAACACCTGCAAGAACAGACTGAAGAGATAGTAGCTGAGAGTCCAGAGGGTCGCTTCAATACTGAAGAGCCCTGCCACTCCCTCCTCGGGCCATCCCACCTCGCTCTTCAACTGATCGAGGGTTAGGGTCGGGGGGCTCAGAAGCCCCGGCGCGGGGCAGCCCGACACATCGTTGCAGACAAAGGTGAAGACATAGACGAGGATGGGGAGACCGAAGACGATTCCGGCAGCTCCTAGTCTGAGTGGGTGGTCAGTCAAAGAGCTTCACGTGGAATGGAAGCTCGAGCAATGACATACGGTCCACCGAACTCATAACCGCGCTTCTCAGGGACCGGCTGAATAAGGACCGATCTCACGGATTTCGACTTGTCGGACTTGGCAGATTTGGGCGTCATTGTGACAGACCAAAGAGTTGTTGCTCGGACGCAGCAACAATCGCGGACTCTTAAGTAAGGATGCGAGCTCCGCGTACGATCCCGGAAGCCGTGGGTCCGGCCCAGTTCCAATCGCTGGAGATGTAACGTAAGCTCCGACTTTGGTGAAACTCCACTTTCAACAGCAATCTTTCGATTATGCTCACATTGGTTGACCATGAAGTTAATAGGCTCTCACTATGTGCTTCTGCTTTTATCATCCCTCGGATTGTCCGCCGCGGAGACTTCTCGCCTGAAAGATGACGCCCCTTGTGTCGTCCGCTCGCCCACCAGTGGCATGTACTTCGACCTGAGCGCCATCTCATTATCGGCGCCGCAACTGAAGGATGGGAAACGAGTGAATAAAGATGCGCGCGACGAGAGCTGGCATGCCAGGGGTCACGATTACCCGGCCAACTTTACGCTAAACATTTGCTCGCCGGTCCTGGAGACGGTCGAGGACGTGGTGGGAGTGGAGTCGTCGCTATGGAAGAACATCAGCGCATACTACGTGCGCGATAATAAGACATATTCAATTGGGTACGGCGGTTCAGATGATTTGTGTTTGCCATGCTAACTCCTCCATCTCGGGAAACAGACAAGCGGCCGCCAATCCGATCTTCCGCGGTCGTAAACTCGTCCTAAACTACACGAATGGTTCGCCGTGCGAGGATGATTGGAAGATCGCCAGCTCGAATACCTCCATCCGAAGAAAGTCCACGATCATGTCCTTCCTCTGCGATCGCGATGCTTCGCCTTACCAGGCGACCCCCTCCTTTGTCGGTACCATGGATTCCTGTACCTACTTCTTCGAGGTGCGCAGCTCCGCCGCCTGTGGTGGGATCGCAGTCGATCCGAACTCCGGTGGGATGGGCCCGGGCGGTGTCTTTGGTGTGATGTGAGTTTGCCGCGCCCGAAACAAATGTCGCGAGCAATACTAATCCTCCTTTCCAGTATGCTTGTCGCCGTGGTCGTCTACATGGTTGGCGGTTGTGCTTATCAACGAACCGTCATGCACCAGCGCGGCTGGCGCCAGTGCCCGAACTTCAGTCTCTGGGCTGGGATGTTCGATTTCGTTAAAGTAAGTATTTTGTTTTTCGTTCCTTGTCGATCTCGAGGGACCAGGTCTAGCAACACGACGTTACATTCGCACAAGAATTCCAGCATAGCCGGATTGCCGGTCTCACGATTAGATTGAAATGGCTTCAGCTGGTTTGAAATCCCATTTGCATCTATAGAAGCGCTTGTTTTCTGTGTTGTCCTTGCCTCTCTTTCCCGTTTCTATCGGCAATTTCTGCCCCGGCACCGTCTATGTTGATCACAGCGTGTATTTTTCAAGAGTCATGACTTTCGAGTGATTTTCCGATTTTCATACCTCATTGAAACGTCTATCTGGTAATGTCCAGTGAACTTACTTCCTCTCATACTTGGTTGTTTGCTTTTGGATGTTGCTAGATAAACAACAGCTCCAAGGACTCGTATGCCTCGCGCTACACCTCTTGTTTTCTCTGACCTATCCTGGGGCTTGCTTCCATTTTCTCAAATTTCGCCATGGGACAGGGTGCTGACTTATCCCTTGCAGGATATGTTCGTCATTCTCTTCTCGTTTCTCGGACGATGCTTCCGTTCCAACCGACCTTCGCACGGCGGCTACACTCGTGCGGACGGTAACGATCGTGGTGGTTTTATCAGCGCAATTGGTGGCCGTGGAGGCCATGGAGGAAGGAGGGATGTGGATGCAGAGAATCGGTTGATTGATCAACTTGATGAGGAATGGGATGATTAAATTTGATTTTTTTCTTATTTTTTTTTTTCCTTGAAATATACCACGTTGAGAGACATCGTGTGCTCGCTGTGGGAGCCCTCTCAATATAGAACTTTCGGATACGCAAATATGAAACGCTAGCACATACCATTCAACCCCAAGGTCCATTATTCCTAGCCAGTCAGCACCGTCTACATTGTTTATATCCGCTCCTCGGGGCAAAGCTGCTGCCTGGAATAATTCGGAACGAACTCTCGCCGAAGGTTCCCGGCGTCTGGAAGTTTGCGCTGATGCCTTTTCAGATTGGGCCAATAATAATAAATCCGCTAGAGATCTAGCATCATTGGGCTTTATTTGTACATGTGTGCACGCTTAGATTGGTCTCATTTGAGTTAAGCGCGTTGGGTAATCCTACCATATCATGTATCCAGAGCACAAGCAAATCAACTTCCCATGAAGTTATGTTGGGGGTCCTGGGAATTTGTAGATGATTCCGACTTGATTCCCACCAGGCATATATATTTTGCGTCACTACCTGAATTTATTACCCGATGACTGAGCTCAAGGTCTCGAGGTAAGCTCAATCTATATCAGCTGAGATAGAATGATTGATTCGAAGTTAGCAATCAAGCAAATTCCACCTTACCAAGAATAAACGATGATCCGCAGTTAAAGACAAACCATTTGATCGACCTTAAATGTTGACAGCCGCGATGAACAAAATATTGCTTCATACAGCCAATTTTGCCAAGAGGTTCCATCAACTAGCATCATTGGTCTAGTGGTAGAATTCGTCGTTGCCATCGACGAGGCCCGTGTTCGATTCACGGATGATGCATCTGTCTAGTCTTCCTGACTTGGTTTGAGGAAATATTTTTTGAGCTTTTTTTCTTCTTTAGTCTTTAAATTTTCCTTATGGTAGCTACTATCCACAAATTTACATCAATCAGCATCATTGGTCTAGTGGTAGAATTCGTCGTTGCCATCGACGAGGCCCGTGTTCGATTCACGGATGATGCAAACAAGAAGATTCTCTCTAGAAAACTAGAGTGAAGTATTTTTGCCATTGCTTGCCATTTCTCTTCTTTTTTCTTCCTCGCTCCCTTTAAACATGACCAACCAAGCCCCCGTACCACCGAATTACGCTTCACTGGCACAAGGGAATACGCATAGATCATCTAACCTATTACGTAAATTATTCTCGTGACACTCCAGACGAAAGATTAGTTGGAAGCCTTTCAAACAGACTGAAAGTCCAGGCCGTAGCCAAAAGCTACATTGCTCACAAGCACCAGACTGGAATCATGAACATACTTCATTCAACAGCTCACCCAGAGGGCTACGGATATACAAGTTGGAGACACTAGTCAAGACATATGTGCGGAATCACAAAAAAACGCAATACTGCTGGCTTTTCACAAAAGACAGCGCAGAGAGGAAGGAGGGAATACACCACCAACTGAACCAACCTAAGCGCTACCAATGAAAACAGGAAACATCTCGGTCATGAAGGCACGAGGCAAGTCATCACACCTATCGTCGAGAGTCCTGGCTCATGCCGGGCCCAATGCCCAGCTCAAAGGCACTGAGTGGCCCGCCAAAGCCCGGAATATCATCACTACCTACATCTGGGACAGAGCCTGGGGTTGGGCCTGAGGGTGGTTGACCGCCTGAGGCTGGATCGAGGGGTGGGTTTGCTACTCCGACTGGGTCAAGGTTGAAGGGTAAGAACCATGCGCTTGGCTGGTAGAACTCGCCCGCTCCAGCCGGTGCGCCCGGATCTGGTTGACCAGTGAAGAGGGATTGGTCGGGACTCTGCTCGACGCCATTGGTGGGGTCCATAGGAGGATTGTTTGGGAGAAAGGTGTTCGGATCGAATTCGCTGATTGAGCCGTAAACAAATTGGCGGTCGAGCTGGGGTAGCTGATCCGGTGAAATGCTGAAATCAAAAGGGGGCTGACCGAAGGGCATAGAGCGCGACTGAGAAAACATTGAGGGTTGGGGGAACGCGCTGCCGGGGACGCCCGGGGTGTTTGCCATTGTTATGTCCATTTGCGATGGAGAGGTTTGGTCCATGCCGGGAGTGCTGTCGGAGAGCTTGCTGCCTTTGCGCGAGCGTGACCTGCGAGGGACGGCTGGCTGTGGTGTTGGGGATAGGCCGGCGAAGAAGTCTTCGACACTCTGGAGGTCGGGCTTTTGTCCCATGACAGCATCATCGCCAGTCTCTTTGTGTCGGGTGTCTGGGTCTTCCCAGTGTAGTCGGGACACACCGTGAGGATACTTGTCAAACCAGTCACCGTACTGGAACATCGGGGCCAGCGTGGTGCCATTTTGGTTCGCCACAGATCCTTTGATGGCTGCATCGGCAAATTGCCTATACCTATCCTTGGCGCTTTCAACCATGTAATGAAACATGCCCCAATACTTCTTCATCTTGTTGAGGTAGCGGTACGTATGTCGGAGATTCTCTTTGGATCGAGCCTCCAACTGCACATTTTTGGAGAAGATACCCCAGATATGAACTGTGCTAGCTGTATAGGCACAATAGCCAGCAAAGGGTACTGTAAGAGGATAGGCGGAGGCCCGATCGAAGAGCACGGAGATGTTATGGGCAGCCTCCACCGCAGCTCGACCGGCGTTGCTGAGGAACGGCTTAGGCATGTCCCTGGGAGGTCGCCCTCCAGGCGAGAGGGGAATGGCGAACTGGTTCAGGAATAGCGTATTCTGATGAATGATGATGTGAAGGAATAGGAATTGATTTGCAATTTTCTCCGCGGCGTGGATCTGGAGATTCTCGTAGGTGAATACAAGGGAGTTTGGTAATGAGGCCGAGAATTCATCGATTTGTCGCTTCATACGCGTATATTCAGAATCCGGGTGCCAAAGAGGGTGAGGGTCCTTTCGTTTACCCCCAAGGTTCAGATAGTCGACAATACGACCCCAGATGACGATGGCGCGAATGATATACGCTGATACTCCCATGTTATCCCTGGCATTGGATAATTGGCCGAGATTTTCTGGAGTAGGATTGGGAATATTCCCGTCCAAGTCTTCCGTAGGCCCTGGTATCTCCATTTGAAAGTGGGTCTCTTTAATTGGAAGTTGAATGTGAAGGAACTTCTCGTTTCCAATAGGTGGACGCTGGCTTCCCGACGAGTTGTATCGGTCCATCAAGTAACATGCCCACATGGTTCGCCGTCGGATTTCTCGATCTGTGAAGCTCAACTGCGACTTTGTTTTATTTTGACCTGCCAATGGATCCTGCTCGAGTTCTTGGTGGAGCTGTAAGGCGTATGCCATCCTTAATGCCTGACCTCCGAAGGACCAGCTTCTTCCACCGTGGCACGTGCCAAACTCATGAAGTCCAAGAAGTAAGAAAACAGTAAGAATAGTGATATTGGGCTCGTCGTGTCGACTAAGAGCAATCGCCGCGGCGGGATTGGCCCAGTTCTCTCCACGCAAGAACGGAGGATCGGAGTTAAGCTGTGGATGTGTGGAGAATCGGGTCGATACAGCGCAGACGGCGAGAATGAGGACAGGGGGAACTGTGCCAGCCTTGAGCCGGCGCATGAAGCTCGGTTTGTGTAACAGGAGGTACGACTGCCCATAAACACAGTCGAAGAAGACTTCAGCTAAATGTTCCTGTATCTCCAATGAAGGTAAGAACTCCGCGCCTTCGGTCAAAAGCCCCGTGCCATCGGTTGACTTGATTTCGCGATTCATTGGGAGCGTTTCATGGGGCGGTCGACGGCCTCCTCGAGTCCAATCGTCCAGTTCCGCGGCAAATGCCTCCTCTGCACTTCGTTTCTTCTGCGCCTTGGTCGGTTGGGCTTGAGAGGGCTTCACTATTGACCTGCCGATTGAAACCATATCTCTCGCCTCGTCTTTAGGAATAGTCTTGATCACGCGATCTTCCATTCGCTTGAGTCGCTTGTCCAGCATAGCCATGTAATCTGTTCGCGGCGCCGCTTTCCTTGTGGTCACTTTATATACGCAAGGGATCCTCGAGCGAGTACAGTGCTTGCAAGCGGGCTTCTCGCCTGAACATCGGATCTTCTTCCTGCGGCAGGCAATGCAGGCTAGCGGCAGCCTCTTCCTTTCTTTGCCCGCCTTGGTCTTCATTTCACTCCAGACCGGCTTGTCATCATTGTCATTATCGGCGTGTGCCGAGTCAAGGGCTTCACCGCTGTCATTTTGATTGAAGTGGTGGTGGTCATCTTGCCCGCCGTGGTCGGGGCCATTCGCGGGGTCGCCTGTGTGTGTGCTATCGGGGCCGCGGGAACTTGCATGGCTTTGCGTATCAAAGTCGTCTGGGAATGCCGCCGATTCCTCCTGGCCCAGCCGAAGCTTGCACCAGAGGTTCTCAATGGCGAATCGTCGGAGTCGGGAGGGATCATGACGGGTGCGGATACCCCAGGATCGAAGCCCGAAGCATCGTTTGGCGCGGTCGTGAGGGTAGAGGAAGGGTCAGATGACAGCGAAATCCAGGATCGGGTCTTGAAGGGTCTTGAAGGGTTGAGGCGGGCTAAGTCGGGGTCGGACGGGGAAAGTGAGGAGATTGATGGAATATGAGAATATGGGGAAAGGTTCGGCGAATGGCGGCTTGGCACGAGCGTCCACTGGCGGCGCAAAGATTACGGAGCTCGCTTCACTTGGGATTTAATAACGAATGACTAGGCCTGTAACTCCAGCCACATAGTACTCGCCTGATCACGTAGGCGCCAAAAAAGAAGAGAGGAGCAGTGCAAGGACCCACGGAAGCGAGATTCTCATGTTACATGCTGTCCGGACTCGGCTACGATCACATCACTAACGTTGACCCAAGGCATCTTGACAAGCTTTCGGGTGCCGTGACAGTGCCGTTGATTACTTACACTTATCATCTTGGAGCTACGGCGGAGCTGTAAAGAACAATAGACCGTGGCGATATCGATAGTCCGGTCGTTAGTCGTTACCCCCTTCTCGCAAAATTCCCTGCGGGTGGTCCTCTCGGGCCGAACTATTGGTGTGGGACAATCGATCGGTGAGTCGATAATTTTTCGGACTAGCGATGACTCCGAGGCCTAAACACATAACAAGGGACAAGGATGACCCTGGCTCTCCAAGACTTGAATGGCTAAGTCTCCATATATCTCTTCGTAGCGCATTAAGAAGCCCTCTCCACCATCAGATACCGCCGACTCTATATGTCATGACCGCAATGCTCTGCCATTAACTCATCAAGTGCTCCACGAAAGGCAATCCCGGTTCATTGGCTGCTATTGGACTTATGTGGATTTCGGGCGGCCGGGCTTCCCGCGCGGTGTCGCCTGTTCAAGTGCATTCAAGATCTCCAGGCCAAGACAATACACGTTGTAGGTAGGGAAGACGATCCAGAGTCCACTGCAATAACTCGATTAGATCCAAGATACCTATGAAAAAGGGTGCGACAGGCTATGTGCCAGGTCAGACTCACTTGGGAATGATCCACAGGAAGATTATAGCCGACATATCATTGTGACCAATGTTGTCGAAGCCCGAGAAGATCTCATTCAGCCCTAGATCTGTTAGCGCATGCTTATGCGACACAGAAGGTAGCACACAGCATACAGTAAAGCATGGTCTTGCTCAGAGTCATCGCCGAGGCAGTGTATGCGACCAGGAGCGCAATCGCGCCAATACGACCAGGGACGACTTTGTCGCCAGTCAACATCCACACAAGGCCCTTCTCCGTCTTGCGCGCATTACGACCGCTCGTGACCGTGGAGCCATAGAAGTATACGATCCACAAGTAGTAGAGGTAGCCGATGGTCTCAACAATGTTCATCACAGTCTGCGCAGCTGTGAAACCATTGCGCGCATTGTAGGCAGGCCAGCCATAGATATAATCGACCGTACCGTAGAGCGCATAGGGGGGTCCAGATGGGCGAGTGCAGTCGGCCTCCCGGCATACTATGTGGGCGCAATAGAACATAGCCCGCATCCCATGCGACCAAGGGCACGGAAATGACAAGCCAGATTGTGAGCGCAACGGAAGGTGTATGTACCCATTTGCGCGAGCTGCCGTTGGTCGTGGTGGCGGGTGAAGACTTGACCAGTTCCTTCGATGCCTTTTCAGGTGAGGGAAACTCCCTAGGGTGGTGTCGCGTGGAGACCATAGTGAATAAGTCACGATGAATGTGACAAGAGCAGTCAAGGCATAAGTCGCGCGATCGCGCGCGTTTGAGTATACGGGGAATGTCGAGGGAGCATTGAAGGGAGCGCTAAGCTCAGCTGGGGAGGAAAAGGCTGGGGCATATTACACCTGGGGCAGTTACGGCCAGTGACGTCGGCCTGCTGCTTGCGGGCAACATATGCAGGCGCGATCACGTTTTGGGCCAAGATTTGCCTTCATGCGCTCCGCTGCTCATTGGCTTAGGGTTAGGCCCATTTTTGAGTCTCCAAGACCGAGTTTACAGAACGTCTTGGCTGGTACTCCCTTGTGTGTGTACTCCGGGGGACTACAGCTTTACCCCACGATGGGCTCGTGCATCACCAGAGTCGACGCCAATCGGCGTAATCTCCCCTTTTCTCCCCTTGCGCAGATTGCACGGACTACGCCAGGCACATTCCATCTCTGGTCTTCCGGGAATCATTCCCAGCTCCAATCTGTACTCCGATGGATTTGCATGATGTTTGAATTCCAGTGGTGCCTGATAAGTAAGGCGTCAAAGAAAGGTTGATACAGTTCACGTGATTGAAGGGACGATTCAGATAGGCGGAAAGCTATTTGCGGGAGGCGATCGTAGCCTAAATTACATTCTTTCGCGATGCGCTCCCTTTCTCTCCCCAAAGGATAAATTGTGCAGTCGTGATGGATGACAAGAGCCAAAAGGTTGGTATCTACTCGTTGAGCTCACTTCACGAAGCATGGTCTGATGTCTGACTGCCTGCATAGGATCTTCAGCGCTTGGCGCGGGTTCGCGACAACCAGCGAAAGAGCCGTGCTCGGAAGCAAGAGTATACGCGGGACCTGGAGCAGCAGCTGGCGGTGTACAAGAAAGAAGCGCAGCAGAAGGACATTGAGCACAGGCTCACCCTCCAAAGACTGGACTCCGAGAACCGGAATCTCCGGTCCCTTTTGGTTTCACTGGGGGTGTCAGTCGATTTGATCCAGCAGTATGTGGATTTGGCTGATCAAGGCGTTGTGGCGGCCCGTAAGGTCGCAATCCCTGCCATGCAGCGTCCCAATAAACCAGGTCCCTCCTCATCTCCGACACGTGCCTCTACAGCCTCTCAAAGTACCAATGGGGGCCCAAGAATAGATGAAGCTGCAAACCCAAAGGTTTCTGACGGATGCACCTCGGTAGAGGCGAGACCGACGGAGGGGCAACCTAAAAACTTGGAAAACCCAAGCCCTCCTCTATGCTGCGCCAATTCGGGGCAAGGGAGCTCAAAGCTCTGGCCCGCTATATCTAATGACGATTTGATGAACACGACCATGTGTGCCATTGCGGACGAATTGATTGATCAGTACAACACAAGTGGAGCTGACATTGAAGAGATCCGGCGGAGACTTTGGTCTGGCTTCAGATCAGAAAAATCTGGCGACGGCTGTCGCGTACAAAATCAAATTTTATTTCAAGTGTTGGATGAAATCAGCAATAACATGTAATCGATCAGCTGAGAATATGGGTCTGACAAACTACCAATTATGTCGCTTGCCAAACCACTTGACTACATACACCAACCCTAATAACACGGGCACTTCCACCAGAGGCCCAACAGTGGCCGCCAAAGCCTGGTCGCTATCTACGCCGAATACGGCGATGGCGACCGCAATAGCCAACTCAAAGTTGTTACTCGCAGCAGTGAAGCTCTGGGTACAGGAAAGCTCGTACCCAAAGCCAAGTCGCCGGGTCACCAGCAGCGTCGTTAGAAAGATCACAGCAAAATAAACGATCAACGGGGCAGCAACCCGAACCACGGAGACAATCTGATGCACCACGTGCCGGCCTTGCGAGGCAAACAATACCAGGATTGTGAAAAGCAGGCCGATCAGTGACAGTGGACTGATCCATTTCAGGAACTTTTCTTGATACCATTTCTCCCTGCCAAGCTACGCAACCCGAATCGAGTCACGATGGCGGCGCCCAGTGGAATTCCGAGAAAGACACCGACACTTTGGGCCACTAAGGAATAGTGTAACCCCGAGATATCCTCGTTGCTTATGACCTCGATGAAGAAGATGGCCATGGGTGCAAAGAGCACCATCTGCAAGACAGAATTGATCGCCACAAGGATCGCGCAATATTCACTGTCTCCACCGGCAAGACCTGTCCAGATGAGAACCTACTTTAGTTAGCGGAATGTATCCCATTTCAGTAAGAATGAACCTACCATTGCAATGCACCGGGCTATCCCCACTATTATCAATCCTTCCCTTAGTCCCCTTTCATCAGGAAGAAATGCCCACGATAGAGCTAGCTGCATTTGCGGTCAATATAGATAGGAAATGACTCCGTGTGGAAGACCTACCATGAAGAAAGGTGCCACGAGCCAATTTACCACCACGCTAAAAGCGACCTGGATCCAAAGCTTCTTGGAACGGAATGTTCGGTGCAGAGTTTCATATCGCACTTTGCATAGGATCGGATACATCATAACCAGCAGTCCGACGGCTGTAAAATTAATCAGTCAGAGAACTCTCACGAAATGTTACGTTCGTGAAAGAAACAGATGAACGCACCGATTGGTACAGACACGCCAACAAATTGTCCCCTTTGTAGCGCCGGACCTGTACTAGGGACGAAGTTCCCAAGAATAATTCCTATTGCCATAGCCAGGAAAATCCACACAGCGAGGAAGCGATCAAGAATCCCGAGTTGTTTGAATGCGGATGTGTGTCTGGCCGCATGGTCGTGGATCTCTTCATCTTTGTCACTGACTCCGGGTTTAGAGACGTAATGATGGTCGTTGGGGATAGATGTGGGAGGGTTAGCCTCCAAGTCCGACATGTTGGATTGTACTTTTCTCAAATAAAATATGCAAATCAAATAGCAGAAAACATGATCATCATGTTCTGGATTTTATGCAAAAAGTCTACTAGATGTTGTCTTTTGGAATCGCTTCGGCCAATCAGGGGGTAGTAGTGACATGCGCCGTCCGTATCACGTGACCAACCCGACTCACGCTGAGGATGGACTCGCCACGCAGAGAAAGGCAATGAGGTGGTAAGTTTATGGGCTGGAGGGCAAGGCGACGGAGACAACGTCTCGAGATGAGGCTATCCAAATGGACTGCATTTGACTTTGACAGTTTGACTTCTTTCCATATTGTCCGGTCCGGATAACTGAGAAAATGAGGACTTGCCATGGATCTTTTTCAGGAATCCAAAAGATCTCACCTTCTAAGCTAAGCATAGAAATAATACTACGAGGGGCAGTTGTCCTAAATGTTTTGTCCAAAGTCAAGTGGTCGAAGCCCGGATAAAGATTGAAGTGGATTGAAACTAAGGGAAAATTTTTTTGAATGGGAAATGACAAACCATAAACAATTTGCCGACGATTAGCCGTGCATAAAAGCAAGTCCAGCCTATGAAGTTGTAACGCCTAGCAAGGAAAAAAGAAATTGGGCAGGGATCGACTCAGTCTCCATAATGAACACCGCCGTCAAGAAGCGTTTGAAGTTTGTTGGGACAAGAGTCCGGCCGGTAACTTCCCGAAATTTCCTGGTTCCCAATCTCCACAGTCCCCAAACTCTGCACTCCAGAAACTGGAGTAAAGTTGAAGATGGTCTGGGTCAATTGTGTATGAGCTCAATTTCAGAGTCCCCACCGAGGGACGACATCGGACAGGCGCCGAGCAACAGCGATAAATGGGATTCCATTGTAGTGCGACGGCTCCTGGTAGTCTTCAAGACTGTATATACAGCTTGAATTCATGATGTCCCATGAACTGATGGCTCCGGGTTCGCATGCTTCCCGTTGACCTTCGGGGACCGATGAAGCGGCACTCACCCGCTCGAGGCCGGTGTATAGCGTGGGGTGAACACTCGGTGCGAATGCCGGAACACCGTGGTCTTGACAGACAGCAGGATTTGACCGGCAGCCAACTTTGAGAGACCAAGACTCGGCCGGCAGGCTTAGTCGGCATGAGCTTCGTTGAGCGGCATCGGACCAGTCCGACATCAGGCGTTGGGTCGGGTGAGATGGCACGTGAGTAGGCGGATCCTCTCCCATAGGAAGCCGCGCCAGAAGGGCCGAGTAATCAAGCCTCTCTTAGAGGGAGTAATGCTGCATGAAGCTAGGACCTGGAGTACATCGGCATCCTGGAGCCCCGCACTCTCTCCTCCCACGCCTACACCGCAGTGGCTCCCGTGATCCACTTTTTACCCCAAGGTCGTGTTGAGCGCGAACTTTCCAAAGACATGATAGTCTTGATCAGGGACTCGTAGCTAAGGCGAACCAAATAACTCGGGTGGCCATTGGAAGCGTATATATTGCTGAAGCCCAAGTGTTCGGTCTAGAATCCATGGATCGGGCAAACAAAAGCATAAGCCATGTGGGATCGAGAGCGCCACTCATATCCATTTGCCCCCACTTTAGGGACGGAAAGGACCAAGTTATTCTTGCGGGAAAGCATCATCCGGGTAGGACCTGGGTAGTGTTTTACCACTTTCTCAACGAGGAGTTTCCCCATCGGGCAAGAAAGATGGAGATCGCCTGCACCGAGTATCTCCAAATCTCCCGCTCCTCCTTTCTCTGCGCGTTTGCCATGAGATCTACATTATGTTTTGCATCATCTCCTGCAGGATACTTACTTTTGGATGTTTAATTATGCTAGATGAACGCCAGAACGCACTCTTCTAGAGAGTCTCAGCTGCTGCATTCCTCGAACGGAGAATTAGCGGGCGAAGTACAGTACCGCTGGAGCGGGCACGGACGTGGGGTGTGGTAGAAATGGCTTACGGCGCCGAAGTTTAGGCGGCTGCCGTGTTCGGCGTGTGCGAAGTAGAATTGTTAAGTTTGTTTTACATTGTAATCGCACTGATCATGTTACGCGAGGGTGCTAGGTTCCAGATCCCCTTGAATCTCAGGACAACAGGGGGTCCATGTATCCCGCCTCCCTCACATTGCCAGCCTCTCACAGTTGCACATTCCCTTCCCTAAGGGAGGGGGGGCTTTTCTATGCTTAGAGTACAGATTGTAATGGAGTGCCAAGGCCAAAACAGAGAGACAAAACGCGTGTCTGAATGTCACGTAGTTTGGAGGCTTTCCGGCTATATGCCGATCGTTGCTACATTCTCCACATCTCCAAGCTTCCCCGTGTAATGATATTTAATGGAGAATTGCGACATGCACTAGCATCCCTGTTGGTCCCTTCCTTGGTCCTCGAACATTTAAATCGACGTGGATTCCCACAATATCCCTGATTCCTGTCAATCCTCCACCACTTCCACAGCTGCGAGATTCGGCTCTCTTATATTCAGAGAGTCCCTGAAGCAGTCCAGCCTTTCACTACCCTGCAATCATGAAGCTCGGGTGGTTGGAAGCTGTCGCCCTGACGGCCTCGGTCGCCGGTGCCAGTGTAAGTAATCTGCTTTTGGTGTCTGATTGGGTTGAATAGAACTGACGTGCCGCGCCGACAGGAATTGGCATACTCTCCCCCCTTTCTATCCGTCACCCTGGTCAACTGGTGCAGAGGACTGGGCTGAAGCCCACAGGCGCGCTGTTGACTTCGTGTCGAACCTGACTCTCGATGAGAAGGTCAACTTGACTACTGGTGCTGGGTAAGCATACTTCCTAATCCGGAAATCAGATGTGGGACTAACAATCACAGTTGGGAACAAGAACGATGTGTCGGTGAAACCGGTGGTATTCCCAGGTGAGTCGGCGCACGATATCAAAAGATTTCTGTGAGTCAGAGTCATTGACAGAAATCGCGTGAACAGACTTGGAATGTGGGGAATGTGTATGCAGGATTCACCCCTCGGTGTTCGTGACAGTACGATAATACCCTTTGTTGGTGATCGACGCGAGATGCTAACCATGAACAGCTGACTACAATTCGGGTTTCCCTGCCGGTATCAACGTTGCTGCGACATGGGACAAGAGACTCGCCTACCAACGTGGTGTGGCGATGGGTGAGGAACACCGCGATAAAGGTGTCGATGTTCAGCTGGGCCCCGTTGCTGGACCCTTGGGTGAGAACCCCGACGGAGGTCGTGTCTGGGAGGGATTCTCTCCGGATCCCGTTCTCACCGGTGTGATGATGGCCGAGACTATCAAGGGTATCCAAGATGCGGGTGTCATTGCCTGTGCCAAGCACTACATCGGTAACGAGCAGGAGCATTTCCGCCAGGCGGGCGAGGCTCAGGGCTACGGATACAACATCACTCAGAGTATCAGCGCCAACATTGACGACAAGAGCATGCACGAGCTGTATCTCTGGCCCTTCGTCGACTCGGTCCGTGCCGGCGTAGGCTCCATCATGTGCTCCTACAACCAGATCAACAACAGCTACGGTTGCTCCAACAGCTACACTTTGAACAAATTGCTCAAGAGCGAGCTTGGCTTCCAGGGCTTCGTCATGAGTGACTGGGGTGCGCACCACAGTGGTGTCAGCGATGCTCTTGCTGGCTTGGACATGTCTATGCCCGGTGACGTTATTCTGGGTAGCCCTTACTCATACTGGGGTACCAACCTGACCATCTCCGTGCTGAATGGCACCGTACCCGAGTGGCGTCTGGATGATATGGCTGTCCGTATCATGGCTGCCTACTACAAGGTTGGCCGTGATCGTTACCGCACTCCCCCTAACTTCAGCTCTTGGACCCGCGACGAGTATGGCTACGAGCACTTCATTGTGAGCGAGAACTACGTCAAGCTCAACGAGCGCGTCAATGTTCAACGCGACCACGCTGATGTGATTCGCAAGATCGGCTCCGACAGCACTGTTCTGCTGAAGAATACTGGCGGTCTGCCTCTGACACACCAGGAGGCCATGGTTGGAATCATTGGCGAAGATGCTGGCTCCAACGCCTACGGTGCAAACGGCTGCTCTGATCGCGGTTGTGATAATGGTACTTTGGCTATGGGCTGGGGCAGTGGTACTGCCAACTTCCCTTACCTGATCACGCCGGAGCAGGCTATCCAGAATGAGGCTTTGACCTACAGCGCTGGCAAGACCAACGTCTTCTCTGTTACCGATAACGGCGCCCTGGCACAGATCGCCGACATTGCGTCGCAGTCTACCGTCGCCTTGGTCTTCGTCAATGCTGACTCTGGCGAGGGCTACATCAGTGTCGATGGCAACGAGGGTGACCGCAAGAACATGACTCTCTGGAAGAACGGCGAGCAGGTCATCAAAACTGCCTCCGAGAACTGCAACAACACCATCGTCATCATGCACACCCCCAGTGCTGTTCTCATTGGTGACTGGTACGAGAACCCTAACATCACCGCGATTCTCTGGGCTGGTCTGCCTGGACAGGAAAGCGGACGCAGCTTGGTCGACATCCTGTACGGCCGCGTCAATCCCGGCGGTAAGACTCCTTTCACTTGGGGCAAGAGCCGCAAGGACTACGGTGAGGCTATTCTCACTGAACCCAACAACGGCATTGAAGCTCCTCAGGACGACTTCACCGACGGTGTCTTCATTGACTACCGCCGCTTCGACAAGGATGGCGAAGAGCCCATCTACGAATTTGGACACGGTCTGAGCTACACTAGCTTCGAGTTCTCCGACTTGGAGATCACCGTCTTGGATGCCGACAAGTACCGTGCCACCACCGGCAAGACCAAGAAGGCCCCTGTTCTCGGCAAAGCCGGCCAGGCATCTGACTACTTGTTCCCTAGCGGCATCAAGCGTGTCACGCAGTACCTTTACCCGTGGCTCAACTCGACCAACCTCAAAGAGTCTTCCGGGGACCCTGACTACGGCATGAAGACCGAGGACTATATTCCCGCTGGCGCCACCAACGGCAACCCCCAGGAGCTTCTGCCTGCCAGTGGCCCCTCGGGAGGCAACTCTGGTCTCTTCGACGAGCTGATCCAGGTCCGTGCCACCATTACCAACACTGGCTCTGTCACCGGTGATGAAGTCCCCCAGCTCTATGTGGCCCTCGGTGGTGACGAAGACCCTGTTCGCGTCCTCCGTGCCTTCGACCGTGTCACCATCGCCCCCGGCCGGCAGCTTCAATGGACAGCCACCCTCACTCGACGCGATCTTTCCAACTGGGACGTCTCTGAGCAGAACTGGGTTGTCAGCAGTGCCCAGAAGAAGGTTTATGTCGGTAGCTCATCGCGCAAGCTGCCTCTCTCTGCCGACCTGCCTACGGTGCAGTAAATGCTCTTCGAAAATCCTCCAAGAGTTGTCTGAAAATTAGCTTCACGCCTATTTTTTTTTTTGACTTTACAGATATTACTGCTTTTTGCACATAGCTTTGTTGGCGTTTCATTGCCATGATTATTGGACTTTCATTCCCAAATGACCAGCGATTTCAATTACTTCTGGCAAGGTGTAATCCGCTTCTAGTATCTCCCGCATCTCGTTTGGTGTCCGATGACTCCACAGCCGCGATTCCAACTCACCTCTCCTCATCCATTTCATACGATCATGTCCAAGCTTTTCTTTCTTGGCCCTGTATAGCAGCACATTTCTTGCTCCTTCGAGATTGGCCCAGAAACTTGAAATCCTCTGTGAAGGAGGGCGTTCTAACGGGTCGGACAAGCGGTGCATATGATTATGCGCACTGTCGGCGCCCCGGTCGGGACAAAGATGTGCTTATGATGTGATACTCGGAGTTGAATCAAAAGCCGATTTTCTCCGACTTCTTGGCTTCTTGGCTTCTTGGCTTCATGGCTTCATTTTCCCGGGTTGGAACGTGTGAGCTTCTGAATTGGTAACTGCGATGTAGATAATTTATGACTCTTCCCTAGTTCTTTGGTGATACTCAATATCTACATAAAGACCGATTTTATCATCACGCCGCTAAGGTCTTTGGCCAGGGTAGTCTATTCTGTGATGGGAAAATTGTCAATGGAGACTAGATAGTTTGCTGCTTCATGGATAGAAAAAGGGTGTCAGATGATTTGGAACCCAGCACTTTCTACTTTCCTTTCGTTAGGAAAAACGACTCCATGCCGCACACTGAATTCCAACAAGGATTGTCCAACAGGTAAACCTCAGCATCGTAGAACTTAGCTGCCGGGCATCATTCCTTTCACTGCCTGATTCAAGTCACGGTCCTAGTGTTCGAAAATACCCCAATCCTGGTGAATAACCACAGTGGCTGCCGCGAATGGCTGTGAAAGCCAAGGAAAGGCGCAGTTCGCGTGCCCTATCGTGGAACAAGCGCCGGTGCAAGGTCTTGGCATGCTAGATCAGTAAGGCCGCGCGAGGCAGTCTCAGGCGCATGTAGTTGAACCGGGATACCAGCTGACACAATATAATGACGTTCGTGACATTTAGTTGTTGCTCGACCAAATTGTCAAATTGAAGCGGTTCTTTGTCTGCGAACGGCATATTGAACGACTCTTGGCGGCGTCATCTACTGCTTGTCGGAGCTATCAGCGCAGTGGCAGTGCTATACTTGCACCAAAAACCTCGGCCCTGGACACATATTCGGCTAACAGCAGCATGGGAAGACCCAATTGATACATAAAAGGCAGTTCTTTAACCCAAGCCGCCAACGTGTGCCATGCCACCGCCAAGATGGCCTAAACCGGCCAAGAGATGCTATACCTCGCCGAGAGTCCGCCAAGTTGTTACATGCTCTGCCCAGGGGTTTCTCCCGGAGGTACAGAGCGGAAATTATTCTTTCGAAACCTTTTTTGACCATTTACAGCCTTCCCAACGAGCCGCCCCCAACTCCCAATAACCGTGGAAACCCCCCCCGGTCCCCCGCCTCGCTCGATGGCTTCCCCGTATCTTGGCCATCCCCATGCATTAGGAATAACCGACAGAGTTCGGATTACCAAGTTTGGTTATCCGGTAGCCTGGGCTAGTATGATTGTGCATGTGGTATATAATCGGCTGGCCGTCATGGGCCCGCTTGCCATCCTTCAGTGCTTCGTTTGATACGAGCTGTTCGCGCCGTGTCTGGACAACATGTTCGGTATCCCGAAGTTCTTTGGTTGGAGAGGCAGGTCTCTCAACCTGGCTATTAGTTCTCTTGGAAGTCTTGATTTTCTGTACATGATTATCGTTTGGCTTTTATTGATTTCTCGAGAGATAAACTGACTATGACTAGACTTTTCGGTTATGACCAAGGTGTAACAGGTGGTCTTCTAGATCTACCATCCTTTATCAAATACTTCCCCGAAATCAATACCACCGATGACACTATCGATAAAGCAACAAGATCACAGCGCAGCTTGAACCAGGGCATTTCGGTTGCCTCGTACAATTTGGGTTGTTTTTTCGGCTCCATTTTGACCATCTTTATTGGCAATCCGCTTGGCAGACGACGGACTATCTTTTGCGGCTGCTTGACTATGGCCACCGGAGCTTTGTTGCAAGCGACTGCGTATTCCCTGCCTCATCTGATTGTGGGCCGCATCGTCACTGGGATTGGGAATGGCATGAACACAAGTACCGTACCGACATGGCAGTCAGAATCCTCCAAGGCCCACGATCGTGGAAAGATGGTTATGATTGAGGGTATGCTCATCACGGCTGGTATTACTCTCAGCTATTGGATAAATTATGGTAGGTGGTATAAGCTGGACACCCGTTCGAATCTCGTGCTGACGAACCCGTAGGTTTCTCGTTCATTGGGGATCAGGAGGTAGCCTGGCGCTTCCCACTTGCGATTCAGATTCTCTTCGCCGTGGTCATTTTCACCTCAATTCTCAACCTGCCTGAGTCTCCACGATGGCTTGTGATGCAAGGTCGGAACGACGAGGCTCTGGAGATTCTCGAATGCCTCAATGAGAAACCTCGAGATGACCCCTATATTGTCAATGAACTCATTTCCATCCAGGCAACCGTCCAGGAAATGTCCAAGGGCTCTTACAGAAGTCTCTTTGATATGAGTGAATATCGTGAATTTCATCGCGTGGCACTCGCCTACATCAATCAGATGTTCCAGCAAATCTCTGGAATCAATCTGATCACGTATTATGTGAGCTTCTCAAACTGTGCTTATATCTCTGGCCCCGTCTTACCATGATGAATCAGGCACCTGTACTGTATAGTGAGATCGGACTTGGACAAGGCAATTATCCGAAGTTGTTAGCAGCTTGCAACGGTACGGAGTACCTGATGGCTGCGTTTATTCCCATTTTTATTATTGAAAAAGTCGGACGTCGCCCTCTGATGCTTTTCGGAGTAAGTTCATCATCATGGGCATCGTCAAACCTGGGTCGGCTAATGAATAAATTTTGTATTTCAGGCCGCAGGCATGTCCGTCTCGATGGCTGTTCTTGCTGGCACTAACTACCGTCTAACGCACTTGAACGATAGCCGGGCCGGCATTGGACAAGCTGTCTTTCTTTTTGTCTTCAATACCTTCTTCGCCATCGGTTGGCTTGGCATGACCTGGTTATACCCAGCCGAGATCGTGCCACTGCGAATCCGTGCACCAACGAATGCATTGGCTACCAGCGCCAACTGGATCTTCAATTTCATGGTGGTGATGATCACGCCAGTTGCGTTCGACAGCATTGGATACAAAACGTACATTATCTTCGCTGTTATGTATGTTGACACTGTCCAATAATTCCTGGACCTGGAACTCGGGCTGACTATTACAGAAATGCATTCATCTTCCCCTTCGTGTACTTTTTCTTCCCAGAGACGCGCTATCGCTCCTTGGAAGAGATGGATACCATATTCAAAAAGTCGACAAATGTGTTCAACGTCGTGTCTATCTCCGTCAAGGAGCCTTACCGCTACGATAAGCACGGCCAGCTTAAGCCCGAGTATCTCGAAGAGGCCATTCGCCGTGAGAGCATCCGTCATGATGGGATTGATGTACACGTCGCCGGTGAGAAGCTTGACAGTGATGACAGTGGGAATGAAGTCAAAGCCTGACAAATTGAGATTATATGCGGCCAATTTGGACCGAGTTTCATAGAATGAATGTATGTGTCAGGTTTAGATATTTTCCGTTAGCCAGATAGGGCTGCATCTATCCACTTGAGACTGGAAGATTGACTTGAGTAGCCGGACCTGTATGAAAGGCCATGTAAGATATGCTCGGTGATGGTGTAATACGATTCACTCTATTCACACCTTCAACATGGTGCCGCGCCCTGACCGCCGTAAATATTTCATGTCAGGCCGTTACTGATAGTTCATCATGCAGATACACGAATTGACTTCAAGAATTAAGATCGGATAAGGGCTATCTTGATGATTTTCATTCGCTATTCCCTCCTGACTATTTGGGAGGAGCCAAAAATCCGTTGGCCGGTGACCGACGAGGGTGGACCCAAGGTAGACATGTAACCACTGTACCCATCAGAACCGAACAGTTGTGTATACTGTACGATGAAGGGACGATATCCAGGGACAGGTAGCAATCATGTACTAATCTCGTTCATGATCTATTCTGTCTTTCTTGACCGGTCGTCGTCGCTGGAGGAAAGGGAGAGTGAGGACGAAAGGCGAAGAGAGCTTTTGGTGACAAAGTTACATCCAACGACCACGACTGCATTAAGCTCAGAGAAACCTAGGAAGTGTATGAACTTCTCATTGATCCAAATCAGGCTTATCTTGAAGGTCAGAGGTCGAGTCTGGTCTGGTCTGAATATTTGGGAAAGGGGGTACCTAATCCGGCCGCCAAGAAAAGTCATCATCTTCACAGCAATCCCAGTTTTAATTTTTTCCCCCTATCGAATCTCTTCGTGTCAGCAAGAAGCAAAGAATTCCATTTGTGATCGACCATCGATCCCCAGCCGGTGATGTCAGGGACTTTTTCAACCACCAACCAGCCACGAGCCTCACACGCCTAAAGCAATAGTTTTCCCGAACTTGTCCCGAACCCGAGATCCCTCAGAACTTTAACTGCGCCCATTCGTCTATTTAGGCAGGTCTTCAAGCCCAAAGGCTCTTAGTGCATATAATTGTCGACGGCATTTCGCTGGGAATCATTATATGTCACCATTTCCCCCCCAGAAGCCTCCTCCCGGAATTGACTCCTGTCAACCCAGGATACCAGTCAATAGCATCTTATCACAGCTACAGCCCGTCCCTTATGAACGTCAAGATGGGTTGAAACACGAGCTCGCCCGTCAATCCTTTGTGCGGTGAATCAGAAAGCCACCTGAGGCAGTTCATTTTGCGCCCCCTATTTGCTTGGGAATCACAGTCAGAATGGTTGGCGAAACCGGCCCAATCCATGTGTCGCGGGCGATAGCCATGGTGATGGCAGGATTGTTCGCGCTCTCCTGCTACAATGTCTTGGAAATCACCATCTCGATTTTTGCCACATTTCGACGCCGCAGCGGTCTGTACTTCTGGAGTATGGTGATCACGACGTTTGGAATCCTGCTACACGCCATTTCTTCGTTCCTTCGCTACTTCGACCTCGCCCCTAATTTTGCAATGGCGGTCCTGGTTATCCTTGGCTGGTATGCCATGGTGACCGGTCAGTCCGTGGTACTTTATTCACGACTCCACCTGGTTACTACCCATGCGCGATACTCCCGCTGGGTTCTCTACATGATCATCTTCAACGTCTTCGCCTTGCACATTCCCACCACGATCCTTTGGCTCGGAAGTAACCACGGTGTGGCCAAATTTGTCGTGCCATTCAACATCTACGAGCGCGTGCAATTGACCGGCTTCTCGGTCCAAGAGACCATCATCAGCGGTCTCTACATCTGGGAGACCATGACTGGATTACGATCTCTATGGGCTATGAAAGGCCCCACGGGTCAACGAGTCATTGTGAACATCGTCCTCATTAATATCATCGCCGTTTTGCTAGATGGGTCTCTTCTAGCGACCGAGTATACCGGAAATTTCGATATACAGACGACCTATAAACCCTTCGTTTACAGCATCAAGCTGAAAATGGAATTCACAGTGCTCAACAGTCTACTCGCTGTGGTCCGCACGAACCCATCAACCATCGAGGATATTCAATCCTTACGCAGAGATGATCTTCACATAGAGCCGAAATGGAGTGGCGACCGTTCCGACCGCGCAGCTACGGTCAATACCGCTCTTGGCGTTGACGATCAAAGCCATCGGCGAAAAGCAGACAAAGCCTCCTCTACCCAAACACATCACTCGTGGCTTTCTGGCAGCCATCGAATAGAATCTGCGTGAGACCTCCAGCTCTCTGTGCATTACTTCATTCTTTCCAACGCTGGCTTTACATGATACCCCTTCTGTCATCCTTCTTTTTTCTTTCTTGTGTTCTCCTGGAGCAGCTTCATTGTACACTTAGACCATATTGTAATTCCCAAACCATCAAATTCACTCAAAGTATCAAATGAGAAAAACAAAAGGTCTTGTCAAGACAAAAAAAGTTCGGGCATGATGCACACTGCGACCTCACTACTCGCAGCTAGGAAGCAGAGCTGAAGAAAACCCCTTAATCAATTCTATCACCCTCATCACCCTTCCACCATACCCACGCATGTTCACCCCAGATCAAAGTCTCGATGACAGCAGATGTCCCCAACATGACAAGCACAAGAAGCTTGAGTTTCTTGCGAAAGGCCAAACTCTCGAAATTCATGGCCAGTTGAGAGTCAAAGGGCTTCGAGCCCAGATCTGAGCCCCGTTTAGGCTGTTCGTGTGTTTCGTTCATGCGGCTGGCATGTGTTGTGAATGTGGATGACGCCGACGGTAGTGCGCATTGTCGGTGTGGAGTGCGGGGAATAGCAGATAGTGTGCGGGTGGGGAGTGGAGGCTGGCTCTGGGCCCGCGCCAACAAGCTGCTCTTGGAGCATCCGAGGGATAAGCGGAGTGGGCTAATGGATACACTCATTGTTTAAAAAAGGGGACTTGGTAAGTGTCTGTAGGAGAGAGAGAGAGAGAGAGAGAGAAAGGCGTCAAGTGCTTGCGACTAATGTTCATGCGATGTGGCGGGGGCCTGAGGTGTCAGCGTCGTGTGACACGCTAGTCTGGACTTGTGACTGCACTGCAATACCCGATAGGTCGGACTTGCTTAGAAGATCTGGGAGAAGAAAAATAAATGGGACTAGAGAACAATATAAGAAATATAACCTCACGAATTCACTATGAAGCTTGAACACGGTGCCTAGGTATCAATCATCCCCTTGATTTCCACCTTTTACTCTGAGGAGGGTTAAGGCAGAGAAGGCAATGCTATTTGTTAAGGTAGAGCTTTCATGAGCCTGAGAAAGTAGAATGTAGACCCCAAAGCCAAAGACCGGGGCCAGAGCCGTAGATACCCAAGCTATGACACACCAGTCAGAAAGGCCACGAAAGGTTGGAAACCTCGAACTCACAAACAGTTGTAATGATCACGCCATACAATCGAAACAAAAATGATGCTTGGATTTCTTGCGACCGCAGATCTCGAATGTTGCTGGCAATTGTCTCTGTCAGTCCTGTCATCTTGATACTCTTCATCACGCCAAGAGCTCTGGAGGTCACAGCAACGCCTTCCTCGACAGCTTCAAGCCACGTGCCCTGCGCATTAGCGGAAGCAAGTGCAAGTGGAATCCCAGCAATCAAACACACTGTTGAGTCAGTCCATGAGATACCTTTTTTAGCTCGTGATATTTACTTACAGACGATCACGACCGTTGCCGCGATCGTTGCGACATTCAACAGACGGGCAAGCAGCCCGAGGGCAATCACAACCTCGATGAAGTTTCCATAAACCTCGTGAATGTCAAGCAGACCATCTCCAATGCGCTCAATGTCGGTGCTCATCAAAGTTACGGCTGTTGCATCCGAAATGGCCGAGGTACTCAACCGAAGCGTCTTGTCGAAGATCATGGTGACTAAACTTCCCCTGACCATGGTAATGAGTCGAAATACTTTGTGTGTATAGACAGCGTATGAGATCTTAAAGAGGTGTTATGAGTTTTTTTATTCCTCTGAAGCCATTGTTGGTGGAAATTTTTGACCTACCGCAATGCCAACGTACACGATTGCATACGCTGCGATGAGACCGCGAGCATACTTGTCTGAATTAACGTGCTCAGGCTCAGTCATAAAGTCTAATACCCGCTCAACAAGAAAAGGCTGCGCAAACGTGAAGACAGTATAGCCAAGTCGAGGTAGTATACCTGCCATAGAGGCCCATTTGTAATGAGACGCGAAGGTCCACAACAAAGCATTTGATCGGTACTTGTCAGCTTTGGACTATCAGTTTCTCATCATGTCATGTCCATAAGCTTCGAACGTACCCCTCTCCCAATCTTGAAACAGGCCTTGAGGGTTTGATGCCTGCTTAATGTCTTCATCCAGGTCGGGCAAGGTCTCCACGGTGAGGGCTGTCCTTGACCCCTTCCACAACAGGCCATTCAGCCACCAGAACAAGCTGCGACTGAAGACACCGCTCGTGGTCTCGAAAGAGCTTTCCTCAAACGGCTTTTTTAACAACGGTCTCTTCTCTATTGACTCAAGAACAAGAACTATAACCTTGCCGAGCCATCCCACGGCGAACAGAATCGTCACTGGGCGATTATGTGGCATGAAGGAGAGCGTTCGCATACGCGCAAGGTCAAGAAGCGAACTTGTCCCTAAAAAGAGACAGAGAACTGTTGACGGGCGCAGGGACCGTAGATGCTCCAAGTGTGACAAATAGATGGCCAAGAAGGAAGTGAAAAGTGTGACCAGAGCTGTTGGTACGGTAGCTCTCGTCTTGGGCGTAGGTGATTGGGCCCAAATAATCAACAAGCTGAGTTGAAGAGCTACATATAGTAGCATAGAAATCTAGTTGTGTTCAAAATCAATTGATTGTTGGCGTCACGCCAAGAACAGAAGTCATACCTCCTTCGCTGCATACAGCCATGATCGATTGACCTTCTCCGAGGCGCGACGAAGAACCCAAATCCGAATAGAGGCTGCCAAGAGGAAAAAGGACATTGGAATTAGAGTTAGAACTAATTTCTCGAACAACAAGGTGAAGTCGAAACCATTGCGACAAGACGCGTCGACTACTGGGCCGAAGAGGTCCTCATCAGCGACAGAACATGGAAGCTCTAGGGAAGCGAGCTTCATGGTGATGGCAACGATGGCAAGAAAAATGCAGATCGCTCGCAGCACATGGAGAAAAGAACATGATTTTATTGAATCAGGTGAAGCAGGGGCTGAATTGAAGGATATCGTTAAGCGGATGCCTGATCCCAGGTGGGTCAACAGTGGAGCAACGTGAGTGGTAGATCCCTGGTCGATCATTCCAACCTGAGAGCCCGACTCGCCCTGGAGCAATGGGGTACATGTATGGGCATCGACGAAATTCGTCACTACATGAGCAAAATAAAACCGTTGATTATGCGGAGGACATCTCAGAAGAGGACAACCTAGTTGATTCCCCTATTTTGCGTATTTTAGACGCCTGAAACCGGGCCTTCAACCTCGTCAAAAATGACAAATCATGAGTCATGAGTGATCTAACGGTCTACCTATTGCATATTCGGCACTGCAAAGTTACACACCTGTACAGCAGCCGATAAATACCACGGACTCATCGTGTTATTGACCGACAGATTCCCTGTCACCTCCTTCCTACCTTGAGCGATACTATATTCGCCCCAGTGAGCGGAGAACTAATGGAGAAAAAGGTGGGAAAATAAGTATTCTCAATAATAAACCTTGCTGGAAAAATTATGAATTCAATATTTTCAATTAGTGATAGGTGAATTTGACCTATACAGCAGGAGCCCAGCTATCACATGATGGTTCATTCATACATATTTTACATGGCTGTGTAACCTGTGCTATGAGCAGGAGGCGCAACGGAGTGGAAGGTCGTGTTATAGCTCGGGTCTGAGATGGAGGGACAGGCCGTGTTGTCCTTTTCCAACCAGTCGCGAGGCAGGTTCCGAGTTACAATTCCGGCATGAAGGTAGGTACTCATGACCAGGAAATTCTGGCAAGGTGCCAAAGATGACTTACACGGGCAAGGAAGCTTTAGATGAATATCCGTATTCGAATTCCGTTACAACGAAATAGACAACTCGCATCCCGAGAATCGGTGCAGCAATAATGAGAGCAAGAAGCAACTGTGAAGAGATGAGCTGGAAGATCACAAAAGCAGCGAAGAGGTGAGATTCTAAACCTTCTTCTCTCCCGAAATTCGGTCGCTGTGTATGCTTGCCCTGAAAGACAGAAGAGTCATGCCAGTGATTATAAACCAGCCCATGGTCACAATGGTCATGCCGGCTTTCAGTATATTGAGATTTTTGCCACTGGCGGCTGTCAGACCGATTCCAGCGCCTATAACGAGGTGAGGAATGAGCATGGCGGCATATTCGAGAAAGGGAGTAAGGGATGACTGGATAGAGGTATTTCTACACTAATGTCCTAAATAGGATTTGAGATATTGAGAAATGTATAGAATGAGATCTTATGACTCGTGCCAAAGGCCCAGAGCTGCGAAAAGAAGAGGAGAGAGGCCAATTCCTACGATGATGGATGCAGCGCCATTGGGCTTGTCGGTTGTGGAGGGCTCATGGTAGGACATTCCATTACCAGCTAGGCGTAACCCACACATGAGTATTACATAGAGCCAGCCAACAATCCCAGGCTTGCCGTGCTTGATAAAGCAGTAGATCGCAGGGAGAACAGCTAGAGCGTAGAAAGCAATGTTGGCCAATTCAAGAGATTCCGTTGGTGATGTCGTTAGGAAATACTATGGCAAACTTGAGATTGTTAGAAGAGAGTATAAAAGTGAAATAGTTCTTTGGAAAAGCTTGGTTGCCTAGGTAAGTTGAAAGAATTGAAATTCATGATATCGGGGGAACTCACAGCGATTATATGTCTACATGGATAGTAAATCTGTGAAATTTTTTCGATCTACTCCTTGGCGCCACCGAGTCTATCTTGGGGGCTGTGTGCAAAAGGAACGCTGAATGTACGGATCAAATCGGTGTAGGCATCTTGTCAGATGTAGAACTCTACGGGAGAACATGGAAATGGGACCGAAACCGAGCCTTAGCGCAGGGTTGACGCATGTCAGATCTGCTTTTGCCTGTTAACAGAAGGACGTACTTCACAAAAAGTTTGTGCTCTGTGTTTGAAATTTCCTTTTCTAATAGTCTGAAATCGATTAAGCCCGATGGTATGAAACGAGCTGAGCAGTCGTCAAACATGCTTTCATGTAGGCAATAATCAACCTTTGACTAAAGTTTTAGGTCCTCTCCGACCTGCTGTCAATGGAATTGTCCCTAATGAGTGAAATTCATTCGAAGGGCATCGCAATTATGGTATTATTGTTTCGTCTCACTCAATATAAAGCGTCTATCATACTCTGGTTTAGCCGAGGAACGATAAGGCCATTCTTCGATGCCTCTTTCTCGTCGGCAACCAGATTGAGGGCCCAAACCATAGTCCACTTCCAATCAGGGGGCATGATACTGTTGATGCCACGCACCTCGCGCTCAGGGATTCCACGAAGCCACCAAACACTATCAATCTTTTTCGTCAATGCAAATAAGTACGCCAGAATCACCAGAGCCCGTGGTCGTTTCTCATAGACAAAATCGAGGAACTCGCCAGGTACTACTGGTGGAAACCCGGTGAATAGCTTGCGAATGACCCAGTCTGGTTCTCCATTTCGTATGGACACGTACAAGCGCTCTAGATAGTCAATTGTATCACGGTATGCCTTTTCTATTTTTTCATTCATATTCTCTTCCTCGCGATGATACTCAAGGAGAAAGTGGAATGTTTTGTCCGGGCCCGTGTACGGTCCTTGGAACCACACCATTGGTTGAGCTAGCAGTAAAGGACACAGACGTGACTTTGACTGTACCAAATTATGATAAACTTCCTTCAAGACAGTTCGAATGCCACGTGCCATTGAGAGCCATAATAACGGGGGCTCATACGGTTCTGTGGAAGGCTCCGACCGTAGAAACAGCGTGTACAGCGAGATCAACACAGCATTCAAGCAAACCGATTCGCTTATACTGCCGTCAAGCTTGGCGGTCACCGGGCGGTGTCGCTGAAGAGCAGAATCGATGTAAGAATGATAAACGGGGCGCAATAAGCTTGCTTCGTCTGGAAGGAGCGTGGCGCGATGCGCCGCACCAAGGGCAAGTAATGTGTGAAGAAGAGGCTCGTACTCAAAGGCCATTTGAGGAACTGAGACACCCCACATTTCACGAACGCCCGCTAGGTGGGCCGAGCTCATCGTTTCTGCGGTGGCAGCCACCCAGTGATGCATGAGGCGTAACTCAAGGACCCGCATTCCAAGCCCCGAAGAAGGTAATGAGGGCTTGAGTATTTTTCGCGACAGGATGCTGGATGTTTTGGACTGAATAGGATCGTAAACATGAGTTGCAAATGAAGGGTACTCGCATGCTACCCCGTGGCGGGCGCAGTGAATGCATCGGGGCCGCGTTTCATCGCACTGTTGACATGTCGGCATTTCCAGCAAATTAAGAAGCCCCCTCGCCTGATCTTACCTTGACTTTTCGTGATTTGCAACGCAGACATCCTCTGGTAGATTTCCGATGGTTCAACCGGGGTGGCATGGCTCTGTAGTCGATCTCACCGGAAGAAGATGGATGATTCCTGTTCGGTTTCGGATTCGGCTATGTAATATCAGGTCGGTTTCGTTCACACTTGGTTCTTTTCGGTGAAGGTGCCAGCAGCAACTTTATCACTCGGGGAGGCGCAAGATTTAGGCCACCAATTCAGCTCGCTTTCGATCTCGGGTTGTTGCATAGTTTAGGGAATAGCGTGGGGAATGCCGACCATCAATTGGGTCAGAATACGGCCTAGACCCACAAGGCTGTGCGGGACCAGTCACTTGAGAAAGCTTGACATTTTGGTATTGAAGAGAGTTGGCTATTTGCAGAATCATGCTACCTAATGAGAGATCTCGCACTGCCTCGAGAATTCAAATATATTTTAGAGATCGTTCAGCGTAAATACGCTCTCAATTTTTTAGTCTTGATATCAGCCCATTCGATTCAACGAGCGCCATCCAGCTAGGAAAGCTTTGTGACCTCTATCTCGTCTTCAATCTCCTTCAACTTAAAATCAATTGTCATGGGTCTCATCAAGACTGGTCTTTTCTTGGCTGGCGGCTATGGCCTTATCAAGGCCGCCTCCAAGTGAGTTCATTCCACTCGATCCTTTCAAGGCTATATCTCCTAACAGGGTCATTCGATAGAGCTGCACATGAACACCAAGATAGAAAAGACAAAAGCCACGACAAAAACCAGCCTCATTCCTATCACAATCAGCAAGATCAAGCTGGTCATGATCAACAACTGGGATACTGGTACCAAAACCAAATGAGTAATATCGACCCGCGGTCACAATCTCGCGCCGTTGTGCCTCAAACGAAGGATGGGCGGGGTGCCCCTCCCCCGTACTACCAGCACGGGTCAGCTCAGGAATACTATTCTGGAAAATTGAACTAGGGGGGATCATTTGGAGATGACTGAAGTGATTGCAATGAATGTTTGAATTTTCCACTGCGGAATTACTGTTCTGAGCAAAGGTGTTTTACATGCGCATACGTAGATTGATCATTTCTTTCGAGGTTCCATTCCAAGTCCCTAATGGATCAAGCGTTGGGTAGAATTGTTGGATGATAGTGTATCCGTTTGCAATGATACATAGTAGCAGAATCTGTGGTCTAACTTGACCTCTTCGTGGTCACAGCCTCGCCCGAAAAATAAACCACCGAGTTGGCTCGAATAAGATGATCTAAGGCCCGCGTGGCTCTCATTTGAGACAGTATGGGGAAATGTCAAGCAATCACATTGCAAGCCAAGTACGATGCGAATACGACACATCAAATCGAGTTCAGGGTTATGATCAGCCCTGCGGGGGTGTAACAAAAATAGTAACCTGACATGAACATGGGAAATACGTGATTTTCACAGTTGGAACGATACGAAGAGGCCAATCGGGTATTCTTCATGGCAGAGATGTTTTGGCCCCAGACTTCGCCCCGACAACTCAACCAATCTCGAACGAAGAATCAGCCAGGCCACCATGTTTTTTTTTCCCGCAGTCATCACTCGATACGGTCTAAGCCCCCCAAGTTGCGCCCCACTTGCATCTTATAACGCGAGGCAGATTCAATCTTGCAATGTCCATAACAAGCTTAAGGGAGGGGCCCCCGGGAATTCGATTTCCACCTTCTCTAGTACCTGCTCAACTAAGGGCGCCCAATTCCCCATCTCTTGTCGTGTCAGACCCCAGCACAGGCTTTCAAAACGTGCACTGGAACTAGCAATCAAGTGACAAGATGTGCTCCTCTCCTGCGCAAGTCCGACCGGCGGAATTATTGCAGCAATCCACGCAGAAATGGCAGCAGTCAAGTATAGCACTGTGGCGTCGATCGACAACGGTGTTATCCCACTCGAGGAACAAATGCCATCAGACCACTGTGGAAGCCTGGCATCGATCAGCAGATACATGGGTAAACTCCAAGACTCGATGCCGCCAGTCAACGGCAGACGTGTTGGTCAAGTCTGCGAATAAATGGCATCAGACGGCCGAGCGATTCTATCAGAACTCAATCCATGCAGAGGCGAAGAATGAGGGAAAGCTCGTCGAACAGCCATCTGAAGAGAGAGCATCACCCACATCAACTCGTCCAACACCCTCTCCAACATCCTCTCACTCATCTCAGTCTCCAACGTCTCCAACATCACCATCTTCGTCATCGCCCATCAGACAATCTCAACAAGCACCATCTCCGTCTAAAATGGACGTATCCATGAGTCACATGGTGGAGACCAAAAAGTCGATAGATGTCTCGGAGATAACACTGGAGAAGCAAGTGCTCGAGACCATCAACTTGACGGATCAAATCCTGTACCGAGCAGCGTCCGCAAAGCAATTAAAAGAATTCAAGCCCGAGCTCCTCGGCGAAATCGAATACAACTGGATATTCGCCACAATTTCCGACGCAGGCAACGCAGCACGAGATCTGGCCAAGTTCGTGGAACCCTACCGACTCGAGCTCCTGAAGCACAAAGGCAAGCTCAAGTCCAGCACTCGGAAGCGCTGGATACTCAAGGATTCGCAACTCGCTCTCGAAAGGAGATCCAGACTTGATCTGTTCCAGGAGAGACTAGAGCGATCCATCAACCATCTCACCGGTGATATCACTCCGCCGATGTCCCCGCGACGAAGCAACGACGCTGTTCTGGCCGAGCTTCCTCAGGAATCCCGCAGTGCTCGTATGAGTAGCACCGAGGTTCCAAATGAGACTCGAGTTACCTCGTCATCCTACGCCGAGCTCCCCGCTCGCTCGTCCCACGACTCCGACCCTGCATCGGGCGTTGCAGAACTTCCCGGCGACGGGCCCCAGACTCAATTGATGCCTTTGAATCCAGTGCCCAGGATCATTGTCACACAAGCTCCTGGTGAAATGATGCTTGACCGCGCTGAGCTCCCCGACCACGAACAGTACATGTATGAAGCGTATGAACTTGATGGGACGCTGCACTGGGATGAGACGCGCGACAATATTCGAATGCAGCAATCTGAATCTCTAGCGAATATTGTTGCGAAGATGGACCTCAATCGAACCCGGTGATGGATGGAATTGGGCTGTACCCTTTTTTTCCGTATCATGATGCATATGAATGACAATGAGCGATTTTGCGAAGCAGACGGATGGCGTTATATTTAGGGAATATAAAGGCAACATGAACCATAAATATTCTTTTTTTTTTCAATTTTCTCAATCTCAATATGTCGATTCCACAGTAGCCATCGTATCTGACTAGAGACCGAAAGGTCATCTGCCCAGAGGGTTTGACGGGTCGACTCCGAAGGTACGTTTCAATTCGCACAGGACACATTACATCTGACAAAGGCTCGCAAGAGAGTGCTGGGCATGGAGAGAGAGAGAGGTATCAAGTTCACAATTCGCGTATATTGGTAGTGGGATATTGGCATGGCTTATCATTACTTTCTATTTACATAACCGTGCGCGACCCCGGCTTATTCAGGCTTTTGTCCGTATACCATGTATACTCGTGTATACAAATGGATCGAGAGGTCTTTCAACTCACGTCGAACACCTGCCAGCAGGGCTTCGATTTCATGGCGGGGCCATCCAAGCATGCGAGTGAACAATGCGTACGTGTATGGCGGCATTGCTTCGAGCATGTTGAGCTGGTGGTATCTTCCCAATTCTTTGTATTTGGCATCTTTCGGCCAGGGACTTTGGGGTAGCTGTCGGAAGAATTAGCATTTGGTGACATCTGGTGACAAGTGAGATTGGGAGGGAGGGAACTTGCCTTATAGACCACTTCATGAACGTTAATAAATCCGGCTTTTTCCATGATCCCCTTCCATGAAGATGCTGCGTCTGATTCCTTCCCGAACATCCGTGATGACAGTTGAATGTACTTGACGGCCTCCATGAGACACGTTGCTTTGAGATGAGTGCCGTCATCCGAGAAGGTGGCGGGTTCCATGGTAGCCATCTCGAACCAGCCGTTTGGTTTGAGATTTTCAAAAGCTTGCGCGAATAATGTTTCATGGTCTCGAATGGCCCCTGCTAATTCACGGCCGTGGATGTAGTCGAATGGTTTGCTGAAGGACCATGGCTGTTCAAAGTCATCGATTTCAAATCGACAATTTGGTGGTACCCTTGGGGACTTAGTAATTATGTCTCATTGGTTTTTCTGAATGGGATTCTTACCAAGACGGTTGAATAGGACTCAAGTCAACCCCTACCCAAGTTGAGTCCATATTTTAGCGGCGATGTAACTTGAAGACTGAGAATACTCACCGATTACTTCTGCTTCGGGGTTCTCACTTTCATCAGTTAGCGAGGTAGCTTTGTGACTGTCTTGCAAAGAAACTTACTCTGCAAATTCAATGGCCCAGATCCCGGTACCCGTTCCAATATCGAGCACACGTCCTGATTTTTTGATAGGCGCTAGATGTAAAACACCTTTGAGAAGCATCAAATAAATATGATGGCTCTGCTCTTGTCAGAATTCTTCAGGGCAATGGTCAGAGGAATCAGCACTAACCAGATCGAGACGATCTTGTTCCTGTTCATCGTTTGGCTGGGCGGGAAACAGATTAGATCAGATCAAATCAAATCAGATCGAATCAGGTGATCGATCACGCATTGATAGAGATCACATACCAGAAAATATTCGCCCTCGTGGTATGAATGGTACCGGCGACCGTTCTAAGTAAATGGTAAGCAAGGGTTTCATTTCCATGACAGGGCCATGCCCAAGAGCCCTCACCTCATATCTAATGTATAATTAGCGACATTTCAATCACGAAGACACAAATAAGATATCATTCTAATCGGTCAGACTTACTGGTAATTCAAGGCACTCGAAGTGAGACTCTCGGTGTACGTCGTAGAGTCGCCGCTAATCGTAAAGTCAACACTATACACATGAACATCCAAAACCATGAGAACTTACGAGCCGGGATAAGACGAATCAGCATCCGATAGCTACAGCGTGTCAGTGATATTTCGCTAGGACCTGAATTCTCAAAGTGACGAACATCGGGTTCGATTGGGTTTGAGTTGAGAGCCATATCGGCATGCAGCACCAAAGCCCGGGGGTTTGGAGTGGACTCGAAAGTATAAAAGGGGAAGGGGATAAACTAGAATAGAGAAAAAGAGAAAGAAAAGAGCCACCGCGGGCGTCTTAAAACCCCGTCCTCACGGCAGACTCTGAATGACCCAAGCTGTCGGGTTCGCACACTCTTCAGCTCTCAGTCGCACTTTTGTTCGACTGGCGCTGGCACAAAAGGACGTCCCAGCAGTCTGGTGCGGACTGAAAAGGGCTCGGGATGTCGCAGTCTCAGAAGGAGTTGACTGCTAGTGTAATCAATGCGTTGCACTGATTAGCCCGTCCGACTCGACCGTCGTGCAGGACCTGAAAAGGGTGGGCCACGCCCAATCAGCAGCCGTGGTGGGTCGTGCCAAGTTGAGTACGCTGTGATACACCGTTTTTTTACATACTCTCCGATTCCCACCGCCAGTCCCTCGACGCTAGCCTCCTTTTTTTTGGTTGGGGGGGGGGGGGCGGAGGAAGAACTTCTTTCGCCCGAGATGCTATAGAGATGGTTGATAGGGGGTGAACGGGAGTAACGGGATGATCACGGGGAAGAAGCGTTTTAGGGTGCTAATAAGGAGACGTGCCCCAAATGAGAAATTCTCCGGCTTAAGACGGTGTGTGCCCTAGTCGCCTCGTTATGCAGTGATAGACCCTGTAGCCTAGGAGGGAGGGAAGGGGGGGGGGGGAGGATTTGCCACTAAAAGCGGAGATGGAATAGGCGCTCAAGTTGCCTATCACCGTAGGGATAGCCAACAATCCGGACTTGGAGGCCTTTGCACCTTGATCGATACCACAGAAGCCACGCAGTTCGGGGTCAGAGCAACTCTTATCTGTAAAAGGCACTAGTCCATGTCTGCCGTCTACCCTTTACAATCGTGACCTACGGTCCGCGTGCGAAATAGGCACCATCACGTGGGCGGTTGGGTCTCGCTTAGCCTTAGCTGTGAAAGGTCTAATTCGTCATTACTGATCAAGACACCTACGTGTCATGCACCGGGTCATAAACCCGCCTCCCGCGGAACGGCTCAACGGAAATGCATGCGAAGATCCGCAGTGGGCGGTTCAGACCAAGGGTTTATGGCTGACACCGTCCGACCACCAAGCCTAGCAGATTCACTACTTAGGCACCTAGGAAGGATCCAGAAGGAGTTAGTCCGCACTTAAGTCCCCCACTTGTTCACAGTAACAGAGTAACCCGCCGATAATGCTAAAAGCGGAATCTTACGATTTTGATATGGGAAAGCGCCGAGGCGTTGCAGACATGACATAATACACGGTCTTGGAGAGCGGCATCGAGACGATGATGGATCGGCAAGGACCAAGCTCAGTGTCCTGGTCAACAATGGTACCTTTCCAAGCCACCAGCACTTACCTGGCCACAAGACCTGAAGACACTTTTCTCAGGTGTTGGCCATGTGCAAAGGCCATGAAGCTGAATTGAATAAGAACATTGACATCATGATTGCTGAAGCAGACCAATATTTCTTTTTTTCTGTTGTCATTCATGACTGCGCTGTGGAAAATTGAAGAGGCGTGGAAGGTTGAATGCCTGAGACCTAAGGCGCCACTTAGTGCCTCGGCAGGTGAAGGTTGATGTCATTCCTCCAACTGTGGTGGCTTTCAACTTCCCACTTTACTTCACCCCCGGTCTTTGCAATTGTGACCGGGTGTGTTCTATAGCTGGTTACTCTTCTGATATCTGCGTCCTTCTACTCCACACAAGCCCACAGCTTATCGCAAGAACCGGTACGAATTCGGTCTCCGGGACCACCAAAATGCCTGCGCCCGCCCGACATGCTCCCTCCCCAGTTGTCCTCCTGGTATACCCAGTGACGCTACTACTGGGATCTGTATTCTCAGTCATTTCGCCCATCGCTCGCTCAACGAGGAGTTTTTCATCCAACCCGGCTGCACCAATGGCACCCTCCCTCGCCGCCGATCTTCATCTCGCCGAGAGCCCAGTCAACTACTTCGCGCGCAAGAATAACATCTTCAATCTCTACTTCGTGAAGATCGGCTGGGTATGGCTGACTGTCGCCTTTGCATCCCTGGTCCTCTTCCAACCTGCATACAACCTTCCCTCCGCTTCGCACGCCCAGCAAGAAATTCGCTTCCGCCGCTCCATCCAAGCTTTCCTTCGCTGGTGCCTTGCCACAGTCGTATGGTATCTGTTGACACAATGGTTTTTTGGCCCGGCTCTTATTGATCGCAGCTTTATCATCACTGGTGGAAAATGCGGACAGGCCATGGACCAGCTGGCACAGGCCAACTCCGAAAGCTCGTCTGTGGAGCTGGAGACGGTGTTTACGGCCGCTGCCTGCAAAGCGGCCGGTGGTGCTTGGAAGGGAGGACATGATATCAGTGGACACGTGTTCATGCTTGTACTGGTTACAGCACTTCTCACTTTCGAGGCGGTCGGCGCCGGTGCCGTTGCTGCGTCTCCCAGCGCTGCACCTGAAAGCGACAGTCGTGAGCGCAAAGCTAGTGACCCTTATACCCTCTCCAACGAGGAACAGGATGTTAGTGTTGGAGCAGGGAGGACTTGGTCGATGCGCTTGGCCTGGGGTGTAATAATTCTGGGTTGGTGGATGCTCTTCATGACAGCTATATGGTTCCACACCTGGCTAGAAAAGGTATTTCGACTTCAAGACCTTTCTACATTGAATATGCTTCCCTTCTTCATGCTTGAAACTAACTATAATACTCTTTAGTGGTCTGGTCTGGCCATTGCTCTGAGCACGATATACGTCATTTACATCCTTCCGAGGAGACTTCCCCCATGGAGGGATATCATTGGCCTACCGGGCATATAGACATGCATCCACCAGCCGATTATCTCTCTGTGACCATATATTCCCCGATAGATTCCAAAGCTGCTTTGCCTCTGCACCTGCCGACTATGTTGTACAATAAAGTTGCATACAGAAGACACCGTGCATCGTCACATTACTCCACTTTTACCGAATGAACCCTGTGTTGAACAGGATGTATGATACTTATTTCTCCAAAGGCTTAGGCTCAGGGCCCAAGTATCCCGAACAGAAAGCTGCAAGAAAAAAGGACCCGTCAGTGTCGACATGGCAAGGGTCTTTCCTTATAAATAGGGGTCACATACCACCTGGAATCAATGCTGATGCATACATCACGCGTGTGATAGGTCGCATATCCTCCGGTGTCAGGTCCTCGGAGATGGAGAGTTCCATGTACGGATCCCATTCCGCAATAATGCAGTCAGCCCAGTTCTTCAGATCAACACTTCGCTCTTTGTCCGTAGTCCATTCCGCCTCGCATTGAAGACCCATCGCAGTACCGAACTCGCGGAAAGCCAACCGGAATTTGATATTTCGCAGGAGATATTGATCTATCTCAAAGAGATTATCTGCTCGGAATGTAAGCATGGTCTGGAGATGGACCTGTCCGAGAACCCGATACTAACACAAAAGGTCAAAGCATCTCGTCGTAAGATTCGAAGCCCAAGCCTCCTTGTCGGAGAACCAATGCGCTGTCCACAAGGTCATACCCAAATCCAACGGATCACTCGAGACAAAGTGCTCTCCCTTACGATTCATAATTCGTCTATAATCTGCTATTTCCTCAGACAAGACTTCGCCATCGCCGGCCTTCATAGCAGTCGCTTGAAGGAGCCGAAATACCACAAACCCATCGATCGGATCAAGGTTTCCCTCCGATTTTACCAGCGGTGCGGATAGATCCATAGACATCTTCCAAACTAAACGCGGACGTGACGTCGAGCCATCATGGAGGAATTTTGGATGGATAGCCCGTGCAAGCTGCACAGCTAGCCGGTTATAATCCATATCACCGGATGCTATCGCCATACGGTTCAGCGCAAACATCCATATAGTCAAGTAGTGATGATATTGCCCATCGCCGTCCGGACCATGCTCATCTGTTTTACCAATTCGTAATCCTCCACCGAGTGGGTTGTCATCTGTTGCTCCCGGTAGTCGGGCGCGATTATCCCGTGTACGACCCAAAACGTCGTGAACAGTCTCGATGAGTCGGCGGGCTAGTGCTAGGTATCGCGTATCATCGCTGCCTCCACCTGCAGCTGTGTATTCTTTGTGCATGGTCAATAGGTTGAGTACGCCGAACGCATCTGTCCATAAATATCGGCCGCGGTGGCCGCCAGATCGGAGTGGCGGGGACCAGTTCTCTGGATCTCGAATATTGGCGAATCTACCGTAGAGGGATTCCATCGCTTGTTGGAAACGGTCTACCTTTGGGGATGGACTGCTGATCGGGAGGGCCATGTCTGTAACGATTGTCGCGTGTACTGAATGAGCGTTGCTTGTTCGGGGAAGGGGCCGGGGGATGTTTTTGGAGAGGAGCTGTGACCAAGTTGGTTTGAATCTTTTCATAGACAAGACTAAGCTATGATTACTTGTTTCCACCAGTGGTATTTGCTCCAGATGATGTCGCTAAAAGGTTACAATCGCGTGGTTTAACGTGAGATCATCATGACTGGTCGGTTACTCGGGTGTGATCTCATCTAAAACAAATGTCTAAAAAATGTCTGTATGTGACGCGGGCAACCATGAAGATCAAATTCTCAGTCATTGCTAGGAGATATCCTCATCGCTTGTTCTCGTGTTCAAAAATTTCTTGCCGTCCGATAACATCCATGGCAGACCTTCAGGAGCTGTTCAATGATGCTATAGAGCCCCTTCCGCCCATCGATGATGAGAAGTTCGCGCCTCACTTCGATAGCTTTGCAAGTAGACAAGTAGTTCTCCTAGGCGATGGGACACACGGCACATCTGAATTCTATCGCGCACGCGCCGAGATCACCAAGCGTCTCATCAAGGTTCACGGCTATACCATCGTCGCCGTTGAGACTGATTGGCCTGACGCGGAGGCCGTTGACCGTTATGTGAGGATGCGACCAGGCCCCAAAGCCAGGATCGGAGGCACGGCATATGGACAGGAAAAACATGAGCCCTTTAAGCGATTTCCAACCTGGATGTGGCGCAATCGCGAGATGCAGGAACTGGTGGAGTGGATGCGTGAATGGAACAAGGATCAACCAGAAGAGAGCCGAGCGGGTTTCTATGGCCTGGATCTCTACAGCATGGGCTCATCGATGAAAGCGGTTATCGAGTATCTTGACCGAGTAGATCCTGCAGCAGGCAAACAAGCTCGGGTACTATACGGATGTCTGGACCCATGGGCTGACGACCCGGTAGCCTACGGTCTGGCCAACATGCAAGGTATGCGAGATTGTGAAGCTCAAGTCGTGCAGATTTTGCGGGACTTTCTGAAAAATCGGCTGGAATACATGCAGAGCGACATTCTCGATGGCGAGGAATTCCAGAGTGGCAAGCAAAATGCCTACCTTGTTCGTGACGCAGAAAGATATTACAAGGCTATGTACTGGAGCTCCACCAGCTCATGGTCTTTGCGCGATACACACATGTTCGAGACATTGGCTCGTATACTGCAAGCCCGCCCTCCGCCTCGCGATAAAGCAGTGGTATGGGCGCACAATTCGCACGTTGGAGATGCTCGCTTTACCAGCATGGGATCTCGTCGCAATGAAATTAATATTGGCCAGCTTTGCCGGGAACGTCTGAGTCCTGGCAATGTCTCAATCATTGGATGTGGTACTCATACCGGCACAGTCGCCGCGGCACGCGAGTGGGACGAGGATATGGAAATCATGAACGTGCGACCTTCGAGAGATGATAGCTGGGAAAAAGTGGCACACGATACTGGTGTCGAACGCTTTCTTCTTGACCTTCGACAGGCTCATCATGATCCTGAGCTGTATGATGCTTTGTCGAAAGAGGATCGTCTGCAACGCTTCATTGGCGTGATCTACAAGCCCAAGACTGAGAAGACTTCTCACTACTCCCACGCAGTTCTTCATGAACAATTTGACGGTTTCATATTTTTTGATCGTACCGAGGCTGTGAAACCATTGGAGACAATACAGCCTGCAACACCTTTGGGGAAAGGAGAGACTTATCCGTTCGGGCTTTAGCAGAAGTCCGTGCAGATCCTACAGGAGTACTTCAAGCTATCTTGAAGTATATTTAACAGACAAGGACGTAAAGACCTTTATTAGAGCGCTAAAGAAGTACTCAGGGGTATTCTGAGAATAAGCTAGGGAGCTGAGGGTGGAAAACTCAAGATTTTCCTCTCAGGAGGGTTATAGATGAAAGCCATTTGAAGTATAGACTAGATTGCCAATTGGAAGATTATGAAAGATCATTACCACGACTAGTGATCCCGTTGAGAAGAGCCCGTGTTACCCTGTTTGTCACTCGTCATTGCCATGTGTCTCTGATGGCTGATCGGATCAGGGTATGTGATGTTCAATTGTACTTGAGTACATAAAAGCTGGACATCACAATCATCACATCACATTGAAGCCTCGTGTGAGGAAGGAGATGGCCCAGCTCTCCTAGTCCCGCGATCATTTGCTTCAGTCAACCACACTAGTGTCCTGGGGGACGCATCAACTATCTTTTGAACCCATATTTGCTTATTGATATTAGAAACAGGTTGTGTGCATGTATGCATAAAATTTCTGTCAAACGAGCAGCATGCACTCTGATTCGGATAGTCTGTCTCAATTCGGAGGCATGTGCCATTGATCACCCACTCTAAAGCCCTGCGGGAAAGGATCGGTTGAATCAAGAAGCACTTGCTTGAAGCTGGTAATCCAAGCCCTTCCTTTTACAGCGGCGAGAACCGCAGGGTAATCACCGACAGTGGTTGTCCCGCGTATGCGACTGACAAATTCAGTGCCGATGATACTTCTATGCCTGAAAATCTCCCCCTCTTTGATCTGACCTCGGGCATGCATTGTGGCCAGTCGCGCGCATGTTCCTGTGCCGCAGGGGCTACGGTCAAATCGCCCCGGCGAGACAACCACAGCATTACTTGCGACTTTGCACCCATCTTCGATTTGCAAAGGCTCGGTAAATTCAATCACACTGAAACCCGTGATACCGGAGTTCTCAGGATGAAGAGGAGTGTAAATTGCCTCCACCGCTCGCTTGATGCGCTCCCCGACCTCGATGAGCTGACGGGAATGCTGATTGCTGACTGTCAATCCCAGCGAGGCCACCTCAACCAGAACGTACATCATTCCGCCATATGCTATGTCGACTGAAATATCCCCGATCCCGGGAACCATCACTTTAAAATCGAGTTCAAGCACGAAAGAAGGCACATTGTTGAACTCAACACTCTTGCACTTTCCTGATTCGCACTCAGCAGTCACAGTGACCAGGCCCGCGGCGGTATCTAAAGTCACTTCAGTGATAGGCTCCTTAATTGGGATCATTCCAGTCTCCAATAGTGCGGTGGTGGTACAGATTGTGTTTGATCCTGACATTGGCGCATACTCCTCGCTTTCCATTGTCAAGAAGCCGGCATCTGCGCGTGGATCGCAGGGTGGGAGAACAAGATTGATGTTCATCGATGCGCGCCCTCGAGGCTCATTCAACAGTAGTTGGCGGATGTTATCCATCTTCGTTGAAATGTGAACGAGCTTATCGTGCATAGTTTTGCCTGGAACGTCCAGAACTCCCCCGGTAATGACATCGCCTACTTCACCTTCCGAGTGGCATTCAACAACGGTGATCGAGCGTGAGAAAGGCATGACCGGTCAAGCAAGAGATTTAAATCAAGTTAATAATACGAGAATAATTATTTCAAGTACGACAAGACTGTATCAGCGTCACGTGTTTGGACTGGGATGTGTATGTCTGTATTTCGTGGTGCATCTGTGTTTTGACTTCTTTATAAGTCATGATGTCGGGAATTATTTCCGACTTCAACAGGAAAAGAGGGTCCAGTCCTTTTGCTCTGATTTTTGAATTTTGCCTCCTAGGTCACTTTGAAATGATGGCGCTATAAGCGCTTAGGTAGCGTTGATCCTGCACAGGGCCAAACCTGGTTCCCCGCAATTGAATCTTGTGGTTCGGTTGTCCCCTGGATCGTTCCAGGCCCGGGGCAATCAAGTTCAGATGAACGGTATGTGTCTTATTTGGGGGAAACACCGGCGATAGGAACAACGCACCCTTGAAACTGTCAGATGCATGGTCCGATGGTCGTGGCGAGGGTCAGGTGAAGAGGGCAACTTATCAAGTCACCCGTGCATGAACTGTTTCGTTTTTGACTCGTACAAAACAAACTTCTCGAAGCTCATATATCCTCAAATCCAGGATTTTAACCATCTTTTATGATTATTTTATTCAACTGAAGGCCACGCAGGCCGATCACGTGCTTGGTTTTGCACAGACGAGGCGAGTGTAAACGGGCTACCATCGAAAGGCACGCCCAGGCGTCATTTGAATATTTGACCGATTTATCAATTTCTATAATTAAGGATATATGGTGCTATATCATCCCATAATAGTCTCGAGATTTCGATCGATCATAGTATCCAGCCAATATTGAATCATCCCACAGTCCGCCAGATCCCAAGTCGCATGCACATTCTTTGATACACGCTCCAGTCGTAGCATAGGAAGTACCAAACTGAGTTCTCATAACCAAAAGCTAGTTTTCTCCTAGCCTGCGCTATCTCAACGTCCACAGTATTAAGGCAAGAAATGACATTCGCAGCGGGTCCAACTAGAGACTGGTTTGAAAACATAAGATCGCTAGAAATGCAAGCGAGGAGAATCGGGCGTAAACATCAAGTCCCTGATGACGCAGGAAGTTGGTCCAGAAGTGAAACAATGTGGAGCGCTAGAATGCGACGAGCTTCCTCTACTGATCGGACCTAATTTTCGTCGGCTATAAGAAAGAGGAGGACAAATAATGCTGGGAGTTCGACCCTAGGTCTCTCATTTAGTCGTAGTCGCTCAACGAGAATATTGAGAAAGACTCGGTATATCTGCTGCAGAAGTGCAGCACAACGGTATACCTCTGCTAAGGTGATGAAAATGCGCAGGAGGCGCGTCCGTATCGCCTGTATCGACGGGCCCACAGAATGATGAACGACCAGTGAACAGAATCTCATCTTCCAACTGCGCCGCATTCTTTTGCAGATCAAGCTCCTCAACCAGGGAGTCTAAATCAAAAGGAGAGCCAGAAAGAACTTGTCGTCTTGATTGTCGCGATACAAAGAATTACTCTTGGATTGTTCCGGAGACAGGCGATTGCTTACTGCTACGTCTGGATACCGATCGCTCTCATTCCGGGGATGTCGTTAGTTAGCGATGCTGCTGCCATACTTTGAATGGCGTACTATATAGCCGCATTTTGACTCCAAAGACGACTGACTATAGCTCTGAGCGGGATCAATGGTGAATAAAACGATGACCATGATATGCACACATAATCGAAGTAATATTGCACTAGAATAGATGGGATTACGGTATTTGCTAGGCGACGGTGCAGTATTGCTAGGCTGTTCGTTCGAGTTCTATCCTTCATAGTTGACGGACCATTTGACGTAGTCCTGGTCTTTGGACAAAATGTTCACGGAGGCATCAAAGCTAGGTAAGTGGTTGCATAGTGTCGATTTGGTCTCATCCCAATGGTCTTGTACGTGGTCAACTTGATCTTCACATTGTGTTGGAGTCTTGGCTTCGGGCTGTCCAGTTGAAAGGGATTCTTGTTCTGGCGAAGCCTCTTCCTCGCTTTCTTGAAACACGTATCGCCACTAAAGGGGTTTTCTCTGATAACCATAATAGTTCCAGGCAACAAAGTAGGCCCCTAATCTTATTAGACAAAGAGCATTGTGGTTTTGATTAGCAGCACATACCTGAGACAAATAAGACACAATTTCAAATATATTGAAAATCATGTCATCAGCGGAGCCTTCTTGCATAATCATCCGTTAAGGTATGTGCGCAGTTGCAGAACAGAGGGATACGGGATTTGATTGGACGAAACAATGCATGTCCCGAGAGGGCAGAAACCATCCTGATCAAATCAGTTTGGTTTTGCAAATGAGGGGCCGGACTCTACAACTATACCATTCCATTCGCGTAAGACCATTGCGAGGCCTTCTCTTGATGTTTGCGGGCAGTCACATCATTCGCAACAGAACAGCCCAGGACGTAGTTGCTAGCATCACCTACTGAGACATTCTTGCACAGTCTCCCGATGACTATTGCAAGCTCAACTTCATAGTCAGCTTCGTCATAATCCACGGTAGAAGGCAAGATGATTGGCTCTGATGCTGACGCGATGCAAGTGCTTGCCTTGAGAAAGACCCTATGTCCGATTAGCTCAAAGCTTTAGCATCTATGAGTTGATTCTATTGAGTAATTGGCAATGCCACCTGCATTTCAGCAGTATGCTCCTTGTAATTAAGTCCAATGCATCGAATTGACCTAGCCTCGGCTCATGAAACCGGTGACAAAAGCTCATCAACGAACTTCACTTCCCAAGTAAAAGAAGCATCGTAGTCCAATACCGATGCTCCAGTAAAGACGTTCACAGCAATTTGACCCTTTTCTGCAAGAAAAAGTCCCACTAAGCTCCTGTATCAGCTTCCGCGTCCGAAGACGAACAATGGACATTACCATCAACCTCAGTATCTACAGGCTCGCCGCCATATAAGTTACCGCCAGCAGCCTTGAATCAGACCCATCTTTCCCAAACCTGCCCAATGTCAGCTTCTATCTTGATACAAATATCCGTCGACCTTACTGGATAAGCCGATCCGAGCGTCAGCCTAGGACCTGTTGTGGTGTCACCAAAGCCGTTTCAAATTCTCCATTCTGAATTGTAATTCAAATTAGGAGTGATTTGATCAATGATGCTTCTTCGTCTTCCTTTGCCTTTTCTGGGGAAAGGGGATCTCGGGGCCATCTAAGAGGACGCTAAAGGCAAGGCTTCTGAACAGTAGAGTTAGCCAGCGGCGATCGACACCAGCCATCTCGTTAAACCCAAATTTCCTGCCCCAGAACTCTGCAAACTGAGACCTGAACGTTTCCGGGTGAACCGTATCGATCACCTAATTGATATCGCTCGGAAATCTTTCGATCAATCGGTCAACGGTCGAATTGTTCCGGGGAAGAAGGCCATGAAAGTCCCAGACTTAAGAAAATGGCGCCGAGTCATTTCTGAATGATTGTAAAGAGTTCTTGGTGGATAGCAAGCTCATCCCTGGCAGGTCAGGGGCAGATTCATGAATCATGCGTGCCGTGACCTGGTGCCCTAAATATGAATTGCCAAAGAATGACGGAGCTCCTCGGGCGAGATAGAGCTGTCCGAGCTCCGTTACTTGAGATTTTGCTTCAAATACTGTTCGTCAACGATGTCCCTTCGAGGAGTAGGATAGCTTACCTGTATTTGACCCTCCCTCTTGAGTCATCACTCTGGGCACTTTTCCATCACCTGGCCACCCTCATAAATTGGGTATTCCGCGTTGAATGCAACGGGGGCGTGGCATCTCTTTATTGCATTTTTGCTTCCGGGAATGACATTCAGAGCAGGAGGTCGTTTTTCTTCCGCGCTTTCGTGCAGTTGACCGGGCTTCCGGTGGAAACCGGGCCCTCTTTAACACCTCAAGGGTTCATCCTCCGGCCACATATACATATTTGTGCATTGATGTAGGACAAACAAATCAATCAATGATCTTAGATTGTCAGATTGATAGGTTGAGGGGCGGGTGACTGTGGCCTTAGAAATCAGGGTTTGAGCCCGCCCCAAGTCTCATCGACTTGAAATTCTAGTTTTTTCACGACCTCTATCTTTTTCCGTTTCCATGGAATGAGCCTAGTACGACGGAGATACATCCAAAACATCCAAAAAATTGACCGACGCAGGGGTCGAACCTGCAATCTCTTGATTCGTAGTCAAGCGCCTTGCCATTGGGCCAGCCGGCCTTGTTGTGGATCACAGGTAATTTTTTCCCACATGTTCCAAAACACTTGTTTGCTATTCCTCTGATGCTTGCCGCTGAATGAACTCGACAACGTATTCTATGCCCTCCGGCTGCTTGATCCAGTGGCCTTCTGCCTCCGCACCGACGAACTCCTTCCATTCTGTAGAAAAGCCGACATCTCTTAGGACATGGAGAGCCCGGCGGAAATGTCTAACAGAAACTAGTCGGTCATCTGAGCCGTGGCTGAGAAATACTGGGGTTGATAGCACAGACTTGTCCGTTTCTTCGGTGACTTGATGGATGTTGGGCCCGGCAATAGTATCTAGAAAGAGCTTCGAAAGCTGGAGTCGTTTGTCAAGCATACTGGATTGACTTCGAATCTTGCTGCTGCTGATTGAGTATTGCCGTAGCAGGTCCTCCGCATGTTGGCGCCGAACCAAGGTCTCGGCCTGCTCAACGAACGGCAGCCAGCCACAAAATCCCACCACACCCCCGAGGGGACCTTTGATGCGGCCAGGTGCACAAAGGAAGGTACACAAGGCCGTGGCCATACCCTGACTGATGCCTCCGAGAAAGACACGTGTTGGGTCACCAATAAGGTCGATTTCGTCTTTCAGAATATCCAGGATCTTCAGGACAGAGTTCCTCAGGCCACGCACTTGAAGCTCTTGCTGAGCGTCGGTGTTCGTCAGGGAACAGATATCAAACCAAGATGATTCCTGCTGCTGCGACATAGCACTGTAGCATGTCTCTGAGCTTGAAAATACCCAGCGGAAGCTGGGTAGGTTTTCGGGTAAGTTCTTCATCTGTGAGGTGACAGACCAAAACAGCTGCTCGCAAAACTCAGACCCAGTGCCGTCACGTCCATGTAACATGATGAAGGTGTGCGTGTGTTGGCCCCGTGGGGGGTAGACGTAAGGGCTTTCGGGCTTCATGGTTGCAGACTTCGAGGAATCAGGTTTGGACTAGCACTCCAGGGATTAGAGCAAAGCAAAGATGCGCGGTGGCATGTCAGCATAGGAGTCGAGTTAAACTAAGGATGAGTTGCGGGGTACACGGCCACAACGAGGCTCCGCAACGGTCATCTGCGACACCAACGAGAACATTGGCCAGAGCCCAACAAATTTAAGTATTTCAGGATATGTTTTGATTCGTAAGAAGCAGGGGATAGATAATGCAGATCCAAAGATCGAAACCAATGTGCACATCCAAATCTCCAGGCCATACATCGGATTAGTCATGTGACGTCAAGCGCGTATGGTTTGTTTACGTTCTTCGCATAACATCGCTGAATCACCCTCTCCACTTTTCGACTCCTTGACTACTCGACTCGACTCGACCCGACTTAACTCTCTACGCACTTTAAACCCCTCCATTCACGTTACATCCCATCCCCAACAATGGCGGTTCGCCGCTCCGCTCGACTCCGTAGCGTCAGCTCTCAGCCCGAGGTGAGTGGCCTAGCAACGCCCGTGATAAGAGGGGTTCAGAACGTCACCGTGGTGGGTTTCATTATTGATATCATCTAACATCAGCCCAAGGGATCACCCTCTCAGCCCGAAACGAATTCTCGCCTCGCTTCGGTCGCAGAACGCGACGAACCTGCTCGCGATGTTTACCCCTACTGTCCACACCCCAGTGACCAAGAAAACACCACAAAAGACTCCAATTACCGCCGCCAGGATGACAGAGGCACGCACTCCTACCACCGGGTCTGCCGCGCGTCCTCCCCGCTCCGAAATGCACCCCAGCAAAACACATCAAAGTACCACCAAGCAGCCCGACTCTGGCCTGATCCTTGGTTTCAACCCTATCAAGAAAGACGCCAATGGTAACCCAATTGGCGCGTTTGATGGCACTCCTTCGAAGTCTAAGGCTTCCCCGGTTCCCTCACAATTCGGCACTCCTGGATATGAGTTCAAGTTCGGTCAGGACTCGCAACTCAGCGAGGAAGCCAGAAGACTCATGGATAGCGTTCGAGGTGAAGTCACACGCATCAAATCCCAAATGATCTTCGACAAGTCAAAGGCCGGCGAGGAGGGCCAGCAAACTGGACAGAACATTGGCGACCGGAAGATCGCCATGCCCAAGGGTCGGGCAAGCCGCTTCAGCGATGTGCACATGGCTGAGTTCAAGAAGATGGACTCCATTGCCAACCATCCTTCTTCTTTCCGGGCGACGCCTGGTCGCTCCCAGCCTGTTACCACTGGTAAGTCTCTGAAACGGACTAAGTCCAAGGCCCAGCTAGACGACCGTGGTTCTTCGACCTCGTCCCTGTCATGCTCTCCCTCGAAGTCCTCTGCTGTCACATCCTCGCCTGCTGCTACCACCAAGCGCGCGAAGCATAAAGCATCTGAAGATGCATCGATCAGCCGGCTTGACGTCCCGAAGAATGCTCCTGCTCTGAAAGTTGTTGGGACTCGTCCCCGCTCGAATATCCGCAGTTCCCTCATGACTCCGACCAGAGCATCTGAGGCGCGCATCGTGTCGACCAGCATCAAGGCACCCAAGACGACCTTGATTCCCTCCTTGGCGCGCTCTCCCTCAACCAAGGCTGTGGCTTCTCCACGAACCCCGCGTACGGATTTCAATCCGAGACTCAAAGGCAACTTGCCCAGCTTCAGCAACCTCAAATCCATCCTACGCCGGCGACAGCCCTTGTTCTCTCGTGATCCAAGCAAGATTGCTTCTGGTACTCATGTGGCTGCTCCCGACTTCAATCCCGACGCGCTGTTTGCCAAAGATGAACTGGACGACTCCGCCCCGACTCCATCGCCCCAAAAGCACGTTGAGTTCACCCCCAGTGTGAAGTCGCGCTACGAGCTCGTCAATTCACCCTCGCGTTCCAAGATCCCCACCACTCCCTCGCGCTCCAACGTGCCAGATGTCATTTATCCCACTCTTCCTACCCTCACTCCGGACCGCAATACAGTTTCGGCCGGCAAAAGCCCTGCTCCGCCCAAGTCGCCAAGCATTCGCCACGTTCGCAAGTCAGATGCGGATACGAAGAGGCCCGATTATCCTGACCTGCCTGTCTTGGCCAACGGCATTGCCCACGGAATTGTTAACAAAAAGAGACATCGTGATGAGGTTGACGACGAGTCCGGTGCTGATAGCGAGAATGTGCCTCCGGTTGATGCGCACGCCGATGAGCGTGGCACCAAGCGCTTGAAGGCAAACCCGCCACCCACTCCCAGTCCGATCAAGAACCGCCCTATCAAGACTCCTAGTCGCTCCATCTCCGGGCGTCTGGGTACTCCTACCAGTACTACTGCTAGTGCGAAACAAAAGTCTCGTCGGGTCCTTAGCCTGAGTCGTTTGAACATGCTCTCCAAGCCCAAGAGCCGCACTGGTGCTTGAATCTGATCCGGTTGAAGCACGCCAGGTGCGTTGAAACAAGGATCAATAACACAAGATGCTGATGAAATCTCTTCAACGAGTATAGTGATATTAAAACTTGTGTCTCGCTTGTATCGTTGTTATTTTCTTTTCCGCTCTCCGGTGGCTATTTACCTTGCACTGGGACCGGCTCGCCTTGACTTCTTTCATGTACCTACACTTTGTCCTCGCTTTTTTATTCCCCTTTCCAGTTTTCATTGTCTGATCTTCTTCTCACCTCTCAGTCTGACATGTTACTGCTATGTTTTCCAGACTGTCTGGTGGATATCCTTGGCGCCTGGGATGCATCGATGGGGTGTTTTATCGGGGCGCGATTGCGGTGTTTGTCTGTATTCTTTGCTTTGAAGCCTTTGCCGGCTGCTTGAGGTGGCTATTGCCTTCGTCATGCTCTTTAATGGTCACTTGCTATCTCGCTCGAGATTTCCTTCCAATGTTAACAAGGGGCCGGACTAGATGCAGTTAGCGCCTCTTTGAGGCTTGGCTGCCTTTCCAGGCCCATATTATGAATGAATGACTCAAGAATGTCTACTTTTCTATCTCCTGTTTCTCAATATGATTCATATGCACATACACGAACTATGGTTGGTAGAATGGGAAACGGTCTCATAGTCTATTGCGAGGCTCTCTTGAGATAGCCCATCCTCTATTGACCTTGAAGAAGCTTGCTTCTGGGTATTGATAGCGATGGATTACGTGGTGAACACCATAATGAAAGCGTGAGAAATCCCTTTCTCTATTTACATGCAAAGTATCGTTCGTCATGGGAAAAGTCAAGCTAGAAATACATGAAGGTGTTGAAGAAAAAGATTAAAAAAAACAAAAACGGGGGAGGAACCAGATAACCACCCATTTAAAAATCCGGGGAAGATGAAGAAATGAAGTATTAGTCGCTGATGCACGAAGTAATTTCCTTTTCCTTCCTAGGAAAAGAAACGAAGAAGCATAGAACGTGAAACGTTACAATCATGGGAGGGTAAATAGGAGGATGGGTTGATGCGAGAGTAGAAATGAAGATGAGGTTTTCGGGCGTAGTGGAAAGACTTCATACCACATCAGGAAATCGACTTGGTAGACAGGATCACCCTTTCATTGACTCCAGGAATGAGTCCAGGTTGTATTCCTCCTGGTACTGACGGTCGTCCCAGAGTTCGCCTAAGTCGTCAAGCCAGCCCTTCTTGCCCTTCTCCTTGACTTCACCGTCTATGTCGACCATGTCGACTTCATTGCCGGCTTGTTCGCCAGGTTTCTCGGCTGTTTCGGCTGTTTCGCTGAGATTGAAAAGGTCTAGTAACTGGTCTGTGTCCATTGTGCCTAGGCCGGCGTTTTGTTGATTGACCACTGTTGAGGCGACGTCTATCTTGAATCGTTGTAGGCTGTAGAGAGTTGATTGTTAGTGTCTTGGTTATAGCACTTGGTGAATTGAGATGGAACTTACTTCAAGATCTTCTCCTCTAAGGTACCTCTCGTGATCAGACGGTACACATTAACGACCTTCTTCTGGCCAATACGATGAGCGCGGTCCATGGCCTGAATATCCTTCTGCGGGTTCCAGTCATGCTCAACGAAGATGACCGTGTCGGCTCCAGTCAAGTTGAGACCCAATCCACCAACGCTAGTGGTTAGAAGGAGCACATCATAACTGGGATCGGTGTTGAAACGATTGACGATGTCTTGACGCTTGGTAGCCTCGACACCACCATCCAGACGCAAGTATTGGACGGATGGAAGGAGCTTCTTAAGCACGTCATTTTGAACAATGTCCAGCATCTCTTTCATTTGACAGAACACAAGAGCACGGTGCGGGCTAACGTAGCTGGCGCCTGTATCCAGCTCGCCCTCGGCTGAATGGTCAAGGCCAATGCCGCAGTCGACGAGAAGATCACGGAGGGCAGTAAGCTTGGGTGCGTGCGATACATCCCTGATGTTCGAGCGCTTGTTAGTCAAGTAGGTTTGAACTTCATTGTACTGCTTATGTCCTTCCTTAACAACCAGTGCAGGCGAGTTGCACAAACGACGCATGTACTGCAGAGCTTGGAAGATGTGCTCCTTGTCGGAACGCTCTCCACTGCCCACCTTGTCTTGCAGCTCTTTTTGCTCCTTTTTGGTGAAGTCTTCGAAGAGCTTCTTCTGCAAGTCACTTGGGTCGCAGTAGTAGTTCTGGATGATCTTCGGAGGCAAGTCATTCAACACCTCCTCCTTGAGACGACGGAGCAAGAATGGCAACACTTGCTTGTGCAGAGCTTCGATGGCCAAAGCACCGGCCTCTTGCTCCTTTGACGAGGATTTGCTAAAGCGACTGGCTGCGATAGGCTTGGCGAAACGGTCCAGGAAGACTTTCTCGGTACCCAGGAAGCCAGGCATTAAGAAATCAAACAAAGACCAGAGCTCGAGAACGTTGTTTTGAATAGGTGTACCAGAGAGAATCAAGCGGTGGTTGCTGAGCAGCCGCTTGACTGAAGTCGTAATCTTTGCCTTTGGGTTCTTGATCAGATGGCCTTCGTCAAGAACACAGTAGTTCCAGTTGATCGGGCTGAGGACATCATTGTCGTTGCGACAGACATCGTAAGATGTGACAACAATATCTGACTCGGCGATTTGGGCCTGGAGCCTTGCTCGTTCCGCCGGAGGACCGACGTAGGCAATGCACTTGAGGAAAGGAGCATATTGCTTGACTTCTTGCTGCCAATGTCCCGAGAGCGAGGGCGGGCAGATGATCAAGGACGGAAGTTTGCGAGAATCCGGAGCTTGACTCTTGGCAAACTCCTCCGCTCGAATGTGATGATCACTGGCGACGATGCAAATGGTCTGTAGAGTCTTTCCAAGACCCATGTCGTCGCAAAGAATACCGTGAAGATTATACCTGTTAAGGAAAGCAAGCCAATTGACACCATCTTGCTGATAAGGTCGAAGTTCGGCCTTGATGGCGACCGGAATTTCAAATGCCTCCACTTTGCGTGCATCCAGCATCTGGGCCATGAACTTCCTTTCTCGGTCACGACCCTTGAGCAGCTCCTCAGAGAAGCCAGGGGGGGTCAGGAATACCGGCTTCGAGAGGTACCAGCTTGACAAGAGTTGCAAAGGAGGTAGTTGCAAGAAGACGGACATCGTTATCGGAGTCACTCATGCGACCGAGTACGGGAACAACAAGGAAGATAACATAGGGCAGAATGCCATCTTCCATCACATGTATCAGATGATAAATGCACTCGATAGCACCTTGGCGGTGATGAACATCCAACTGGTGATTTATTGTCGGCAAAACCTTCTCCACCAACATCGTCATGCCATCAACGGTAATAACGCTGCAGATAGTAGCGAAGCACTTTGCGGCGGCGTAGCGAATAACTGAGAGACGACATTGCAGGGCTTTCGCAATAATTGGCATGAGACCGACAACCCAAGAATACAGACCGGGATCAAATTTGGGAAGAAGAGCCCGTAATGTAGACAACCCATCGACGACTTCTTGGCCAAGTTCGTTCTCTGGGTTGGTGATGTCCTCCGGCAGATCGCCCTCCAAAGCGGTTTTTAGCGGTTGCTCGACCACTGACGCAAGGTTGGGCACTTTCTCGAGCAGGTCGGCACCGAATTTCACAGCCAGCTGCTCCAGTGCGTCCTTTGCACCACGGCGCATGATCCTGGCCTCCTTAGCCTCCCGCTCGAACTTGGCTGCATCGGGGTGATCTCGTCGATCCTCTTCCTTGCGAAGTGACAAGATAGATTGCTCCAGTTGTGCATTGTGGGGGAATTCAGGTGTCTCGGATGTGTCCACACAGCAATATTTGACCAAATTACCAATTATCTTATCAACTGGTCCACGTTTGGTAGCCGCTGTGTAGTGTTCAATGAGATTTGCAACCGCTGTTGCAGAGCGTTGCTGAAGTTCAAAGTTCTCTTCTTTCTTAACGCTGTCCATCATGCCCTTAATAATGTGGCCAGGTCGTTTGGGAATGTCCTGCAGAGCGACTAGTGCACCAGCAGCGGCTGCCAGGACTCGCATATTCCGCTGTTCTCTGATCATGTTGGCCTCGTTCACAGCAGATTGCGCTGTGGCGCGCGTGTCATTCAAAACTTGTGTGGCAGTGATCCGCTGCGCCGGGGTCAGATTCTTCTTCAGGCGATCGAAGTCGGGACCAACAATTTTCTCGGCATCTGCCAGAGAGAATGCGTTCGGCCCCGCCTCGGCATCGCCCTGGACAACAACGGCCAGTGTTGGAAGTCTAGATGGTGGGACATGCGCATGGTCTCGGAAAGTATTGAGCAATGAATGGCACTGCGCGCGCGCGACTGCTAGATAGCACGAAATATCGGAATACCATGGTGGACGTTCGCCTTCGACAATTGGGCGAAGTTTTTCGCATAGGGAAGAGGCGTGCTTACTTTCTGGTCCAGAAAGACGAGCATATTCTTCCATGACCATGGCAGAGGCAAGCTGAGACGTCGAGGCTGGGAGGTTGAGGCCATCCAAAATCTCTGGCCAGAAACTTTGAAGACCGTGCTTATCCAGACACACAGCAACTCGCCCAGCGCTTTTGACGCATAGATCTTGGATCTCAGCATGGTGTCTGCACCGACAAGATCGATGTCCCCGACAACATATGTCCATCCACATTGTGTGCTGAAGGCAGGGGCGATGCTTCTTTCTTATCCGACTTGCGTCTGCGACCGGGTTTGGAGGCTTCGGCACCGCCGGGACTAGGAGCTGATGGTGAAGATTTGGCAAGAGGCGGGACAGGAGCAGTGGCGAATGGTACGCCAGAGGGCTTGATAAAGAGCGTGGCGTTCATGGGAATGGGGAAACGGGGCACACCGAACGCGCCCAGTGTCAGAGTGACAAGAGGCTGAACAGAGGTTGGAAGTTCCTGATCTGATATAAAAGCGCCACGGTTATCAATTGCTCTGAGCAATTCAGACCATACTTGAAGAGACAGCTTAAGAACACCCTCGTTGCGCTCTACCAGCAGGTTTTGGAAGATCAATCTGAGAGCTTTGCCATCCACCCAGTCTGTACTTCCCTCCCCCTCCAGCTTCAAGAAGGTCATGAGGGCACGGAGAACCGCAGATCGAACGCTGGTGATGGTGTGTCGCAGGAAAGGATATAGACGAGGGACCAATTTGCCGAATGAAGCTTCGGGATCGTCGGCGGCGTTTGCTTTCATTGCGTCCAATACTTGGTTGAAGGTACACAACTTTGCAAGGAGATCCATGACTGATCCAGTACTGGCGCTAAGGTCATCTTGTAAGTTGGAAAGACAATCCCAAACAATGTTCATCAGTGGACCAAGAGTGGCAGTCCGCGATGTCACAAACTCTTCCGCGATCGGGACGAGAGTTGCAGCGCTGACAGCCCGCACATCGTCGTCGAAATCAGCCAGGCCCTTCATCACAGCCTCGAGAACACCATCCATCATGCCAGAGTCTTTGATCAGTAGATCTTTTCGTACTGCAACCAAATACCGCAGACCAATCATACCCCCATGGCAGACTTCCCATACTGGTCGTTCAAGGCCGAGGTCAGTCTGCATGATGATCCGGTAGAGGCACCGGTATACTTGCCGTACGGCCTTGGGCGACAAGTGAGATAACAGAGCACCCAGGGTCTGACCAACAGTCTCTCGAATCGGGGCAACAACATTGTCTGAAATATAGTCACCAAATCGGTCCAGCATGAGAACAGAAAGTAACCTGCATGCCATATCATTCAACCAACGGCGATTCAAGCAGTCGTTTTCCTCTCGGCTTTTGCCTTCGACTCGCCCAGCTGCCGCCCCCTGAACCCTAACTACTTCACGAAGAGCCATCGCTGCACCGTGTCGGACCTCCCAATTTGAATCAAAGATATCCATAGAAAGGAATTCGCACATGCATTCCAAGGGCCATCCGGAGCCCTGGTCGACAAGTTCAGGTTGAATGATGGGCTTTTGGGGCGCGATGGGGCCTTTGAATTCGGTGACAAGCTTCGAGTCATCATCTTCCGCGGATGGCTTGAGCGAGAAATAATCAGGCTTGGTATCGCCATTCTTTTCGTCGCCGTTCTCGGCTTTGATGGGATGAGGGGTAGCCACAGGTGTAGTGACGTTCTCCGATGTCCGTCGTGACGACAAGTCTACAACACGGACTTTGTTAGCGCCCATCTTCGCATTTTGCTTGTTTTTCCGCTTGAGCTGGTTCAATTGGCGTTTGCTCAAGCCCGATTCATCCTTCGCGGTATCGCCAGGCGAAGATGGCCGCCGAGCTGCCAGATCCTGTAATGCGTTTTCGCGTGAGATGACCGTAGTCGTAACTTCCTTCTTCGGAGCTGGTGTTTCGGGCTTTGGAGCTGGCTCCGTGATATCGATCAACTCCTCCTCCACATACTCGCCAGCCAGGCCAAGTCGACCCATCAGAGTCTTCTTCTGGTGCTGGAGGCGTGCTGCTGGTTCCATCGAAGCCAGTGAGTATTCATACTCTTTTCCGGCACTACCGAGAAGTCGCTTGCCGTATTTCAAGATGGAGGCGATGTCTAGCGTATCCAGGCGGAGAAACCCGTCGACTAACGGGGTGTGATCTTCCGATTTGATCTCGGACTTGATCTCCACTTCATCTTCATCTGCGGCCGACGTGATCTGTAGGCCATCATCTACATTGGGATCGTATACATCAGCATTAGAGACGATCAAGCCAATGGCCCGGGCGGAGGCAGTTCTCGTGTCCCATGATTTTGACCGGAGATAGGGGAGAATTCGGCCCAGCAGGTTGAAGAGCTCATCTGGATGTTGCTTCTGTACATCCCCGAGTTGTTGAGCGGCAGTATTTCGAATTAATTGAGTACTGCCAGTCTCGAGTAATCTGCCATGAACATTAGTATGATGACTGGGAAAGTCGACGATCTATATTACTCACGTGACCAGGCGGTCGAGTCTAGAATCGGGTCAGTTTCACGTGACAAACGCGTGATGATTGGGTGATGGGACTTACCGGGAGGTCATGGCGGGCCGTCACTCTGATGCCGAGTGAACAGCACCGCCAAAATTTGGTGAGAAAACAGAAAAAGGAAGAAAGGGACGCGAGCATTCGTGTCACTGCAAGCGACTCGAAGAATGCCGGTCCGAAATCGAAAAACGCCCAACACCACCGAGAGAGGATCCGATGCTGAGTCAGCAGAAGAGGATTAGATTCAGTACACAAGAGCAGATTCTCGAGGTCACGCAGCCGGGTTTATATCATTCGGGGCTTCTGCCCGGCGCGCCGGCGCCATGTTTGGGTGTGTGCCGCTAGGCCGCATGGGGCTTAGCGGGCTTGGGCCTCCACTCGCGGGTTTTTCAGATCATGTGACCTACGCGTTTCCCGGATCTCGTGATTTCGGGCCAAATGAGCTGGAGTGTAGCGTCTGTGACTCTCAATGAATCTGAACCACATCCTTTGACATGTCTTGTGTAGCGAATGGTCTGGTGCAGAATTTCTCGGGGCTGAGTGTCTTTTTCAGAGTCCAGCCAGGAGTACCGCCAAGACATGCCAGATGGCCTCATCAGAGACAAGGCCTTACTCTCACGATGATCAGAAGGGATCGCCGAGTATGTAGTCAATAGCCATCGCTAGAAGCCTCGACGTCATTTCACACTACGTTCAGTATTCGCTCTCATTGTCAGCCGGAAGTGAAGTGAGAGCCAGAAGTATTTAATTCACCAATGAATTGGTCTCCATTACAAATTAGCGGAAACTATATATCCACATCGAGTTGGTGGCCGTTCGTCACGCACTTGTATTCAACGCAATCTGATCACTTTCAATGGATATCTGGGATGCCATGGAAAAATCAAGAGACAGTGAAAGATAAGAAGTAATGCCCATAACATACACAAATAATCCAAATTAAGGACCGTGAAGTAATTAATCGATTGACGGATTCTACCGACAAATCTCCTGCATGAATGATGGAATTTCAACCTCGATATTATCAGACGAACCAGCGAGAAGAGTACTTGTCTAACCTCAATCATACTTCAACTATAGAGCCCTTCGAGGCCAAACGCAAATTACCAGCCCGTTCTTACAGTAACAGGTTGCCCCAACAAATCGAGAGCTCCATGCTCGGTAGTACTGCAGACACTTGTCATGTAACTGGAGTATCATTTTCAAAGACAAGGCCTCAAGGCCAACAAACTGAGCGTTTCTATACAGTCACAGGCTCCCAGAAGAATGGTCCGGGGCAGACACAAGGATCACACGTATTGAAACAAAAAGAAACACCGCGCCCTGGATTTATTCCCTTATCGTCTTTCATTGTTGCCCCAGCTGGGTCAAAACCGCGGCAGCTTCCTCCTCCTTCCCAAGCAATCCCAGGCTGCGGATCTGCTCGGCCTTGGGTTCGTTCTCACGGGGATGAGCAGCCTCAGCCTTGCGGTAGGCGGCTTGCATCTTCATCGTGCGGAGAGCCTGTAATTCAGGTCCAAAGGTCAGATGTGTTCCTCAAAGACTCGATGTTCAAAGCCTTTTCAATCGACTTCGAACCAGGTCCAAAAACATACCTCTTTGCGGTGGTGGAGGCACTCGTAGTAATCTTCAAGAGCTGGGGTGCATTGCTTCTTGCCGGTCTCGCCCTCGCCAGCGTTCACGGCGTAACATCCAAGAACCTCCTGCCAGAAGGGGTAGCAACGGCCGGGGCCTAGAAAGAGCACAAATAAGTCAGTCAATCAACCGGGGGACGATCGTTGGGGGAGGGGACTGGTCTGCGCAAGATGTGACCCGGCGAGTGACACCCCGCAGACCACCCCAACATTGCGGAAAAGCTGCTAGCGAGACACGTACCGCCCTTGAGACCGAAACCGGAAGCCATTGTCGACGAACAGGGAGGGAAATTGACAGGGTGGTGAGCTGAGAGGCAGCAAGAAAGTGGTGAAGTTGCCGGCGGATGCGACGCATTCCCTTTCGTTTCCGACCTGGTCCGTGCGCCCCGCCGTATGCGACTTGGGTTGACGTCGCTAGTATGAGGACACCTTACAACCGTGCCTTTCTCTGCTCGACCGCCATGGCGCCTCTGGAGGGGCTATCGGACGCTCATGCGATTCTTTTAGCGACCTGTCTATGTGCAAGAGGTGAAGTGGCCGATTTGCCTGCTCTCCATGCGCAATATCCCCATTGTTTTCCACTCGAACGACTTCTACGCATCATCTTAACATTCCTGCCCGAGAGCACCGAACCCTCTATATATGTTCCAGTGCTCCAGGAAATCATTGGTGGCTCTTCTCGCGTACCGTCGGACCGAGACGTCGATACCACTGCGGTTAGAGACCTATCCGAGGCGGCAGCCAGGAAACGTGTGCGCAAGCTTTGTTTACGGCCACTGCGGCGCGACGGCGAGGAAGAAGAAGAAGTAGAGGCATCAGACGCCCTAACTCAATTCATAGTACACCGGTCACACCTTATTGACGCTGAAACTTCTCTTCAACCTCTCATTTTGGAGCTGGTCCTTCCCTTCTACCAACATTCCCCGTTCATTCGAACCTGGCTGATCTCAAGCCTACTGCCTGCACTCCGTCTCAATTACGAATATTATCCCAACCGCGACGAGGTCATATCACTGGACACCCTGGAGTTGATGGGTGATCAGGCAGCTGTCAACGTACTCTTGTCTATTGGAGGTCCTGAAAGAAGCAACATGGATCTGGTCAACAACTTGAGAGGACTAATTGGCCCTTGGCTCTACGGTAGCAACCGGTCCAAGCGGAGGAGACTCAACGAAGCGGCGCGACGGAACTCGATCTCCTACATTCAAGGCACCCCAAAACCGGAGCCCTCTGAAATGGCCGGATGGGAATATGTGAACGAGTGGCTTTTGTCACGAAGTCTTGTGGACCACCAAAGTGTCGTGCATGCTTTCAGCAACTGGAATGGCCCAGAAGACACCGATCTGGGTGGATACGAAGAGACAGACAAGAAGATATCGTCCGACCAGGCGAAGGAGTTGCTGTCAAGGTACTGCCAGTCGGGTCTAGCTGTAGTTTACGCTCACGCGGACTCATCAAACGCGGCAATTGAGGGGTCATACCAAGTGTTGGATCGTGTTGCCAGGCTACTTGGCCTTGAGGATTGTTCATACCTAGGTTCGTTCGAGTCAGCGCTTCCATCGGTGCACTATGATGCAAAGTTGATCTCCTCGACAAACCGGGTGTCCCTCCTTCAAAACTCTCTCCTTGCTCGAGATAATCCACTGACACAGCCTTCGCCATCTTCGATTTCTTTCTTGAGTGCTGTACTCCTTTCTCTGCGCATACTGACCGGTCTTGGCCATGTTGTTCCATGCCGACTCGTGGCGAACACGTGCTTGCATAATACGGAAGAGATGCAAATAGCGGAATTGAATAACTTGATCGCCTCTATTGTCAAACAACCTCGGTCCAAAGAGGAGTGGCAGAAGGTACGAGAACAACTGCTTTGGCTTCGCGAATGGCAAGCAGAGCATCCTGACAATGGCTGGGATGAGCCATCGACCCACCATGGTCTTTTCTGGAGAGTCTCGAAAGAAGCAATTGAGACAGAGATCCTGAAAGCTCTACTCGGCGCACGAGGTAAGACACCGACCTCTCATGTATTGTGCTTAGTGCTAATTCTACGCAGAATACCAACTTGCAGTGGATTTATACAGTCCGTCAGAGCCAGCTCCCTTGACTAGGAAGCAGGTAGAAGATGCGGTTGTCGAGGCTATCTATGCGGCCTACGACAATGCCAGCAATGGCAATCGGTCCCGAGGTGGGATAAAGAGAGCCTATGATATGTGAGTTTCAGCCGAACCAAAAGTCTGATTCGAATATTAACAGCCCTGAAGCGTGCAAGCTTTCCAACCGCACTTCCCGGATTCTGCCTCGTTCAAACAGATCCACTCACTCATAGCCGCCACACATGCACTGTCATTCTACGCATTAACCCTCCAACACGGCGTCCCGTTCCAACCAGTGAGCATCCGTGTGCACCACGACCCCCTGTCCCTAGTCGAGAAAGTCCTCGACCAAAACGCCAAAAGCTACACCAAACTAGACGACCTTCTCTCAATTGGCCGCAATCTGGTTCTTGCCGGTCTGTTCACAAAGCCTGACCCCAACGAAACCACCCCCCAGACATCAGAGCCCCTCTCCGAACAAGACGCCCTCGTCACAGCGGAGCGCCGCATAATATCCCTCGCCATATCCTCCGCTCTGAGCTCCAACGACTTCGGCACGGCCTACTCCTACATCCTCACCCGTCTCACACCACCCTCCCTCCTCTCAACCTCATCTCCACTCCTCAACACCCCAAGCGTCCCAGATGACATCTCCTGGCGCGCAGTCTATAATGCAGGCCGCTACCGCTCAACAACACCAAACCCCTCCATCCCCCTCCAATCTCAAATCAGCCACCTCTCTCAACGAATGGAACTTCTCTCCCTGGCCCTAGCCCTAGTCCCATCCCCAGACCCTCTTCCCGAAATATTAGGTGCTTGGCGCCGATGTGATGAAGAAATGACTTCCCTGCGCGCTCGCGAACTCTCAGAAGAAGATGCCTGGGATACAAAGGGGGATACCCTCTCTAGTGTACCTGGCGGGTTCGGCCCGTCGGATTCAGAGCGTGACGCCTTTGACACGGAGCGGCAGCGCGCAGCAAGACGAGCTCGGGCCCGTGCCACAAATTCGCATTCTCATGAGGCGCCGATGGGGTTGTTTGAGGTTGCACGGGCGCGGCTATGGCGTTGCATAAGAATGCGTTCCCATTGCGCGCTGCAGCAGCTGGTCATGGCGGTTCTCGTGGCGATGAGCGGCCGCTTTCACCCGAAGGGGAGGGAAGAGTCAGAAAGAGAGATATGGTTAGCAATATGGTGACGGGTGGATTGGCAAGTGGACTTGGGTGGGTTCTTGGTGCTGAGCCGGTGAATCGATAATTCGGACGGTGGAAAAGCACTTTAGATGTGTATCATGTGAGCGATGACTATATAAGCAATGATTCTATTTTGACATGCGATTCTTTACTGTAAATTTCCTTCACCTGTTTGCGGCACATTATGAGTCTCTTTTCTCAGCTTACAGTTACAAGCGAAAGAGTACACTAGACAACAGCGCTAGTATTGAGTACCTGGGTATGTGCCAGCTTGGGCTCCAATGCGTTGCGTACACTCTGCAGAGCAGGACCCAAAAAAAGTGGGGGGAGAAACCCTAAAAAGATTGGCTATACATGAACGAACAAAATGATATATGAATGGATATGTCCAGGCTCAAAATGTGACAATGAGGTGGGAAGCGCACGAGAGGATTGAGGGAATGTCGCGAGTTTGCAGGAAATTGGGCTGAAGGGATCGGATAAAGTATGAAAAATGCGAAAGGGGATATCAGGCCGTAAGGATCGTGTGGGTAAGTAGCCAGACAAGAGGTCGTAGTCGCTAATATGGACAATGACAGGGTATGATGATTGATGCATGCCGAGTTCCGGCCCGGCGGGCATCTCATGGCAATGAAAACTTGTAGTGCGCCACAACATGAAATCAACAGATGTAAAGAAGTGTCTTGATGGGTGGCCGTGTGATCTGAGTGTTGACAGCCAGGTCAAGTCTTGGGGTCCAGCCACGCAGACTCAAAATTCGAGGACTCGGCGGGTATAGAAAAGAAGAACGAGGTCAGGGGAGAAATATTGCTTCCTTTTTATTCTTCCCACCCCCACACCTGCTTCACGAAATTCGCCATGTTGACCTTCTTGTTCTTCATATCCTGCATCCACGGATGTTCCTGCATCCGCCAAGGAGTTGCCCGTCGAGGAGGTTCCTTCTCAAGACTGGATAAAATTGGTTAGCTTGGACTTGTGGTGATCGACTCGGCAATTACATACCAGCACTCGATGAAGTACTTGAAGTTATCCGACCAGCGAATGCCATTTTCAGGCTCGTCCTTCAGTTTGGGAATGGGCTGGCGCACGATGTAGGTGAGCAGATCTATTAACCCGGCGCGAGGTTGCATCTCGGTCCCGTCGGCAGGGAAGGGGAAGCGGTGCTGAGCGACTTCCAGCAATGTCACGCCGAGGGACCAGACGTCGGATGTGATGGTATAAGATTGGCCCGTAATGCGTTCAGGGGCCATGTAGTAGGATGTTCCGATGAAGGTGTTTGCATCGCCCTTGGTGCCGAATTCGCCGCTGACACCGAAATCACAGAGTTTGACTTGGCCATCACGGCACAGAAGAATATTGGAAGGTTTGATATCTGATGGGGGGGTTAGCCTTTTTTGGGCATTTCAAGAGAAGGATGGGCCATACCTCGGTGGATGATCTTGCGACTGTGGAGGTAGGTGAGGCCATTCAGCACACCCTCGGCAACTTTTCCAAGGACTTTCTCTCCAGTACGACCGCCAAGCTTCTTGACTTCCTTGTAAATGCTGTCAAGACTTCCGCCTTCACAAAATTCCATAGCGATAGAAATTGTGCCCGTTGACTTGTCCATGAAGGCGCCGTAGTAACGACAGATGTGGTCCGAGGCGCAGTCCTTGTTGAAGTTGAGTTCGCGAACGATCTGCTTCTTGACATCGGGATTGGGGTCTGTAGTGATGATCTGCGCGAATTGTTAGCTTTCATCAAAACTTTGACCAAGTGTGATATCACGTAAAGCCCATGATAAGGTCTTACCTTTAAAGCGAACACAGTCTTGCCATCCTTGAGTTTGCATCGGGTGACAGCACCACCAGCGCCCTCACCCAAGCTTCCCAACTCATCAATCTTCTTTTGTTCGCTGGCCGCATGCCAGCCCTCGTCATCCAAATCCTCCACATCCAGAGGTCGACCCTTCTCCAGGCTCAGCTTATCAAGATCAGGAAGTAGTCCGTTCACGCCGTTCTCTCCCTCTAATTGCGAACCACCATCGCGTTCTGAGTACACGGATCCGATGGCCGATGAAGGGTCTGAGTTGCCGTTTCCGGGTTGGCGGAGGCCCATGGCAAAGTTGAGGGCGGAGTATTGAGAGTTCGCCGACGCCGGATCATTGCCTTTGCCATGCGAGCCGTTTTGTCCATTTACGCCGAGTCCATTCGTGGCCAGACCTAACGACGGCCGACCAGCCGGTTTCATGGTTGTCTGCGGTGGGACATTTTGACTGCTGCCCATGGGAGTCGCGAGCTGCAGGCGGGGCGGGGTAGGACGGCTGGTCTGGAGAGGTTGTGGTTGCGCTTGTGTCACAAGCTGTGGCAACGACAGCGGCTGCGGGGCATCGACAGTAGCATTGCCATTGACGGGTTTGGCGTTAGGTGACGGAGGGATACCCAGGGTGAGTTTGGGAGCACGAGGACTGCCGGCGTTGGTGCGATTGCCAGGGACCGGCGGTCGAAGAAGCGGAACGGAAGACATGGCGAGATTGTTCTGCCTATCCCGGGCAAGAACAACTCGTTAGGATCAGCCAGAGTAGCCACAGCGTCGATGGAGCCTCGTCCACTGAACAGTAGGATCTGGACAGATAAGAGAGTGCTAAAGATCGGGACCCCGAAACGAATGTGGAAGGGGGAAGTTGAAGATGGAGGAGGTTAAAGAGCAGGTGACTCGGGTAACGGTTCCACCTGCCAACGCTTAAGCCTCGACGGATTTGAATCGAGCAAGACTCTCATGAATATTAATAGACAACACAGCCGCCGAGTGGGACGGAATGAGAGGAGAAAGAGATCGGGTGGTCGCGATGGTGGGGCTGTTTCAGAAGGCGCTTCAGCTGAAACACGGCGATCGCACTGACTTGCTCCCGTAAGGCTGGCCTTGACACTTCTTTTATGTCTACTTGATGTCTATTTGAATTGCAGGTCTTGCGCTGTTGTTCGATGCTCTGGCCGCGAATCTCATGCTGAATTCTCACGGGTGAACCACGGTTGCGATTGAGATCCAGATTTGTTGTCGTACCTTAGGTAATAAGCACTTAGGTACACACACACACACACACACACACACTTGGCCTTTTCTCATCACATCCTGCCAATTCGAATTTCTCGAAGGTGGCCCAATACTCCTTAGCTGCCAATGGTACTACTTACTTATTACGTATTGTCCAATCTACATCATCTTCATCGCCCGGGGAAATATATTGTTGCCTTGGAGCCGCAAACATCCTTCTCCGAGACTCCACTTTCGCCAACCAAGTGTCGCCAGAATGTTAGTGGCGCTCGTCGACATCATTGCCAACTCATATCCAAGGCGCAATATCCCCCACCGGCCATAATACGCGGTCTGGACCATACAGATATCATGGTGCTTAGGGGGCGATCCCATGTGTGATGTATCAGACTCTAATGATAATTCCTTGTGGTTGTGGCGTTGAATTGGTGTGATGGGAGCGATGTCATCAGCGTGTAGAATACATGGACTGTCGATCACTGGAAAGTTGGAACTCGGGACTCACGTGGCTAGTGTCCTCTTCAAATGTCTCAAAGTAACGATCGATTCGGCTACGGCAAGGGCGCTCTCCATGGTCCCTTGTGGCTGTGCCATCCATATTCTGGGTCGGCTATCATCACCCTCAAGTGGGCAGTGCACTCAGGAAGCTGGTACCAACCGCCACAGATCGCGAGCCACATTTGAGGGGAAACCCTTGCAGAATGGTAGGCTCCATCAGAGCATATCGACGTCATCGTTCCTCCGCCCGTGCCTGGATGGACTCGCGCGATAAGGCAGTGACATGCCTGAGACAACCCACAGCCTACCAAACCCAGGAGAGATTTGGAGTCGAGGTCACTTTTGTTTTGCGCCAGAGTAGGTCAAGTCAGACCCTGGCTTCAAGTGTCCATCTCTTCAATTCGTTACTTTCACGGAGATTGTTCCATCGCCAGAAGTTTTGTCGTCCCACGTAACCCGCGTTCAAGATTTGCAGGAATGGACCGTGTAGGTGGTCGCGGTTGGATCAATAATTTACTAATCCTGACCGCCAATAGTCCTCATGGCGCCGAAGTGGTTTCGATTTTGACTGACGCGTTGTCGCTGATCTTTGATCCATAATTCCCAGGCGATTCTCGGCATTACCACGTAATGAACAGGTCTAAAGTCAAGACATAGAGCGGAGACGTTGACGACAAACACGATCAAACACGCGAATAAAACTGGTCCGTCATGATTGCCAAGTTATGGTCACTGGTATTCATTCTTCAACCGATCAGTGTATTTTGTGACACACTGTAGGATGACGATGGATCGGCAGGGCGTCGGATGCTTCACTTCATACCCGATCTGCAGGTCATGTGTCCTCGTTGCGCACTCTGCAAAGTAACTGCCATAAAGATGAGATGCGGAGCTGGCAGGTCTCGTTTAATAGTGAGTGGCCGGGGGAGGTTGGGTAGTGTACGGAATAGAGAGGCTGGCGGTCTCAGGTGGGCGCCCCTCGATATAATCGACACGATTCATGGACTTGGCTGGACGGACAAGCCCCTTTTTCCCACCAGCTGAGATAGGCTTCACAGAGTCAATGGCTATAGGGGGAGACACGAAATACAGAATTCCAATCCACCGTTATCTGGTGAGCAAGAAAATCCCCCTTTTTTCTCAATATCGGTGTGAACGGGTTCCACAAATAAATCAAAGTCAAGTCTAAGTATAGCATGCAGCAAAGATTATGGGGTATAATACAATCTTGACTCAAAAAAGGCCGATTCATTGAAGTAGCGAGAAGAGAAACAAGCAAACCAGATCCAAGTAAGAATCAATAGTTGCACGAAATGTGGAGTCTCGGGAGGACCATGGCACGAGGTCATTCGTCCTACTGTCTGACTTGTGAAGCGGACCCCTATCATGGAGCCCCTAACCATCAGAGACAAAGTGCACAGTTCGCATCATTAGTCCATCAGAAACAAAGATGTCACTGAGACTAGCGATGAAGCACCGCTTGAAGTGTCTCCCCCGAGGCCGAGACTCACGAACTGCAGGTCAAGAAATGGGGATCAACAAATACCGGACTATGACGGTTACGGTCATGCCCTGGTGTATCAGCGCTGTAAATTATTACCAGACATTCACAGGCGAGATCAATCACGCGCACAGGGTTCAAATGCGCAGCCACTTTCCTCAATCAATTGTTAAATATGACGGTGTAGCACTCAGGGACCAAAGCTCAAGCCCGGCCCCCGCTCATGGCTCGCTCCGTGGCTAAGCTCCCCCAAGCAATGTAAAACGGGAGACCGGCCGTTAGGGAGGTGCAGATGGCGCTGAAACCGAGGGCTAGCGCCTTGTTCGCAGCGGGGACCGAGTTTGTTTCGCTTGCAATCAAATCAGACGCTAGCATTATAGTGCACTACTTTTCTCAGGTAAGATTGAAGGAGACTCTCGACCTGTGGAAGCATTCATCCAGCTCACAGAAAATTTACACCAAAAGGGACATGGTCATAACAAGGACTCGATTCTACTCGGATGAGGCGGATGATACAGTAAACTCTATACTGGTATTCGCTGCCGAGAGTCATGGTGAGGAGAATAGAACTGACACCCTGAAGGCGATTCGCTAGGGCGGGTAGTGCCAGTCCACCAGTGACGATATGTATCGCCTGGGGAACAAGTGCTCGGTTCTCAATTTGAGGTCCGCCGTAAGGATGCCCGTGAAAAAAAGAAAAAGACTTAAGCCCGTGGCCAGAAAGTGTAATCAATCGGCGGGTTGTTCAGGGGTAAAGTGGAGCACATGGGACCCACGGGGAAACACACACAGTGGCGGCCGCCGTCAGGAACGGGCGGTGGATCGGCGGTGGATTGGCTGGTCGAGGCCCAGGCTGAAACGCCGAGAATTGGTTCATTCTATTCTGTTTATTTGATTTTTGGTGAGTATCGTCGGATTGAGAATCCGACACACTGACCGGAAGTGACCTTGGATTCTTCAACATCTGCTGCACTGCTAGGATTGTTGACGTAGTCTGGAAAATAGAAAGTAACCATGTCGAGTTAATCAAAACACCGCGGCAAGGCGCAAGTAAGGTCGTGTCTCACACTTCACCTTCCGAATCCGCTCGATCGGCACAGTTCCTGCGCTAACTCATTTAGTGGCAAGTAATATTACATGCTAAGTGGTGGTCACGGACGAAACGGCTCATCCCACGCGCCCACTCGGGCCAATGAATAGATACGAGGATGTACCGATAACCAAGTGCGAGCGGCACCTTCACCGCGACTTCTATGTACCTGGTACGAAACAAGTCGACTCCGCAATGCACATCGAGCTCGATTTCCCCTTTTTTCGAGGGGGGCCCGAAGACGCGAGTGGACTATCAGACAGACCAAGACTAATCTCCCCGTTCATACAAAGGGCCCTGGTCTCCCCCCCGTGCTACTTCTTGTTTCTTTCCCTTCTTCAAGTACTATCTTCGTTGCCTTGCATCAGTCACTCTTTCGACTTCGGTCATCCACTCTTTAACCAACTACTCTCACTCTCTACAAAAAGCTACGCTTTTTCAAACCCTACTCTTCAAAACCACCTTTCGGTTATCCTTCTCATATCAATCAAAATGCGTTTCACCGCTGCTACCGTTGCCTTCTTCGCCGGCCTGGCTGCCGCTATGCCCAACGGCGCCGACACCACTGTCTACCAGACTGAGGAGGTCACCATCATCTCCTGCGGCCCCGAGGTTACCAACTGCCCCGGCCGCGCTACCTCCACCATTCCCTCTGGTGCTGCTGCCACTGAGACCTCCGTCATGACCACTGCTGTTCCCACCACCCCCGCTGGCGGTGCTCAGCCCGTCTCCTCCGGCTCTGCTCCCTCCTGGTCCAGCTCTGCTTCCGCTCCCGCTGTCACCTCCGCCACCTCTGCCACCACCGCCACCACCGTTGCTCCCGTTGTCCCTGTCGTGACCCCCTCGGTCATTGCCCACACCTCGTGCTCTACCTGGTACGAGACTGTCACTCCCTCCGCTGGTGGTGCTGGCTCCGTTCCCTCCGGCTCCTCCCCCGTCGGCTCTGGCTCTAGCTCTGGCTCCGGCTCTGGTTCTGGCTCTGGCTCCGGTGTTCCCCACGTTCCCTCCACCTCCAAGGGCTCGGCGTAAGTTAAAATCCTGTCCTTCCAGCTCGAAGAAAGACAAACTAATCCATCTCTAGTCCCGGTAGCGCCTCCGCTTCCCCCTCTTCCACCCCCGTCTTCAACGGTGCTGGTGCCGTCTCCGGCTCGCTCACCTTCGCTGGTGTCGCCGCTGCCGCCGCCTTCTTCCTGGCTTAAATGACTCCATTCGTAATGGGCGTCTTCAACTAAGCTGGTCTTAGGGCCTGGTTGGTATGTTGCCGTTGCAAAGGAATGGAAAGGGGACGGAAAGAGAGAAGGTTCTTGTTATTTAACTTGGGTCTGGTAATACCTGACAAATATTGTTACTTGCTTCTGATTGGATACGCTTTATCCTTTTTTCCTGATGCTTTTTTGATATACATATTTTTTTTCTTTCCATTTCTTGGGCTTCCTGGATAGCTTCGGAGTTGTGTGAAGCGCTTGGTGGCTTGAGCACGACTTTAATGTAAACCATGACAGCTTTCACCATTTCCCTACTTTTCAGTGAACCCCCGTAACTTTTTTTGGACAATGTATTCATATCACGTTGCTATCTATCTTTAAGTAGATATGTCAATGCTACCATACATTTGAACTTGATTTTCCTATCAGCTGTGATTTCGTCCGAACGCTCTTCCTTTGCCAGGTCCGGCTGAAACACTGATGATGCACAGATGTATGACACATTACTGTTGGTTCCTGGAAATAGATTACACTGGCTGATCGAGTTCCAGCATCCTGGTTCCATTGTTCTACATTCAGCAGGCGTAGTTGCAAGCTGAGCGAGCATTGGGAACCGACAGAAACATATGCTCCTGTCGCCTTGAGTCTCGCAACAAAGCTGTCTTTCGCAAGTCTTCGACTTTGTTCAATTTTTTTTTCGAACATAGAATCCATTGCCATTGGAATTGTGTCCTTCATTTTACATTTTATTTGGAAGCAAAGTAAATGTTTCAGAGCCGCGTTACATCCATGGATCCGAGGAATGTGGACCGTGGTGTCAAACTCCGCGTGCTCTCAGGAACGTAATTACCCAGCGAATGAAACAAGCTTGTTCACGCTGCTCCATCGTGCAGCAGTTCCAGGGATGAGAGAGACACCTGGGTATCCGTGGGCTTGATATAAATTCAATTACGCTTCGCTCTGGTCAATTACCCTGCTTGAAGTATATATTGCCGAACGGTGACCTCGCGCCATTGGGATCCTGAGCCCAGAGATCCAAGCCCCCAAATTTAACAGATCCCGGCGATAAAGTTGGACAGACACAGCCCTGAGTATACCCGGATCGCACTTGTTGACTCGTATAGTGTGATCAAAATCTTGCCGCGCGACATAGAAATCGACGACACTAAAGATAACGGCCCCCACCGTTACCAGTGGCTATGTAAATCCCCCCTCCAATGGTTCGCTCGGTGTTTGGGCTCGGTAGGTATCCTGAGAGCTCCATACCTCCAGGTGGAGATACCACCCGCAGCCTCTCTTTTTGCAGTCGCATTCCGATGTGTTGGCTTGATCACGATGGGTGCGAAGGAAGGGGCCGAACCACCGCCCCGGCTCAGGTTCAGAGTGACTCCGGCGATATTTTCACGGCATACCAACGCAATATTTATGGCGTAGAAATTATGGCGGAGAACATTTGCTTCCATTCGCAGTGAATATGCTAATCTCTTCGGGAACTATCGTTTTGCCCGTAGATGACACTGATGGTGTGTACAATCTCCAAGATTTAGGAATCTGGCCCCCAAGAGGAGGCCTCTTCGAAAGGAGAAGGACAAATCATCATGCGAAGGAGTAATGCCCCGGGCCCCAAAGAGGGCCAGGGCCGGGCTACTCGCTTCGGCGGACAGCCTTGGAATTCTCCAAGTTGGGCCCCTAAACTATATACAGTAGCGGGCATTCCTTCCTAGTAAGCCCGATAATTCCCCCCATTGTTGACGGCCTCAATTACCGAGAAGCAATTTCCCTGCCAAATCCAGTTGAGAACTGTGATGTTATCGTCTTCAGCTTCCCAACGAGCACTCGTAGAACCACAATCCACTCTCGTCAGCTCTGTCCTTGTGTCCAAGACTTGGCTCCATCATTGACACTACATGTTCTGACTCCACCATGCCATGTGAGATTCGGCTGTGCAAATTCCTCCACAAGATCCAGAATGCTCGCCAGACATCACAGCCAGAATCTGAAGCGCCCGAGCCGACACTGCGGGCGTTTCATATATCAGCTTATTCTCCCCAACAATGCATTGATACCACGCAGACACATCTTCGCTCAATGTCATCACAGAAGAGTCCCTTTGTTCCCCGTCGAGGACCTCTACCAGATCCTCTCAAATTTCAGCAAGCCACAAGCTCTAGGCGAGACCCTCCAAAGTCTCACCGACCACCGCGCCCCCTCGTGGACCTATCTTCCCTCGAGGGCCCTCCCTTCGACGACGTGAGGGGCACGAGTCCGCGTAATGCAACGATTCCTCGCACTCAGGTGGACCATGTATTCCCAACCAATGCACGCCCGGACCTCCTCTGGAAGCCTCTTCCCCCACGACCTGCTTCTACAGAGGCTACATACCTGCGACAGCAGCCAATGTCCTGCAGACCATACTCTCATCCGAACAGGATTGGCCCTCAATCAAGAGACGACACCATGTTCACTCAATATTCTGCCCAACGAGGAAGGCCAATCAACATTGAAGAGCGCCAGCCAAGCAGACTATCATCAGCTTCCGCAGGGTTGAGATCAACAAGCACCGTAATACCGCGGCAGACACAATGTCTGCGATCACAAAGCTTTGGTTCAATCGTCTGGCACGAGAGCAGGGCGCAATGGGTAGTGGTTGATTCATCTGCGGCGCGCTCTTCTCAATCCCGGATCCACTGTCTGCCCACCAGACTACGCAATGCAACGAGTCCCGCACTGGAGATACACCGCAATTATGAGGATGAAGTAGAGGATCACAACCCTCCTGATTATGAAAGTCACGGCTTTAGTCCGACTCATATTATGCGTCATACACTTGGACCGGCTTCAAGGACAAGGGCACGTGAGCGTGGGAATCCATAGTCTGTCCGAGATGAGCTGTGGGCAATGGTCAAGATGCGTGCCGGAATATATCCTGGGTTCCGGCGAGTGGATGATCTTGCTGCCTGCGTCCATATACCCTGGCGTTTCTAGCACATCAATGGAATTTATTTGTGCCGTGACACTTCTTCCCAGCGCCTTGGCGATTTTTGAACTCGTGGACGTGCCTTTGATCAGTATCTAGACACTTGAACTCGTACCTGCGGTTTGTGCTCACAATAAGTCGTAAGGATGATCTGTGTAATGACAATGTAACGCCCGCCTAGGGTTCCTTAATAGGCCATCTTTGAGAAGGATTCGGCTGTCCGAGATTCGCTCGACTAACTCTTCTTGAAATGATTCCATGCTCTTGGAGAATTTCCTGCGTTTGAGCATTTTGAGGAAAGTGGTAATTACAAGCGTTGAAAGGTGGAAGATCAAGATGACCGAACCATGGGTTGTGCACAATCCGGCACTCGAGAGCGGATGCTAATCCTAATATGGCAGGCGCCCGCTTAGTGACAAACTCTACCGACGGATGACATTTCGTAGTTTAAATTCCCCAGGTCTTGTGATCAAATAAACAAACCAAGAGAGGTCAGAGGACTATTCAATCAGAGTCATGTCTGGACCTGGCACTGGGCCATAAGCAGATAGGTATCCATGTCCCACGGTCGCCATGATCATCCATTGAAATGCTCTGTATCTCTATGTGATCTGTATAGATAAGGCGTCATGACACCATTGATAGTACATTGAAACATGAAATCAAAATTCCAATCAAAAGTTTCCTCGGAATTGAGCTTTCTAATTGGCGCAGGGCTGAGATCGGTGATACGCATTTTAGCCTGACATGGCCTGCAGGACCTGTCTCATATCAGAGGAAGCCATGGCATTAGAGAACTATTGGCACAACAGTTGATCTCACTGTGATCATTCCTGCAGTTCTCGTATCTAGTACAGACCAGTTGCTCCCGTCACAAGTAGTTGCGCGTCCTGCGCAGCAAGTAACATTGAACCCAGAAAGATAAATCAAGAACGAGGCCATGTTTTGAAGATCACCAAGACGACAGATATTCCTCTGACAAATGACTATTGCGCAGGAAGTCTCCTCTCCCTAGGGCCAAAACACCCCCGGCCTAGCACCTCGGGTTACGATTCGAGCAAACTGCATATTGGATCCACCGCTCCACTGCACGAAAGGCTCAGGGACTTTTGCACTCGTATGGGGCCATCCTCTGATTATACTGTAGACAGACATGCGGCCAATTGTAGGGAAGTTCTCGGTGATGACAGAACCTAGGAAGCTTCTCGAATAGAGTCAGTGATGTCTTGAAGCGCAGTCGTCATCCTGACAGGATTCGGTGACTCGCTCCAGTTCTGTCGCGCGCTAACACAGACCAGCAGCTCTCCAGCCTCTGAATTATTGCCTACGTTCCCACCAGTAGCAGGAAAAGAGAAATCTGTTAGTCAAATAGATAAGTTATAAAGTACTCCGGTCTAATCTCTTCCTAGGATCTCCTTCTCGGTCCTTTGCCCTCGCATCTCATACCTGGAGATACCCCGGACCGTGGACATTGCGCCTGATGACGCTGAATAACTAGACCTATACTGATCATGGCTGCATTTCTGTGAAGAAAACAGAATACATTCTAACCCAATTTCCGTGGTTGAAACCCTTCGCTCCGAACCGGTGATTCTGGTGATTCTGGCGATTCTACCGCCTTCGCTGTCCTTCGATCCCCAGGGAAAAAAAATTACCAGTACCAGGGAAAACGGAAAACCCTAACGCCCCCCAATGGTCCAACTCGCCCACATATTCAAAAAGGATAAGGACAAGGAGAAGCAAACCCCCGAAAGTACCCAAGTCCCCAAGAACGAGAAAGAGAACGAGAGGGAATCCAAGAGTCCCGCTTCTTCACCCCGAACGTCCTACTCCACCGCGCGCAAGTCGCCCTCCAAACCTTCTAAACCTTCGAAACCTTCTCTCTCCAAGTCTCCCACCAAGAACCGCTTCTCCCACAGTCGGTCTTCTTCCTCCACTTCCCTCCCAACTGCCTCCTTCCGGTTCGGCAAGTCTTCCAAAGAGAAAGAAACCCACCCACTCAATCTCCCGCCCGACGAGCTGCGCCGTCGACTGTCGGCCATGGCGGCATCCCGAGACGACCAACGGAGCTCCATGGAAATCGATCCTCAGGAGGCTCAGCAGACGAATGGCGTGAACGGCACCGAGGAACGGAGTCCTACCCCGCCTCCCCACCGGTCCAACTCTTCTTCTACTGACGAGGCCGACAACTTCAAGTTGGCCGGTAACAAATTCTTCAAGGATGGCGACTACCGTCGCGCTATCGAGGAGTACAACAAGGGTATGCTTCCCCGGAGTCCATGCCGATTCCAAGACACAAGGTTGGAGAACAAGCGCTAAACTTTCCTTCTCACTGCAGCGATTGAGATTAACCCCAACTGCTCGGCTTACCTGTCCAACCGCGCGGCAGCCAACATCTCCGCCAAGCAATTCCTTAATGCGCTCGAGGACATTGAGCGTGCCCACGAACTCGACCCTACAAACCCCAAGATCTTCCATCGCTGGGCTAAGATCTTAACGAGCTTGGGCCGGCCGAAGAAGGCTCTCGACGTATTGTCACGTGTGGACCCCCCCGCGACAGCGACCGACCGGGCAGCAGCGGAGAAAATGCAGCGCTTCATCACACAGGCGGAGCAGACCATCGCCGAAGACCGAGGTGGCTCTATGGCCGTTTTCTGCCTCGATCAGGCCCGGCAAGGTCTGGGTGCTGGCGTGAAGGAGCCGCGCAAGTGGACCTTGCTGGCGGCCGAGGCACAGCTGAAGATGAACAACAGCAACTCGTTGGGTAAGGCACAGGACATTGCGATTGGTCTGCTCCGTGAAAATAGCCAGGACCCGGATGCGATGATGATCCGTGCACGGGCGTACTATGCCTCTGGTGAGACGGAGCAAGCGCTGAAGCTCCTGAAGATGTGCATCGGGCTGGACCCGGATATGAAGGCGGCCATCAAGCTGTTGCGCATGGTTCAGAAGCTCAACCGTACCAAGGAAGAGGGTAACAATGCCTTCAAGGCCAAGGACTACCAGCGCGCCATTGAACTCTACAGCCAGGCTCTGGAGATCGACCCCACCAACAAGGATATGAATGCCAAGATCCTGGGTAATCGTGCCCAGGCCCACTCCAACCTGAAGCAGTGGGATGAGGCTGTCGCGGACTGCACTGAAGCCCTGCGTTTAGATCCCGGTTATGTCAAGGCCTACAAGACCCGTGCTAAGGCGCATGCGGGTGCTGACAACTGGGAGGAGGCTATCCGTGATTACAAGAGCGTTGCAGAGAACAACCCGTCTGAGCCGCGCATCGCGGAGGATATTCGCAAGGCTGAGTTCGAGCTTAAGAAGTCTCAGCGCAAGGACTACTACAAGATCCTTGGGGTTGGTAAGGACGCTAGCGATCAAGAGATCAAGAAGGCCTACCGCAAGATGGCTATTCAGTACCATCCGGATAAGAACCGTGATGGTGAGGCTGGTGACGAGAAATTCAAGGAAGTTGGCGAGGCCTATGAAACTCTGATCGATCCTCAGTAAGTGCATTCGTTTATTGTCTCACATTGAAAAAAAAGCCGACTAACCCTCCTATTAGGAAGCGTGCTGCTTACGACAACGGAGACGACCTGATGGACCCGTCCGACATGTTCGGTGGCGGTGGTGGCTTCGGCGGCATGGGTGGCATGGGTGGCATGGGTGGAATGGGCGGCATGGGAGGTATGGGAGGCATGGGTGGTATGGGCGGCTCACACATCAACATCGACCCTAACATCCTGTTTAACATGATGAACGGTGGAGGTGGCGGCGGCTTCGCCTCTGCTGGCGGTCACCCCTTCGGCGGTCAGTCTCGTGGCGGCGCCCAAGGATTCCCCGGCGGCTTCCCCTTTCTAGATGGCCCAACCATCTGCACGGCTTCCAACTACCACCTCCCCAGCCAGCCAGTGTACAACGAAAGCCAAGCATCACGGGCCTGGTATCATCGGGGAAAGACTTCCTGATACCTGCCTCGATCATGCCGTTGTTTCCGCCCCCTTTATGCTGGAGTCGCTTGCTGTTTCGGTTGTACTCTGATGTTTTCTTTGATCTGGACTCGATGGCACCGCCCGGCACTGCAAAAAGGCGTTGTTCGTCTGCTTTCAGCCATGTCTTCTCCATATATGCGATGCTTCCACGGGTATACGGAAGCAGGATGATTCCCATATGATAGACCCTGATTTTGACCTCACCTTTTCTTCTTTTTTTAATCTTGTTTTATGTTGATGTGTCTATATGAATGCTGGATGGGAATGAACAAATGAGCGGTGCATCTTCATGGACTGAGTTTTTCCATGTACTCGACAGGGCATACACCAGACATCATTGGCGTTTTTTTCTCATAACAAATGAATGGAATTGCATACTCTTTTCATGTAAATGGAGACAAAACGGTGAAAGTGAGCTTGAGGTTATTTCAGAATGAAGACTGAATCTCATAAGAAAGGCCTGTCTTTTCCTCTAAGCTTCGATAGGGCCAATTACTTGCAGCTGCCTTTGATAGCGCTAAAGAGTTGAGTGGACTCAGACCATATCAGCCAGTGTATGTCAACAGACGCTCACGACCACGGCGCGAAAGTCTCCTTGAACCTCTTGTCATCCGCAAAACGAGAACGAGAAACAAGCCGTCTAGAGTGGTGACACCGCGCCCAGATTGCTTCGCAGTATTGCTTTTCTGAGACGAAGGACCAATTCTTCGAGGTGCATGAATCGACTCCTGGAGGTCTTATTCTCTTATCGAGGGAGAACTGGTTTGACAGTGGTTGCCGTGTTGCCTCCATAGCAAGTGCTGGTAGAAAGTTGAATGTATAGGTAGAGGCGGTGCAATGACTGCTAAAACAGGGATTTCGACAATCTGGCCCAAATTGAAGATTAGGGGCTGATTCTTAAATGAAGAAAGAAATTGCGGAATATAAATATCATTCACCTGGCTCATTAACTGTCTACTAAGGCGGCCCTTTATGCACTATCGATGTCACATTGGTCTGGTCGTAAAGAAAGATTTTAGAATACGCTCCCAAATAGTCGAATACAAGGTAAAAGTGTCATCGCTAATTCACTTCGGTAATAGTGTGCTATGTACGTCCCCAATCAAACTTATCATCCATATGCTCGTCAACTGTACTTGAATCAAAAACAATAAATCACTATATAGGTAAGGGGGGAATCTCAAGAGCTATGAGCTATAGCCAAAAAAAAAGCGAATGAATGTACCGAGAGAACAAGAGTATGCAGCAAACTCCGCCGCTGATGACAATTGAAAGCGCGAGGCCGAGAACGCAGCAAAAGCAGATAACGCTCAGGAGGGAAAGGTCACTGGGGAATAGCGCAGTTTGTAGAAGCTATACTTGCTTCTGCGCTGCACGATCGTTTCCATATATCTTATAACCCAGTTCTCAAATATAGCCAAGCCCACCCAGAATGGTCTTGCATTCTGGGGCTGGCATGGGCGCAACACCGAGGGCACGGACCAAAGCACCAGCGCGGAGACGTTGTAGTCCAAGAGCGACTTTCCAGGCTTCTGTGTCCTGCACGACAAAAACATATCGTTTACCCTCCTGGTCACGGATGCTGGCGCGGAGGATGTGAAGGCCACGGAACTCTGCCTGGGAAGGACCACTGCCGCTGACACCACTCGCCGCAGCGCTACGGGCAAAAGATGCCGCCGGGGACGCCAGACGGCAGGTGTTCTTACACACTTTGAGGAAGGCCGCCTGGAAGGCATCGGATTCCTCGGTAGTGGGTACTGAGTGCGCGGAGTTGCCTCGGCGGAAGGAGAACGGATTGCCGGAGCCCTGCTTTGAGGATGGGACTTTGCCCATTTGGGGACACCATACCTCAGCTAGCTTGAGGGTCCAGGCTTTGACGTCCCATTCGCGCTGTCCGACGCCTCGGAGGTCGTCATCGATAAAGAGACCTTCCGTGGTGATGCGTAGCACGAGTCCATCAGTCACCATTCCTTGACCGGAGACAAGCTGCGCGACTGGGGTCTTGTTGAAAGCATTCGTGAATTGGTACACACCCTGGATCACAATCTTGTCTGGATCCTTGGTGGAATAGCCACCGCGATGTGAGGGGGGAGGCGTAGTGCGAGCCGTGGACTGAGACGGAGCATAAGAAGATTCAGAGTATGCCGATCCAGACCCGGACGCAGCGCCATACGGCCGACGTGGGCGGTCGTAGGGCCGAAAAGGAATATGCATCATCTTCCTCGACAGCCGACCTAGCTATCGGAAAGGGCGGTGGTTTCTTGGGTGAAGGTGTCCGAGGTGCGCTTGTTGTACTGGCAGGCGGTTTAATGCTAGACTCCTTCTCTTTCTTGGCGTCTGCAGCCTTCTTCTCTGCATATCTTTTCGCAGCAGCTTCTTTGAGAGCGGCGAATTTGGCCATGGCGTCTTTCTGAGCCTGTGCCTTTGCTGCAGCCTCCTTCTCAGCAGCTTCCTTGGCTGCTTTGTCCTTCGCCTCGGCTGCGAGCCTCTGGGCCTCTGCCTTAGCTTCGGTGGCAGCCTTGATTTCTTTGGCGAGCCTTTCAGCGGCTTCTTTTTCGGCTTTTTCTCGAGCCTCTGCAGCCTCTTTCTCGGCCTTTGCACGAGCTTCGGCCGCTTCCTTCTGAGCCTTTTCACGGGCTTCTCTCTCCGCTTTCTCCCTTGCAGCAGCCATCTCTCTCTCGAGCTGCTCGCGGCGCTCCTTCAGTTCTTTCTCCATTGCTTCCCGTTCGCGCTTCCTCTCCTTCTCTTTGGCTTCTGCCTCACGCTTGCGTTTGAATTCTTCCATCTTTCGACGCAACTCCTCCTTGCGCTTTGTTTCTTCTCGCGCCTTCTCCCATTCGGCCCCATCCGGTCCATGATTATTCGAGTCCTGCTTTGGTGGAGGCTCAGAGCGAGGAGACTCGGCGCCGTGTTGGTCGCCGGCATACTGGTTGCCACGATGCTGCCCTCCGCCAAAGCTTCCTCCTTGCTGTTGTTGCTGTCCCGAACCACCAGCGCCTCCGTATTGTTGTTGTCCTGGTCCGCCACCATAATGGGCGCCGGAAGATTGGCCATGGGCATTTGAACCGCCAGCTCCAGGCCGGGCCCTCCGCCGAATCCTCTTCCCCCACCCGTATTGCCGTTACTACCATTATTACCCTTGAAGCCGTTCGATTGCGACAGTCCAAAGGCCCAACCAGCCACACCTACTCCAAGTGCTACCACAACAATACCCATGCTATTGCCATTGGAAACGGCAGCAATATACCATGTCCTGATGACCGGCGAAATTATAGTCCAAACCAGGCCAACGAGAAGTGTGCTTGCGACGCCCGCGAGGAAACTGTTTCGATTGCATTGCAATGAGGGCAGGTAAAGGAAGCCTCCGCCGGCGGAATGCGGAGGCACGATGAAGATATCGTAGTTACCCTGTGGTAGGTCCGAGGATTTGCGATATTCGCCGTCGGTTGTATGAGGGTTTTCGCCATGCGGCGGCGGTGGAGGCGGTGGTCCATCCATCGCGACGTGAGGAAAGTGTCAAAAGCGCGATCGTATGATTATAAAATTATGCGATGAATCGAAAGTGAAAGGAATCCCAAGTCCTCGTTCTCGATTTCCAGGGGCCTGTCCCGTTATACCAGGCGAATCTCCCAACTGAGAACAGACGACTAGACCCTAGTTGAACAGGTTTGCGCAAATGTGACTTGAAAGCCAGATCATGTTCAGTGGAAGATGATGCACTGAGGCCCTGGGCCACTCAGTGCTAGGCAACGAAGCCAGTGGCAATCGCGAAATAACGGGGATGCAAGAACCGCGCAATTTCGACCCTGAACCCCAGAGAAAAGCGGAGGGAGTGGAAGAAGTGAGGCGGATCGTTCGGGGGAAAGTTTGTTTAGGAGAAGTGGGAGCCGCTAAGGATCGGCGGTTCCATGCAGAGCAGACGTGGCCATCACACACAAACAGTGGGCGCGTCCAATAGATGCCAGCTAACTTGGGCCCTTCATCGATCTTGAATTCTTCTACGCTCAGATCAGAGCCTGCTTCTTGTTAAAGGACCCGAGAAGCCACGCGAGCGCAAGCCCTATGGCTACTGGGCAGGATGGCATCCGTGGTACAGCATCCAGGGATATCAGACTGGTCTGACACTTGCTTGCGCCCGCAACCCCTCCTGCGGCAGTCATATCTGTTTTTTCGAATTTTCATCAAGATCTATAGATTGTCAAGTATTGATTCTTGGACATTGCAGAACACACTGGCTACACCGAATGCTTCGCAAGTGCGAGGTAAGATGTTTGTTTACGTTTTTCCCTTTAGGGAAGGTGATTTATGTCAGCAACTGTTGCCTGAAAGAAGCCGATGTTGGCCTCAGGCAGTGAAAATGACGACAGAGGCCACGCCAGGACTACACAGCTGTTTTCCCTGGAGCTGAGAATTGCGCTGGTAATACATGGGGCCTCTAGTCTCTGTCTGGAGATTATAGTACTTTATTCATGACCGTTCACTACGAATCACCTGAACCTGAAGCTACGTCAATTGTCAAGAAAATGGAGAGTGTGGCTCCATTTCAACGTGTGGCCCCTCGATAGCCCGGTATAGTGTAGCGTAGACGAGAGCCCGTGTTGATGTTGCGGTCAAGCGGTTGGGGGACGATGGTTCGAGCGTGGTGGGTCCGTCGTAATCTTCGAGGTCAACGGGGCACTCAGGAGCCACGGAGTCCGTATGCGAGGATGGCCTCATTGAGAGGACGACCATCATGTGTGAGGTTGTCAGAGACAATCTAGGAAGCATCTCTTATCATAAGTAAGCAGCCACGGGCATCGAGGGTTGGACCTCAAGTCGTCGGGATAGTGGAATGCCCCATGATCCGGCCATGAGATGCGGGACCATGATCAGGGTGGCACTCAACACTCGCAAGCCTTGAGTCACGGTCCACTCAAGAGGTTTCTTGAAAAAGACCAAGGCAAGAACGGTGTAGAGACGAAAACTGCGAGAGGACATCATAAGTGGGAGGTCCATTTTTGATTCTTGAGGCGGCTCTTAGAAGAACGAATCCCCAGGAACGTGACTCGCACTCGTTGATTGGATCGTATTCCGCCTCAAGATTCCCATCCTTCTCCTCCATCTGTCTTGAGACTTGAGCCTTCCGTCCTCCGTGGAGGATTTCCCTTGTTTCTCTTCTGCTTTGCCTTCGCGGTAGTCAGGCACTACCCCCGTCCTACTCCGCTCCCCGCCAACCTGTCCTCTCGGCCCCATTCCCAGGCATTCATCTCCCCTCCCCTACTCCTATGCCGCGTCGATAGCCCAGGACCTCCTCGAAACAACTCTTCTGCCCCTTCAAGGCATGAACCACAACATGTCCTCCTTCCAAACTCCCCCCTCAAGGATATCAGGGCCAGTCTGCACCGCGCCACCTCCCCGCGTACAACCCTGTCGCCCCTGTGACCGCGCCCGCGGGGACTTTCCTCCCCGGGACCAAGGTCCAGGTGGGCAGTCACCGTGTCGTGGTTGAGAAATACTTGTCTGAAGGTGGCTTTGCTCATGTCTACGTCGTACGGCTGCCACAGCCGATTAATGGCACGCCGACTGCGGTTCTGAAGCGTGTCGCCGTACCTGATAAGTCGGCACTCGCGAGCATGCGCACCGAGGTAGAGACGATGAAGAAACTCAAAGGTCATCGACATATCGTCAAATATTTTGATTCGCATGCGTCGCAGCTGAACGGGGGCGGATACGAGGTGTTCTTGCTGATGGAATTTTGCGGGGGGTGGTCTGATTGACTTCATGAACACCCGGCTTCAGAACCGTTTGACGGAGCCTGAGGTCATCAAAATATTCTCGGATGTCGCCGAGGGTGTGGCCTGCATGCACTATCTCAAGCCGCCCTTGCTGCATCGGGACCTGAAAGTGGAGAATGTCTTGATCTCACGTTCCGGAGGCTCATCTGTTTACAAGCTGTGTGATTTTGGCTCTACGGCGCCTCCTCGTCCAGCTGCTACGTCTGCTGCGGAAGGCCGACTCATTGAAGATGACGTACAGCGACACACGACTCTGCAGTACCGCAGTCCGGAGATGATCGACGTGTATCGCAAACAACCAATTGACGAGAAGAGCGATATATGGGCACTCGGTGTGCTACTGTACAAACTATGCTACTACACGACTCCATTTGAAGAAGTTGGACAGATGGCGATTCTTAATGCGAGCTTCAAATTCCCATCCTACCCCCAATTTTCGGATCGATTGAAGAAGTTGATTGGTATGTACAGTGGATGATATGCATGCCATTGGATGTTTATGTCTAACTGTTTCCCCAGCCTCAATGCTCAAAGAGAACCCTCAGAAGCGCCCGAATATATACGAGGTGGTTCAGGAAGTGTGTAAAATGCAGGGCAAAGAAGTCCCCATTCGAGACGTTCGTCCTAACACGCTTCTAATGCCCTGTGTCAAAATAACTGATCGTGAACTAGATTTACTCCAACCGGTCTGTGTCCGAAGCGCGAAAATTCCAAGAGCTTCCGCCTACGCCAACGGAAGCTCCCAAGGCTGGAGCCACTTTCTCGCCCCCTATGCAAGAGACCGCAATCATTCCCGAAATCGCACCAATGCGAAGAGGACGTCCTGGAAAATCCCAGTCATCCACGCATAGCTCAGCCAGGCCGAGTCCTCCTCCGTACAGGGGTGACACCAAGAGCTCGGCCAGTGACCCGTTCGCAGCTCTGGATGGAGATTCTCGCAGCAAGACTGCGGAAGAGCTTTCACAGCGGTTTCCGTCGCTGGACCAGTTCAATATTTTGCATGAGAAGGGCGACAAGTTCGACTTTGAGCCGGCCCAGGAGGCCAAATCGGAAGACGAGGATCTGTCGCAAAGACTTACCAATGCTCTGGCGGATGATGCCTTCCGACAGGCTTCGCCTGAGCGGCGGGGTGTTCGGCAGTCTCAAACGTCGCCTGTGCGCCCACAGACCCCTCGAGAAACCAGCATCAAGCCAACGGCGCCGCTGTACCAACCTACCCCCAAGCGGCCCACCATGATCTCCACAGGGACCATGACATCGCCTGCACAAACTCCGCGCTTGCAGGAACCGAAGATTTCTAGTCGTCCAATCTACCGATTTCCGCCATCAGATGAGCAGCGACCTTCGAGCCAGCGATGGGCCGAAGATGAGAGGAACAAGGAGCCGTCGCCTCCATCGTCTGGGTTAAGAACGGAAGTCAGTACGCGCATATCATCTGATAGATTCTCAAACCAGTCGAGCTCAGCACGAACCTCCATGGAAACACTGCGACGGCCGTCTGGGTTAGAGAGCGAGCCCATGGGGCGATCCAAATCCGCCATCCCAAAGGCCCGCCCTGTCTCCGTCCACGCCGGACCTCGGTACGATTTGTCGCACAATGAGCACTCGCGCTCCTCGCTAGACTTGTCTGTGCAATATGAGGATGGTGCACCGTTGCGAACAGTGCGCACGGAGGTAGAACGTGAAGATCAGCAGAGCAAAATCTCTGAACTTGATTATCTTCGCGCTAAGGAAGAAGAAGAAAGTAACCGCAAGCGTGAGAAACGCTCCAGCACTGGCGCTAAGCATTCTAAGCGCAGCAGTCTTTCCTCGCTTTCATTTTCAGGAGGCAGAAACCTCCTTGCGGGTCGGTTTGGCGAGGCGTTTCGCCGCTTCGAAAGCAGCAACCCGGATAAGCCCTCGACTTCCTCAGCCGAAGATCCACCACAACTGCAAAAGGCCCTTGTTAGTGACTCGGAGGCCTATGAGGAAGCCAACGCGAGTCCTACGCAATTTGTATACGCCGACTTAGACGATGTCGCTCGCGACGATATCCCACCCGAAATGCGTCGCGAGCTAGAGCGCCGCCGACTCTCCCAGGAGGAGAAGCGAGTTGCCACTGCTGCCGCTGAGTACCGGCGCAGGGTCGCCGAGAAAGAAGGTGGAAGAGCAGGCCCGGATCGGTCTCGAGCCATCCAGAACAGGGTGCAAACACTGCTCGGCGAGTCAAATAAGCCACCACATCCTCCCAAGACCGCCTCCGGCTACGGGAAATACACTGATACATCTGCTTTGCCGGCAAAGCAAAACGACGTGCAAGCTCCCACCCCCGAAAAATTGCCCATCTCGCGCACACCGGGCCCCATTTATGGCACTCGCGAAGGGAATGCAGTTCTATTAGACCGCTTGGAAGGAGCCAGCGCCCCTGCGGCGCTCCCACAACCCACTGTCTCCAGCTCCGCTGGGTATATGACTACTACCTCTCGCCCAGCTGGTCGCCCCACAGCCCCTCCGAAGCCCAAGAACCTGAGGGTAGGAACTGGGGACACCTCCCGACCTGGCACTGGCCACGAACCCAGCTCATCAACACAAGCGACGCCCAGTGGGGAAGATTGGGAGGCCAACTTCAGCCGTCGTTTCCCGAGTCTCTCAGGCTTGGAGATGGAGACAGAGATTGAGATTCCCAAGTACGCCAAGTTGCGGACTCGGGAAGTGTAGAGCATTTGAGAGCATTTGTTATGCTGTCAAGCTGTTTTTAGCGTGTATCGTTTGTGGAAGGGACCTTGAGGGTCCCTCGTTGGAGGTTGTACATATATCTCGAAAGACTTGCATTGCGGTCTTGTTGGGTTGATGTGAGTGTGGTTATAGACTTGTTTATTGATTTATCTCACAAGCAGTCAATATACCCCGTGGCAATTATTGAGAGAGTGATGTCAAAGCTTCAGTTCATTGCAACCTAGGACAACCTTCAAGATATCCGTAGGCACTTCTCAAATCAGCTCTCCCGCTGGAAACAAGCCCTGTTCAGCAACCCCAGGCATCATTTGGGTCAAGGTACAGATGTAATCCCTATGTCAATGAGGAAAGCAAGTATACCTACTGGGATATTTCTAAAGATCAATGGAAGACTATATTTGCCATCTTTGAAAGCATAGCCAGCCTTTGGGAGCGCTTGAGCTATGTAAGACATCACCAATGCTCGGCTAGTCTTTTCTATTTCCCCATTGTCACTGTTAATAGCTTTTTGCGAGGATTGGCCGTTCACAATATGTTTGTATTTGTGCACGAGACAATCGGGATGGGCTCGAGTGGCTCACTCTGACTCAAAAGGTAGATTTTGTGGGTCTGAGCAAACACGTCCGATCTGATGAATCATTTAGCTAGTGCAATCTTGGAATAGGCAATATCGGGTATTGACCTATAGAAGTAACAGCTTACGTGAGAGTGACAGATAAGCCGCAGTTCAGGTTTGCGAAGCATCTCACTCATCAGGCTGACGTAGGCACGTACTCGTGCAATGGCGCGCTCATTTTTGCTCGGTGATCAAAAGGCCGCGAGACGTGAGCACTGAAACGTAAGCGAAATCTATGAATTGCCAACTAGGATCCTGTATACGCCCCGGACTCTGGCCCTCAGCCTTCGTCTATTTAGATGTCTCGCTGGTTTTTGTTTCCTCATAGGTCTGACTTTCAGCGATTTTAAGATCGTTTTCTGACGGAACAGCGAACTGCTTACCAATATCCTCTAATTCCATGCGCTTTGTCTCAGGGATGAACAATAGTCCAAAGACGAGAGCCAAAAAAGAGATCGAGCCGTAGATAAACCCGAGCTTTCCACCTAGATAGACATGGCCTGGCGTGTCATGTACGGATAGGAGAAAGTCACTGCAAATCTATCAAAAGAGTTAGGGGGGGGTTTCATCGCATATCTCAGAAAGTGAATACCTACTCAGTAACCAATTTGATGGTATACGCGATTTGCAGCGTCATCTCCCGCAAAGGCGCCGAGGGAAGCTCTGCACCAATCACGTAGGTGAGGGGCGCCGCCCATCCGAGCGACTAACTGAAGCTGTATAGAAGTAATATAGCCACGATTCCCTTCTTGGCGTCGATGTTACTTGCATCGGTAGTTCCAAGGCCGCCTATTGTCATTAGGAAGGCTGTCTGCATGGTTGAGCAGACCGAGAATATGATTCTGTATTAATAAGCATTATGCTCTGTCAAAATAATAGAAGGGAACCTGTGCACTGACCTGCGTCCGACTTGATCAATGAGCATGGCCGAAATTATAACAGCTCTAATATCAACCGCATTGGTCCCGAGCGTGACACTGAACGGATTGATAGTGTTCAACTGTTTCACGAAGAGAGTTCCGTACTGCAACGCAAATACTTAACCAGTCGCTTGCTGGAAAAAGTTACAAGCGGCGACGACGAAAGTGCGCTGGCGGGTCTCCTTGGTGAAGAGATCTTTGAAACCGCGCTTCTGGAGCCGCTAAGATACCTTGTAGGCGAGAATATCAAACTCGTGGCGGAGCTTCTCCTCGGATATGTTTGGCTTAAGGCGTCTGAGAGCCTGGAATGCTTCCTCCGGACGATCTTAAAAGAGATCCCATCTCGGCGGCTTAACGATGAACCAGACCAAAAGAGAAACCACGGAGGGTATGATAAGGATAAGGCCGAAGGGTATTCTCTAGGCGTTGGTTGGGATATTTTCGGTTCCACGAGTAATGCCTGTCACGAAAAGGCCGCCGCACTTGATGCACCACGAATTTTGGCAGGGGCGAGCTCGCCAAGAGCGGTGGAAATTACGGCCATTTGCATACCAAGATAGATATCTAGGATCGATACCGTTGGTATTCCCGAACCATTGCAAATTGGGCAAAGGGATTACTCACAGTGCAAGGCTCTGCCAATTTGAATCTGAGTTTCTGTGGAAGAGCTGACTACGACAGATGCACTACCAAGAGCATATATACTCATAACGAAGATGCACATCCCACGTCCATAGGTGTTGCTCATATATCCATCAAGAAAGACACCTACAGAAAACGAGAGAATGTCAGCGATCAGTGCGAGTTGGATCGCAGAAAGAAAAGAAAAGTACCGAGAATCTGTCCGCCAGCTTTGCAACTATTATAAAGAGGTTTGAAAAGCGGCCTCAGCGCCCACTTGTCCTTTGCCGCATCAAAGTAACCAAACTAGTGCTCAAAAGAGTTCATAGCTTGACCCGTGGAAAAAGCCTGGTCACTAAAGCCATAAAAGAAATGCCAACAATACTAAGACACCAACAGAGAACATCAGCATAGGGCTGATATCCCTGCCCTTGAATGCCATGTTTGGGAAGGATCAAATGGCGGACCCAAGAGGATTTATCAATCAAATCTGATGGCAATCAGATATGATTAGGACGAGATAAAAAAAAAAATCAAACCGGGGAACATGGGAAGCTGCAGCCGAGTCATGGAACGATTTCCCCTCGGGCCCACTATAATTACGAAGTTCCTAGCTTCGAAGCCTTCCAGCCCTATGAGAAGACAAGCTTCGCGTAAGCTTTGCCGGCCTCTCGGCAAATTCCACTTCGCCATTTTGATTTCCTAGCCATTTGGCTCCACAATCGATACCAAAGAAACAGGCAACAGTGTTTCGTGCAATCCTGACTAGCAACTGTTCAAGTACAGGGGAGTCTCATGTCAACATACGAGCACTGCAAAATCAAGCTATACTTCTATTGGTATGCACACAAAGATCCATGGATGGCAAAAGTCAACTTTACCCCCACAAACCCAAATCTAATCCCAAAAGCTAGACATCAGTGGATGTCGGATCCAGCCCTGTAAATACTTTGTACAAGCGCTTACTGGCGGCGGGGCCCACACGAGCATCGGTAAGAGCGCCATTCTTGTTCGCCGATTTCTAGACCACTAATGTTAGCTGTGCCCAAGGAACGTCAGGGGGTAGTTAAGAGGGCAAGGAACAGCAGCAGTAGCAGACAAGGCACGTACTTTGACATCTTCTAGCATCGTGGGCCCATGGATGCGCATGCCCCTCACGAGATTGGTGACGCTGGGGTATTGGTTCGTGATCCCGTACGCCATTGAAGCCGTGACACGGTTCACTTCCTGAAGCATCTTCACGAACGTATCGAGCTTATCCTCGCCAGATTTGACCTGACCTACATCCATGCAGAATGCGGCGTCGTTGCCTTCCATGCGTTCGCGACGATACGGAATGGTGGAAATGTGTTCCGTGAAGTTCTTGATCCACTCGGCCGACTCAGCCGGTGCGTTGCTGTGATGAATAAGACAAGAGTGCGTTACCTGTAGGGCCAGAAGGGCGTCCTCAATCGTATCATCGTCGACGGGTGGAGTGGTCTCTGGTTTCTTCTTGGTCTTTTTATTGCGACCACGGGACGTGGTGGGGTCCTCCGTACTGAGGTTGCTCGTACTGTCGCAACACCTCAGCCTGGTACGCCCTATTACGAGAGTTTTGGTTCTTGCGCATCCAGACAGTCAAGCCTTCGATCAAGTAGATGACCGTATGATTTGGATAAGCACTTTTGAGTCGGAGAACGTGCAACTCTAAGGTGTCTCGATCCTCGCCATCTGGCGCTGGAATCACCATGTCAACAAAGTTTTGTGCGGGAACCAAACACAAGACATGTTTCTCTTCTTGAATGTGGAATGCGCATGGTTCCCAGTGACCTGCAGCTTCGTTGTATCTCGCGTTCCTTTTTCGGCGCCATTTGACCACATTAGAGATCGACCCCGGGACGAAATTGTGATCAACTCCCAGCCGCTTCATGAATTCGATCGTTTGGTTGCCAACGTTAGTGCCTTCCATGGAGCTGGCCATGTCTATGATCATCTCCGGCGTAGAATCTTTCTTATCTACCTTTGCCTTGTTCACCTCCGAAATGTCCGCTGCCAATTGCTTTTCCTTAGCCTTCTCTTCTTTGAGCTTCTGCTTTCGCTTCTTCTCCTGCTCCCGGTCCAACTCTTTTTGCACTTTGGCTTCAGCTCTTGCCCTAGCCCTGGCCTCTTTCACTTCGGGTGGGAGTTTCGTCGACTTCTTTGGAGCCCGTCGTGGCTCCACAGGTTCCTCCAATTCGACGCCGTCCGAGAAATCAGATAACGACATGCCTCCCACTGTGCCGGCTTGGGACTTCTGGGACCGAGATGTAGACTTTGGCCTTGATTTTGCGTTGTTTGCTCTCAGACCGGAAAGCAGCTTAGCAGTCTTACTAGAAAAGACGGTATTGGAGGTTGGCGGCTCTGGCTCGTCGTCAACATCAAGAATGTCCGAAAATCCCGGAAGTGCAAACGGATCGCTAAACTCCTCAATCGTGTCCTGTGTATTTCCGGGCCTACTAGGGTTTTTGTTGTTCTTAGAGGGTTTCAAGAAAGGATCGTTATCGTCGTCGTCATCAAGTGCAATCACATTATGATCCTCGTGAGTTGATTTCCGCGGTGTAGGTGGCTTGGGCTTAGATCCTGGCTGCGGGGCAGATGATGTGAAGACAATTGAATCTGATTCTTCTGTTTCGCGCCCAACTGGGCGTTTCAGCATGGCGGGGTTCGAAGGTGGGAGGCCAAAGTCATCATCGGAGAACAGCCATGACGGGCGTCGCTCTGGCGCGGCCATTTCGCGAGCCGTACTTGTCTGTCTGAGAGGCGACGGATTCTCGTTGCTGCGCCTCCGCTTTTTTGCAGGCTCGTCGAAGATGTCATCGTGATTGAAGAACGAAACGTCCAAAGAATCAGACGAAAATATCCCCAAATTGGAGAGTCGCGTGGGGATCTGACGCGACGGCCGCTGTACCGGCTGCAGTTGCGGCTGTGACCGTGACTCATCTGGCAGCGGCGGGTCTGAGGAGATCAGGTCAATAACATCGGGCATCTTGCCCAGGTGTAAAGCGACAGAAATTCGATGTGACGCGGAGACGAACGCGACGTCACGAAGTCAGGTGACCTTTGACGCGAATCTACAAGTTGAAGTCAAATTGACAGAATGAAAGGAGAAGTACTCCAGGGGGTATTTGGTGATCAAAATAGCTATATTACACTGCACGAAATAAGAATGCAGCAATCACTGCTAGGAAAGCGCCGGCAAGAGCCAGCAAGACCAGGACCTGCTGCCAACCGCGGAAGGGACGTCTCTCGGCTGTCAACATGGCCGAGATCTCCTCCTCCAGTCTGCCGCCCATGGCAGTGAGCGAAAATTCCTGCTCCGCTCTCGCCTTGCCAGCCTTAGCCATCCTTTGGACATCTTTTTGACTCAATCCGTACAGCACCTTGTCCATAACGGCTGTCCACTCTTCAATTGCGTGTGCATCACGGAGCCAGCCCGTTTCACCTTCGACAATTGTTTCCAAGGGACCACCGGTATTGGACGCTAGAACAGGAAGACCCGCGAGCATCGCCTCGACAGGTACGATCCCAAAATGTTCGTTAATTGGAGTGTAAAGAAGAAGCTTGGACTGTGCCAAGAGTGTGTTCTTGAAGGTAGTCGGGACTGAGAGGAGAAAGAGGACGTCAATGTTATCGGGGATAGCAAGCGCTGATGGGACCGTCTTCGCCGTTGCAATCTCAAGGCCGAAGCTCATCGCGAGATCCTGGAGCTCCTGGTGATATTGGACATTCTCTTGGACTCGATTGTCGTAACCGCCTTTGAAAGATCAGAAATGATACAGAAGTCACAATCACATATCTTTGACTTACCAGCGATCACCAAACGTGTCCCTTTCCTCTTTTCCGCGCCAAGTCCATTGTAAGCGCGAATCGCCAATGCCATATCCTTCTTGCGCTCGAAGCGATTGACACTCAGCAAAATCTTCTTCCCACCCCAGAGCGCCTCCGCGGGTTTGGTCTCCGGTGTCGCAAGACCAGTGTTCGTATCGACACACGGGTAGACGACCTCCACATCACCAAGCTTCTCAGTCCCAAACACCGATTTCACGACGCCTTTTGAGAAGTTGGAGTTCGCAACGACACGATCGGACGCACTCATCGCCCATCCCTCGAACCAATCAAATGGAAACCGGTATAGTAGCTTCGCAAGCCGGAGGAGAGAACCGCCTTCATTGCGGCGCGCGAGCAATTGATCGGGGAAGTGGCAGTAGAAGAGGATTCGTTGGGTCCGAGATTTTTGCGGCCGCGCAAAGGTCTTGATGATTGGTACGCAGGCGGGCAGCTGGTCAACAATGAAGATATCATCACGAACATCCTCCGATTGGTCCTTCAACTGACTTGGTTCATTGCGGGACTCGAGCTCTGTAAGAAGCGACCATGTTAAATGTAGCTGGCGCAGTGATGCCATGAGGATGTGTAGGCGACCGAAGACATGGGCAGGGAAGATGGTATTCCCACGAACACGGACGTCGAGGGTGCCATCGCGCGCCTCTTCGAAGCAGTGGGCCTTGTCGCGGTAAGAGGTGTAGATTGTCACACGGTGGCCGCGATTCTGCAGGGCCAGGGCGACATCAATAATCAATCGCTCAGCACCACCAATACCAAGATCAGGGTGAATGATCACGACATTGGAGGGCGCGAGACCCGACATGGTGCATGAGTAGACAACAATCGTCCACCGATTTACGACATTGTGTTGACTGCGATAAAAGACACGTGGGGTACGTCATCACATGACGAGGTGCCATTCCTATACAACCTGAGGCCTCAATTATCCTTGGCTCATTTACTGATCTATGGTTTATAAGAATCAGCGTGATCAACATTAAAAGCCGATGGACCTCTTTTTACTCTGGTTGTCCCATTATCATTGCTGTTTCCACTCGGATACCGGCACAGAACATATCTGCCGGGGGGGTATTCTCTAAGCCGGATTGACCCCGACGGTCACAATTCTACACTGCCGTCAGTGCATGCAATGTAGACACACCAAAGTGGCCGAGGGCGAGATTTCAGAATTCTTGTTTTTAAAAAGAACCATTCCATGGACACACGTACCATTACTACGTGAGAATCTGGGGCAATTGAATCAAAAAAAAAAGCTGCGGGGAACCCGAACCGCGACCATCCACTCCGCTCGACGGACAAAAGCCCCGTGAACGCTGTGAGGTTTTCGTTCTCTGCCAAGCAAAATTCCTTACATCGCTCTCTAATGCAAATCACCCACAGTCTGAAGAAATGGAAGACAAACGAAAGGGGCCCAAAGCCAGCATCCCGGGTGAACGCGAGGTCGCCCAGGCGCCATCATCTGAAGATGAGTTCCCAAAGCCAACAGTACTGTAAGTCCAATATCTGGAAAGACCAAAGATCAACACAATGCATAATTCAAAACTAAAACCACAATCTAGCCGCCAGGTGATTATCGTTGCAGCGGGCTTCATGACTATGTTTATGACCTGCGCCATCATCTTTACATACGGTGCATACCAAGCCATCTATGAAGAAATGGCCAAAGAATCCAACACCCCGTTCACGGGAACCTCATCCTCAGTTATCAGTCTAATTGGCACGCTATCGATAGCAATCATGTCGATGGGCGGACCCTTCATCATGACCTGGGCGAAAATCTACGGTCCCCAACCCGTCATCATGGCCGGTGGTATAGTCTTTGGACTAGGCTGCATTCTCGCCAGTTTAAGCGAGTATGTGTGGGAATTTGTTCTGACGCAGGGTCTTCTCGTCGGCCTGGGTACGTGTATGGCATACGTGCCGACGATGTCTGTGGCCCCAACGTGGTTCGATAAGCGCCGTGGTCTAGCGATGGGGATTGTGATTTCTGGCTCGGCGTGCGGAGCTATGATCTGGCCGCCTGTATTAAGAGCGATTACCTCGTCGCTCGGGTTCCGGAATGCGTTGCGGATCTCAGGTTGTTTGGTGGTATTGTTTGTGCCGTTGTCGGGATTCGCATTGAGATGGGAGCCGAACTTCAAGGCGAAGGTGCGTGGACAGGTTGCTGGGTTGTCGAGAACTACGGGGTGGCTCAAGGCGCCGCTGGTGAATTGGCAGGTGGCCAAGTCGGAGAAATTTGTCGCGCAGGCGCTGGGTTGTTTTTTGCAGTCGGCTGGATATTCGACGCCCTTGTTTTTTTACGCGGCGTTTGCGAGGTCGTTGGGTTATAGTGCTTCCATGGGGGATAACTTCATTACAATTAGCAATGCGTCGAACTTTGTATCGCGCATTGCTGTGGGTTATGCGGCGGATAAGCTTGGGAGGTTGAACGTGCTGTTTTTCACGACCATGATGAGTTCGGTAGCGGTGTTTGCGTTTTGGTTACCTGCGACTTATGCGGGAATGACCGTCTCTCAAAATTCAGCTGACGGCTTGTTTATTATGTTCACGATCGCCTATGGGTGCTTTGGTAGTGCCTATATTGCTTTGTTCCCTGCGAGCCTGATTGAGTTGTTCGGCGTCCAGCATTTCACTTCGGTGAACGGCGCTCTGTATCTCATTCGAGGTATTGGTGCGCTCGTTGGAACACCATTGACCGGACTGTTATTGCCCGGGCAATCAGCTCTGTCTGCTCCTTTCAACTACGAGAGAGCAACCATCACAGTTGGAGTGTTGCTCGTCGCAGCTAGCATGGCAACTCTGTGGGTGAGAATCACCGGCGCAGCAGGGAAAGCTTGGACATGGAAGCTGTGATATGACTTTGCGCGAGACATTTCGTTTTCATGTCTTTGCCATGTTTTTGAGCATAGCTACGTCTTTCAAATTCAAATAAAATTGTATCTCAATGGATTTACATAAATCGTTGAGCATGTAGGATAGGCATCCAGGTCGACCGGACCCGCTACTGAAAAGTCGGAAGAACAATTCTAAGGTTGCAGTCAATTACGGACAAAGGAGGTAAAGATGAAGAGACTTTCACAGGGGTAAACATTTGCACCAATCTGGAGAAGGCCAAGGGGAAAATGTACAGTGGAGAGTTCAAAAGAGATACCGAATCTCCGAGTCATCAAGGGGTTTGTTCGTGCTGTGGCAGGAGTAAGAAACCCAAGAATATGTGAAAAAAAGGAACTTGTGCATAACTGAATGGCTGTAGCGCAAATGGAGAAAGGCAAAAGAGGTATTGAAGAGTCGACAAAGGGTAACAAGCGTGTCATAATACAGGAGTTTTGGGGCAGTGCATGGGCGTAAAGTGAAAGAGAAAAAGGGTATGAAACAAGTAGCTAGAAAAAGTCAACAGACAAAAGTGTACAAATCGAGGGGAAACGGTAGCGACAGCGACACGCCTTTTGTGGAGAATTCGCAATTGATCACAGGTCTAGAAGCAATTGAGCGTGCTCTTCTTCTTCTTCTTGTTGAGGGCGTTCATCCGCTCTTCTAGCTGGGCGCGAGCGGCCTCGGCTTCTTTACGGGCACTGCGCTCCTCCTCAACGGCCTGGAGAGATAGTCGGGCAGAGTTGCGCTCTTTGCGGAGAGTAGTCAATTCGTCCTCAAATTGCCAAGCCTTCTTCTTCCAGGTCTCGCAGTCAGTCTTGACCTTGCTGCTTTGGGCCTCCAGATCGCCGAGTGCCTCTTCGAGGGTGGCGGTCAGCTGCTTCTCAGCGTAAAGGTGCTTCTCAATAGTGCGAATACGAGCTTCTTGGTCTTCGACAATCTGGGCATTGACAAGCTCCTTGCTAGCGTGGCGAGAGCTTGGTGGAGACACACTTCCGTTGGAAGCGATGGTTGGGAGAGGAGGAAGTGGAATGGCCGGGGGCGGCGATGGGAGAGATGCGGCGGAGGAGCTTTTGCGGAGGTTCGATGTCAACGAACTGCTACGGTCGTGGGAGCCATCTTGCCCTCCACTGTTCTTAAGTTGAAGTTCGAGTTGCTCGATCCGCATCTGATAAGTCTCAATCTCCGACTCGAGGGCGATGATCCTGGCCTTCGCATCCTCGAGGGCTTGATCACGTTCTTGCTGGATGACAGAGAGACGGTTATGGTGCTGATCAAAGCTGCTGGTGATTTGCTCCTCAAGCTCCTCGACCAAGCGGATACTCTTCTCCTTCTCGGCGGTGATCTCGTCCACCAAAGCTTCCTTCTTCTTCACCTGCTCATCCTTTTGACGCAGAGAATCCTCCAAGGTCGCAACCAAGAGAGCCAGCTCGTTGACCTTGGCGTCCTGGATGGAGCTCTTCTTCGCCAATTCCTCCACGTTTGCATATTCGAGTTGCTTGCGCAAATCCTCGTTGGTGTCCATCAGCTCCGCATACTTCTCGGAGAAGTGTTGCTTTTGGGCCAAAATGTCCTGGATCTGGTCTGCCATAGTCTCGGCAGTGACATCAGAGTTGAGAATAGTCGAGACTGCACTAAGTAGCTTCACCAATTCATCGCGAGACTCGGCAATGTCTTTTTGCAATGCAGTAATCGTCTTATCGTGCTCAGCATCCTTCTCGGCAAGAAGGGACTCCTGCTCAGCGTGAACAGCCGCCTTAGTGCGCGCCTCCAGCTCAGCTAGCTCTCGCTTGTGAGTATCTTGAAGCGAACTCAAGTCTGTCTTGTGTGCGTCAATGGCGGCCCTGTGAGTCGCGATCTCCTGCTCGAGCTCAGCAATGCGGGCGCTGTGGGTGTCAGCGGAATCGCTGCCAAAGTCCTTGGAAGTGAGCTGTGCAGAGTGCTGCTCTTTAGCCTCCGAATGAGACTTCTCAAGACCAGCAATCGTTGCAAGCTGAGCCGCAATAGTCGACTTGTGCTCATCGATGTCCTTCTTCAGGCCATCAACGAGCTCTTGCTGCTTGGCGCGCTCACTCTCGAGAGCCACTGCAGCGGCCCCTTTATCAGCCGAAGCATCGCCCGAAATCGCCCGCTCTGCGCGCATGGCCTCAACAGACGCGAGCGCACTTTCAAGCTCAATAAGGGTGGTGGTGAGTTGCTTCTCCGATGTTTGCACAGACTCCAAAGCGCTTTGATGCTTGCTCTTCCATTGGTCAAGCTCGCCTTGCAGGGCGTTAATCTTCTTGTCCTGCTCCTCAGCGCCAGCATCCATGGCCTTCGTAGCAATCTCCTGGGTCTTCAAAAGACTGTTCAGGTTCTCAATTGCAGCCAAGAGCTGGTTCTCGCGGGCCTCGTGAGCAGCGCGGAGCTCATTCATCTGGATCTCCTGGCCGACGACCTGGTCACGCAGTTGGGACACCATAGCCATGTCCATAGAAGATGCGCCTTGCATACTGGATCGTTCGCGAGTGAGACCGGAGATAATGGTGGCTTTCATCTCCATCTCTTTCTTCACCGCCTGGTTCTCGGCCTCCAGCGACTGGAGGCGCTCCATGCGAGTTGACAATTCGTGCATGGTGGCATCCAGATGAATCTCAAAGTTATGAAGAATTTCGGGACGGCTGGCGAGCTCCTCGTTCGCCAGATTGCGTAATGCGGTAAGCGAACGGTGAGCGCGGTCGACGCCAGAAAGGAGATTCTGACTAGTCATACGGCGAATCACCTTGAAACCAGGAGTGGTGGGAGAGCTAGTCCTCGTGCGATGGACCTCAGCTTCTGCCTTGAGCTTCTCAACAATGCCAAGGATAGCCTCGTGCTCACTTTGAAGTTCGGCATATTTCTGGGTCATACGATCGGCGCTTTCCTGGTGTCCAGCAAGGGCCTTGCGCATCTGCTCGATGTCCTCATTAGACTGGACAGGAGTAGAGGAAGCAACAGGGGTGATGGGAGTCTCTGCCTGAATTTCAGAGGAGTCGTGCAATACAGCTGATTCCCCGGCCGAGGACAATTCCGAGGAGAGCGACTGCGAGAATGAGTGTTGTGCTCCAGACCTCGTATTCAGAGCGATGCCTTGGTCTAAAAAAGACACGGGTCGGGAAGCAGTGTTCTGGGTATCAAGAGCCGGGTGGTAGGCCTCATCCACTTTGTCCTGTCGTAACTCGGCCAGGGCTTTCAACGCTTCTTCGTATTTGGCCTCGAGGGTTTCAAATTCATTAAGAGTAGTCTCGTGGTTCATACGTAGGTCGAAGAGCTCCTGGGTAACAGTCTCAAGTTTGTCGGCAACAAACTTGGACTGGGCCGGGCTGTGAAGCGGTTCTTCATACATAGCTTGAGATCGCCGAGCCTCAAGCTTGCTGGTAACATTCTGCAGCACCTGCAGATCATCACCAGGTCCACCAGTAGCTTTCTCGGCAACTTCGATAACCTCATCTTCCTCTTCTGGGATCGGCTCTCCGAAGTCTTCGTCCGTTTCAGGGATGGCGGTCTCCGTGGCTTCGTTCAGGACATCCAAGGAGGGAGTGTGTCGGTGGAATTGCGGGGGCCTGATGGGAGTCGGGGAAGATGGATCAACTCCATTGGTGCCATCGTGGTCGTCGCCATTTTGGCGACGCTGGTCCAGGTCATGGAGTAGGTGGTCAAGAGTCCCAAGGCCTCGTTGGCGCTGAATGACATGCTCCAGACGGAGGACCTCGCGCTGCATCAGCTCCATATCCTGATCGGCCTCGGCAAGTCGGTCTTCTAATGTGGAAATGTATTCCTCACAGCCCGTCTCGTTCTCGCGAGCACGGCTAAGCTCCTTGCGCAGCTCGGTCACAATAGCCGCATGCTTTCTCTTCGCCGGTAGACGCACCGTCAAGTTTTGACTCCAGCTCGTGTAGGTAAGTCTCATTGCTGGCGTCGCGATCCAGCAGTTTCTGCACACGAGCTTGGAGTTGCTGGTTAACTGCCTCGACGTAAGCGCACTTAGTCTCACGCTCCAACAGGGTGCTCTCCGAGGTGGCCAGGGACGAGCGGGTGTCAGACAAGGAAGCCTCAAGGCTTTGAATAGTCTTTTCATATTCAATGACCACCTGCTCCACAGACTCCGCAAACGACTTTGATCGCTGCATTCGCTCAATAGAGCTCACACCCACTTCAGCAGCCGCATCGTCCGTGACACTATTGGCCGTCTCAGAGTCATTGGCGAGCGTCGAGATCAGCTTCGTATGACGTTGGCTGAGAGCATTATAGCTCTCCTGAGCATCCAATAGCTGGTTCTGAAGCTTGATTTCGCGTTCGTTCTTGCGCTCATTGCGCTCAGCGGAAGAGGCGTCGCGGCGTTCTAAGCCTTCGGAGTTGCGGATCTGCTGTCGGAGAAAGGCCACTTCGGCCTTGAGTCGTTCAATCAAGGCTTGCTTATCGCCTTCATCGGCCACCTGCTGGATTCGTGGTTTACTCTGGATCGCTCGAGCTCGCTGAGCATACTGAACAGTGTTGAGAGTTTCACTCAGATGAAACTCGGCAGGGGTCACACAAGCAATCATATATGTAATGGCATTACCGCCCAGAGAATCTTGAAGCAGACGAGTGAGTCTCGAGTCACGGTAAGAGACGTGTGAACCGGACTGTCGGGATGAGAGTTGCGAAATGACTTTGCCGAGTGCTGCAAGACCGGCGTTGATAGAAATACCCTCACGTGCGCGCTCACCGGAAGCTCCGGTGTTTTTTCATACGTTCGCTACCTGCCAAATCCACGAAGTGCAGCTTGCTATCAACGGTAAATGAGTCGCCGCCCGAGAACGAGTCCACAGGCATGGACATGCGCTTTTCTTTGGGGAAGAAGCTGCCGGGCCGGAAGATTTACGCTGGACAAGGTTCAAGCTGAAGACTGCATGGGAACGAGATGACTTGGCATTGATGGCGGTCGAGTCGGTCTGACGAATGGCAGAACCAAAGTTCAGGGCCCCAACCAGGTCCTCGTAGGAGTTGATGTTGACTTGATGGAGACCGGTCAAAAGGATGCGTCCCTTGGTATCTTCGCGGATGGTAACACTACCGCGATCGCTGATTGGGGTGGAGTCGGGAAGCAGCAAATCCCGAAGCTGCTCGTTGTAAATCTGGGGAAAGAATGTCAGATCTTCCGCCACAGCTATCTGAGACTCTGCATACCTCAACGTAGGTCGCCTTCATTTGCCAGTTCTTTTCGGCGCCTTGTTTGTTGAAACTAGATGCCGAGCTCATAGAGTATCTCTGGGGTGTTCGAAGACCAGTCGAGGTCGACCCATTGCGGTTGTGTTTGACGCCGTCTAGCTTATCAAACAAGGCCTGAGCAGCGCGGGGATGATACCTTGTTATTGCAGACCGCGATTAGGTCAAAATCTTTTAGCAAGATTGAGCGGGTAAAACTCACCATTCGCCTCGGAATGACCCTGCTCGTTGGGGCCAGCCGTGCCCATGGTATATGATTTTCCCGCACCGGACTGGCCGTAGGCGAGAATGGAAACATTGTATCCTTGCACAAACGAGTTGACACTGTCGCTCAGGTATTCCCAAATTCCATCCTGATCCACAGTCTCAGGGAAAACGCGATCGAAAACAAAGAGTTTGCGGCCCTGGGGAACATCCACGGCCAAGCTAGTCGGGGCTGTGACGTGAACCATGGATCGTTGAAATCGCTGGGGAATTAATTCGTAACCGGGGTCAGTGGGCTTTAGGGGTGGTCGCACTCGAACAGCTATTGCGCCAGTCAGTAGTCCATCTTTGCTCATTCAATGAACAGGCATAGCGATATGTATGTCCCGTCGGACGGTATCCCGGCATGCGCGCATCCAACCCGTCCGGATGTATTGGGAAAGGAACCACGTACCGACTTTGACTGCGGTCTTGCCATCTTCATCAGAGGCTCGGCTGCCACCTTGTCTGCTGCTCATACTCAATCGACTATTGCTGCGCGGCGTGCGCATCACCGCGCTGATGGGTCGCGGGGCAGGCCCCGAGGGCGACGCTGGCGGTGAGACGGTCATCTCCCTAGGAGAAACCACGCCTGGTGGGAGAAAGGACGATGATCAGGGAAAGCGAGGGATGGTTGAGAAGCGCATGTGTGATGGCGAAGCAATTGTCTAGAATTGTGGAGAGCGCGATAGTCAGTTTTCTCGGACCCCTTTTAATTTTATTTTTTTAATTTTTTTTTCCACCCTTCTTTTCCTTTCGCGGGTAAAGTGATAGGTCACAACACCGATAAGGGAATCCCATTGCACATACCTGGAGATCGATGACTCTCCGACAAGTCAAGCGGTGATGACAATGAGGTTCCAGGGGAAAAAAAGGGAGAACAACGTCCGGAGTAGAGCCCGTGCACCCTAAGCCCGAGTTTGGCTTAGCAGCGACTAAGATGAAGGAGCATTCGGTGCTGTTCTCAGTGGAACCCAATGGGGCCCATGGGCCAAGCGAGGGGCTCAGGGGCCCTTTTTGACTACTTTTTGACTACTTGTGCCCTCCTTTTGGTTGTCTCTGATTCTATCGGTCCACGCTTTGTTGAACCTATCAATTTTTGTCAATTATCCGTGCCATTTGGTCTCGGACAATATTCCATCTTTTCGAACTCTCCACGCGTTCCAACCGCTTACTCACACCCAGCCGTTTTAATCGTTCGTTTCAGATTGGACGGATTTAGGTTATCAAGAGTGGATCAATCAAATGGAATTGTGGTCTCCGCTACAACATACCCTGTCGGTTTTGTACTTCACTTGCCAGGTCGCGAAGGGCTTGCGAACGTCGATCGTTGCCTGTGGATGGAGGCAGTCAGAACGGGGTTGCTCGAAAATAGCAATTTCTCCTGAGACCCACCCGGGACTGATTCAGTGCTCGTCTAACCCACGTCGATATGGCCTAGATTCCCCTGTCGTCGAGGGGTGGGCACATCAAAAAGGGGGTCCGATGTCCCACATGGCCCAAAAATTGCGGTACATTGTACCTTGGAAGCTGTGCGCCCCAGATCTCATGGTGATCCTCTCCAGCTTAAGGATCCGACATACCGACAGCCGAACGTGAGTTCATGCATGATGTATGTACGGAGTCAAATGTCTGAGATGAGTAATATTCCGGCCTATCATCTGCAACCCGGTAGATGCCTTGCGACCCGGCTCGACAATCCAGGACCTGTGCCGTATAGGGCGTAGGAATTGAAGTAACAATCGCAACTCTCCACGACTCCACTTCTAAATACTCCGGACTCGTCTCACGCGCGAATATCTAATGGACTTAAGGCTCATCAAACGTATGGCTCTTCTCGTGACTTACAAAGACGGTGAACTGTTTCATACTTCAACCACACCTTGAACTTGAATCTATTACTATGGTGCAATTCCAGCTCGCCCACTGCTTAATTCTAGATGCCCGCTCTAGCGTCTTGTGTCGCCACAAAATGCTCCACTCCAGCCCGGCCAGCTAGCGGATCTAATACGGTTCGATTCGAATGCCGAGACTTGCCCATCGAGCCATTCTCGAATTCCTTGGCGGTCCGGGCCCGCCAGTTCGTAATCATTTTCTAAAAGATGTTTTCTGGCTGGTGCGTATTAACTCTATTTTCAATTAAAAGCGTCCCTATTGAAACGAATCATTGAAAAAGAAGATCAGGTAAAATAAGTTTAAGATTGAGGTGAGGACGGAGCGAAGGCTCCATGTACCTCTGGCGATGTGGGGCTCGATCGAAGGCCACATTCTTTCAGTTCTCCCATACTTCGAAGATCTCGCCACCTTGAGCCTAAAAGTATGTGTGCAACACGCGATTTTTCGGCCCTTTTTGCTGCTATGACTCTGAATCTTACCGCTCGAATAAGCATCAAGTGCCTGCGTACTCATTCTTCGTTTCATCAATTTCACACATCATTCTTCAATATTCCATTGTGATCCGCTTCTCATGTACTGCGTGGGGTGGCTACTCCATGCATGAACCTATGGAATTTAATTCGATCACTCCAACCCAAATCAACCGAATGCCTCAATTTGGTCCCAGCTATGCATGTTCCTCAACCAGCATCTCCTCCACCCACTTCATTCGAATACCCATCAAGCGCCACGGAATGCGGAAGCAATTACATCCTAAAATCTCATTCAGAAGGAATAGAGTTTACAGCTCATGTGTCTCGCCAGTAGAAAGCGGGCCCATCTTCACCATCATGGTAAGAACTTCATACAAAACATCGGCAGCCGCCCTGCAGCCCGTTAGCCAAGCTCCGCCACATTCCTTCCACATTCTGATATGAAAGTATAAAATCACTTACATAGTTGAGAGCTCAGCATTGGTGTCGTAAGCCGGAGCGACTTCGACAATATCTGCGCCAATGAAATTCAACCCGTCAAGGCCGCGAATGATGGCCCGTAGCTCGCGTGTAGACCAGCCGCCGGTCTCGGGGGTTCCAGTGGCTGGGGCGACTTTTGCAATGCGCTATGAGTAAACGAAACCCCGAAAAGGTATGGTGAGTCACTTACAAGCTGGATCCAGAGTGTCGATATCGATGGAGAGATAGACCGGGTGTTCAGTTCCAACACGGTCCCGAATCTTCTTGATGATACCATCCGTACCTATATCAGCCGTGTTAGTTGGTCACAACGAGAAGATACAAAGCTCTACCAATTGTATCAATCTCACGAGCCTCGACAATCTCGAATCCACAATATCCATCATTTTCATAGTCCGAAGGACCGGACAAGGTCGTGCGAATACCAGCGTGAATGTTGGTGTCGTTTCTCAACAGGCCCTCCATAGCCGCATGGTAGAAGTAAGTACCGTGGTTGATAGCAGCAACCTGGCTCGGAGAACCACCGAAGACTTTGGGTTTCCAAGTGTCCCTGGACATCAAAATCATCAGTCACCGTAGCACACAGCTAAAGTTCATCATAACTCACAAATGACTATCGAAATGAATCACTGTCACAAGGCCATAAGCCTTGTTGATGCTCCGCAGCAGAGGCAACGTGATGGTATGGTCTCCTCCCAAAGTAATGACGCGAGGCAGCGTCTTGCCAGCCCGTGAAAGGCCAACCTTGTCTGCGTTGGTGAAAGGTTTACGCATGAGAATACTGTTATGTCCTTCCTCGATCTGTTGAATCGCCCAAGTGTTATCGTAGGATGTCACGGGAACATCACCGCAGTCCATGATTCTGAGATCGCTGGTGAAGGGGTTCGATTCGAGGGGTACATTGTAACCGCCACTATCGTTCAAGAGTCAGTATGAATCATGGACGCTACCATGACAGTTATACAAGCGTTGAGCTTAGTTGACACATACTAGAGATTGAGGCGACGAGAGCCTTGTCTGATCCCACTTGGTCCGAAACGTGCACCGGGCCGGTAGGAAGTACCAGTATCGAAGGGAGCACCTGTAAATAAATAAGCTCTATGCGCAATAGGTAGGTCATAGATTCGATGTGGTTACCTAGGAAGGCAATGTCGTATCTCTCGGATTCGCTCGAGAGGCATGGAAAGTAAGGCAGACGACCAAAAGTTGAGATACCGGAGAACACTGAATCAGCCTAGACACGTTGAAAGAATGATCAGCGTTTCGTCGGTGGATGGTGGCGGTCCGTTTCACACTTGTGTGCCTCCATCACCAGGAAGGGTGTTATACCACAGCCCTTGGTGTGGCCCAGCCAAAGGGGTCTGGCTGTGGTCTCCATGCGCCACTACCAGGCTCGAGAGAGCAAGGAAGCCAAGAGTAGAAGTAATCATTGCAGTCGGTCCGATACTTGATGGAAGGTTCAAGAGGATCAAATCAACTACCGGCTTACTTTGAGCTATATGTAATTATTTCTCTCAGACTCAATTCAGATTTTGCAAGAGAATTTCAGATGCAGGAAGGAAATCTTTGTCCCTCGTACGACCTCAGGATTGCATCATTTCAAAGGCCTAATATCTCCCCACTCCCTCCAACATCCAAATCCGGCGATTGACTGATGATCACAGAACCTAAAGTATTTGACGAAAGATACAAATACCCAAATACCAACAGTCTTGCAAATTTACACCGCGCGAGCGTTGTGGGGTTGATATGCTGCTCTATCTTACTTCCCAATCGAGAACCCCCGCGAGAATCGCACATGGCGGGGAATAACTGATAGGATGCACGTCATATATAAGAATAGCCTGAAACTCAATTCAACTTACGAAAAGGGAAGGAACGGGAGAAGCTCTGAGCAAGTCTCGGGGATAAGATAGCATGTATTTTGGTGTGTTGTTCGTGGCTTATCGGTGCTCCTTCGTGACGAACCATCTTTCAGTCTTTTATCAGTACGCTAAGACCCAGAAGCGGAGTACACGTTGTAGATCACGACAAACCGATCGGTACATTAAATGGCACAAGAATTACACGATACGGAAGATGATACGCAGCCACAGCATTTGATTAGCGTTCGGGTAAATGAGTCGAGAATGCTCTCTTCTATGCATCTTGAACTTGGTTGGCCAAACTATGCCAACCACTAACAGGCGCGCAGTTTGTCTACATTCGTCCGCGTATGTCCTACATCATTCATTATCATATAGCTAGAGTCGTACAGACGTCAAACATAAAATATTCGAAGTTTGCAATGAAGGAAAGAAGAGTGAAGAATAGACTCGATTTATGAAACACTAAGCATAGATATGTCAAATGAAAAACAAATACGAATCATCTGAACTCTCATATGAAACAGAGACGGCCTGGAGGTGGAAAAGCAAGGATAGATGCCTAATGTCCAGCCTTGGCCGACATTATGCTTTCTTCTCGGACTTCATCGTGAAGGGACAGAACGCAGGAGTTGCCCGGTGATTATCACTGAAATTAGTGGGAAACCTTCGATCCAGGTCTCTTTTTTGAGCATCGAATTTTGCTTTCTCGTCCGCTGTTCTAAGCTGGATGGACTCCTGGTAGCTGATTTTCGGATCAAGAAAGAATGTTTCCATGAACCACATGAATGTTCCAATCACAAAAATGATAATTCTTGCTAGAATAGGGTTGACTGGGCGAATTCGGTGCGCCTTCAAAGTTTGTGGAAGCGAAAGACTAATGGGAAATGCTCGACCCAGAGAGCGAAGACTAGCTGGGAAGAACCGATATGCAAATTGATCCGATAAAGCTTCAGCAATCAGATGACCTTTCTCTGTTTGGTCCAAGTGATTTTTCTCAACATTTTCACAGAACTGATACATGGCGTTCCAGTCCTCAGGGAATTCTGTGAGAGGTAAGTAACCATTCTTCGAGAGGTTTTCCAGGGACTTCGACGGAAAACAGGTGGGACATCTCTTTCCAGAACCGATGGGCTGCAATCTTCTGCTTCTCACTGAAGCCAGAAAGACGTAGTCTTCGTCGAAGCCGATGCACCGAGATGGCAGAGAAGCATAAAAAATATGTATAGTCAATCGCGTGGGTAAAGTTTCCAGGATATTTTTTTGCGTAGTACGCGTGTCGCTTGTTGATCGCATGAGTGGATTTCTTAGTCTCAGCATGATGTGGTCCGTAAACCAACCATACAGAGTTATGATATTATGTTTCGTTGACCCTGTCGGTAGCGCGATTGAGGACTTTGCCTCCGTCATCACGCCAGACGACATCAGCCCCCCCCGTCGTTAGCGATGAAGTTTGGAAACGTTAAGGCATAGATCAGGTTTTGAATGAAGTCGCCGCCACCAGTGTACTCGATCGACAGTCTCCAAATCTTTTGATAATCTTTCTCAGGATCTGAAACTTCAATCTCTTGCTTGACCTACTTATAGGGTTTCTTCATGGAAAGCGGCATTGACATGTTTCCAGACATGAAGGATCATGAGCACACAGTCCAGTCGGTTGAAGACTCTGTCAATCATATATGTGTAGAAAAACTGAGTCCTCGAAGAATGACGAAATCAGAGGAATAAATTGGGGTGAATACATTTGGGCGATCCGGTTTCTTCTTAAATGCGCGTTTTGCAAAATTCATAGAACTGGAAGTCCAGGAATACATCGCCGGCTTTCCTTACATGAAGGGGCAAAGAACCAATAGAAGCAATAGAAGCACTGCTAGGGAGCTCTCCGAGAGCCTGTTGAGGCAAGCCTGGGAGTAAAGACCCCCATATCCGCTTAGTCATTAGTTGTTTGTGTGCAGTGGGACAAGAATTCGAATATTCGGGCTTCATACCCGCTCTCTCCCCTAAGAATCCGTTATGTCCCCGACGCATGAAGTCCACTTCCCGAGTCGATTACCTCTCTCATAAGTCATTTTTTCAAAATATAATTGTTGTTGCTTTCAGACTCATCCTGCCAAATTCACGCAATTTCAGCGAGTGACAAGAAGCGGAAGAGAAAAGAGGCGAGCAGTGGAGGAGGACTTTGAGGACACCAAAGAAACAAAAGCGTAGTACACTATTGGAACCGGACCTGTTCTTCCCAATACTGTTATATTGCCCCGTTATATATGTACCGACTAAGCCCTTGTATCATACTCTGGATTGACCCATGATGGCTGCGGTGCCTTCGCTCTCATATGTGCGCCGTATATATGCAAAACTCCAAATACTAGACCGCCTCCAACAAGAACAATCAACGCCTGCATGGTAAACGTCCAGGTCCAGCCAACCGATGCTTCCCAAGAAGCGATGAAAAACTGTTGAGCAGGTTAATTTTAGCAATGCCGTCCAGCTCTCGAAAGCCTAAGACGAAGACAACATACCGGATTGATAAAGGCACTCAAGTTCAGAAACACGGCATAGAAAGTGATCACACTGGTCGATTGAAATGGGTAGCAATCGACAATATAGCTGCTGATGACTGTGTTGCCAACCTGGACACCTGCAGCAACTGAAATGTTCGTTAGTCAACACTAGTACTTGTCTCTTCGAGAATTCCATACTCACAGAGGAAGAATGCAACTTGGCCAACCATCCAATGATAGTTTTTATCGAGACTGACACCCCAAAGAATTGATCCGACTGAAATTTTGTCAGAATGTGGACACATTCCTGGAGGAACTTGTGACTGCACTCACCTGCAGTGACCAATATAGCAGGATAAGCCAACCATAATCGCATTTCTGCGACGCGAACGCCCCCATTTCTCTTTGCCAGTCTTTCCACAATGTAATCACTCAGCCGCCCCGAGCAGCATATTTCCGAGACGATTGTCCCCAGAAATAGACCTAAGAAAAACAAGCCTTGTATGAGAGGAGAGTAGTTCTCATAGGCTGCGGGTACCATGGTGATAATAGAGAGAATCCACCAGTACCAAACAAATGAATACCCGAGAACTCCAATCACGACCACAGGGAATTGAAATGTGAGCACGAATCGAGTTATCGAGTCCCAGGGTTTTGGATGACGCATCCCAGGGACTGGCATGAAGTTTACAAATGGAAGGTTCTTCGTCCTCGGTAGATCATCAGAGGCAAGCTCTACTGTTGAACTCGGTTGAGGTGTGGGGCTTTGATCTGCCACTTGCTTCTCAATGTTCGGAACACAAGGCGGTTTCCCTTCCACAACATGCGATCGAAGAAGCATATTTTGCCGAGGGTATAATGTCTCGGGCATGAATATTACCTGCAAAACCAAGAGGACTGCGAACAAAATGGCATTGAACCAGTTGATCCATGCCGCACTGACGAGATTCATAAAGCCACCAACTGAGAAGTTACATTAATTAGAATCTGAAATCAAATGTTGACTGTTGCTGAAACCCACAGGTAGGGCCGAGTAGAAGTCCAGAATCAATGGCCAACACCCACAAACCGAGCTTTTGTCCGCGTTCATATTCGAAAAATAGATCGTTCACTAGTGATTTCATCAATCGGGTGCAAAGGACAATGAAAAAAGCCTGGATACATACCAATAGCCATGCCGACGGTTGAGGCAGGGCTCACGCCAAGTCCTTGAAAAAATCGAGCTGCCATATAGCCTGCGTATGTGTCCGCCACTGCCGCGCCGACTGTAGAAACTAAGGCAATAATCGTGCCAATTAAGAAAATAATCCGGCGACCATAAATATCACTCAGCGAAGTCCATATCAAAGGACCAACAGATAAACCCAATGCCGGGATGGCAACAGTCCAATTGACTTGGGAATAGCTGATGGAATATTGACTTTGGATCTCTGGGAAGGATGGAACCGTGGTCGTGGTCAGGTACGTGAACAGAAAATAGCTAGAATTCAAGAATACAGGTAAGCACTCCATTTACAAGCCTGAGAATGATTGTAAAATCTTACTTGAGCATGACAATCGATAAGATCCCATGTTTTTGGAGGCTCGACCAGTTCAAAGGGTCCAGCGGATCAGATGTAGGTTGCGGATGAAGTCTGATCCCATTCCTGTCGACGGCCTCTTCGCCAGCAAGCTGAATACCATTTTCAATAGATGTCGGTAACAAATCAATTGTGCCATTGGTGCTATGGCCTGGGCAACCTTTGTAGATCTGCTTTTCGTTCATGATTGACCAACACGCGACCTCACGATAAGGTCAGGGCTGGACTTTAGAAATAGGAAAAAGGCGACACAGAACTCAACTCCAATATTTTAATTATCTAATCTATTCAACCACAATTATATTGCTTATCTTAAATCTCCGTTTGAAGGCTTGTAGAAGCGGAAAATCTCAAGCCGGGGTCGGAGGGTAGAGAATAGGTACCTGGGCTCCCCTATCAGTGACGTCTGCTAGCTGCATGTTTTGCGCTAAACATTAAACGGGATTGAACGAATCACGACGCACACACTAATCATCAAGCCATGTGAAAATTGCACTTCTCAGTAACTTCTACCCCAAGTTGGGCGAAATCAAGATTCAAACTCCCATCAAGGGTTCCACTCCCGTTAATTTCCGTTTTGGGTAAGCTCAGTCTCTCCCCCCGTTGCCCTTCGCACTCTATCTTCTTTTCTCTTAGATATGAATGGACAAAGTGAGAGCTTGCGGCCGATGAATGCAGCCAGTAGAGAGCTTGGGTGGTCCTTATCGGTCGAAGGAAGCAAAGTGGCCCGAGTAAACATTCACGAATTGCTAAACATTACGCATTGTGCTCAAGATAGTGGTATCACCCAGAGACCAGGTATAGCGCTCAGACAAGTTTCTGTAAATGGTTGCTTTGTATTTTACTAAGACCTTTGCTATTTAGATGCATTCCAGGTCGCCATTGTGCAATGTCTCGATCAATTGGTGCAAGTGCCTCAAGTTTACGAAACTTCTGCGCAGTCCATAATGATAGAACTAGGACAACATGTATTCGATACTGCGTATTCCTTTAAATGCACTAATTTTGGCCCTGAATCCGAATCCGAATAACAGAATAATACATATCAGGGCCCAAGAGTGATTTCAATAGAGTCAAGGAGAGTATCCGCCACATAAACCGCTTATTCATACATCTATGCAATAAACCAGTCAAGAAGCTCGGCAGGTCGTCTTCTTTTCTAGAGTATATCGGGCAGCTTTGAATCATTCAGGCAATTCCAGCGCCTCCTCTATCCGACCCGAAGGAGCGACCAGGCGAATCTAAGGAGCTGTCACTTGAAAATGAAAAAGCAAGTCCGAGAATCCCAAGCAAGAAATAGCTCATACATTGAACCTGAGTACTACAACACATTAATTCATGTTGACTAGCAATCTCAGACGCATATGCTGTGTAATTCGCGCGTACATTGGAGTATCATCTTGATCGGTAGACTACCGCTCAACAGGACAGACTGAAATTGAGCGGGAACATGCTCACCGTTTCACGCGAACCGATAGTTACACAACGCCGGCATGTATAAGTCGACTTCGGCTCAAAGCATGGATCTCTCCACCTTCCAAGTTTGAAGAAAGTCTCGAGAATGAAGCCCACAACGCCCCACTCTCGGATAATGTCCCTCGTTGTTTTTGAAGGCTTGGATCTTTCAAAATCACCATTCGGAGCGCCTAGACTGCTCTTTGTAACTTATTTTCTTATCTTTCGGACATCTTGCGGACGGGGATAGGCAAAAGTTGGCTCGTTCTCCGAGGTCGGGATCAATCACAGGAGCTTGTTGACGTGTCCAAAGCGACTAGTGAACTTGTATGCAGGCAGCTCTCCACCGCGGCAGCCGATCCGTCGTCATAAAAGTGGTATTTTCACCGTGTAGATCGAGTCCTCGTCAGCCTGTACCGCTACTCCATGAAGCATTCCTGAAAGTTTCAGATCTTAGCTCAGCCCGGTACGGGTTTTGATGTTTGGTTTTCAATGCCTTTGCTGCTCGCAAAGCAATCCACTTCTTCACGTCGAGGGTCCCACTATGTACACTTCATACATCTTTACATAAAGCTCATTCCCCTCTAGCGAGTCCTCGGAACCGATTCTTGATTCTTTGCTTTGAATCTGCCGCGAACATGCATGTCAGTAGCAACGTGAGCAACAGCGACGTCACTGTTTCGAATGCCTCTGTCTCTTTCTCTGAATCGAACACCTCGACACCAAATGAGTACACTAGGCTCCTTCCAAAATTAACCCCAAAGCCCATTGAGGATGAGTGTACCTGGGATGATGAGGTTGACAAGGATGCTTCGAAGCTTCCGCGAGGCAAGCGAATTCTGACAGAATTCTTGGAGCTGTTCAAGGGCTCAGTCCCTGTCATCATGGCATACATGTTGCAGATGAGTTTGCAGACTATTCCAGTCATCATTGTCGGTCACTTATCCCCAATGTACCTCGCCGTCAGCGCTTTCTCATTGATGTTCGCCCTGGTCACTGGATGGATGATTGCATTGGGAGGAACTACGGCGATGGACACATTGGCCTCGTCGACCTTTACCGGAAGTGAAAATAAACACGACCTAGGCATCCTTCTTCAACGTGCTTTCTTAGTTCTTGGAGCCTTTTATACCCCAGTCGCTGTCATCTGGGCTTGTTCCAACCCTATCTTTCAGGCTCTTGGCCAAGATCCAGAGCTCTCGTACTTGAGCTCTCAGTTTTAACGGCCTTGATCCCTGGCGGGCTCGGTTATATCTACTTTGAAACAATGAAGAAGTACTTACAGGCGCAAGGTAAGAGACTGTCACATGCGACTATGTCTGAACAGTTGCTATCACTCAACCGACAGGAATTATGCGAGCCGGAACGTACGTGCTGCTCATTACTTCGCCTCTCAATGCTGGACTGTGTTATCTGTTTTGTTACACACTAGACATAGGGCTACTTGGTGCTCCCTTAGCAGCCAACATCTCATACTGGACCTCTTTCATCATGTTGGTCCTATATGCCAAATTCGTCGCCGGCTCCGAATGCTGGGGTGGCTGGACTCGAGCGGCGCTCACAAATCTATGGACCTTCGCTCGCCTGGCAATCCTTGGAATCTTGCACGTCGGAACTGAATGGTGGGCCTTCGAGATCGTGGCTCTAGTGGCAGGTCGCCTGGGCACGACTTCCTTGGCATCTCAGAGCGTGATCATGACCGCAGATCAAATCATGAACACCATCCCATTCGGTCTAGGTGTTGCTACTTCTTCCCGCGTTGGTAACTTGCTTGGCGCACGGAAATCCAAGGGCGCTTCACTCGCTGCTCACTCGTCTGCGATTCTTGCCGTGGGTTTCGGTGCTGTTGTGTTGGCTATTCTCATAGGCACAAGAAACAATTTCGCGAAGATCTTCAACAATGACCCGGAGGTTATTGAGCTTACCGCAGAGATTATGCCGTTCGTTGCACTTTTTCAAATTGCAGATGGTATGAATGGTAGCTGTGGTGGAAGTCTTCGAGGGATGGGCCGACAGCACGTAGGAGCCGCTATCAATTTGGTGAGCTATTATTGCTTTGCTCTGCCACTAGGTGTTTATCTTGCTTTCCATGGCTGGGGACTCAAAGGTCTCTGGGTCGGCCAATGTGTTGCACTTTACTGTGCAGGTGTTTTGGAGTGGGTTCTCGTCGCTTGCACACGGTGGGAAACTGAAGTTCGCAAAGCGTTCAAGCGTATGGACGGCCATGGTACCTTGGAATCCGGTGCTGGACCTGAGATAGCAGGCAATGAGTGAGAAGATATCCAAATAGATTAAACAAGTGCATTGGAGTCAAAAAAAATAATCCGAACCGCGCAGAGTTCTAATGGCCATAATCTAAGACCAAAGAAGATTTGACCGGCCACATGATTTTCAGCTAACCTTCATCATTTACCCGTCAGACAAAAAAAATTCAAAGACACTTTTGCTCTGCTGTTTCAACGGAGAGATCATGTTTCACAAGAGCGAACATGAACGCTGTCATGATTTCAGATGTATTTCCGGATCCATTCATGTTAAAAAACAATGTCTCCCCCTACAATACTGCAAATCCTTGTTGCATGCTGTCGTCATATTCTACTTTATTGACTATTGAGTTCGAATGTAAAAATGGAAGATCGAGGTATAAGAAGACTTCAGACTTGTGAATTCTATCGGTTAGAGAGCTGCATACGCCAGACCAGTTCTATTAACAAAGAGCAAACAAAATGGTATGTATCAGTTAAACTGTATCTAGAGAAGTTGGAGCAAGGTTGGTGTATATATGAGCCGAAAATGCTAGAAAACGACAGTGGGAATATTAACGTTGCCGCAAAAAGGGAACCAATAACAATGCCGCAAAAATGGAACCAAGCGATTATTTTATGCCTGTTCTGTAACAGACGCCTGAGTCTGGGACACGCTTGGGATGTCCTCGCCCTTGAGGTAATTCTCGAATTCGCCAATCTGCTTGCCGCCTTGGATCCAGCGCTCACGGATCAAGTTGCGTCGATTCTCGGCTAACTTGTTCAGCGCGGGCCAGTAAATAGAATGGTCATAGCGGAACTCAACATCACCACCCACAGACTTCATGAGCTGCGCGGCCGGGACATGTTGGCTCAGATCCTCATTGAACTTCAATTTTTCACGAGTCTGGGGATCAATGAAGGGCGTGATCAACTTGAAAAAGCCCGAGATGATCCAAGGTACTATGAGCGAGAAGATGTTAGAGAGTCGTGTCAACCGCAACCGCTATCGATTCACTTACCATTAAGCACAAGGGCACGTCCCAATCGCTCCGGGTAATGGTTTTGCAAAATGTTCAAGGTCTCCTTTGCTTGTCCAATGGACGCATTCTGGCCAGATTTCGTGGAACTGAAGTCGACAATGAGCGCCAGCGTCTCTTGGTCAGGGCCCATGAGATCAATGACTCGCTCAAGCATGAAGACGAGATGTTGAATTTGGCGTTCGCTCTTCTCGGTGTTCTGGTTTGAGGGGATCAGATAAAGGCATGGACGGCCGTGGATGTCAAACCCCAAGATGACCTGCTTTCCGGTCTCGTTTTCAATCGAGATGTGGTCGGGTGTCAACTTCTCCATTCCGTATTCCCGACGCCACGTCAGGGTGCCCTGAAGGCGCTGTTCGGCCTGGGCAACATTCCACTTGGATGCGCGGAGATAGCGGAGAAGACACTCGCGAGTTAACCACATGCGTTCATCATCGGTGATCGGGTCTGTCGGGGCATTACGCGCGGACGTGTTGGGGACGGTCGTCCAGGACGAAACGGTTTTCAGGACAGCCTCGTACTTGGATTGTTGGTCCGCGGTGAGCTCTGCGGGCTTCGTGGGCTTGGCGCTCTCGAGCGGCCTAGGGAATGGCTTCTGGATCAGGCCTTCGGCGGCGGAGGTTGGGTAGTCCTGGTCATTTTGCATCTGGGTAGAGGCCGGGACAGCCTCGGGCTTCACAGCCTCGCCATTGACGGGTAAAGGCGCCGCAGCAACCACTGGGGCAGAGCCATTGACGGTCATGATGTAAGGGAATGCCTAATGCACGGAGTACAAAAGGAGAAATAAGTCAATCGACGATCGACCAAGACCCGCCTTCCAAACTCGGGAATTCGATATTACTTATCTGGGCGCTGAGTCAGCTTCACGTCCCACGCGTCTGCGGCGCGTCTTTTGCGGAGTTTCACTGTTTGTAACTCGACAAGTGACAATCGACTGTTCACTCCACCACCACCATGGACGCCACGGCGGAGCTCAATGAGCTATTTGTCGCATCTTTCCCGGAAGGTCTTCCCCAAGATGTCCTCGCCGAATTACAATCTATCCTTCGAATCCATTCAATCACCGCAGAGGAGCTCTTTTACAAATGGGAGTCCTATAGTATCAAGATGGGCGATGAGGTGAAATTGAGCATGGATACGGTACGCGGTTTCAAGCAAGATGTGCAAGAAGCCCTTGAGCGCGAGACTCGGGGCAAGCCTGGACGACAAAATGAGAAGAGGAACGCCGTCACCGCGACCCCGCGTGCTGCAGCCGGCGCAGATATGTTCGGAATGTAAGAATGGAAAATTTAGGACGAACATGGATATCTAGACTAATTGTGTTTGTTTCGCAGGTTGGATGACTTGACCCCCAATGCCGCAAATGGCCGGTCCCTGCACAGTGTTACTGGCTCCGTCAAACGCAAGAACAATTTCTCATCGCCTGTCGCACCCAAGCTGGGCCGAATTGAGCAGAATGGATCACCTATGGCAAAGGGTCAAGCTCTCATGGCAAATGGAGGCGGCACTCCTAGCGGCACACAGTATGTGACACATTCGCCTGTCTATGGTAGCAACGCGGCAACACATCATGGACGCTGACTTGGATGATAGATCGGTTTCATTTTCTGAGCGACAGAATCCCGGTCAAACACTCGAATCACTCAACTCTCAATTGTCGCTGCCAGAGACCCCGATGGCACCCTTTTCCGAAGCGCGCATCAAGCCCACGGCCAATACGGATCTGAAAAAGTTCGGCTATAAGCCCATGGGAATGCGACTGTCGGAGGCTTCAGAGATATTGGACGATCGAATTGATGAATTTGCCGCGATCTTCCAGAAGCACTACGACTCGGACGAACTCACTTTTGGCAGCGCGGCTACCCAAAGCACCAGCGAAATTATTGCTATTGGACGAATTGCCTCAGATTCACTAGAGGGAAAGCTCAACCCAGCTTCCCTTGTTCTCGAGACGTCGCGCCGGACAGGTGCTGGAAGACGAGTACCCCTAAAGGTTGACTCTGTTCCGGGCTTGAACTTTTTCCCCGGCCAAATCGTCGCTCTCCGAGGCATCAATCCCTCTGGTGATTACTTTACCGTAAAAGAGATCCTGCCCATACCTCTCTTGCCTCCTGCTGCGTCCACGGCGGTGGCTCTCGATAACATTAATGAACGTCTCAACAATGGAGATGCCAACCCCCCCCTCAATGTCATGGTGGCAGCAGGTCCCTTCACAGCGGATGATAATTTGGAATTCGAGCCTCTGCAAGAACTGTGTCAGAAAGCCGCAGATAACTATGCCGACGGACTTGTTCTGTTGGGACCATTCCTGGATATTGAGCACCCCCTGCTTGCATCTGGGGATTTTGACTTACCGGACATAAAGGGTCTCGATCCGGACACTGCGACACTTACTACAGTCTTCCGCCACTGTATATCTGCTCCTCTCGCCCGTCTTGCAGCAGCAGTTCCCAGTATCACCATTGTATTGTTACCGTCAGTGCGGGATGCTTTAAGTCGGCACGTTTCATGGCCTCAAGAGCAGCTTCCCAAGAAGGAACTTGGCCTCCCAAAACAAGTCCGGATGGTCTCCAATCCCGTGACATTGTCCTTCAATGAGGCTGTTTTCGGCATGTGCTCCCATGATGTACTTTCCGAACTCCGCCGTGAGGAGGTTCTTCACGGCAGGCTCGCCGAGGGCAACTTGCTAAGCCGACTGCCAAAGTATCTCCTTGAGCAGCGTCACTTCTTTCCACTTTTCCCTCCCACAGCACGTGCAAATCTTCCCAAGCCCGGGTCCGAGGGTGGCCTAGCGACGGGAGCCATGCTGGATTTGCCCTATATGAAGCTGGGCGAGTGGTGGAACGTGCGACCCGACGTGCTGATTCTACCTAGCATGCTTCCACCTTTTGTCAAGGTAAGCCGATACGCCCTGTTCTTCTTCTTCTTCTTCTTCTTCTTCTGCGTGATAGTCTTGTTGTTAGCATTACTGATTACATGTCTCATCTCAGGTCGTCGATAGTGTCCTCGTCATCAACCCCGGCACTTTATCCAAGCGCCGTGCCGCAGGCACCTACGCCCAGATGGCCATCCACCAGCGAAGCATCACAGACGAGGAGCGCGAGCAGAAGCAACTTGACCACAAGCTCTACGAGCGAGCCCGCGTAGACATCAACAGGATCTAAGGAACAACGCCTTGTACAATCAATTCGCATTTACTTGCTTGGTGTTAGAGGCGCATATAAGGTGCAAATAGCGGAACTTGACCCGACAGGATTTGATAATTCTCAAGAAAGGACACCAACGAAATGAATCAATGAAGCAAAAAAGCACATAATCGCGCAAAAACATCTAAAAGAACCTAGTGGATATCATTCCCATGCTCAACGCCAAACAACTCCAGTAAGATAGACCCATACTCAATCACCCAATGCCACCCTTAAACTCAGAACAATCGATCTCACCGCAAACAAACAACCCTCCTCCCACCCATCTTCCTCCCAGCACTCTTAACCCTAACAGCCGGCGCCGCCGCTGAAGCCGCTCCCCGGCACTCCCTCGAAGCGTCGCCCCAGGGCCCGATCCAGCCCCAACACTAGGCCCCACAGCCATAGCACTCCCACCATGTCCCTGTCCACTCACCAGCGCCTCGAGACCGAGATCCCTCCAAACAGCATCCCTGCGCCGGTCCATCGCGCGCGTGATCCCAAATGCAGCATGCTGATCCGGCACGACGTCGTCCTCGTCTTCCGGGTTCGGCGGCTGGTACTGTGGAGCGACGTAGATGTCTTCAATGGGGAGGAAAGATGGGATTGACGCGGGTGAGGACGCGCCGTAGGTTATGGCGTTGGAGCCTTGGGTTGGTTGATTGAGAGCTTGGGAGTTGCTGGCGGCGGTTGATGTGTGCGGGCGAGTGAACTCTTCGAAGAGGTCTGCTAGGCGTGGTTGGTGCATGTGTAGATGCGTTGCGGAGGAGTCTTTGCTCTTCGAGGGGTGTTAGCGGGGGTGTCTGGAAATGAGAGGAGTTGTTCAATTGGAGAATTTTACCATTTTGGATATAGAGGATTGGGAGCCCTTTGGAGCTGGAGGTAAGAGAGGTCTGCTAATTTGGAAAATTGTATGTGCCGGGTTAAAATGGATTGGAGTCGCGGTGAAGCTGATCTTGAAGCTCATGCATAGTATCTACTGATTGGATGTGATAACGTGGTCGGTAAGCGAGTGGCGCATGTAAGCGAGCGGCGCACCCGCCCACTTTTTTCTATATCTTGACACTTTTATCGACCACAACGCCTTTATATTGATTAATCTCTAGCTTTACATGTATTCCTCTTATGTCCGATCTGTCCGCAATTAGTACATTGGGGTGGACGCCGCGTCTTCGGTGCTGGTGTGTCCTGCGGTAGTAGGCTTGGTGGAGCTAGAATTGCCTGAGAGGGCTCCTCATGAGCTTCCTCGAGCTCTAATGCTTCTCGTACGGATAGACCGTCATCGTGGGCTATCCATCTAGTCTTACGAGCACGCTTTCGCCTTTGCGTAGCGTTTGCGGCACGTAGCTGCTTATTTTCGTGCTCGAGAAGTATACCGTTCTGCATTGCGATCTGACAGCCTTTAATAAGCTGGTTTAACGCGGTTTGCGAAGGCGATGGCGGACTTTTTGAGCGTCGCTTTAAGAAAGCTTTGATTGAGGATGCTTGCTTTAAAAGCTCATCGATATTCGCGGGCGTATGTGGGTAAAAAGCGCTTGATTGACTACCGCGGCTTATGGGAGGTGTCGGCGTCCGAAGTTGAATATTAAGCTTTGATAGCACTTGTTGAGGATCAATCGGCACTAATCCTGCTGCTCGGAAGCTATTTTGTATTGTAGTTGGTTTATAAGCGTCGACGCGAGCTTGTGGGTATGTAAAAAGGAAGTTAAGTTTGTCGATATGGTTGATCCCGAGCCGCATCTTTTGGTCGATTAGACCGCCGTATGAACGCTTTAAAATAGCAAAACATCCGATATCAAGAGGCTGAAGTAAATGCGAGGAATGCGGTGGCATACAGATTGGGATAATTTCATGATCCGCGCAGATTTGATCGAACTCTGGTGTTAGATGACTCCCGTGTCCGTCGAGGACTAGAAGTCGATATCTTCCACGCGTACGATAATTTGTTGACGGAATAAATTGTTTTTGAAGCCAGCGAAGGCCTATCTCGTCGGTTGTCCATCCATTTGCACTAACTTCGAAGCGCCAGTCGGGTGGAAGGTCTTCAAACCATGCTTGATTATATTTTTGGCCTTTAAAAATAAGCGTCGGCGGAAGCACCCACCCCGAAGCGTTAATTGACTCAATTACAGTTACCCACTCGCGGTTTCCTGGCTGTAAAACTGATCTCCGACCGTAGTATTCTGATCGGGTAATCACCTTTTGGGCCGTACAGAGGCCCATTGCGAAGCCAGTCTCGTCAAAGTTATAGATATCGTCCGGTAAGATACCATATTGCTGAATTGTGGCTTGTACGAGGTCAAACCACGCTCGAATGATCTTTGGATCCTCTTGTTCTGCCCGTTGGTAATTATAGCGTCGAGAAAAGCGAGCTTTAAGCTCTGGACGGCGCTGGGTGAAGTTATATACCCATTTTTCGCCGACGGTCTGGATGGGGGTAGAACCGCGCTTCGCAAGTAGAATATTCGCCATTTCTCGTACGTGAGCTTGCGTAGGGGCTGCACCGCGTGAATCTAGCGATAATATCCGTTGCTGGAGTATATCCTCTTCGATTTGGGTCAATTTATGACCATTTGCGCGACGTTCAGCGCGGTTTGTAGTACCGCGTAGTCGACGGCGGAGCGTGGTTCCAGGCACATTAAATCGACGTGCCGTCTCGCGTATAGACGTGATTTCCTTATTTTGAATGGCTTGTATAGCAATTGATAAACGGCCCTCTTGCTGGACAGAATCCTGGCTTGATCCGACACGAATTGGAGGCATAGTGCTTGATGGAAGATAAATGGACGCGCGGAGATGCGAAAAAGTGGGCGGGTGCGCCGCTCGCTTACATGCGCCACTCGCTTACCGACCACGTTATTCTATTGTTATTATGTAAGCGAATTGCTTCCACGACTGTGCCTCACATTGGACCACGATTTACCTTCAGATCTGTAAAGCTAGAGGAATGATAGAGCATCAGAGAGTCTCATATAATGTACAGCTATGTTATTGGGGATCTCTACGTCCGTGTGATCTTCATTATTTCATTGGATTTTACTAGGCTAGCTAGCTGTAACCGTCGCATTTTGTATCAATGCCAAGTGCACCCAAAAACTTGAATACTAGTCTGTGTGGAGGGGAAGTGCGCTACCTCAAATTGTAAAGGAAGCAATCTTGAAGATGCCACTAAGCTTCTCAGCATGCGCATGGATTAAATCGAGAAGGACAGGTTGCAGAACTCCTCTTTATCACATACCGGGCTACCATCCCACGGTCACCTATCAATTACATCTTGGAAAATGAATCAAATGTAGATCTGAGCAAAATCTAGGAAAGATGGACCCATAAAACCAACAAAAACCTTGATATCAAGAAGTCAAGGAATCCCCAACTTTTGCAGTATGCCAAAAAGAAAAAAAAAAATAGAACCGATAAATTCGTATCTCACATGTTCGTACTCATCCGATGTACGATAGGAACCGCACTCGGTGGCAAGCTACCCATTTCTGTGATAACCATGTCGACATATTCAGCAGGGGTGACATCGTACATGATGTTCAACAACTGCAAGTTGGAAGTATCTTTCCATTCAGTGAGAGGCGAGGCGGCTGGGGCGCGGGAGGAGGCAGAAGGAGCGGGTGTAGGTTCTTTAGATGCGGCGGCTTTGCCACCTTTTTTGGGATCGACAGGCGCAGGAGTGTGTGCACCGGGGTCTGCCAGGCCGGTGACTTGCTGGGGGAGTTGGTTCGTGACCAACTCATCAGCGTCGGCGATTTCGTTGACGACGATACTATCGAGAGCAACGCGGTCGGTGAATTTGACTGTTTCGCAGCATACAATGACTGGGACTTCAACGCCGCCTGCGCGCTCTTTGGCGGACATGGCTACCAGGGCGGTTCCGACGCGCGAGTACAATCGGCCGTTACTGGTCATGGCGTGTGCACCAAGGAAGACCTTTGTCGCGTCCTTGATGACGTGGCTGACGCCATGCATGAGTGAATACTGCACGTCAAGTCCAGCATTGGCGAGCGCACGAGCGAGATTCTTACCCTCGAAGAGCGGGCGCGAGTCAATGATCGATACGCGGAAGCGTTTTCCTTCATTGTGTGCCAGCAGGAGGGTCTGCTTGACGATGGAGCTGCCGGCGAAAGTCACAATCACGTCGCCATCTTGAATCTTTTGCGCGGCACTGGCGGCAATGACCTGGTCGGCAACAGTAATTTTCTCCCGGATGTATCCATCAATGAACTCGCAGAGCGTCGCTTTGGCGGATGCTTCGGGAGTGGAGGGGTCGATAGAGGAGATGGTCAGCTTCAACTGACGAATGGCATTACCCTGGCTGATGGAGAGTGGGCGACACGTGGACAGATAGGTGATTTGGTGGGAGAGGACGGTGGTCAAGTGACGCGACAAAGAGTTGTTCGGGGGCGTATCGTAGGATTCAATGACCTGGGAGATTCTCATTTAGCATGCGCCAAGGAGCAAAATCTTGAGGAAGCACAAAACTCACCCGCTTGAAAGCAAGCAGAGTCGCAACGCAACGCGCGCTGCTACCGCAGACAACGTAATCCCTCAACTGCAAGCCCAACGCCAGGACGGCTGGATGAACTTCCTTGGCAGCGCCAGCAACAGTAGTTCTCCGTTGCTGTCCATACAAGTGCCCGAAAACAGCGACCTTTTTGTCGTCCTTCTTCTTCTTTTGTTCCACAACTGGTGTATGAGAAACAATTCCGGGTCCTGAACCACGACGCGGCGGAGGAGCCTTCTGTCCCTTCTGAGATGCGCCTCCAGCGGCGTCCTTCTTCGGTGTCGCCGGAGGACGACCTTGACCACCTCCAGGAGCCGAACTGCCAGCAGCAACAGCTCCACCCTCTCTTTCAAGTTTTTCTCTAGCGCGGCGAGCAGCTTTCTCCTCTTTGGCCTTCTTCTTCAATTCCGCCGGAGTGAGAGCCTTCTCACCACTGGCAGAAACAGCGTCACCAGAGGCAGAGGCAGCAACAGGCGCAGCAGGCTTGCCCTTTGATTTCTTGTCTTGCTGTGCGGGGTCCGTTGCGGACTTGGAGTCGCGGATCGGGAGGGTTTGCGAAGGGGTCGCGGTAGGCTGGGATGGAGTCGGGGCAGACGCGGGAGCCGAAGACGCTGGCGCCGAGTCAACTGGGTCGGTCATCTTGTATGACTCAAACTCGGGTTGCGAGGGGCTTGTTGCTGGACCTTTGAACTTGGTGGGGAGGCAGAGTTGACTCACGGAAAAAGTGATGCCATAAGCGGCCCACCAGGTCCCGCAGCCCTAATCGGCGCCAGTGCAGTGTCATCGCAAAGTGAAGGAATCTTGGGCTGTAGAATAAGCCAAATGTACCATTATGGGCGGCTTTGAAACAGTTCGCCTCTGGAACATATCTTTGCTCGTTTCTACTAGATGAACATATGTTTCCTCAAGGAGATAGATACTAGAAGGAAACCGACGACAGTCGGTTTGGAAACATGAACTCGTAAAGTTCCTCATAATTCATCGCAAAGGGGTAATCACGCTACCATGGAGATAGACAAAAAGAAGAAGAGACACGGATGATCCATGCACAGCCGATTCTAGGCTTCTGCCCAAAGGAAAGGCTTCTGCCCAAACAAAGAGCTGACAGAAAGATCGCCGCCAACACCGAGTCTATACGCCAATTATCACACAAAGAAAAGTATCAATGAAGGCAAAGGAGTTAGCGAATGTTGCCAGGAATAGTCCCGAGGGCACGACGTTTCCGTGATTTCATGTGTTCATTACGTCGGAATCGTTCGTGGTCTGTTGCAAGCTTGCGTTTGAACATGCTAAGATCGCCAAGGAGATCTTGCATACGGCTTTGCATCAGGTGGTGCACCTCATCGTCCTCGTCATTATCATCATCGGACGTTATGGTTTCATCTTCCTCCCAAACTTCGGCTTCGGAGTCAGAAGGATCAATGGGTGAGCCTTCGCGGTTATCTCGGCCATCACCAGGAGGGGGCAAGCTCTCTTCCGTTAATGAGGTCAAACTTGGCTGTCGCTTTTCGATCGTGATTGCCGGTATGGGGTTCTTGAGACTCTCTAGAGCGAGTTTCAGATGCATACGCAGAGCCTCATTCTCGGTCTGCAGTTGACGGATCTTGCACTCGCTGACCATTTTGGTCTCCTCCATCAGCCGCTGCATCTTTTCGACCTTCTGCTGGTACTCGTCCAACTTTTCATCCTGCGCCTCACTTGCACGCTGGTGCACAGTCGCCTGGCTAACGCTGAGTTGTAAGGCGCGAATAGTCTCCGCCATTTCAGCAATCTGCGCATCACGTTCAGCGGCAGAGACGTGATCTTGGTTGACACGAGCACGGGTCCGGATGTGCTTGGCCTGATCGGCATATCGTAGCGTGGAGAGGGTTTCTTCATAGTCCGCTGGTGAAATGCAGGCAATCATCGCAGTCTTCGAGTTGCCACCAAGACTGTCTTTCAGAAGCCAGGTAAGAATCGAATCACGGTATGGAACCAGCTCTTTGCCTTTTCTTCCCCCGCGCGTCTTTTTCGGGTCTGCCAAGGCCGCAATCACTCGACCAAGCGTAGTGAGCGATTTGTTGATATTCGAACCTTCGCGGAGCCGGGCACCTGTTGCTTCAGTAGCTTTGGCACGCTCCGAACCTGCAAGATCGACCAACCGAATGCGAGCAGTGCGCTCCGTTGTCTCGTCCGTAGAAAGGTCGTGGTGGATCTGTTTCAAAGTAATTGTAAAAACGGCATGAGACCGAGACGAAGTATCGTTCATCTTAGTACTGGCAGTGGTTCGGGAAATATCACCCTTCCGCATGAACTTCATGAGTTCTGTGTAGTTCCTGGCAGTGACCTCCGTTAGGTCTTTGACATACGGACCTTCTGATGGAGACTCGCGAATACGCAGGTAGTGCGGAGGATCCGTGCGTGGTACCAAGAGATCGCGCACATGCTCGTTGTAAACTTCAAAATAGGATACCCGGACGTTGTAGCTAATATCGGGAGATGGCGAGGTCTCGATGCGCTGGAAAAGATCTTCGCAGGTACGTGGAATCAAGCCCGGCTGTTCAGGTGTGCCCATCATAGTGTAACTCTTGCCAGAACCAGTCTGTCCGTAGGCGAATATGCAGGTATGATATCCTTCAAAATTGTGGTCGAGAAACTCCTCACCCAGGCAGTTGTAAACATCTTCCTGGTGGGCATAATGATCATCTTTGTCGTCGTGCGACCAGAAAGAGTTATCGAATGTGAAGGACTTGTCGTCAAGTACTTTGCCACGGGCTTGTGATTTCGGTTTCCCCAGATCGCCAGGACTCCGCTTCGGAGCTTTCAGCTGCGTCATTTGAGTATGTGGGTCCATCGCGATGAGACACTCTGCCTTGCGTTCGATCTCTATGACAAGACATTAGATGCCCGACCCGAATCGAATATATTTTGCGTAGCTCCATCGGTACATACCTCTTGGGAGGAATTTGCGAACGCGCACCACGACGCGAACATTACCACCGCCGCCGGGTGACGGGCTCGCGTTTCCATCTTGACGCAATGGTACTATCACACTCTCGCGAGCGCGAAGTGATGGACTGGAGGCTGTAGAAACGAAGTTGCCGGCGGAGGCGGAGGTCGAGATCACACTAGGGGAGGTAATGCCGGTAACAGCGGAGGAGTCGGAGGAGGTTGCGGACGAGATTGAGCCAGGCCCGGTGGCCTGGCCGATGTGTCGAAAGAAGCGCGAGTCCAACGCCATTTTCCTGCTATGGTCTCTCAATAGCTGCACACAAGCGTTGACGGCCTCGCGACGTCGATGAAGAAGATGATTGTACATGCACTAGATTGATGGAATACAGGAAAAGGGATTCAAGGGAAGGTGTGTTGCAAGTTTTGACTCATTGGACTTGAAGAGAAAGGGTAACGAATGAATAGGAATGGGGGGTCGGTACTGTTGCGCGTTGTTTCCTTGAAGTTCAAGTTTCAAGTTGGGCGTTTCGATGATTCGTCCCCGCGGGGAATTGCTGGATGTAAACAGACCTGAGCGCGGCCTTTATCACGCGAGCATTTCGTGCAATGCAATGCGAAAAACGAAGATATGGACAGAAAAAAAAAATAGCAGAGAAAGAAAGCGATTATATGGATCGGAAAGACAATGTCTTGATCGCAACATGGGAGCTGGGAAGTATCGCGGTGTGTTGGGCGTTGCCAGGGCAATGCCAGCACTAGCACGAACTGTACCCGGTGTACTAGCTTATCTTCGAACTATGACCAGCAATTGATGCTCTATGTCGAATATGATCCACTTAACAATATCCATGGGTCTGAATTCAATATTACTTAACAATCTGGGAACTACCTGGTTCCTTCCAACTTGCCCTAGTCAAAGTCCGCCGTCATAGCCTCGAACACGTCAGCGTCGTCGTCAAAGTCCTTGGACTTCTGGCCCTTGCTCTCGAGGACGGGGTCCGGCACGGGATGACCGGTAGCGTCCATGTGTGTAGATAGGGTCTGATTGGGCGACCAGCTGTCTTCGTCCGACTTTTGACTCGAGGTCTGCGCCTGGGCTGGGCCCGACTTAGATTCCTGACTCTGCGTGAAGCGCGAGATGTCTGCTTTTGAAGTAGGTGCCATAATGAATAGCTTGGACTGCAATGTTTAGCACGAGCTCATCCGCCCAGATAGCTCACCGACTTCTCTCATGCCTCTCCGGGCTAGAAGAATCAAAGTGAAGACGTACTGCCTTTAATAGTGTGTCAATGATTGTTCACAATCCGATTGTTCGGAAACAAGAAGTAGGACATGTGCACATTATCTATATTTATGAGCTGGCAGGGTGGCGCGGATGATTCCATGGTGACGACAACATTTACCACCACTGTGGTCGCTTCTCCGCACTTGCCATTGTTGTGACTTGTTTGGTGCCACTGATTTTGTCGTATTCTCCCAAGTAATCTGGGGCTATGGTTGGGTAGCCAGCTCTGGATCCGTGGTAAACCGGACAAGCATCATGATGTGATGCTCGCCACATAGCTGTCGTGTTGGCTCCCCATGCGGCCAATTCCCATTCACTGGACTCGTAGTTAACAAGCATACAGTGGCAATGGAACTCGGCGGCTGTCATTAAATCGCTCAGTGACGCTTCCTTGAAGGTTCACTTCCGGGATGCTGGGGATTTTGGATGCCCTGATGAGTGTCATGGTTCTGGCGCTAGCGTAGACACCAACGCAGCAATATGTCTACCAGCATAGCTTAGACCGTGTTTGAGTATGATCACTCTAGTGCCTGGAAGAAGCTGCTTTGCATGTGCTAATAAACACATCATAGAGCCTGTCCATATGGCTCAGTGGAAACAACAGTTGGCACGTCTTCTCAGCAAATGGCTGACGAGTAAACTTCCAGGAATAACTCAGCCACCCCGCCATGTCGGGACCCTTCGACAAAGCAGGATCATCACAGCTTCCCAGATTTCCCTGTCGATGCCTACTTGCCCGTGCGAGACTCTCAGGTTCGTTGAACATGACCATCCACAACAAGACGTAGAGGGTGGACTTCAAGTCATGATACTCCTATCTTTCATCAATTCCAATGAACATGAAGGGCCTAGTACCGGTCACTTTCCATGGCATCACGTAAAAACTCTTCTGTTATCAATCTGGACATTGCCCTGAATGATGGCTCGGTTGAAGTTGACCGGCCTGTCAGTTCCCTTCATAATAACTGAAAGCTGACTCTGCGCATCTACTATCCGGTCAGCGCTTCAGATTGACAGCGTACTCTGTTGATCCTTAGCTAAGTTGGAGGTCTCGGGTTCAATTGCAGGGTAGCGACATACACGCCATACGTCTCTCGGATGCTTGAGAGCTTCTGTGGAGGAGTTTCTGAAAGCGTTTGCAGAGAACCTTGAAGTGATAGAGTAAAAGAATGTTGCTAACGGGCAAAATCTTCCCCAATCATTAGATTGAATGCTTTCACGGGGTCAATTCACCGAAACGACCCAAGATATATCCGTATATGGGGTCATTTTTGCCTCGATCTCCAGATTCTCTGAAAGATCTTGTGCTGGAATTGCCACTACATTGGATACTTGGTTCATATCCAAAAACCATTACCTGTGATCGCTCAAAGTTGGTACCGCACTGAGCTAGGGGGGCATGAACATATTCTCATAATCTGTGAGGTCTTCAGATAATGGCTTTAGATTACCTGTAAGCTCCTGTCTGATGAATATAGGGATTCAAGGCAGTGGACTATGAAAGTTGTAAGATGTTTAGCCCACTGGTCTTCTGGTGGGATTATCTTTAGTAAGCAAATAGATGTAAGCCGTGATCCCTGATGGGGTCTGTTCGGCTCTGTCGATGCTCAACCTCTGTACAAAGAGGCCTTTCTCCCTTAAGTAGTATTCTGTCATTCTATCTCCTAGTATCGCCTGCCAGCATTGTCTTTCAAGTGACCTGTAAAAATGTCTCTTCCACACAGACCATAGAATATCACATCTAGTATAGGCGGTATCAGGAGATACAAGATCAAGGAATGCGACTTCTTATCTAACACAAGTCTATTCATCTATACTCACGATGTAAGCTTACCGTGCCCCTCTTCCAGTTCAAGATAAAGTCTTCTCCTGGTTCATAAACAGAAAGAAACAACTCAGGATCCAACAACAGAGTGTCAAAATGAATGACTGTTGCACCAAGGGCTTCAGATGGGACGGAGAGCCCACAGGCAACGCAACATACGTAACCGGCACCAATGCCGAGGTTGCCATCCTCGTCATCCACGACGATTTGGATGGACATTTCCGAATATACGACTTCTGGCAGACGCATATGCCGAAGAGGCCAACGCGACTACGTTCCAGACTTGTACGCAACCTCATACTCTATGTATTCTTTGCTAACCAGGTCCAGCTTCGGCGGCGAAGTCCTCCCTGCCGAGATCCTCGTCAAGGACCCCTCGGAATGGGGCCCGATCGATCTTCCCGGCTTTCTGGCCCGCAACAGTAAAGCCACCCGAGAGCCTGAGATCATGGCCTTCGCTAGATCCCTTCGTGAAAAATACAAACGCGTTGGCGCGATCGGTTTCTGTTACGGCGGCTGGGCCGTGTTCCGTCTTGGAGCCAAAGAAAATAATGGTATGGTAGATTGTATCTCAACAGCGCACCCTTCTCTGCTCACCAAGGAGGGGATCCAGGAAGTTGGTGTGCCAGTCTATATCATGGCGGCGGAGGTCGACCCCATGTTCACGTCAGAACTCAAGGAGTTCAGTAATCGAGTCATCCCCTCACTCGAGGTAGATTATGATTATCAGTACTTCCCAGGCTTGGTGCATGCGTTTGCAGTCAGAGGCAATCGGGCGGATGAGGCTGAGATGAAAGGGCTGGAGAGGGCGAAGAATGCGGCAGTGCATTGGTTTAAGCAGTGGTTGCACTAATCGTAAGAGATCGAACTTGCATTTCTCAATTCATGACAATGTAATCTCGGTGACGGTTAAATTGGCGCCTCGGAAGTGATAGGCTCCCGGAGCGAACATGAGCAGCTCCATAAGTGACCTGAACACTCACCCTGATGCTCGGGTTAATCGGCCTAATTTGATCTCACTTTGCCTCTCATTGTGTAGGGTCCTCCGACGCTAAACGTACGGCTTACTGCCTGCTTTGAGTGTTCCTAGGAGCGAAGGCTAGGACATGATTTACTCTCACGTTGCCATTGTAACTTCTCTCTCCTTTCCCACCAGCTGTTGGTCGACTTAACCTGTCTTTCAACCTGGGTAAGGATTCGAGCGCCTCACCCTCTGTACGTTGTATTATTCAATTTTTCTTTCATCATACAGCAACGAGTGACCCAGATCAACTGTCCTTCCGAATCCGTCATCTATGAGCCGCTCAGTTGTAACACGCTCCTTCCCTACACAAGTTCTTCAACTCTGCTTTCCCTACTCTTCTCTTCTCCCATTTTCTCTCACTTCTGTCCCCTTGCCGTCGTCATGTCAACTCTTTCCTTAACTCTCTCGAGCGTCTCATCGAGGACTGTGGTCTCCGCAGATCGGTTCAACACACAACCACAGTTTGAGGAGGCTATTCACAATACTCTTCACGAGGCTAGGAGCTTTCACGAGCTCGTCATTACCAACATGCCGCCATGGTGAGAGGATTTTCTCTGGAAAATCGAGGAGGATCTCCCTTCTATTCGAAAAACCTATGACTCGGAGAGCCGTTGTTTACGGCTTAAAATCATGCCCACTTATGCCCACAATTGCATTGCCGAGTGGATTTCAGTCTCAATTTCCAGAGCCGTCGGGATGGGTTTCCTGAATTTAGCAGAGGTAGACCTTCTCCTTTTACAACAAGGCACAAGTGAGTTCCACTGACGACTTTGATCGTGCCCTTACTTATAACATGTCTAAAGCACTGTCATTCACAAATGGTCCATATCACGATTTCCGAAAGGAGCCAGATGCTCTTCTCCACACCCCATCGCAGCACTTTCCAACTCTTATCGCAGATGTTGGATGGAGCGAGTCGTATGATGGCCTACTTGATGACATGAATCGGTTACTCATTAGTGGTAACGGGGCGATCAAAATCGTCATTCTTGTTAAAGCATGCAAATAACTCAGTCAGCGGAGTTCTTGAACTTTACAGAAATGACCGACAAGGGATCCCAAGACGCACACAGACTGAGATTATTTTCCCCATGCCTGCTGGTGACCCGCCTCAGCCCCTTGACATTCGACGTTGCGACTTGTACCCTGTCCAGTCTCCTCGCAATCCAAACGAGAATTTTCCTCTTTTGATTAGCCGCTTACGCTTTCAGGCTCAGATCAGTCTTGAGAAGGAGGGCTACGTGCCTGCCTAACCGCTAGATTTGTCTCTTTATCATTCTGGCTTTGTTGCACCCTGGCTTTGTATCGTTAGATGGGTGGAAGGGTAGCTATCATCGACTCTATTCATTATGATACACATGGAGCAAGTACGTACACATGCCGAGTTCGTGGACAATAAGGAACGTAAAACAAGGATGAGAAGCTGAATGCACTTCGTCCCTATAATTTACCGTTTCCTAAGGATGTGGTGTAATCGCATGCATTGATTCAGAGACAATAGCTTCAAAACAACAAATTGGGTAAAACATCGCATACGTATTGATCAGACCTAGATCCGACATGATATCGAAATTGACCCACATGCACACCAAAACACGCAAATGAAATGAGGATGACTCCATCGTTTCGTCTTGGCCGATTTTACTCAGTAACCAGATAACTAAAAGGGGCGACGTATTGGATCAAAATCAAAGCTTCTCATTGCAATGATCATCAACAGAATCTGTCGCACAAACTAGTCACTATTTACCAATTGATCTATCATTCCAAGTAGACGAGACATCATCGCAAATCTTCTCAATAGTATCCCACTGCAACGAACTCCACACCTCAGGCCTCTCAACCGCATCCACAAATTGCCTCATCGCCATCACCGTCTGAGCCGCCCAGCGCTCCTTGCTCACCTTCCCAATACCCGCCGCCAATGGGGCCATGAGAACCGTCGCAATCTGCTCAGACGAGCGTCGATTGTGACCTTCAATTTGACACAATAAACTCCAGATACACTCATACACCACCTCGCGATCCCAATTCACATCCTGCGGCTCCCGCATCGTCGGACACATCGCTACCCATTTACAGCCCGGTTCGTTTGCCTTGAGTGCCTCGGGGAATTCAACCAAGGTGCATGTACCAGGCGGTGCGAACCCTCTCCATTTGTCGTAAAGAACTAGCTGCGCCGCGCGAGTGAGAGCATGGTAATCATTGCGCGGGCTGAATGTTTTCGAGATGGCGTGGTCAAAGCCGCCATCTAGACGGCCGTAAGAGTTTGCCGGGGAGACGATTAGGTCGAATTTTGTTGCGGGTGGGAGGCTGTTCAGGCGCTCGTTGAGTGTGGTGAATTTGATCTTGTCTGGATGGTGGCTCGGCCAGAGTTGGCTGAGGGCTTCGTTGAAGGCTGTGATGAAGGCTTCATCTTGGCATACGAGAATGAAGTCGGGGATATTAGAAGTCATTTTTGGCTTTGTGCTTCCTTTCTGGTGGGCGAGATGGTGTGCTATTTGCAGGGGTTCAAATAGTCTTAAGATGAGGAGGCTCTGGGTAGCTGCGGCGGTAGGCTGAAATGAGGGGGGAGTGGAGCTCGTGTACCGCCCCAAGTGCACCGCCCCCTAAATCTAGTACGTAGCAAGTTGAGCGTCCGAGTATTCCTGTATGAAACTCGATGACCTGGCTAGGCATTAGTGACAAATTGGGATATGCGAGAGGTGCTGAAAAATACACGGTAGAGTATATTCCTAAATTGAAAAAGAAATGGTGAAACACATCTAGAGTCTCATGGATTACTTTGAAGATGAGAAACATGAGAAACATGAGAATTTTACTCATCAAGCAAAGTTCGCTTGTATGCATTCTAGGGCAAATATGTACTGTGCACACAGGTATAATAAAGAGAGAAAAAAAAAAAGGCTACCTGGACACTGGCAATCCCAGATACATCCGATATGTTCAAGACTCATCAATACCAAGATCTCTCTCTTTCTTCAGCGTTGGCTCTTCGGACAGGTCATCAATCTGACCGCCCACCGCAGCTCGAGCCTGTTCCTGAGTACACACATAACGAATCAAGCTCTCACAGAGTCGATCTAGGATCCACTCCGGCTCAGTCATATGTGCTAACATGGGACTATTCTCTCCAATCCAGTCCCAGTTGAGAACTCCGAATTTATCCGTATCCACTGAAAGACTACCATCTCCAATACGGTTCTTTGCAGCTCCAGACGATGTTGGTCCTGATCTTGGATCGGTAAATTGGATCAAGCGAGTAAATTCGACCCATTCCTCATACTTGTAGCGCTTTCGTTTACCTTCGCGCACATCTTGTGTGGTGCGACGGATGGCAAAAGCGAGTTGTTGTGCAAGTTCAAAGGGCGACGGGTTCGGTTCGCGAGCCAATTCTTCGATCGTTCTGGTTGGACGCTCTTCCGTGGATCGTCTGCGTGGTGCAAGCGGTGCCGTTTTTTCTGCATCTTGGGCTGATGATGGCCCATCTTCTGGTTCAGCAACATCTCCTACTTGGGCGCCGATTGGAAACCCGAGCTTCACCCGCCGATTCTCCTCGCGTCTTTGCAGCATCCGCATAATACACGGGAAATGGGCGAAGAAGGAACGGTATGATTCTGACTGAGGCAAGACGAAGTAATCAGCGAACTTATCTGTAGAATGCTTGACGCCGGCAACAATAGTGTCGCTCATTTGCGAGATGAGCATTGTCATTGTTGGAATGGCAATGAGAGACCAGGCCACGAAGAAAGGCCGTCCTGCATTTGACTTGGGTGTGAAGTCGCCATAGCCGATGGTAAGCAGAGAACAGAAACAAAAGTGTAAACTCTCGAAATAATCCATTTCGTTCTCCAATTTCCAGAATACGACCGCTCCACAACTCCACACAATACCAAACGCGACGATACTAATGACTAGATCATTCCATCGGCGGAACCGCATAGTCTCATATTGAATGGCTCGCATGGCATCAAATCGGTCTTTTCTTCTCTCATTACATGGAGTCTAGGCCGACGATTATTAGCCAAGGCATGGATGGTGTTCCGAATGGGCTGGCGTGGATGGTGGCGAGGATGGGTGAGCGGCGGCAGAACAAGCTCTATCCCTTGCTCATGCGCTTCTTCGCGGGCGTCGTCAAGCTCCTGCCTTGTGATTGTTTGTTCATACGTCGACTGTCGCTTATGTTCGATGTGTTTCCGGATGACGTTGTCATAGTGGACTTCTTTCGCGAATCGATGGATACTTCCAACCACCAAGCCTAGCTGAATGATTCCAATCACAGCATATGGCCAGACCAAGCCTCTGCCTACAGATGTCGCTGGAACCACGTCACCGAAGCCCAAAGTCAAGACCGTGATGTCGCTAAAGTACAAAGCATCTGCAAAGGAGATTCCCAGTACCTTTTGAAAGATGGCAGCACCGACAAGCAGCCAGACCATGAAGGCTGTCATTTGCAAGATGAGAGTTCGCTGATCATCTGTCAAAGAGAAGTGCTGCGGATATCTCCCCAAAAAGTACCCGAGCATGTTGATCATCAAGAGAGAAGCGAGAATAAAATAAAGGCTCGCCGCGATGACAGCACTCCAGTAGCCTTGCGAGTAGACGTGATCTGGGGCAATCGGTGGACTGTATATCGACAGCGACGCCGTCAGGCCACACAACTAGGAATAGGTATTAGATCTTGATTCAAAGGTATTAAGACAATTCACTTACCATACCAGTAGCGAGAAACCACAAAATGATGGTCACCGGCAACGCTATAATGTATCGAATGGTGGTAGTAAAGTTAAAGAGCAGAAAGACATTGCCAACAACACCGCAGAAGAGCGAAACAGCGTTCATCGCAGTGACCCTATTGCAGTCAGCAATGACCATAAGACCTCGAAGGCCGAGCATCTTTACCAGTGAGGGTCAGGGTAACCGTTCTGAATCAAATTTCCAGCCGGCCCGTCGGTGTACGAAGTGATATGACTCCTCCATGGCATAATTAGAGCAACAATCGACATGACGTTGGCCAGCGGTCCGGCCGCTGCTGCTACCAGCGGGATGGCAGTCGAGGCGAACCACCAAGACTGAGGTTCGTCATCTTCCGGGGGTCTCATGTGAAATTGGCTGCAGAAGCGTTCCCATGCCGACGGTCGTGCGGCACGATCGACCTTGAGTTTCTGGAGCGGAGGAGATCCATGTTGCATCGTTCATGCGGCGGGGCCATGCACGAATATTAGGGGAGCGAGGCGCAGGGTATCCCCCAGGGCCTGGAAAAGGCTCGTATGCTGCGGATAGCAGAGGCGGTAAGGAGCGAAAGGAAGTTTCAAGCTAATCGTGGTGGAGATGGATAAGGATTCATGCCTCGTGGTCCGCTTCGTCCCCGTTACTCGGCAGATCGCAATCTTACCCGTTTTGGAGATGCGCTGAGCTTCGGATGACTCCGGAAGACTTGAGATGAAGGAGTAACTCTGTATTGGATAAAAGGAGAAGAATTTAACTGAGAGATAAGACAGTCTTTAAACTCACGCGTGGACTCGCATTGTCGGCATGATGTCAGTGTCAAAAAGCCCCGGCCTTCAATCAGCGGTCCAGGTCCAGGTCCCGTGACTTCCCCACACAGGTCCATGGGTCTTGAGTTGACGTTGACAGATATCTAGTTGATGTAAACATGGGATAATCTATATGGGAAAGTTCAGAGTGTGTTGTTCTGTGGGTAGTAAGATCTGAACTTGATGGAGAGTAGTTTGAAGTGGATGCGAGGCCAAGAGCTAACGAATTTACAGTTTACTGTAGTGTTACAGTCGCGAGAGACAACCCCACTAGACCCGATTCTGAACGATTAATTATCTGATGGTACCATTGTTTAATGATCCTTTGGCACTGATGATGCGAAGACCAATCCTTACGGATTGAAGAATGCGATGAGCAATGAGTCTAGCGCTAATGACATCACACAGACCAACAACGATAGGACAAAGCGGATCTATCACCTAGCAAGGCACAGCGATCACGACACATTGCCTTGTTCGTTATAGACCCCTAGCATTCCACAATGACTGAAGAAGTCGGGCCTAGAGGGGGATTTCACCTGTGTGACAACGGCTATAGTCACCGTCTCAGCGCCAACCAGCCTCGCCAAGGCAAAAGCAACCATGAACGCCCGCATGGGGCAACTGGGCTAAGCGCTAATCATAAGCCACATGGCCAACACGAGCACAGTCACAATCGCGTATAAAGTCCCATCCTGCCGCGCAGGATGGAAGCTACAATCGCACCCCGCACTATAGCACACACTAGAGATCACCCCGCTCGACATAATAGGGTCGCCACACACCAACCCCTCGGGTGCGAGCCAGCGAGGAGACACCAGTGACAGGCATCATCACCTGCACACATGCACTGCATAGGTCCCCCGGCACTTTCTGGTATGAACGCATTGGTTGGTGACATCAGCCTTTGGTGTCATCCCAGCGAGGTACCTGCTTTTTGGGCGTACAGGGAAGCATAATCTAGAATGCGGACGTAGGTACTGTGCAGCGCTACGCGCCGCAGCCCGCGCTTTCTCACATCACTGCCTATCTGGGTAACTATGGTAAAAGCAGGGAGGGAGGAAGGGGGGGGGGTGGGTCTACGTGGAAATAATGGCGATACGGGAATATCTTGATTCGTGATTAAAAAGAAATGGGTTCGGAAACAGGAAAGACATGGAAACGAAACAGGCAAAATAAATGAGTGTAACATGTGGTTCTATTAAATGCTGAGGCCGTGGTTCTATCTACAACCCGGTTCCTCCTCGGACCCAACATTAAAATCAAGACAGGACTAGAGCTGGGAGCACAGCATACTGGGCTCAACAATCACACGGGAATCAACAGTAGGAAATGAACAAAGGAAATGAATGGTAAGATAGGAAATCGCAAGATGGTATCATCGAAGCAGAATGACACAAACATCAACGACGCATGGAAAAGCACATAACTCGACAACAGGCATCACAGCCAACGCCGGAAATAGAGTAGACGCCGCCCCCAAGGACGGAAACGAAGTCAGAGGTATAACAAAGAGGCGCCAAAATCAGAAATTCTTTTGGGGGGTTCGTCTCGCACATAATCGTGGGACGAAAAAAAGAAAAAGACACCGTTGGGAATCCAAAACAGAGTGACCACGTAACGAGTATAGCCAGCCGAAGCCAAACCCAACGCGCTGCAAATGCATATCAGAATGATCCCGTAATAACACCAAAAATAAAACGATCCAATCTCTGTCGGGATAGCTCCCTCTCGGTGTGGGATATCAATTCTTCCTCTATCTTTTTTTTGTCTTTTCTCTTCTTTTTTGAGTGAACTGCCTATTTGGCAGACGGTCGCGAAGGATGTCTTCGCAGTTGGCATCGAATCGCATATTCCACAGTCGAATACTGTTCATCAACTTTTCGGTATTTTCAAGCTCCCGGTCACGACCAAAGATTGAGTCGACGAATTCACAACCCGCGTTGCGGCCCATCGAGACTGGGCCCTTGCCACCTTCCCGCTTGGCAGCCTTCCACATGAACATCTCACACGCTTTTAGAAGCTTCTTGAACCGGTTCCAGAGTCGATCGCCGCTTTCTAAGAAATCTTCAACCACCTCCGCTGCATCTTGTCGTTGAATACGAGGAGGCATTCGTCGGCTCGCTTAACTTTGCCCGCGAGTTTGATCAAGAGAAGCCAAAGATCGCCCGCCACGTCGGCCATGGGGGTTGATGCGCCATGGTGAAAAACGGTCCAATCGTAGATCCACTTGCCGAGAGAGTTGGCGTCGAATACACTACCGAGGAGAATGATGGGGGCTTCGGTCGGGTCCCAGTTCTTGATCGAGTAGCCGGGTGGGATACCAGCGCGCTCGGCGTCCTCCTCGGTAGCGACGGGTGGAGGTTTTGAGGCGGGGGGTGGTTTGGTCTTGGGAGTGCGAGTGGAAGTGGACTGGCGACGAGCGTGCTGACGACGGGCTGCTTCGATATCCTCGGAGTTAGGAACCTGATTGAAGTAAAAGTGAGAATCAGCGGGTGGGTTCGATTTGCGATGAGAAGTCGAAGCGGTGCGACGATGGCCTTGGGGGGCATCTCGTTTGGGAGTCGTGGCCGGGGGACGGCCAGGGCGTCTGGGCTGCTCGCGCGAAGCGTAGCGCGGAACATCGAATGCATCGTCAACCACATCAAAGATGGGCTGCTGCTGCCATTGCGAGCTGAATCCGGTGCCGGTACCGGGGCCGAGGCCATCCCCCGCAGGATGACCAGTCGTGTGGGTGCGACGGTGTTTGGGCGAGCCCGCGAAAGAAGCACTTACATGATCGTGCTTGCGCGGCATGCCATATTCAGGCGTCGCCTCATAGTAAGGCTGCGAGTAACCTGAGTAATAGCTGGGGTCCTTGGTGGCCGTATAGCTGGCCTTGCGAGTGTGTCGTCGCGTGCCCGTACCCGTGCCCGTGCCGCGAGGCGAGGTGTATGTGTTGGCGTATTGAGATGCGTAGTACGCGTAGTGAGGCGAGGTAGGTGGCGACTGGGAGTAGTCGTAGGTGGACCATCCCGGTGGTGGACTGGTGTAATGATACATGATCGACCACGCATAAGCCGAATATCAGGATGCTGGAGAGGGGAGAATCGCGAAGAATAGAAGACTAAGACGGATAAAACAAAGACCCGAGTATATTATACAGGATATCGTGCGCAATAGCAGAAAAAGAGAGACGCCGACAGACAAAACTGGAGGTTAAAAAAAAAGGGTCGAGTAGGACCGTCACCGTGGTACGGTTTCCGATCGGAGAGAGGAGGGTTGACACTGAATGTGCTGAGAGTGCATTTGAACGTCGGTATTCGGTATCCCGAAGGAGCTGGCGGTGCCAAAGAGTTTGAAGATCCCAGAGAGGACTAGAAGCCCAGGTAAGTGTAAGAAGAAGATGGTCCCAGGGGGGGGGAAGTTTGTGTATATGGAGCCGAGAAAGGGTGGAGATGGGAAAAATTCAACCCAAGATGAAAGGGAAATAGATTACGCCCACGCCCAATCACTTCGGTGGGCGCGTGCGAGTTGGCGCAGTGGAGCGTGGCGTTTATGTGGGTTTTAGTTTTTGTTACGTGGTATGCGGATTTCGTCTATACTCCCTTTTCCCTTGCCGATCTTATATCTCTCTACAGAAACACCCTACACACGGAACTTGTGACTCACAATGAAGGATCTTCCTCAACTTGGTATGTCTTGTCTAATTACGATTATTGTTGGCTCCCATTTCCTGGCTTTGATGTAGACGGCAAAAGACGAGTCTAAAGTACCTCCAAAGGCTACCCCTCATACTAGCCCAGATGGAGACTTCCAGCTACTGCACTATCTGCAACTGCGCTGACAAGCCCCCTCCAGTGTCGGGCGACAACTCGAATGCTGCCTTTGCAACCCTCCGCAGCTTATTATGACTCTTGCTAACACCGATGCCTCGTTTCTCTGAGAATGTGGGCGGCTGATGTCGCCACCGTGAGTATATTCGGTGCAGGTTGGGCTGTGACTGGCTGAGTGGGCCGGAGATTTGGATTTTAGAACTAGATAGCAGCGCTGGCGCGGTATGTCAAGCGTGTCAAGCCTCTGTTGGATGGACCGCCATGTGCTTGCTAGGCTTCGAGAATTAGGGCTGCCTCGTCTCGTTTGTGCACTTCATCTGCATGAACACCTAGATGGACATTATCTCCTTCTACTATTCGGTGATAGGATCCCATTGTGATATGGGCTGCCTACAATGCATGCCCTTTTAAACAGCCCAAGTACCCGTGATAATGCCAGTGTCCGGTTCCATGGTTGGCTCGCGGGTATTCGATCGCTGCGCCGGACTTTTGACGGATCATCCCGTCTCGTCCAGCGGTTCGACTCCACAGACTCCATCCAACAGACTAACCCACCGATGTTGCCATGGCAAGTTTCTTAGTTTTCAAAGTAGAACTAGATGCCCCTCCCAAGAGGGTCTCTTGCTCACAAGGATTGTATCCGGCTTGTTGGGCGACATCACGGACCACGCATGGGCTTTACCGCTGCGTCGCTGGGCAGCAACTGCTTAATTGGGCCAAAACGGAGACAGGAAGACGAGCTTCGCAGACCGCAACTTGCATCTTCCACCAGTCCTATGGCTGCCGAGAGGGCTGAATAACACATACATAGGGCGTCTGTCTGTGGGTTCGAAATACTCCGCCTCTTTTGCAAAAATAGCGTATACATGGTGCGGAATGCCGACATCGGGCTACGTTGATGCAGCCCTATGATTTAAGCGATGAAGAACGAGGCACAGAGAGGGGTTTAAATAAAAATGACATAATTGAACAAACATATAATAGCAAAGACCAAGTATCATTTCCAGCAATGGCAAGCAATATAAATGAGCATTGTGTTGTGAGTGAATATCAAGTGCGACCGCTGAAGCCCTAAGACTGCCCTGATGCAGACCAGGCTCCATCATAACCTTGGAATCCACTTGACCTCAGAAACAACCAGACTATGACGTCCAGTCCACTTCTCACCAACGGGATCTGCTGAAACCCTCTCCGTACCAACAACCCTAGGAGCGTATAAATGGAAAATCTCTGCTGACCGTAAATACCACAACCCCCCAACCATCCAGCATTATGTTCACGCACCAACTGCAGGGATAGAATCAACAATGAGAGAAAAAAAAGAAAAAGGGAGAAAAATACCAAAGACCAAATCAAAAGACCGCATATCCTTACAGAGCATACACCGAAAATGCCACAAGACCCAACGAATCAAGGGTTTTTCACAATGGCTGGTTCTAGATGAGTCAACACCCTTCTCGAAAGCCCCCTTCTCGCCCAGCCCGGAGCACAATCCTGCGCCACCAGCAGGCACCGCCGATCGTTCAGCGTCGCACATGGCGTTTACTCGTTTCGTGTCGTGCATCTTCTGATCTCGGCTGGTCCAGTCATCACACCGGGGTCGAACTCGATCATCTTTCGTGGCGACTCATCTCCTATTGGTTTTTTTTTTTTAGTCATTAGGCAGATATAAGCTGAGAGCTTCAGCTGGGAGGCAGTGATCGCCTTCTGGAAACAAGGAACGGAAATAGGACCAACAGGAAGCAACACCGGTAAACAGGGGGGGCTCCCCCCGAACCTTGGGCAGTGGGGCAAACGGGGTACATGCGCATATCAACCGGCCTCTCTCTCGAACACCGATCTGGACAGGCTATCTGTTCGGTCTCCTTTTGCTCCATTCTTTGCATAGCTATTTCTCTTTCTTGTGTGCGGTTTTGTGGGATTTTAAGTTTTATCTCTTTCGTGATAGGGCGAGAATCTCATAGACTGAATTATTCAGGGACATTCAACACATCCATACCGTGCGTGAATAACAAGGTGACAGTCCTAGCATATTTCATATGGAACTTCCTCGTTTTAAGGGGGCGGCGCTCGCGCGTGCGAATATACATATGGTCCTTGCACGCTTGTTCCTCCCATTTCATGTAATTTTTCACCAGACTTGATTATGGTCGAGACAGTGGAAATTAAATGGATTCATAACCTCCATAATTAATTGAAAACCCTCGGGTGCCTAGTCCAATAACAAATAGATCAATCGGTGTGTTGCCGATCTGATGGATCATTCTACCCCCTTGCTCGAGCTCGATCTGAGCATCACAACATCCACGCGCTGGCGGCGGCGCCTACGTGCTAGGGGCATCTGGTGCATCCATGGACGGTCTGGCTCATTTCTTATTTGTTTTTAATTTTTTATGGGCTTGGGAGTCAAATTTCTGATACAGTGCGTTGTGTGCGCATTGATCACATAGGGTTCTGTGGTTGCCCTTGCCCTGAGCCCTATCGTCCAGGCTTTGTTGTCACGAATACGAGCTATACGCTCGACTTCCCGTGTCCAAGGGGCTAGGTCCTTTATGCGACTGGGTTCGAGGTGTGGCGGTGACGTTTCTCTGTGAGCGGCTTCCCCGTCCCGCCACGGCCCGAAGGTTCAACGTGCGCTCCACCGGTTTGCAGGTTGATAGAGCTTAATAATACAGGGTTGGCGTTCAAATGTATTTGAAAACTCAAGAATGGTATTGGAGGGTTGTTACTTGAAAGATATACAGGGCAAGACTACCCGGTTGAGCAATGGGTGATAGGTCAGTGTACAAGGGCACAGAAATTAGTCAATGGTATGTACAATGCAACCCCGGCTCACGTTCAGCTTCGCTGCGGATGACAGTCGATGAGCAGATTCTAGGAACAAAATATATATATATATATATATATATAAAGACGAAAAGAAATAACCATTAAGTGTGCAGGTATCCCAAGTCGCCAATATCCAAATCAACCCCGTCCTCCCAAATAGATGCCCTAACATGAAGTCTTCACCCGCACCCGCACGCGGTAAGCCATGTGATGAACTTTGCAAGATTAACGGAGGCCAGACTATCATTATGCCACCATGTATTCTCCATCGCCCCGTTTGGCCTGCATGACTCGAGACCAGCGAAAGGCTTGGGAAGTCATGGTCTTGCCGCTTCCATCCAGCGGTGGCGGAGGACCTAATTCGGAGGGATATACAGGGTATGAGGACTCCTCGGAATGTTCTGCCCAAATCTTTTCGAGCAGTTCCAAACAGGAAATGTTATTCACGAATCCAGAGTCCTTGGAGATATCTCGGCAGCGATTTCGAATGGCGGAACGATGATCCTCTTGAACGCATTCTGATCCCACGATGAAAAGCGGCCACAGAAGGTAGACATCTGACTGGACAGCGAAGAGGCAATGCATAGCAAGACGAACCAGGTGCTGGATGCGAGGATGTTGGGATGGGAGACTTGGCTCTGCAAGTCGCTCGCAGTAAAGAAGCGCTGCGTGGCGGAAGCATTCAGAGATCTGGTAGACATCTTGAAGATTCTCGCTGGCCACTCGGTATGATGGCGAGGTCGGAGGAGTTGGGGTCAAGTTGGAGGGATTGAAGGACAGGGTGGATGCAGACAGAGTTGGCGAGGGAATGAGGTCTCAACGGGTGGCCCAGTTGGTGGGTCGAATCGCCAGGATTCGAGCCGTTGCCGTAATGAGTACCATTCGGTCCAGAATGCCGGGGATGAAGGCCGTCGAGCCTGGTCGCTGCTTTGTGGAGGAGTGGGCATAGAGTATCCATAATCACCCGTCATGGCTCCTGATCCAGAAGCTAACGGAACACTATCCCAGCCAGGGAAGATCATGGATGGGGGTAATGATGCGGTAGGGATCGTCACATCTGCTGGTCGAGATTCGTTGGGCTGTTGGTCTTGACTCAGTAGGTTTAGACGACCTAGCTGAGATATCATCTTGAAGAGACGCCCATCACAACCAGCCAAATTCTCTAGGCCCCATTCCCCATCTGTGATCGAGCTGATCTCCAGGCATTTGCCGCGAAGCTGTACATCACGGTCATTGGTCGTCGCAGTGAGGGTGTCAAACCACGAGAACATGCGGATGAACCACTTGACATCATCCGTTAAGACGGGAGAATGCCGCATTCGAATGGCGAGGAGCCTGGTGACACCAGCAAACTGTGTTCGAAATTCAGCAACACCAGTGTCACAGCCATGGAACAAACAAAGCACCAGCAATGTGGCTAGTACCGAATCCGACAACCTGCGACGTGGATCTGCCAAGTCGGCATTCAAAGCCTTAACGGCCATTCCACGGTGGTGATTCTCTTCCCGTAAATAACCCTCCGACATGGAAATTCCGTATCTATCTTGAAAGTCCTCATCGGTTAGAGCACGATGCGCCATAGACGACATACGTGCCGGGAGGGTTCTTTCGGTGGACATATGGTTCTTCTCTCGCCGCTGTCGTAGATTGCTTGTGGCCAAAGTCGCAATTGCCTCTTGGAGGGCCTCGCTGCCTTGCGCCAGGCGAAGGACTTGAGTGCGGAACGGATTTGTTGGGGTATCAAAAGCAACAATCATGGGGGCAATTACTTCGGCGAAATAACTGATGAGATACCGCAGACGGGGTGTGCGTCCTACGGATCTTGCTAGAAGCAGCTGAGAATACGAGGGCGAGTGACCAGCATCCCACAGCATCGAATACTGCGGGTTTTTCCTGTCAACCTCCTCATCCGCATCTTGAGGGGATGTTGAATTTGGAACCGGCCAATTCCTCGCCACTGGCCACACTGGTGTGGCGAAACTGGCACCCGGGCTTAACAAGGGTGCGTAACCAAGCGATACTTCGGAGGATATGCTTGGGCTCGAGCGGCTGCCCATCGCTGGTCGGGTTGGTAATGGAAGCCCGGAGATCTGCGGAGGCGCAGCAGACATGCTGGACCACGTCTGGGGATCCGGCATGTCCATTGTCCACGCCATGCCATTCGACATATCAGGAATAATTGACGCGACTGACGGCCTGCGCGAGTCTGAGTCGAACGAGTTGAAAGATCCTGCATCAAATGAACTAAAGCCCAGGCCAGAAGTGGGCGCCGCCGGAGGAGTGGTCGAGGTCCGTTGTGATGAGGATTGGGCTTGACCCTGGCTGCTGGGCGGCGACCGCTGCTGTGCATGAGAGGTCTTGTTGGAAGATTCCAAAAGCCCTTCGTCCATGACGGGGAGCTTCTGACCTCGCAGCTTGCCTCTGCTGGCAACTCCCACCCCCCAGGTCAGGGTTGTCTTGTATCCAGAACATTCGCGGCCGAGCTCGAGGCACTGGGAACAGTATGGGCGTCGCCGATCACATCGAGCTCCTCGCTTGGAGCACGTGAAGCAGTCATCCGGAGCACCGCTCACAACTGTTCTCTTCCGTCGTTTCCGAATCGGCGCATTCGGGTCAGTTTTGCGGGATTTGCTTTTGGCCGGTTCCCGCGTCGGCTCGCGTGGGCGACCTGCAGTCTCGGACATTATGTGCGAGTATCGCGATAGGCACCAAGTCGGGTTCCCATGAGGCTATTTTCAGGGAAGGCCTGTGGTGGCCACGGGGTAACGAACTTGTCGACCAGGAAGATCTGAGAATTGACCAAGTCGGGGCACGGGTCGAAAAGTGGGCCCTGAAACGGCAGGATCTGATAGGGTTCGAGGGGGGAGGGCGGAGGGCGGAGGGCGGAGTAGGTTCAAGAGGCCATCGCCTGGGAGAGTGAGACGAGGGTATTCAGAGAGTCAAAAGGGTCAGAGAGGGAGAAAGGGAAAACTGGGGGGTGGATATGGGATCTTCCCGGGAGGATATGATCCGCGCCTTAGTGTCGAAATGCGAGAAAGTCAGAACCTAGGACGGGGGAAATCGCTCAAAAGTCTCCACCGGCCCAGGATGATCCAGGATCGCCTGGTTTCTTCTAGCCGCTTACGGTGATACACTACGGGGGATATTTCCACCATTGCGTCCAACTTATTCCTGATCGGAGATTGCTAGACCGAGTCTCTGTGGAATACGAAGGCGACTCATAAGTTAGCAATAGCATGCCGATCACAAATTGAGGCCGAGGCTGACCAAATGTGGTGCAGTAGTGCGGTACAGGGTGGGTTTGCAGTTGCAGTTGAGGTTGCCTTGGGAATTCAGAGGTGAAATGGGTTTCATGGGTTTCGTTGCCCATGTGTTCACCCCCATCTGATCACACCTGGAACAATGTCGAAGTGGTTGCCTGAGTCCCTCAACCAAGTCGGTATGATAACATCGCCAAGCCTAGCGCGGGCCGCCCACACCTATCTTTATCTTCATCGTCAACTACATCTCGCTACCCCTGGACCTTTACTTCCTTCTGACTACACATCGCTCAAGGTAATTTCAGTCTGCCTGAAATCCATACTTTGTCAATCAATGCCCGTGCGCCCCGAGGCTCCCTCAAATCCACCCCTGCACCTCCGTCTTGCATCGGCTCCGTGACGCCAACACAAGCCACGCCCTCCTGTTTCCAGGCCTCGGCCGCGGCCGCCCTTCGACCATGGGCGTCTTCAGGCCGGGCCGAGCGAGGTCCATCTTCCTCGCCATGCTAGCTACCCTGCTCGTATGCACGGTGTATCTCTACTGGACTCCGACTACCGCCTCATCTACGGTCTCCGTGGTACCGAGCACAGCATTCGAAGTTCCTCTGGTCGAACGCCAAAAAGACTTTTGGAAAGCCTTCCATCCTCTCATCACCAAGTACGATCCTCTTTGCCCTCCGCCAACGAATCTGGGCAGTGCGCGCGCAGTCCATTTCAATCCCAATGAAAGTATCCCACGACCCGATCTATCCAGGGTGACGGAGGAGTGTTTGTGGCTATTGGAAGGAGCGCATGACCAATTTGTGAAAGAGATCACTCAACCGGCTCGAGACTTAAAGCCGGTTCACAGCCATACTCCGGGTACGCGAGGAATCGTAACCACGGCTGGTTCGACTTACATGCCAGTCGTGATCAACTCGCTGCGCATGCTTCGCCGCTCCGGGTCCACGCTTCCCGTCGAGGTATATATGAAAGATACCGAGGAGTGGGAGAAACGGATCTGTAATGAGGTGCTTCCGGAGATGAACGCAAAATGCTTGGTGATCGGTGACGTCGTGGGTAAGGAGCCCATCGCGCACTATCAACTCAAGATTTTCGCCATGCTCTTCTCCTCCTTTGAAGAAGTGATTTGGATGGACGCGGATTGTTTCCCGCTGCATAAACCCGAGGAGCTTCTGGACTCGGAGCCATATACTTCAACCGGCATGGTCACCTGGCCAGACTTCTGGTTCTCCTCGGCATCCCCTCTATACTACCAGGTCTCAAATCAGCCAGTTCCACCCATGACGAGCCGTCAGTCTACAGAAGCGGGTGTGATTCTCGTGTCTAAGAAGACCCATTTCACGCCTCTCTTACTTGCCGCCTATTACAATTTCCACGGTCCTTCCATGTACTTCCGACTTTTGACCCAGGGAGGCCCCGGAGAAGGAGACAAGGAGACATTCACCGCCGCTGCCGCAGCACTCCAAGCTCCTTACTATACGGTGAGTGAGAAAGTGCAGCCGATCGGGCATTTCGATTCGATCAAACACTCGGGATCTGCTATGGTTCAGTCAGATCCACGAGAGGATTACGCCCTTACCTCGCAGGGCAAATGGAGAATCAATGACCCATCGGTGGCACCTCCTCCCGCTATCTTCTTCATTCATGCGAACTTCCCCAAGTTCAATCCTGGAGACAATCTCTTCGGTATGGGCTGGGAGACCACCCCCACAATCGATGAAAATGGTACGGATGTGCGGGCATGGTCAGGTCCCCTTGACGTTGTCGACCGGTTCGGTTTCGATGCTGAAAAGGCCTTCTGGGAGGAGATCAAGTGGGTCACTTGCAAGTATGAAACCGTCTTTGAATCGTGGAAAGACAAGGCAGGCCTTTGTCGGAAGGTTGAGGACTACTGGAACAACGTCTTTGCGGAATCGCATGACGATGACCCGAAATTCACCCGAGAAGGTTGAGCCTTGTGCTCCGTTGATAATCGAAAACTCTGGTTGCCGAACTTCAAATACCAGGTGTGCCTGGTCGATGGTTGAAGTGCTCAGCCCCAACAGCAGTGCCTTCAAGTGAGCCCCCATTTTGATGGTTGGATCGAAGCTCGGGACAGCTGTGCTTTTCCTTTGGGCAGTGGGGCACCTCATTTGTCCTAGAGAGAATCACTTATCCACTACCTCCCAATATGGGCCTCTTCGAAGGGCACTGCATATATATGGGCTTGACCCATGCTGCACATTAATTATTTGCGTTTCCATGTCGCACATATGGCATCTAATACGAAAAGAGTGACGAGAAATACCTTAATATAAATGTCAAAATACCTCAAGTTTTTTACGATACGATGGTCTTTACGGTGGTCATACAAGTTGATTTCAATCATATCATTCAAGACCTCAACTATCAAAGCGAGGATTCAAATCGTTATATCGTACATGAATAACTTCCCCAAACGCCTTCCTGATCGAATCCGAGCAGACAATGCCAAACGGGGGTATGGAATTTTATAGCATCATCAAGCACCTTATTTCTTGATGCCCTTCTGGCGCAGACGCTCCTCATCTTCAGCCTGGAGCTCTGCGTCGATCTGGGCACCCTTGGAGGGGGCATTGCCGTGCATCTTGGCCTGTGAAGCAGTCATATTAGCATGTAGAATAAATAAATAATGAATCTGGATTGCAACATACGGGCTTGGTAGGATCCTGCTTGCTCAGCTCGGCCTCCTGATCGTACTCGTTGTTGTGGTGGTGAGAAGGGTCGTCCTTGCGACCCTGGGAAGCAAGCTTGTTGGCAATGGAACGCTCGTCCTTGGAGTCGAGGTTCTTGTGGCTGCCCTTCTGGCCCTCCTTGTAGGGGGTGGCCTGCTGCTCAGATCGGGGAGCGTTGCGCTGGTCACCGGCTTCGTAGATGGCACGGGAGCCGACAGAGGATTGGGCAGCGCTGGATGACATTATGTAAAGAGGAATTGAAAATTTGAAGGTATCAAAGCGGTTGGGAAGAGTTTGAGAGATGAGAATGTGAGTGAATTGAGTATGGTCGTAGCTGTCGTTGAAAGCGCTCGAACTTATACTTGATGGACGAGAGAAGACCGGTGATGTCACTCTGAAGTCACTGAGATCATATATGTGGGTCGAGAACCAGAATACTTCGACTTCGACGATCACTGCTTGATGGTCGTGTGCACTGGACCCTATTTTTTCTCTTCGGGTTTGCGTCAGGGCTCCTCTTTAATCAGGGTTGTTGGGGGGCGGTGACATCGTTGATGCACCGCTTCGATTCCATCGCTCCGCTTTGTATACTCCACTCGGCCTCTCATTTCATCAGTGGCAGTATTAGTTTTGGTGGTCATTGCGATAGTCAATTACTGAAAGAATTCTTCTATCACTGGAAACAAGCAGAGTCAAATTCCATTGAATTCTCCATATCCTTAGATGTGATTTTTTTTTTTTATATTACTTCGTGGTGTGGTATGTAGGGTCGAAGTGGTTGACCGCATTGAGGACCGGTGAGAGCTACCGTGGAGTAGGAGCAGATGGCCAAGTCAAACGAGTTTCTAATTCCTGCATATTCGACGCTATTCTCACATAGTGGATATCGCAATTGGATACGAATGGGGATTCAAATCATCATTGCCCCTAATGTACTCTATCCCATTCTTGCGCACGGCCCACTCCGGCCATCGGAGTCCATTACGACGATTATGCATACTGCAATCAATCAACATTGCCCCTGGTGCCCTGATCAAGTCTCCCCGATTTAGTAGGGAATCATTCCTCCCACCGATCAACCCCATCAAGCATACACCATCCGTATCTTACAGCACAAGGAGTCCACCCGCCGTCATGCCGGAAATCCAGCCCCGCTTCCAACAGCTATTCACAGAGCTGAAGAACCGCTTCAGCACCACCACCTTAGGCAGCGACAAGTGGTATATCCTTGCCACAGCCACTCTAGCCGCAAGCCCAGATCCTGAGCGTGCGGACCAGCTCTGCTTGTACCTCTGCAGCCAGCCAGAGTATGCGACCTCGCCCGCCCGCCAGGCACTAGTCCGCCGTCTCCGCGAAGCACTGATCAAAGCCGTCCCGATTGTCGGCGTCTGCAAGCCCATTGAAGCAATCCTTTCCATTAGCAAAGTTGAGCGCGATGAAGACAAAGATTATACATTCACGCGCGAAGGCTGGCAATGCGACCAGGCCAACCATGACCGCGGCACCGAATGGATGCAGAAGTTGTACTCGCGTAACACGGGTAGTACGTTGAATTTGTTTGCTGCGCACAAGGATTTCTCTTGGCTTTCGGAGGAGATTACCTATGGGCTGTTCTTGTCGGATCGTCAGGTGCTGGATGATGTGGATACTCAGCTAGTTGTGTTGCCGGGTATCATGAGCCAGAATCTGCCGAACGAGACGCACTGGCATATTCGTGGTACGAGGCGCTTGGGTCTTCCTCAGCAGGAGGTCCAGGTCATCTGGGACTGTGTGCAGCTTGTGGCGCAGTTCTTCGATGTCAAGTTGAATAAGGTGCCTACTGTTGAGCAGGTGGAGTATGATGTGTAGCATTCACATAGAGGACATTTAGCGTAGCATGTGGCATATCTACTATTTTCAGCAGATTCCTATCATCTCCAGATCTTGAATACTAAAGTTGGCGCCTAGTGACTGACAGTACTTGAGAGATCAACACAAAAGCACCCTTGCACGGTTGATGGCTATGTCGGGTATATATATTCGATTCGACTGGTTTGACCATGAACTCTGCTTGAGAATGTGCGTCGCCTTATGAGCAATACTAACTGGAGAGGTGATCGCAGCTTCAGTCGCTTTCAAAACTACACATTTCAAACTGGGTTGTACTTACTCATCTCTAATTGCTCAATACACGCAGAAAGCCGAACATCATAGATCGGGCCGATAAGAATCGATAAGGAAAAAGTTCGCAAGCGGCCGAGGGCGGAGCGCCGTCAAAAGTGTCTGTTTCGCTCGACCATTCAAGGAACACCAGAAATTACACAATCATGGGTAAACGCAAGCAGGATCTCGGTGACGTGCCCATGGGTGGTACCAAGGGCGACGATGAGTCCGACGATGTGAGCACCCCGCGCTGCACTTTGCCGGACAACCTCTAACCCGCTACAGGACGTTGAAATGGTCAATGTCGACTTTGAATGGTTCGATCCGCAGCCCGCTATCGATTTCCACGGCCTGAAGAACCTCCTCCGCCAGCTGTTCGACAATGACGCTCAAATGTTCGATTTGTCCGCTCTGGCCGACCTGATTCTCTCGCAGCCAACACTGGGCTCGACTGTCAAGACCGACGGTAACGAGTCGGATCCTTACGCTTTCCTGACGGTCTTGAACCTCCAAGAGCACAAGGTACATTGGATTGAACGTGACAATCTTGATGGTTCCCTGCTAAAATCCCTATAGGACAAGCCCGTCATCCAGGAATTGACCAAGTACATCAAGACCAAAGCCGCCGCCAACCCTGCCCTCTCCGCCCTTCACGAGCTCATTTCTCAGACCCCAGTGCCCCCAATCGGCCTAATTCTGACCGAGCGAGTAATCAACATGCCCTCCGAGGTCATTCCGCCGATGTACAACATGCTGCTTGAGGAGATGGCCTGGGCCATCCAGGATAATGAGCCGTACAACTTCTCGCACTATGTGATCATCTCGAAAAATTACCAGGAAGTCGAATCTAAGCTCGACCTCGAAGAGGCGAGGCCTCAAAAGAAAAGAAGAAGGCCGGCGAGACTGCTCAGCAATTCTTCTTCCACCCCGAGGACGAGGTGCTCCAGCGCAATGCCGTGTGCTCCGGTACCCTGGAATACACACACCAGCAGGATGACGGGCATTCCGACTCCAAGCGTGCATTCCAAGAAGTCGGTATCCGCACCAACGGGAGCTTGACCCTGATCGATGGATCCAAGTTCGAGGCTGCTGTCAAGGCAGTTACGGAGTACTTGAACCCACAGTGAAGGGATCATTGTTCATTACATTTCATGTCCCGTTTACGAAAAACCTTCTCTATATATATTTGGTTTCTTTTGCTTGCTTGCTCTAGTACCCTTCAAATCAGCGGCATGATTCCATAGATCCCCAAACCAAAAGTTCATAACTTCATGATATAAGTGCTGTTTACTCCCATTGGGTACCCTTGAGGCGCTGCATAAGATATTCGACCTCGACAACCTTGGTCAGAGGGATGACGCATTCCTATAATTGGTACATGTCAATAGCTGCCTTTCAAAGATCAATCCCTAGACAGTCAATTTCTTACCTTGTACATTGCGACCACAGCATCGATGTTGATCTTCAGACCCTTCTCCTCAGGAAATGCAGGATCAGTGCCATAAGTCTTAGCCTTCAGACCCAAACGCTCCAGAACCTTCCGCTCAACCTTTGCATCTGTAATTGCAGCATCAATGCCCTCCCGATCCTCAGCCTTGATCAAACGCACAAAAGTCTCGGGGTCTTTCCGGAACTTCGACTCAGCAACAAACTTGCCAAAGTGAATTCGGCGCGACAGCGCCTGCAAACAAGCAACATCGCACGTCGCCGCCGACCCGTAGTTCTCCTGGGTCTCGCCACGGTCTTCCCGACCGAACTTCGGGCACACAGCGGGTAGAATCTCGTCGATGTAGCGCTGCTTGATCACGTCATTGACGTTCACATCGTTGGGGTGCAGGATGCGCGGGTACTGCAGTGGTTGCAGAATCGGCTTCTCGAGCACATCAGGGAAAAAGGGGTATTCGTCAGGAGACTCGTAGCGACGCACACGCGATTGCAGGCGTTCTTGTTCGCGGAGGAGGTAGTCGGCGAGACTAAGCTCGCTGGAAGGAATTTTGACTCCGCCGGGAACATAGATGGTCTTGTTGAGGGGGAATTGGACTCGTTCGATCAAATGAAAGGTGATTGTGTCCTCTAGTCGACTAGTGATCTGATATGTTAGTAGCGGTTCTTATGAAATGTGCGTTCATATGTGCGAGCTCTGGTTGCTCCGATCGAAGTATCTCGCGGCGGGCATGCACCGCGGGGCCGCGGGGCATGACGAGGTAAAGGCTTGTCTTCTCAGGACTTGAAGATTGGAGAAAGCTCACATAAGCTGGAAGCGGATGTTGGCAAGGTCCAGTGCCTTGGATGCATCGGACAAATCAATAGCTGTGTCCATGGCTGTGGTGGTGAAGTTGAATGAGGAGAGAAGTAGCGGGTCTGCGATGTCGGGATCGACTTCTTGGGCGCCGCAGCCCTGCCGTTATTTATGTTGCACACCAGCAAGTGAAAGGTTTTCAAGGGGTGGTCATGCTTTCAATGTCTCTAATCGAGGCGATCTGCTCTCTTCACTGAATGTAAAAAGCCTATTTACTTTACAGAAACTCGTCTGTGCAGTATATCGGATCTTTGGTACTTGACCAGTACCAAGCTTCCTGCCGGGCACCCTACACAAGCTGGGGTACCAAATAGGTGAAAACACCCAAAGTGGAGGTACCTTGCACATTGCTAGGCTCTGGATCATAACAAAGTAAATAATGATATGTCAATTGAAAGCGAGACCGAGTCTCAGACTGTTTCGGAAGGTACCGTACATACCCGGGAACGCGGTAAATCATCGCGTGGACACATGACGATTACCTCTCTGCATCTACCGAGCTCCCTTCTCTCCAACACATGGGTCTTGGTTGAACCCTCCACAACTCCAGGCTATGGAGAATCACCGTCGCGATGATTCGCCTTCCGGTCTGTCCGATTATGCCGAGGGCGATGGCTTGCTAGGCACCGGCATCACGGTAAGCTTTTTTCGCCGCCCGCGACATGCCCCTCAACACCGCGGGCTAACACACCCGATATAGACCCGTCATCTAGAGGCATTTGGTCGAACGGTTACATCAACGGCTGGACACTTGATAGGACCGGCCGACCAGAACCAGCCGGCCCATTATCAGAATGCCATGACCGACATCCACCGCGAACTGCGCCGGCCGAAGGCGCAGCGCAATGTGTTCGCCCTTACCCAGACGACTCCGACCGATCTGATGCGATCTAGGTTGTCGACCACTGAGATCAGGTCTCGTGCCATCTCCTCTCTCCCCGACGAACTCCTCGCCGATATACCCGAAGACAACAGCTCCTACTCCTTGTTCCAAGGCTTCCAGGCCTCCATACCCGAAGAAGAACGTGGTCAAAAAAAGCACCGGAGGCGGCCATCTAAGGGTGGAAAACATCTCAAGGATAGCGAGAAAGCTGGAGCTTTGACAGCGGGACCGGCTGCGCTCAAGGAGGAGCGAAAAACGCTCAGTAAGAAGTTGGATCTGATGGGCGTTCGCAAGAACATGTGCAGCGCCGAGATTCATGAGATCGATAAGAAGATCGCCAATTTGCACAAGATGCGCCAAATCGTCCTCGATCGACTAGCGGGCTTGGAGATGGACGAGGCTGCATTGGAGCACGATCGTAGGTTACCCTACCACATATGTCATTGACAAGAGAACAGCAATTCTAACCTTCATCGTACAGTGACCGAACTCGACAACAAGCTTGAAGACCTACAGCCGGAGGAGACACCCGACACATCTGCCACAACCGAGACACCAAAGTCTTCTGAAGCCCCGGACGATTCAATCACTTCTGCCGGCGTCCCTGCCATGGACGCTTCGTTTATGTCGGAGTCGATATATGAGAAGTTGCCCACCCGTCGCCAAAAAGCTTAAGACATAGATCTATAAGTATGGAGCTCTGAATTCTCGCGGACTGGAGATGATCGCTTACAATGAAATCTAGGAAAACGTTCGATGCCGATTTTACACGAGCATTTCGCTCCAGGGTCATTGATCAAGGAAATCGAAGCGCATACCGATATGATCACTGCGATTGACTTCGACTTCCCCTTCGGCACTATGATCAGTGCCGCACTGGACGACACTGTACGAGTATGGGACATGAATGTTGGCCGATGCTCGGGCCTGCTCGAGGGTCACCACGCCTCAGTCCGATGCTTGCAGGTGGAAGATAACATTGTGGCGACGGGGTCTATGGATGCTTCCGTTAGACTTTGGGATTTGAGTCGCGCTCGGCCCACAACTCGTGATGGCCGCTTGAACAAGCACGAGCGTCACGAGCAGGAGGATGCCTTGGAGCATGCCTCCCCTGTGCCTCCCTCGTCCAACCTGGAAGACTGCCATGTGTTCACCCTGGACGCACACGTCGACGAAGTCACTGCCCTCCACTTCAAGGGCAACACACTCATCTCAGGCTCTGCAGACAAGACACTGCGACAATGGGATTTGGTCAAGGGACGATGCGTCCAGACACTTGACATTTTATGGGCCGCGACCCAAGCCTCGTCTACAACCACCATCGATGGGACTTGGCGCCCGTCGGGCCGTCTTCCAGACGCGTCTGCCGACTTCGTTGGAGCAGTCCAATGCTTTGACGCTGCCCTAGCCTGCGGAACGGCTGACGGTATGGTCCGCCTGTGGGATCTCCGCAGTGGTCAGGTTCACCGCAGCCTCGTGGGCCACACTGGCCCTGTGACCTGCCTGCAGTTTGACGACGTGCACCTTGTAACGGGCAGTCTGGACCGTAGTATTCGGATTTGGGACCTGCGCATGGGCTCCATCTACGATGCCTACGCATACGAGAAGCCCATCACCAGCATGATGTTCGACTCCAAGCGCATCGTAGCTGCTGCAGGCGAGAATGTGGTTAAGGTCTACGACAAGGCTGATGCCCACCACTGGGATTGCGGCCCCGGCGTTGGAATTGATGACGACGAGGGTCCAGCCCCTGCAATTGTGGAGCGCGTTCGCCTCAAGGACGGATATCTGGTGGAAGGCCGCAAGGACGGCACGCTGGCCGCCTGGACGTGTTAAATGCAATGTTACTATTCTCCCGCCCCTAGTACATCCTTGCACCGGCATTTCGCCACCTTCCCTCTCTCTCTTCCCCCCCCTCACCTGTGCCCTATGTATAGTATTTCATCTCATGTCTAGAGAGCTGGATGTAGCAAGCTGGCGCAAACGGAGTGACGGGACTTTGGAATCGCGATTCTTATGTGCAAGTCACCATGGTTCATGCACAATTCACTCGCTTGAAAAGAAAGCATTCAAACTGCATTCGTAGGGATCGTAGAAGAAAAAAACACATTGCCAAGAGACTTAAAAATAGCTGGAAAATAGGGACTCGACAAAGCGACAAAGAATGGTACCGTCGAGGGCCTGGAGGGTTGGGAACAAAGCGAGAATTAATTTCACCCGAAATGCAAACTGCAAGTTACTCATCTTTGTCACGGTGTGAGCATAGCAACTTCGAGATACTTAATCATAATGTTCTCCCCTCTTATGAAAGTGTAAGAAGTATGTAGTAATGAGGTTTGAAGGTGGAAGGTTAAAGGTTGACCAGATACGGCTCTGATTCGCGACGATCACGGCTCCACATCTTTTCTGCTCACGTTTCGCGCGTCTGCGCGTCTCGACACTGAGATTCAGGGTTCGTCTTTCAGACTCACTTCAACTCAACTGACATTATACCTTCTGCTTCAATCGTAAGTCTTTGTCACCTTCCGTCGCGGACCGTTCTTCGGAGACTCGGTGTCCCCTGCCAGGACCCCTTTTGGTGCTGGTACTCTGGGATGACTTATACCTCGTTACGACCATGCAGCTCGTTCAAGCTGCTTTTTAAACCGTGTCTAATACGATCGCAGCTCCTTGATTCCTGTGTGAAATTGTATTCACGAGCAGAGACTTCTGTCTGGTGACCAGAGCCTGTGTCAAGGCTCGGTCCTTCGCGACAGAGTGGTGTAAGTTCGAATTCCTACTTTTCCCTCCAAGATCCGTGCACTGCCCGAATCCCCTGTCATTCATTCTCTGGCATACCCATAAACTACTCTTATATACCCTCGATGTGCATGAACCTCAAAATCAGCCCTTTGTATTCCCTTCAACATTCCTGTCTGCAAAAGTCTCACCATCCTCGAATCGCTGGGCACTTGACTCCGCCGAGTTGCTCATCGTATCGCTCTGTAATGACTGCTTTTCTTCAAATTTGACTTTGGTCTGTTTTTTTTTTTAAGTCCGTCCCTTGATTTGAAGTTTTTACGGGTTGGCAGAGAGAACATAAGTGCGACATGAAATGAACCAAAAGAGCCACAACTAATGCGCGCAGATGCCTCGCAAAGCCGCGAGCAAACTCAGTAAGGGGTATTCTTATGCCTCTTCTGGAGACGAGTTCGAGACATTACTTGGTAACTCCCCAGGTGTAGCCTTACCTGCTGTTCCAATCGCAAACTCTTGGAATTATGGGGCCCAAACAACATCTGCTTTGCCCACGCAGACTCCAGTGGATCCAAACATCAGTCCGGCCCACATCGCCAAAAAGATTGAGGCAGGTATCCAGATTGCACAGAGACGAGATTCGCCAAGTCAACAAAGAAGAAATCCCGAAAGGCGGACTCGGCGAAAAAGGGAGCCAACCCCCGATCAAGCTCAGCTCCAGCAGGATCTTGACGGTTTCGCATCACCTACTCCTTCGCCTCCTGTCCGAAATTCAGTATCTACAGACTCAAGTTCTGGAGAGGAACCTCCACGTCAACGTCGCTTGTCAGTCATGTCGAACGAGCCATTGTATCCGTCACCGCTTCAGCGCGCTGGGGACCGTCTGAATGGTGCTTCTGTTCAGGAGTAGCCCGGATCGGGAAAGTTCGGTTGACAATGTATCTGAATTGTCATGGGATCTGGAGCGTGATATCCACGGGGATGATCTGCAACGAACACGGCCAAGCAAATACCGTGGTGAACGCCACGGCAAGAACATCACTAAGCCTCCTCGTCGTCCTTCTGGACTTGGCCTGGCCATGACCCAGGAAACAATTGAAGAGGAGGAAGAGCCTTCCTCGGAGGAGGAAGATGCAGCAGAATCAGATGCAGGAAAGGACGATGAAGAGGACAAGAAAGCCGAAGCAGTCGAGGAGGTTGCCGTGGAACAAGAGGCTGAGCCCGTTACCAGCTCGTGGACCGCACCCGTGCGGACGATTATTCCATCAATGTTCCGACGCTCTCAATCTGCTGAAGCCGGGTTTGAGATGAATTCACCCCAGCCGCCCAAGGACAGTCTTTCTCGACAATGGTTCCCATCAATCAGACCGACGAGTCGCGATGGCCAGCCCCATACCTCAATGCCAAAGCCGAATCGTACCAACTGGATCAGAGCTGGTCTCATCTTGTTGCTCTCGCTGGCTCTTGCATTTGCATTACAAGGGGGTCTTTGGGCTGCGCTTCCACATGACAAGATGTCGAAACTGCGCTGGCCTATTCCTTTCCGCCAACCCCGAATCAATCTACCTCCAAATATCACCGAATCCGAAATATTCCACGGTTTCACAGACCAGGTTTCAAAGATGAACTCTCAAATGTCATCCATGTCTCGCGAGCTCAGCAGTGTTCTGGCAGAGAATGCCAACGCCCCCCGTCCTACCGACATTCATGTCCCAGTCGTCGTGGGCCCGCGGCATCCACCCAGAATCAACTTCCTGTCCCCAGCCATGGGAGCGATAGTCGACCCAGCCAACACCGCCCCCACCGCAAGCGAAAACCATCCGTCCTACTTTAAGCGTGTGGTGATGAGAATGTTCCGGCTCGGGGCCAACTTTGGGCGAGGTCCTCTTCCTCCCGTGGCTGCTCTTTCACCATGGGAAGAAACAGGAGATTGCTGGTGCAGTACACCCCGTGAAGGAGTTACCCAGCTCGCGGTCCTACTTGGCCGTGACATCGTCCCTGAAGAGGTAATTGTCGAACACGTCCCCGCCGGCACTACCCTCCATCCAGACTCAGCTCCTAAGGAAATCGAAATGTGGGCGCGCTTCCGCGTCATTCCTCTAGACCAAGAAGATAACAATAATACCGAGCAATCTTGGTGGCCGTGGTCTTCAAAGAAAAAAATTCGGTCCGCGGAGCCCCCATCCGCCCGAGAAGCAGGACTCGGTGGCTATAATATTCCGGGCGAGAAATCGCTGCATGATGTGCTCATGAGCTCCCTTCGCATCTCCAACGCCTTTGAACCCGAAAGCAGCTACTCAGACGACCCTGTCCTCGGCGCGAACTTCTACCGCATTGGGAAGATGGAGTATGATATTCACCGCGAGAACAATATCCAGCGGTTCGCGCTTAACGCCATCGTTGATATTCCGACTGTCCGGGTGGACAAGGTGGTCTTCCGAGTCAAATCGAATTGGGGCTCGGATATTACTTGTATCTATCGCATTCGGCTGCATGGACATCTTTGATGTGAGATCCTTGGTGGTCCGTTACGATTTGCTCCTACGGAAGTGCTCTGTCGGAGGAGATAAGCGTGGTTTCGGGCGATACTTTGCATTTAGCGAGTTGTGGTGGCGTTTGAGGAATTCATATTGGTATTCGGATTGGATTGATTGGGTAGTTTGTAATCAATAGATATTTTAATGAAGGTTGAAAATTTGAAGCGGGCTATCCTGGTTCACTTGAGGTAGATTATCTGTCGAGGGAGCCCTACTTCGGTCGAAGTCTCGATACATGCCTGATGAATCAGGCGGCAGCAGCATTGGCCCGTCGGAGTTGAGAAGAAGAGGTGCAGAGAGGCCATGATTGGCATCTTTTTGCAAAAGGTCTCGTAGAGATAGATATATAGTGCAGAAGGAGGCCGTTCCAACCCAGTTGCTCGTGGATGCCTTCTCCCATTTCCGGACTCCACTCATTTCCCCCACCTCGACATGACGAAGGCGGACACCCGCCCTCCTCTCGGGACCTTCACCTCCCTCGGTCACGCGCCTTTCGTGCAGCCATCCTCGTACCTTCTCCCTCCAATGACCTCCCAACCCGAGAGACCAATCGATCGGGAAGAGCGACATGGCCTGGTCAGTTTGCTTCCTTGACCCGTCTTAGGTGACGGGGGGGGAAATCCACGAACTCTCCCCGTGTCCCCCCCCCCTCCTCGCGGCTCGTGGTTCATATCCAGATTTCGACTAACTCAGCCTCACAGCGTGCCATTCGTAACTTCCTGAAGGTGCGCACCAGTTACGACGTCCTCCCTCTCAGTTTCCGACTCATCATCTTCGACACCTCGCTTTCCGTCAAGGAAAGCTTGAACATTCTCATTCAAAATGGCACGACTCCCTTCGTGAACGCAGAAACCGTCGGCTGACTGGGCAATCGGGAAGTACAGGCATCGTTTCAGCCCCGTTGTGGGACTCCAAAGCGTCCAAGTTCGCGGGTCTTCTGACCACCTCCGACTACATCAACGTCATCCAATACTGCTTCCAGAACCCCGCCGCCCTTGATCAGATTGACCAATTCCGGCTAGACAGCCTTCGCGGTGCGTTCACAACTTTCCTCCTGCGTAGGGACCGTTCCTTATTGACCTGAGAATCGGAGTGAACAGACGTCGAGAAAGCCCTAGGCGTTGCGCCGCCCGAGACCATCTCCATTGACCCCGAGAGACCTTTGTACGAAGCCTGTCGACGTATGCTCGAGTCTCGCGCGCGCAGAATCCCCCTCGTCACGAACGATAGTCAAACCGATCGATCTCATGTGCTCAGTGTGATTACGCAGTACCGCATTCTCAAGTTCGTCGCTGTCAATGTGAACGATACGCAGAAGCTGCGCCGTCCGCTCGGTGAGCTGTTGATTGGAACATATGATAATATCGCCACGGCCTCCATGGACACGCCTGTTATTGACGTGATTCACATTCTGGTCGAGCGCAGCATATCCAGCGTGCCTATCTTGAACTCGGAGGGTAGGCGCCATTTTCCCTTTCCAAGATAACCGGGGGAAATTTCACTAATCTGCGTCTGTTCTAGGTGTTGTGTACAATGTATTCGAGTCAGTTGATGTCATTGCGCTCATTCGGGGCGGTGTCTACGATGATTTGAGCCTCACGGTGGGAGAGGTTCTCAAGAAGCGTTCGCCGGTAAGTTGCAGGTAATAGCCATTTCACTGGGCTACAAGCTAACTCATTCACCGCAGGAATTCCCGGGGATCTACACCTGCTCGCTGAATGACGGACTGGACACGATCTTCGACACCATTCGCAAGTCTCGCGTTCACCGCTTAGTGGTTGTGGATGAGTACTTTAAGCTCAAGGGTGTTCTCACCTTGAGTGATATCCTCCAGTACATCCTCCTCGAGGGAGAAACCGAAGAATGACCTCCTACGAAAGCATTGCGCATAGGTCGGACCGGGTGGTCCACTGCGAAGAAAATGACGAAGTATGATCAAGTCTGGCTTGGGTCTTCTACCAACTATACATATTCCCGAGGTTTTGCATGATACCGGCGTTTGCGATTCTATATTTGTTTACCCCAAAGCTGAAAATACCCGACGGGCTCTGCTACTTTGTGGGTTGTTGTTTGTACAAAGGTAATATGGCCCCTGAAAGCCTCAGCCTCGGGCACACGGCACAAATAGATCTCCTTGAACTATGTGATACTCTTTAGCCATATGCTCGGTTCAATTGATCTAGGCGAAACTCAATACCAATGCGACAACTTGGAAGTTGCGCGTAGACCGCAGCTTCTCTTTTCGATGCGCTTTCCCATACATGCAACCTTCGAGTCCCGCTGTGTTTGTGTTTCTCTTTCTGCAATGACTTGACCTAAGATCCAGATCGCGCCTCCATTCTTATTACCATGCCGTTTCTTAAAAAGCTATTTCGTCCGTCCAGTGCTCCCCAAGCTACCCGTTCGACTCGTCGCGCCTGGCCCCTATTGCGGCTTTCGAGAAGCGCACCGCTGCCAAACCAGCCTGGGCACAATGTGAACAGCATTGATGAGCCAGGGTGGTCTCTGATCGACCACGAAGAAACGTCCACTTCGCTTGCTGGCAATGCAACATCGAGCTCAGCTGACGATCATATCTCGCCTTCCCATACTGAATTCAATGCGCAAATTAGTATCAGCGCGGCATCTGCTCACAGGAGCAGTGATTCTAATGAAGTTTCCCGGTCTCAGCATGGCTCCAAGCGCCTCAAGAACTTTGTGCACCGCCTGCGCGGAAGCAAATATCAAGAACGAGTTTCTGTGCTGTCGATGAGGGAAGCTCTTCAGCAGACTGGGCCTGGCGATGACGGGCCCCAGGCGACCACCGATCCTGTCAAGAGAGACCTGAATCCTTCAAATACCCCACTTGATCTCGAAGGCACAGAGACAAACCGCCATGTCAGCGCCCAGACAGCTGACTCCCATGAATCCAAGGACACTGCCTTGACCGTTCGTCGATACCCATCCCAGATCCCTCTCCAGGAACTGGAAGAAGGCTGGCTGAAGAACGTGATGAACTTCCACCCGCACTCTGACGGATCAGAGCATGCATCACATTGCTCCTTCTCGGAGCATCCTTCCCCGGGATTCCCTCTTTCAGACTACCCCGTCCTGGAGCAGCATCCGCCCCACCCCCTCTCAGAGCACCCTCTTGCAGCATCGGATCCTTTCTCTGATGGCAAAGCTACGGAAAGCTCGTTCCCAAGCCGTGAGTCCTCCAAATACAGCGACAAACATGGGGCAAGGTCGGTTGGGAATTCGCTGGAACAACTGGAATCCGCGAAAACCAAGAGCACACTAAATCCATCAACCAAGTCGCATGCCGGCACACGTCAGGCTTCTACGCAAAGTCATGCCTCCGCTGCCAGTCAAGCCAGTCGAGGCAGTCGACTGAGCCACCTCGACCCAACAAAGGCGAGTGTCGCATTCAATGCACTGACTGCGGAGTTGAATCTTCAGTTTCATATTCATCCTGCTGTTGCTGAGGACATTAATCCTGGCTGTGAGTCAATCCAACCTGCTGTTACGAGTCATACCTGACAAATGTCTATAGCCGACGCTGACGAGAAGCCAAGAGCAGACGAGGAGAACGTATCCCGCCGACACCGATTGTTTCATCGAGTTCGCCCCGTGCAGTCGAGCCTGACCCTGGAAGTTGATTCTCAGCCGCGGGCCCCGAGACTTCGACGAGCCAGGACATTTGCTAGCCTCGGACGCCGGACCGATCCCATGAGTTCTCTGCAAGGCCGATCTATCGAGACTCTGGCGCGTTTGGGAGGCCATAGCTTTATCGTTCTGCCTTCACACCTGGCACCTTCTCCGCTGCAGCTACCTGCATGTATTGTGATGTGCGTGATGTACTTGCGAAAACGAGGTTTGCGATCGACCAGTTCTACGTCATGATGTGGCCAATTAACTCCGGTTCCTGCAGGTGCCAGTACTTCGGCCAGGCTTTTCCTCGACCCGGGAAACATCAAGAGGGCCATCGGCCTGTACGACGAATTTGCCAAGCATGTTCTCTCCGCCGAGAAAGACAACAGTCAGATCGCCCTCACCATGCGTGTGATCACCATGCCCCCAAATGAAACCGACGCCTCGCCGCACTATGCACTGGTCGTGGCCTGGGCGCTCAAGGCCTTGCTGGAAGGACTGCCAGGCGGCATTCTCGGCTCTGCTCGACTCTACGAGGCTCTGAAATCTATTTATTTTTCCGAAACCTCTACAAGTCATCGAGTGCGTCTGATCTCGCTCGCTATTATCGCGCTGACTAGCGAGATGCAATGTGCGCTCATCTGCGCAATTTTCGGACTGCTCACTGGTATGCTCCAAGAGATGAGTCGCCTCGCACAGCAGGAACTCTCCGGGAATGTCCCCCGGCCGATGGCAAGCGTGACTGATGCCGATCGGCTGGGCCGGGTATTCGGTCCGCTGCTGATAGGAAGGAACATTCGAGATACTGGACAGGAGAAAGTGGAACGGGAGATCGAGGAGCAACGTGTGGCGGGGCTGCTCCTTGAACATTGGAGCGGCGTAAGCCGGAAGATGCGTGAATGGGCTCGCGGACCAGGCCATCGGGGCTGAGATTCATGCGGGTTATTTATCTTTACTATGATGAAGGCAGAGACTCTGTAACAATTCCCATTGGGGAAATGTTATGTTTAAGCTACAGAGCTGGGCATAGCTCTCTCAACCAAGTGTATACATACTGCCAGACCCGGTGCCCCTCTTTTTTTCTCCACTTTGCCCACTTCTATCTCCCAACCCGGTTTAGATCCTCGTCTAGACCTTCATGACTGGGCGGCTTGAGATCCCGTATTCATGGTGTCTCTCCTCAGTGATGTCAGGACCGTAGACTCTAGCTTCACTTTTAACAAGATGTGCCTTGGTGCTGGGGATGGCAGATCAACCGTGGCTGGCCTTGGTATTAAGTATGCCACTCGTCCTGTACAATCAGCTCAGCCTGACTCTGTGCCACCGGATTCCAAACCGCGTTCTGCACGGGCATTCGTTCGGAACTGCTGGACCGCTGGAAGTCTTGTCCGACCGTGGCTCCCACCGACCGATACCTGGGCCTACACTTCTTCAGGCACCGGCCGACTCATCGACCGTGGTTCTCCTCTTCTGTTTTGCCCAAACCCTGAGTCAAAAAGTCAGGTCTGTAACGAGACTCCATGATTGGGGGGAGGTGAACTGAGCTGTACCTGGCCTGATCACCGAAACAAAGACTTGCCAAAAACTACCAAACTACCTAAATTTCAAAAGGCTACCAAGGCTCCCAAGGCAAGGAAGCTACTCAATCCGAGAGACAAAGTCCCAGCTTCGCGACTGTTGCACCTTCCTCCATTTGAAACCCTGCCATGTCAACGGGGAATTTGAACCTGCCGAGCGGCCTTCACCTCCCCGACACTGGAAGCACTGTCGGACCCTCCCCTTTCACAGCGCCAAACGCCTTCTCCGGCGAGTTTCTGGGATTGCCAATCAACGAAGACGAACCACAATTCTGGGGCCTCAGTCCCATCTCTCCAACAATGGGCATGGCATGGGATACCAAACCCGATGCAACGGCCTTTGCCAGCTCAACCCTCGAACGAGACCTCAAGAATGCTCAGGTCCGCAATGGTCAACCTACACCGCCCCCCTACGACGACCACGCCCGCGACTTATCTAGCCTCGAATTCGAGAGCGCCAGCAAGCGCCGCCGCCTGTGCGAGTCCAAAACCGCAGCAGATAGTCTGAGCCCAGACCTCGACGACCTCCCTCCTCAAGAGCGAGCGAAACGGGCCAAGTTCCTCGAGCGCAATCGTCTCGCGGCGAGCAAGTGTCGACAGAAGAAGAAAGAGCATACACAGAAGCTGGAGTATCGCTTTAAAGAACAGTCGGAGAAAAAAGAGCGATTGCAGGGAGAAATCGCTAGTCTGCGGTCACAGATCCTGAGCCTCAAGAATGAAGTCCTGAAGCATGCCCAGTGCGGCGATGAGCCCATTAAGCTTCATCTTGCACAGATGGTGAAGAAGATCACTGATAGCGACGGCCCGCCCCCGGCCCCAGCGCCCGCCCCAGCTCCAGTGGACCCACCACTCAATATCGTGGACCACATCCCCGTCTCGCCGCCCCGAGCTCCTCCCACGCTTCCACCGACCAAAACACCGATGACCAGCCAGGCTGCAACAACTTCGAATCTCTCTTTCGGATTCGATCCACTGCAGCTGGAACCCGCTGCGGTGGCAGCGGCAGAGGCCTTTGAACAACAGCTTCGTCGTAATTCAGAGGCATCGCTAGTTTCCGAGTCCTCGTACACCTTTTCGGCAGACGATACCTTCGATGATCTGATCAACGTTTAACATGATAATGAATGGGAGATGTGCGTCGGATGGAGATGGCTTCTGTCGGAGTGATGGACAAAACGTCACCCAAAAAAGAAAAAGCTTACCCGGATGGAAACTTTCGTTTTGCAACTTTTTTACTTGCGATCCAGTCGGAATGGCTGGAGGGTGTTCGGAGTTTATAAAGGTGGCAATTGATAGCTAATGCGAGTTCATTGGACTTGGCGGTCTTTCTTTCTCCATTTGCTTCCATGCGTGGTAGAGTGAGTAGGTCTTGAAATGGGTGTCATCACTTTCACATTCATTCGATTGTTTCTTGTCTATTCCTCTGGAGAACCTCTGGAGAACCTCTAGTGCTTCAGCAATATCCCGGAATATTCATAGCCCTGTAGCGTATTGTATGCTTCCATTGGGAGAGAGGAGAATTGTTTACCAAGAGCAGGAGCACCTTATCCTTGAGGAACCTGACGATATTGTGCTCATGCAGGTATCCTTGACTTATCCATACCTAGGTACCTTTTTAAACACGTCTCACTCCTCTGTGCAGTATAGTCCTAACTTGATGTACCGGAGTCAGGTCCGTCCAGCGGTCGACTCGAGGTGAGCGGTATACTTGTTCGCGGTATCTACAGTGTCTGCCGTCTCCATGCGGTCCAGATCATCTTGCTCATTCGAGCCCGTGGCCACATTCAGGTCAGAACTCTTCCGGCTATGTTCACTATCCGGATCAATGCCATCGAACAGATCGTTGATCTCCTCGAGCGTCTTTCCGGCAGTCTCCTTGAGACAGAGGAAAGTAAACGCCACAATGAGAATATCAAGCACTCCGAACAATAGGAACGTCCCCCACCCAATACTAGCCATGATATAAGGCGTCGAGAAGCTCCAAACAAAGTTGAACAACCACTGCGATCCAACACCAAGGGCAACACCAGGCTCCCGGGTTCGTGTCGGGAAGATCTCACTAGTGCATGGCCACGGCAGTGGGCCCCAGCTAAAGTTATACGCGATGATATTGAGATAGATCAGCGCGATGGTCACAATGCCGGCCGAACTAACGACTCCATCTTGTGGCGGATAGGTTTTAACAACACCCGCCGTGGCAAGCATACAAATGGCCATGAATGAAGCCCCTGCAGCCAGCACCGGGCGCCGTCCGAATCGATCGGACATGAAAAGCACAAAGATCAGACAAGCTGCCACCTTGATAGCGCCAAAGATACCCGTCAGCAGTAGGTTCTGGTCCCCTGGCCCGACGAGCAGGGAAAAGAATTGCGGACCGAAATAAGCCAGTGCCGTCGAGCCCGTTGATTGCTGCGCTAAGAAGAGACCGGCACCGAGAAGCAGACGGTGCATGTTCGGCCATTCAAGGAGTTCACGGGGTCTGAAGCCCGCTGTAGCGTGGCGCTCTTCTTCGAGGCCCCGGCGCATCTCGGCAAATTCATCGCTTACGGCGGGACCATCACCGGCTCGGATCCAGACTAGACTGCGCCATGCTTCATCTGTTTTGCCGTGTGCTAGGAGCCAGCGGACACTTTCGTCGAGCGTGAACATTCCCAGACCCATTAATGCACCAGGGACGAGTTGGAGTCCAACAGGGAGCTGCCATTGGGTAGCGGTGGAAGGCATGGATTTGACGCCGTAGTCTATCCAGTAAGAGACTAGGATTCCAATAGTGTAGGTGAGCTGGTAACAGCTACCCAGTTGGCCGCGGATTTCTTTCGGGCTCATCTCGGACATGTAGATTGGGATGACGGTTGCTGAGCCGCCGACGCCGAGTCCACAGACTACTCGACCGACGTAGAAGAGTGGTAGCGAATGGGCATCTATGATCTCTAGGATAACGCCGATACAGAAGACCACAGAGCAGGACATCATGGCGATCTTGCGACCCCAGTGGTTGGTAACAGGCCAGATGATGAAACAGCCGGCGAGGGCGCCGGCTTGTTGGATGCCGACGGCGATGGAGCTTACGCTAGTTTCATTTGCGCTGCTGAATTCAAATGACGATTGGAATGATTTGAAGGTGAGCACACCACCTTGATTGGGTTAGGATGAAGTCAACTGATGTATGAAGTGCACTCTACCGATAACACCAGAGTCATATCCAAATAGTGCACCGCCGCAGCATAACACGACAGCTAGCCAATATGTGCGCCACCGAGCCTTGGAGAGACGTAACGGCTCCATTCCGAGATCGAGCTGATCCAATTGATTTTCGTCGTAGGCCTGAGGAAGCTGGGAGTATGAAGCAATTGAAGTCGAAGTACCGTTCCACCAGCTATCCAAGCGAGCCCGCCAAGTAGAGACAATGGGTCCAGGAGTTGGAGCGAGGGTGGCGGTTCCTGATGGACCAGCGCTCACATTGTCCGACATAATTGCGGAGAAGAGAGAATCGAGCTAGCTCATCTGAGAGGAATGGATAGGCACTGTCGAAGTATAGCGACTCCTCGAACGTCTGGTTCACGCTGGTTCTGCTTCTGTTGATTCTCCGGATTTGCATGTATTATGTCATGGACTGCCGACAGCCGATGCGCAATGAGGTGGCTGGATCACGCAATCTTGTCATGTATTGTGTTAGTGTGGTATAAGACTTGAGACTTGTGACAATTATACACCATTATGGACTGTGGTTCTTTGGACTCACGAAGATGATCGTGGCCTTTTTTCCCAGCATGGAATCCAGGGCTCCCGCGAATCAGCTGAGGTCTTTACATAGTGGAACGACAATACCGGCACTCAACACACGTTGCGATAGCTTCCCCGCATGTAATATTACAGCCGATTACATGACCGATTGAATCCACATGGCGCGTGTTGGCGCCTTCTCGTTATCCACTCAGGAATGTACTCAACTGCTTCCTGGCCAATCTGTAGCCGACAGCCGACTAGCGATTCATGCCAACAGAGCACGATATGGAGGTGCCTTAGCTATAGAGATCGGGAGTAACTCCGATGTTGGTCGGCGGGGATATAAGACTCGCGTGCAGTTACCCCTCCTTGAATTCCCTTGTTCATTCTCTTTTCTCAATCAGTGTCAATTCTTTGCCCGTGTTGATCATGGCCAAACGTCCTAATTTCCTTGTCATCGTCGCCGATGACCTTGGTTTCTCCGACGTGGGCTGCTTCGGCGGCGAGATTCGCACGCCCAACATTGACAACATTGCGAAGGAGGGTTTACGATTCACAGATTTCCACGCTGCGGCGGCATGCTCGTAAGTTACGTTGAATGAAACGGGACTTGAAATCACAAAGTTAATCGTCCAACTCCAAAACTAGACCGACCCGCGCCATGATTATGACCGGTACAGACCATCACATCGCCGGTCTGGGTAACCTGATTGAATGGACCAATATCTCCGGCCAGAACGGTCCCAAGGGCTCCGCTATGAGTACAGCTCCCCAGCGTGGTATGCCTGGCTACGAGGGATACCTGAATGAGCGCGTAGTAGCTCTGCCCGAGGTGCTGCGTGATGCAGGCTATCACACAGTGATGTCGGGTAAATGGCACTTGGGATTGACACCGGAGCGATCACCTCACAAGCGTGGGTTTGTGCGATCGTTCGCCCACTTGCCCGCCTGCTCAAACCACTATGCTTACGAGCCGGAGCTGCGTGACAAGGACCAGATTCCTACCTTCATTGAGGCTTCATATATTGCTCTACATATGGAAGATGGCGAATATGTACGCAAGCTCCCCGAGGGTTGGTACTCGTCTGATGGATATGGCGATAAAATGGTTGATTACCTGAAAGAATGGAAGGAAAGCGGTGGTAGCGAAGGTCCTGATGGTAAAGGAGACCGCCCTTTCTTTGCATACTTGCCCTTTACGGCGCCCCACTGGCCTCTTCAGGCACCTAAGGAATACATCGATCACTACCGTGGTGTTTACGACGAAGGTCCCGATGTTCTGCGTGAAAAACGTCTGCAGCGCCTGAAGGAACTGGGTATGATCAGCGAGGACGTCGAGCCTCACGAGGTGAACGCCGAAGAGGTCAAGTCCTGGAACGAGTTCACATCTGAGGAGAAGAAGAAGTCCACCACAGCCATGGAGGTTTTCGCCGGAATGGTCGAGTGTATTGATACCAACGTCGGTAAGGTGGTTGATTACCTGCGATCAATTGACGAGCTGGACAACACGTTTGTCTGTTTCATGTCCGACAACGGTGCCGAGGGCGCCGCTTATGAGGCCTACCCCATGGTGCAGAACGGTGTGATGCCGCATCTGCAAAAGTACTATGACAACAGTCTCGAGAACCTCGGCGCCGGCAACTCTTTCATCTGGTATGGTCCGCGCTGGGCGCAGGCCGCCACCGCTCCCTCGCGTCTGTACAAAGCCTACACCACTGAAGGTGGCGTCCGCGTCCCATTCACCTGTCGCTTCCCTAAGAACATGAATATCCAGCCCGGCGACGCAACTGCCGCTGCCGGCGGCATTACCGACCAATTCTCGACCGTCATGGACCTTGCACCTTCCATCTTAGACATGGCTGGCGTCAAGCATCCAGCGCCAAATTACCAAGGCCGCGAAGTCGTTTCCATGCGTGGTGTCAGCTTCCACCCGTGGGCCACCGGCGAAGCGGAGCGCATCCATCCGAAGGACTTCATCCAAGGCTGGGAGACCTGCGGCCGAGCCGCACTTCGCTGTGGTGACTGGAAGATCGTCTTCATTCCCAAGCCCAAAGGCCCCGAGAAGTGGCAATTGTACAACCTTGTCAAGGACCCTGGCGAAGTGCACGATCTTGCTGATGCCCATCCTGAGCATCTCAAGAGACTTCTCAAGCTTTGGGATCAGTACGTTCTTGAGACTGGCGTTATACCTCTGTGTCCTGATCTCGGTGATTTCTTGGAAGCTACCGAGGCCCAAATGCCCGAGAATGCCTGGATGGAGTTTGATTACTGGAAGGATGGGGCAAGAGATACGCCTGAGAAGTTCACACGCGAGCCACCGCGCTTCCAGCGTACTGAGAGGCCTTTCTAGGATTCCAAGGCTGGGACGCTGGCCCAGGTCGTTGATATTGTGGTTGGTGTATTGATACCTGGCATGATTTATGATATCATGAGAAAATAGAACTTGACTTTCTTCTCCGTACTGTTCTAACTGTACTCATGATTCGCTTTGATCTTCCAAGTAAGCCTGCGTTCGCTAGCTACATGCATTATAGCTTGCGGCCCTGGAATTCAGATCGAACGTCTCTGCATTAATACTGCACATGGATAGTATAAGATTCTCTAACGATCAAAAGCTATATCATGACGAAAAAGTCTGGGAAGAGCTCTCGCCGCACAAATCGTGAGTCTGCCCATGTGCGCGAGGCATCCTGTCGGCGTGTCATTTCCTCTAACAATATCATGACCTTATCCGCAGCTGGGTGACGAGTCATCGAGGCAGAGGGTTCAGTGTCTTCGGTAGCCGCCATGCGCTGCATTTCTTGTACAATCCACTGGCGTTGCTCAGGTGAGCCTTCTAGACCGGCAACGAATAAAGGCCATAGGAAGCTAACGGGAAGATGAATAGTACCTGCTTCTGCAGACTCGACGGTGGCTAGGTGGATGATCTGATCGACGGCACCGTTGACGCGATCTGTACGGGGGTAAATGGCAAATGCAACTCGATGCAAGTAGATAAAATTTGCGAGAAAGTTGACCACGTATTGCCTGAATGTGCGGCATACTTCGCGGGCCATGGGAGCGCAGAGCGTGTCGGTCAATGCTTCTGGTTGTTCATATACATCAATCACAGATGGCCGTTGATGCCATAGTGCTTCGAGATCTGCACCAACTTTATGGGCTATTTGGAGGACTTCGAACTCATCGCTAAGTGTGCCACGACTGCGATGGTGTAGATCTATGCAGACTATTCGTCGTACGACTTGTTGTGCCTGCACAAAGAAACGGAAAGCTGGGCCCACGATCGCCTCGTGGATCAGATAGCTGGGGCTGCGGAATAGGTCTTCGGTCTTATCATCATCGGTCAAAGGTATTCGAGACGATTGGGGGGGGTTTGGTCTCGGAAGGCTGAGTGGTCGATGATTTATTGCCCGACAAATTGCCAAGTTCAGGTAAAGGGTCACCTTCACGGCCTGCGATCAATGCTTTGACATCGAGAAGGGATATCCATGACACTAGTAGATTTCCAAGTCCCGTCCAATGTCGCGTACGATCGTTGAACCGTTGTAATAGAAGATATGATGAATGGAGAAAGGATGTGCTTGGCGAAAACAACTCGGGAGAAGAGGAGAGCTAGATCGAAAGCTTGTGAGCTGACAGCACTTCGAGACGGAGAAACCCACACCTTACCTCGGATAACATCAGGAAAAACACAGTCGCAAAGGCCTTGACCAGAGTCGAGTCATTCACATCTCCAAGTAAGCAAGCCTGCATTTCAGAACTAGCAACTCGGTAATATGTGGGAGCCCAGCGCCAGCGCTTTCCCTCCAACAGAGCTTTATGAACATCTGAATAGCATTGCAACGCATTCAGCAGGGGACTAAAGTCTTGTGCATGGACCAGCACGGAAGGCCGTACGTACTTCCATTCCATCGAAACAGGTCCAAAGATAGCCGCCGGAGGGTCCATGGCTAGAAAATGCTGAAGCAACTGCTCTTCATATGTAATACTACCGGGGTCGGACCAACTCCCACGTGTAGTGGCAGCGTCCGAAGTGCTCCCAATCGACATTCCGTCCGCTAGCGACGATGTACCGTCAGGACTGAGAGGCGTGCGTGTTTCAGCAGTAATCTGCCCATCATCCGTGACACTCGTAGTCATGCTTGCAGATAGTGACTGTGTGGACGGCGTGGTCGTGAACGCCGACAACCCGCTTGTCAAGTCGAGATGTTTCTGCTCCAACTCCGATGTAATCCCTCCCATAAACCCAAGCATATCAAATGGGCCCCCCTAGTTCGGTCGGGTATGACTCTGTGTCGCCGAGCGATCGTCGTATCGACGATGTAGGTGCGGGAATGACCCGGTGTTGGTTGTCCGAGCGAAGCACAGTTCCGAAGAAGTTCAGATCCGGCGAGCGCTGCGACGCAGCCGCGACTGCAGACGCCGCCGTAGCAGGGCCCAAGGCAGGCGTGGGAGCCGTCTGTGTCATACGATGCGCAAGCGTTGCAGGCGACTCAACAGAGCGATGAGACGAAGCCCAGGAACCCAGCGCAATGGGCGGTTTGTAGACGCATCGCAAACGCAGTCGATCGCAGTTGGCGCAGCTTGGTTTGGTCTCGTCGCAGCGCACTTTACGAGCTCTGCATGTCAAGCAGCCCGTCCGGCGACGGGGGCCTGACCGACCTGCTCCCCGGGCTTTGGGCACCTATGAGCGCAGCGCATGCGTTAGTCTGGGCAGGTACAATGTACTGAGTGATCGGTCTTCAGATACCTCCATGATCGAACTCGGCCCTGGGGGCGTGGGGCATAGTCGACAGTGACTTCTCGACGTGTGCGTGGCTCGCCTTCCCCGCAATTGCGAACCACGACTTGCGGATAGTGGAGAGCTCGGGGCTCGGCTTTCACACGATTTATATGGTCGAATATGGTCGAATGCGGCACTTCGTCTGTCAAAAAAAAGTACCTTATTGATTGTCCTTCTGGCCCTCTGAATCCAATGCTGCCAACTATATACAATACTTGGGGCTCCTAAATCGAGTCAGGAACCATTCAGGTACGCTCATGTACCTTACGCTGCCGACTCAACCCGTCGGTATACCACCTTGTCGCCTCCTAAGCACTTGGATCTGTGCAAAAGATGACCACGTTCTTTGCGCACATACGCTGCGAAGCATATGGCAGCCAGCGCAACTGCTCCGTTGCTAATCATCACTGGATACTGGAATTGGCTCGGCAGATGAAAGACTATAGTAGACGCAAAAGAGAGCATCTCAAAGATATTCTGCAGTGCCATCTCAGTGGCAGAAAAACGTGCCCGAGCATGTTCCGGGACATTCTGTAGATCGCACGTCAGTCTTGGTTCAGATACGCGAAGAAATGAATGACTTACATCCTGCACCAGAAACTGTACCGACAAATCAAAGCCCCAAAGACCAATTCGGCTCAAAGCGACGCCTACAACCAAGCTGCCTGCAACTAATTTGAAGCTCGAGTCCCAAATCAGAAAGGTAGCTGTCACGCCAGCGACACAGCAAAGCTGCCAGTTCAGGAACCACAGTCCAGATCGGATGGGTCCAATCTTGTTCATAATCAGTGGCGCAGTCCAAGTACCCGATAGCTCGGCTGCCACAGATCCAATACGCATGAAACTGACCTCCAGCGAACTGAATCCGCTTTCGAGAAGGTATGTGACCATTGTAGCGCCAAAAGAGAGCACTGTAAGGTAAAGCAGGCTTAATGCGAACGACGCGAGGAACACAGGACTTCCGATATACTCGAAACATGGCTCAGATACCTTTCGCAAGTGATTTAAAATGCTTTGACGTTGCTGGGAGTGATCCCTCGTGGCTTCGTCAGTGTCATCTCCGCGGAGCACGGGCGTGGCCCTCTTCAAGGCGGGGACTGATTGATAAACCTGGGCAATGGCAAAATACTCGATCAGGACTGATGCCATGTTCAGACCAAAGATTGTCCAAATGGCGACTTGAGTAGAGTAGCTTTGGACAAATGAGATGAACAGAGGTCCAAGTAACTTGCAAAAGAGATCGATTCGCCTCATCGATGCATTGAGGTCTGTAGTCGTTGCCATTAGAAGAAGTGGAATATGTGGTTTTTTCAACTAGTCTCACCTTGCCGAGGCTCATTAATACTCTCAGAAATGACTATAGCCTAGTGGTGTGTTGACATTAGCAAAACCCGATACCGTCGTGCTGTGCCCACATACCCAATCTCTCTCCACGGCCACAGTGTTAGCTGTGGAAGCCAACTTCTCTAGACAGGCCAGAAAGCCAACCACAACAAATAAAAGAGACGTAGTGATCCATGAGTCCGTACATCTCAGAAGAACGACAAAGCACAAGCAAGACGCCGCAACGGGGACTCTCTGCCATACTGTAATCGGTTAATTAGCAGTTTCTCTTGTCCTTGTCCACACCCTAGCACATACCAATTGAATGTCTCACGGCTACTAGGCGATCAAGACTGTCCACTCGTGCACCAAGCCAAGATGATAGCGCAACAGCCGATAGAGCCCGAACGAGGGCATATATCGACGCGTAAAGCAGGGTGCCGGGAAAGATAGACGCCAGAAAGAGCACCGCGCCGAATTCGAACATCCGGGAGTTCCATGCTGAGAGAGTATGCGAAATATACAGTCGCATTAATACAGATCGAGATCCTGTGGCTGAGCCGTCAGGTACGAGTGCGGCATCGTCTGCAGAGGACAAGGGTGGTTCGGACTGGTGAGAGTCGTTCTCGGGTATCCGACTTGGCCCCGAGAGCCTCTCCTCAGCATACATATTGCTCTTTCAGCTACTTGTCTCTCACTATCATTGCAAGGTTGCAAGGTCGACGTGACGCAGATTTAACCAAAGAGCCGCGGAAAGTTGAAGCTAAAAATCGGTCGGCAAGTGCGGGTGCGCAGAGGCGCGGGTGGGCTGACCGAACAGGTACCTGAAGTATTGATTCCACTTTTCCAGCGGCAGATGTACCAATTACTTCTACTGTACGATCTAAGGCCAGCCTAAATAAAGCTGTATGGAAGACGATTGAGGTAATCCAAATCCGGGGGTGAATTCTAGTACATACGGACAGCAAATTGCCATCGGGACAATAAAAATTACATGCATCGTGCTAAAAAGCTCACTCTTTATACCCACTTGTAGCCTGTATCATCAGTTTTTGTCCGTCGGCTCAAAACCTCAGAAACCTTCTCCTCGACACCCTCCTTCTGGTTGGACCGGTGGACGAAGTACTTTAGAACCTGCTTGCTGGACTCGGCACCGTTGCGCACATATTTCTCAATCTCGGCCTCCGAAGGGAGAGAGAAACGCTCGTGTGGGTAGCGGTTGTAGTCCTTCTTATTCTCCAGAGGCAAGCGGGTTTCGCCTTCGGGAATCGTGAAGAAGCGGTCGACGGTCTCCTGGGTGACCTCGGCCAGAGTGGCGGGCTGCCACTCGGCCTGGCGAGGAGGTTTGGACATCAGACGGGCCTTGACACCCTCCACGAAATCGGGGTGGCGCATGAAGTTGGCGGCAACTTCGTGCTCACGCTGGAAGGTCTCTGAGATGCTCCACTTCTTGCCGAGACGCAACTGGCGGAGAGTGACCTTGAGCGAGGTAGGAGAGCGGACGGAAAGAGTCTCTAGGGTCTTCTTAGCCCATTCCTGCTGGGTGGACTCCTGGTTCTGGGCCTCGGCCTCAAGAGCCTGGAAGATCTCCTCAACGGTGTTGTACTTGAAGCAGCGGTCAATGACGTTGCGAAGTTCACCTGCCAACAAGATAGGCTCCTCATTAAGAGAAGGCAGACCAAGCGAGAACTCGGCCATAGTCTTGTTCACGGTATCGAGGCGCTCGGGAAGACCAACATCGTCAGGGAACACCAACTCGGAAAGACGTTGGGTAACGCTGGCGAGAACACTTGAATGCAGGAAGTGTGTAGCAATACCAGTGTACAGGGCCTGGACACCGTTCAGACGCTCTGAGGTCAAAGCCAGGTATGTGCCAACCTCGCCATCCAGTCGAGGAAGGAAGAACGAGCCACCAACGTCGGGAAAGAATCCGATTGTAGTCTCGGGCATGGCGAAAACGGTCTTCTCGGTCGCAATGCGGAAAGGAGCGTGCATGCTGAGGCCGACGCCGCCACCCATGGTGATTCCGTCCATGAAGGAAATAACGGGCTTCGAGTATGTTGCGATCAGGTGGTCGAGGCGGTATTCGAGTCCAAAGAAATCTGTCGATGCACGCTGTCCGTCCTCGCCCTTCTCGTTCTGGAGTGCCAGAGCTGCGACATCACCTCCTGCGCAAAGAGCTTTCTCGCCGGCGCCAGAGATGAGAACGATGTTTGCGAGATGCGATTTTTCCCATTCCTGTTTCACCAATCCTTTAGTATCCTGCTTTCTCCGCGCGTCTCGCGTATACTGACCTTCAAACGGGGGAGAATCTTGCGTGCCATCGAGCCATTGAGTGAGTTCAGCTTCTTAGGACGGTTGAGCTCAACGCTACGAAGACCGTAGATGGAGTTGAAAAGGACGTCATCAGGCTCGTCGCCGGGGAGCTCCTTGGAAGTTTCGGGAGAGGTCGACATCTAATGAAGGTAAGCAGATTTCCCAAACTTGATCCATCTTCAATGGTGTCATACTGAAGCAGTTGCACGAAAGGCAGGGTTAGTCACTTTGGCGCGCAGAGGCATGGCGGCTGAAGGGAACCGCGAGATCCAGCTCGGCGGCGATGGTAACCGTGAAAATGAGTGCCGGAGCAACATGAAGACAGGTGGAGAGAAAAGAATGAGGGGAAACAGGATTAGAAAGGACAATCAGATGTTCTTCTCCGCTTAACCGTCGACCTCGGGAAGTTTTCTAGATTTTCTCCGGTCCGAGGCCACCGCCGCAGCTTCTCCGCCCGACGATAACCATGTCTTCGAAGCAGACACGTTGCTATGTCATCGGCTAGCATTTACGTATAAAAAGTCATAATATACATGTAAACATTCATGACTATTACGCGATCGGACTTTTCCCAAAGCTGTCAGGTATTCTACATCTAGCGTGCCTGTAAACCAGACATATCAGAGGTCGAAGGTAGATCATGTTCTATTTGTACAGATGGCCAGAATACAACGAAGAAAGAGATATCAATGCACAATACACCCAGGGACTTCAAATTTGAGTCCGTTTAGTAAGTCGCCTTCGCAGGTCGGCTCTTCAGATCCCGCGAGTGTTGGCTCAGAATCCGGTCCAGCGCAACCCGTTCGATAATCAACCTCTGGGTCTCGAGCAGGTTCTTCACATCCACGTCGCTGCGGTCCATGATTGACGCGTAACGCTCCATCTTCTCCACCTTGTCAAACAACTCCTCGTCCACCTGCTCCGTGATGAGTGTCGACCGGCCCTTCTTGGTATCCCATCCGTTTTGGCGGAAGATGGACTCGAGCATATAGGGTGTCGAGCCAGAGGGAAGCGAGATCTTATTATCGATGACGATCAGCTCACCGCGCTGGTAGCGGTAGCTGAGGGCAATGCGCCAAGCTTGATCGTAGATCTTCTTAGGCAAATCGGTCGAGAAATCGCGAGGATGAGGACCGTGAGCAACACCACCACCCCTTCGAACCGGAGACTGCTTGTCACCGGCACGAGCACGGCCGGATCCCTTCTGCGCATAAAGCTTCCGGTGGCTACCGTGCACATCATCCCTCCACTTCGTGCTGGCGGTTCCCTGTCGGGTGTTATCACCCTCGTATACAATTGCGCGGTGGAGGAGGTCTCTTCGCAGAGGCATTGAAAGGTGTTTTGGCGAGTATTCCACGAACCGAGCAGGTTCCATCGTAGGGAAGTTGTAGGTCATGACTGTGACTGGGGCATCCCAGGGTGCGGGCGCCGCTCGCGTGATATCTGGGGAGGAGTTGATGACCTGAGCCTCGGTGGCCATGGAGCGTGAGATACATCGTTGCTACAGCCAAAGGAAAAAGCGTTCAGTGATTGCGTCGATGTAGTTGACTTCAGAAATGAATCGTCCCCGAGCAGATGAAAGGTTCGTACCGTGACTTTTTGTGACCCCGACAGAAGTCCGCCAGAGCTGCGTGACAGCAGTCTCAGCGCCCGGAGAGTCTCACTTCCAGGCATTTTTAAAAAAGCACTTCAATGCGTTTGTCGAGTGCTTCTGATATGATGTGCTGGCGTTGAGATGGGAAGAGCAAAAGTTGATTCCGGGGAGGCGGTGGGCGCTAGCAAAAGTCTTGGCTTGGAGCAGAAAAAGTTCCCCCGAGGACAACAAGATCACCTTGGACACTCAACCCCATCTCAAACCCCCGGAAAGTCTTCAACATGGCTCATTGCGAGCGGGCATCTAAGCCGCTGCTTCAATGCCTTCGCAACACATATACTAGAGGCCTGCCGGCCATTCAACTCTCTGCACGCGGCTTCCACTCCACGGCAGCCGTCGGAGAGGCTCAACCAGACAGCCAACCATTCTACAAGTCTCCGGATCCGGAACTCGTCTCAAGTCCCCGGTTGGAGAGACGTTTGATGCGACAGGGAACCACCCCCGTCGGATCTCGTCGTCGCCGTGCTGCGCTGCAGGGTTCTGCCAACCTCCCCTTCGAGCAATTGCCCTACCAATGTTTCCAGGAAGCGCGACAAATTCTGCTTGCCGATCGTGCAGAGAAATTGGAAGAGATCGAGAAGATGAGGCAAAGAATTGCAAGAGTGGAGGCTTTGTCTCCTGAAGAGGCTGGAGGCGAGAACTCGAAGAAGTCCCGCGTGCACGCGATGCAACAGCATTTGGAGCAGCTCAAGATTCATGCCGACATCAATGATCCGTTGGTCAAGCGCAAATTTGAAGATGGTCAAGGTATGTTCCATCTTCCAATGCACAAAATGGAAGATTGATGCTGACATCTCTGATAGGCGATATGAGCAAGCCTATCTACCGCTTCCTGGCCGACCGCAAGTGGCGCGAGTATCGCCGCAAGATTCTGGTGCAGCGTATTACACAGATGAAGGTTGTTCCTGACGTCTTGCCCCATTGCGAACCTACGGTCGATACCAAGCTGTACTTTAACTATCGCCAAGTCCAACCTGGAGATTTCGTTGAGGCGAAGAACAGCATTAGCGCACCTAAGTTGGATGTGCAGCTTTTCGAGCGTGGAGAGAAGCTAGTCACCATCGCGGTCGTCGACTCTGATGTTCCTAATGTTGAGACGGACAGCTTCGATTATAAGACACACTACCTTGCCGTCAACGTGCCCATCTCGGCCGTCAACACTAAGGTCGATCTCTCAAAGCTTTCCGAAGAGTCTCAGGTTGTCCTCCCCTGGCTTCCCCCTGTTGCCCAGAAGGGTAGCCCTTACCACCGTCTCTCCTTGTTCATTATGGAGCAGAAGGACTCCCAGCCGCTTGACTTCGCGGCCGTTAAGGCCAAGGAGACCGACCGGGACAACACTCTTCTCCGCACCCTCCAGGCCCGCTATCACCTCAAGGCCATTGGTGCGCACCTGTTCCGTACCCAGTGGGACGACACTACTTTGGAGGTAATGAAGCAGATCGGATTCAACGAAGCCGACGTCGAGTTGCGCCGGAAGAAGGTCGAGCCTCTCCCTTACAAGCGGAGAAACCCTTCTTCCTTCCGGTAGACACATTCAGTCTCCCAGGCGTCCTTCGAGTCAAGATTTGTATTGTACAATTGAATATGTATGAATATGCACAGTAGACCAAATTTCTTTCAGTGTCCAAGTCTCCCAAACTCCGTATAGATGCTCGTATGATCGCCAAATTCCCGAATCAGTCGCGACAGCGTTAGTCCAATTGCGCGGGTCGCAGAGTATTCTCCACCCATTCCAACTTCGGCCAGAGTCTTGCAACGACTTTGCCATTGATCAGTCCCAGAGGCACCGGGCCGAATTGTCGCGAATCTCTTGACCAGGGAAGGTTGTCTCCGACAAGGAATACATGACCCTCAGGAACCTAGTTGCAGTATGAGCAAATTGCGTTCAACAAAGAGTTCTCAAGAGAGGTACATACCCGGATCATATCCATTTGTTTCCCAGCTTCCTCACTAAAAGCTTGGTCACGACAGACGAAGTCCCCAGGCATTCCCACAACCCGCTTAGCTGCGTGTGTGCCGAGGAACGTCGGATGATTGAAGCGCACTACATCGCCAACTTTGATCCCTTTGCCATTGGTGTGCAGTCGCGAGATGACGAGCCAGTCGCCCCGAGGATTGAAGGTCGGATACATCGAAGGACCCTCGCTGAGCTGCACGGTCACGACGTGCTCCCAGAACAAAGAAATGGCGCAGAACAAGCCTGTGCCATTGAGGGCGTACCGCGCAATAGTACCCCGCTGAAGCCTCAGCGTTGATCGTAAAAGACGGTCCATGAAGAGTTCCTCGAGCGCATGCTCCGAGCTCCGAGAGACTTGTTGCTATCGATTATCGTGAATGTCATGTGATCCGCGGCCCGTTTATAAGCAGTCTGAATTTTCCAAATTCCTCTCGGCTCTTTCCCTCCTTCATAATGTACAGACAAGTCAACAACCTCTTCTTTTGAGGCAAAGACGCAAAACCTGCGTGACTCCAATTGTATCGCAATGATACTGCTGGTCGGCTAAGCTGCCCATTAATGTGTGGGTGCGAGGTCAAGCAGCATCAGCAGTCTTTCATTGCAAACTTGGTGTCTCCGCGGCCTGAAACTCTGCCTACCAATTGGTGTATATTATACTTACTACCCCTCCTTGCAGTCCATAACTGCTGGGAACAACCGCTTCTAAAATTGCTAGAGCTTGCCGTCGCCGAAATTAAACACCAGGACGAGCAAGTGTGGACAGTGAAGCAATATTAATCATGCCAGTCTGGGCCTTCTCCCAGGCTGGTCCTCCGTCCAGACTCGATCTTGACCTCATTTCATTATGGGACTGAGATTTTGAGGCTGGTACAGTGGGGATAAATTCCGTACTCATGAATATATATCTGCAATTGAAAGATGTTTGAACATTCATAAATTGTCCCTCATTCCATCGCGGTCTAGCAAACATCTTACGGTTTAGGCAACCTGATCATCGGCGTCTGTCAATATTGAAGCACGTAAGGTCAGCTTCATTCTGCACTGATTTATGTAGTGCAGAGACTTACCAGGATGTTTATCAACGGGTGAGATATCCTCTCGTTTCTTCGCTTTTTCACGATGATCGACCCCAAACCTCTCATTCCGATCTTTAAGCAGACCATCCAAACCGTCTGGGTGAGCAAGCTTCACACTGTCCGGTGTCGTAAAGCTACCCATTAACTGCGGTGGACCCATAGGTACTGGATCTCCACGATCGACCTGCCAGAAATGATATGTCTTCCCATATATCGGGGCAATATCTGCCATCTCGGCTGTCTCTGCAGCTTCCCACGCCGCGTTGGGCATGCCTGCAGGGGCGGGCATAATGAGCATACCGCTTTTAACTTCAAATTCATGCGTATGCCATAGCTTGCGCTCTTCTGATGGAAGCGTAGCAAAAATGCGTGGCGAGACCATGTATTCGACGCCGATCAGACGAGCGTTGGATTTAGGGGAATCATAGATCAGGCATTGTCGGATATCTGTCAGAATCATTCAACCAATTGAGTATGTCAACTTCCACAGTGAGCACTTGAAGGGTATTCTACATACCTTCTGTCAGATGCGTGCAATAGTGGTTGGCTTCGACGCATCGAGTTGGGTCATTGGCATAGATATGATACGCATTGAGATGAGCACATATCTGCTTGACCGGTGTGAAGTCTTGTACCATCGAAGCGCCAGCTTCAAGGACTCGACTCTTCATCGTACGAGGACTGCCTGGCATATCGCCAGCTTGGGCGGAGCCTGGGTTACCTGGGCAGTGCGACATTTCGAGATGTTGGCGGCGGTGACTCACTTCAATATGTGCTCTTCGTCCGAAGTTTGAAAGTTCAAAAACAAGAGACAATTGAGAGAGATTGAGGCTGAGTCTCTCAATAAGTTCAAGTTTCTGGAGTTCTTATACCTATAATATTGACGTCACTATGATTGTTCATGCATGTCTTGTCCAGGTCATTTTCTTGAATGGTTCAATTTATAGGATTTCTTGCTGCCGAGGTCTATCCATAAGAAATATGGTGTTCAGCCATTTGCACTATGTCTAGGGCCGAATATAATCAGCGTAGAGTGGATTGACCCAAGGTTTCGAGATGGCAGGACTATTCCCATGCAGGTCACCGACATGAATCATGTCCTGATCAGAGATAAGAGCGAGGTCGAAGCTCACATTCCTGAAGCGGCCATCTAGCTCCGTCATTGGTTGACTGATGCAGCGGAATCGACCGAGGAATGTAACCCATCTGGTTGGAATGTGATCCCGGAGAGCCTGAAGATCTAGAAGCAGTGCTTGGCCTTCTACGCAAATTCTAGCTCACGGCCGCGAGCTGATACGGAGAAGAGACAGATATGGCTATGGTCTCTTATTCGATTGCAAGTGTGGACGAGGTATATGAATCTTAAAATATGATTGCCCGGAAGACCCAATGGATCTCGAGTAAATAGTTGACTCGATCATAGTCCGTTTCCGGAATCCTCGGCAACTTACTCATCATAAACGTGGTCAACCTTGGATCGAATCTAAGCCACCTATGGTACCCGGGTACTGAACCCCTGAGTAGGGCCCTGGGGTGTCTTTGTGACTCCCTGTCAAGTTCTCTCTTGCTATTGTGCTGCCCAGAATAGACACAACTCACCTAGAAGGGAACTAGAACCTTGGAACCCTTCAGGGTGCCCTTCTTATCTCTAGATAGATGTAACGTTCACGCTCTGATTGTTGGAAATCATGGCCATATATTCTTTCCTTCTGATCCGACATGAATCTTCTTTTTGAGTCTTGGATCTTTTTGCGTGTCATAGTGCATATTCTACACATTTTTCCTCCTATTGTCCTTCCACACTGACCTATTTTATCGTCCAAATGCGCTTCATTCCAGCAAATCTTTCTTTACTGCTCGCTGCATCGGTCAGTCTCGTTGTTGCTCAGGATCTAGCACCTACCCCCTCCTCAAGTGCAGTAGCCAACGGGCTTTGCGCTGACCAAAGGTAAGGAAGGCACTTCAGGAACTCAAAATGATGATTTCTTTTCTGACGAGTGATAGTATCGTCGATACATGTGTCGCAGCTATGAAAAGGGGACTTGCAAAGTGTTCTGACGATAATTGGGATTGCAAGTGCTCCGCTCAGGCTAATATTGCCAAGTGAGTATACCTGTCACTCATTTGTACTCATGCACCTCGAGTTGCTTGGCCCTAACCTCAACTCAATACGCATACTCTTGAATTCTGAATATTGACTTGACGAAAAAGCTGCTACGTCGATTGTCCCAATGTCCCGGATGCATTTTCTGCCCAGCTAGCGAGCGCACAGGATTGCGCCACCGCGAATCACTACGACAAGGGTATTACGGATGTGCCTCAGACTTGGACTACCCCAGGCCCCCAAACCACCACGGTTACGCCTGCAGATGTCTCTGTTCCCGGGGAGAGTGAGTCGGCAGCTCAAGTTCATGGGACAGCGACAGCGACAGCGACAGCAACCGCAACCGCAACCGCAACTGGGACAATGAATAAGACCGAAGAAACCGCCAAGTCAGGGGCCGCTGCTGGAATCGCGTCCGGTAGCTGGCTGGCTCTGGTAGGCCTGGGCCTCGGAGTTATTTTCTAGAAGAATGGCGGGTTTAGTTCAATAGATCATCGCATTACATCAGTGAGCTACGACTTTAATACTTCAAAAGGCGTATTACGATCAATTGATTTCATGTTGCATTATCATCTTTGCTTGTGAGCTCACGCGCGTGCTCAGCCTGTTTCATTACTCCAGCGAGTGTCTGGAGATCTTAGAGTCATTCTAGTGTAGCAACCTCTGTTTTAAGCTCCATGGTATCAGCTGCAGAGAAACATACCGCTCGGGCTTGGAAACCAACTGGGCAAGGCGCCTTGAGAGCTTCATGTCCACAGTGAACTATCTCGGTTTGTACATTATTTATTGAAACAGCAGTAATAACATAAGTGAATGGAACAGTCAAGCTATGTGAAGTCTTCGGCACAGAACTTCTCATCGCCTGAGAAGGCTACGAGGTAATTGCCCGTGCACTCACTTTTTCTCGCGACGGCACGCATCTAGCATCCGAAGCTTATGACCTGAAAGTTATGACTAAAAGAAAAGGCAGCAGCAATCTGTTTGCAGCTTCTGAATCAGAAGTACGGCGGTGAAGGTTTTCGTGAACTTTTCAACGGCCCCATATTTGCCGGCAGAGACCCTGTATTCAGTACGGCGAAAGACTGAAATTGGGATATGGCGCCCACTTGCCTTGCTAGAACCTGCGCGCAAAGGGTGTGGATCGCAGATACTAGCTTCGCAGTCTACTAATTCCCGCTTTGACTGCATGCTTGAAATTAGGGTGCTAGCTGCTACCATAGATTGATTGTATGCAAAAGGGAATTAGTCAAGTTGCTAGCGTGGTGAAATAGAAAAATATTCATTTTTGGAGCTTTATTCATTGAGTAAAAATGCAGATCAGTCTGATGTCTCTTTAAGACCACCTTCTTCTACCTTCGAAACGAAATAAATGTCACTTACACAGAAGGTCGGAGAAGACTGATATTTTGACTACCATGTAACCACGGAGGTGGGTCAACTTTGGTATGGCTGTAGCCATGGTTGACCGCCAATGTACATTTCCGAGAACAACAGCCCGATCCCCGTCAAAATCCGCTTTCACCTTACTAAAAAAAGGAACTAGCACGACGTAAAACTCTGCCAGAGAGATGGAATATGAACAGACTTCCTACGTAGCCAAAGCCAGCGTAAGCCTAACCTCGAACAAGCACATGACCCAACGATCGGCCGATAATGCTAAAGGAAAAATCGACTATTTTCCCGATGCGGCCGGGCTCGCAATAGACTAGGCACTATGGACGCACTACTCGCCTAACAGTGCGAGGCCGAAACAGCAGTGCATCGCGGGGCGAAAAAGACTTCAAATTTTGCCAATGTTCTACCGCAAGGGAAGACTAGAGGCGAAAAAAATTTGATCGGGCGTGGCTTCAGGACCCCATCGCGGCCCAAAGTATACGAGTCGGCAAAATTGGCACGAGGGGGCTTCACCTCTAATTCAGGGAGCGGAGACGACGGAGTCGACGGGATGATCGGTAGGGGAGGGATTACACTATCTACTTTAGACTTGGGGCTTTGGCAAAGGGGCAAGTGATGAACAGGGTGGAGCCGTGGAGAGAGTCGGGAGGATGTTTCCACCTTGGAATTGGCTGCAGAATTGATGATCGTTTGCGTTCTCGGCTGTGATTGACTTGAGGGTGTGCAAGGCGATCTCCGTGGGATCCGTTGGGTTCCCATGGTGTAAATGGTCGAGGCGGTTGATGCACTACTCCTTTTTGCGTTTGTCACCGGGCGTACGTGTTTTGATGTGGGACGTCTTAGCTGAGTCGCCGGGCGCAGTGCCGTAGACCCGTGAGCCATGAGCCCTTGGACCTTGAGCCTCGAGCCGTGAAAGGCGAACGGTGAATGATGAACGGTGAATGGTGAATGGTGAATGGTGAATGGTGAAGGCGGTTCGGGATCTACCCAATCACTAATACTGGGACAGACATCCGGGGCTTGTTTTCATTATTGGTCACTGTTGGGCAATCTCGGATCCTGCCTATAGGCTTCAATTATTGGAATCCTCCTGCGCAGCTGACTCAAAAGCGCTGAGCTGTAAGCAGCCCCGGTGCCGGACTCCGCCGTGTCGAAGCTAGACATTCAAGTTTCTCCATCACACGCATGACAAGGATCTGATTATCAGATGCCTTGCGGGAGAGTGTGCCATCTCACTGCGTCGCTGCAGATACCCTTGCCTCCAGCTGCACTGATCGTCCTTTTGGGGACGGTTGGGCAAGTGGAGGCTGTGAGAATGGTACGTCCGATTGTCACAGTATGGTTTCCAAGGATCGGCCCCTGCAGGACGGAAACCGGGAATTTTGGCGCATGGGCCAGAAAACCCCAAAATAGCGGTTAAGCAACGGGAGACAGAGAATCCTGGGGGGCCCGAAGCGCTGTTGCAGGTAGATTGAGCGCTGTGAGAGGCTGGCGCCTCAGCATGCAGCTTTGGCGAGGGGGAGCTCGATGTGATGCTATTGGTGGTGGCTCCATGTTCCTTGTTTATCCTCCTCGTACTCCTCATTCTCCTCCTGACCGCTTCCTTTTCCCCCCCCCCCTCTTCTGACGTGCTTCCTTACGCTCCGCCACCAGGCGTCGTGTGTATGACTCTTTTTCATGCCTGAAATTGCTCGTTTCCCGACCCACTTGCACCTGGACCTTATGTGGCGTCACGCCCCAGGCGGACCCAGCAGGGCTCTGGTACTCGGTAGTCGACTCCTGAAGATGGCCGCCTGCATGAAGCCCGGACTGCGCCTGACGCAGAGCACGGCCGAAACCGATAGACTTGGAACTCTATACCTAGCTTTAAGCTGAGAACTATGACGACACTGAGGCTGCCTCGCGTCTTATCAGCACCTACAGCCTGCGGTACTGGTTGTGTACGTATCTATCAGACCCGGGCGTCGTGTCACACTCTGATAGAGGGCCTGGACTGGGAACCGATGATGCCAATGTGAAAGACCAGAAGACTTTTGTTCCGTTGCAGCCGGGGAACGGCAGGCTCCATGGTTGCAATCCACTGTTGATTTTCAATTCTGCCGCGTGCGTTGTACTTGTTGCTCAAAGCCAGATTTTTACGAAGAAAGGGGGAAAGCGCCTCATCCTACGGTACACCGTTGGGAGTAGAGAGGAAGGGGGGGGGGGCCGCAAAGACGCTCGGAGAGGATATGGATCCTTGTATGGATTGCCTCAGATCGTCCGAGTCAAATGCACCAAAGGGGAAGAAGGGGGGCCATTCCAAGCGACTAGGGAGAATCTGACCGAGGCAAAGACTACTGTAGTGTGCCCCTCCCACCATCTTACCTTCGAGTTTATCTCATCGCGGGCATGGGACGAGGACCTATCATGGGGGCCAACCGCAAATCGCAGGATTCGAGGCCGACGCTACACCGTAAGAAGTTGATGACATGTCGCTAACGCAGGCCAAATTGGAAAGACCCGCAGTTGCTCCCGCTGCACTTGATGGGGCTGGGTCCCGAAGCAATCAGGAAGGCCGAGTGAAACGTCTGGAAGACTAGGGAAGGCTGGATCGGCTCCGTCTAGCTCGGGGTTGGCAGAGTTCAAGAACTTCGCGTCGAGTGGGGTGGGCGCCAACGCAAAAAGAGGCTCGCAACCAAAGGGGGCTGATGCGCCCCCGATCTGGGCCCGCGGGTTTCGGAGAGTGACCGTCGTACTATGCAGGGTTGCTTGAGTATGTCTTGTGTAGAATCCTATGTCGGTCCAGGATCGTCATTTGTTTGTATTAGACTCTGAGATTTTCCCAGGTTCGGAATCACAAAGTTTCTAACTTCTGGCTTGTAATACCAAGAGCCAAGATGCGCCCAGGGAAGGACAAGAGACCTATGGAGTACAGTGACATTACAGTAGAACCGGTGTGCTCACATACTCCAGAGATCGGCAAAATTTTCAGCGTCAGAAGATCCACATTGATGGCAGGGAAAATTGGTGTTATTACAAAATATGTGTTCCGTGTACGGTAGCCCCCCCTGAGCTTCTGGAAATGCGAGAAGGACACAGTCTCCAATTTTTCACTTTGCAGAGTGGCCCCTGCAGTGCAGTAAGTGGGTCACTGTAAATGCGTTCCGAATACAGACTAAGAGGCCTTGGATCGATGTAATGATGTGGTGGATTGTGGATGAGGGATCTGCCTGGCCCATTTGAGGTGCCCCCTTTGTTCTAGGCGAAGTACCTTTCACGAGGAGACAAGGGATCCATATAGCATCCGGTCGACTACGGAGGATGATTGCACCGTTAATAGACCGTCAAACCTGTTCTTCCTGTTCTTCCTGTTCTTCCGGCGGGCCGGGCCCTTCCAAGGAACCCGGTCGAGGCAGGGCTGGCTTTTTTTGCAGAGCGCTAAGCACGATCAGATCCGCCCGGCCACGTTGTGAATGGTGGCTCAACCGCCCTTTTCCTAATCGGGGACCACTTTCGTTTGTATTTGGCTTTTCTTTTTCCTTTTTCTTTTCTTTTTTCTTTTTTACTTTTTTACTCTGGAATTCTGTTCACAGACCACGCGGGCCACACTTATTGAACACCCGTCTTTAGTTCCCCGCTAGTGCCATCCGGGAACTGGCAACAGTTAAGCACCTTGGTCCCGAACATGACCCTCTTACCTAGGCGAATCGTAATTTGCAGTCCTGTCGGGTGACGGCGCCGGGGGGAGGAACTGGTCACATTCAAAGCCTTGTTTGCCGAACTCTAATGAAGAGCTGGTTCTCAGATGCAAAAGAGATGAAAGATAAGAATGGAAAGTATTGGAGATTCGGTCAATCAGAATGCTCTAGCCAAAGCATTTTGAGGTAAAATGATGGAAGCTCCACGTTGACTTGCCGAACTTCCCGCCCCAAGCCAGTTAAACACGAACGCTCGGTGGCGCTACACGACCGGTCTTGCGATGAAACAGGTCCACCGTACCATGCCTCCTCGGGTAATGCAGCTACGCTCAGGTGATACTAGAGAATGACAAGGAGAATCCCGATCAGATCAGAAATGCGCCATGCAAAGTGCGCAATGCAGGTAGCCTGCGGAGCATACTTCCAGTTGGTGCGCTCGAGGGCGTCTGATTGGCCCAATCAAGAGCCGAGATGAGGAGGGGCTCATCGGAAAGAAAAATTAGCGACAAATAAGAAAGATTGGTGGCGATGATGCATCGTCTGCATCATGTACTCCGGAATGGAGGGCGCATGCAGCGGAGAATAGAAACCTCACCGGGTATGCACGGTCGTCTCAGGTAATCAACTTGTCTAGACCAAGCTGGACTATTGACCATTTGGAAAGGCTGTGACCATAGTACTGTAGCCTTGGGGGAGCTCCACCTCTTAGAGGATCCGAAAGAATGGAAATAACTACGTGGGTGGAAAGTCGATCTCGTACCCCCATCACATTCCCTTGCGTAACCCGTTACCGGGTCCCCCGTCAAATGTGAACCAGGGCTCCCCTCTTCAAACAAAGGCAGCATTGAATACTACTCCCGATGTGAAATGCCTGCATTCTTATTGCAGGGCTGATCATCTCCGTGAAACCGGAGGCACCAAAGACAAAAAAGAAAGCAGTCAAGGCGGGCACATCACCCAAGCAGGAAGTTATGACCGTCGACCTAGATGAGATGACATTCCGCGGGCGGTGAAAGGGCCAAGGTTCCTGACTCTTGGGTCCTTGTTGTGGAAGGGAGGGGCACAAGGCTCAACCTATCATGATTCGGGGTTCGGGTGACTGATGCACTGGAAAAAACCCAACTAGACTACCTGTATCCGAAACGAGGATGTAGTTATGTACTTGTACCGATTAAGACGATCTTAAATGGAGAGAAAGAGCGACTAAAAGGGGAAAGAAAAAAGAGAAAATAATAATAGAAAGAATATAAGATAAAATTAAAAAAAAAAAGGAAAAGACGGAAGTGTAGCCCCAGACTGGGCCCGTGTGAGGGTCTGCGTCCATTTGGTCGGAGCCCAGCTGTGGATCACCATCTTTCCCCATGTTCGCCTCCAAAAGCATGTTCCATGTCTCCATCAGACGCGCTACGACGTATAGGTCCGATCATCGTGGCCTGTACACTCCGGAGGATTTCCCTTTGTACCCTTCTGGGTCCTGGCCGAAACGGTGGGACCGCGACCAGTGATTGATCAGTCTTTTATTTGGTTCCTTCTAGTCCACTAGTGTCAACGTCGTGTCATCTTAGCATGTGCGGTGGGATCGTGGAGCTGGGGCGGGTGGTAGATCGCCAGGCTCCTTGGATTCCCTGGATTCCCTTATAACGTTGGGACCCTTGCCCGCTGACCCTGGATATCAAACAACTCATTACCTTGCTGCTGTTCCTTTGGAACATCGGCTCTTACTATCATCTAATCTATATCTATTCCTGCCTCTCCTTACTGTTCTCGCCCCACCTTCTCGTGCGTCTTCTCCCTTGTCATCAACTGCGTCCCACTGACCGTACTTTAAGATCTTTTTTTTGCTGTGACCTTAGTCTCTAAGGTATTGCGGCTCTGCTTTTATGGCCGAGTACTGCTATCAACAACCTGCCTCTTCAACGGGCTCTCCATGGCTTCCGGGCGGATCTTATAGCCAGCTCAACAACATGAATCTTCAAGACTGGGCTCGTGCTTTCCCTCGGCCCCGACAGGCTCGCGTCATGAAGCCCCGCAGTGCGGGAAACAGTCCCTCGTCGGCGATGGCACGGAGAAGGGCGACCGTCGTTCAAAGTGCTATGCACGGCTCTTCAAATCAGTATCAGTCCTGGGAGGCCGCTCTTCTCGCCTCTGCGGCCCGGAACTCACGCCCGATCAGCTGGCACCCTTCCTCAGCTCGCGCTCGAGGCCTGTCGAACCCGACATGTGCCCCTGACTTTACCTCGGAGAATCATGCCGCCATGGGTGCCTTCCCGGATCAACTGATGACTGGCTATCCGGTCTACGCCAACGACAACATGATGTCTTATCCCGTCTCCGCTGGCCCTGCCTACTCGCCTGATTATCTTTCGATGTACTCCGAGATGCATAACCCCCTGCCTCTACCCCAACAGACCCCGGCAATGTCCATGTCAGACTCGCAGGTCGAGCCTATGGCATGGGATGTCGCTACCACCAATATGGACATGTCCAACATGGCCCAGACTACATCTGATGGCTGGTCGCTGGATATGTTGACCATGGCAAACATTCCTCCGGCCGCAACAGCGTGCCCCAGTTATGCCAGTGTGCCTTCACCCGGCGAGCTAAGCGGCCCATCAACTCCCGACTTTCTGCCTATTCAGCAATTTGATTCATCGGCTTCCCAAGAGCAGAAGAAACCGAAGAGCGAAGAGGAGCTTGTTGGAATGGGCCTGTACAGCCATCCGGATGGATCCCGGGCTCAAACCCAGCAGACATCACTTGGAAAGGGGCTCAAGCTTGAAGAAACATTTTCGCCATCCGACGACGAAAATGAGGATGGGGATGAGATCACCACCGAACAAATACAACCCACTGCCCAAGAGACAGTGCCCATGTCCCAGACTTCGAATTTCTCGCTACCCAAGCAGCCATCCAAGCATGCTCTCAATCTTCTTCACAAGTCTTTCTTCTTCGACCATGACGACATGGACCAGCAGACGATGACCACGGCGCAGCCTTTCGTCCACCTCAACCAGCCCTGTATGAACTATGGCTACGGCTGGATTTGATTCCGCTGCCTCACAAAAATCCCTTCCTCCTACTTTATTTTCTTTGTGATCAATAGCGGCATAGCACGGAGTTTTTTTTTTTTCGGGGGAATGGAGTTGGACACACCACCGGATACCCTAGGACCAGAACACTTTAGAGGCATGCATAACATGGCCTTTTCATCATTAGCATATCATAGCATAGACACTCAATCACAATCAAGAGATTCCAGATACGGATCGTGTTTCCAAATTTGTACATTTCCTGATACTTCCGAGACAAGAAGCCGAACTTTTGATTGGGCCCCGGATGAGCTTCGCGGAAAAACCAGCCTAATGGATTAACTATCACCCGAAAATATTTCTCGCGAGACACCGATCCAACACGACGAGTGTGGTACCACGAAAGGCCAGCATTCAATTCAAAAGCCCGCGTGGAAATGTCTAAGCTCGTATTCACTCCGTGGAAGACCAAAAGCCAGTTGCTCGAGGTGCGGAGCGAGTTTTATCCACCGCCCTCCTATGATGGGCCGGACATGCGCGCTCACGCCTGCGCAACGGTACGTTACCCTACGATATTGGATATTTTGATTAATCTCATGGAAGAAATAGGTTGAGGCGTGGAAACTCCGTGGAAATCTGCCGCACCATGTCGAAGCAACTGCGTTGTTGACGGATGCTATTCTCCACGATGATGCGCAGAGAAATTCCATCTTTTCTATCCGAGCGACTTACTCGGCTGCTTTCTGCCGGTATGATTCTCTTTTCATCTCATCTGATTTCCGTGTCAGGCACAAGGCATAATGCTTGTCTGATACCCGTAATATCTACTGCTTAGCTTTTTGTCCTCAAACTGATCACACATCACAGCTTCGTTACGGGTCTCGTCGACACCAAGATCCATGGACAGCGCAGAACCATGTTTCAGCGCGCTATGGACTTAGGGCTGCCTGCCTCTTTTGTTGAGTTGCGTCACGAGGCAACTCACCGCGAGCCGCCGTCGCTGGTAGTGCTCCGAAAGGCTTCACAGCGGTCCCTTGAGTGGCTTTGGGATAATTACTGGGTCAGTGTCGAAGACCTAGGTGATTTTTCTGCAATTCAGCTTGACAACAGTGAGTCGGTCAAGAAGGCCTTCCGCGACACTTTGCGGCAATTCTCAACCGAGTCTGCCTCAGATACGCCCTCAAAGAAGCGGAAGAGAGACCACGAAGTCTCCATTGCGGCTAAGCTTGTTTCTATCTGTGATGCGTCGAGTGAGGGTGTGCGGTCTTTGCCTGCTGCTTTACTAGAGCGGGCCACGTTGATTGATTCTGCGCGAGAGTAAGTCCTACTGCTCTGGGGTTGCTGATGCAAAATACTAATAGTTCTTTTCAGACCTGGAGAATCCCTGGATGAAAAGTTCGAGACCTGGGATGTTGTTCTGCAGAAGATCGCAGAGAGCCATCCTTCCGTTGTAGTTTACCTGGCCGAGGAGCTGGTTCACAGCTTGGTCTTCAACCCCGCGAACGAATCTTCCGAGAGTGCCTACGCCGAAGCACTATTCCTTTGGCTTCTACATCTGTTGACATCCCCAGAGTGGGAGTCACATCAGTCATTCTTCCCTCGCAGCTACATTCTTGCAGCCTGCAGTGAAAGCCCCAATCACTGGGCTCAGCTCCTCAGTGATAGATTACGGGAGATTCCCTCGAGGGCGGCACCTTCTAAAGCAAAGCTTGCTGCCCAGAAATTGTCCAAGAAAGGGTCATCCCAGAACGGTAACGCTAGCGTGTCAGATGTCGACCAGAAACTCCGAGAACATGGGTGGGGTCCCGTTGAGGCATGGGACAGTCGTCCATTGGGCATTGCATCTATCTAGATAATTGTAATATGCCATAGACACCGTGCTGCTGGCAGCACAAAAAAAAACATATTTACTATCAACTACACTCTATTGAGAGTATCCAATTGGACACCATGTCATTACTAAGGAACTCGGGAAAACCAATGTTCCGCATGACGTTTGATATGTCATCCCAAGCTGCCGCCGCTATACACAGCTATGTCCCCGCACTACTGCCTTCATCTTGTCTTGTGATGAATTTTACAAGAAATATTCGATCCTTTGGTATTCGTCAGCTTCGCACCCCGAACGTCCGAGCCATGCATATTCAGTCAATTCCTATGTGTAAGTGCATCTTGCATGGGCGATGACACCAGAGGATATGTTGAGCTTACGTTCACCTACGTTAGGGACGGGGAAGGGCAATAACTATGCCTACCTTGTCACCGACGAACCGACAAAAAAGTCGGTTATCATCGACCCCGCCAACCCCCCGAGTAAGTTCGAGTTATATCATTGGCTATCGAATGCCAAGTTGATTGTGGTAATCAGAGTGGCACCCGGGTTGAAGTCTCAGATCGATGCTGGGAAGATTGAATTGACAGCAATTGTCAACACTCACCAGTAAGTGCCTGAATCATTCTTAATTCTCGATCGAGAGAGAGAGATAGAGAGAGAGTGAGTGTGTGTGTGTGTGCGCGTTGTTAACATACCGGGCTAGCCACTGGGACCATGCTGGAGGCAACGATGAGATGGTAAGCATCTTTCAGCTTCAGTTGTGGATTCTGTACTGATTCTTCCCAGTTGAAGCAATTTGGTAAGCTTCCCGTCATTGGAGGCAAAGAAAGCCAGTCTGTCACTAGGACCCCGGCACACGGCGAAGAGTTCAAGATTGGAGACCGTATCTCCGTCAAGGCATTGCATACCCCATGCCACACTCAAGACAGCATCTGTTACTATATGCAAGACGGTGACCAACGTGTGGTGTTCACCGGTGATACCTTGTTCATTGGAGGTATGATTTTCATTCTTTTTGCAATTCTTCTCGTCACGGCTATTTACAATCGAACTCTAACCAATCGACTCAGGTTGCGGCCGTTTCTTTGAGGGTAACGCCGCAGAGATGCACAAGGCACTGAACGAGACGCTGGCATCCTTGCCAGACGACACCAAGGTTTATGTATGTTACATCATCCTTTGTTTTCCAAGTCTTGACTGACACTTCAAAGCCCGGCCACGAGTACACCAAGGCGAACGTGAAGTTCTGCATCCATGTGTCCCAGACGGAGCCCATCAAGAAGCTTCAGGCTTTTGCGGAAGCCAACAAAGAGACGCAGGGAAAGTTTACCATCGGCGATGAGAAGGTATGTCTGACATGGCAAATTTTGAAAGGACAAAGACTGACTCAAATTTCTAGCTCCACAATGTGTTCATGCGCGTTCATGTAAGTATTATTCGCCGGCATCGACCATTCCCGGATACTGACCCAAAGACTTTAGGACCCAGAGGTCCAGAAAGTGACTGGAAAGACCGACCCAGTAGATGTGATGGATGCTCTGCGAACCATGAAGAACAACATGTAGTTATAACAGAGTACAAAAATGAGTGTAGAGGTTCTTCCTGGGGATCTGCATTGCTCAACTAATGCCTAGAAGGCCCCAAGTTACAATCTAGACTCAGCCAAGATCAAGACAGACTTCATATTTTTGACGTATAGAATTATCGAGTACGCAAATTTCACGAAAATGTACATGCTTTAGAAAGATGCAAGATGGAAGTCGAGATCGCGAGAAATTAGCGGGCCGACGTCATACCCGGTTCTCCCATTTCCAAGCCGTTCGCAAACCACCACACTGCGGCCAAGTTGGTATCGCAACTCAAAACTCGCTATGATTGCTTGAGCTACGAAATAAGAAGTCCAGAATCTTTGCGCCATGGACCACGGTGACCGAGAGGCATCCTCAGCTGCCGTGGACGAGGTACGTGGACCGAGGCGGGGCACTCGCAGCGACACTGACCAGCTCATTAGATTCACGGGGGAACCAGCGATAGCGAGACGCGGGACCAGCTGGAGGTATGGGGAGCCATTGTTTCTCGGTTTATGGGCTTCAACTAATAATTGTTACCTTTGCAGGTCGTCTTCTATCCCGATTCGAACCACCGCCGCAAGTCCTCGCTTGTTACAATGGAGAAACCGCGAGTCGGCTCTCATATTGAGGCGTTTGACAAGAGTACAGCCTGCTATGTCCATTCTTTGATAGCTGGCGAATGGAAGACACCTTTGAGCAAGTCCAACGAGGCGGAAGACGTGGTTCGTACCCTCAGCGAAGAAGACGAGCCTACCGTTGATACGAAAGGCCTCGGCGAGGACCAAGTAGTGTCGGTGGTCGACAGCGATAACAAGATCTTGAAGCCGGTTCCGGCTGTCATTCAATCGCGACACTTGACGAAGCGACAGCTGTCAGACATGGCTTGGAACGTGCGCAAATTGTCTAAAAAACTGGGCAGCATCAAGCTCAAGCTCACCGTCAAGAACGTGTTTGTCGTGAGCAAGGCATATGATGAATCTCTCGTCAGCTTGACCAGGAAGGTCACAAGATGGTTGCTTTCCAAGGATCGCGACACGCCGTACACCGTCTACGTGGAGCGACGTTTGGAGACACATCCGGACTTTGGAACATTGCAGCTGCTGCAAGAGGAGCCGAGTGCCCAGAGCCGGCTCAAATTTTGGGATCCTAAGCTTGTCCAGGAGCAGCCACACCTTTTTGATTTTGTAATCACTCTCGGCGGCGACGGAACCGTTCTCTATACTAGCTGGCTGTTCCAGCGCATCGTGCCACCCGTTTTATCCTTCTCACTGGGCTCATTAGGCTTCCTGACCCATTTCGACTTCTCAGATTACCAGAACATTCTTGAAAATGCATTCAGAGACGGAGTCACCGTCAGTCTGCGGCTACGATTCGAATGCACCATAATGAGAAGCAAAGCGCGATTGAAAGATCCGCATGCACGAGGCCTCTCCAGCCGAGACCTGGTAGAGGAACTCATCGGAGAAGAAGGCGAGGACACATTAACTCACACCCCGGATCGAGTCTACGAGATCCTGAACGATGTGGTTCTGGACCGCGGGCCAAACCCAAGTGAGCACCCGCAATCGAAGTCCTGCATATGCATTTCCTAACTCCCTCACCAGCTATGTCTCAAATCGAGCTGTTTGGCGACGATGAGCATTTCACTACCCTACTTGCAGACGGAATCTGCATTGCGACCCCGACCGGTTCGACGGCGTACAACCTTGCAGCTGGCGGATCCTTGTCGCACCCTGAGAACCCTGTTATTCTTGTAACCGCTATTTGCGCGCACACCCTTTCCTTCCGCCCGATTATTCTCCCAGACACCATTGTGTTACGCATGGGAGTACCCTACGATGCCCGTACAAGCTCATGGGCCAGTTTTGATGGTCGCGAGAGGTATGTCACCTCCTAGCAACGATATCAATGCTTTCGTGGATGGAAAAAAACTAACATCTCCTCGCAGAGTTGAATTGCTTCCCGGTGACTACGTGACCGTGTCGGCGTCGCGGTATCCCTTTGCCAATGTGCTGCCTGAAGGACAGCGCAGCGAGGACTGGGTGCATAGTATCTCGAAGACCTTGAACTGGAACTCGCGTACGAAACAGAAGGCGTTCATCAAATAAACTTGCGGGTGTTCCTGGAGTGCAGGTGGCGCAGTTCGACGCATGGAATTTTCCGTTCCTATTCAGTTAAATCGCAACGGCCGCTCGATGGCCGAGCTTGAAGATACTCAATGGATCCATAAAATGGAAAGCTATGAATGATTTCAACATGCCAAAGCCTCTTAGCATCGAGATTAACCTTAAGGCAGAATCGAGCCTGAGCTGGGACTGTGTCGTGGTTCTAGGCCTCTACATTGACCATCAGAGAGTACTGTCCAATTCTATTAAGTAAAAAAGAAATGTTTACAACCCCATCAGGTAAATAACGGCTCAAATTTTCCAAGTGGATAGTCGCTAGAAGCTTCGGGTCGAACTGGGTCCTGTGTCCGTTTCCAGGGCAGCTCTTGGCCGCCCTATAAAAAGCCTCCCGCCCCAAAAAATTTTTCTTTCCTCAATCCCTCTTCACACTTCGCCCGGGCTGCGAGTTTAATGTTGCTCTCCCCGGGTTGACTTGAAGTCGCCGTGATCTTTCCTCCATTTTCTTCTCTCACTAACTGGTAAGTTTTATCGACACTTTTTTTTTTCTCTTCCAGTACCAGCGAAAGGCTTCTCGGCCTTTTATGATGAAAATTTTTTCCTACATTCGCAGTTTCCACGCTAGTCATCGCTTGAACCCAAATCAAGATGGCACTGTGCGCAATATCTTCCTTGGATGTCTGATTATTTCGCTGGTCTTATTTTTAATGACTTCATTTTTATCATTTGTGATTTCGTGAAGCACCTTGCTAACATTGCATGGTTTCAGAACAGAACTTGCTCTTCGGCATCGCCGTGAAACTATCTATACATTCGATTGCCTTTTATACTCAGCGTGTGCGGCGCTTTCCTCGCCTCGTACTTTGCGGATCCGTCGGCCTGCGGGAAAAATCGAGCCTGTCGGGTCTATGGATTTTCAGGGAGACTGGGCGGGACTGCACTACACACTGCTTATTTAGATCATATAATGAACATGACTATATCTTCAAAGACATCAATATCTTGTCAAATTAGAGTAGAAATTTCCGGATTCCCTAGGACTGCACCCACGGGTGATGTGCTCCACCGTAGATCGCATCTCAGCTCAACCTCCGAACATCTTCCCCCTCGTCTGGAATGTTCACGAACTACATCATGAACATCTGAAGTCGATACCGCTTTGCCTGTACCCTTCCACTCTCCTTAACTCCCCTCGCGACTGTCCTAGTTCGATCCCGGCAATTCATCCCCGGTGCCCTCTCCACCTAGACATTATGGCCGCGCCGCCCAGACATTTGTCAATGATGTCCACCAACAACGCAGGTGCGCCTCAACCAGGCGCTAGCGATAGACAGCAGATCTCGCAACAGGCCTTGACACCGCAGCCAACACAGGGTCTCCGAGTACCCTCGAATCGAAAGACCATCTACGACCGACACCTCAATCGGAGCCGCCATGCAGAGTCCAGTCGGGCGAGCTTCGCCTACCTATTCGGCGAGATGGTGACATACGCCCAACGGCGCGTAACAGGAATCCAAGATCTAGAGAAACGGTGCGCTCTCCTCAACTCACAGCCAGAGTCCACCTCTACTAACGGATAGCTCAGATTAAACGAACAAGGATACCCCCTAGGCCTACGCCTCCTCGACCTCCTCTTCTACCGCTCCACGTCCACATCATCCTCAGCACTCTCCAGCTCATCTACCTCTTCATCCCCGCCAAATCGCCCCCTACGCATCATCACTCTCCTCCATTTGATCCATGGCCCGCTCTGGCGCCTGCTCTTTCAACGCTCCGCCGATGCCCTCGAGCACTCCGTTTCACCAGACACCCCAAATGAATACATGATCACCGACAATGACCCCCCTAGTCAACACATACATCAGCGTGCCGCGCGAGATGAGCATGCTCAATTGCGCCGCTTTCGTGGCCGGTATCATCGAGGGTGTGTGCGACGGGTGCGGCTTCGAAGCCAAGGTCTCAGCCCATAACCAGCCGACGGAGATGTGGCCCAGCCGCACCGTGTTCCTCGTTCGGTTCGGGGATAGTGTGATGGAGCGTGAAAAGGTTCTGGAGCGAAATGGTGTCAAATAAAAAACAGACCAACCTCCGATCGGTTAATCCTACGGTTGCGTCTCAGACTTGCTAGTCAAAGCAGACCTCACGCCTCGTGCAAAACTTGTGCCGTTTCAAGTTTCAAGGTCTACGTCTGGGAATTTGCGGCTATTACGCCGATTTTTCCACTTCCCATCCCGGCGGAGACTGTTCAACGAAGTCTCAAAGGGCATCGTGGTCGGGATGTCACATCTAATCCCCCATTCCATGGAGTTCTATGTACAAAGTTTTTACTCTTTGGTATAACAGACATCACTTTCAAACAATGATACGCCCTCCAGGTGAGGGGCATATGCTACATTCCACAAAAGTTCCGAACCAGGGAGTATCAGTTGCTCGAAATGCCAGGATATCATCACATAAAGTAGGAAATCTGCCCCACGCAATTTTGGATCAGACTCCGCGCCAACGCCAGAAAGAAATGTATGGAAGCTACGCTTCGGTCGTAAGGCTGATCATTAACTGTCCACCCGTCGGCGCTTGTCTCTGTCTTCGTACGGTGAAGGGCTGCGTTTCCGACGCTCTCGAGACCGACTGCGCTCGTCGCGGCGGTCTCGGCGAGGAGAACGAGTCCTTGATCTCCGTCGAGGCTGAACAGCACTGGCATTGGCTCCCGTAGGACCCCGAGGCTGATCATCTCTCCGGTCAGGCATGAATCGCTCATCTGTAATACCAATTGGCGGCGCATTTTCTCGCCGCCGGTTCTGATACCCTTCGCCGAAACGACCGGTATCCTCCGTCTTGAGATCGCGATAGCGAGTCCGGCCCTTCTTGCCGAGCTTGGTCATATCGCGAACCTGCATATACTCAGGCAAGGTCTCGCGCGATGTCTCATCCACAAACTGTCGTCCCATGAGGTTGCGCTGATCCAATCCCTCACGCTCCAAATCGTCCCGGAAGAATGCTCCCTTGTGGAAGTATCGCTGCATGAACCCAGTCTGTCCACGCGTCGCCTCGCGCTCTTCCTTCTGGTTCGCGATGAACTCGCGATCTTCGCGGTCTCGTTCCTCTGCAGTGAGGTTGCGACGGCGCTCGATCTCCTCGCGCTCTTTTTCCGCTTCTTCGATCGCTTCACGCTCGCGCTTGATTCGCTTCAGCTCGCGCAGCTTCCAGGCTGCATACTCGGCATCTGGGTCTATGCCGTCGCGGTCGTCGATTTCGCCTTCTTCGTCCGCTTCTACTAACTCGTCGTAGTCCCAGGCTCGATTTCCGGCTGAACGGGCGATTGCTTCTTTCTCGAGTTGGTCACGGACAAGCTGGTCTGCTTTTTCTTGTCGTTGCGCGCGTCGCGCTTCCTCTTCGGCTGCTTCTTTTTGGGCTTCGTCTTGCACTGCGGTGTTGCCTCTCTTGTCTTTCTTGATAAAAGTAGGCCGTATCAGCATCCTCCGGGGCGCTTCGTCCTCGGAGCTGCTCTCTTCTTCAGAACTTTCCTCCTCGCTTTCCTCTTCGCTCTCTTCGGAGGCTGCTACCGGAGCAGGTTTGTGTGCTGTAGGTTCTGATTCATCTGAGTCAGGCTGCGTAGACCTAGCTTTTGGTGCTGCCGGGGCTTGATCCTCGTCTTCCTCGGTCTCGAATCCCTCCTCATCCTCCTCGGGCTCTTCCTGAGCTTTTCGAGCTGCGGCGGCTGGAAATGAGCTCGCCTTGGGCGCTTGCTGTCTTTTGCGCTGCGCTTCGATTCGTCGGAGTCGTTCTTGTTCTTTTTGCGCCTCAATATCATCTTCCTCTTCCTCTTCTGATGACGAGAGATCTTCTGCGACTGGTTTCCCAGGTCGGTACCGGCTCACTGGCTTGAGCGGGTTCGCGGTCATTCCCCGGTGCTGCGAGGGGAGTGGAGGAGGCATTTTGGTCAAATTGCTTGCCCAGTTGTCGCGGGAATTTTTCAGCAATGTTTTGGGCGCCTGTTTTGAAGATAACTCAAGGTGAATACGCCGTGCCCATTTGTCTGGTCTCTGGAGTCGACTGGCTCGAAGCTGGAGGCGTTGACGTATGAAGAGAGCTCCGGGTTGAAATTGATAATGTCACGTGATGATTTACTAGAATAGCTTATTAGAAATATGAGCTTTTGGATTATAAGACGATTGCATAGTGGAAGAAATTGCTGCAAGTTATTGAGTTAATTTAAAATACGAGAAGAATATCTCGTAGGTCTGGAAATATCTTGAATCGCCGCAGAAATCCACGGTCTCGAGCTATTAAGCTCTTTATGGACCCTCACGTGACCACGCGTTCCGCGCACCGCGTCGGCCCAAGAAGCCTGGATGTCCAGTTCAACTCGACGAACTCAATCATTTCGAGCAGCTCTCTGTGACAGTCTTTCCAGCGAGTATCAGCTCAAGCAGCAAATCAATCATCACAATGTCTCTCCAGACCCCCCCGCATTCTTCCCGCCCACCTGCACGCCTTCCACCCTTCGAGCTCCGGCTCGCGTTCAACACACACTGTCCGCCTGCTGGGCACCGTGTCCGCTCTCCACGGCGATACTGCGACAATTACATGTGGTGGCAATGGCGACGTTACACTCATCCTCAAGCCGGACTCCCACCTGCAGATGGGGAAACTTGTTGAAGTGATCGGGAAGGTTGCGGATCTCGAGGGTGGACAGGTATGCATTCGAAGTTCCTTATTCTTCACAAACTCAGATGGGTCTCAGAAATGAATGAGTTCAATCCTGAAGCGTGGTCGCGTGCAACTTGCTTGGACAACAGACTAACAGGATTTCTAGGGACTCGGCATTCGAGTGCTTGGAACGACGGACTGGGGCAACCCCGCCGACTGTGGTGAGTCTCTCTTGATAAGCTCAGGACAAGTGGTTTTTCTAACATGATTCATTTCGAACTCAGATTACAAGATCTATGAGCAAGTCGTCGAGGCTACGCACCGTTTCAAGAGCGTCTTCTACGATGCTGAGTAACTGATACCCGCGAGACTGGGGTCGAATTGACATGCTACATACCTCTCTGGCGAACTCTTCCTACGCAAGAGTAGTCCAGAAGCAGACTTGAAAGGAGGTTTCTGTAGTATTCTAGCATCATTTCGCTTGGTTGCAGCAGCTCGGTGTACAGAATAGCCACGAGTGGATTGAAGGGATTATCCACGGGTGCAACTATGGAAAGCACATGGAATATCAGAGAAACGGGGAAACCACTGTCCGCTGAGAGCCTGTACTTATCAGACCTGCATATTTAACACGATGTTATGATCATAGCTCGTCGATGGCAGAATTATATCATGCTATCCATGAGCATCTCATTGCTTTGCGTCCAGTAGATTATGTAAATGCAACTAGGCAACCCCGAGCTGTGCACCAACTTATCTGTACTGTTTTTGCTCAAGGTGACGATTGATCAAGGTGTGAGTCTCCCCAGCAAATGCTACAAATACTACTCCTCCGATGACTCTCCACGAATGGGCAGTTTGCCAGTCAACCTTAGAATCTACCTAATGGCCTGGATCTCAGCGCCTCCGGATACAAGATGAAAAGTCTGGCTACCGATACTGCCTACGTTCAATGTAACTTTGCAAGACCATTTGAGAATGATTTTTTTTGAATTAGAGATTTTCTCGTTTATATTGTTTGTCGTTTATCATAATTTGCTGCTCGGTGACAGCAATGGCCATATGAGTGCAGCCACAGGCTTATACATAAGGGACAAAGATTGTGGAGAAGACCAACAAGGTACTTCTGATCATCGTAGAAACATGATGCAGAATATCATCAGATGAAAGCTTAAAGCTGCTTCCACTCAGAGGTCAGGATGCAATAAAGAGAACAAGCCACCCAACCAAGACGCCGTCGCTCAAAATCAGACAGAGATAGAACAAAAAGTGAAACTTGCTATTAGACGTTGCTTCACGCTGTAGGGGAGGTTGCCTGTTGGCCGTGACTCTGCTCGCTGGCAGGCTGGCTTTTTGATGCTCGACCTATGGGGTCTGTGTTGAGAGCATCGGAGCTGAAGAAGCCCGAATCGGGCATCTCCGAGTCACCGAAGTTGAAAAGGTGGTATTGAGAGTCGTGCATGTTGTCTTTCATGACGGTCGAGTCGGAGAGGATTGCATTCATTAGGTCCCCCGAAGGACCGGGGCCCTCTTCCGAGCCAGAAGGAGAGACGTAGTCGTTAGGGAGCCAGTCAGCCCAGTTCTCATCTAACTTGGCGTCCTCCAAGTCAAAGTCAGATTGGTCAGGAGCCTCATCGAAGATATCGAGAATCATGCCATCGAGGGATTGGAAAGCTTCCGAGTGAAGACCCGCGTTTACAAGCGTGGGCCCACCATGCTTGTTAGGTGAACGATGCTGGCGGGGAGTGGTCCGCCCGTGGCCCTCCTGGATACGTTGCAGGCGCTCCGCAGTTAGACGGGTCGGGCTCTGGTTCATGTTTGAACGAATCTCCTTGCGCCGGTTAGCAGTAGGCGAGTGGCCGGGCAATGAGTGACGGCGCTCGTGCACTGCGTTGATGCGGTGGTTGCGGCGGCGAGGGGTAGGGCTGATTGGCATATCGAAGTCCATGGAAGGACTCTCGAAGAGGCCATCAATATCATCATGAGGGGTAGGCTCCGAATTCTCCTTATCCTCGTGGGCCGCTTTTTCTCCACGAGAAGCGATGCGGGGGCTGCGTCGGGGAGAACAGCTGTTGACAAAGGAGGCATCCAAGTCTTTCAACGCGCCATCATTGTGAGAAGAAGGGAAAAGGGCTCGTCGCACAGGCTTAGGAGTAAGGTGAGTAGTATCCTCAGGCGTAGGAGCAATTCGCTTCTCCAGGTTCCTAGCTGGACTAGACTGAATGGCTCGGCGGAGAGCCTCCACAGCATCCTGGTCAGCCCAGCGCTGCTTGGCAGTTTCCGAAGATTGTAGGGGCTCTGCACTGTTCGCCCGACGCTTCTTGTTGGGGTGGTCGCCTGAATAGTCCCGATCATTGACCGCTTGAGGAGTGGTGCCTTCTTCATTTTGTACGGAGGAGGCCTCGGTAGGAGCCGGAGAAGATGCTGCAGTGGAAGTAGGCGGGCCATTACTGCGAGCCCGGGTACTAGGCTTAGAAAGCGGGCCACCACTCTGCTTGCGATTCCTTGAGGAACGCTTTTTCGTGTTGCTGCCGGTCTTATCTGCAGGTTGCTTGTTCCACTTGTTCTCGGGACGCATTTGCTTGAACTTGTGAAGCCACAAACCACAGGGGTTACAAAGCAGGTCCTGTGTCCAACCCTTGTCCGCATTGGCTAGACTCTTCTTCACGATCTTGAATCGGGTAACCTCGCCCTGGTCATTCCGTTCCTGAACTTCCCAGAATAACATGTTGAGGCCATTCATCATCTCAGTTGCGAGTTGTTCACTGCCGCAAACCTCCATCGACCAGGCTCGACGCCACGTCGGGGTTTCCACAGAGCCACAGTTCTCGCAGTAAGGAGGAACTTCACCGGCTTTGACAGCCTGCTCTAAGCGGACCTGCACTTGCTTCGATCGTTTGGCACCTGTTCCACTGCGAGGCTTGCTAATTGCAGTCGGAGGCCTTGGAGTCTCGACGAAAGTGAAATCACTCATCGGGCCATTCCAGGTATGTGAGTGATGAAGGGAAGGCGGCTGACTAGGAGCAATTGGATCGCTGGCAGGGATGGCATTCATCAAGTGCACAAGCTCAGTATGCGAAATTGGTGCTGGTGCTAGCGGTTTCGGAGCAAGTCGAACGCCAGCACGCGAAGACGGCCTCGACTCAGCGGATGTGGTCGGACGGGTGGGTGGCTTACTGCAGCTCTGCTCTGCCAAGCCATCGTTCATCACAATTGAATCATTAGCGTTTTCTGACATGAGACCGATGGCACTAGCAGGAGAGTTGGCTTGGACTGCAGATCGAACAGGGCGAGAACGCTTCTCAGAGGGGACTTCGCGCGACTCAATCCTTTGTCCCTCCTCTACAGGGGTAGGAGCCCCGTCATCCAGGAGATCATCGAAACCACCACTCAGGAAGCCCGAATCAGTGTCCAGGGACATAGCAGGAAGGACGGGACTGGACCTTTGCGCGAACCGGTGACCATCCAAAATGGGAGGGGACGATGGCATATTGAACCCAGGCTCAAAAAGACCCTGGTAGCGTGAATCATCTGGAGATTGCGCACTCTGGTCCGTTGCGACTATATCATCGCTGTTGTAATATGGTGAAGCGTATGAGGAGACACTGTTGGTCGAGGATTCTCGAAGCAAGCTGGATTGGAGTCGGCCCCGACGCTGCATATCTCCAGGTCGGGAGATGGGGGTAGGTGGGCGAACAGGCTCCTCATGAGACTGCTCCACAGCAAGAGCAGGGTTGACTGGGGTAGGGCGATGGATTCGGACCGAGGCAGCAGTGCTGGCCATGACACGCAACGAGCTGGGTTGCCGCTCGATATTCATATCAGACTTGCCAGGCCAGCCCGCTTGGACAAGCTTGGCTCTCTTCCGAGGCTGTGGCTCTGCGACATCATCGGCACCACTTCCATAACCAGACTGCATAGAATCCCGTCTGGGCCGGCCGCTGAAACTTTGATGTTGGAAGTCAATGTCCTGCATAGAGGCACTGGATGAAGGGCGTATCATATCACTCTGACCAAAGTTGTGTTTCGATTGAGACTGCTGGTGCTGGGCTGAGGGGCGGGATCCAGCGGGTGTTGACATCCGACTAGGAGGACCGAATGAATGTGTAGGCGACGATGATCGAACGGATTCACTGTGGTAATTGGAGAACTCGCGTGGAGTAGCACCTTCACTCAAGAGCTGGTGGAATCGCTCAATCCCAGATTGGGTCACCGGGGAAGAATTTTGGTCGTTCTGTCGAGCAGCTTCTAGCAGAGCGGGATTTTGGCGGACGAAGTTGCTCCATGTTTGGGCATCAAAGTCGTGGGGAATGACATTGCTCAGCTCCCTGTATTTTTGCATACTATCAAGATATTCGCTTTGCATGACAGTTGGCACAGGAACTAGTCGTAATTTCACCTCCAATGTCTCCTGAGCACCGGCACCCCTCGAGAAAAGACCTTGCGGATTTTTGCACACACGACCAGTGACCATAGTCTTGGACTGGTGAGCCGGAGCGTCCGGTGTTGGCGAGGCAGAAGCGAGGACCCATGATAGCATTCCCTGTCCGACGAGAGGAGTTTCGTATTCGGAGTAGTCGTAAGCGTAAACGGTATAATCTTTTCCTAATTGAGCTACCAATTCGGGACTATATGAAAACCTGGTGAGCATTCGATAGACAGGCGTTGAACCCAAAACGGAGGCACAAACCTCGCTGAAACGATCGCCTGGATACATGTCTTCAATTCGATCACGCCGACCGGGGTTTGCTCATCCAGATAGGCAGTTTGTATGTCGAGGACATTCGGCCAGCGTGCCAGGCAATTCGTCTTATTCTCGTTGTCGAATGTGTATAAGACCTTCACTGTAGCACGACTGATTTTAGCTTCAGTCCTCATAAACAATCACGGGGAAGTCCATACGCCTCATGGGGCGAACAGTGATTCCGTCTTGAGAATCCATCTCGAATCACGCTTCGCTTGACCCTCATGCACTAAAGGTCACCAAGTGTTCATGGAGTGAAAAGGAGAGGGGAATGGCGGTGGTCGAGTGTATAAAAGGAGGCAAGGGTAGCGGTCCGAAGGGAGGAAGAGTGGATGTCGAATTTGACAAGAAAAGGAACCAAATCGACTTGGCTGCACTCCACGCAGCACTCAGCAGGGGTGAGGTAGCAACAGAGCCGATCTACCAGCCAAGCATATCGATAAGGGATCTGGTCGACCGGGAGAATCGGTAGATTACGCAGCAGGGTGGTGGAGCAGGTTCTGCAGGACTGGAATGTTAGCCGGGCAATGGGCGTGGATCTTCACAGGAGAGAAACGATAGATCGCTGCATACCTTAGGAATTAACCAAAAAGGGTTAAATTGAAAAAGAGAGGAAGTAACCCTGCAGCTGCTGGAGAGTAGGGGGAGGGGGGAGGTTGGGGGAGTTTAAGAAGCCTTGCATGCGCGAGCGTGAAGCTATCGACGATCACAAAACAAGCGTGTACGCGACGTGAGGCGTGACGCTCCACTTGGGGCCTGATATTTAAGGCGACAGTTTAGAAGCACGTGACCAATCGAACTTCGCGCGACGTCGAAGCTCGGCGGGCTTTCACGGCCCTTTTATATCCTCACCTATCGCCCATCATGTCGACAGCTCCGGACCCCAAGATTCAGTACGTTGTCAATGACTCATCTTGCTCTCATGATGATTCTCCCAGCTGACCTAAGTCCAGAGACCTGCTCAACAAGCCCAAGAACGAGCTCACGTATGTCACTCATCCCCTCCCATCTAGACCCAAAATCCCCGGTCGCTCCGATAGACATCATTGCATTGCTGTTCTTCAAGTGTCTGCCTGGAAGTGCGGGGCTACGAAAAATGAAAAAAGGCCCGCACCTTCAACAATCCTCAACATCCCCCATGCATGCCATCAAAACCCCTACAGGAAGCATGAAAACTAATCGTGCATTGCGCATTACAGTGAATATGAGGTCGCTCAGGTCGAAGAGCACGAGCTCACCGCCGGCCCGCTGTCTCTTCTGCAGACCGCCACCCGCACACACACCCAGGTCCTGATTTCCTGCCGTAACAACCGCAAGCTCCTGGCCCGCGTCAAGGCCTTTGACCGACACTGCAACATGGTTCTCGAGAACGTCAAGGAGATGTGGACCGAGAAGCCCAAGGGCAACAAGGGCAAGGGTGTGAACAAGGATCGCTTCATCAGCAAGATGTACGTTCGGGCCTCCGCTGCTATCTGCTATCGATACCGCACACCTGTTGATTCTTTATTTTATGTGCTACTGTGAGACTGACTTTTGATCTCCTCTAGGTTCCTGCGCGGCGACTCCGTCATCCTTGTCTTGCTGAGCTGAGCGCTCTTACCACATCATCTTATCTCGCGCATGCCCATCCCGCCCAAGAATTCACTTTCTTGAATCTGCAGGATGGTTGATCTCTCCTGCTGGCACCGCACATCGTACCCACTGAAATATCGGTGGGGCGAAAAATTCATCATGTAATCGATCTCGATACCCTTTTTTTTTGATTTCTGCTCCACGAGATGTCTCACCTTTGCTTCTGGTCGTCACCGCCGCGGCGTACTTGTCACTTGTTCCTGTGAGGTAACATTCGTGTGCAACGATGACCCCGAGAGTGCGTTGATCTTCGATATTGTTTTTTTCTCATCGTTCTGGTGGACGTTAAAAACATATGTTCCGGCGTTCTAGTTTTAGGGTTGATGAGTTCGCTCTTTGAAGAGCGTCCGGCGGCGTCTTACCTGGATCAGAGCGGTTAGCAATGGATTTTCGGGAGATCATAAAATTGGCCTCGATTGTTTTGGCGTAGCGTTCTAAGTGTTTCCATCTTTAAAGCTTGTGGAATCTTGTCTCCCGTATGCAGGTCAACCGAGGGTCCAAGAATCTATAAGATGAAGATATTTACACCGGCTTCAAGTTCCAAGGTCCACGATCCAAGGATTAAGACAAATCAAAGATAACTCAATTTTATTGTCATCACCATCGTCAAATTATAGTAACAAGACCACCGAACATCAACCCCGGTGGTCAGGTATCACGCTAGTCATCTATCAGGTAGGAAAAGACGTCAAAGCCAGTCCTTACACTGACTCGGCAAGTCCAGTCAAGAACTCAGTGAGACCATAAGCACCAGGATCCGGCACCTTGCCAATCCATTCCGACTCGCCGCCCACATAAACAGAGCGACCGAGACTAGCCTTCATGCTCTTGGTGGACTCGGTACCCTGCTGAGCAGCCGCCGCGGCGACTCGGACATCGTGAGTCTCGAAGAGAGTATCACAGAAAGGAACGAGTGCATCCATCAAGGTGCGGTCACCAGGCTTTGCAGGTGTGTATTTTCCGAGGGCAGTCACGGAGTGCTTGAGAGCGTTGGCCCAAACCTCGGTGGAAGCCTGAAGGGCCGAACCCGTGTCCTGCTCGCGCAAGCCGTGGGCCAACGCGTTCAGGAATATCGCATAAATCGCGCCGGACGTACCGTCCATCACGTTCTCTACCACGTCCACGATCCGGCTCACGGTGACCACCACGTCATCGGTCAATGGCTTCTCGAGCAGAGCTTGAATGGCTTCGGCGCCGCGCTTCAAGCCCACACCGCAATCACCGTCACCGACGATCGTATCAAACCGGGTCACCTCGGGCTCAGCCTTGATCACGCTCGCCAGGCCGGCGCCGAGAACCTTCTTGATCACGGCAGGATCCACTATCGTAATTTTAGCAATGCGTCACTTGTTTCAAGTGCTGGGGCCAGACGTACATTTGAGGTTACTGGGGGCGCTTTCGGCCAAGTCAGAATTTTGAACTTGGGGATAGGTGTCGACCCGATTCTCCCAGACGGAAGTGGGAATTGGGGCAAACCAGCCTAGAGCCTCGGCCGGAGCATCAATGAGTTCAAGCATAGACTTGCCCGGGCCAAGGCCAGTATCAGCCAATCTCAAAAGCGAGATGCTGAAGCCCAGGCCATTCAGACTGGTCAGGAAAGTGCCCTGGATCACCCGGACAGGCTTGATCTTATAGTCTCGGACAAGTTGGCGGTGGACCTCGTCAAGGATCCCGGACAGCTCGAGAGGGCTGACACCGCCAAGGTTGTTGATCAACAGGACAAAGTCATCTCCGGACTTGCGGGAGACATAGGCACGGTCCGGGTCCGTCTCGTCAAGCATCTGGGTCAGCATGGTCGAGACGACCGTGACGAGCTCATTCTTGTCGCGATGCGAACCGGGCTCGTTATGAATACCCATGCCAATCTCAATCTGGTCCGGCGGGATAGTGTCCTCGGGCACTCCACGGCCGGGAATATGGACGTGCTCCAGAGAAGAGCCAATGGTGAGCATGTTATCGTTGACCAGCTGGGCCAGAGCATAGACTTCATCTAAAGAGCCACTGGATTCGTTCCATTAGCACGCATCATTCCTCTCAAGCAGACATAGCTAACAACTCACCCAGCTTCAGCCAAAGCACCAATTGACTTCAAGATCAGCACACCACCACTCAAACCACGACGACCAACCTTGCCGCTCTTCTTCCGCCCCACGCTTACATCGTCATTGATCGCAAAGAACTCCGTGCGGATACCCGCAGCACGGGACTTTTCCGTGGCCATACCGAAGTTGAGCACATCGCCGGTATAGTTGTTGGGAATGATCAAAACACCAGCCTCGGTGGGCACACGGTCAATTGCAGCTCGGCGAATCTGCTCCGCAGAGGGAGAAGCGAAAACAGTGCCGGCAACCGCAGCATCACAGAGACCCTGACCGACGTAGCCGGCAAATGCGGGCTCGTGGCCAGATCCACCACCGGTGACGATGGAGACTTTCTTAGCCTTGCGGGGCGCATCTGGACGGCGGAAAACGATCTTGTGCTCGGCGTCGAATGCAAGCGAGGGGTTGGTGAGAGTAATCGAATTCAGTGCGGTCATGACCAAATGGGTCGGATCGGTGAAGAAGTGCTTGGCTAGTCCGTGTCAGCAAGCGATTCTTAGCTATTCAAGAAATACATACTCTGCATTGTGAGTGACTTTTCGTTATACTTCTCTGTTCATGCTTTTTCTCTTCTCTCCAGAGTGTGAGATTCAGTTGGTGAATCTCGCTGGATATGGTGACAACAACGACTCTCAAATGATACGCCTGTTTGAATAACCAGAGAACCCCGAAATGCGCTTTGTGCAGGGTGGCGAGCTGCGGATCTACTTCGAGCGGCGAAGGCGGGGAAAAAAGTGGGGGATGGACGCAGACTGGGGATTCCGTTAGTTGAGAGCCATTGCGGATTCAATCGTCCTTTCTGCCTCTTGAGATTGAAGTTGGGCAGCATGGCAGATGTGAACGGTAACAGGGTTGCACCGATGGACTCGTTGGGAACCGGGAGTAAATGGACTGGAACTCACTTTGAAGCTGTCTCGAGGGTGAAGAAGCCGCAAAGTATTCCGCAGATGTGACCAAGAAATCACTACGAGCTCGGAAGGAGCTCTCTCTCTCGCTCTATATATACTCGGACATACCCAATGATTTCATGAATCCACAATTCGATTTCCGGAGCGCATATGAACCACAATTGCTCATCGTGCTGCCTCCTCGTTGGTCTAGCACGGGAGCAGCTCGGATTACCTTGTGCGGACATCCCGCCAGGCACAGTCTTATCGCCCGAGTGGCTACACACCGTCATTCACTCGAAGCAATTGAGTCCCCGCGCTATTCACGAGAAAGCAGCAAACGCTACCAACGGTCTCGATCACTACGAGAGATCGTGCACCCTACCGTCACGTTCTTCGCATTGCCGTTCTTCATTCACCCTCCCCTCGAACCGGCAACCTAAAGGCTGGGCGACAGGAAGTTTTGGCCAGAGCTACACAGCAAGGGTCAGGGCCTGGGCAAAAGTGGAGGCACGCATCATGGGACCTAGCAATTATGATGTGGGGGTTCAGCGCAGAATCCTCTAGCTTCCCGGCAATGGGGCTTCGTTTGAATCGACAATTGAACGTAAATTGGCATCAATTGACTTTGGACAATTATTCATCACTTTCCTATTATGTCTCAATGAGCCTAAACACCGGGTAAACCAGAGATCAATAATGCAAAAAGGACCACATCAGTAACTTGTACATCACCCCATTTCCCGGCGCCAAGCGGGCAATCCGGGGCTTGAACACGCTATGGGCCCGGAGCTGCCCCGACAATTCTTGGTCTTCCCGTAGTCCGTAGTGAACATATTTTGGGAAAATATTGGAAGCATATGTCTAGGTGGGCCAGGCTGGTGTTGATGGGGACTTCTCCATTGTCAAGTGCTTGGAAAGATGGAAAGCGTGGTTCAACTAGGACTAGGCTGTGGCGGTAATCACTACGAAGGTTGTGATCGCGCGGCAATTGCAGACACTCGCCTGAGGGGGTGAATCGGTAAATGCTGCTAGATACACTAGATCTATGCCACATAGCTGTACTTATTACCCTCGACACGTTCCATGTAGTCCTTCTCAATCAGTCTGCGGGAAGGCAAGGTCAGAAAAAAGAGCTCGCAAGATGCGTGAACAGAGAGACATACTTTTCGATATTGGTCTTAATGTCGGCCGGTTGGAGTGCGCCGCGGTGCTGGGTCGCCTTGATGACATCTGCAATGAGCTGAGGGTGCGTAATCGGCTCCTTGGTACCCTTCATGATCCGCACAATGGCCGCCTGCGTCTCGTAATGCCGGTCTGCCGCTACCCGCTCATGCGTTGTCTTGTTCTCCTCTTTGGTCTCCTTCAGCTGGATTTGATTGATCTTGATGCGCCGCTTTTCATCGGTAAAACCTGCATTCCACAAGAACTGATCTGTGGTGTTGACTTCTTTGCCCTTGGGGTTTTTGGTCAGGACTCGATACTTGGCGCAGGCGAGCGATTGCAGAGTGCGCTTCAACTCCGGATCCGCTGTCGATGGAAATTAGCTGTTGTTGGTTTGAAGCAGATCGGAAAAAAAAAAAACTTACAAAGCCCAACCGCTTCCTTGATGTCAGCATAGCTCATGCTGTCGCCCTCGGCAACATCATTGAATAACAGCAGCACGATGGCTTGGAAGGAGCTGACGACCAGATCTTTCGGGACCTTCTCCTTGGGGAAGCGAGCACGTAGTTGACAATGCGCTAACTGGTGCTTCCATTGAAGCTTGCGACCGGTGTGCTTTTTGCTGTAGAATTTCTCAAAGTCGCCGAGAGCCGATGCAACGATCGGTGGAATCGTCACCGGGACGTCCGGGTACGATGGCCACGCAGAAGCAGAGATTACGCTGACATGCAAATCAATCGACGACCGTCCTCTCATAATTTTATCCTCATTGAAAGCTGCCATCTCATCACGCGCCACATCCATGTCCTTGAACATCGATTCCAGATTGTGAGTGAAGCTTGAGCCGCATTCTGGGAGAGTTAGAACCATCACTATTGAAGGAGACATAATGATGCACCAACCTTTCTTGAGTCGCACGAGCATGCTCTTTTCCGCGTCGTCGTTGGCGCTTTTGCCCATTAATAAACGCCTAGCAAGGTCGTTCTTGTAAAATGCTTCAAACACCGCCTTTCCTTGCACAAATCGGAATAGATCGAGGACTTGGTCAAGTTGCCGGTCAATCTCGGCATCTTCATCCGCCATTGTAACGTCCTCCTGGCCGACCACGCCGGTGGTCATTACCTTCAACCCGCCTTTCAGCAGTCGATCGACGTGCTTGGCAATCATCTCACCAGTCTTCGTATTGTCCGTGCCACCGCTAGATTCGGACTTCTTTCCAATGTTCATAAACTTGGCAAAGGCCTCACGAAGAGCGTGGCTGAGGTCGTCATCTCGATCAAACGCTTCTGCCCAGGTAGCATCTAGCTGTTGTTTGAACTGGAGTAAGCGTACGACCATTTCTGATTCATTGGCTTCATCGAATACGATGCTGGACCCTTCTTCCACAATAAAGGTATTGAAAGCCGGTTTCAATTTGTTGGTCAAGCCTCTCCGGCTGAGAAGAGAGTAGAGCTGCTTCAAAGCGCTCTTATTACTTGATCGCATCAAGCCAAGGACATCATTCATTGCAAGAAGATCATCCTCCTGCTCAGAAACCAGAACTCGGTCCAGAAGCTCCGATAGCTTCTGCTTTGTGCTCTGGTTGAAAGAGAACAGCGCACAGCGCTCGATCTCACGCTCAATCAATCCGTGGCTATTGGCAACATACGATGCCAGGTCCCCTTCAGCCTCCTGCTGAGCCCAAGTAGCCACGAACTTTTCGGTTTCGTTTATGAACAAAGGCTCGAAATCATTATTGTAGACATCGAGGTTGTGAAAGAGATCGATAGAAGCCCGCAGTAACGCAGGATCAGGCATTCCACCTCCTTCCCCACCTCTGTCCGCGGTAATGAGATCACAGGCACCTTGTAATATCTTGGGCTTGAGGCTTCGATCGGCGAAAATGTAGGAGCGGAATTGGATTAATCCCATTTCCCGGATCACGGGAAATTCCTTGGAGTGCAGAAGAAAGGATTGATCGAGGTAATAAAATACCCAGCGAACAGTGACCTTTTCACATGTTAGTCCTCAATCGATGTTTCTGACAAATGACGAATGCCAGCCACTTACTAGTCGTGAATGCCACGCCGACCATGCTTCGATCACTGCCCGTAATGTATCAACATTGGTCCCGCCACCTGCTCTTTTCACCAGATTGTCTCGCAGGGTTCCAGCAACGTAGTCTTTGCACCTTTCTTGGACTTTCTTAGCCAGTAGGGCGGCCCGCTCTTGCCGACAGATGTTCTCGGCGCCCTTGTATAGTTCTTCCAAAGAGATATCCGGCTTCTTGCCCTCGAATATGGCCGACAGGGCCGCATCGAGCTGCGCCCAGATCTTGTCAAAATATGGCTCCTGGCTGACCCGAGGTCCGGTGCGCAGGTTCTTGACGACGAGCTTCTTGGCACCAGCTTGGGGACTGAAGTTATTCTGTCGCGCATTCGGGTTCGACGCCGGCTTCTTGATTGATGAGGGATTCATAGCTGGAATGCTTCGTCCAAAGGCAGCGCCGTTCTTGGGTGGCGAACCGGAGAAGTTATACATCTTGGTGGGCGAGACTGGGTGAGCCGAAGAGCGCGAGGGAGAGAGGGACAAACGGGACCGTTTGGAGACTGGGGAGGTAGTTGACGGCAGGCTATCCCGAGGGAGGTTCTTTGACAGAAGTTCAGAGATAGTCCTCTGGGACTGCGGCTGCGATGGCTCTCCGTGATCAGAAAGCTTCCTCTTGCCAATCGATTTGCGCTTACCGCTCCTCTCGGTGTCGCCGCTCGAGTGCTGCTGCATCTACCCGGTTCAGTCCGACTCTAGTTGATGAGCTCTTTGCGAAGGGTAAATGGCAAGTATTGATCGAGCATCACCACCAAGGCAGGGAAGGAAGGGCAGAGTCCGGGAGTTGTTGAGGGGAATTGACGTTGCTCTCCCTTGGAACTTGGCTCCGCACGGCGATAAGATAGGAGCTCCGGCCCTTCACGATTACTAGACAGAAGATGATGGAGACTGGGTCAACATTGGATATCCTTGGTTTCAATGGGCCATGATTTGCCTACATATTCAGTGAGACCTACATCTATGTGTTAAACCGCTGTGGGTAAGAGACTTCCAAAGCCCCCCTGACTTGAACGCTCAATATCCCGGAGACCACCGGAATATATATCCCACGTGTTTGGAACAAATGCGTGAAATAACCCACGTTTCTATCCAGCGATGTAAGCTCTACGATATCAGAACTTTGACACTGGTTGAAACGTTAAACCTTGCAAGGCTATAGCCTGGCCTGGAATGCATTCATGATAGAGACTGCCAATCGCTCAACCTCCCACAAGAAGCCTACACCCCGCATCTATGTTACACGCCATGCCACCCAAACGGACCCGAATCCAAAAGCTCATGAGAATAGCGTAGGCCGAGCGCTTTGCTGCAATTCCTGATCCTCGAACTATGCCAATGTCAGTGAGAACGACCTTATGAAAGCACGTGAGGAACACACACATCTAGGTAGTCGGTAGCGGCCACAAGAGCCATGAAAGACTTGACGAGCTCGCACAAGGTGCCCTGATGATCGGAGGGGGCGCTTCCTCCAATTTTTGCAAATCGCTTGAAGACTCCCACCATGCATGGCCGGTTCTCAGCGATGAAAGTAACTGTCTGAGCCTTAATCTGTTCATTGTGGGCCCCACGGGAGAAGACTGCCGAAACTATGACGCGAATCACGGACAGGAGAAGACCATAATACTTTCGAAGGGCATCGGGGTTATCAATATCTGTTCATGTCAGCAAAAGTATAGTAGCAGGATGAAATCGAAAGTGAGAACGGACCGATGCCAATATCCGGGTCAGCAGCGAAAAGCTGCGAGTCACGAACCGACTCGAAAAGACCAGATTTGAGAACTGAGATGGCTCCGTTCTTGGTCTGGCACAACTGTTGAAGGAGAGCGAGTAAAGACTCGTAGTATGCCAGCAAAACGATTGTGTCTGGAAGTAAAAAGGATCAGCAATGTGGAGACCGTGAACGGCAAGAGACGTAACATACCTGCTGCTTCGGCGTTTCGCAACTCGAGGGGCAGTGATCGGACTGCATCTAAGAACAGACTGAGATAGTTGGACTGTGAGATCGCCTCAGCCAGGACGCAGTCAGTCCGACTGTCCAGGATCGCAAGACAGTTTAACAGGAGCAGAGCCGCAGCTCGACACGTTTCTTGGCCAGTGTATGCATCATCACAGATGGTCTCAATGAGGCCAGGACCGGATGCCTTGACAACTCGCTGGCTATGACGTCGCAGGCCGTCGTGAGTCTCATTCGACGATGTAATGCGGGTGATGTAGAGCGAGCAAATGCTGTACAAGATTTCTCTCAGTTCCACGTTGCCAGTGGCCAGCGTGATACCACGAGAAGCGACTTGGAAAAGTTGATGAAGTTTCTCATCAATGACATCTCCACTGCGAGAAGCGGGGATTGTAGAGATATCGGAAGCGAGCTTGCCAACCAATGTCTCCGCCAACCGTGCCAATTCGATGGCTTCCGGCGAATCATTGTCAATTGCTGTTTCGATCTTGGGGAGAACCATTTGAATAGCGTGAAGGATGAAAGTTGGTCGGCTTGACTCATCAATGATCGAGCAGGTAATAACTGTAGTGATGAGCTCAGCCCATGATCGTAGGGCAAGGTATCGATTACGTTGAATTTGGCGGCTTTGGTTAGTGGCGATAAGGAAAATCTTCAAGTTCTCTGCCTCTACCAGGAACTGCTCCTCGTCCTGTGGGCGGAATGGGCCACTGGCCGATAGCTCCTGTCTCCGAATCTTTATTAACTCTTCGACCTCGGCACTACTGTAGAGGATCAAAGAGTCGCCTTCTTCCTTGGCACATGCCTCAACGGCAAGTTGATCCAGCAGAGCAAGCTCAGGTACAGGAATTTCGCGACCAACATCTAGATCCGCAAAGTCGAATAGATCAAACACAGAAGGGTTGTTAACAGAATCTCCATTACCCAGGATGGAATTTCCGAGCAAAGTTGACAGGACTTCCGTCTGAAGTGTTGGAGAGCCAGTCTTGGCCGCTGAGCGAATCTCGGTTGCAGCGTACGCAAATAAATGGCTGCGATAAAGTAGGAATTCCGACAGTGCCGAGGTAGCATCGCAGAACCAGAAATCGTTCGATGTGATTGACAAACCATTCCAAGCGGTGTTCGGACCCACGATGGGCTGTCCTGCAAACATATTCATTAGGAAACCCTGAGCACGCATTTCTCCGAGGGTGAAATAGGTCGCCAGCTTCGAGGACCAAAGATGCTTTAGAACCTCAAAAGCCATACGTTTGAGGTGCACAGTCCATGAAGTGATGCTACCACCAATCTCGTCGGGATATCTTTGCAAAAATTCAACAATGGCATGTAACAAAGACATTTGGTTCGCAAACAATCCCTCTGATGGGATATCGAGAATATTGCCGACACAGCTGAAGCCGAGAAGGAGATGAGCCACAGTAGGACGATCTGTGATCATTGAGAGACAGCTATTCAAAAGAGCCAGAAGGCTTTCCCGAATGACATAACCTGCTGCTTCCGCGCCGTACTCCAGCTCTCTCGGGTCTGGATCCATTTGTGAGACAAGAGAGCGGGACACACTGTCAACATCCACCTCACTGGCAAGTACCTCAACAATTTTGTTCGAGGATTGCCATTTGAGCAGTTCCGGCGATGACATCTTGTTCAACTTGCGAGAACTTGTGAGCTTCTCGAGCAACGCCATGGAGGTGACAGTCAGTTGCTCATGACCCGTTCCACAATATAAGCAAAGAGCGGGCACCAGTGTCAAGTTGTTTAGTACACTGTCTTCAAAAGAAGCAAGTGATGAGTTTGCAACGTTTGTTCTGTTGGACCCAGCATGGGCCTTAATCAAAGGCTTGACAACGTTGAAATATGTCGACTGAAGATCCATGATCAGATTCATCACCTCGATACTTCGAAGCAAGGTCAGGACCAGAACAGAGTCGGAAGGTGCTTGAGCAACCTCGGCGATATCCTGCTGGCTGATTGCAAACAGAGCCTTCAAGACATCCTCGTTGAAAAGCCACTCCATGACCCGAGCAAATGGATGCAGACGAACGTAGCCAACGAGGACTGATGCAGCCGGCGATAATTCTGCGAGGGAAGGTTGGCTAAGAACAGCGACAAGGTCTTCACTAAAACTTTTCAGACTCGCCAGAACGAATTCTAAACAGTTGTACGTCAGACGACGAGATTGATATTCATTGAGATCCTGGACCTTGCGAGACAAAGCATGGCCCAAAACGAAGTCGACATAAGGCTCGATACCAGGCATGCGATAAGTTGCTCCTAAGGTCTCCGGGAATGGCAGAGCCAAGTTGTTGCCTGCAATATCGGAAGCGGGCATGATCAGAGTGTTGATCAGGAGAATGAATGCATTAGATTGGTCAAAACTCTCCCCGATCTTCTGCAGAGTCTGCTGCTCGTGCCACACCATTTGTTGGGGAGACGGTGCTTTATTATTGCCCTGAACAGAAACCAGCGCACCAGACAGATACTGATCAATGGCGTTCCACATCTCGTTGCCGTGGGCGGATGTCTTGTCGGCCACCAAGGCTGAAAGCGCGGTAAACGTGGTGGCTCGGAGATGAGTGGGTATCGGCCCCTTGCACAGCGTCAAGAGATTTTCAACCACCTTGAAAGATTCATTTTGCAACATCCATTCCCTGATGGCCCCACTTTGTTTACAGAGATGCCCCATGAGGCGAAGATAGCAGGTCAGCATGACTGGACTCTCTGGCTCGCTCATATCGACTGGCTCTGGCTTTCGGCTGCGCATCATTCCTTGAGAGGCACTGCTTGTGGTAGATTTCTCAGCAGTGACACGGCCCGCATAGAGTTTGACTTCGGCAAACATCTGAGTCCAGTTCATTGTCGTCGAACGCTTTAGCTTGGACCCCATGAATTTGTCTTCCTCAGACAAAAATCTGTTTGCCGCTGCAGCATTTTCTTCACCTTCTGAGATAGAGCAGAGCATCTCACAAAAGGCACTAACTCTAGGGACAGTTTGACGCTTTGAAGCCCACTGAAGGAATCCGTAAAGATTTCCATCAGGATCGGCCCAGAATTCCTGCGCGGCTTCTTGTCGACGCTCGAAAGCGAAAGAAATGATCATCAAGAGTGATTCAAGATGAGTTCGAGCCTCTACCAGGCCGCGATGAACATTGGTTGTCAGACCGTCTCTCAGAGCAGTGATTTGCTCCAATCGTTGGGTGTCCTCTTCGGACTTGAGCTTGCGAACTGCGTCAGGCATGTTCGCAATGCATGATTCCACAAAGACCTCAAAGTTTTCCATTAAAAGCTCCTTCATGTAAAGGGCGCACGAGTTGGCCTCGGGTAAGGAGATGACGCTCTCTCTCAGAAGAAGCGCCACAAGCTCACTTCGCGCGGGATCAGCCCACTCTTCACTGTTCACACATGAACAAACAGCGAGCATGAAGTCAAGCGCACCGTCATCGAGTGCAGTCATAAATGACTTTGTTCGCTCGTCAGCCTCTTTCTCAAGATCGACACCGGGAATCGGGCCGTCATCGAAATACCATCCACTGTATACCGACAGCCACAGGGCAATGATGGCAGCATGGAAGGCTGGGAGCTTCCAAGTAAGACCATCTTTACCGGTGGTAATGACGGAATTCAAGTCCCTTGCTTCTTTCTGTGAACCATTGCCCTCCGGAGAACCATGCTGAACAAAGGAAGCAATTGTGACGGGAAGATAGTGCATCAACAAACCATCAAATCGCTCCATTTTCTTCAATTGGGTGATGAGTACCCGGAAATCTTCCTGACTTGTGTATGTGCCCTTAAACATGTAGAAGAGAATAGCGCCAAGTGACTCATGCTGTTGCTGCAGACTTTGTCGTTGATACTCGATGGCCTCCATGACGTCGCGGTCTCCTTCTTCCCCAACGATGGAGGCTTTCTGGACCTGATCGCCAAGAAGTGAGAGCCATTTCTCGATGTCTTCCATTGATTTGAGGCCCTTCCTTGCGAACTCCGATGCGTTTCGGAGAGGGCTGTCCTTGATTTCCAAAATATAGGCGAGAGTTTCTTGCATAATGCCTTGTGTGACCTCGCGTTCGACTTCGTAGGACTCGCGGAAGATAAGGCGCAAACACTCGAGAAGGAAATGACGACGTTCGTGGAATCGCATGATGGCGGTAATCACAGGAGGTCTGTCCAGCACCTGAGAATCTTCTTGAGCCGCGAGAAACATCATTGCAGCATCCAATTCGTTGAGATTGAGCGCGTCGGCCAGCTGTAACGCGCCCTGCTGGAAATCCTGATTGATCTCATATTCAACGTCCTCGACCGTAATCTTCCCTACATTATTATGTTCTAGGTCAGCGTGCTCCCTGTGCGCAATGAACAAAGCCGGAACAAATTTAGTAGATACGAACCCGAGAGGACCTTCTGGCGACTGTCGTTGGCCTTAGGGGGGTTTGTCTCAGGAGTTTTCGGAAGTCGTGAATATGGGTCTCCAATTCGATACAGAGCCGTTCGATGCTTGGAAAGGGAGAATCCGTGATGGCAGAGAGATCCTGATACAGGCCACGCAGACCTGCCAGGTTATCGTGCAGCTCTGCCATGTCGGCGCGGGGTGAGAGAAGTGAGAAGGCTAGCTTTAAGCTCTGTTTGTTCCAGAAAGGCGGAGCGCGATCAAAATTCCGGGCGGTCATCATCTGGGCAATACTGCCGCTCCACAAAACAACTGCGTCAACAACGATCAACGCGCGAATTTGCCGATTCAACATGGCTGATTGAAGTCTGATTTACGAATGGTTGGATTATCGTTGCCGTGGAAGGTCGACGACTTTCGCTCCGCTCACTCCAATGACGGAGATATTTCTTGACCGAGCACTCGGGCTTCTGGCATCAGAGAAGCAAAAAGATCGAAGTGATGGGCTCGCAGGTCGGTTGAGACTAGATTACTTGGGAAATCCAGACTAAGTGGACACATCAGACCTGAAACATATTCTGCAACAGAACAAACAGAGCTCTAAACTGTAAGATATTAACGCATCGATGAGGTTCAGCAGCTAACGTCTGACTGGGGGGTTTTTTTAGTTTGGATCTCAATGATAAAGCCTGCTTCAAGATTTTTGAGACGCTCTTCCGACTGGTCGCCTCTGAAAAATCCGGTTACGCCCGAGCCCAACGGTCGAACTCCAAGAGCCCTTCTACAACACGTCTATCAGCATGCGCGTCGGTCATTCGGATAGCGGTCGACACTTTCCTGCAAAACATCAGAATCAAGACCGTCCGTGCCGTCATTGAACACATTCTCGAGACCATACCGATCCCCGGGGAAGGCCTTTGGGAGCTCATGAGCGTGGACTATACCAAATGCCTGACATCTCTACTTCGCTACCCACCCCACACGGAGCATCTTGGAGATGCAGATTGGGAGAAGCTCATTGAGTTCTGCCTAACGGCATTGAGACTCCCAGTGGACGATGAGAGTCAATTTAGTATCCGCAGTGGATATCGATCCGCTGCCGAGGATACAAGCGATGGCCATTCGACTCCAGCAAGGATGACACCCGCTCCAGCAGCTAGAGAAAGATCCGTGGGCGATAGAACTGCCATCGGAGAGGTTGTAGAGTCTATCCAATTACTGACTGCAAGCCCAAGTGCCCCTACTCAGCTTGCTGCGGAGAACATCCTCCACGGGCTTGTAGAATATGTCAAATCCTCATCAACGGTGGCTGGAAATGCACACCAGCTTGCATTCAATAGCATCAATACAGTGGTGGCAAGGGTCATGTTTGATCAGTCTCAAATGGTTCAGTCAGCTCTTTTGCGCCTCATTCCGGTAATTCGACGCATATGGGTCACTAAGCTTCAAAGCTTGAAGGACGAACTACTCGTCACTTTGATGCACTGCACAGCTCTCCTCGCCGACGCAGCTCAAAAAGATCCTTCCGAGCCGCTGGAGCGCTCTATTGAGGGACTTATCAGCTCCCTGTTCTCAGAGTATGTGAGGCGTCCCGAGAAAGAGCTGTTGCAGGTCGATGATGTGGTATTCCACGAGGCAGCGGAGATGGAGAATCGACAGCTGTATGGACCTCGCTTGGGATACTCTCGATCTGAACACAATTGGTCTCTAATCTGGGTTATCGCAAGCTTCCTGAAGCTGTTGGAAGACATTTCAGCTCGTCCAAGAGACCCGGACTCACTTCGCGAGGCCTCGGGTAAAAGGCAGCGTTTACATTCTCGCATCGAGGATATCTTTCTAGACGCAATTTCAGCTATAGGAGCGCGGAAGATATGTGCCCTTCAGCTGGTTCCGTTTCTTGAACAAAGAATCGATTTGGAAAGAAAAGAATCTTTCATCCGGCGACTTACACCCAACATCATGGATGACAATGGCGCTGTTTCTTCTTGGACGATGATTGCATTGGCAAGGTTTGTCGAACATACTACTGAGGTTTCCCTTTCATTTTGAGCTAATTGATTGATCTGAGTAGCATTGCGACTGGTCCTGACTCGAAAGCGACTGCGTTTAAGGGCCATTGGCCGAGGGCTGTGGACCTCGCAGCCCGTGCATTCTCTTCTTCAGTCACATCTAGAGCCGCTTGCAAGCTCATGAGTGCAGTCATAGAAGCTGAACTACTGAATTATTCCACTTTGACCGAAATTACACGGTCCATGCTGTCTTCTGCAGGCCTGAACGGCCCCTCCGCAGTCTCAGACACCTCTCTGGGCCTTTGGGCACTGATAGCACGGAAGAGATCCCAAATATGCCCCGGATCAGCACAGAACGCTTCAAAGCAAATTTGTAGTTGGCTGAGGGAAGCTTGGACTATCGGTATCATCTTCTACTATCTCCCATTTGACGCTTCGAATCACTAATCATGAACTCTGCAGGCTCTGTTACTGATCGTTTCCAAACAGCTCAGGTAGCTCTCTATGCGCGCCCATTCGACTTGCTCAACCTCTTCATGGCCTGCACCAATCGATCTTTCAGTCCTCCTCGCCTTCAAGAGACAGGGCCTACAGGACCCGTAGCAAGGGCGTGGCTTTTCTTATATGAGAACCAAGGCCTATTAGAGTACCTTTTCAACATCACACCTGACCTCCGTAACTCCAATCCATGGAGCAGGGAAAGCTCATGGCGCCTTGAGTCTTCAACACGGCAAGACGCCGATGATCTGGTGATCATTGACTTGTTACGATTGAAGTCCGACATTTTTCTTCAAAACTGGAATTCATGCACAGAAAACAGATCGCTTCATGTTACTACAGACATCCTGCAAATTCTCACTTCTTTCTGTACTGTTTCTACTCTATTCGGGGCATGTCTCCCTCTGCAACTGGAACCACGGATGATAGAAATCCGCAAGAATTGCCTCCTCATATGGAATGGTATCTGTGAATTTTTTGCGGCCCACGGATCGCATTTGATACAACCTTGTCTTGAGACAATAATGCCATTCATTTCCTCGGCACCAAAGGCCTGTACCGTCGCGTGGACTGGAGTTTTGCCGCTCGCCGCTCCACTTGCCAAAGTGCTCGAGGGGTTTCGCAAGAATTCAAAACAAGACAGTACCGAAATACATGATTTGATGGATTCGGATGATCGGCTGACGGCTCAGGGCGATCAATTATCCACTGACCAGAGCATCATTTCTATGAATCGGGAATTCATTGCTCTATTTCGAGACACAGTCACTTTCCAGCGGTGTATCACTATTCAGCTTTCAATCTTGTTAAAAGTACAACCCGGGGCTGGCTCGCAGGTGAATTATTCTCCGGACATCATTGAGTACCTAACGAGCTTCAATGAAGCAGACCTTTTGTCAGCTAAGCACATATTACCCGATGTTTATCGCAGCATCTCGAGAATGGATCAGGAGGGTTTACTTTGTGTCCTGGAAGATCTGGGCGAACGATGTCTTCAGTCGTATGAAATGGAGCGATGTGAAGCTTCTCACGGCATCTGTATCAGCATGATGAGCGGGTTTGTTGCTTCTTGGACAGATGAACAAAATCGAATCCTGGGTGATTCAGCCATGGACTTATACAGTTGGTTCATGGAAGCCTTGCTGGCTAGAAAGAGAGCCTCACCGAGAACCTACATCGTCTTGTCCGAGCTCATTGAAGCTGTGCTTGATGCTCGCCCTTCATACGGCAGTGAACAATCGCTCCCATCGCCCCGTACGAGCCTATTCACAATCCTCCATGAAGGCGATATCCAGGTCAAGTTCAGCGTTGCGGGCTTCATACCTTCCTTGTTTCAACGGTTTCTGCTCAAGGACCATGATGCTATCTTCGACGATGTTCTGGGAAGTTTGCCTAGGGATCCGGATTGGGTTGAAGGCATTGCTCTTCGCCTTTTTGTCCTGTCCAAACTAGCATCTGACTGGCACACTCTACTTCGCAGGTGTATTTATCACATGTTCGAAACACCAGCTCAGGTGCCAGCCTCTCTCGAATACGCTCAAAAGTGCATGAGATCCGTGTCGAACGCGCTTGGCTTGCGAGACGCGACTGAATTATTTCGACTTTTCGCGTCTCAAATACTCTACACTTGGACGGAAACACAGACGGTTACTTCAATGCCATTCAGTATCTTTGAATATGAGAATCTCAAAGAACTGCTGCTCGACGTGAAGGACGAGGTCGTTGGGCAAATCATGATGCGGGCCAAAGAGTCGGAACTGCAGGAACTTGCAAGTTATCTCCAAATCCCTTTTGCTGAACTTCTGGAAACGTCGTTCCACAAAGCAGAGGCCTATTGTATCGCGCGGGACATCACCACCCCACCTGAACCAGGTAGCCAGCCCAAAGGCGTGGAGGTTCGGATGAGAAAGCTACTGGGTGCCGACAGTTTTATGAAACATGCTGAGATGCGCTTCCCTGAAATCATAGCTATATTCTTCAAATCCCTGGATCGTCATGATCAGGTTGAAAGAGCATTTTCAAAACGGCCAAATTTTCAATATGCATTGATCATTCATAAAAAAATCGTTGGCAAAGGCGCGGCTCAAAGTTCGTTGCCAGCGAATCAGCAGCCCTCATTCAGGGCCCGCTACCTCCTGGATGAGCTGGATTTCCTTTGCAAACGAGTAGGATTTGAATTGGAATCAATCTGGACTCCTGTACTAGCATCATTTGTTAGTCGGTCGCTACTGGAAACTATACATCCGGCCTTGGGATCTCTTCACACGTGTTCCGCTATTCGGAAAATCAGAATTTTGGTCTGCTTGTGTGGCCCTGTGATGCTGGAGGGCTATCCTTTCGAGATGCTGCTTCATGCTCTTCGCCCATTCTTGAGCGATATTCACTGCTCGGAAGATGCCTTGGGAATTTTCTGGTACTTGTTAGAGGCCGGCAAGGGGTACTTGATGGGTAAGCCCGAGTTGGTGGCAGGAATCTGTATTACGACTTTCTTGACGCTTCGCAAGTTTTATTCGTCATCCCTGTCAAGCACCACGCAACACAGCCAATTCGAGTCGGCCCTTACAAATGCGGAAAAATTTCATCCGTGGCTCTGTCAATTTGCTGAAGAATGCCGTAGTTCAGACTGGGATCACGAAACCCAGGAGCCCTACTCTCGAATGTTGAACCTTGCTGAAGACTTGTCAGCACCCGATCGGCCAAGAAGTGGTCCAAGCGAGAAGGACTTGGTCCTTGAAGTGCTTGAAGACCAAGCCGCTAAAGTCCCTTTGCTTCAGAAGCCGATAGCGGATCTTGTGCTCTCGTTACTATGTCCCGAGTTCAAACAAGTCAAGGATGACGCCGTCAGGTCCTCTGACAAGGCTCTTGACGCGGATTTTCTCACCGTGTCGTTGTGGCGTACCCTGCATAAGTTCAACGGCGGACTCGAGTACCGCTTATGGGCTGCTAGAGTCATCGGGCGCTCCTTTGCGTCGTCGGGCAAGATTAACGAAAGTTTGCTTCGAGAGCAGGACCTTTGGCTTTTCAACGATCCAGTTTCAATTGCACCATATGATGCGTTTTGTTTCTCCAAGACCAAGATTCTACAAGTGCTGTGTGACAAACTGCAAATTCAAGATCATCTTGAGACAGGTCTCATCGAACGCACTTTGCAAGTCGTTCTCAGCAACATCACCGATTTCCCAGACGTCCAAGGCTGTGCTGAGATCATCCCTGAATCAATATTACCTGCTTTTATTTGGAATCCCTATGCCTGCCCTCAGATCCCACTCTCAGCAACCGAACTTGAACTGTTCAAAAAGTCCAAATTGGATGCGTCTGGCTTGCCCGTTACTGAATGGGCTCGTGGGGTTTCTCTATCCTTGTCCAGTGCTAACCTGGATGATCCTGTTCTTGGTCCATTGCGCAAGGTTCTTGCTGTCATTCCAGATCTGGCTGTACAGATGCTTCCCTACATAGTTCATGACGCTTTGTTAGTTGAGAGCGACAAGAATGGGCCGATTCGTCAATCAGTTTCTAATCTCTTCAAGAGAATCCTCTCCGAAGCCAATGAAGAGACGATTGCACATGCTCAGCTTGTCATCAGCTGCATCTTGTATCTGCGCAATCAGCCCATGCGGGAGGAATCTACCATCGTGGACCGTGACCGATGGCTCGATATCGACTACGGAGAAGCATCTTCAGCCGCACATCGCTGCGGCCTACAGAAAACCTCGCTTCTTTTCCTCGAGATAGAGGCCTCCAGAATCGTTTCAGGGTCTCGTCGCTCATCTGTTGCAAAATACGAGCCACCCATAGAGCTGCTCCATGATATTTTCAAGAATATTGATGACCCAGATCTTTTCTACGGCATTCAACAAAGCTCATCTCTGATTACGGTGATGGAAAGGCTGGAGTACGAGAGCTCTGGCTTCAAGAATCTTCTTTTTCAAAGCGCCCAATATGACAGTGAGGTCCAATTATACGAAAGAGCGAATCCATACGAAGTACTGAAAGCTCTAAACTCGACGAATTTGCGAGGAATTGCCAATACGATGCGATCCGCTGCAGGAATTTCTGGTGAAACGCCTCTTTCCTTTGATAGCACCTTGCAAGCGGCGACAAGTCTTCAACAGTGGGAGGTTCCCGTGTCGCCGTCGAGTTCCTCACCGTCAGCAACAGTCTTTCGTGTGTTCCAAAGCTTAGCTTCATCATCTTCCCTGTCGGAAGTCAATCACTGTATCGATGAATGCTTGCTTAGCACTCTCAACAGTGTGGTCGAGACCGGTCAGTCAGCAATCAAGCTACGAACTTCCATGCGAGCATTGGGAATCATGACTGAAATAAGAGATATCCTCGACTCATCATCGCCCGAGGCAATGCAAGAAGCCTGGGAGACTATCACAGCAAGGAGCAGTTGGCTAAAGACTGAGAGGTATGCACCAATCGCATTGTCTTCGTGTTTGACGCGGATACTGATCAATGTAGTTATCATGAAGTTGGCGATATCCTCAGCTGGCACGAGGCTCTGTTCTCCTCCATTAGGAAACATGACTTCCTGAGATCGAAGCCAGGACTGAGCGCCGGTGAATCGCGACTTCTAGAAGCCAATGTCTTCCGGCAATCGCTGGAGATTACGAGGAATCATGGTGTCTCTCAGGCATCGCTCAAATCTGCAATAACACTGTCAAAGCTCGCTGAATCGTGCGCAGAGCTCGGTGTGGATATTGAAGGGGCAGCAAAATTTGACCTTGCCAATGTTCTCTGGGACCAAGGCGAAATGACAGCCTCGATTCGTATGCTACAGCACCTCAAAGGACAGGGTGACTTGCACAGACAAGCGATCCCCATCAGTCGTGCCGAGCTACTCGTTACTTTGGTAAGCCAGGAAATATGTTTAATCGTGTTCTATTGACTGACATTCTGCTCTTCAGGGTGATCATGTGGCCGAAGCACGTCTAGAAAAACCCGAATCGATCCTTCAAGACTACCTGTACCCGGCGGTCAAGGAGCTAAAGGGGACTGGCAAGGGAGAAGAGGCCGGAAGAGTCTACCATGGGTTTGCCACATTTTGTGATCAGCAACTTCTAAACCCAGATGGACTTGAAGATTTCAAACGAGTTGAACAGCTGCGAGACCGAAAAGAAAAAGAAATGCAGGGTTTAGAAGATATGATGAAGACTGCCGAGGGCCGAGAAAGAGAATCTTTGAAAATTTTTCGCGCCAAAACCAAGCAGTGGTTTGATCTTGACGATCGCGAATATCAACGTTTGCTCCGGAGTCGGGAAGCCTTTCTGCAGCAATGTCTTGAAAATTATCTACTGGCTCTGAGGGAGAGTGATGCTTACAACAATGATGCTCTGCGATTTTGCGCGCTCTGGCTTGATAAATCAGACAGCAACACCGCAAATATGGCCGTCAAGCGATATCTGAGTGAAGTGCCCAGTCGGAAATTTGCGCCTCTGATGAACCAGCTCTCCTCGCGTCTGCTAGATGTCTCAGATGAGTTCCAGTCGCTACTTACAGGGTTAGTATTCAAGATTTGTGCGGAGCATCCGTTCCATGGCATGTATCAAATATTTGCCAGCAGCAAGTCCAAAGGAGGCAAAGATCCTTCTTCTCATTCTCGATTCAGAGCTGCCAATAAGCTCGTTGACAAGTTGAAGAACGACAAGGAAATAGGGGCCACCTGGATTGCAGTTCACAATATGAACATCACATTCGTCCGCTTCGCGATCGATAAGCCGGACAGCAAATACAAGACGGGCGCAAAGATCCCCTTGAAAAAGCTTTCGACAGGAAATCGTCTTTCAAAAGACGTAGAAACTTACAAGCTTCCTCCGCCGACCATGAAAATTGACCTGCGCGTTGATTGTGACTACAGTGAAGTCCCCCTCGATCCAAAAGTTCCTTTCCGAATTTACAATCGCTTCGGGTGTGAGCGCTCCCAAAATTGTGACTTGCATTGCCACCAATGGCGAGCGCTATAAACAGCTGGTAGGTCATTCTCCTCTGCTGAAAGAGACGGGACGTTGCTTATACGTCTATAGTACAAAGGAGGAAATGACGATCTACGCCAGGACGCAATCATGGAGCAAGTCTTTGAGCAAGTCAGCAGTCTTCTTAAAGATCATCAACCTACACGACAGCGAAAGCTAGGGATCAGAACGTATAAAGTTCTTCCCTTGACTCTCAATGCCGGAATCATTGAATTCGTACCAAACACCATTCCTCTTCACGACTATCTGATGCCGGCACACCAACGATACTTCCCCAAGGATATGAAGCCAAATGCCTGCAGAAAGCACATCGCTGATGTGCAGACCAGATCGTTCGAGCAACGAGTCAGGACCTATCGCCAGGTGACTGAGCATTTCCATCCTGTGATGAGGTATTTCTTCATGGAGAAGTTCAACAATCCAGACGATTGGTTTAGCAAAAGATTGTCATACACCCGCAGTACCGCAGCAATTTCCATACTCGGCCATGTGCTCGGCTTGGGTGATCGACATGGACACAATATCTTGCTGGATGAAAGAACTGGGGAAGTTGTGCACATTGATCTCGGTGTTGCCTTTGAGCAGGGTCGCATCCTGCCGATTCCAGAAGTAGTGCCTTTCAGACTCACGCGAGACCTAGTTGACGGCTTCGGAATTACGAAGACCGAGGGCGTGTTCCGCCGCTGTTGCGAGTTCACATTGGAGGCACTTCGACAAGAGTCGTACAGTATCATGACTATCCTTGACGTGCTCCGTTACGATCCGCTGTACAGCTGGACCGTTTCTCCCTGAGAATGAAGAAGATGCAAGACAACCAGGGAACGAGCGAAGGGCCGCCCGTTTTGCCTGGAGCAGCCGACAAGTCCTCAACGAACGAACCTAGCGAGGCTGATCGAGCTTTGACGGTGGTAGCTAAGAAGTTAAGCAAGACGCTGAGTGTCACTGCTACTGTCAACGAGTTGATTCAGCAGGCAACTGACGAGAAGAACCTTGCTGTTCTGTATTGTGGTATGTATTCTCGATCAACGTTGAATTGTGCTAGTGATCTAATATTGTCACAGGTTGGGCAGCTTATGCATAACGGAAGTTTACTTGGCCTTTTTTTTCATGTAAGTCTTGCATTAATGCACATATGAGGGGTTCCATGTGTCTTGTGCATCACTGCCATTCTTCAGGCGGGGTGACCATGATGAGCGCCACCACTGTAGAATTACACGGGCTCGATAGACATAATTCTCGCTTGTACTTTCCCTTGAGTCCTACACTGGCGCTTACATTCATTAACGCCAAGACGGCTCGGGTCTATCCCACTAGCCGACGCAGCCATTTAAGGGGCTACGCCGCTCTTCCCACAGAGGAAGGGATAGCTCGGTCATATTTCGAGAAAAGTAGACACAATGATGGTTCTCATTGTAGACCAATAATGACATGATATCCATCAACATGCTTGTCGGATAGTTTGTTCTATTGGAGCCTGCTCACTGGTTCCCTCAGAACTTCTACACACGTACTTAGGTAAAAACCCCCGGCTCTAGCGAGCGTGGCTCTGGAAAACACTGCGCCTTCATTCCGTGAAAGTGGAGCCAATTGAATTATATTTAGATTCCTCACTAGATTAGGTGCAAGAGTAAAGGTGGCTCTCTTGAAACATGAGTCACGCTATTTGATTGTGTACTCGGGGAATTTAGCCTTGGCACTTGAAGTATATAGGAAACCCCTATGCATCAACTGCACAGCCCCATCAGAACTTTTTGTTCTAGAACCCCGGGCTGCGCGATACAATACAGTGGTCACGGTAGTCAGAATGTCTCTGACTATCTCGGAGGACAACCCTTTTCAAGTCTTGATTACAGAGACGAATAACGATGTGGTGAGTGGTCGGGTTCTGCACTTTTTTCCGGAGCCGCGAACCAAGATACGATCCTTCTTAGGCTGAATTGCAATCGCGCTACGAGAAACACCGAACTACTAGAAATGAGCAACAGAGAGACAAGACCCTAAGGGAAGACTTTCCCGGCTGGACTGTGGATAATATCCTTACGCGACTCGATGGCGCCGCTAAAGAGGAAGGATTTCTGGATCCCCGCAATTGCCTTGTCATTTGGGCTAGGCCTCCTTCGCACATCTGCGACCTGATATCTGCTGTGCAAACCGAATTGAAGGCAGTTGCCCCATGTAAGCTTACGGAGACATTGCAGACACCCGTCACTATTGCAGTACCAGTCCACTAATCTCAATCGCCGAAAGCACTATGGCTCATGCCTCTCGAAAATATGCACACCACGGTCTTGGAAGTGGCTCATTCTTTGACGGAAGCGCAAATTGAAGACCTTGTCCAGACTCTCAAGTCTTCGACAAAGATCACTCAAGCGCAGATCGCAGAGCATCCACTAAGTCACCGATCCCGTCTTTTGAAGCCTATGGTGAGCTTCGACTCATCTGCCATGGCGCTGAGCTTTGCGCCCGCCGCAGGTGAGGCTTCGACTGTGCAGTCCCATGGCCATGATCATCAATATACGTACCATCATCTCCGTCGGGATATATTTGAAAAGGTTCGACAGACTGGTATTCCCGTTGCCTCGCGCTACATCGTTCCGTCGGCACATATCACTATCGCTCGCTTCATCACCCAGGAAGGGTTCCAGGTCACCGGAAAAGACTCCTCAGTACAAGTGGACCACTCCCGTGTGAAGCTGCTTGTTGATAAAATTACTGATATCAATGAGAGAATGAAAAGCATGTACTGGCCTCAGCCTGATGGCACTCAGCCTGAAGAGGGTGAATGGGTGGTTGGGCAGAATAAGCTGGTGATTCGCAGGGACGACTTTGGTATGGAGGAGGTGAAGATGTTTAGTTCACTTCAGATGTTTAGTTGCTTTGAAGATAGTTCCAGAATTAGGGGGAACCAGGCGTGGAGTGTGGAAGGCTTCGCGTTGATCAATCAAACTTCACGGTCGGCTCGTACGGCATTAAAATCAATTGTGCTTTTTGAAGCGATTATAATGCCGAGATCAAAGAAATGGCAATAGCTCATTTCTGTGAGCATAACCGGCTGTCAACATGCCGGAGTGTGAAAGATAACGCGTGCACCGCCCACTGTGTCTCTTTAATTTCCCCCATCTGCCAGGCCGTTCTCGCCAGGTGTCATCTAGTGACTTGGTTCTTTTCTTCAATCACCTAGCAGAGCGACTCTCTATCCTCGGTTAGTCTGGCGCTCAACGTGGCGTTTTCAGAGTTGCACTGTGGCGGGTGCGGGCCGACATACCAGCGTGGAAAACATCCATTTTGTGGTCCTCGATAACTAGACCTCCAGAAAGAGCTTTCCCTCTCTTCACAAGTGAATAGTAAAACCCAGATCTGTGATTTGGACACGGTCATCCACCATGGATACCGCAGCTAACAGGGGGATTGTGGTCATCTCCGGTGGAAGCGCCGCCAACAACCTCGTCGATGTTTTCGACACTCTACGAGAAAGCAAGGATTGCCTGCTGAGCTATATCATACCCATCAGCGACAATGGAGGCTCTTCCTCAGAACTCATCAGAATATTCGGAGGCCCTGGAATCGGTGATGTTCGAAGTAAGCGAGTCCTTTCCGCGACAACATCATTTTAAGCTGATCATTCGCGATAGGTCGACTGGTCCGGTTGATTCCTGACTCGCCCATCAACTCGGAGCGTACAGCGATCAAGACTCTCTTCAACTATCGTCTTCCTGCCGAGGAGTAGCCGCTTCAAATGAATGGCAGTCCATCGTGGACGGCACTTCTGGCCTGTGGAAGTCCATTGCCCCGGCTAAAAAAGAGTTAATCCGCTCATTCTTCAACATGCTCAATTTAGAGATCTTGAAACGCGCTCGGCCACCATCATCAACATTTGACTTCACTTCTGCCAGCGTGGGAAACCTGTTCTTGACAGGAGCGCGGCTCTTCAGCGGATCCTTCGAGAGCGCCATCTATCTCATTAGGCAGCATTTGTGGAGTACAATCAGATGCTGTGCGTGTCATTCCCGCAATCAACTCTAATTTCTCTCACCATATTTCCGCCACTCTTTCCGACGGAACAGTCATTGTCGGACAGAACAGTATATCTCATCCTAGCGAAGTCACAGCGCTGCAGCCGGACCGTGGCTCGCGGCCCAGACGTCCTAGCTTACTGCTTGCTGATGGCGATGACTTGGACGATACAGAGCCATCTGATATGTCGGACGCCGTCTCATACGAGGAAGATCATCTCCCTGGCTCTCTTGCCACACTCCGCAACAAGAACATATCTTTCAGCAAAACCGAGAACGAAGATCTACCGAGCCGAATCGATCGCATTTGGTATATCAACCCCTACGGTCAAGAGATCAGGCCAGCCGCCAACCCACGTGTGCTTGAAGCGTTGAATGACGCCCAAGCTATTATCTACAGTATCGGTTCTCTCTACACCTCGATCATTCCCGCAATTATTCTCCGCGGCGTTGGCAAGAGCATCATGAAAAGCCCAGCACGCCACAAGATTCTGATTCTCAATGGGTCGTTGGATCGCGAAACTGGGCCGCCGTCCGAGCCCTTTGCTGCATCTGACTTTGTTGAAGCGATCGCGCGCGCTGGAGAGGAAAGCCGTGGACGGCGTCATCGTAGAACCACTGATCACGGATCAACTACCACACCCTCCTCACCCGAGACTATCAAACCACATACGCCTCTGCCATATACCGCATATGTGACCCACATTTTGCATTTGGATGGTCCTGGTACACCTCACGTAGACCGGGAACGGTTGGCGGACATGGGTATCGAGACTCTTCGTTTGTATGGTCGGAAGATCACAGCCATGGGTGGCGACAAGGAAGTCGTAATCGGCATGAGATACGATTCCAATGCTCTGATCCAAGCTCTCGAGGTCGTCTTAGGAAAGAAAGGGGATGCCATGGTCCGTGGAGGTGTCGGCAGTGGTCTCGGTCGGAGGAACACACTTGATCCTCGGCGGGAGAAGAGGGCCGGGTAATGGCACAATCTGGCTTGGGAGTCATGCTTAATTAGCATCTCACCAAACTACGCAATGGTCAACTAGAAACCGTCCTGAGGAAATCATTTCATTCGTAAAATAAGCATAAAGAAACATCGATCCGGCCCAGATGCAATGCGAACGCCACAAGATGAATGCTCCGATATGCAATGCTTGAAGATTGGGAAATATACAGGCACAAAGAGGCGGTTGTTGGGACTCATGCTTCGGGACCTGCAATGAGGTTCCGCTTCTTCGTCGTCAACTTAAGGGTCAGGGGAATAAGACTCCTCCTCGGCCCACTCACGTCAACTTTTGTGATGGGCTTTCGGCATATCGGACAGGTGCCCCGAGCTTGCTTGCTCGAGTCTACTCTTTGATCGGCCGAGTTAAGGTACTCCATAATGCAACGGTGGCAGAAGAGATGGCCTGTAGAGAGATGATTGATTAGAGACTGACAAATTACTGAAGGGCGACTGATGTCGCTTAGTTTCGAACTAACCACAAGAAGTGCTTGTTGCATCTTCCGGCGTGTCCATACACACCGGGCACTTATATGCACTTAGTAGAGAGCCACTGCCTTTCTTGTCTTCGGTTGACTGCTGAGCCTTAATTGCATCTTCCCGTTGTTTGGCAAGCGCCTTGGAAAGCGATGTCTCGGGTTCTGTTAAGTCAATAGACTCAACGGCGTCTTCGTATTGCTGCTCTCCATCTTGAGCACTATCTGAATCTTCTGGGCTCCAGAAGCCATCGTCTTCTCGTCGACGCTTTATTCCGCGGGGTGTTGCTGGGCTCCCCGCTTGATCCGGCGCGGATTGGTGATTGTGATCAGATGAGGTCGAAGACCGGCGCTGAGACCTTCAGATGAGCAGAGGTCAGGTCCACGACAGACAGCCTTCGACTCATTGTGAAAATTGCGAGTTTTAATATGCGCAAGGAATCAGAAGTTGGGTACTTTGCAAGCGCATAGCTTAGGAGATCCGAGGAGGGTGTGGTTGCAGCGATCTTTTGTTCCGTGTTTCGGATGCGATATGGCTCATTCGTGCGACGAAAGTTCAAAAACCGGGGATATTTTACCGCAATATCTTGCGCAAGCCCCAATCTGGAAATGCAAAGGCGAGAGAGTGAATAATGCAAAGAACAGTAGCTGCGATAGACTGATTGCCACCGATAAGCGACATATACGGAAGGCGGTCAGCCCTGAGGATAAATGGATTTGCCGAATACCGGCATGACGCCGAGATGCGATAGGCAATGATATGGAAATTGCTCCCATGATATTTAGTCCCCTCGCCTTGTCCGTCCAAGAAGTGCGCAGCCCCTGTCTGGCTGCAATCGCATTTGCTATCATGACCTGATGTCACAATCATTTTAACTATATGATGATATCTTGGAAATCATCTTGCGCTCCTTGTTCCAGGGGTGCCGTGAGGTCTGCGCGCCTGCGCCTGCGACCAGCACCTATCTTGCACGCGCACCCATGGCACTTCTCTGCAAGAAACCCTGCGCAATGCTACTCAACAGTAGCTAAAGATAGAATTACTCCCAAACGATCCCTTTCAGGTATGCTCAACGCAACGAGGCCCTGTTGCAGACTAAAGAATACGCCTGTACTCATCTCAGATAGTTCCTGCTTCCTCTAGGTTCAACGAAATCGGAGTCCAGCAACTGAGCGACTATGTTCACCCCCAGGTTTTTCCGGACAAACACCGGACCCCTGATCCGGAGCTGGTCGCCCTGGCACGAGATCACCTCGCTCGACACGATCTCCTTGGAAAATCCCAGAGTGGTGCCGAGCCGATTGCTTTTGACCTGCCTCCGCTCCAAGGAAAGACACTAGACGAGCATTTCTACAAGCTTGGAATGGATGCATCCGAACCATACTTGACTTACGCCAAATCATATGCCGCAGTGACTTGTCCAACGAAACCGCGCAGATGGGCCAGACGCAGTGGGTGGACGAAATACCATCCCAACGGCTCCTCTGAGCCAGTAGATGCTCCAAATGAGGAGATGATCACTTTCGACACCGAAGTTATGTACAAGGAACACCCCTATGCGGTCATGGCTTGCGCAGTGAGCCCGACCGCATGGTATGCGTGGATATCTCCTTGGCTTTTAGGGGAAACGGAAATTCAATGTCACCTTATCCCGCTAGGGGATCCCTCTCAACCAAGAATCGTCGTAGGCCATAACATTGGATACGATCGAGCCCGTATACGAGAGGAGTACGACATGCAACAAACACACAACTTTTTTGTGGATACAATGTCTCTTCACGTGGCCGTAAACGGCATGTGTTCGCAGCAAAGACCGACTTGGATGCGACACAAGAAAAACAAGGATCTCCGGGACAAGATCGCAAGCGAGCATAACTCCGCGGAACTGGCTTCGTTGCTCGAGAACAACATGCTGAGAGAAGAGGAGGAAGAACTCTGGGTAGGACGAAGCTCTGTTAATTCCCTGCGAGACGTGGCCAAGTTTCACTGCGATGTCACAATAGACAAGGCACAGAGAGATTTCTTCGGCGAGCTTGACCGAGAGACTCTTCTGACGAAACTCGATGAGCTCCTTGATTACTGTGCCGCTGATGTCGCTATCACTCACCGTGTCTATCGAAAAGTCTTTCCCAATTTCCTCGAGACTTGTCCGCACCCCGTCAGTTTTGGTGCCCTCCGACACCTATCCTCGGTCATTCTTCCAGTAAATCAAAGCTGGCAGGAGTACTTGACCATGGCCGAGGAAACCTACCATAAACGACTTGACGATGTGCAACGGAAATTGGTTGAACTATGTAACGAAGCTTTGAAAGTGAAAGAGCAACCTGACGTGTACAAAAACGACCCTTGGTTACGACAGCTGGACTGGTCCGGCCAGGAGGTGAAGATGGTGAAAGGGAAGAAAAAGGGAGATCCCCCGCGCCCTGCGGCAAGACAAAAGAAACCTGGCATGCCGAAGTGGTATAAGGATCTATTCCCCTCGAGCACCTCCGACATAAACCTCACAGTTCGCACTCGGATTGCACCTATCCTGTTGAAATTGTCTTGGGCTGGGTATCCTCTCGTTTGGTCTGACAAGTATGGATGGACTTTCCGGGTTCCCCGTGAGCAAGTCCAACAATTTGAAAATCAACCAGTTGTTCTTTGCGACATGAGCGAAGAGACGAATGAACAGCTGCAAAATGACCGGAAGAACACATACTTCAAAATTCCCCACAAAGATGGGCCACAAGCGAGGTGTACGAATCCATTAGCCAAGGGCTACATGGGATATTTTGAGCGCGGAATTCTGTCATCGCAGTTCGAACTTGCAAAGGAAGCTTTGGATATGAACGCCTCATGCTCCTATTGGATCAGTGCTCGAGACCGCATCATGAGCCAAATGGTGGTTTACGAGGACCAGGTTGAAAAGAACGGTCGAGAAACCAAAAAGACTGAGAACCGCGTGGGCTTCATTCTGCCGCAGATTATTCCTATGGGCACTATCACTCGCCGTGCGGTGGAGAACACATGGCTCACTGCGAGCAACGCAAAAGCGAATCGCGTTGGCTCCGAGCTAAAGGCTATGATTAAGGCCCCCCCCTGGCTACGCCTTCGTTGGCGCTGATGTAGACTCCCAAGAACTGTGGATTGCCAGTCTTGTCGGAGATGCGCCATTCCAAATCCACGGAGGAAACGCCATTGGCTTCATGACTCTTGAAGGTTCCAAAGCTGAAGGAACCGACTTGCATTCTCGAAGTGCGCAGATTCTGGGAATATCCCGCAACGATGCCAAGGTGTTCAATTACGGACGTATTTATGGAGCTGGTGTCAAATTCGCGGCGACTCTTCTTCGGCAGTTCAACCCGTCCTTGTCTGAGAAGGAAACCCAGCAGACTGCGGTTAATCTCTACAAGGAGACTAAGGGCACTCGTACCACACGTCGCTTGTTGAGTGCGACTCCTTTCTGGCGCGGCGGAACGGAATCCTTTGTGTTCAACAAGCTGGAAGAGTTTGCAGACCAGGAAAGACCTAGAACCCCTGCCCTCGGTGCTGGAATTACTGAGGCACTCATGAGGCGCTTCATCAACAAGGGCAGCTTCATGACGTCTCGCATCAACTGGGCTATCCAATCATCTGGTGTTGATTATCTCCATCTGCTCATTGTTAGCATGGACTACCTCATTCGGCGATTCAATGTTCAGGCTCGTCTTGCTATCACAGTGCACGATGAAATTCGCTACCTGGTGAAGGATGAAGACAAGTACCGTGCGGCGATGGCTTTGCAGATTGCCAATGTCTGGACGCGTGCCATCTTCTCCCAGCAAGTAGGCATTGATGACCTCCCTCAATCATGCGCCTATTTCTCGGCAGTTGACATCGACCACGTTCTTCGAAAAGAGGTTGATATGGATTGCGTTACTCCCTCGCACCCTCACAAGATCCCGCATGGCGAAACTTTGGATATTTCTAAGCTGCTCGACATGGGTCAAAAAGCCTTCCTGGACCCCTCCATCACATCCACATCTCAACCAACACCAGAAAAGTACTCGTACACTCCGCGGGAGTCGGTCATGTCCACTCTTCAGGCGTCCAATGATCCGGCTTTTATCAGGGCCCAGATTACAAAAGACGACAAAGAGCTTCGTGAAATCATCAGAGAAAAGACTGCAATCGTCAATGCCTCGAAACCATCTCCATCAAGCCTCACCTCAAGCAAAACTCGGGGTAAGTCCACAGGCTGGGCATCGGCAGAATCACAACGGGCAGTCCTTATGGACATGGAATCCGGTCTATACCCTGACTTCCGAACCCCGCCTCGCGCTGCCTCGAATGGAAATAAACAGTCGCAAACAGGCTTCTACAACAGATCTACCTGGAAACCTCGGCCTACCGCTCGGGCTTAAACTGATGCATCTCTCCTTCCTGACCTTGCTTCTCGCTTCGAATTTCCTTCTGTCTTCTGTTCTCTGTGTTATACTATCTCGCCATTTGTTCAAATTATTGGGCGGCTGTATGTCTTACGAGGAGTGATTATGGCACTGCATTGGGACGGCGTTGAAGAGGCACTGTGACTATAGTGTACAAACATCATAATTACTTGAAGTTTTTTGAGTCATAATCCATGTCATTAGCATTTGCATAGTCACAAGAATGCAAAGTAAAATGAAAGTCGAACTTAAACGAATCTTAGTTAGGTTGCTGAACAAAGTAAGGCTCAAGTCTCTTTCCACATTGATGGGACCCTGGTCAGATTAGCACAACGCCACTGGCAAGTCGATCTCTTCAGTATCACTCACGCGACCTCTATAACCGCACACTTCCTTCCCTGAACAATTTGGGTTCCTTCTTTGATGGCCAAATCGACTTCGCTCTGTTGAATGACCGTAGCATTCCATGCATTGCCAGCTGCTGTCGTAATACGGGATAATCAGGAGAAGGTTCAAAAGAGATATTAAGATCTGATCAGTAGATGTTTTTTAGCAACGGGTGTCGCGGAATCTCCGCGAATGGATATACAATATCTTAGAAATATATGCGATGAGGACCTGGTGACTCGGAGACGATCTCCACTTGATAGCGCTTGCATGTTCAAAGCACTAGTACCCCGGTCAACTGCTCGTCCACATCATGCTTGGTGCGATTTCAAACTCTATACATTATGCTATGCAAGAATGTGGCACAACGACTCGAGGAGAGGGGCGACTCCGACTGATAAACAGGTGGCTCCAGCTTATTTGGCCCTACAGAAGCAAAGAGGGCCACTGAAGTTTTCAAAGCGACGTTTACTATTTCACATGGAAAGCAGACAACTTTTCAAGCAAATACAAAAAAACACGGGGCTGTGAGCTATCAGTAGTATTTACATTGTTTTATTCCTAAGATCTTGAATGGACTTCTGTTCCCGAAGAGGCAAGCTCAGTGGACGGTTCGATTTTTCAAATAGCAATGCTACCCTATACAAGGCTGAATTCCCTCCCTTCGCATGAACTCCCAAATCCCGTAAGGCCCATAGTACCTGTCATCTTCCTGAGCGGATTGCCACAGCTTGAACAGGACTGAGATAGAGACGGTGCAGCTGCGGACTTTGTTCTCCATGCTGGGTATTAGTGACACATAGTCTTCTTGCTCCTTTTTGGATGTTATGCACGATCCAATATGAGCAAGAGGCCATAGAAGCATTGCCCATGCCATACTTGATGGCGACAATTCTTTCAGCAACAGGAGGGCTTCGCATAAAGTAACATCGATTTGCCTTCGAATGCTGGGCTCAGGCATTCCAGGACCACTCAGGGCACATTGAAGAGTGATGATCAGTGCCATCTGCAGGAAAAGAGCTGCTGTTATTTCATCCCTGTCCGGTGCTGGCCAGGCATGCGTTCTGTAAGCCAATGGTTCTGGCACCTCCCATGACAAGATCTCTTGTTCGATGGTATGAAATTCATTCAGAATGGCGTGGTCAAGATGTCTGGGGTGAGAGAACGGTACCCTTCGCGCAAAGATAGAGATTTGTGGAATCATCTCGAATAAACCATATGCGCACGAAGAGGATCGGCCATGATAGTATGACGACAGATCCAGGGATTGATTTGCCATACCATTGATTTCAAGACCGAAATGATGATTCATGATATGAAAAGCCATGTATTGCTCTGCGATAAAGCACGCACAATTTTCATCAATCTTGCTCAGAAGGTCGTTGTGTGAAACCAGTAGAGTGGAACACGGCAATATGTGCTGCATCACTGCGCCTTCCATGTTTCCGTCGACGACCTACATCAGTTCAGAAATCATTGAGTGAAATCATTGAGATATGTTCTTTATTGGCTACATACCTCGTAATTACAGAGAACCAAGAGCATCATGATGATCTCTATGGGGTTCTTTCTGAATCCACTTCCAAAATCTGTGATCAAGTACTTTGCGGCTCGCAAGGCAATTCCGTAGTGCGTAAGGGCAACAACGTGTGATTTTGTATTATCATAGGACAAGTGAGAAGCACTTATAGCCAAGGCAGCATGAAGAAAGCCTTCGTTTTGCTGGGCAAGAGGCAAAAGATAGACGAGGAACGGATTCTCGACACTGTTTTTGACCACGAGACGTTTCACCGATCTCTCAATGTAGTGATGGAGAAGCCTCTGCTCAGTGGGTCTTTTTTTCAGGCGAGGCCATTGTGAGAGTGCATACTCTGGACTAGAGATTTGCAGCTGATATGAAGAAGTAGTGTGCTGAGTAAGGGCTAGATCCTTGGCTGTTTCGGGACCCAAGGGACAGTTCACCCTTGAACTTGCAGGCCAAGAACAAAGTAGATGATTGCGTACGCAACCACCACAGATTGGCTTCAGTTCATCGCATTTGGTATGGCGGGTGCGACAGCTCAGGCAACCGGATTTTGTTCTTCTGGCACTTCGTCTATAAGGACGGAAAAGTCCTTCGCCAGGAGTGGCTTTGAACTCTATCACGCCATGCATCTTAACCCCCAGCCATTGTTTATCGGCAAACAACAGATCAGGCACGAGAGAAGGGGAGATGTCAAGCTTGAAAGTTGCAGGGTTCCGGTTCATGCTTCGTCAGGCCATGGATCCACCGATAAGGTCGGCTATCCTTTTCTGGACTAGCGTAGTCATCCCAAACAGGAAACACGAGTGTATGTCTTCGAAGAGCTGGCAAGATATCCGTTCATCTGGGCATTTTCCGGGCCTTGATCCACAGCGATATGAAATATTGACGGTTTACCCTCGCCTTATTCTCTTAGTCAGGTGGATCCCAATCAAATAAAACTCAGTGGCTTACATTCTTCCGCACAGTATAAATCCTACCATTCTCCTTTCATCTAGAGACAAGGTCCTCAATATTTCTCCGCGCTAAGAATTGAATCGTCAAATTCAGAGCGATCTATGATTCAATTATGCCTAAAAAACACCCCGAGTCACCTTCCTCCTTCGAGTTCATCGTGACTCCAGACGCTTCACAGAGTGCCCCCAAGGAGAATTACGGAGTTCGAACGACAACTGTGAGACCATTGTCACCTTATTGATCGGATTATACTCTTGATTGAGATGAATCTGACATTTTTCTGTGATTGTGTAGTCTCCTGCCATCAAAAATGCTCCTTTGCCAGCCGATGGTGCTGGAAACGATTCTTGGAACAATGCCATGCTACTGTTCCTCTTGGTATCTATCCCGTGGTTCATATCGTTCCATCTCGGTGGTGGCCTTTTCTTCACAGTCTTCATTGGGATATGCACCGCCATTCCAATTCTCATGGCATTCTGGACCGCTTGCTCCTTCATGTCCCCACGCATGAATGAAAAAGCAACCCTTCCGGGTCGACCAGTTGAGCATTATCTCAACTTTCGCACTCAAAGTGATCGTGCAAAATACCAGGGCAAGAGGAAGATCCCTATTGAGGTGTTCTATGAAAAGTATTTTCGCGGTGAAGTTACTTTCAACAGTGGAGATTGTTTAGAGAATCTGGAGTACCGACACGATTGGGCGAGTTTCAGATTTACTTGGGGGGTTTTCAGACATTTCCTGTTTGGATTCGTTCCCGAACTTGTTGTGCACTCTCGATCTCAAGGTAAGTAAAAATTCAGGCTCGTTGCTCTGAGCCAACGTTGAGGACAACAAGAAAACTAATGACCAATGGCCCATGTAACCCAGACGAGGAACAAGTCAGTGGGACTTATGACCGTGGCGACGATTTCTATGCATGGTTCCTAGGCCCTCGTATGGTATATACCTCCGGTTTGATTGGGGATGTCACTAGAGAAGAGTCCTTGGAGCAGTTACAGGACAACAAATTGACAGTGGTTTGCGAGAAGATTGGATTGCAGCCTGGCGATACGATGCTGGATATTGGTTGCGGCTGGGGAACTCTGGCAACTTTTGCGAGCGTCCACTACAAGGCGCTTGTAACTGGGGTTACGCTTGGCCGCAACCAGACCGAATGGGGCAATACTACCCTCGAAAGCGCTGGAATTCCCCAGACTCAAAGCCGAATTCTTCGCATGGACTATCGTGACTCGCCTAGGGTTCCTGGGGGATACAAAAAGATCACAAGCCTGGAGATGTCGGAACATGTTGGTGTTCGTCACTTCCGTGGTTTCCTTCAACAAGTCTATGATATGCTGGACGATGATGGTGTGTTCTATTTGCAGTATTCTGGGCTTCGGAAATATTGGCAATACGAAGATCTCATATGGGGGCTGTTCATGAATAAATATGTGTTCCCAGGCGCCGATGCCAGTACCCCCCTTGGGATGGGTGATTGATAAACTGGAGGGAACCGGCTTCGAGGTCAGAGGCATTGACACTGTTGGAGTACACTACTCAGCAACTCTGTGGCGTTGGTACCGCAATTGGCTTGCCAATCGACAGAACGTGGAGGCAAAGTACGGAGCAAAGTGGTATAGGGTAAGCATTCATGACCCGCAATAAGTACATAGTGCTAACAAAGATTCAGATTTGGGAAATCTTCCTTGCCTGGTCCACTATCGTTTCCCGTCAAGGCGGTGCAACTTGCTATCAAATTATTCTCGTCAAGAATCTTAACTCTACTCACCGTGTTGAGGGCGTGCCGAGCCAGTTTGGAATCACCGAAGCACTCAGGTCGGCGGTTGAGAAGATTGGAGGAATTCCAAGTGCCTTCCTATCTTAAATAAATTCGTTTCGGGAAAGTTTAGTTGGATATTTGTGAAAGCTTTTGTATGGAAGATGGAGATGACGGTCAAGGCCAAAACATAGTTGATTCTCGCTCTCCGAGAAATATTGAGGCAAAATGATTCACTGCTGGGAAATAGTCTCCGTGGCGATATTCACCTTACTACTTTTGAAGTCGCGCGCTTTCACCTTATTCTTGAACAAAATATCCATCTCAGCAAAAGTTCGGTTCTTAGTCTCGGGGAGTCGGAAATACGCCCAGATAAGACCAAGCCCCATGAAACCGCCGTAGAAGAACCCAGACTTCGCTCCCCAGTTCCACGCAACTGTGTGCATCATCCGAGGAACCAGTTGACCATACACCAGAACAGCTACGTTATAGACTGCTCGGGCGAGCCCAACAGTCTTGTTTCGAAGGTAGTTCGAAGGTAGTTCGGTGACAATAGTGTAGATAATCGGACCGATTGTGATGAAGAAGACAAAGTACTCGATCAGCAGGATAGTACCAATTCCATATCCGATGTTTGGATGTGTTGTTATGCTTGGAATCCCCATTAAACCGATGACAAATGTGGTCACAGTCATGAATGCTGTGCCGTAGAGGAGCAAGGTGCGCCGACCAACCATTGGCACCAGGTACCATGCGATAAATACACCGACGATAGCCAGTGCATATTCTCCCATGCCAAAGTCAAATGAAGCAGTTGATGGAAGGCCTGCTTGCTCTAGGAAATATACAATATAAGAAATAAGAGGGGCACAAAGCTGTTGAATCAGCCACGCGAAAACTGCAATCTCCGATCGACGCAAATCGACGCCCTTAAACAAGTCCCAGTAGGTACTGGAAGCCTTCATCTCGTTTTCAATCTTGATAGTGTGTTCCATCATGGCGACAGTATCTGCAATCTGGTCTTCAGTGTCATCTTTAGACCGCAGTCGTTTCAGCACGACACCAGTTTCAGCAATACGTCCCTTGCGGACAAGCCACCATGGAGACTCGGGTGCAAGGAATATACCGAATGCGAGTGGAATCGGCAATACCCATTGCAGAGCAAATGGAATTCAGTAGGCCCATTGCCCTTTCGACGATAAGAAAGCATGAAGAACTCCAGTACCGAGTAGATAGCCAATACTCCAGCACAAAGAGACCAGCATGGTCAGATAGGGTCGGAGGACATTCGGGCAGACTTCAGCTGCGTAGGTAGTTGTCAGGGTCTGGAAGACACCCAATGGGACACCCAAGAGGATTTCAGGTCCCAGATACATGTATATGCTAGTCGCAAAGAATTGCAAGAAAATAAAACACATCATCAAAAATAAAGAGCCGATCATGACTCATCTCTGCCCGATCAAATCTGCAATAATACCATTGAGGAGTAAACCAATGATTTCACCAGCGTTGACACCATTGCTCACAGCGGACTGAAGATTGGCCGGTACTTGGTATTTCCCGTCGCTTTGGAGCTCTCCAAATCTCTCTTAAAATGCGGGGAAGGCGAAGAATCCACTGACAAACGCGTGGTCGAATCCCTCCATTATGAGAGCCGATGAAAATAGTATAGACCAAAACACTGCTTTGGGGTATTTGCGGATACCGTCCCGCAGGCTCATCCAGTGTTCCTCTTCTGTAGCCCTTTGCGCGCCTTTCAAGGTGTCGCTAGCAGACACGTAATGTTCCTCAACCCTCTCATGAACGACCGTTGTAGTCGCCTCATCGGCGATATCTTCTTGGTGCTCTACCATGCTGAAGGCAGTCCCCTATGTAAATTTCAGATATATGGATGTCACAGATCTCTGTAATGTAGGAATCATAAATCAAGCATCTTGAACACACTGGGCACTTGGCTCCCCTTCGTATCGGTCCCACAACATCTCCGCTTCCCAAGAATGTGGCGTGGGATTTTCCGGGGTAAAAATCTGATGGGGTAACCTCCGTGCTCTGCCCAGCAGTCTGGGAAAGTAGTGACCGAAAGTAAAAGACATACACGCCTATCTGGGAGGTCAATAACCCGAGCTTTGGCTGTCTGTGTGTATTGAGGCAGTGGAGAGAGCCCCCGTGCAGTCGTATACATCCCAGATGGCGGGGAATGGGGAATCCCAGTTGGTGGAACCTTATAATTGAGTTGTGGCTGGATTGCCTTGTGCTCCTCTCCTCCATGGCCTGATGGTGCCGCGTATAACTATCCATCTTTGATCGGATTCAACTTCCTGCCAAGGCCATCTCTCCTCTGCCACCACTTGGCTTTTCTTGTCCCGGTTTGCTTGATCAATATTGGAAGTCTGAGCGCTGAAAGGATTGCAATCCTCTGTCTTGGCGAGATGGTGTTTCCTTTGGAGTGTCGTGGGAGCGGGATATGCATCAATCAGGCCAAGCCTTCGTTCTAGAGGCCGATCATGGAGAGTGGCCCGTCGAATCTCGTGAGATTGCTTACTGGGCTGATGGATCTCTCAAGTGGACGGCTCACTCCATCAGCGGTAACGTTCCTTATAGCAAGGAGTATGCGGTCAAAGCTGCACCAGCGCAGGAGAGAACAGCCGGTATCAGAGTTCAGCGAGATGGCACCTCCATTTCGATCACCTCGAATCAAGGGCTCCATCTCCAATTTAAACAGACTGGAGGTTCCTCAATACTTGAGCGACTGGATATCGATGAGAACACCGTCTGCTGTGGTGCCACGGTCATTGCATCCATCAACGGAACTGCGGTCGAAATCGAAAAATCAGACTTTTAGCCGAGTTGTTGTAAAAATAAGTGGTGTAGTAGAAGCGGCAGAATCTGAAGGTCGCCTTCCTTTCGATGTACGAGTCTACGTGCATTCGAATTCTTCTTCAATCAAAACAATTCACTCATTCGTGCACGACCTGGACGCCAAAGAGCCACTCACATCACTTCGCCTACAACTTGCTGTTCCCCTCGAGGAGACTGAGTTGTACAACAGACATATTCGCCTCGGTGGCTCAGCAGGAGCCATTCTGGAAGAAGAGGTGAAGGGGCTATCCGGGTTGAGACATGGACCCACAAACCAACTAAAGGATCAGTGGTCACTCTACATGAAGAATGGGCAAAAACCAGTCTCAAAAAGGGTCTTTCCTACATTCCTCCATGGGACTCTTACTCGCTCACGCAACTCTCATCAGATGGCTTCACAATCAAGAAACGAACAAATCCAGGATGCTCTTGGGTCAAGATCACTGGAGGTGGACGAGCAGTTGGAATTGAATATATTGGATCTGCACAGAATGGCGGACTTGCCGTCGGCATGTCGGACTTCTGGGAGCGCTATCCAACACAGATCGAACTCGACAAACTGAGCTCTGGTACTGGTGTCATGATAGTGTGGCTGTACTCGCCTCTCGCCGAGCCATTGGAGACGGCACCATACCATGATGGTCTCGGTTTGGACTCATACAAAAAGCAGCTAGAAGCCCCTCGACGTGACATACGAGGACTTCGAGCCAGGGTTTGCAACAGCGAATGGTATCGGAAGAACAAATCAATTCTTCTTGAAGCCATTCCAAAAAAACTCCCTCCAATGAGGAACTGAATGCTTTTTCAGCTCTGGTTCGTGACCCACCAAGACTAGTCGCGACAGCAGAGCACATGTATGCAGCAGGCGTGTTTCATGGATGTTGGTCTCCTATTTCGCTCAATGGACATTGGGGCCAAGCTGCAAGAGCAGCTGAAGTTGAAAGAAATCTGGAAACTTTGTTCAATTTCTACAAGGGCCAGGTTGAACAACATCGATGGTATGGATTCTGGGATTATGGTGATGTGCAGCATACGTACGATTCTTGTCGACATGCGTGGAGATATGATGTTGGTGGTTTTGCTTGGGTTAACTCTGAGCTCTCTACGGACCTGTGGCTTTGGCTCTATTTCCTTCATACCGGCCGATCAGATGTCTTCAAAATGGCCGAAGCCATGACAAGGCACACTGGTGAGGTAGTGATTTATCACTCAGGGAGATACAAAGGATTTGGAACCCGACATGGTGTTCAACATTTTAGCGACAGTTCCAAACAACTTCGAATCTCGAATGTTCTCTATCGCCGCGTTTACTTCTACCTTACCGGAGATGAGCGCGTTGGTGACTTGATTTCTGAGCTTCAAGACTGCCAGAAGTCTCTCCTGGTAGTCGATTCCCACCGCAAGGTACAAAGTCACGCTGAGATTCCAGAAGGGTTTGCCATGACGAACATAGGCCTGGACTGCGGACCTCTTGCTGCTGCCTGGCTGACAGCTTGGAAAAGACGGAGTGACGGCTGGCAGACCTGCAAGGACCTCCTCATCAATCTTCTAGACGGCATTGCTGACTTGAAACATGGCATTGGAAACAACGCAATTTTATTTAATCCAACAAGTGGTGAAGTGCGAGAATGTCCCCGGCCAACGCCAGAGTGGGCAATCTCTCATCTTTCTATGCTATTCGACTTCCCTGAGATCATGGCTGAGCTTTTTCATTACGCGCAAGAGGAGTATCCTTTGGTGATACAGAAATTCAACAAAGTGTATTTAGCATACTGCCGAGCCTACAATGGTGGACCAAAAGTACAACGCAACGAGTTCGGCTTCGAGTTTCCTTCACATGCGACATGGAGACAAATTCTTCAACTCTCACTGCTTTCGCGGCAGCTGATTCAGAACCAATCGATGAGGATCTTGCAACTGCTGCCTGCAAACAGTTCCTCAACACTGATGGCTACACCGCGAAGCAGGACTGGAGGATTCTGCAGACTTCGCCTCCGGAATATTTCAGTCACGGTGAGGAAGCTTCCTGGATCAGTACAAATGAGGTTGCTCGCTATGGAGTTTCTGCTTTAGTCAACTTGGCAACCCTTGGACAGAGGTTTCGGTAAGTCAGTGTTGTTCATGACATATGAAACTTGCAAGTCCGATTGTCCTAAAGCGAGGTATGGCTTGAATCTGCTACAAGATTGCGAGACGTCGTTTCCACGGCCAACCACGGCCACTTGAAGGAGGTCGTCAACATTGTGAAGGGTACCTCGATATTCAAATCTTGAATGGGAGAGACGATAGAGAGATTGAGCTCATTCCGGGCCTAGGATAGCCGGAGGAAATGATAGAAAGTTAAGAAAAGTGGTGCCCAAGTACTTGATACCCGGTAGTTCACAGTAATGAGATGAAACTTATGCATCGAGTGCAAGTCTCAGGACCTCACTTGAACCCGTTCAGAGATGAAGGCACCACCGCCTGCCCAGTGACTTTGGTCATGATACTGACGCTAACGATCGGTGTCGATCCTCAAATCAGGTATCGCTTTCGGATCATAGTCACCAGCAACCCAAGCACGCTCTCTAGGCGGGAGTGGGCAGGGTCGAATGGAACAATGAGATGAGGCATAAGTCGATCGGTCAATCAAATAGCGCAGCATAAACTTCCTATGTAAAGTTCGAAACAAGCCATGGCTATTGATGGAAAATCAGACTTGGCAGCTTCCTGAAGGCACATCGGTTCTCCCCGGAAGGGCAATTGTTGGCTGGCGAGGGTTCACCATGTCCATCTGCATGCCAAAGATGGTTTTCAAAAATCGTTTACCTTCCTCCTGAGATTTTCGCTAATTGATTTCACGTTTTCTTTCATCTCAATTCTCTAGGCATTTTTACCTGTGACGCATCAAACTATGGCCCCAACAAGATATGCCAAAATGATAGGCACCGGGGGACGCGCCGCCTTCTTCTATAGCGCCATCGTACGCGATTTCACGGACACAGCGACGCTTGTCGCCTTCTGCGATACTAATCAAACACGAATGGATGTCGCCAATAGCCGCACTCGAGATTTAGGCAAATCACAATTACCAACTTACAAAGCCATCGACTTCGATCGAATGATTCAAGAGACAAAGCCAGATACAAGAATTGTGACCACGATTGATCGGACACACCACACCTACATCATTCGAGCCATGGAACTTGGCTGCAACGTACTCAGCGAAAAGCCGATGACGATTGACGAGAACAAATGCCAAATGATTCTTGCTACTGTCAAGGCGACGAATCGCCAATTGCGAGCCGCCTTCAACTACCGATATGCGCCTCATAACAGCAAAGTCCGCCAGCTTCTAATGGACGGTGTAATTGGGAAAGTGACCTCTGTTGTTGATGGAGCTATGTCTATCTTGACGGGCATCGCAGCTAACAAGGCCATTCGGACCGGGCAGGTGGTGCAAGTGAAAGATTTGTTACACTTCTGAGCAGGTCCAGTCAATGAGATTTCCAGTCATGGACCTTCAAGTTCAAATGGTAATTTTCACCTAGTAAGATATCTATCAAATATGTTTCTACTTATCGTCTGTCCTTCCGGGCTTCTTGCAGTCTGCGCAAGGGTCTCGAATTGTGTAAACGCTTCGGTGGATCCTGTCATGGACGTCCACTCAGCGATGCAATCAGTGGAGACCTGACCCTAGTCGGATTCGTCAAACCAAACAAAGGTTTGAAGAATAAGCTGTTGTCAATGACCCACGTGGTGGATCATGGTAGAATTCATCACGAATTCCTTTGGTTCGTACCAAAGTTGAAAATACAATCGAACTGGCTGGGTTGGTACAAGCCGTGCCCGTGCGCCTGCATTTCTTGGTCCGATCCCAACTTCCCCGCCGCTCTCGCCCCTTTGCCGTCTATAAGCCTCTCGACTAAGCTGCACGTTCAATTGAGCTGTTTCAAGTTGCTGCCGATGATTATCCTGGCACGTCAATTACCCGCAGAGTGCAGCATGCCGGCTTTGCCATGATAAGGATTTCGCCCGACACCGCTCGCGCATGCGCTCCTTTGCCTCTAAAAGGGCTGTGAACAAATTTTGTCGCAAACTGACAATCTCCTTGCAATTGGCTGCCTTGCATTGTCCATGATTGTACGCCGTTCAGCCAAAAGAACACGGTGCTCGCAGCCGTTCGATCTTCAACATGAGCGTCCACGAGATGGACTACGCGCAGCCCGACGCGATTCGATCCGATCCGAATCACCTCCCCGACCTTGAGGCGGGGCGCATATCGTCGAATTCTCCGGTTTCTCCGCAGCAACGAGAAGAAATTGTCCTTGACACATTCACCACCGCAGCAAGAGTCAACTCCACCGATACTGCGAAACGTCGCAGACGACGTTCGAACACTGCCCGCTCCTACCACCCAGATGGCTTTGGCGAGCCCCACTGGCAGCCCGGTACAGAGCCTGGTATTGATCCTACGAAACCTCTCCCGCCGTACAGCTCTGAGTGGGCGTCAAATGTACCAGGCGACCTGCAGAGACAATGTGAAATCACAGTGGTGGACTTCTCGCAGAATGAGATGCGACAGTACGAGCTTGATAATGACACTCTCGAACAATTCCTGAGTCGTGAGCGAGAATCCTGGGTACAATGTCGATGGATCAATGTTAACGGATTGAGCTGGGATGTGATCAAGATCCTTGGAAACCACAAGCGACTCCACCGTCTGGCGATTGAAGACGTCGTACATACAACCAATCGTACCAAGGCAGATTGGTATTCTGACCATGCATTTATTGTTCTCACTTTGCAGAAGCTTGTGAAACTGCAACAAGAGAGCAGCGACTCCGAGGATGAAGATGAGGATAGGCCTGGTACCTTTGATTCCAAAGAAAGAAAAGACTCGGTCGTGAGTGATAAAAGTTCAATTTCTATGAAACGACCCACCCAGCGGCATATCATTTGGGAAGCCGTAAAGGATATTTTCCGTTCCAAACGGCCAACGAGTCGGCATGGGAAAGAAAAAGCGACACTAGGAGCGAGTGTCCGCCCTGGCCCAGGCCGGCCTTCATCTAAACGAGCCTCTCAATTCGGAGATGTGGCTAATGCTGCATCAGCAACGGCTCGATCGCTTCAGCGATATCGCGGAGGGCCAAACGAGGATCGCATCGAGTTCATGGAACGCCATGCCGCACTTGCGGGTAAAGGTTTATGTGTTACTTTGGAACAGGTCTCACTCTTCCTCCATGCTGACAACACCGTCACATCCTTCTTCGAGACCAGTGCAGATGACATAGAAGCACCCATCGTGCGACGCCTGAGTTCACCAGAGACAATCCTTCGACAGTCATGCGATGCCAGTATGCTCCTACAAGCCATTATCGACGCGGTCATTGATCTTGCAATTCCTGTCACCATGGCCTACCAAGACGCTATTGGAGATCTGGAGCTTGAGGTCCTGACAGACCCAGACATTGATCAATCGAAGAGCCTATACATCCTGACCTCTGAGATCGCGGTCCTTCGAAATTCCATGCAGCCGATGGTAGCTGTCATCAATGCTTTGCGTGATCACCGAGGTGCGCCTATCGGCACGCCCGGTTTCGGGACTCTGCGAAATGGCGCATTTAGTCCATCTACCAACCCGGCTGACTTTGATTCGGGAGCTCATATCGGAACTATGACGCCCAACTTGAAGAGTCTTGGAGGCTCGAGCGTCACTATCAGTACCATGTGTCATACGTATCTCGGTGATGTGCTGGATCATTGTATTACTATAGTGGAAGGCTACGATCAGATGAGACGTGCTGCAGACAACATGATTGATCTCATCTTCAACACTATTGGTGAGTGGACAAAAGTATTTTCAAGAAGGCAACTAACACCACGCAGGTGCATATCAGAACGAGAGCATGAAGCAACTCACGATCGTCACCTGTCTGTATCTTCCTATGACGTTCTTGACGGTATGCAGACACTTCCTTAATGACTGAAAATACATCTTCTAATGAGGCCCTAGGGTTACTTTGGAATGAACTTCACGGACTTTGCTGGTATCAAAAACAGCGATTCATATTTCTGGAAGATTGCAGTACCATTCGTGGTAGTGACCACTCTCTTATTGATGTGAGTTCTGAACATGCTTTCAGCTTGAATTAGACAAGGCTAACAAACGAATCTTAGGCGTGACAAAATCCAGCGTTACGCTGTCATGCTTGCTCAGAGACGTCTTATCACCAGTTCGAGGAAGCAGAGAAGAGAAAGGAAGGTCAAATGACCTGACTTGTTTGCACAGTATACCATTCTTTGCATATTTGAAGATACTGCAGTGTGGAAATTGCTTCTTGTACATTATTAGATCACCCATCATGCGGTCTTGCATCAGTATTATACAAGTTATCATACACAGCCTACTGTGATTGTTCAAATAGCCTTCCGATTGAAAGCCATGTAAGCCTTCCACGGGAACTTCCAATCAGATCGAAGCAGCTCCGGGCGGAAGACGTCGAAATCATACTGCTGCAGCCGATCCAGCCACATGCGCGTAGATACAGCCGGCATAAAGACACCAAAGGCCCGATTGATCTCATCAATAGGTGACTCGCGGGTCTGCGCACCTAGTACATCATGCCCATACTCATGACCCTCTTCACCCTCATGCTCGAAGTCGTGTCCGACATCTTTACCAGCTCGGAGATTGTTTAACATCTGCTCGACAGTGATCAAGTGATCACTCGCCCGTGTAGCGACAGCGAAAACAGCATCTCGCAAGCCCTCAGCATCAGCTCCACGCCGCAAAACCTCTTCCTCCTTTACCCCGGCCTGCGCCATGATATCCAAGGGCAACATAACGGCCCCTTGCTTAGGGCCAGCACTGACTGAGCTTCCACTGGGCGATCTCGCTGCCGGTGCGGGAAATGCGACAAGCGGCAACCCACGCAAGACAGCCGCAATGCCTGCCGCCTTTCCAATATGAGAAGCAACATGGTCTGCCGTGACAGAAGCCATCGGCAATGCCGACAGTGTCAAATACATAAGCGTAGAATATGTGTTCTCGGCATATTGTTCGAGCGCCGCGATATTCGGGTACGGATCATTTGTGAGCGTCTGTTCTCTAGCATTGATCAGGCGAGTCAACCAGCCCTTGCTTATCCGCGCACGGCCTTGCGTGCGCTCGTTCAACTCGGAGATGGCGGAGGCAAGTAGGATGGCGACGGGTTCTTTCGGTGGCGAGCCGGCGAGGATTTTGTTGACGGCATCGCGCCAGAATTGGAGGCGCATCAGGCCAATTGTTGGCGAGGAAGTTGTGTCGGGGATCATGGAGAGTGAAACGTTCAGGGCACGAAGGGCGATGTAAAATGATCTGGCGTGGGGTGGGATGAAGGTGCTCAAAGTATAGGAGGGTCGATCGTATTTTCTGAGAGCGATAGAGTTAATGAATATTGCGGAGTCATATGGACAGACTGTGTTCAGTCCAAGCGCGCAAAGAATACAGAGAGGCGTACGAGAGTAGAGCGACGCAGTATTTGTGCGCGCCGTTGATTTCCTCGGCAGTGGCGGCGGAGAATCCAGCTCGACTTTGGCTAAAAAGCCTTTTCTGCGGTCGGAATTGTTGCTGGCATTGTCGCGAATATGAACGCCAAGCTGATGTCGCCCGGCATGGGCGAGCGGCCTCTTTGAATAGGGCCATGAGCAGGATCAAAGGATGTGGAGGAGGGCAAGTTCCAGTTGAGCGCAGATGTAATCCACTTAATCTCGTTGGCCGAAAGCGCCTGGTGTGTCAGCGTAATGAACTAACGCAAAATGGAGCTAATATGTCGAGTAATAGCTAACAGTATGATTATGAAGTTGAATTTCAAGAGTGTGTTCAGCTTGAAGTGACCAAAAAGTATCAAGTTAATTTTGTACTTGCTTTTTTTTCGATCGCTGACGTATTCGTCAGATTTCGCGTTTCCCGGCGCGTCTCCCCAACTCTTCTTTCCTTCTCTCCGCAGAAGCTCTATGTCGAAACCACGAGTATGAGCGAGGACCTGGATCAGAGACCAAAAAAGCGTCAACGGTTTTTTACCGAGGATTCTGCTGCTCTGTCCGATTCGAATACGGGGGCTATCGACGCGTCCTTACCTCGCCACTGCCCCGGCTTAGAACACGCTCCGCAAGATAGAAATGGCGACATCCCCCGGATCCCTCCCCTCGCGGAAACCGAAACCATTCGAGACGCTCCTTATCAGCCTCAAATAAGTCCATCGACGACGGGGAGCATAGACCCTGTCCTCTCGGGTGGCCCAGTCACGACTTCTCCCCAGATTGGACCGGCCGAACCAGCAGTCCCGGATACCCCAACCAGGCTTCCAACATTGGATGGTTTCGATGTCGAACTGTTCACTGGTATAATTGGAGAGCAGCTCCCTCTGGAGTCTCTCAAAGCCATTCAAGCTGCTTCGTCCAGCAATGTCGAACGTGCTGTCAACATTTACTTCGACGGGTCGTGGAAGAAACCGATGAAAACCGCTGTCCGTGCGAAATCATCTCCCTTCCGATGCAGTATACCAGTAAAGCCCGAAGTAGGTGAAGAAACATCCACCTTGCCTTCCCGAGGAGATAACGAAGGTACACCTATCGAGCAACAGAGTCTCCTACGAAAACTACCTTCTTCGAGATATATAGGGAGCCTTTGGCGTGGGTGCTTGGGCAACGCGCAGTGGGCCGGCTATATTGAAACATGGAGACACTGTCAAGATTGAACGTGCCAGGTCACAGCCAGTAGCGAAACGCGGCCGGAACGGGAAGATGTTCACCAACAACAAGAGCGACGTATTAACGCGCTTCACAAACGTCGAGGGTCAAGAAATCGGACGACTACCCCATGATATCGCTGGCTGGGTCTCAACTTTGATTGATCAAAAGATTTGCGAATTTGAGGGTGTCTGCGTATACATCCCCGACAGGGTTCGCGTCAACGATACCATCTATTTACAATTGCGATGCATGTTCCGGCAAGAAGCTTTTCAACGCAGCACCTTCGTTGACTCGGTTGGTGATGACAACAGATCGATGGGTTTGTTCGAGGAAAAGGAAAGCACAGAGGAGAAAAACCTCAGACTTCGACAGGTTGCCCTTGTTAAACTATTCCATGAGATTGGCCTCCAGCCAACTTCAATAAATCCTACTACGGAAAAGCATAAAAAAGACGGGCTTCTACGGGCCGCCGAGATGGCCGAGCAATATGACGGCGTCAAAAAGGAGAAAACCAGAGCGGGCAAAGACTCGAACAAAGATGCGAATGACTCCTCCTCTGAAGACGAAGGCGCTGAGCTTGAAGAGGACCAGCTAGATACACTCTATCGCAAAGCACAATCCTTTGACTTCAATATGCCCGAGACACAGCCACCTTCTAGCTTCACCATGGACCTCCGCAAATATCAAAAGCAAGCTCTCTACTGGATGCTGTCGAAAGAGAAAGACAAGAAGCAAGCTCGAGAACGCTCAATGCATCCGCTATGGGAGGAGTACAATTGGCCGACCAAGGATGTCGACGACAGGGATTTGCCAGTCTTTGAAGGGATCGACCACTTCTACGTCAACCCTTACTCTGGTGACCTGAGCGTCGATTTCCCTGCGCAGGAGCAACATTGCCTGGGCGGTATCCTGGCAGATGAAATGGGACTTGGAAAAACAATCGAGATGATGAGTCTCATCCATTCTCACAAGACTGAACCCAGTCCAAACATGTCGAATGGAATCAGCTCTGTCAATGATCTGGCCAGACTACCCAGCTCAACGAGTATCGTTCCTGCGCCATACACCACCTTGGTTGTTGCCCCGACGTCACTACTCTCACAGTGGGAGAGCGAGGCATTGAAGGCATCTGAACCTGGAACAATGCGGACTCTCCTGTACTATGGTGCGGACAAAGCAGTGAATCTTCGGGATATCTGCTGTGAAGCAAGACACGCGACGGCGCCCAATGTTATCGTGACTAGCTACGGTGTCGTTCTATCCGAGTTCCGTCAACTTGCTCAGTCAACTGTAATGGCGAATCATAATGGGTTGTTTTCCGTCGACTTCTTCCGCATCATCCTCGATGAGGCACATTTGATCAAGAATCGACGTTCCAAGTCCGCCAGGGCATGTTACGAGCTGAAGGCGCAGCATCGATGGGTCCTCACGGGCACACCCATTGTCAACCGACTCGAAGATCTGTTCAGCTTGGTACGATTCTTGAAAGTTGAACCATGGAGTAACTTCTCTTTCTGGAAGACTTTCATCACAGTGCCGTTTGAGTCGAAAGAGTTCGTGCGCGCTCTCAACGTTGTGCAGAGTGTTCTGGAGCCACTTGTCCTTCGAAGAACCAAATCGATGCAAACCCCAGAAGGCGAACCTCTGGTTCCTTTGCCAAAGAAAACGGTAACCATCGAAGAAGTCGAGCTTTCTGAACAAGAGCGAGAAATTTACGACTGCATCTATACACGGGCTAAGAGGACCTACAACGACAATGTCGAAGCTGGCACTCTTCTCTCGTCGTACTCGACTATCTTTGCCCAACTCCTGCGGCTTCGGCAGACATGCTGCCATCCAATCCTCACACGAAAGAAAGAGATTGTTGCGGATGAAGAGATTGCGGCGGCTGCTCTAGATGCAGCCAATGAAATGAAGGACGACATGGATCTTCAAGACCTCATCAATCAATTCACCACCTCAAACGAAAACGCGGAGACAGAAGACCGCTCTGTCAAATTCACAGCTCATGCTCTTCGGCAAATTCAGACTGAATCGAGTGGAGAATGCCCGATTTGCTGTGAAGAACCAATGATCGATCCCGCAGTCACCGCATGTTGGCACAGTGCCTGTAAGAAATGCCTCGACGACTTTGTCCGGCACCATATCAACAAGGGTAATCAGCCGCGATGCTTTTCGTGCCGTGCCGATATAGATGCCAAGGACATATTCGAAGTCGTCAAACACCCATCAACACACGCTCTTCCCCATGAGGGACCTGAAGAGTCGCCGACCAATTCACAACCGGCACCACGTATCTCTCTTCGTCGTATCAACCCTCTATCCCCATCAGCACACACCTCCGCCAAGATCCACGCGTTGATCAACGGTCTTTCCCGCGTCCCACCAGGAACCAAAACAGTCGTCTTCTCTCAGTTCACCTCTTTCCTTGACCTCATTGGCCCACAGCTAACCAAAGTGGGTATAAACTACCTTCGTCTTGATGGTACAATGCAGCAAAAGGCGCGCGCCGCTGTGCTCACCGAATTCACCAAGACCGAGGAGACGTATGATGACGACATCATCGACGAGGAAGACGAAAGACACACCAGAAATGGCCCGTCCTCTTCCACGGTGCATCAATCACGACCTGCAGTGCTCCTCATATCCCTCCGCGCCGGCGGTGTGGGTCTTAACCTGACCACAGCGAGCAATGTCTTCCTCATGGACCCATGGTGGAGTTTTGCCATTGAAGCCCAAGCGATCGACCGCGTCCACCGTATGGGTCAAATGCGCGACGTTCAAGTTACGAGATTTGTTGTGAAAGATTCCATCGAGGGTCGGATGCTCCGCATTCAAGAGCGCAAGATGAACATTGCGGGTTCGCTCGGTTTGCGTGTTGGTGGCGATGAATCAGAAGAAGATAAGAAGAAGGACAGAATTGCGGAGTTGAAGTTGCTCTTTGAGTAAAAATGTGTTTCGAATATCGGTTGAATGTCACCTTTTGCTTGATACCCGGCTGTCTGTCGAATATGGGACTGTGCTGGCACTTTGTATAGGCCTTGTTTTGTTATTCTTTTTTTAGACTTCATGAGGTATCACCATGCGATCCTCTGCTCCCCCTAAAACAGAAACGTCCTTCGATTTAATTTCGTCTTGACACGCGTTCGCTTTTATGATGTAAAGAGCCCTCGTATATCTTGCTGAAGTTGTGTGTACTCGAAACTTCTCCTCTACTTCAATACACGATCATCAGACAGAATTACGCTGGGCGTTATATGTAGAGATTCTTCATCGGCAAGTCACAAATGAACAGCCGAGACAGTTAGAATCACAAAGTGTAATACAATTTCAATTGGGTACTAGTATACAGTGCAAATTGATACCGAGAGGGAATTGAACATCAATCATCAGAAAAAAATCACAGCTTAAACGAAGACAAATAAAGGCAACCATCCAGATGTAACGCCTACTGGCTGGACTGCTTGCTGCTGTGAGGGTGAACAACCTTCTTCAAACCCTCCTTCATCTTCGACATAGCACCCTGCTTGCCACTTCCAGACGACTTATCGCTACTCTTGGACGTAGTAGACTTGCCAGATTCGCCCTCTGTACTATGGTTAGCACCGTCCATAAAGCGCGCCCGATTGATATAATGAGGGAACAAAAACTCACTCGACTCGGTAGACAGGTCCTTCGCTCCATGTTTCCCCTCCTTCTCAAACTCGGTGGCACTATGCGCCGCTTGACCATCTTGAGGCCCCTTCAGCGCCTCCTTACTAACGCCGTGATCGTGCATGATCGCAGCCGTTCCGCGACGACCAGCTTCCATCTGCTGCTTAGTCTTCTCGGGGTCCTCGGGCTCGCGCTGCTCCTTGTTCTCGGTCTTGGAGGTAGCGCTGGTGTCTTCGGCCGGGGTGGCCGATGAGCCGGCGGCAGCAGTAGTCGAAGACGAATGAGTAGCGGTGGAGGCAGAGGGTTCAGCTGGGGTGGCCGATGAGTCGGCGGCAGCAGTAGTCGAAGAGGAATGAGTGGCGGCGGAGGCGGAGGGTTCAGCTGGGGTGGCCGATGAGTCGGCGGCAGCAGTAGTCGAAGACGAATGAGTAGCGGCGGAGGCGGAGGGTGCAGCTGCTGTGGCGGCGACAGAAGGAGCATCAGTAGTGGCGATGGTTGAAGGAGCATCGGTGGTATAGGTTGGGGCGAAAGTGGTGCTAGCGGTGGGCTGGGAGACGCTCGTCTGGGGTTGACCGTCTAGCTTGGGCTCTTTGGGAGAGGTATCCATGTCTGTGACGGGGGCATTGGGTTGTTCTGGAGGTTGGCTTATTAGCTCTTTCGATTCTTGCCATATGATTCTATGTGAAGAGGCTTGGAAGATGGACGTACCATCTCGGTTACCAGCATCATAGGGGTCAGTGGCAGAGCCCTTGCCCTGTACGCCAGAGATGGGCTCGTCGTGCGATTGCTGGGCCTGTTGAGATTGAGCGTCATTGTCGCCCCAAATGGCGTGGGATGCGGTGTTGATAACCTTGTTAACTGCTTCCATAGTCTCTTAAAACGTATGGTGGACGAGAGGTGATGGTGATGGTATAGTCTCGGAACAAAAGGTAGAGAGAGCGGGGAAGAAGACGGATATAATCGATGAGGTCAAGAGAGAACTATGGGGCGGGAAATGAGAAACCTTGGGTCAAGAGAGTTTAATGTACAGGTTAAAAAGATCAAGGTCTACGGAGGTTGAGCTTTCTTTAAGGGCTGATTGATTGACTACGTCAGTGGAACACACATGGCATCACAGCGCTTGAGCGGTGTTGTGGATGGAATCATTCTGAATGGCTGATAACGGCATTGAGTGAAACGTGGAATTCGAGCGTCGATCATGGCATCATCTGACGTCATGTCACGTGCTATGGAAAGGTGTATTGTACATGACCCCCGCGAATTAATAGCGACGCCAGACGAGCTCTCACGTAGTATGACCTTTGGTGGCGCTCAGGGGTTGTGCGGGGTCGTAGCCAATGCTCTTCACGATGCCAAGCCCTTTCGTCTTGCCCTCTCGGAAGAGGACTCGGTCGCCAGGGGCTAAGAACTCGGGGCGTTGGATAAAGCGGAAGGCGACAAGAGCCCGATCGCCAGTCCGAATGAAAGGGCGGTCGATGTCGATCACAGCACAGGTTTGGCTGACAGCTCCCACGTGGAGCATGGCCTGGTATCGAGGTTTGATGGTGGTTGCGTGTGAAAGAATCAGGACTAAATCCATGTCAACAAACATTATCCCTGTACATAGAAACGTGACGGACCTTCGGCGACAAACTCCCGGTATACCTTTGGGGGGGGTTTCCATCTTCCTTAAGACCACCATACCCTTGCGAACTTCTTTTCGACGAACGCGCTTCAGCGCAAAGGAACCGGACTGACCGGCAGAGCAGGCATTCACCTGAATGCGTTTTCGTTCGATAGTTTTGATCGTCGTAGTGGTGAACTGGCCCAGGGAGTCAGGTCCAACGACCACTGAGTCGCCGGCATGGATGACGCCCGACTTCACCACACCCGACACTACAGTGCCGACGTGCGGGACGGAGAAGGTGTCGTTGATAAGGAACTCAAAGGGCCCATCCTGATCGTAGTGTCCGCGGTGAGGAAGGATATTTAAAAACGTTCGGACGAGTTCCAGGTTCTCGCCAGTAACGTTGGAAACCTGGAAAATTGGGCAGATCCGCTGGCTGACGAATTGGGTGGCCGTGTTGATGGTTTCCTCCATATCCTTCACGAAAATGGGGATCTTCCGCGCACCGGGCGACTTGAGGATCTTGGACAATTGAGACAGAGTTTCCTGGAGAATCTGGGGCGGGCAGATGTCAATTTTGGTGACAATAACCATGACGGGGACATTCAACGCCAGCGCAATTCCCAGATGCTCACGACTCATCCCAATGAGCCCATTGTTGGCAGCCACCATGAGCAGACAGTAGTTGGGGCTGCTGCTGAGCATGCCAAACACGGTTGTGCGCAGGTAGCGTTCGTGACCAGCCAGGTCAGAAAAGGATATTACTTTCGCGGACCGTTTCCCAATCTCCTCCCAAGAGAGCTTTCGCCCTTGGGCATTCGTGACAATCTCACCGTGGCTGTCAAACCCCATGATTTCCATACCAACGGAGCTGGTCCGGCCGCTCTCAATTTCGTGCTTGTGTCGGAAAAGGTTGACTCGTGCACGACCACGTCCATCGTCAAGTCCGCCTTTGACCAGGACACCGAGCATGGTACTCTTGCCCGCGTCGACATTGCCCACGACCGCAATGCGAACCTCCCCCACTTCCTCCACATTGGTAGCATTCTGGCGGATGAGGATCTTGCCCCAGGCGCCCGTTATACGATCGTTGGCTACTGGCGCCTCCTTCTCGCCGCCCACGTTGTAAGTCATGAGCACGCGGCAATGTGCGGGGATAGCCTCGGTGGCCTCATTGAGGCGCCGGAGTGCCGTTTCCCATTGGGGTATGTCGAAGCCCATTGTGTCTCCGCCATCCTCCAGTCCCAGATCAAAGAGCGTCTCACCATGACCTTCGTCCATTCGTAGTTGTATTGTTTCGGCCAGATCCTTCAGACTATCTTCGGGGGCGTCCCCGGTTCCGAGCAGAAGGTCCTTTAACTTGACAGTGCGCGGGGTATCGGACAGACCGAGGGAGTCCAGTATGTCGAGTTCGGCATGCTCCTCGACATCATGCGATGCTTCAGCGGTACCGGTAGAGCTTGCGCTGTCGTGCGGCGCGGTGTACGCGGAGCGCTGCGCTTGTTGCTTATCGGCATACTCGGCGAACTCGCTGAGAGCCTGGGCGAGATGTGAGTGAGAAAAGTAATCCGGCCTGATGAGTACATACGATCTCGCCTCGTTTCCTTTCTTCGGCGTTTAACTTTGTGTCGTTCGGCATGGTTGGGTGTAGTGGACGGTTCGGGGTTGAAGAACGGTGAGTCGCGTTCTCGGAGTAGTGACGTTACGGTTGGGGATAGATTGGATCGCCTTCTTTTCGGCGCAACTCAGAACTCAGACTGATATTCGAGTGATCATCTCTTGTTCCATCAGGGGGAAAAGGAAAAAAAGACGGAAATTGATATTGAAGGGAAGTTTGAAGATGAAGTGAGGAAGTACAAAGAAGGGAGACCGGGGCAGCTTTATCGATAACCGTAGCTCGAGATCGAGTCACTTGCTTGAGTCATAGATGCGCTTCGCTCCTCTACGCATCATCTGCCTCGATCATGCTGCGCCCCCAGATGTCTCGCTCTAGAATCGCCTGGAGATTATAAGAAGCGCTATGACTCAGGTACTAGTTCTAATCCTAGGATCAGCTTTGCGGCTCCGGGAAGGAGGGGCTACGGGACATAATCTGGGTGGATGGGTTCATCGCCATTTCATGGTCTCATATCTATGCGACTGGTATTCGGATGGTATCTCAATTTTTCCTTCGCAGTAACTGCTCGCCAGACGCCGTTTCATCTATACAATTCGTGGGCCGATCAAGCCTGGGGGGAGATCAAAACGACAGAATCACCTGGAAATCATCAGTGAAGATCCTGCAGTGGGATAGCCTCAAAATATGACTCACCTCGCACAAACAACATTTCTTCCTGCTTCTTGATTGTCTGTCCATACACATCCTGAGTTAGCGCCCAGAGCTCTCTAGATCGCCGAAAGTTCCTTACCCTTGTGGTCTCTTGCTCGTTCTCATCCTCCTCTACCACGTAGATGGTCTCTTCCACGTCGCCGAGGACAAGGTTGCAGTGGCTATCATATGCCTATAAAGTCGTTTTGGTCAGTAGACAGGTCATGCAATTGCGTGACAGGGTGGGCTCACGTGGAGGCGGCCCTTGAGTTCACGGTCGCCGCGCAGCTTCACGAAGACAATCTCGTCGAGTGAAAGGCGCACAAGGTCCAAGGGTTCTGAAACGGATGTGCCTGCGTCCTCGGTGTCGGCCATCTTGAGTTGTGGAGTTTGGAATCACAATGTCGATTCAGACACAAGCAGACGCGGGCGGAGTGAAATCAGCGCGAGCTCTGCCGGTTGCTCAATCGGGCCTAGCACAGACTAGATGAGTCAGCACTGTTACCCCGGCTTATGCCTCAGGCATAATATGTCAAAACTGGGGTTACCCGCACCTCCACTTCTTTAATGTATACTCTGGGCCTAGAGATCGTCTCGACCGAAGTGCCAAAATGCTACTCCTCTCACTCGCGGTAGACTCAATAGTCACCACAGTATAGACTTATGGAACTAGAAAAAGATCCAGCTCTAGTCCCCGGTAACCCAGACTTTCTGTAGGTCACTGCTACCTGAGGGAAGGTCTGACCGTCGCCCGCCGCCCCCTCACCAGATAATGTGACCAGAAGTACCAACTACAGACCGGGGTCAATGTGCCACCCCTCCTCTGCCAGCCCCTGTTCACTTTCCTCTCTGCATCTTACGATCTCATACTCGCTCTATCCATCATGCGGACAATTACAGTTGCTCGTGAGCGATTGTCTTCCTACAGTCTTTATTCTCGACCGTTAGGATCCGAACAATGCCTTACTAACCGCCCAAGGCTCCTGAGGCTTGGTCGCACTGGTCTTAGACAAATCTCGTCTGCAAGTCAGTCATCTCAATTGCTCGTGTGTCAATTTGATGGCTCTCGTTCCCACCCAAAATACTTTCGACGACACCTTCTCCTTCATGAGTTTACTACCACAGGCCGATTATGGAACTCATCCCCAGAGTCAATCGAGACGACACGCAAGGCAGACAACGTGATTCTTCCGTCCTGGAATTCGCCAGGAGAAGAGGCAGAATACGCAGCCAAGTTCTTTCAGGTGCTTCAAGATGGTCAGCCGGACCAGATGATGACAGCCATGACTGATCCACGGTCGGCGGGTCTGGTCGGAAGTTTACCCCAGGCCATGTTCATCGAGGCGTTCAACCAACTGTCTCCCGCCCATTTTGTGGAGCCGTTCCGCGACCTCCACCATCCACTACACACCTGGTCCACTCTATTGAATGGTTTAAAACGGGTCGAAGAGATCTTTGATGATTTTGTCAGAAAACTCTTGACAATCACTCATTATCGAATTGCTGGAGAAAACCTGCTTGGCCTCGCGGAATACACACACCTCTTGGACTGCGCCCGCTCCATGGGGAATGGACCACTTGCGGATGATATTTGGAAGTCCATGGAGGAAGTGGGTGTTAGTCCGGACGTACAGTGCTACAATCACTACATGGAAGCGCTCGTCTGGGACCACTGTTATACTGGCCAGGAGGCTTTCAGGCTGCGCATTCTTCCCCGCCACTATTACAAACGGCGCATGGAGAGTCGTGGTGTCGGATGGCAGGGCTATGGCACGGGTGGACTGAGCGTAAGAAAGAGAGTGATGAACTTATTCAGCGAAATGCTCGAAAGTGGGCATACTGCCGACGAGCGCAGCTACATTAACCTCATGCTTGCAAGTGCTCGTGTTGGTCACGGCCCGGGCTTTAGACAAATTTTGACCCAGATTTGGAATCTCCAAGTCAAGCTTATCAAGCGCGAGGATCATTCGGAAGTACGAATGCCGCCAACGCGGTATGAGCCATGGTCTGCTCTGCACCCGACCGAGAATCTCCTCTTCGCAATTGCCCATGTCTTTGGCACCAACAATGATATTCCTGGCGCTGTTCAGACGATACAATTTATCGCCGAAAAATACGACATTCCCATTACACCACGAGTCTGGCACGAATTATTCGAGCGAGCATACGTGTTGAGCCGAGTCAGAACCACTAAGACGACGCAAGAGCAGCAAGCCAACGATATAGGACGAGTATCGATGCAGGTGGTACAATCAATATTCAATACAATGACTTCCGAGCCCTACAACGTCAAGCCAACTGTCCAGACACACCGCTTCATGATCAATATCGCCATTGACAAAGGTAACCTAAAAGCATGCAAAGTCCACTTGGCTGCCGCCTACAACATCTTGAGCGAAACCCGACGTAAACAACGCCAAGCACGCACCGTCGTGATGAGATGTCTCAACCCAGTTCTCGACGCTGCCAAAAAACAACGACAAAGGGGACTCCCCATCGACCAAAACCTTTTCCAATCACCAATCCTCGCCGACGCAATACATGCCTACGACCTCCTCCGTCTCGAGGTCTACCAACAGGCATACCTCATCCGCCGCGCAGTATGGCTCATCGCCCGCGTGTCTCAGTGGAAAGACACACCCGACGATAAATGGTTCTACCAAGAGCGGCCCAAGATCATGGAAGAATGGCGAGACTTCCTACCGAATCGGAAACGAATCTTCTACGACGAAACTTCCGGCTTCATGGATATGAAAGGGTCCACGGGGTTCAAAGACCGACACTGGCATGACGAATCGCATACTCCCATCCGCCGAATGACAGACCATGAGGTTTTGTTCAAGCGCACTGAGCCATTTGCATTTTCTGAGGCCACGGAGTGGCGTGGCATCCTCAAAAGGTTTTCTGGGGTGGATACGACTCGCGCACCGCTGAATCGCCTGTTTGAATTTGAGCGGCCGAGTTCTCCCAAATTAAAAGCTATGCTGAAGGAATTGCGAGAAAATTGGGTGGAGTATCCCGAAGATCATCAGCTTTCTCCGAAGAAGAACCCGAACGCTGGGTTTTATGGAAAGCTTGCTGCGTTGGGGTTGTTGAAATCGAAGGAACGCGGCATCTTTCTCTTGGATGATAACTCCTGGGTTTGAGAACAGCGCGAGTTGAATGACTTGTGACATAAACATTCTGTTTAGTTGATTCGTTTGATACCCTTCGTATTGATATCGGCCTGCATTCTCCTATGTTGCATTTGCATCGTCTGAAATATACATAGTACGAGGCATATCATCATGAGGTAATACATTTTTGACGATATGATCGAGACCAAACCTAGGAGGCTAAAGTTTGTTCAATATTTCCGAAAAGATCTTCTCGAATATGGGTACACGTTCATGGGGGCTATCTGTCATTTCATATACAAGTGAAAACGTACGAAGGGTCAAGACAATAGATCGCTCATAGCAAAATGATTCCCGACCCTCTCAAGCCGAGATCGGCCTAGATCTTCTCCCTCTTCAAGTCATTCACAGTCATATACCGACCGATAGTAATCCACCCCCACCGGAACCAGACCATTTGACTCTGATGCCCCTTCACCATGGCCGATTGAGCAGTCATCCACTCCCCGATTGAACTAACAAAAAGGAGCCTCGCCGGGCCAACATCCGCTTTCTTCTTTGTCGTCAGTCCAGTCCAAAGATTACTCCAAGCCCCTTGTAGCATGGAAAGTGGCGCATCAAGAATACCGGCGTATTTCCGCCAAATCGGAAGCGAAGTTAACGTGTACAATGTGATCGGGCTCGCAAAGCCTGCTTTATCCTTCATTAATGCGCGCAGGAAATGTACCGAACCGTGGTATAGAGAGCGGTGGTTCGGATGGTTGCTGACACCGTGTTTGTCGAATGTGAGGAGGACGTCGATGGTTGCTGTGGGTGCTTTGTTGGGGTTAGCTTTGCTGCCTTTCAGGCTAGCGGCGAGGTCAGGCGCGAAGGCGGATGCGAGAAGGGAGGTGATATCTTCTTCTTTCCAGTATTCTTTCATGCCGTCTGGGAAGCGATTTGTGTCTTCGACGACGAAGACGTCGGATTCATCCCGGACGCCGAGGTGGAGGGCGCTTTTCTGTAGTTCCTTTTTGCGTGTCTCGCCGAGGCCATCAGCGTCGCCTGAAGAGAGATGCTTTGTTAGTTTTGTTTTAGGATTTGCAATGTCTCCACGAAAGGTGTGGATTTTCGATGGAGACTTGATGTCCACGCCGCATGCGCTTTCTTCGGTTTATCTTTGTGACGTACCTGTGCTAAAGCAAAGAATCTTTAGGTGGTTTCCTAACTCTGGTTGGGTAAGGGCGAGAACCGTGGGCGCGAAGAACATGGCCTCGTCATCTGGATGGGCGATCAATAGACAGATGCGCTTGTTGACGAGTTTAGGGAAGGAGCGGGTGAAAGGTGAGATCGAGGTCGAGGACATGGTCCAGAAGGCAACGACTGCGGCAATGGCCACAGCGAGTGAAATCAAATTGGAAAACATGGTGGATAGATATGCGATAGAGAGCCCAGTGTCGTGCCAGTTCGAATTGAATACCAAGGCCCTCGCTGGTCGCGAAGCTAGGGTCTTGGCAATTTGGTCCCCGTATTGTTGTGAGTGTATACGCGCTAGGTTCGTGCAGGCTCGGGCAGATGTCAGGATTGAATTGTGGATCAGAGCGTGCAGAAAGTCAAGACATAGCACAGTGGGGAATGCGCGGGCATCCCACTTCGGCCTTGGATGAATGCGCCGAGGTCGGAACGATCGAGGATAGGGAGATGATAGTAGGATTTCAACTGACTGGGCACCAGACCCATGACCTTGACTCTCAGGAGTCCATAGAAAAATGACACGGTGGCAGGACGCTCCTTCGGAAAAGGGGAAGCTCAGATTTGAGATTCTGCTGCCGGGCGATCCCCCGGATCACGTGTCAGGGGTTCATGCATCGACTTGTCCCTTATCAGCATTGTCCAAAGCTATTAAATTTCGCGAAGATTTACTGATTGAGAATTTGATACTTTGATCTACAATGAGCTTGTTACGTTGTCCATTTAAGCTTCGCGATAGGAGATATGAAGCCCGAGCTTTTATCAAAAAGACCCCAAACCCTAGACGATGGTCTCAAGACAGGTTGAAGTGGGCGCGTTGAGGTAAATCAGCAGAACAATCTGGTGACGTGAATCATGCCTTGCACATTTGCAAAACTAGAACTAACGAATCGAGTCCCCGTGGTCATCTGCTCCAGACAGGAAAGGGACTTGCTTGGACAACCCAACAAGGTACTCGATCCAACCTGTGTCACGATGAGGCTCACAAAACTTTTAGGTCAGACTCATCCGATGACACCTCACCTGTTGTCGGCAGTACCTTCCAAATCAGTCGAACTGCCAGAGTCCTATGGATTTGGAACGTGGAAATGTGGAACATGGTATAAATTCTGGTATGACAGCCATGTGGAGCACACAATTGGAGAGGGTGAAATCTCTGCCGGGCCCCCTGAATAGCCCCTAACAAGTCGATGGTACCAACTTCGGGGCAACACTAAACACAATTACCTACAGGAAATACAAACGTACTCTCAATGACCTAAGATATTCATCTAAGACGGAATTCCAGGGTTCTAGAATGCCAGCACCTACCACCTAAGACGAAAAAAGATCCTCCCGAAAAAAAAAACTCTCCACCCGGTAAACCGACTAGAACCGGGCCGGAGGTCTTTTGAAACCATCACAAAGCCCAGGTTTCCCGACGGGCAAGTGAAAAAATAAAAATTGGAAGAAAAAATAGAAAATCGCCGAACGGGGCTCAGCGGCGACTTTCAATGGCTAGGGCGGCCCCATCGCGGGTGGTTAGCCACACCCACCGACGAAGCGGTCAACTTTCCACAGAATAGACCAGGCCCGACTGTGGCAGAGCGGGCCAGTGGCATCAATTTTAAGCATCACGCTGCCCGGGCCGAGTATAAAGTTTCGAGGTGGGTATACCACATCAGAAAATTACTGCTTTGGGAGACTCGGCAGGTTTCCTTGATTCTATGAGTCAAGGCACAATGTGCAACTTGCAAATTGCAAATAGACTACAATTTTCCTTACACATGGCGTAGTCAATCATTTAAGTACTAGGCAGATGACGCGACACATTGTCTAACAGTCACGTAAGTTGAGAGTCAGGGCTGATCCAGAGGAGTTCTCCAAGATCGACCCGAATTTGGAAGTCCGCTGGAGGACCCAACGTGCCCCTAGCACCCCATCCATTGGCTACCACTCCCGATCTTAAGCGGTATAGCCTCTTAAGCCTCTAGTCGTCCATAGTCATCTCTAGTCTCGCCTATTCTACATAGCGTGGATTTGAGTGATATTCATGCTACTATACGCGACAATGAAAACGGTAGGGAGGGGCCACGGGGATCGACAGATCGAGTCGAGAGGTCCGGGGCGGGCGGCACCGTATCCTTACAATGGGCCGGTGCTGTTTCGCATCATGGCGTGATCGGAGCCATATACCTTTGGACCTGCAGTCTTCACCGCGGGATATTGTGTCTTTCGTCGGGGGCATGACTCAATGGCGGTCGAACCTTGAGGAATCAAGGCGGGGAGTTTCTTCAGAACGTGTTTTGTATGGGTGTCAATGCAGGGATTGTATGGAATGCAGTGTGCATGGGCCATGCGATGTGATGCGACAGCTGTAGAGGCACCTGGATCAAGGTACCTGACGATGGAAACTGTTAGGTAATTAGTGCGAGTAGGGAGTTTGATGATTCGTGGAACGCAGCGGGGACGAGCACGGTGCATATCTTGACAGCTCCTAGGGTTACGATGGTATGTTTGATCACGGAGCTTCTGCCATAGCAATGTCTATACTCGCACCACAAAGGGGACAAAACTCTGCATCGTGAAGCCCATCGGTGCCCCGCAGAAATCAGTGTGGGGTCATGAGAGATCTCCTTAACCCAAACAGGACAACGGAGTGCAGACGAAGCCGGCGAGCAAAAATTTTCCAGTGGAGCGCGCGCAGGGTCTTTTGCACGCGTTTGTATTGCCCGAAGCGGAAAAGCGGTAGAGAAATGATCTGCCACTAACTAAATCGGGTCTTGTATCCTGCGGTAATGGGTGTTGTATTGACGAGGTATTGTACCAAACACAGCTCGTGAGCCTTCGGCTCGCTGCTGTTTGCGCCACGTGATGCTTCCAAGTGGCAGCGGACGCATTCTCCATGTCGCTCGGCGCCGGCTCTCACGGCCAGCTAGGCTTTTTTTTTATCAGAGCGCGGAATATGCTCGAAGGCTCTTCCACCTCGGCAGGCTAAACGGCACACCCAGGGCTCACCTGACCGGTTACGACGCCGTCGCAGTGATCATCCGGGGTAAAGCACTATGACCATCTCCGTGTAGGGCCGATGTAGTCCCCGCCGTATACCCCGCCAACGGGCACATGCGAAGGCCGAGTACCTACGGAGCATGGGATGGGAGATCTCTCACCGGGGAGATAGCCGACCGTGACTCATTCAAAAGGTTGCGCACGGCCGGATGGCATCAACTTTCGCTTGAGAGTCTAGAGCGGTGATGGCAAGACGATGCCCGCATGAAACTTTGATGTGGGGAACAGCTGGGCTCGCGTCAGGCGATCCCCGATCGATGCTCATCCATGACCATTCGTGTTTGTTGTGCTCGGGCGAGATCCTGTTGGTTCACGGGCCCAGTGCCGGTGCCGAAAAGCCGACGTGGTCTAACATGAGACACGGAGTAGAATAAGACTATGAGGGATTTGTAAAGGAAAAAGCATATAAGACTATAGACAACATATCGGACGGCCAAAATACATCGGGCAAAGGACATACGTATGGAAACAGGTTTCAGAAGCTCCAGGTGATGGTCTCGCTGGGAGAAGATCTATAATAAGGACGAAGGACCTTGTGTGTGTGTGTGTGTATGTGATACGGTGTAATTGGCCGTAAACATGAATGTAACAGTACTGTGCGCATCCACAATGACGCTTCTCTGCCCCACCGGAACCTCCATTTTTTTTTTTCTAAAAAAAAATCGAAGTTTCTTGCAATGTCAATTTCCGTGTCTAGAACAACGAATAGCGGAGCCGTACCTGGTCTTGCTTTGGGACAAAGTGGACACCGTACTGAAAATTTTCTTAGTTTCTTAGAAGTTTTCCACGGGTTAGGCCCCATTTAGGCTTGTGGCACCTGATGGAGGGTTCATAAGGAACGGTCGCTCCTGTTACATTCTCTACTTGAGCTTCATACTATGTTCTACGTCGCTTTTACTCTGTATCATCGTACTGCGTCTCGAATTACACCTCATATTACATCGTGAACTACATCTTGGGCTACATCATCATTTACATCATTCAACGCTCACATCCACGGATCAAACTACATTCAAGATGCCGGGCCGTTTAATCCCCAACTTTGTTCGGGGCTCTGGCTCCCTGCACTCATCTCTCGCCTCGACACCGGCTCACTCCAATTCCTCCTCAACTACTTCCGTCAACGAAATTCCAGCACACCCAGTAGGCAAGAAGTCTGCGCATGCCACCCCGGATCGTGCCCGCTCCCCAGAGCGTCGCCTCTCATTCTCCATGGACCATTTAATCCACCCTTACCGGGACCACAGCAAGGACAAGGAAAAGCGTCGCAGCCTCGGCCGCGCCGGTCGATCCAAGGAACGCATCAGCAAGGAAGAGATGGCTCTGCCTTCAGCCAAGCTTGACGTTCTGGTGGAATCCCCACCTCTGGTCTGCTACGGCAACCCCTCCACCTCCACCGGCGCTTTGTTCTCGGGCCGTCTGCGTATCGCCGTGGCAGAACTGGCTCATGAGGTGACTTTGGACCAATTCGACGTGCGTCTCGTTTGCAAGACATCGACAAAGAAGCCCGTGTCCAGCCACTGTTCCAACTGCGCCACTCGCACTGATGAGCTTACTCGCTGGAACTTTCTTACCGAGAAACTCAAGCTCGCCCACGGTGACCACGACTTCCCCTTCAGCTATCTCTTCCCCGGCCACTCGCCCGCTTCGTGCGATGGCGCTCTTGGCAAGGTGGAGTACTTCCTGCTCGCCCATGCTCGCAGCACTACCGGCGAGGAGTTCAGCATCAAGCTGCCTTTGAACCTCCGCCGCGCTCTACTTGCCGGAAACGACAAGTCCTCCATTCGCATTTTCCCTCCCACCAATCTGACGGGCCGCATCGTCTTGCCCTCAGTGGTGCACCCTTATCGGCAAGTTCCCGGTGGAGATGACCCTGAGTGGGGTCGTCGACAAGGGCGATGAGACTCAGACTCGCTGGCGTCTGCGCAAGATGATGTGGCGCATCGAGGAGCACCAGAAGATTGTCTCCACCGCCTGCCCGAAGCACTCTCACAAGATCGGCGGCGAGAACAAGGGGGTACTCCATCAGGAGACCCGTATCATCGGCCACAACGAAGAGAAGACTGGCTGGAAGACCGACTTTGACACCGCGGGCGGTGAAATCGGTATGCAGTTCGAGGCTAGCATTAACCCCACCACCAACCCGGTATGCGACATGGAGGCCCCTGGTGGCCTCGAAGTCAAGCACAATCTCGTCATTGAGCTCATCGTGGCTGAGGAATTCTGCCCCAACCGCAACACCCGTCTGATCACCCCGACTGGTGCCGCCCGCGTGCTCCGTATGCAGTTCAACCTCCACGTCACGGAGCGCGGTGGTCTCGGTATCAGCTGGGACGAGGAGATGCCCCCAGTTTACGAGGACGTCCCCGCCAGCCCTCCCGGCTACACTAAACTCGACGACACCGCCAGTGTCATGGAAGACTACCAAGGCTCCCCTCTGCCTCTGCCAGAGTACGATGAGCTGGAGCGATTGGATTCGCTACGCCTGGACAGTGACTCGACTCACTCGTCCGCCCCGTCCTCCTCCCGCGGACGTGTCCGCTTCACAGTCGACGATCTTGTTACCGACCACACCCCTCCTCCCTCTGAACCCGCTTCTCGCGCTCCCTCTCGCACTCCCTCCGTCGACTCATCGCGCCAATAAAACTTTCCACTTGATGGTCTGAAAATCATCGTTCCACATGACTTTACGATCTCCACGACCCAAAGAAAGACTTTTCCTTATCAATTTCTAATAATTCAAGATTCAACGGTCATCACCTTCACGGAGGATGATGCCTCATGAACCTCTAATTCCTTGAACTTCAGCGGCGTTATGATACTTGAACGGAGAAGAAAAAAATAATACCTCCATGGTTGAAGGAAACAAGAAACAGAATTCCCGGCTTGGTCGCATTTTCTTCTTCGCTTGGACGGACCAATTTCGATCCACCCTTTGCATTATACCCATCATTCGCTTCAACTGTGAATTTCTTTTCCTTTTTTCTCCCTATCTTCCTATGGATTTTTCCGGATTTTTATTCCCCCTCCTGTTTTAGAAAATTGGTTCATTCCGTCAAGGAAGAATTCTCAACCCTTATCTGATATTTAATGCAATGACTTCAAATGTCCATCCTCCTCTTCACATATAGTAGGACTTTCTCGATACACTGCTTCTGAAACTTGACATCCAGCAGGCCATGTCATGGGAGGGGTGATAACAACCTCGTCGCCACCGACCCCGCCCCACACTACTCAGACCAGGAAAAAGTACAAATGCAGCCACAACCTTATCACCGCTTGGCCCTATGCCATCGCCAAGGCAGCCGCGCATTGATAGTTAAGTAGATGAGGGCGGCGGAAACCTCAAACACGGACCAAGAATAGTGATATCGAGATAGGGGCACAATTGAGATTTGTCCTGCCTTGTAGATACATCGGCGGTTAACTCTACCAGGTCCAAGTCGTATCGAGAGTGCTGGAAGTTTACGTGCTCAGTAAAGAGTGGGTGCGCGTAGAGTTGGTAGAGTGAAAGAGATAAGAGAGAGAGAGAGAACCGTGTCCCACACTCAGCCCCTATTTTCTAAGATTGAACTCTATTCATCCTTGGCTATTCTGGAGGGTTCTTCACCGGGTAATGTGTGAAGTCTAAGTGAAATCTTGATAATTTCACATCCTCCCAATACTTCCTAGCATCTAATTCCTAGCATCTACTTCTGAAGCATCTTCAGCTGTCATTTATTAAGGTGTGACAGTCTGAATCTATTATAATCCCCACCATTAGCAACATCTTATTCCCGCGCTTTGAGCCACTTCCATTGTGGCTCTAGAGTTGAGCAACATATTTAAGAACGATAGGATATGGACGTGGGTCACGAGAGTAGGCATGGTCATCTGAACCGATCATGAATTGAAACTAGCAGGGGCATTCGTTGAGCGGATGTTCTAGTCCTGTGAAGCATCTGGCTCGAAGCATTGCAGCATAAAAGAAACTTATCAATTCAATGAAAATTAGGTTCCAAGCATCAATATCGGATGTCCCTGCAAGCATGGTATTATATCGAGGGATTAGGACGGTTAATTTCTCACTTTCTGAATAGTAGACACAATTTAAGGGCGAAGAGAACATTACAGGAATTGAACGCAAAGCATAGAAAGTAAAATCACAGCGTCACCTCGTCAATATCATAGACCAAGTGACTTTGTCTCGCCCCCTTCAAGTCCAATCCTAAGACCCACACCATGCTTAATGCCATGGACACTTTGATTTCCTTCAACCAAAGTCCCCATGAAGTAGACTTCTTTCGCATCTCGCCATTGTCCTTGGCCATCTCGAAGATCTCGTCAACACGTGGTCTGCGAATGGCATCATATTTCTCAAGAACCTCACTTAGAGGGCGTGCGTCATCTTCGAGGAGCCGGGAAAGCAAAAAGACATCCTCGAGCGCCATCGAAACTCCCTGTCCAGCATGCGGCGACATGGCATGGGCTGCATCGCCGACCAAGACGCAACGGCCTTTGGACCACGCCTTGCCGAGAGGCAGACGGTAAATGGGATAGAACTTGACCACAGAGGTGCTGCTGACAACCCTCTTCAGCGTGCTTCCCCAATCTCCCTGCGCATTTTTCAAGACTTCAAGAAGCATGTCTTTGAATCCTTGTACCTCCCCCTTCCCATGCACCTCCCATCCATCGCGACTATCCCCAGACTCGGGAAGCGGGACCTCCTTGGTAAAGAACCAGAATAACTCATCCTTAGTAGCTGTGCATGGGTTCAATGCCATCATTCCTTCCTCCGTCATCGTTGCCTCAAGCCCAGAGATCTGGTCCATGACCTCCAACGAAACAGTCTCAGCCGGAACAATGGACATGATCCCCGACAATCCCGAGTACTCCGCCATCTGACTTGGGTCGATATATTTTCTTCGAACAAAGGAATGAATCCCATCACACCCAAGTAACAGATCCGCCACATCTGTCTCCCCATCTTCAAACACCACACTCACCTCGTCAACACGATCATCAATCTTCACCAACTTCTTCCCAAACCGAACAGGAATCCCCGCTTTCTCAACCTCCTCAAGCAAAATTTGCTGTAAATCTCTCCTCTTAATTCGCAGATATCCGAACCCCGTCTTCTCCCGTGCCCAACCAACATGATCGATCGACCCAAGTACATGACCTCGCAACGAGTGTATCGTCAGATTGCGTCCACCGTAGCCCCTGCTTACGGCTGCATCGTAGACGCCAAGTCGGTGTAGGAGGCGGAGACCATTGGGCTGGATTCCAATCGCCCCACCTAGCGTCGAGGGCGAAGAACGGAGCTCGTAGACCGTACATTTTATGTTTGTCTGTTGGTGGAGACGCAGTGCTGCTGCAAGGCCAGCGGGGCCGGCGCCAATGATGATTGCCTGCAGATTGGACTGGTTGGCACCTGGGGCTGTGGGAAAATGGGTTGGTCTTACCTTTCGAATTTCCGGCATAGTCTCTTTCGTTTACCCTCGGTTCTGGTGCAGATGATATGGTTGATTGATTCTGATGATCCTTTCAATCCGGAACTATTAGAATTCATATACTTTCGTCCTGCCTCTGGGCTCCGCGGACACTAGTCCAGTTTAGGTATTTTAGCCCGCGGAGCGGAAATCTCATATTCTAGGACGTGGAAATCTTGCAATGGTCTGGTCTAGGCTTCGACCGGGATATTCCGAATATTTAGATTCTCAAAATGAACAGAGATTGTACATCTTTCGTCACGTGGGACTAAATACATTATCATTCGGTCGCATCAGTAATCTGAATGTTGAAGGTTTAGAACATTTACAATTGGGATCTGGCGAGCAGGGCATCGGGACGTCTAAATACACTTCAACAAGGCCGTTGGGCGCGCGCAGAGTGCGCGCCTATCTGAATTGTCCCCAATTTGCTAGTTAGTCTCACGACTTATGCATTTAAAATTAAGTTTTTATATCCAAAATTCTAGTTTATATATAGGTAAATAGAAATAGTATAGAGTGCCCAGAAGGCCCTGCTCTAACTAGGGGGTAGCTTAGGGCTTTCTGGGCGATAGACCTAATATATCGGTCAATAGCTTAGTTAGGCTTATTTATTCTGTGGCGGCTTCTCTTATATTACTTTTATCTAACTAATATAATATAGGTAATAATAGTTTAGCCTTCTTACTCTTTCGCTTCTCCCTATTAGCCCGCTTTCTCTTCTTCCGGTTCTTCTTATCTTAAGACTATATAGTCTCTATGTGGGAGATCCAGTGGGAGATCTAATGGGAGATCAAGTCTTTTATCCTTCGATGAATAAAAGAATATTTCCTTAATAGGAAACCTCAGGGTATGATATGATGATTGAAGAAGAATTATATTTTTCTTGTAGAGAATTGCGGACATATTTATATCCAATCAACAAAATTCTAGGCCTATATTAGACTTGCATTATTTTAAGTCTAGGCCTGTCTTGCTTTGAAATCAATTATAGTCTAGGCATCATTTTTAGTCTAGACCTATTGTCAAGGTATCATTAATAGTCTAGACCTATTGTCAAGGTATCATTAATAGTCTAGACCTATGTCAAGGCATCATTAATAGTCTAGACCTATAGAACACCTTTTAATAGACCTATTATAATTAGGTGGTGTTGGGATATAAGGGGAAAGCTACCACGAAGCAGATCGTGGCCCCTTAAGTCCGTGGGATCAACCTTAGTCCGGCTGGGTCAGTCAGTGCCAGACAAAGGTGGAAGGTCAAAGGTCGTAGGATAGACTATAAGCAGATATAGCCTAAACGAAGGCAGAACCACAGTCCTGTGGATCAAAGGAAGAAGGTAGAGATGACTTTTGGAAAGTGGACAATGACTTCAGGAAAGTAGAAATGACTTCAGGAAAGTAGAACTGACTTGATTCTATCTGCTAGACAAGAAGGACGTATTTATAGGCTAGGATAGCCTAGAAATGACGTCTAGAATAACATATAAATGACGTACAAACACTAGGTAGCAACATAATGAAGGTGGCAAAGAAGGGAACCGAAGAGAAGCGAAAAGAATGATGTTAAGGATCGACGGTCTAAGCCACCCCGAAAGCACCCCCGCAGGATCAGACCATTCATGCCTGAAGGCAGACCATTTACCCCTAAAGAAAATGGTCCTGCCTATCGTTCGGGGGAGGGCCGCGGACCAGAATCAGAAGTGGTCAAAACATCATTTTGATAGAAGAAAAATCTGGTCACGTGATCAATGCAATCTGGTCTTATATGTTGAATATAAGGATAGATCTTTCTATGTAGCATTGGTCTATATTCCAATAGGTGGCTTTTCGTATTTTCCTGACTAATTATAAAGATCATAGTCTTCTTGGATGACTAAAGGTAATGCTGACAGTCCTTGATAATGCTGACAAAGATAATGCTGACAGTCCTTAAATATGCTGACAGGAGGGGTAATATATAGTGGGAGAATTAGTGATATAATAAGCTTATATATAGCCTTAGGCATAATTTAATATCTGTAGTGCATAGTATATCTCCAGACACACTTAGAGGGAGAGAAGTTATCTACCTAATTCATTTAGGATTCACCCAATTTCTTCTATCTATAATACAGCATTAAGATTATCCCGCACGGCCGCAACAGGGCATCAGTACGGCCTCACCCAGCATCCTCTACACCAGACAGGCAGTGTGTGTGTGTGTGTGTGTGTGTTGTCCAGTCTGCATCGCCAGACAGCCATCGAGCCGTTCCCATTTTAGTAGATAACTTATCTATCTCTAAGTGTGTCTTAAAGGTACGCTATGCACTACAGATATTGAATTATGCCTAAGGCCACACATAGGCTATTATGTCACCGGTTCTCCCACTACACTATCTTTAATTATATATATTTTATATAGCTAACTTACCCCTTTCTATCTCTACTAAGGCACTAATATTAGTAGGTTTATTTATCTATAAGTATTTTTCTTTTTGCTAATTAGTAATTTTATCTTATAATATAAGATTCTTTCGGTAAGACTTTACTAATAACTTATATTTAAGAGAGCCCGAGTACCCGCGATATAATATTAATTTATTTACCGACCGACCGGACTTAGAATTTAGGTATAAGTAATAGGTCTACGGAGCTACTTAGCTTTATATAGCGCCTAAAGATAGAGTGTCAGCATATTTAAGGACTGTCAGCATTATCTTTGTCAGCATTATCAAGGACTGTCAGCATTACCTTTAGTCATCCAAGAAGACTATGATCTTTATAATTGGTCAGGAAAATACGAAAAGCCACCTAATTATAATAGGTCTATTAAAAGGTGTTCTATAGGTCTAGACTATTAATGATGCCTTGACATAGGTCTAGACTATTAATGATGCCTTGACAATAGGTCTAGACTAAAAATGATGCCTAGACTATAATTGATTTCAAAGCAAGACAGGCCTAGACTTAAAACAATGCAAGTCTAATATAGGCCTAGAATATTGTTGATTGGATATAAATATGTCCGCAATTCTCTACAAAAAAAAATAGTTCTTCTTCAATCATCATATCATACCCTAAGGTTTCCTATTAAGGAAATATTCTTTTATTCATCGAAGGATAAAAGACTTGATCTCTTATTGGATCTCCCACTGGATCTCCCACAAAGTCTCTTTAGGCTATCTATCTTATATTATATTATTATTATTAGTATTGATAATATATAGTTAGAATTTACTAGTCTAGGAGTTCCTTATTCTAATAATATCTTAGTCTTTATAGCGCTTTATAGGATAGCCTTTAATAGCGTTAATAGCACTAAATAGGATAATTACTTTCTTATCCTTACTTTCCTTAAGCTTCTCCTATATAGGCGCGGTACTAAGAAGTATAGTAATAATAGAGTAGATAGATATATTTAGGTTCGTAAGATAAAGGGGAGCAAGAAGAGTAATATAAGTAATATTATTACTTAGCTATACGGATACTCTATATAACTCCTACTTCTTTTAGTTATTATATTACGCTTAGAAGGCTTCTTAGTTTAATTATCCTAGGATTACGCGTAGTCTTAGGCCTAGTTATTTAATAGTGCCTAAAACTATCTAATTTATAATATTATAGTATATAATATCACGGCCTTATATATCGCAGATAGATAGATATTAATTTAGTTAAGAGAAGTAGGTACCTCCGTATATCTAATATTTTACTAAAGGATTAGCGCCGAGGCTATTTAAAGGGTTTTTTCTATTAGGCTCGTACCGAATATTATTTCTTATATCTTATTTAGCCTATAGCTTAAGAGTAAGTGCCTCTATCTATAATTATATTTCTCTAAGTTTCTTATCCTATTTATCTTAATATTAGACCTAACTAATAATTAGTTACCGATTTTCCTAAGGCTTTATAATAGTAGTAGGTAACTACTATAAGGGATAAAGTTATTAGTTACGCTTAGGGTTACTTAGAGAAGATTTAATAGTTAAAAGAATTCTCTAAATATCGGTTTTCTCTCTAATATATAACCTAATTACTATATATACCTCCGAATAGATAATTAGTGTCCCTTTTAGTAACTACTTATAAGAATACCTTTTAATAACCTTCTCCTTAAGCTACTATAAAAGTCCTTAGATAAGGAGACTTACCCTATCTATATCGCTAACCTCGCCTTTTAAGTAGATATAGCTAAAGATATTATCGAACTTATTAAGATATAAGCGAATATTATCCTATATTATTCGCTTAACCTATATAAGAGATTAAAGGTATATCTTTATATACCTTTATTACTCGCTATCGTTATTATAGAAATACTCTAAGAAAGCTTCCTTAAAGGTATCTTAGTCTTTTCTTAGCTAGGAGTCTTATCTCTTTACCTAAGACTTAGTAATCTTCGCGTAGTACTAAGGTAATATACCTATAATATCTTTATCGCTTTTAACGCTATATCTAAAATATATATCCTATAGCTTCTCTAGGAACTTAGAGATATCGGTCTTATTAAAGTATAGTGCTCCTAGGGATCCTAGAGCTAGTAATACAGAGAAATAAGGCACTTAAACTATATAAGGATAAGTGTTGGGATATAAGGGGAAAGCTACCACGAAGCAGATCGTGGCCCCTTAAGTCCGTGGGATCAACCTTAGTCCGGCTGGGTCAGTCAGTGCCAGACAAAGGTGGAAGGTCAAAGGTCGTAGGATAGACTATAAGCAGATATAGCCTAAACGAAGGCAGAACCACAGTCCTGAGGATCAAAGGAAGAAGGATAGAAGAAGGTAGAGATGACTTTTGAAAGTGGACAATGACTTAAGGAAAGTAGAACTGACTTCAGGAAAGTAGAACTGACTTGATTCTATCTGCTAGACAAGAAGGACGTATTTATAGGCTAGGATAGCCTAGAAATGACGTCTAGAATAACATACAAATGACGTACAAACACTAGGCAGCAACATAATGAAGGTGGCAAAGAAGGGAACCGAAGAGAAGCGAAAAGAATGATGTCAA